TTAATTAAAAAAATAGAAGTTCAATTAATATATTTATAGACTTCAAACAACTATTGTAAATTAGGCGCAGAATAAAAAAAGAAAAATTCAAAATTATAAATTTGTTTTTTAGATTATTCAATTAATTAATTTTTTTAGCAAGACTACAAAATTTTTTTGTAAATTTGTATGGATACATATCCTAATATATTTAAAGAGCTTTATGAATTATTTTTATATTAACTATGAAATATTTAGTTAAAATATTTTATATTTAGATAGCAAGTATGTTAATCAAATTCGAAATTATATATTTAAAATTTGGAAATAAAGCTCTTTTTACAACTTTTTGTTTCATAGACTTAATCAATTTTTTTCATTCTATTTTATTAAATCAGATTTCATTATTTTTGAATTTATTAAAGGGAAAGTATATTATTAAATACTGAAAGTATCATAAAATAGTAAATAATATTTATCAATATAAAATAATTAAAACAAACAATAAAATAAAATAAAATTAAAAATGTCAAAAACTATCATTTTAGCTCTTTTAGCTACTTACATGATTTCTATTACTCTTGCTGCAAGTAATGCACCAACCTGCAGTTCTCACCTAGCTTTTGCAAAGGCTAAGAATGTCCTCTCTAATATTCTCTAATCTGATAGTAAAGGAAAGTCTAAAAATGAGGCTCTTCAAAAGTAATTCCAAAATGCTAAACCTGCCAACAGAACTGCTGCTGATTTAGGTGTTTGCTCTCAATATGCCAATCAAAACTCTTGTTGTGATAAAAATATGGTAAAGCTCATCGATAATGCTGCCTTAATAAAGGTTAAACCAATCTTATAATCCAAAAGTGCTTTCCAAAAGCTTGTCAGTGTTTATGTTACTTAAGTCAACAAAAACTGTTCTAACACTGTCCTTCCTTCTACTCCTCTTACTTTTGATGCTATCTTTGCTAATACAACCTTAAAAGTTTTACAAGCCAACAAAACAGCTCAAGCCACTTGCAGAATCAATTTCGCTAAGGCTATTTCATCTTTCACAAGAGGTGCTTTGTGCTCTATTTGTGCTGGTGTTGAAAAAATCAATGACTACTTCAATGCTTAAGGTTAACTTAAGGTTTCTCAATCCTCAGTTAACACCTTCTTACAATCAACTGATTAAGCTATATCTTGTACCGCAAGTTTCTTTACTCCCTCTAATATTGAATTGATTGTTAAAGAATTGAATGCTGCTTACATTAAGAATAATGATAAATGTGGAGCTAATGTTCTTGATAATATTAAAACTATTTTTGCTAATCCTAAAATTTCTAATGATGATGGTAAGGGTGGTAAAATATGTAAAGGTACAACTATATTTGGAGATAACTCAGCTTGTGAGAATATTTTACAAGGAGATGCCTCTCTTGAGAAGAAATTGAGATTATTGAGAGCTGAGGAAGAAGAGATTAATAGATTATTATAAGCCTCATCTGATGCTGTTATAGATCCAAATGGTGTTAGTGTTTACACAACCAGTAACTCTGATAATTAAATTGATGAAACTGGAAACGGTATAGCTCCTAACTTTGACTAAATTAGCACAAATAACAGTATTATGATAGGCTTTACAGCTTTATCAATTAGCTTATTTGCTTTACTTTTCTGACAATATTTAAAAATTTTCTATCCAAATTAAAATAATATTAATCTTATCGATTATCTGTAAACTTATTCATTAAATTTATAATTTTGTTTCGTAATTAATTAAACATTTTAAAGTAAAATATTAATATTTTTAAAGACTTAAAATATATGCTAATTTATTTAATATTTGTTAATTACTCTAAAAATAAAAAATAACTAATCTATAAAATTAATTGAAAACAATTTTTAGTTTTCAAATGAAATCATTGAAATCTATTAAAAATTCAATAAAATAAAAAAAAAATTGTACAAGTGTATTCATTCTTTTGTGTAAAAAAAATTTTTTCTTAAAAAAGCACAATTTAAATACAATAAAATTTTTTATAAATAGTAAACTTAAAATTTTAAATTATCAAAATTAAAAAAATATTATTTATAGAGCAATTATTTTTTATTTTTAGATATAATTTTTAAATATTTTATGCTCATTTTATTTTATAAGAATTCAAAAACATATTAAACTTACCACCAAAAAACATTTTGTTTTATTTTTATGTATAAAAAAGTATTTTCAGCTTAAAGTAATATTTAAATTTTTTTCAAAACAAAATTAATCAGAACATAATTATTAAGTAGATAAATAATTAAAAAATAAACTTTAATTTATTTATAGACTTCAAAACATTCAATAAATTAAACCTAGTCGAAAAATAGACAAATAATCAAAATTATAAATTTAATTTATAGATTTTTTAATATATCAAATGAACCTTCCATAATAAATTCATAAAAATAAATAAGAACCTATTTTACATATTATCTGAGTGTTTAAAAAATATTTTTTTATATTAGGTAAGTATATTTTATATTATTATAAAATGACATAAATTAATACTTTTTTAGTGAATTATTTATTATAAAAATTTAAATTCAATACTTAAAATGTCCAAATAAAGCTCTTTTTACAACTTTTTGTTTCATAGACTTCATCAATTTCTTTCATTCAAATTTATTTAATCAGGTTTTATTATTCTTGAATTCATCAGAAAACAAATATATTACATTAAATACTGAATGAACAACAAAACTAAATATCATAATTAATAATCAATCAAAAATAATTAAAATCACCCAATAAGATAAATTAAACATAAAATGTCAAAAACTATCATTCTAGCTCTTTTAGCTACTTACATGATTTCTATTACTCTTGCTGCAAGCAATTCTCCAACCTGCAGTTCTCATCTTGCTTTTGCAAAGGCTAAGAATGTTCTCACTAATGTTCTCTAGTCTGATAGCAAAGGAAAGTCTAAAAATGAGGCTCTTCAAAAGTAATTCCAAAATGCTAAACCTGCCAACAGAACTGCTGCTGATTTAGGTGTTTGCTCTCAATATGCCAATCAAAACTCTTGTTGTGATAAAAATATGGTAAAGCTCATCGATACTGCTGCATTACTAAAGGTTAAGCCAATCTTATAATCTAAAAGTGCTTTCCAAAAGCTTGTCAGTGTTTATGTTACTTAAGTCACCAAAAACTGTTCTAACACTGTCCTTCCTTCTACTCCTCTTACTTTTGATGCTATCTTTGCTAATACAACCTTAAAAGTTTTACAAGCCAACAAAACAGCTCAAGCCACTTGCAGAATCAATTTCGCTAAGGCTATTTCATCTTTCACAAGAGGTGCTTTGTGCTCTATTTGTGCTGGTGTTGAAAAAATCAATGACTACTTCAATGCTTAAGGTTAACTTAAGGTTTCTCAATCCTCAGTTAACACCTTCTTACAATCAACTGACCAAGCTATATCTTGTACCGCAAGTTTCTTTACTCCCTCTAATATTGAATTGATTGTTAAAGAATTGAATGCTGCTTACATTAAGAATAATGATAAATGTGGAGCTAATGTTCTTGATAATATCAAAACTATTTTTGCTAATCCTAAAATTTCAAATGATGATGGTAAGGGTGGTAAAGTATGTAAAGGTACAACTATATTTGGAGATAACTCAGCTTGTGAGAATATTTTACAAGGAGATGCCTCTCTTGAGAAGAAATTGAGATTATTGAGAGCTGAGGAAGAAGAGATTAATAGATTATTATAAGCCTCATCTGATGCTGTAATAGATCCAAATGGTGTTAGTGTTTATACAACAAGTAACTCTGACAATTAAATTGATGAAACTGGAAACGGTATAGCTCCTAACTTTGACTAAATTAGCACAAATAACAGTATTATGATAGGTTTTACAGCTTTATCAATTAGCTTATTTGCTTTACTTTTCTGACAATTCTTAAAAATTTTATATTCAAATAAAAATACTATAATTTTATCTATTTACTATATAAAGATAATATAATTTTAATTATATGTAGAACATATAATTTTTACTACATTTTGTATAAAATTTGCTAATTAATTAATAAACTTTAAAATAATTTTAATATCTAATGTGCGCGAGGATTAATTTTAATATAAGACTTTACATTTTTTATTGACTTAATATCTATCAATAATTTAAATTATCTCTTTTATCAAATCAATAATTAATAAATTAATACTATTTGTATTTTTTTAATCATGAATATTAATTTTTTATGAAAATAAAAAAGATAATATATTTTAAATTAATTAATATTTTTTTTATTTATTGATTTAATTTATATTGACTAGCAAATATTTGGAATATCATTTAATAAAATGATTAGATAAAAGATAAAAATGAAACAATTTAATATTGTTCTAAAAATTTTTTGAATCTATTAAAACATTTTTTTAATTTTTCTAACATAACATTATAATTTTACTAATCAAGATATATTTTTTTTAATTTTGAAATCAAAATTTATCAGAAGAATAAATAAATATTAAATGAATTAATAAGTTAAATTGATCTTTAATTTATTTATTTATAGACTTCTAAGTATCTATTATAATCTGATGTAGAAAAAAAAAATCAAAATAATAAATTTGTTTTATAGATTTTTTAATAAATTAAATTTTTAAAACTAGACAAAAAAAATTTTTTTGTAAATTTTGTAGATAACATATTCATTTATATATATTCATCTAAGTTTGTTGAATAATTGTTAATATTTAGATAATATCTTACTATTAAAAGTATTCTTTACACATAATACACATAGGAAATATATTAGCCTAAACAAATATTAAATTTAATACTTATAATTTACCAATTTATCTACTTTAACACCTTTTGGATTCATAGACTAAATCAATATCCTTTATTCAAATTTATTTAATCAGATATTATCATTCTTGAATTTATCAGATATGTTAATAAATTATCAAAAAATTAAAAAGCAAAAACTTATAAATAATAATCAATCAAAAAAATATAAAATCATCAAAATATAAAATAAAAAAATTAAAATGTCAAAAACTATCATTCTAGCTCTATTAGCTACTTACATGATTTCAATTACTCTTGCCGCAAGCAATTCTCCAACCTGCAGTTCCCACCTTGCTTTTGCAAAGGCTAAGAATGTTCTCACTAATGTTCTCTAGTCTGATAGCAAAGGAAAGTCTAAAAATGAGGCTCTTCAAAAGTAATTCCAAAATGCTAAACCTGCCAATAGAACTGCTGCTGATTTAGGCGTTTGCTCTCAATATGCCAATCAAAATTCTTGTTGTGATAAAAATATGGTAAAGCTCATCGATAATGCTGCTTTACTAAAGGTTAAGCCAATTTTATAATCCAAAAGTGCTTTCCAAAAGCTTGTCAGTGTTTATGTTACTTAAGTCAACAAAAACTGTTCTAACACTGTCCTTCCTTCTACTCCTCTTACTTTTGATGCTATCTTTGCTAATACAACCTTAAAAGTTTTACAAGCCAACAAAACAGCTCAAGCCACTTGCAGAATCAACTTCGCTAAGGCTATTTCATCTTTCACAAGAGGTGCTTTGTGCTCTATTTGTGCTGGTGTTGAAAAAATCAATGATTACTTCAATGCTTAAGGTTAACTTAAGGTTTCTCAATCCTCAGTTAGCACCTTCTTATAATCAACTGACCAAGCTATATCTTGTACCGCAAGTTTCTTTACTCCCTCTAATATAGAATTGATTGTTAAAGAATTGAATGCTGCTTACATTAAGAATAATGATAAATGTGGAGCTAATGTTCTTGATAATATTAAAACTATTTTTGCTAATCCTAAAATTTCTAACGATGATGGTAAGGGTGGTAAAATATGTAAAGGTACAACTATATTTGGAGATAACTCATCTTGTGAGAATATTTTACAAGGAGATGCATCTCTTGAGAAGAAATTGAGATTATTGAGAGCTGAGGAAGAAGAAATTAACAGATTATTATAAGCTTCACCTGATGCTGTAATAGATCCAAATGGTGTTAGTGTTTACACTACAAGCAACTCTGACAATTAAATTGATGAAACTGGAAACGGAATATCTCCTAGCTTTGATTAAATTAGCACAAATCAGGCTATTTAATTAGCTTTTGCTTCAATATTAATGAGTGTTTTTATTCTACTAATTTGATTGCATATTAATATAAATATTAATATTTTTAATTATTAATTATTTTATTTGTACAAAATTAAAATTAAATGTAATTAATTAGTTAAAAATATGTTTTAAAATTTAAGTATTTTGTTTATTGAGTTATTTTTCTTTACTAATTAGCTTTTTATTTTCACAAAATATTTTAATTTAATTTTTAATTTTAAATGTATTTTAATAAATTATTTTATGTCTTAGCAAAAAGTAGTAATTTATTAATTAATATAATATTTGATTTAAATTTTGAAAATATTTTTTTACTAAATAAATATTTTATCTAAACATATTTATACAAAATAAAGAAGAAAATATTTTGAGAAAAAACATCTCAAATATTTGTAAAAAACTTAACACAATATAAAATTCCTAAAATAATAAAAACTTTATATAATTAAAAATTTCAAATTATTTGAAGGTTTTTTTATAAGAGGTTAAAAAAATTTTTTTAAATATTATGAAAAAAGTATTTAATATTCAACAAAATTTTATATTTATTTATCCTTTTGTCAGTTTATCATCAGAATTATTTTTGAAAGACAACTAATCTTTTTGATTTAAGACACTTGCCTATTACTTTGAATTTTTATGATTCATTCATTTAGTTAGAACTTTTATAATAAATTTGTGTAAATTTTAAATAAATATTAAATAAAATAAAATTTTAAATTAAAAATTATTTCTTAAATTAATAAATAAAATAATATTACTGGAATAAAAAACATAACAAAAAAAAATCAAATAAAAGCTAACAAATCAATTCAAATTGCTTTTGTGATTTTTATTCATTTTAAAAATTTAAGAATATCACAATCCAAATCAAATAAACTGTTTTTACTAAAGGTTAAGTGTCAAATTTGAAAGATTTATGCAACTTGCTAAAGCACAACCTAATCTTGATACACCTTCATCACCAATTTAATTGTAACTTTAAAATATTGAAGAAAAATATATCATTAAATAGTTAATTAGAAGGAAAAAATATTAAATAATAAGATTAATTAATTAATAATATAAGTAAAAGTTGAAAATAAAATGATGAGTTAAATTAACAAAAAAAGAACAAAAAAAAAGCAAGCACAATAAAAAGAAAAAGAAAAAAGAACTTAGTTGCTTTAAATTAATTTTATAATTAAAAAATTTCACAATCCAAATCAAATAAACTATTTTTACTAAAGGTTAAGTGTCAAATTTGAGAGATTATTGAAATTTACTAAAGCGGAACCTAAGCCTGATGTACCTTCATCACCAATTTTATTCCAACTTTTTAAATATTGAAGAAAAAATATATAATTAAATTGGTAATTAGAAGGAAAAAATAAACAAAAAATATCAAATAATAAGATTAATTAATAATAAAAGCAAAAATTGAAAATAAAATAATGAGCTAAATTAACAAACAAAGAAAGAACAAAAAAAAGCAATCACAATAAAAAGAATAAGAAAAAAGGGCTTCATTATTTTAAATTAGTTTTTAAATTTAAAAATATCACAATCCACAACAAATAAACTGTTTTTACCCAAGTTAAAGTTTCAAATTTGAGAGATTAATACAATTTGCTAAACCATAACCTAAGCCTAATGTGCCTTCATCACAAATTTTATTCCAACTTTTTAAATATTGAAGAAAAAATATATAATTAAATAGTTAATTAGAAGGAAAAAATAAATAAAAAATATGTAATAATAAAGATTAATTAATTAATAATAAAATTAAAAATTAAAATTTAAATGATGAGTTAAATTAATAAAGAAAGAACAAAAAAAAACAAGCAAACACAATAAAAAGAAAAAGAAAAAAGAGATTTGTAATTATAAATTAGTTTTTATATTTAAAAATATCATAATTCAAAACAAATAAACTGTTTTTACCCAAGTTAAAGAGACAAATTTGAGAGATTAATGCAATTTGCTAAACCAGATCCTAATCCTGATCCACCAATTGCACCAATTTTATTGCCACTTTTTAAATATTGAGGAAAAAATATATTTTTTAAATAGTTAATTAGAAGGAAAAAATAAATAAATAATATGAAATAATAAGTTTAATTAATTAATAAAAGCAAAAGTTGAAAATAAAATGATGAAGGAGCTAAATTAACAAAAATGAGGAAAAAACAAGTAAGTGCAATAAAAAGAAAAATAAAATAGAGTTTAATTGTTTTAAATTAGTTTTTATAATTAAAAATATCATAATCCAAAACAAATAAACTGTTTTAACTAAAGGTTTAGTGTTAAATGTGAGAGATTAATGCTATTTGCTAAAGCAGAACCTAAGCCTGATGCACCCATTGCACCAATTTAATTTTCACTTTTTAAATATTGAAGAAAAAATAATTCATTAAATAGTTAATTAGAAGAAAAAAATGAAGAAAAAATATGAAAAAATAAGATTAATTAATAATAAAACCAAAAGTTGAAAATAAAATTATGAGTTAAATTAACAAAGAAATAAAAAGAAAAAAAACAAGCAAGAGCAATAAAAATAAAAATAATATTTTTTGTTTTAAGTTAATTTTATAATTTAAAAAATATCACAATCCAAAACAAATAAACTGTATTTACGAAAGCTCAATTGTTAAATTTGAGAGGTTAATGCAATTTCCTAAAGCAGAACCTAAACCTGATATACCTTCATCACCAATTTTATTCCAACTTTTTAAATATTGAAGAAAAATTATATAATTAAATAGTAAATTAGAAGGAAGAAATAAAGAAATAATTTGAAATAATAAGATAAACTAATTAATAATAAAAGCAAAAGTTGAAAATAAAATGATGAGTTAAATTAACAAAGAAAGAAGAAAAGAAAAAAAACAAGCAAACAAGCAAGCACGAAAAAAGAGCTCTGTTATTTTAAATTAGTTTATATATTTAAAAATATCGCTACTCAAAACAAATAAACTGTTTTTACTCAAGTTAAAGTGTCAAATTTGAGAGATTAATACAATTTGCTAAACATGAACTTAAGCCTGATATACCTACATTATCAATTTAATTGTTACTTTTTAAATATTGAAGAAAAATATTTAATTAAATAGTTAATTTGAAGTAAAAAATATAAAAAAAATATGAAATAATAAATTTAATTAATAATAAAAGTAAAAGTTGAAATTAATATAATGAGTTAAAAGAACAAAAAATGAAGCAAAAAAAATGCAAGCAAAATAAAAAGAAAAAGAAAATAAATCAAATAAATTAAAATAGCTTTAATGTTCTAAATTAATTTTTTATTAATAAAAATATAACAATCCAAATCAAATAACTGTTTTTATCAAGTGTAAATGTTAATAATAGCAAAAAATGAAGATAAAATATTAAATAATAAAAAATGAATAATAAATTATTTGAAATTAAGTTAAAATAACTAAAAAATTTTTGTTTTAATAAAAATCAATAAATAATAATGATAATTTCTAATAGAAAAATAATTTTTTTAAATAAATTGAAAGTTAAATAAAAAAATTATTAATTAGAATATAAAAAAAATCTTTAAATTAAATATACTTCAATTTAATATGGAGAACCTTATGAGTTAAATGTGAAGAGTTTAAAAACTTTTTTTATTAATATATAAATATTTAAAGGATATTAATAAATTAATAAATAGTTACTTCTTCTAATTCTTCATAATATTTAATCTATTTTTTCATTTTTTTTTTTTCAAAAATATTGAATAGCAAGCAATTTATGGAATTTAATTAATTATAAATGGATAAAAAGAACAAATAAAATATAATAATTAATTTTCAAATATTTATTTAGAAATTTACTTTTATGAAGAGATATCACAGAAAAATTATATGTATGTATGTATGCATGTAGGTAGTTCATTAATAATTAAAACAAACCCCTCCTCCCCCCTCCCTACTTATTCAAAAATTAAAAGAAATTTTTTTAAAATATTGTAAAATATTGCCCTCCAAGCTTGAAGAAGAAAAATTTGGCATGATAGGTGTCTATTTTTTACCTGATAATAAACTAAATCGATAAAAAATAATAATTATTATGAAAAGCTAAATTCAATCATTCTGATTTTTCAAAAATTAATTTTATTGAGCTCATCCTAAAAACGATTCTTCTATCAAAACCAGCAAGATATTTATATTAATAAAGAAATATTATTTGTTTCAAATAAAATTCTTTAATCTTTGATTGAAAAAATATAAAAAATAAATATTTTTTTTTAAATTTAAATAGAAGAATTGAATTAAAATAAAGGGAAAAAAACAAACTTGTCACTTAAAAATTTTTTTAGTATTTCATATTATGTAATTATCAAAATTCTTTTTGAGTTAGTTATAATTCATAAGCGCTAATTTATATCATTTGTTTTTCAAATATAAATTAGGCAAAAGAAAGAATAAAAAGGTCTTAATGTTTACATAGGTAAAAAATAAAATTCAACTATAAAAAAATAATAACTTTTTAATTTAAATTCTTTTGAATAATTATATCTTTTTAATAAACTATAGATTAAAAATAAAAAATATTGGTAGTGTCCATCAATTACTTAATTATTTAGAAACCTTTATCAGATAATAGGATTATTTCATTAAAAAATTTCATCATCTTATTGTATTAGAAAGCTTAGAAAAATTTTTTCTTCTATATTAATTGCATTATGTTTATTTAAAAAGATAATTTAAAATAAGATAAAAATTAAATAAAAATAATTCATTTTATTTTAAAATCTTAGAAATTCGACTTAATATTTTATCTTATAAAATAATGTATTTCCTTTTAAACCTTCAAACATTTTTAACAAAAAGTATTAGTTATTTTATTAATTTATTTATCAATATTGTTTCAGTATGTTTTCATTCATGCCTGCGATTTTCAAAATTTTTCTGGTATCCATCCTAAGCCAAAACAATTTTGAATAGGAAAATCATCAAATTTTTAATAAGAAAAATTATCAAACATAATATCAAAGTTAATAGGTTAATACAAATTTTAACTTATGTAAATAATTCACTTTTTCTGATTAGCAAAATTATCAAAAGTGAATTTTTGCTGACATATTTAAAGATTTAGTGCATAATGTATAAACAAAATATTAATTACTTCAAAATAAATAATAATTGTAGATAGGAAGATAGAAATAAAAAAAGTGATAGATAGATTATGTTTTTTTTTAGTTTTATTTAGTATGATAAGAATAAGACAAATAGAAAATTTGCAAATATAAATATACATTAGAAATGTTATTTTCGTTTACTTTATAATTAATATTTGCTTAAAATAATAAATCAAAGAAAGGATTAGGGTGTGTTGTGTGTATGCATGTGTAAATGAGTGAGTGAGTCAGTGAGTGAGTGAATGGGTATGTCTAATTATAGTTAGTATAAATTTGTAATTATTATATCAAATCATTAATAGGAGTATAATTAGTAAATTTATTTTGCAAGGAAGTAGTTTAAGTTAAATATTTTAAGAGGTCTTTAAATATTTTTTAATCAGTTTCAAAGGTGAATAGTAGGAATGTTGTATACTTAGTACTATTGTTGGTTAAATTATTATTATTATTATTATTGTTATTGTTATTGTTATTGCTGGGGATGATAAATATATTATTAATTTTGATAGCAGAAATCATTTTGAATTTAATTCTACTACTGGTTATTAGTGAAATCAAGATTTTTATGATTAATATTTGTAATTTTGAAAGGTTTTTATATACAAGATACACTTTATTTGTTTGATAATTAATTATTCATTCTGTAATTGAAATTTCCATTGATTGGAATTTTTTTATTATTGTTTTATTATATGAATTATTGCTTGTGAGAGTTATTAAATTTACGGATTTTTCCAAATTTTTATTCGAGATTGGAGTCAAAGTCAAACCCAAAGAATTCAGCTGTGCGGAGTTCTAAGAAGTAGTAGTCTAACACTTTTTTAGAGAGTCCAATTTCTTCAGCTATTTCTTGTAGGTCGCGGAAAATACGTTCTTCTTTATATTTTTCATACAAATCTCTCCATTAAGAGACTATTTTAATTGCTGAAGCAATAGTTCTTTCTTTGCTTCTAGTTAAACTGTGACTGAGAATGGAGAATTATTATTGACTTGATTTGTTAGTATCTTCAATATTATTATTCTAGATTGTAGAATTTATTTAATTAGCAATAGAGGCTGCAGAGAGTGATGATTAACAAGAAATATTTTAAGATGAATGAGAAATATTCGATTTTTTTTTTTTTTATAAGTGGATTTCTTAATCTGCTTCAAATTCAGCAAGAAAATCTTCTTAGAAATATTTATTTTTAGCTAGGGATTCAGTTTTAGTTTTTTTGAAGTTGCAGCAAGTTGACGATCCACTGATACTCTCATCATCAGCAACAACCTGAGATTCTTTAAATATCTTATTGTTGCTTTTTTTTGATTCATTTTTTTGTTTTTTTTGTTCCTTTTGAGTATTGGTGCTCGGATAGAGCTTTTAGATCTCTTCAGGAGATAGTCTTTGGTAAATAAATTCAATTGATAAGCTGTCATAGCCTGAAATTTAGTTCAACTGAAGAATAACTTCTTGTTGAGCGAAGGAGTGAGGATAGCAGCCTATGTTAAGGTCTCCAGATAATGTCTTGACAAATAATATGCAGTTGTTTAAGAAGGCGGAGAGTATGTTATTAATGGAGACGGATTAAGTAATGTTAACCATTTATTTATTACTGTCCAAGAATTAGATGTTCTAATCCATGAATACAAATTTCTATTGGGTAGCAATATCCTTGCAAACCGTAGAGAATGATTGAACAGACATGTTTGTTTGGTTGATTAGTTTGAATTGTGTTAGATTACTTAGAAAAATGTATGTTTTTTTTTCTAGATTTAGTTTTATTCTTTGTTTATATATTTAATTCTTTCTATCTATTTTTTACTTTAGGTGATTGATTATCCAATTTTTCTACCTTATCAGCTACCTGATGTGAAACCAGCCAAATAAGAATAATAAACCTATTAATTAAGGGAAATAATAATAAATAATATTTATGAGCAAGCATATTTATAAATTTTAATGGGAAAAAAGGAAGTCATTTAACTTCTGTTTATAGTTACATTATTCTCTTTGATAACATTTTGTTGAAATGCATAATAATTAAATCAAAATTGGAAAAAGACATCACTAAATTTAGACTCATAAAATGGTAAGATAAATTTGTATTTTACAGAATAAAAAAGACTACTTGCGTGCGTGTACTAAAATATTGTTTTATTACAATCATTACAAAGCCAATTGAATTAGAAAAATTGACTAAATTTATAATAAATTTAAACTAGCCATCTGCGAAAGAAAGTCAATAAATATTTAATTTGAATTTAATTTTATTTCTTTTATAGTTTTTAATTAAGAATAAGCAGTAATGTTAATTAATTGTGCTAATTTATTTATTTCTTCTTCTGTATTATTTATAAAGATAAATTTGAAAATAAATCTATTTATAGACATCAATATGTTAAATTGCCATAACTTTATCAAGCTACTTTGCTAAAAATACTTTATATAAAGTGAGACAAAATATCTCTAAATAAAAAACAAATTTACAAAAAATTCATATTTAGCTAGCTACTCTCTTTAATTTGAATGGCATACGATTTTATTTGATCAGAAATACAAAATCTTTGAGCAGAAAATGTAGAATATTAATTTTTTAAAGATGGAATTTATCGTAATTAATTTAATCGAATATAATTTAATATCTAATTACCTTAAAATATTAAGAGAATATAATGAAATTCAATTCTTTAAAATAACCATATTTATTAGTATTGTACACTTATATTATCATATTTTGTAAATTAAGCATTCAAATATGCTTTAAAATCCCATTGATTGGAATTATAATACATTTTTATTCTCCTAAACATAAAAATTATTTTTTTTTTGTTCAAATTCAATATTTTTTATAGTTTAGTTTGTAGTTTCGTTACACAGAATATAAAATAATTGGACTTTGTTAATAGGTAGCAGAAATTTAATTAGGTACCTATTCTGGATCAAATCTTTGAATTGCAAGTAAGACTAATTCTATGAGTAATTTACTTATTTTAATACAATTTAATAACGTCAACTGTTTTATTATATGATTAAGAAATGCTAAATTTCTTTACGCTTCTAATAGATTTTTTTAAAAAAAACTTTTAATTTATCTAAAACACTTTTTCCCTAACAAGAATACAAACAAAATAATTTGCTTTAATCAATCTGTAATAAATTTACTAATCAAACAAAGAAAATACATATCAATCTATTTCTGATTAACTAAATCTATCTATCTATTTATCTTCTTAATGACAATTAATTTAAATATATAATTTTATTTTTTTTACTTAATTAAATTTGATACTTTGAAAACATTGCTGCTTCTTATCTGATATATATCACATTATTTTAATTGCATTATTATTTAATAAAAATAATTTTAAATATAAAATAAATCTGAAAATCTTATTAACATAATTACTTTTAATATTTTATTTTTTAAACATTTCCATATAATAAAATTAATTTAACTCAAAAATTAATAATTAATTTTGAAATCATTTTTTTTAATTATATAAAATATTTTTTTTATCAATAAATTTTTATTAATTTATAGAATTATTTATAATTTTATATCGAATTTTCTTTCTATAAAAGTGTTTATCATGAGTCTAAAAAATGATATTTATTATCTTACTAATTTATCAAATATGAATTAAGTTAGATTATATTTTTTACAGAAATACTATTTTAAATAAATTTATATCATTACTGTAAACAACAAAAAATAAAATTAATATCATAATTTTAAATGAATATATTTATTTTTATTAATTTTTAAAAATCTAACTAAGTTTTTTCTTTAAAAAAAATAGCTTTTCCATGAAAATAAATCGGTTTTGATTTTAGAAGTAAAAATATTTTCTTTTATTATACAGAAGAATAAATTATGATTATTGCCATGAAGATTATCTTGATGTAAATTTTGAAACACTTATTTATTATTTAACTAAATTAATTTTTTCAAAATTTAAAAACTGATGAAATATGAATTAGGTTATTGGCTTTGGCTTCTAAAATGTTGAGTGATTCTGAAAATTATAAAAATCGTAAAATAAACAAATAAATTTTGGCAATTACTAGCGATTATTATTATTATTAAAAAATAGAAGTCTAACTGCTGATTTCTATTTTATTAATTCGCTGGTTAAGAGTTAACATCAAATCAATTTTTATTTGATTAAAAGCAAATATCTTCCAAAGGGTAATTGTTTTGAGAATCTAAAACTAATTTTGAATAATAGCCAAAAGTTATAGAAGGCTAAAATTAATAAATTTAAATTAAGAAAATGTAAGAATTTCATTATGAGCAGCAAATAAATAAAAGCAAGGTTTGGAGTAGATTTAGCCGCATTATAAAAATATAATGATTTAATTAAAAGATTTAATAAATTACAGTAGTAATGTAAGGAACTCCCTTTATTGATTTACATCATCCGGACTTTTACATATTAAAAATATAATTTTCATTCTTCCTATTTCAATAAAGAGAATTTGTTTACAGCACAAATAAATCTATTAAAAATACTGAAGAATGAATTTTTCATTTGCATTTATTTTTCAAAAGTGGTAAAAATAATATTGTTAGCAAATAAAAAATTCTAGATTAATTTATACAATAATTGTTAGTGATAATAGCTCAATATACTGTCCACATTCCCCAAATTTGAACTATAAAGTATAAATTAGCTAGGGTACATCTCAAGTTATTTTCAAAAATTTTAAGATAAATAAATTAACAATATTAAAAATTTTGTATAGAACAGATAAAATTATCTGATTTTGCAACTTATGTAATAAGATAGAGACAGACTTAAGAAGATTGCTCAGACATCTATGAATATTTAAATAATATTTAATAAATATTTATTCTTCTTGAAGCATATTTATTTCTTAAAAAAAGCAGTTAAAAAATTTTGTTGCAATTATTTCCTAATTTTTTATGGCTAACTAAAACTAAAAAAGTTAACTCATTATAATAAATTAATAGTAATAAATAATATGGTGAATAATACTTTTCCTACCCCAAGACATAGATTACAAAGTATAAGTAAAGGCTTTAAATAGTTATGAGTACAGTAATATAAAATTGATTTGAAAATTTAAAGAATGAAAGTCTTTTATTAGCCAAATTAATTAATTAAGATATTAATTAAATTTAAAAATTCATTGCAAATGTTATGAATGGGAATGTTACTCCTATTTTCCAAAAATTAATGTTACTTTAGTAGGTAATTCAATAAAACTAGATTTGACAAATTAAATAACAAAATATAACTAATGGCATACAGCAATTTTTCTCGCCATATTTTCTTTGTACAAAAGTAAAGTAAACAAACTGAAAAATAAGAAATTAATTTCAAAAATAAAAATGAAAAAAATATTTACTTTTATAGTTTAGCATTACTTTTTACATGTATTTAACCGACCGATGTGTTTTACTTACTTAAATTAATGCAATTAAACACAGAAAAAATGTAAAGAGCTAATTATTTAATTAGATAGAGATTAATTACCTCAGAAATTATAAATAAATCTGATTAATGCGATACAAAAATATTTATGACTTCATTCAAAATATTGGGGTGAATGAGCAAAATCTGAAGAGAAAATTATTTATTTATTTATTTATTATGTATGTTGGTGTTTTTATTTATAGGTAGATAGATAGATAGAAAGGTTATTTTTGGAGAAGCTAAGGTAATATATGATAATTTTAAGATAAACAATATATATAGTAGATTTAATATAAATTTTTATTAAAATAAGTAAACTTTATTATATTATTTTATTAACTTTAATTTTGTTATCGCTTTCAATATTATTTATTTATTTATTTATTTACTCTTTATATTGAACTCTGCAACCTAAAAATCCGTCATCAGCTTGATCAATAATTTTATTTTTCTGAGAATCTTAATTGGTAATTATGTAAGACCTAATCATCAACTTTGCTGATTACATTCTATTAAGCGATTACTTTTCTTTGATTCTAGCTAAGTTGGTCAGGCAGCTGATTACAATTTGGCTTGCTGATTAGAGAGTTTATATTTTATTTTTTTTAAACCAACAAAATCAAAGTGGGATTTATTTTATTTACATGTTTTATCATTGTATTGTAAAAGTTTATTTTTCATTTCTTTCAAATAAAAGAATGTAAAATTTATTGGCACGAGTGAATTCTACCATTTTGATTGTTGTTGTTATTAAAGTTATTTGAATTGCCACAGCTATTGGCATTGTAACTTTTTTACATTAGGGAATCTTAGAAAGCACCTTATGAAGAATTTTACTAATTGAGTGTACATTAGTGATTGTAGTCCATGCTTTGGTCTTGTAATTGGAAAGAAATTCTTTGTTAATTCATTGGGTAATCGCTTTGAGTATTATTGAAGAAGTTTTAGTAAATTTCATTATTTGGAATAAATTATTAGGATTGAGAGCTCAATTAGGAGGTAGCATGCTTTTAAGTATATGAGTGATCATTGTAATAGTTAGTAGAGTTGGTGTAGCTGTTATTTTGATTTATGTGGGGAATATTTTGTTAGTTAGAAGTATTTTATATAATGTTGTGATTGTTAGGATAATTTGTGTTTGATGCTTGGAAGCTGCTTTAATTTAATTATGTTTCTTTGTACTGCTATTATGATTGAGACTGATTGGGGGATGATAGAGAAGGCAAAATTATTTATTGATCGTAAAAACATTTTTGATTTAAATGAGAGCTGCTATTTAAATTTTACAAATTTTTATTAATGTTTAAGTTTGAGTTGTAGCCTTGTGTTTAAATATTTGCTTATGAGTTGTTACTGCTTAAATTGATGCTATTTTAATTAGCGCTGGTAAAATTAGATTGTTATTAGTATTGACTTGATTATAATCTTTCAATTTAAGGTTGAATATTTGTTTATTATAATGATGAATCTTCAATTTTTTTTGGGATTCTATACTTAAGAGTAGAATTACGAGGAATTTTGTGAGTACTGAACTGATTTTGGAAATTTTTTTTGCTTTCTTGGATGTAGTCTCTCAGAATTCCCATCTTTTTATCGAGATTGCTATCAAAGTCGAAGCAGAAATATTCAGCTGTACGGAGTTCGAGATAATAATAATCAAGAGTCTTTTTTGATATTCCGATCTCGTCCGCTACTGACTAGTAATCTTTAGTGATGCTATTTGTTTTATAAAAGTCTTGAAGATCTCTCCATTTGCAGACCATTTCGAGAGCTTCTTTGATAGTTCTCTCTTAACTCTTTTTTTGGCTTGCTTTATCCTCATCTTTACGGTGACTTTTGTTTGAAGAGTAATCCTTCTATTCTGAGCTGGCGTCTTCAAACTCAGTCTTGAAGCCTACGTTACTTTGTGAATGAACAATATTTTGAGGATTAGAAGAGTTCAATTTCTTTTTCTTATAAGAATTTTCATACTCTTAATTCTAATTGGCTGCTTAATTTGAGTTTTAAGATAGACAGGAGTCTTTGCGGTTCAAACTGGGATTATTGGAAATATGGACGAAGGTGATTTGGCTTGAGTTGCTATCTAATTCGTCTAAGTTTCTTTTTCTGTTAAATTTAGGAGTATTTTCGCAATCTTAATTTGCAGCTTTGAAAGCGACTTTGTCATTGTTGATTTCCTTTTTACGGTAGAAGCTTAAATGAACCTAATTTAATTTAAGAGACTCTTCGTTTAAATCAAGGAGAAGTTAGCATTCTGGGTCTTCGATAGATTGTTAATTGTAAACTCCGATGTAGATTTGTGTGTTTTTTTCATCAAATTTAAATAGAACAGAGTCAGTAAGAACAATTTTCAAAGCATCGCTTAGATCAAAAGTTTTTTTCAAATTTATGACTGTTTACTCGTTTTATAAGACTACTTTTTATTTAGGGAAGCAGAATCTGCGGTTTTTGCTTTGTTCTTCACAGATAATGTCCATAAGAGCAATTATGCTCTCCTATTTACAATCATTAACTATCCCAGTGGTTTGGTTAACAGAATTAAGAGAAATAGTTGAAAGAGAGCATCCAGTAGAGGTTTGGACGGAGGATACTGAAGGTGATATCATTTTCTTCCTGTAGCAAAAAAGTTAAAAAGAGAGAGTTTTGTTTGTTAATTTAAATATTCAATAAATAAATAAATCTTTTTTTCTTTTCTTGCTTGCTGATTTCTTTGATGCGTCGTCTGTTATATAAACTGTGATATTGGATTAAGAAAATTCTATCCTTTTACTTTAAAGTGAGAGTTAAGAGAAGCTTGTTGTTTTTAAGAATGGTCTTTAATTAGATTATATTGTTATAAAGTGCTCTGCCTGTAAGGAAGGATATATATAATAGATGTGATTTGGCAATCTAAACCTTGTTTTTCTTAAGTCTGATTTAAGGATTTAAGATTATTTATTTAGTATCTGTTTTTGATTATTTTTGATTTTGTTTTATTTAATTGATTTATTTATTAGAAAGACGCCTTTATATGAAATATAAACTTGCTTATTGCAAATGAAATTGATTTATTATTTAAAGAAATTTATTTACTTAATTTTCTTTTCTTAATCTGAATTTTAGACTTACTCTGATCCTGCAATCCATGTAAAAATTGCCAAGAAAGAAAAAAAAACAAATTTTGGTAAAATTAATCATTTTGAAAATAAAATCAAAAATATTAATTAATTAATTAATTTGTAAAATGCTTACCTAATAATTACCAATACTCAGTTTAGCCTACCCCAAAATTAATTAATTAATTAATAAATAAATAAAAAAGAAAAATAAAAAAGCAATCAAACAATTATTTTTGTCTGCCAAAAAAAACTATTTGTCTATACTTGCTTAGTATAAAACTTTTAACGTTCAATTCTTATGCTCATTACTTAATTGATTTAGACAAAAATTTTATTTAATTCAAATCTGCATGCTATGCAAACAAGCTTGCATTCTCTATTTATCTTAAAGATGTAAACGAGTAAAGCCTTATTTTAATTCTAATTGTAAACGTAAGAAAAATAATTAACATTCTAAATAAAGTTATCTTAATTTTTAAATTCTGCATTATTTCATTTACAGAATTTTGTAATCTTTTTTGCATTGTCGAAAGACAAGCAGATAGACTCAAACTCAAACTCAAAGTTGAAAGTATTTAAGATAGCCTTCGAATATTTTACTTGTAGGCAATTTGAAATAAATGCAATTAAATTGTAAATTAATATAGCTTTAGAGTGTAAATCTTTATTTAGAGTGCTACATTTCAGTTAGTTAAATGATAAATTTAGATCTAGTGAAAGCTCTATTAAATAGTATTTTCTTTTAAAATATTTGCATCTAATCTAACTATTAGCTAGTAAGTAACGCAACTTCAATGAAGATAAAAACTGACTTCAATATTGTTTGAAATAATTCAAATTAATCAAGTTAGTAATTTTGAACCACCAGATTATATATATATATTCCGTCAATATGTGATTAAATTAGTGAAAAATAATCAAATGCAATGAATCAAGATGCCCCAATATAAAATTCAAAATTTAATTCACATCCTTGAGGTCATAAAATGGGATTAACCAGATTTTTTTAAAAATCTAAGTAATCCTTAAATATTCTGTTGGCAGCTCATTTTTTACTAATCAAATTAAGTAATCGATTATGATGTTTACACTCAACTCCTTTAAAAATATACTTAAAAGGAACTAGATTGCATGTACTAACTACTGTAGGAATTTATTCTCTTGTTAAGAAAACTTACATTTAAATTTTTTATATTTATGGTGTTACTAAGCATAAATAAATTATAATGGATAATAATTTGTTTTAAAATTATTTATTGCGTAAGAAAATCAACAAGAAAATGGAAATACTTTCTAAATAGCAAGTAAATGATTGTAAAGCATTTTGAAGGAATGGAAATAGTATTACTATTTCCGATCATATTTTATTATGCCTAATATTTTACGGTAGAAAGAAATTTATTTAATAATTGTGATGAAAAACAAATTAATTTTGGGTCTATTTGATCCTTTTTAATTAATTTTGAATGATTTCTTTCTTTCTTTGCTTTCTTAAAATTGATCAAGGTTAATTTACTCCTTTACTCTTTACTAAACAAAAAATAAGTCTCTTTATCCTTTCTTAATTACGAATATCTTTAAAAATAATAATCTTAATATTACTTAAGTCTATTCGGCCTCTAATCCTCTTAAATTTTCAAGCCTTTACCTACTAAACTCAAGCGCTTTTATATTCATTTCTTCTATTACTCAAGCAATTTTCCTTTAGTCATTTTAATTTTTAATTTTGGCTCCTTTTCCTTCTTTATTATGCTAAAGTTTGAAAATTTCCAAGCTTTTTTTTTCCTAATTAAAGACTCTTTTCTTTGTTAATACTTGCTAGAAAGAAAAAGCAAGAAGTAAAACAAAATATTAGAAAGAAAACTCTTTAATTAAATACTTAAAATGAGAGTTATTAAATTAGGAATCGAATACACTTTTATTCATCAATTTATCTACATCTTTACTTTATTAGCAATGAAATTGGAATATCAGAAAATTACCTTCAAAAAAGTTTTTGATAACTGCTTTATTCTGGCATTCTGTTGCTAATTCAAAGCTTTTGTAGAAGGTGATAAAAAAAAATCTTCTCAAATCAAAAAATTAGTTATAAAAGAAATTTCTAATCACTTTAATGCTTTCCCCCAACAAAAAATATATGAAGTAAGTATCATTGAATAATAGGGTTTTAATGTAATATTAAGTTATCAATTAAAATCCTTTGGTTCTGAAAGATCAATGAAAATAAGAAAGTAAAATTGAGTGCATTAAAAAAAACTAAATAGCTAAGGAAGCAAATAAAGGTAATATTGAATTATTTCTTTGCATATTACCTTTTGCAAAATTTAATAAATTTTTAATATAATTTTGAGTAAACAAAAATTGAAAAATCAAAAATTCACGCATTAAATTTGATTTTTTTATCTATAAATGCTCTTATGTTCGAGTGTTAAATTTAACCAAATAGAGTTAGTTAATAAGAGAATTTTAAAAAAATGCTAATTACATAAATTTTATACTTTTATAAATAAAATTAAATTAGGTAGAATAATTTTTTATTATTTATTTTAATAATATTCTTAAATGACAATAAAGCTATTTATTTTATTAATTGTATTTTTTACTTGTTTATTTTTTCTTATTATACTTTTTTTGTTTCTTTATTTGTGTTTGTAAGTGAATCTATTTTAATACAATCATTCGAAGAGTTTACATTAATAAACTGAATTTATTTGATTTTTCTTTCTTCAAAATAAAAAAATAATCATTCATTAGGTTACTGTCTTTACAAGTTGCCTATAATAAAGTAAATAAATAATTAGTAAAACTTAAGGCATTCCCAATAATGCTTTTAGATTACTGCATTAATCTAAAGATAATAAGTATTTTTTAACATTACTTGATTTATTTATTTTTCTCTTAAATAGAAAATACTCTTTTAAAATAGTTTGTGCTTGAAATTGTTTAAATAACTTTTTATTCTATTCAGTATGAAATTTTTTAGGGACTCTTTAGTTTTTGATATGAAATGGGATTAGCTAATCGCAGAAAATTTCATTACTCTTGATTTATGTGCATTTATTAATCTTGAATAGCGATTAATTGTATTTTTCTTTTCTAGTTTTAGGTTGTTTTTGATATTTCAATTTCATTAGTGGGTTCATTTAAACTGTTCTCATTATTTTTGTCAGAATTAGGAGCAAAAATAGTCACTTTTTTTGTTAAGTTATTATGGTTATTTAAATTTGAAGGACTTTGTCTTTGCTCATTCATATTGTTGTTAATAAGAATGCTTTAAGTCATTTTCTTGTTTGGAATTCCGTTTTCATTTCGGATTACTAAAGAGTTATTTTAAAATTCTGAGTTTTCTTCAACTGCATCAATACCAAAATTAGCACCGTTAATAGAATGATTATCAATATTTCTTTACTAAAACAGTGTGCTATTATTACCGACAGATGCAGTGTTGTTTAAAATATTTCCATTCAAGCCTTATTAGATAGAGTGAGAGTGACCTAGAGATTGCTGCATATTTATTTGAGCAGTCATGTGTCTTTAAAAGCTCGCTATTCTCCAATCAATACAATCCGGGTCCCTGATATATTATCTAGCAGCTAAAGCAATAATTAATTATAAGAAAATCATTACACCTGCAACTATAAGTATAGGCAGCCAGATTATATGAGAGATTATCTCTAATTCATCTAATAAAATAGCGTAACAGCTGTCTTATTTTGGAGGGCCACGGTTAATCTATAAAATTTATAGAGAATAATTTTTAAGCATTGAAAAACAAATTAGATTCACTTTTTTTTAAAAAAAGATATTGATGGCGTAAGCCAAAAGTTACAAAGAAAATATATTTTCCTTTAATTTTAATCAGGCTTAAAGTAATGCGAATCAAGTCAAGGCTTTTTGTAAATTCTTAATTAATTCTGATAGGATTTTAATTTATTTGAATATAGAAGGACCAAATTAATTTGAAATATTACATAATTTGGATGTTTGGGAGAGATTTTTCATTAAAATGAATAAAAAATAGTTCAGGAATATCAGAAGAATTAGTTGTGATTACTTCAAATTTTATAAACACTTTTTTCATCATCTTATTTCATTTACGTTAATGATTTTCTGATTAAATACTTTTATATTCACTTTCTTTCATTATTTTTTCTTTTACAAATATTATTTTGGTTCCATCATTAAATATAAATATAAATATTTATGATATGAATACAAATGAGTTATTAGTTTGTTTGTTTGTTTGTTTGTTTGTTTGCTTTAAAATGAATTAATCCTGCATAAAAAATATTTATTCATTTATTTATGGAGTTAATAATATCTAACTTATTTATTCTTTAAAACCTCTTTATTACGTTTATTAAAAAATAAAAAATTATTTATAACTTACTCTAAAACTAAAAATTGATTGATTGATAATGACGATTTTTTACAAAATTATTATTCTCATTTTAGATTTTATTTTTTTGTATTGATCAAAGAAGATAATTATTTAACTTGAGTGATAAATAAATTAAATAGAATTAAAATAGATAGCATATTTATTTATTTAGGATTTTTCTTCTATTCTAATTACAAAATACGATTACAACTTTTATCTCATTAAAGTATTACTTTTTTCAATTTATTTGTTTATTTACTTATTTACATTTTTCTTATTTCATTTTTTAATGTTTAAATACTAACAAAAATTAAAATTATTGTTCCAAGAAAATTCCCTATTCGATAAAAGCAAATCTTTAAAATGACTTTATTTAAAATATTTTTGTTATAGCAAACAATCTATTTTGAATGAATTTTTCATAATTATTTTTAATTTTTTGTATTAAGATTTTTTAGGAAAATTTATTGAAAAATTCAGAATGAGAAGAAAATTGTGAATTTAATTTATTACATCTGAAAAGTAGAAAACTGGCAAAGGTGTGCAGATACCTGAACACGAAAACTTAAGTTCTAAATTTTATAGAATCTTTGGGCCGCTAGGAGTTAAGTTGTACTGATTTATATTAGGACAATTTAATGAAGTTGTGACTCCATATCCTACAGTAGTATAATAAAGAGAGGATAAGGTACTGTTTGCAAATTAGCTTGGTTTATCTATTAAACATAAGCAATTTTGTGATTTAACACAAAAGTTTTGAATGGCAAGCTATAAATCGCTTAATATAGAAGGGTTTACTAATTAATCATAATATTAGTTACAAGATGAAGCACTGTGCCTATTGTCATAAATTTCCATGAATTTTGTTTTGCCAATTACTGCTAAAACTATGTAGCTCAAACTGAAGAGGAATAGTACTATTAGAGGATTTATCTGCTTAACTTCTAGATTATATATCTTTGAAATCTGCCAGCAGCAAATTATTGCTTATATGATTGATATTGATAGATATATAGGGAAGACAACTCTTTGTACTTAAGGAACACTGCCATACCAATCTATATATTAATTAATATATATTATTGTTGATATTAATATTTTGAATGGTATTAAGAATAATTTAAAGTAAAAAAAATCTATCTATCTATCTGAAATAGAAGATACATATATCAATCAATTTGTATACAAAATGTTTCAAATATAAATTTTGTAAAAACTTTATATATTCTTTCTACTTGATTTCTAACAATCTAAGCTAATCAAAATTCATTCTGAAAAAACATCGTTTAAATATCGCATGAAATATGTTTCTTGAAATAACAATAGATTTACTTCTTTTTCATATTTATTTACATGTTTGTTTACATTAATAGCTAAAAAATGTCAAAATGATTGTTGTTAGAAAATTAGCTTTTGATCATTAAAATTATTGCAAAAATAACCTTTTTGTTTTGCGTTTAAATATGTTAAGCTTTTTAAAATGAAAATATGAAATGAAATACTTGAACCATCGTATCCTAATCCTATAATTCCTAAAACGAAAGGGACTAATGAAGAAGATAGAATCAACCAATATGATGCTTTCAAAACTTTAAAGATATTTTAAGGTTTAAAGAAGTAGCAATCAAATTTGCATGAACATTTGGGAGGCTTCTTCTTTGGCTCCACATGAATACTTCTGGGAAGTGATGGTTACCTTGATGGCGATTTCTTTAATTTTTATTTATTTTTATTGATTTCTGTTGAGCTTCTATTGCTATTACTTCTAATATTACTTGATTGCATGATTAAATTCAAATGTAGGTACTTCAATTTTATTATCTATCAATTATTTTTTGGAATAGTTTTCACCAATAAAATTAAATCTTCTTCATAGCCATAATAATATATTCAAAATAATAATAGTTAGTTGCAAACCACTAAAATTTTATTATCTCATTACATTTTTTTCAACGGATGTTCGCTCATCCAACATAGTCAAATTTTAAAAACAGTAAAATGAATGAATAGCTTAATAAATAAATAAATTATTAATTGAGATAAAAAGAACAAATTAGATGTAAATTAATCAATCAAGAAAACATTCAAATTAAGAAAGATTGAATAGGCTCACTAATATTTTTTTATTAGCTGAATAGCAACGAGTTATCTATTAATTATACTTCATCAGGTCTAATATTGTACGATTAACTGAATAACTCACTAAATCACTCACTTATTAACCCCTAAGCCTTCTTAAATAAAGCCAGAGAATATATATCTTATTAATTTAAAAATATCAATGTAAAATAAAAAATATATCCTTATATTTATATTTTTCTAAATTCTAAAGCAAATATTTAAATAAAATATGATTAATTGAGTGTCTTTCTTTTTTTTAATTTTAACATGATTGTTTGATTATTTATTCATTCTCCACTAATCAAATTCAAATTCGAATACAAATGCATGACAATGTCTATTGCAGATTATGATCCAATGAGCTGTAAAAACAATATAATGAGAGAGAGATCAAATTAAAATAAATAAATAACTATTATTTTTATAATAAAATTGATAAAATACGAGATTACTATTTACAACGAAAAATAATTCTGAAGCATTTATAAAAGATATTCACAAAAAATATTTAATCTCTTGATTACGGGTATATTGTTAAAGCTTACAGTTTATAAAAGCTTCTCGTTTGATTTTGAAATAGGTATTTATTGGTCAACGAACATATTAATTTTATTATTTTTATACTTTTTGTAAACTAAAAACCTCATTTACACTCAATTTCAACCATTCCTGTTCAAAAATAAAAATAAAGATCCATTTAATTTTAGCATTTATGCAATTATCTAAATAAATTTAAGTAAGTATATTTTATATTTAACCATGTATGTGATATGCAATTTTCATATAAATAGTTGATACAAACAAGTATATGTCGTTGAAAATTAATGCAAAAATTTCAATCAGCATTTTTTGAATTGAATAAATTATCATCAATGCATAAACTAGATAAACTTTTAATCATAAACAAAAAATAAATAGTTAATGCTCTTCTAATTTTAACTAACTAAATAGTTTAAAGAAAATAATTATAAAATTTTATAAAAAAATTATTTTATTAAACTAAAATAATCATTATTTGTTAGAGTATAATCAAGCTACTCATTCTAAAATATTTTTCAAGCAAAATAATCAATATAAATTAATAAAATGTGTAAGAAACCTACCAAATTGGGCACCAACTGTGACCAAAAATTTTGTACAAAATATATTGATGCCCAATTTATAGATGGATGGATTTTATAATGAATAAGTTCAATTTGGATTAAAACTTTTACCCATTTTTAATTAATTAGTGCTTAGTTTTTAATGTCAGTTTCATAGGTTTTATAGTAAATTAAACAAAAAAATCTATGCATATTAAATTAGAAGGAAAAAATAAAACAATGCAAAAAATATTAAGTAAGATGATTTGAATATTAAACTAGATAATTAAATTTATTCATATAAAATATTTACTAATTATAATTGAAGACTTTCAAACTATTTGTATTAAGTAAGAATGATATTACTTAAAAGTAAACTATTTTTTTTTTAATAAAACAGAGTCTTTTTGTTTGAGATGATATTGTTCTATAAGAAAATTTTCTATTCAATACTATTTAAAATAGGTCATTAAATTGATCTAAACTTTATTTTATTTCGTTCATTTATCAAAAATTTTTTTTGTAAATTAGAAAAAACATCAAATTAAAATGCTCCTTACCTAAATTAAATACAAAATTAATAATTTTTCTATAAGATAGCTTTTCTTTTATAGCTTTTCTACATGATTTTATTTAACTTTTTAAACAAACCATCCTCAATTATATTTTTTAATTTATTTCTAAAAAAAGACATACATACATAAAATAATTCTAAAATATAATTTAAATAAAAATTTACTGATAGAATTTTCTATGATAAATTGATAAATATAATTTGTTAAAATTTATTAAATAAGTTTATAAAGCTTTTCTTGACTATATAACTAAAATAATACTTAAATATTTTATAAATGATTTAGACTTCAATGGAAAAAAGATATAATTTATTATTTTTGATTTTGCTTCTTTTAAATAATATTTATATCAACCATACGGAATGAATTAATGTGTTATTCTTAAATATTTATCTTTTAAATTTATTGTGTCATAGGATTCAATTCATTAATTTGCTCTAAAAATATCATTTTTACTAATAAAATCTTAACAAATATAATTTTTTATATTATTTGATAAATAGTATAATTACTTTATAAAATAATATATTAAATTTTAATAGGATATTAGCTAATTAGTATTTGGTAATTTATCGATTTTGAAAATATATGAAGCAAATCAAATAAAAAAAGGAAATTTAATGTCTTTTGATAACTGATCACTTTTAGAATGAATCAATAAATTTATTAAGTAAAAAACTATTTTTTTTGAATATAAATTTTATATATTTCTTATATAAAATAGTTATTTCAAACTAAAAAAATTAATTAAAAATATTCAACTATTTTAATTAATTAACTGATGTTAAATTTTAATACTCTTATTATTAAATTTAATAATTTACAGGTTTGTTTAGAATTTTAATTCAAATTTTTATGTTTTTATATTTTATCTAAATCTAAAAAATAACACTTAATTAAATTTAAAATCAACATATAATTTATAATTTGTTTAAAAAAATAATAAATTTATTTAAAATGATAAACATAAAATGATATTAATAATTTATTGCTAAATGAAAATTTATTTAAATATCGAGAATTTAAACCCTTTAGTTTTGAAAAAAGAGATAATTTTTCCTAAAAAGATAACTCAAAAATTCATTTAATTATTATTATATTTCCAAAAATCTTAGTACCAAGTATCAAAAACAAATCAAAAAAAAGAAGGAGCATTAAATTTTTTTTAACTGATAAAATTTAAAATAAATTTATTTATTTATTTATTAAATTTTGTGAATAAATATTCTATTTACTAAAAAAAAATTGATATCAAATTAATATATTCTTTAATTGCTTTTTATAAATTTACCTATTTTTTTATGTTTTAACATTCTACCAATATATTGTAATGAAAATAGATTTTTAATTTAATTTATAATTTTGCTTTTTTGTTCATTTTTTCAATTATTTTGATGAAAAAAAAATATCTAAAACAATAAAAATGAATTGATTCTAGATATATGATATTTTTAACAATTGATATAGTTTAGTATTGAATTAAGAAAGAGATATAAAATGATTGATTATCAGCCTTTAAATAATTATAGAAAGAAATAAAAGATATTTAAATGATTAAATATATTTTTAAATGATTTTAGGGATTGGATTTTAGATGAATTAATACTAGAAATATTAACTAAAAATAACTTTTATTTTAATCAATCAAAATTTGATTATAATTTGATGAAGAATGTTGCAAATTGAATACTTAACAAACAAAAAGATTACTTATTATTAATAATTAATTATTATTTAATCACTTTATTATTTTGTAAATATAACACTTTATTTATCTTTCTTTCTCAATATATTTTCTTGCGTTGGATTGAAAGATCTCATTTATATTAAAAAAGTAATATGTCGTATTTAAACGAATAGAATGTACTCAAGTATAATTTATTTAAAGCCCTGAATGATAATAGGGAATATTAGAATTTACCTCCTAACAAAAAAAAAGCATTAGAGAAGCTTAGTTCTATCTAATTGAATGAATAGTAAGACAAGAGCACAATTATCAATCCATCTATAAGTTAATGGCAGGAAAACCTCATTTAGACTGTCAAAGAAAAGCATTAGTCTGAAGATCTTTTCATTTAGTAACTTGAAAAAAATGAGCCTATCCTCTCTCCTGTTCAAAAAAAAAAAATCGAGATTAATAAACTAGCCATTCAGAAGGCTTATTAACGTATTAAAGAAAGGAATGTTAAAGACAAAATGGATAAATAATATAATTCAACAAATGTGTCAAATTAAAACAATTAGGTTTAGGTTCCAGAAACTCATTTTTCCTATAGTAGAACACTAAGTAGTTTAAAAGAGTTTAAGCTTAAAGAATATAACAAAAACTTGATAAAAAAATTAATAGAAAAGTAAAATCCTATGTAAATGAAGACCTCTCCTTCGAATAAATAGTTATTTCAAGCTAGTTAAGTATAAGAAGAGAATGGAGCAACAATAAATACAACAAATTACAATAGCTTAGATTAAAAATAACTTGCATTTAATGAATTTTAAAGGAGCTAAAGAGGTTATTTAAATTCTTTATAAAGTACTAATGAAAATTATAATGGTGGTTAATTATTGAATAGCAATACAGAAAGGGAATCTTCTTTAACTGCCACAGTTACATTCAATCAAACCTTAAATCCTTTACAAAATAATTAGCATAAAATTGAAAATCTTGAAGGTAATTAAATAAGCTTAAGTAAAAGATAATCATCTTTTAAAAAGCTTAATTAAAATACTAACCACAATTCTAATTTTATTACAACTATGGGTTAATAATTTTTGATGAGAAAAAGTCTTTATGAGCAATCAAAAATAGAGGATTTACAAATCGTATAGAATCAAGCTTAGTTTTCTACCAACAGAAAATAGCCTCAGAAACTAGTTTAAAGGATCATCAAATCTAAAAACAAATCCCTTAGAGATTTAACTCCAGAAATTTATCAGAGTTAAGTAAAGGAATAGATGCATAGTAGAGACGGTGACTTTAATTCTAGAGTGAATAAATATTTACAAAATTTCTAAAACATCTAAGAAAAAAACTAATCTGATAGCAATTTATAGTAATTTAGAATATATTAAACGCCTAGAAGTCATTAACTTAAATAGAGAAGTTAAAAGAAAAATTTAGAATCAATATAATTTTATGGATTACCAACAAATAAAAACGATTCTGATTAAAATTATTCTTCATAATTCTGTAATGTGAAATTACCATTGTCATGTAAATAAAAAATAGGAGGTTCACCAATGTACATTCAGAGAACGAAATCGATTACACTTTAATTAACTAACAACAATAACTTAAACCATTCAGGTAATCATACCCCTAATAAAATTTCTGCTAAATTTAGATAAGCTTTCAAAGAAAGTATTGAGAGACATGTTAGCAGGGAGAATGAGCAAATAGCTGAAATATAAAAGCTATTTTAAGACCCATCTACTTAATCTTTAATTCAACAAATCAAAGATAATGTTCAAGCAAAATAGCTTAGCAACAACAACAAACACATGCAATAATTTTTAAAAGAAAATCCTTAAATATTTTCTCAAAATAAAAATAGTCATTTGCAAAAGGAAATTGTATAATAAGATAATTCCTCAGTTGAATGGTTAACCAGCTCTAGAGCTTAGTAAAATAGTCTAAAATTTACTGAAGAAGAAGAAGAAAGTATTTAAAATATAGATACAAAACTTGTTTTTGAAAATTTGCCAGTAGATCAACAACTTAACGAGTTAAACTATCTCTAAAAAGCCATGCTAAACTCCCAATAACATTAAATAACAAAATTTATATTTTCTGAAAACCATTTTAAGAGAAAAAACTAACCTCAGTTAGAAAAAAAAATATTTAAAGTCTGACTAAAAATAAATAAACAAATAAAGTTATAAATTTATTTTCATCTAAAAAATAGTTTATTATTTATAAAATTTAAATTATATTTATTTATTAATTAATTAATTAACACATTTTTATTCTATTTTAACTACCATATAGTATTTATTTTATTTTTTTACAAATATGCCACACAAAATATATTTTTATTTAATTTTTATTAATAGTTTTAATATTTTCTTTTAGTATTCTTTTTCAAAAGTCTTCTTCAAATTCTTCTGAATCTAAGGAATAATCTTCTTCAATTCTGTCTTCCTGTTCTGTCGTTTCTTCTTCTGAAGTTTCTTCTTATTTTTCTTGTTTTCTTTATTAAGTAAATTAGTTTTTTTGCATTTAGTTATTTTAACTACCGTATTTCAAAACTTTCAACTTTTATTTACAAATTATTAATTTCAATACTTTAATTTAAATAAATTGGTGAAATAAACCCCAGTAATAAAACTACTTAAATTAATGAAAATGTTTTTTTCTAACTAATTTAGATTAATTTAATTTAATTATTAAATCATTTTTTAAAGTAAAAAGTAAGCTATTTTAATTGTTATTGTTCTATTTAATTTAAGCTAAATAAAGCATAAATTATTAATTAGGTTTGGCATTTGAATTTAAAAAGAAATATTGCTTACTTGAATTTATCTTGATAATAAATAAATTTACTTGTTTACAAATTGGTATTTGAAAAAATAAATTGTAAGTAAATTTTAGAGGGACAATAAATAATAAAATACTTATTCAATTTATAATTATTAGCTATATAAATTAAAAATAAAGTTATTCATTGTTCATTATTCATGATAGATGCTAAAATTCTGTAATCTGTTTCACTAATTAAGTTTCCGACTTGAAATTTAGAAAAAAATTTCTTAATATATTATGATTGCAATTCTTTAGACTCTAATATTTCAATTTATTCTTCGAAATAGTTTTTCCTCTTTAGATCTAAATTAATTAATGACATTCAATTTTAATAATCTATTTAATTAATATCAAATAAATTTTTACCTTTGAAATTAGAATTTTTAATTTCTTGATTATCTTTTTAAACAAAAGTTTTAGGAGAACAACCAACTATTTATAAAGTTGCCAGTTAATCTTTTGTTAGTAAAATCATAACAGCTTTCTTTAAGAATATGATATCTTTGTAGAGTTAAAAAATATCTAAACATTTATTTATTTAACATTCTACATCCTTCTAAGTGTGCTTATCAATCTTGCAATCATTTTTTCTGAAACAAGATTATCTTTTAAAATTAATTTAATCATAAATACATACATATTTAAATTTCAAAATTAAATATTAATAAATTTACTTCAATCTGCCAAACATTTTACTTTGGATTATTTTTAAGTTTTCTTAACTAAAAATAGATTTTAATTTTTAGGAGAAAATGTCACTAATTTTTTAAATTTCACTTTTTTAAGTCAAGCATAATCTAGCTTGTTTTTAAGAAAATTCTTCACCAGTTATGGTACTTTGCTTTATTTTACAAGCTTACCTTTTGCTAATTTTTAAATTTAGTTTTCTTTATCGCTAAATCAATAGAAGACTTTATACTTTAGGTATATTTTTTTATTATATTTTGTTAGAACTATCTTTTGTGCTAACACTTTTAAAATGTTCAACAGGTTAAAGTAATCTTATTTGCTTTTTTGATTATTCTTTATAGCTAGCTAAATCATTCCTATCTGTTGATATTGTTTTGCTTTCTTTTGATTTAGTATCTTCTAATAATTAATCTTAAAATTAATTCAAGTTAATTTCATTTTTTTTAGTTAAAATTGGTGACTGTTCAGTTCGTGGAGAATCCATGAATTATAACTTTGATTTAACCATTAAAGAAGGCACTCTTATTTATTAATTACATGTATGAGTACCAAATTCCACTCCTACTTCATCATTGTGTTGTTCAGATTTTAAAAAGCAAACTTCTTAGTTATTTGGTAACATATTATTAAATTTTAATAATTGTTCATAAGTTTCTTAAAAAAGGTTTTATAGAAAAAGAAGGAAAAATTATTATTTAAGTAATCTTTAGGAAAAGTATCTTGCTATATATCCTACTCCCATCATTAGAGCAACAATACTGTTAACAAAAGATAGAACTTCAGGGTATATAGGAAACTCGATATTTGTCATTATTTATAATTCATCTACAGCCAAAGCCACTTAAAGATAAGGCCCTAATCGAGAGGTTAGATTTGCATATGCTTTGTCAAATTACTAAGTAAAGGTATCATAGTTAATTGGTGCGACATAAGTTGATTCTGATTATATTAAAACACCTTCTTTTATTTTAGTAGTTTGTTTTTGAGCTTTCAACTTTGTTTGTATAAATAAATTAGCTGATGTGAAAATAAGCTAATTTTTATAGTTAGTTTAAAATCTTTAAGACGTAATATTGTATTAAGAAGTTAATAGTTTTAAACGTAAGTTTGTGTTTTGATTATTAATAAGATCATCAATTTCTTTTTAAGAAGCGCAGTTATTAGGTATTGTAGTTTTTACGCTATCTATATCCAAACATCCATAAACAAGGATAAATATTTAAGTGTTAAAGTTCATTCTTGTGCTAATTGTTAAAGTAAAATTTTGTAATTAAGAAAAATCTAAGCAGTTGTATCCTTCAAGATCAGGATTAGTGCAGTTTGTGATATTTAGAGGAAAGTAATAAAAATCCTCCATATTTTAGTAAAATAAAGCAGGCTAATAAACAATGTAAGTCTTGTTTTATTATTACTGAACTTGCTCAATATATTTATTAGGTAGATATTCAAATCTAAATCCTACTAAGTCTTGACTTAAATTGACATCTATTTGATCTTCACTTACAAATGTCTAAGATCTAAATTTAGGGTCTATTTAGTTATTTTTATATAAAATGGACAAATAGATCAGATAAGTTATCCCTATTATGATAGTTATATAAGTTAAACAAACACCAAAAAATGTTCTCTTTCTTGTCAAATCATTTTCAACATTAAAAGAAAATTCAGTTGAAAAAATGTCAATTTTTTTTAATAGAAGCATTTCTTAAAATCTTGCTTTTTTATTTATTTTTTACCTAATAATTATTTATTTAAATAATAATACTAGTAGAATTATTCTCAAAAGGCATTAAAAGATAAAAACATTAATTAATCTTTTTCAAAATTTTATTTTAATAATCAAATTTTTTTATGCGTTTATGTCAAATAGAAAAAATAAATTGATGAATGCATATTTTGCTTGAGATTATTATTAATTTGAGTATTATACTAAATAGTTATATGAATCAAGACTATGTTTAGTTAAATTCTCATCAGTAATAATTAATGTTAACAAAAAAAATTAAATTTCTTTAATGCGTTAAATTTATTTATTATTTTATTTTAGTAATATTATCCAGTAAAAAAGAGTTGGAAATTCTACTCTCATATCTTTAAAACAAACTTATGTAATGAATAATATATTAATAGCATAATTTTATGTCTCTATTATATTATCTTATTCATTAGCTTCTTCCTTTTTAATTTAAAAATTTGAAATTCAAATAAAAGCTATAAATAAATATATAAAATATTTGAATTTTAATTAATTATTAAGAAAATGAATAAACTTCCTCTATCTGATTTTAATCACAATTTATTGAAAAAAGTCCTTAATATATGGCGGGCGTCCTTAATATATGAGAAACCACAGTATTTAATTATTTATTTATATAAATCTTAATAATTTATTCATAAATATTTAAAAAATAGATAGAATCACATAAGCTTGAACATAAATAAAAATATTTATTATTTTATTTGTAATTATGAAAATATATCTTTTAGCTATCTCCATTGCAAATTAATTCAAATATTTAACTTTTAATTATTTAAATAAAGCCAAAATACTTAAAAAAATAATGCAATTAGTCTAATATAAATTATACGATAATCTCATATGGATTCATTTTTAATAAATGATGTAAGAATCCTATAATCTGTCTCGTTAATATTAGTTTCATTTGAGCACCTGGAAATAAACTTTTTTATATATTTATTTTATAAATCTTCTGATTAAGATATTGCAAACTATTTCTAGAAATGATTTTTCTTCTTTTGATTTTCTAAATATTTATTTTCAAAATAAATTGTTATTTTTGATTAAAATAAATAAATTACATCGACATTGATTACTAGTGATATTTGGGTCACTTGTATTAATCAAAAATGCAGGTGAACAACCAACTAGCTATAAAGCAGCTAATTAATCTTTAGTCAAGAGTATCATAACTGCTTTCTTTAAGAAAATAATGTCTTTATAAAGCTAAAATATATCCAAGCTTTTATTCACTTGTTGTTCAATTATTTTTTATACAGGCATAGCGATATCTGGAAACTCTATATTTTGCTTATTTTTCCATAAACTATTTATTTAAAAAATTTAATTTAAGATTAGAATTATATTTTAAAAATTACTTTTTTCCAAAAATTTTGTTTTTAAGACTTTTTATTATATCTAGGCTTTAAATAACTTTTAGCTTACTAGTAAAATAATCAACTATTGCTTAAGAATCTTTATTTTAAGGTAGATTTTACTTAATTTATTAAGTTGATTGGTCAACTAATTATTATGTTTTACAAATAGAAGTAATTTATGTTCTACTGAGTTTTGTTTTATTTATCCTAAATTTAAATTATTATTTTCCAGGTATTTAAATTTATTCTAGAGATTATTTTTTAAAAAGAGATTGCAGAGAACTTCCTTTTCTTGGAGTCTTCGGTTTTATTTAAATATGAGAAAGATAATGAGACTTATCCTTTTTACTTAAGATTTACTGTTGAGAGCTTGAATAACTACTTTTTGTATAATTAGAATTACAATCTGTAAAATTATACTCACTAGGTAATGTTTATGCTTATATTAACTCATTTTATTCTGTTAGTTGTTCATCTTAAAATTCATTAGGAGGATCTTTGAATTTAAATTTTTATATAATTGTCTATTGTTTAGATTTAGTTTAAAATGATGGTATAGTAATTGATAAAGAGCTTTTATGCCCTTCATGTTCATCTCCTATTTATTGGTCATCTGGCTTTATATATAAGCTGATGTTTTCACTTTTTTTTAATTTGTTGTTTATTTAGAGTATCTGTTCATAAGTGTCTAAATATAGGTTTTACAGAAATAAAAGGAAAAATTACTATTTTATTAATTTTTAAGCACAAGCTCTACCTATTACTCCTAGTGTCATCATCATTGTAAATATACTATTCACAACTGCTAATATTTCTGGAAATATAGGAAACTAAATATTAGTTAGGTATACTTGCTCGTCCATAGACAATGAAGCTTATACATAAGGACTCACACCTGAAGTTTCATTTGCATAGATTTTATCAAATTATTAATTGAAAGTATCATAATTACTAGGATAAGAATATATATTCTAGTATTATAATAAGAAACCTTATCTAACTGTAGTTATTTGTTATTATACCTTAAATCTTGCTTGCATGAATTAGTTTCCTGAAGTAAATATAAATGAATTTTTATAAGCTACCTGTATTTATTTTGTACTTGTGTTAAATTGAGTAGTCTAAAGCTTTAAGCGAAGGTTTGAGTTTTAGTTGTTAATTAAAGAGTCAATATCAGACTAAAGCGCGCAGTTGTCTGGAATTGAAGTTTTAACAGTATCAATATCATTGCACCCATAAACTAATATAAATATTTATGATAGGAAGTTTTTTTTTGTGTTGATTGTCAAAGTGTAATTTTATATTTAAGAAAAGTCTAGGCAATTATAACCTTCAAGCTGAGGGTTTGTACAATTTATTATATTTAGTGGATAATATTCATAATATTCCATATTTTAGTAAAAAAAAACAGGTTTATAAACTATATAAGTTTTGTTTAATTTTATTTGCAGCTAATCTAATGTCTGATTTGGCAAATATTCAAATCTGAAGCCAACAAGGTCTTCACTTAGGGTTACATCAATTTAATCATCACTAATAAATGTTTATGTTCTAAATTTGGGATCAATTTAATTATTAAAATAACCCAATGATAAGTAAATAAGATAAATGACAGCAGTAGCAACAGTAATTAAAGTTAGAAGTGCGCCACATTTTGAACCTCTTTTAGCTTATTATGCATCAACATTAAAGAAAAAATAAGATGAAAACAAATCAATCTTTCTCATTTATTAATAACCCTTATATTTATTTTATGTTAAATTTGTTACTGATTTATTATCTAAATTTTTATCAAAATAATTGTGTTATCAAAATATACATATGAATTAATTATGAAATTAATTATATTATTTATATGCTTTTCACCATAATTTATTTATAACTATTTTTTATATATTAATGTAAAAATATAAATTAATTGTAATCCACCATTTTTACCATTTATTAATAAATATCAAAGAAAAAAAAATATTGATAAATATATTAACTTATTTTTAGTTGATAATTCATATGATATAATCTATAAAAAAATTGTTTTTTCTATGTAAAAAAATCATACAAAAGCAAAATAAATTCAATTATTCCTTTTTGTTTTTCAGTTTTTCTTATGTGAGAAATAAACAAAGAATAAAACCTAAGCATATTAAAAAATGTAATAAAGAAAAAGCTAGTTTAATATAAAATGATAAAAATACCTTTACGAAATAAATTAAGCTAAATTAATCAATTATATTCTTAAAATAAAAAACAAAGTTGTTTTGACAGCTATTTTTTATTCAAGCAAATTAGAATAATAGATTATCAAATAATTCTTAGGTTTTAAACAGAAATTACACATTAAAAAAGCAGTAAACTTTATTTAGACCTAAAAAATAAGTATTTTTAAGTGCACAAAATATAAAGGTTTTGAATAAATATTACATAAATAATGTGAGCTAATTTACAAAATAATACTCAAAACTATTTTTAGAGAAAGAAATAATAAAATAAATGATACTATTAATATATATTTTAAAGTAATTTATTTAGTCAATTTGCAATCAGATATTTAAATAGAAAATAAATTCAATTATCCTACTTCATGATTGATGTTAGAATTCTGTAATCTGTTTCACTAACTATATGATTTCCCTCTGAAAATTTAGAAAAAAATTTCTTAATATATTATGATTGTAATTCTTAAGATTCATATATTTCTATTTATTACTAGAAATAACTTTTCTTCTTTGGATTTTCTAAATTATTTAAATATATTTTAATAGTTAGCTCATTTTAATTTTTTTAAAATTATACATTTCTAATTATGACTTTGACTTTCTTGATTATGTTATAAAAATTAAGACTTAGGAGAATAACCTACTAGTTATAAAGTTGCCAGTTGATCCTTTGTTAGTAAAATAATTACAGCTTTCTTTAAAAATATAATGTCTTTGTAAAGTTAAAAAATATCTAAACTTTTATTTATTTATTGTTCTACTTCCTCCTAAATTGATTACTCTACACTATTAGCATTTTTTACTTTTTTAAATTATCTATTTTAAAATTAATTTATATTAATGAATTACTTAAATTAAAAATAAATTTACTACTTTCTGCCAAATATTTTACTTTTAATCTTTTAAAAATTTTGTTCACTAAAAATAAACTTTAATTTTTTGGAAAAAGCATCACTGATTTCTTAAATTTCATTCTTTTAAGAATGGCATAATCTACCTTGCTATTAAACAATACCACCATTCTTGATACTCTTTTGCTATACTTTACAAAATTATCGTTTGCTAATAATTAAACTAAGTTATCTTCTAATCGGACTCAAAAGAAGATTTTAAGTAAGAGATACATTTTTTTACTTTAGGTTTTATAAATTAGAATGATCTTTTATGCAAGTTCTTTCTAAATATCGTTTCTTTGTAGAAGATAATCTCATCTACTTTTTTTATTACTCTTTGGGGCTAAATAAATTTTTATTTTCGTTTGATTTTCTGTCTTCTGATAATGCATCTTAAAAATAATTTAAGTTAATTAGATTTTAATCAATTAAATTAGATGACTGTTAAGACTGAGGAGAATTTATTACTTAAAATTTTGATTTAACCATTAAAGAAGGTACAATTATTTATTAATTACTTGTATTGTCCTCGAATTCCGCGCCGACTACATCCTAATTTTATTCAGCTTTTTTAAAGCAAACTTCTTAATTATTTGGTAACATATTGTTAAATTTTAACAATTATTCATAAGTTTCTTAAAATAGATTTTGTAGAAAAAGAAGGAAAAATTATTATTTTATTAATCTTTAGGAAAAGTATCTTGCTATATATCCTACTCCCATCATCAAAGCAACAATACTGTTAACTAAAGACAGAACTTCAGGGTATATAGGAAATTCAATATTTATAAGTATTTATAATTCATCTACAGCCAAATCCACTTAAAGATAAGGCCCTACTCCAGAGGTTAGATTTGCATATGCTTTGTCAAATTACTAAGTAAAAGTATCATAGTTTATAGGTGCTGCATAAGTTGATTCTGATTATATTAAAAAACCTTCATTTATTTTAGTAGTTTGTTTTTGAGCTTTCAATTTTGTTTGTATAAATAAATTAGCTGATGTGTAAATAAACTAATTTCTATAGTTAGTTTAAAATTTTTAAGACGTAATATTATATTAAGAAGTTAATAGTTTTAAACGTAGATTTGAGTATTGACTATTAATTGCATCATCAATTTCTTTTTAGGAAGCGCAGTTATTAGGTATTGTAGTTTTAACGCTATCAATATCCAAACATCTATAAACAAGGATAAATATTTAAGTATTAAAGTTCATTTTTGTGCTAACTGTTAACGTAAAATTTTGTAATTAAGAAAAATCTAAGCAGTTGTATCCTTCAAGATCAGGATTAGTGCAGTTTAAGATTTTTAGAGGATAATAATAAAAATCTTCCTAATTGTAGTAAAATAAAACAGGCATATAAACAATGTAAGTTTTGTTTTATTATTACTGAAGTTGCTCAATATTTTTATTAACTAGATATTCAAATCTAAATCCTACTAGGTCTTCACTTAAATTGACATCTATTTGATCTTCACTTACAAATGTCTAAGATCTAAATTTAGGGTCTATTTAATTATTTTTATATTAAATGGACAAATAGATCAGATAAGTTATCCCTGTTATGATAGTTATATAAGTTAAACAAACACCAAAAAGTGTTCTCTTTCTTGTCAATTCATTTTCAACATAAAATGAAAACTCAGATGAGAAAATGTCAATCTTTTTTAATTGAAGCATTTCTTCAAATTTAATTTATTTAATCTCTTTTTTAGCCTAATAATTTTTTGTTTAAAAATAATAATTGCCAAGTTATTCTCCCAATTTATAAACAAACGAAAAATTAATTAATTAATTAATTAATTAATTGTTAAAATTTTATTTATATTTTTATCAGTTTATTTAATAGTCTTATTTTCATTTATTTTTTATTCAGATACAATTTAGTAATTTAAGTTGTTGTTAGATATGTTTATTTTTCGCCTGAATTATAGTAAAACTAGCTTACTTAAATAAATATTCACTCTATAGGTTTATAATTGATAAAATAAAAGAAGGTTTAGGATGAATCTAAAACTTAAACTTCTTGATTGTTGATTGGGTTTACTATTTCTTGATAATTAAGCAATTTTAAAATATTTGAAATTCTTTTAATAAAATTTTTTTATTTTTATTTTTTCTTTAATTTTTTTTGCTATCCATACATTAATCTGCAGATCAAATGATCTAATATATCAAATCTTTTGAGATATACCAAAACAAAAGTTCAGAAATTTGGTAAAAAATTTTTATTTCTGACCATAAATTGTTTTGAAAATTAAGTATAATTTTTCTAATTAATTTGCATGAATTTAATTGCCAGAGTATTTTTGAAAATAAACTGCCAGCTATTTTAATTGTTATTATTATATTTGATTTAAGCTAAATAAAGCATAGATTATTAATTAGGCTTGTCATTTGAATTTAAAAAGAAATATTGCTTACCTGAATTTATATTGATAATAAATAAATTTACTTATTTACAAAATGATAATTGAAAAAATAAATTATGATTAATTTTTGAGGCAATAACATTAAAAATACTATTTATATAAATTCAAATAAAATTAATTAAATCAATTTATAATTATTAGCTATTTAAATAAAACATAAAGCCTAGCCACTCATTGTTCATAATTCATGATAGATGCTAAAATTCTGTAATCTGTTTCACTAATTAGCTTTCCGACTTAAAATTTAGAAAAAAATTTCTTAATATATTATGATTGTAATTCTTTAGACTCTAATATTTCAATTTATTCTTAGAAATAGTTTTTCTTCTTTAGATCTAAATTAATTAATTAATGACATTAAATTTTAATAATCTATTTAAATTCAAATAAATTTTTACCTTTCAAATTAGATGTTTCGTTTTCTTGATTATCTTTTTAAACAAAAGTTTTAGGAGAAAATCCAACTATTTATAAAGTTGCCAGTTAATCCTTAGTTAGTAAAATCATAACAGCTTTCTTTAAGAATATGATATCTTTGTATAGTTAAAATATATCTAAACATTTATTTATTTAACATTCTACGTCTTTCTAAATGTGCTAATCTATTTTACAATCATATTTTCCTTAAGAAGATTTTCTTTTTAAAATTAATTTAATCATATATTCATATTTAAATTTAAAAATTAAATATAAATAAATTTACTTCAATCTGCCAAACATTTTACTTTGGATAATTTTTAAGTTTTCTTCACTAAAAATAGATTTTAATTTTTAGGAGAAAATTTCACTGATTTTTTCAATTTCACTTTTTTAAGTCTAGCATAATCTAGCTTGTTTTTAAGAAAATTCATCTATCGTCATGGTACTTTTCTTTATTTTACTAGCGTACCGTTTGTTAATTTTTAAATTTAGTTACCTTAATTACTGACTCAATTAATGATTTTAAATCTGAGGTATATTTTTTTATTTTAGTTAGTTAGAACTATCTTTTGGGCTAGCTATTTTAAAATGTTCACCCTGTTAAGATAGTCTCATTTCTTTTTTTGATTATTCTCTACTGCTAGCTAAATCATTCCTATCTATTTATATTGCTTTGCTTTCTCTTGATTTAGTGTCTTCTAATAATAAATCTTAAAATTCATTCAAATTAATTTCATTTGTTTTAGTTAAAATGGGTGACATTTAAGTTCGTGGAGAATCCATGAATTATAACTTTGATTTAACCATTAAAGAAGGGACATTTATTTGCTAATTACTTGTATGATTACCAAATTCTACTGCTACATCATCATTGCACTGTTAAGATTTTATAAAGCAAACTTCTTCGTTATCTGGTAACATTTTGTTAAATTTTAATAATTTTTCATAAGTTTCTTAAAATAAGTTTTGGAGAAAAAGAAGGAAAAATTATTATTTAAGTAATCTTTAGGAAAAGTATCTTGCAATACATCCTATTCCCATCATTAGAGTAACAATACTGTTAACCAAAGACAGTACTTCAGGGTATATAGGAAATTCAATATTTGTCATTATTTGTAATTCATCTACAGCCAAAGACACTTAGATATAAGGCCCTACTCCAGAGGTTAGATTTGCATATGCTCTGTCAAATTGTTAAGTAAAAGTATCATAGTTTATTGGTGCTGCATAAGTTGATTCTGATTATATTAAAAAACCTTCCTTTATTATAGTACTTTATTTTTGTGCTTTCAACTTTGTTTGTATAAACAAATTAGCTGATGTGAAAATAAGCTAATTTTTATAGTTAATTTAAAATTTTTAAGACGTAATATTGTATTAAGAAGTTAACAGTTTTAAACGTAGATTTGTGTTTTGATTATTAACAAGATCATCAATTTCTTTTTATGAAGCGCAGTTATTAGGTATTGTAGTTTTTACGCTATCAATATCCAAACATCCATAAACAAGGATAAATATTTAAGTGTTAAAGTTCAATCTTGTGCTAATTGTTAACGTAAAATTTTGTAATTAAGAAAAATCTAAGCAGTTGTATCCATCAAGATCAGGATTAGTGCAGTTTGTGATATTTAGAGGATAGTAATAAAAATCTTCCAGATTTTAGTAGAATAAAACAGGCATATAAACAATGTAAGTCTTATTTTATTATTACTGAACTTGCTCAATGTATTTATTAGGTAGATATTCAAATCTAAATCCTACTAGGTCTTGACTTAAATTGACATCTATTTGATCTTCACTTACAAATGTCTAAGATCTAAATTTAGGGTCTATTTAGTTATTTTTATATAAAATGGACAAATAGATCAGATAAGCTATCCCTATTATGATAGTTATATGAGTTAAACAAATACCAAAAAATGTTCTCTTTCTAGTCAATTCATTTTCAACATAAAATGAAAATTCAGTTGAAAAAATGTCTATTTTTTTTAATAGAAGCATATTCTGAAATCTTGCTTTTTTTATTTCTTTTTTTACCTTATAATTATTTATTAAAATAGTAACACTAGTAGAGTTATTCTCAAAAAATATTAAGAAATAAAAACTTTAACTAATTATTTTAGTTTTATTAATAACCTCAAAATTTTATTTTAATAATTAATTTTTTTTAATGCATTTATGTAATTTACTTGTTATTTGTGATAATAATATTTAAATTAAATATATAAATATATGATTTTGCATTTTTTAAAAAATTTAAATGATTTTTACAAAATATATGAAAGTAGGCATACAGAATTTTTTTTTAGAATTAAATATTTTTTTAATTTTTAAATTATTTAAAATTAATTTTTGAAAATTGAAAATAAATTATTTAGATTAAGAGTAATCAAAATATATTATTTATTTGAATATTTTTAATATTATAATCAAATTAAAAGAATGAAAATTGGTAAAATAATTTTTGAGAATAATTAATTATTTTGACTGTAAGAAAATAAATATATTTTTGCAAACATAAATAAGATTATTTTCTTAGTTAAATAAAAATCAATTTAAGTTATTAACATTTATGTTAGGTTATGAGCTAAATGATCTATTTAAGAAAAAATTATCAGTATTTAATTACAGAAGATTTAAATTTATTTCTTTTTTCTTTACAATGTAAAGAAGTTTAGACAAGTTAAACGAAGTACTCTTTGATTTTTTAAAGAAGATTGCTGAATATTTTATTGCTTTTAAAAGATTATTAAGCTGGATATTTTCTACTTCTTATTTTACTTTAGAATCTCCAAATTTTTTAACTGCATCATTAAAATTTTTTTCAAATATGGTTTCTGATTTAAAATTATGCTTTACATTATTTTAAAATCCTTTCCTAATTTATTATAGAGGCTAGCTATTAGATTTGATAGAAGGTTGTGCAAATCTTTGAAAGTAAGATTTTTTATATTTTACTTCCTTTTTTTGCTCAAGCGAAGACCTAAATTCTAAATAGTTAAATACATCTTTTTTTGCTAAATTTAAATAATTAGAGTAAAGAGACACATACTTTATTACTCTTAAGTCAAGGACAGGATTTTTAGTGAAATTGTACTTATTATTGTTATGAGCAAAGGCCGATTTACAAAACAAAGGCAGATCATTTGAAAAAAACACTACAAGTAAATAAGGAATACCTAATGTAATCCAAGTCAGTAATCGAAATAAATAAAGTGTAATCTTGAAGCATTTATTTTTCTTTCTGGCATACATCATATTATCAGAAAAAGAATACATTGATACTTAATGGATAAAATATAAATAAGAAAAAGGAATGAGAACCAAAGAAAGAGCTATGTAGAGTAAAATACAAGGAAGAAATATAACTAATGTGTATCCAATTTTTAAAGCTATTTTATTCCATATTCTAGACTTAGTTATAAAAGAAATTATTCCAAATATAAAATTAAGGATATTAAAAGGTGGAGGTAGTGAAATCATAGACATGTATATAGGGTTAAATCTTGAATTAATATAGTCATTATATACTACTAAAGAGTATTCCATCTCTGATTGTTGCATTGTCTTCTCATATCTCGTGTTTAATATAGCAATTAGTAAATTAAGAAGGATAACATTCACTACAACTAAAAAAACAATTAGAATCGCTGACTAAATTCCAGTTTAATTGTTAAAATCGAATGCACCAAAAGCTTTTTTATTAATAAAAATGTAATTTTAATAAATGAATTAATTCATCAATTTATATATCTATCAATCAATCAAGAAATAAATAAATAATTATATCTAATTTAAACATTTTTAGGAACTAAAAATGCATTTGTTGAGGTTTTTATAAATTTAATAATAAAAAATAACTTAGTTTTTAAGTCAAATTTAAAGTATTTTTTGATAATAGTGTGGGATATATTTCAATAAATTTTTTGATTTGCTTATTTAATTAAATAATTATGAAATATCTTAATATTAATACTAATATTCTTTTTAAAAAGTTTAAACCTTTGTTAAAATATTTATGAGACTTTAAATAAGTTAATTAATTATACCTGCAGCAAATAGATTGAATATGGATTTATCAATAGATTTATATAGTTCAAGGCTATTTTAAAAAAGAATGTAATTGATTAGCCCAAAAGCGACTGTGACAGTAATAAGAATGACCATAAAATATAAAAGGTCTTTAGTAAATAGTATTATTACTTTGACTAGTAATCCAAATTTTTAAGTTCTAATTAAAAATATAAACATTCTAAGCCATAAAATAAACACTATAGCACAGCATTCAATTTTCAAAGCAAATTAACAATTGTTGAAGTATTCAAAAGTATAATTAGCAGATATACCTTCAGGAATAAATATTTGCTTTGTCAATAAAAATGAGCCACAAGCTATGTAGAGGAGTAAATCATACAAATCTAATATTTAGGGATCAGTTTTTCGTCTTATAAGATATACATAAATTTGCTTTTAAATGGCATCTATTAAAAAAAATAATTAGTTAATGAAAAATAAAAATAAATAATTAAATAATTTAATTTTAGCTATTTTATTGATAAAATAAATTTATTTTACTTGCTCCAATACAGAAAATGAACCAAAGTACTCTGATTGTATCGTTACAGAGTTTTTCAAATTAAGTACCAACATAAATTAATTTAACGCACTAACTTTAAAAAAAATCCATAAATTCTTGATAACCCGAAGATATTTAGTATAAGATTAGTTTACAAAAAATCTAAGGATCTGTTGTTTAAATATTAAGATTTGTAGTATTATCTATTTAAATATCTAATGGAGGTGGTGTTGGATTTTACTTTTTGAAGTCATTCACTTTACTTTACCAATCTTACGGTACAGTTGATGAGAATAACATTATTTTTACAGGATCATCAACTGAAGCATAGCTATTTAGATTTTCTATAAATAGAAATAGTTCATATAAAGTGAAACAAAAGATTGCCAGAAAAAGGATAAACTCGAAAAAAGTTCTCACTTAAACTGATTTGTTATAAATAACAAATTAATAAAAATGATTATTTTTTGTTGCTTTCTTCAGTTAACTGACCTCAATATCTCTGAAAATTATCCAGTTTTATTTCTGTGGTTCAAGAGAAAAAGAAGCTGAAGAACCTGTTGATTTCATTGATTTTTAAAATGAACTTGTTGAAGATGATGATGATTTTGAGCCTTTAGCAATTGTATTTTTGATTCTGGCTTACTTTTAAAAATGACATAAAGGAGTAAATGTGCTTAAAAGTGAGTAGTCAAAACCATACGTACTCATCCATTTCTGTTCAAGAAGATATGTTATGCATGGATGAATAAAAAACTCTGTAAAAAACTAGCAGTAATTTCTGTTTCTCAAAGCTTTAACTAAAGGCTTATCGCTAGGGAAAAGGGGTTTAAAGAGAATGAGGCTCATTTCTCTTGCATCAAAAATTGTATCTCTAAACAGTAAAGCTCTTTCCAAATAGTATTTTGCTAGTTTGAGCATCTCTGAGCTGAAAGGATTTTTGAAGAATGATAGTTTTAACAAAATTTTACTTGCGACTAAGCATAAAATTAGTGGATGAAGCACATGACTAAAAATTTCAAAGGCGAATTTTTCATCGCTTTTAGGTTTCTCTAGCAATCTCAAAATGGTCTCTAAATATTCAGATGATTAAGAAATAATTTACTTTTTTTAAGACATTTTTTTAAGAAAATATAATCCCATACAAAAAGTGTCAGCTTAAGAAAGAAACACATTAATTTAAGCCTAAACCTTCTTTGAATGAAGTGTTTACTAAGTGATAACTCTATCTAGTTTGAGCATAGCAGACATTAATGGTACATTTTACTAATAAACAACCTACTTAATTAGAGTCCTAATTATAATTTAAAAGTAAAAAAAATGCATTTTAATTATTTTTGATGAGATTTGATAAACAGCAAACAATAAAATAAAATGAATGAATTTAAAATCGAAAACCAAAATTTTTTAAAAATTTGATGAAATCGCACTTTTAAAAATATCTTACAGATTCAATTTACTTTTGAGTTGAATCTGAAATCAAAAAAAAAAAAAAAAATTAAATAATAAACTACTACCTATTTAATATATAATTAGGCGGAATACGTTCATATTTAGCAATATAAAGAACATATTTAGAGGATAAAAGCTCTAAATTATTTTCATTCATGTTTAAAATCAACTCAATTTCGTTGTTGTAGTTTTTCAAAATTAAATTCTGATGCAAGTATTTCAGCATTTTTCTTTCTTGTTTTTTCATTCTTTAATAATTGCCTTATTTTAATGATGCGCTAAATCTGTCATTTTCTAAAATTATCTCAATTATCCTGAGTTTTTAGTTGTCTATTAGCCAGCTGAATATCTCATCATTTATTGAATTCATTCTTATGTTAAATGTTTGTATAATAGCTAAAAATATATTTTATTTAAAATTGTAAATTTAAGAAGATGTATCCATTTATTCTCTTTGTTCCTATTAGATTCTACTTTCCTATGAAAACAAAACTTTCATCATTTTGCTCATTTCATTCTCATTTTCAATAAGCTCCAAAATAAAATCATATATATCATAAACTTCTCTTTTTGGTTAGCTTCCTCCCCTACTTCCTAAGTTGTTATTGCTTTATATTTATCTCATTAAGGTTTCTGCTTCTCTCCAGCATCCATAATAGCTTAAAAATAATGATAGTATTTTAAAAACTCCTTCTTTTTTTTACTAATTGTTTTTGCTTTCTGCAACTATGAATTTTAGCTCATTCATAAATTACAAATTATCTTATAATCTTTGTTCGCTTATTTCTTTCATTTTATTTTCCATTAGCTCTAAATATTCATCCAACTAGTTCTCTATGTTTAAAATCTAATCCTCAAAAAAATTAGATTAAACAGATGGACTTGCGAGCTCAAATCCCTTCTAAGTATTTCGAGAAGAGATAAACCTTTCTGCAGAAACAGGCTGCAAGGTATCTAAAAGATTGAGCTTTTTGTTTTGACTCATAATTAATTTTAAATATTATAGTTAAGTTACTGTTAATTAGTAAAAATAAAATCTATAAACTCAATTAAATAAATACAAACAATATTAACAGATCTTTAAATTTTGTTGCTATTCTTTCGTCATTTGTTTAAAACCTAATTACATGTTATAAAATTAAGATGCAAGTAAATAATTAATTTGATATTTTTAAAATTATTAAAATCTAGTTATTTTTACTCCTAAAATTTGATTTATTTAAATATTAAAATTGAGTTTTTAATAGTATTTTTATCGCTATTTTATTTTATAAAATAATTTTTTTATTTTGTTTATTTATTTCATTGAAGTCATATGTGAAGAATATTTAATTAGTAATAGAAACAATCTATTTTCTTTTGCAAAGGAAAAAATATATATTTTATTTTCTATAATTTAAATAAATGAACAAATACTGTTAATCACTTTGTTTTTTTCTTTAAAATAAACTGTTTTTCCTTAAAAATTATTTTAATTTAAATTCCTTTTTTATTTAAAAATAAAAATTTGATAAAAAATGTAATTAGTTATAAATTTTTTTTGGTTATGAATTAATTAATATCTTTAAAATTTGATTGATAATATTTAATTTTATATTTATTCAATTTTATTTTTCATTATTTAAAATATTTAAACTTATGATTGAGAATGAAGGTGAATCTTAACATTTTTCTATGTTTTATAAAATGAAAATAATACATTTAAAAGTATTAATATTTTTATATTTTAGCACTTAAGAGAGGCTAATTAAAATTTTTAGCAATTATTTTTAAAAATTATAGAATAAAATGTAAAATATAAACTAAAATACTATCAAGTATTTATTTTTTGTTGGAAGGAACAAAATATGTTTTGATATTTATTCTTAATCAAAAATCACAAAAAATAAAAAAACAAATTATTAATATTTGAAATACAATAATAAAAGACAATCTATTGTTATTTACTTCCTGATCAGCAATCAAAAATATCAATTCTTAATAAGATTTTGCTTTAATTTTAGTTACCAAAAATAGTGTTATTTTGCATTCTATTTCAATTTTAAAATAGTAAAACAAAAAGTAATAATTTTATATGATATCATCTATTATAAACATTTCTTGAATTTTTTATAATATTCATTTAGTAATTTTTCTTCTTCTCAAATTTATTTGTAAAAATGAAATACTTAAGCTTGAATAAACTAGATAAGTTGAAAAACACTCAGCTTTGTTTGTTTGTTTAAATAAATATTTTTTAATAAATCTATTTTATTACTGCACCTAATTTAGATCCTTTTTTTAAATACCTTGGTTGATTTTAGATCATCACCTGGCTTTTGATTCTTTTATAGAATATATGGAAAATCTAATAGAACAACAACTTGATTAATTAACTTAGAATAATTGTGGCATTGAAACATAAATATTACAGTAATTATCATAATTTATTAAGCTTAAATAAACATACTAAAACGAAATCTTAAAAAAAATATTAGCAAATAAATGATTGATTATGCCAAAATGCCAATAAAATTTTAATTTTATAATATTTATTACATTAGAAGTTGTTAAGTTTTATAATATTACTTTTACTATTTTTCAATTGAAAAAAACTATAAATGCACACACAAAATTTTATAAATAAACAAAGATATTTTTATCTATCATTCTATTTGATGGAAGATAACCCACCAATTAAAATCTGAGTTAATCTTAAATTGAATAGGTTTTTAGTTGAAATGATTAATAATATATAATATTAAATGAATAATATACGAATATTTGCTTCTGATCAATTAAATTGTTAACTATCTATATCATTTTTAAGAATTTATATCTGATAATAGCTCAATAAATGTTCAAAATATTAATTAGTATCTCCAAATAATAAATAATCAAAGATAACAAATAAAGATAAGATTAATAAAATAAATAGATAGATATAATGCAAAGTAGAATTTAATAGCTAGATATTTAGATCAATAATATAATATAATAGAAAAATAAGGAACTACTATTAGATACACCTACTCCTTTAAGAGATAGCTAATGGTAAGAGGTAAACAGTATTAACTAAAACAACTAAAGCCATTAAGAATCTATTACCGAAAACAACTCATAAAATAATAATGATGATGTGCTTTAATAGCTACTTAATGATCTAAGTGAACAGATAGCGTAACTTGAATATGACGATCCAGATTTATTTTACTTTTATAAATACAAAATAGCTAGTATAAAATTTGAGCATCTACATTTAGATGAAAAAATGAGGAATAATTGCATAAAAATAAAAGAAATGTATAAACAATATTATGATAAGGTAATTCAACAATAAAATCAGAATTCTTCTAATATTAGTAATTTGACATTCTTAGATAGTATGATTTAAGAATCTAAAGTAGATCAAAGTTAAAATTCTAATTCTGATATTATAATCAACAATTCTCCATCTGAATTCATAACACCAACACCTTAAGATGATGTTGTTTACTAAACAGTGTTAGTTTTGGGCTTTACAGGAGTTGGAAAAAGTAGTTTTATAAGAAAGATTACTGGTGATTAAAGGATTCAATCTAATGACAACTAATAATCATGCACTTAGGAATGCAGTCTTTATGAAAAAAATGGAATAAAATACATAGACACTCCAGGTATTAATGACACATAAAAAAATCGCTATTAGATCTTAATAGATATTGCAAAATATCTTTTTGACTAAAATATTAAAATAAAAGATTTATTCTTTATTTATGTTTCAAACAAAGATCTTTAAGTTCATCAAAAAACTCTGAAAGAATTTATCTATACATATTTTTTGTTTGAATTATTTGGAGAAAAAAATTTGGATCCTAATTTAGTTGAGAGACTTATAGATGAGTTCTAAAACAGCAACAATTTTTTGAAATGGAAAGAGTGTAACTATCATCTTAAGTGCGATAATTTACAAGTGTTCAGACAAGAAATATTTTCTGAAAAAGATAAAGCTCTCAATTATATTCAGCATGCAAATAGTTTCCATATTTTTGTCAAAACATTTTTTGACAAAGAAAGCAAGGATGATCTTGAAGAGTTTGATGAGATTATGGTTGACTTTTTAAAAGAGCAAATTTGGTCAAATATTGAATAAAATAATAAATTTTATGAATACAAAGACTATATTCAAAATCAAGAAAGCCATTTAAATAGAAAAATATAGAAGATTTTAGATTTAGAAAATCGTGTCTAAAAGATAGATCCAGAAAAAGAAGTTTAGTATATATTATTGTTAGGATAATCTCAGGTTGGCAAATCTTCTTTGATCGAGCAGTTAACCTAATTGAAAGGGCTTAGAGGTAATAGTAGATAATCAATGACTAGCTATTGCTAAATTTATCCTGTTGAATATGAAAATGTTAGATACAATTTCATTGATACTCCTGGTTTTGAGGGAACAGAGCAACAAAGCAATCCTTTTGACAATCTTAAAATTATTGCAGATTTTCTGAGAAGAAATCAGATTTTAGAATTCAAAATTCTGTTTATGAGAAACGCAGATAAAGATTTTAGAAACACATTAGACCAAATAATATAAAAATTACTGATTTTTATTAAGCAATTATTTGACTAAGAAACTTCTTTAGTTGATTCTGATTATTTGAATAATATGTTATTAGAGAATAAAGAAATAAACCAAATTGAAGTAAGTAATGATATAGAAGAGTTAGAATTAATGAAATTAAAAATACTCTAAGTGGATAGAATATCTGAAAAGGTAAATACTGGGAAGGTTTATTATAATAAAAATGAGATTAAATGTGTAGAATTCAATAGCAATTACTATACAAAGAAAGGTAAATACAAAAAAATAAGTAAAGAAGAGGATGAAGAATAAAAGAATTTATTGTTTTAAGGGATCAACTAAATAAGTCCACTCACTGTTGATGATAAAATATTGCTTAAAATAAAAAAAATAAACAATTTTAGATTAATAAAAGACAAGCAAGATTATATTTAGTCATATTAATTAATTCATCAAAAATATCAGATTCTCTACAGCATCATAAAAGAAATAGATGAATGTAAAAATAATATGGAATCAGGATAAACAGATAATCTATCCAATCTGATTCAATAAAAAGTTTAGATTTTAAAAGAGTTAGAAAATCTCTAATTTGGTGTAATTGAAGATTATCAAAATGACCCTACAGTTAAAGAAATAGTAAATAGCTTTTTTGATTAAAAAATAAATTAGAATGAGCAAGATATCAATAATAATGATAAATAGTATGATAATTAGTTAAACTAAAATCAAAAACAGAATGATATTCTAAGACATTTTCTGATTATACACTATTGGCCTTCACTTCTTTTTGAATAATAATAAAATAAGGAAAATAAATTATTATCGAGAAAGTAATTTTATTTTTGCTAACTCTTACACTATTTAAAGCCATTTATAGATATTAATAATGAAAAGCATTTAATAATTTTGGAAGAATTAGTAAAGTTGAAGGTTATATAAGAAATTACTCTTTTACAGCACATTTAAAACAAATGCATTAATAAATATTATAATTAAAGCTAAGATAAGGTATACTCAATTATAGGCTAGGCTTTCTAAGGAATCAATATAATCATCGGTACGGGAGGATAAATATTTAGATACGCTGCTTATTTTAGTAGCAAGGCAGAGCTACTAATTTATTCATACAATGTAATCAAAGGCATTAATATAGGTTTATTAATAGTAAATATGGTCGCTGCAGCTCTGAGTGTCGGAATTGATATTCATTCTTATCACAAAAGATATATTTGTGGAAAGCAGATGACCTTGAATACAGCATCCAATTCTATCAGTGCTTTGATTGGATTATTAGCATTTTTTGTGCCTGGTTATGGGTGGGCTGTAGGAGGAGTGGCAGCAGTTTTTGGACTTTTGGGCAACTTTATTTCTTCATAAATATACACAAGTAAAAAAACTTTTGATAACACTATTGGCTTATTTTTTAAAACCATTATTGATGAGCAACACAAAAACTTGCAACTTTAGAATTTCCAAAAGGCTGAATTGCTAAGGAAAGAATTAAAAATATAAAATTACTAATAATTAAAATAGAAACAAGGATATGAATTGTTTAGATAGCTAGAAAAATAAACTTATACTAATGATGAGAATAAGCAAATATTAATGAAATTATTTTATAATAACTCCAATTTATTAGACTCAATTTCTAATTATATAGTGAAGGAAATATTATCTGAATAATTCTAAATTGATTAAGATATTTTTGAAATAAAATAATAACCTTCAAAATAATAACTATAAGCAGTCATAGATATTATAAAATACAATAAACAAATCATTGATACCTTCTATAATCGTTTCAGTCATGAAAAACTTACTAAGCTTACCCAATCATACACAAAAGCAAAGAATATAATTAAGGAATCCTTAAAGAAAGCTGCTAATTTAAAAGAATTAAATGACTCACTTTAAGAATATTAGTAGTGCCTTTGTGAATTTGTAAGTTTAATAAAAACTAATTGCTACACTTATCAATAATAAATTGAATTCGGAAATGGACTACTTAGAAAGGGTGATCGTTTTCCTATCTTATTTAATAGCTACTGTAACCTTGCTGTGACCAAGATAAACTATCTTTATGAGCAAAACACCTTATCTGAAATAGTTAGGTGTAAGGAATCAAAATATTTTAAAAGAAATGAAGATAAAAACCCTGAGGAATCTTTATAGTTAAAACTAAAAGATAAAGAAATAATATAAAATCTTAATTTATTAACATTTAGCCAAAAATTTATAGAAAGTAGATACTTATAACTACTGAAAGGATAAAAGAAGCCTAATTTAACATATCTTTCTTCATAGTACAATTTGGATGGTGATTTGGTTTATTCAATTGATCTCCTAGAATTAGCTGAAAAGGAAAACTAGTTTTAGCCATTTATAAATAAATTAGAAAAGAAACTTAAATCAAACGATAATGAAAACAATCTCAGATTATTTGACTTTTTTAACTCTATTTAATTTCTTAAAGAAAAGTTTATATGAAAGTTTTTTAAAAATTTTATTATTAAATAATTTTTTAGCAATTAACATGTTAATAAGTATTCTCTTTAAAAAATACACTACAAATTTATTTAAAACAACTTCAAAGTTTATGAAATTTTTTAAGTTGTAAGCAAGAAATTGCTTTTTAGTTTAATTTTTTTTGTAATTATCTCTTTTAATTTAATTTTTAGTCATTAAAAATTTCTTTAAAATGTTTATTGAAATAAACATAAATTATTTATTTAAATCTTAATTTTATTAATTAAATATTTATTTCTCTAAAATACATTTCGTTCATTAAAAAAAATATAAATTTTATAAAATAAAAAATGGTGTCACTACAATAAATTTGCAAATACAATTGAATCAAAAATGAATATTTCAAAAAAAAGAGTTTAAAATTAAAATAATAATTTTAAATCAAAAGCTATTTTAATCCAATTTAGATCAGCACATTATCTTAGATATCTTTTTTAAGTAACACCTCATATGTCTTATCTAGAATCTATAAAAAAGCTATTTTATTTGATTTTGCTCAAAATTAAAATTTTTTTATCTTAAAGAATATGTACAATTTATAAGTGATAAAAATTAAGGAGCGGAAATTCCATATAATCTAGGACCTGCTCTCTCAAACTATATAAATCTAATTTTCATTTTATATATTTTTGTCCATAAAAAGAGGGTCACCCAAATTTCCATATTTAATTTATGATTTGCAATTGAAACAAATAGTAAATGTATAAAAAAATTCAAAAGTAAAAATTTAACTATCGTTCTATTCAATAGTAGATAATTAACCTATTAAAATCTGAGTTAATAGCTAGAAAAAAAAACTTTTCTAATGATGAGAATAAGCAAATATTAATGAAATTATTTTTTTATAAGTCCAACTTATTAGACTCAATTTCTAATTATATAGTGAAGGAAATATTATCTGAATACCTTCAAAATAATAACTATGAGCAGTTTTAAATATTATAAAATAAAATAAATTATTGATACCTTCTACAACCATTTTAGTCATGAAAAACTTACTAAGCTTACCCAATCATATATAAAAAGCAAAGAATATAATATAGGAATCCTTAAATAAAGCTACTAATTTAAAAGAATTAAATGATTGGCTTAAAGAATTTTAGTAGTGCCTTTGCGAATTTATAAGTTTAATAATAACTAATAGCTACATTTATGAATAATAGATTGAATTTGGAAACGGATTTCTAAGGAAGGGTTATAGTTTCCTATCTTATTTAATAGCTACTGCAATCTTGCTGTGACCAAGATAAACTATCTTTATGAGCAATATACCTTATCTGAAATTGTTAAGTGCAAGGGATCAAAATGCTTTAAAAGAAACGAAGATAAAAAGCCCGAGGATTCTTTATAGTTAAAATTAAAAGATAAAGAAATAATATAAAATCTTAATTTATTAATATTTAGTCAAAAGTTTATAGAAAGTAGATAGATACTTATATTTGTCAAATTTGTTTTTGTAATTAACTCATTCGATTTAATTTTTAGTCTTTAAAATTTTTTTTTTAATTGTTTATTTAAGTATTATTTTTATAAATTAATTAAATTTTTTCAAAAATAAATTTCATTAAAAAAATATAAATAAAATAAAATAAAATAAAATAAAAAAAAATGATGTCTCTGTAGTAAACTTGGAAATACAATTCAATCAAAAATGTATCTTTCAAAAAAAATTAGTTAAAACAAAAATAATAATTTTAAATAAAAAGCTACTTTAATCAAATTTAGATAAGCACACCATCTTAGAAATCTTTTTTAAGTAACTATTTTTAACCTCATATGCCTTATCTAGACTCTATAAAAAAGCTATTTTGTTTGATTTTGCTCATAATTACAAAATATAAATTTTTAATATAAAAGAATATTTAATTTGTTAATTAATTTATTTATATTTATAGTGATAACAATTAAGGAGAGAAAATTCCATCTAATCTAGGATCCGCTCTCTCAAACTGTATAAATCTAAAGATCTTATCAATTCATTTAGAGTAAATCAATAAAAAATATAAAAAACTTCAAAAATATTTTTTAATGACAAAAATTTCAACAATTATATTTTATTTTCTAAAAAAATTAATAAAAAATATTAATAATAACAAAATTATTTTAAATATCTTTTAAAAAATAGGAATAATAAGATAAATGAAAGTGATGTTAGTGTTTTATGTTTTGGTTTAGCTAAATGTTAAAACCTAGAAGTATTGTAACTTTGGTTTTAGTATATTTTTAACTTTTATTAATAATTTTAAATGTTTTATTAATTTTAATAAATATATCTGAACAAATTAAATTTTAAACTAGTATTTTATATTATTAAAGGTCAAATAATGTGCCGCAATAAGGAGCTATAATAATTGGATCTACTTTAAAATAGTTAGTTAATCTTAAATCAGTTATAATATCCTTAGAGTAAAACGAATTTAAATTATTTATTATTCATATTTAATTTTTAGAAAATTTAAGAGAACAAAGAATTACAATTAATTTTTTTTTTTTAATTTATTTTTTTAAAGTTATAATAATATAGGATAACTAGGAGCTTCAAAAATAGTATCTAAGCTAGCTAATAGCTCTCTACTTACATCTTTGACTCTATGGTTAAGGTTATTTTTAAACTTTATAATTTTATTTAGCGGTTTAATTAAGGGGGGTTGAGGGGTTAAGAAGTTTTTTAGATTTTTTAAAAACTTCAAAATAAAACATATGAAACTGGTTTTTTTAAATGGATAAATTTTTATTACACCCCTCTCCCTCTCCACCTTAATTAAAAATGTAAATTTTATAAACTAAATTAATTACTGTAAAATATTCTGTATCTTCTAATCATATTATAATATATTGTATTGGATTAAATGTATATAAAGGTTAATACTCTAATTTAAATTAAATATTTTACTAAAAATTTTAAAAGAGGAAACAAAATTGATGAGTAAGGAGCTCAAAATTTAGGTTCTGCTTTAGCAAAATGTCAGAATTTGTAAAATTTATGCATCGATCTTATGTAAATTAATAAATTTACTTATAAATCAAACCATTTTATTCTTATCTTATTCAAAGCTTTAATCATCATTCATTCATTTGTCTGTTGTTTTTAAAATGTTTAGATCATTTTACAAAAATTATTTTAAATAAAGCGATAATAGAATTGGAGTAAAAGGAGCAAATAGTCTGGGCTAAGTTTCTATAGATTGCAAAAAGTTAAATTCTTATACTCTTAGATTATAGTAAATTTAATTTATTAAAAGGCAGTTTCATATATTATGAAGAAATAATTTATTTTACTTTTAAAATTTTTAATATTTTATTGTGGTTAAAATAAATTATAGTTTGAATTAAATAAAGTTAAAATATGTCTTAGAATTTTAACTAAAAATCATAAAATTATTAATTTAATAATTTTTATTTATTACAAAACTTAATTTTTATTTTTATTTTTTTGTATGTTTTTTTAGTGGAAATTAGATAGGCAACTAAGGAGCATTATAACTAGGTTCTTTATTTGAAAAGAGCTCACAGTTAAAGAAATTGTATCTCTCTCTTGAGTACATTGTTAAAATCTTTTATTTATAATTAAAATATAGTTTTAATATTTAAGCAAGAATAATATAGATGATAAATATAAGCAATAGATAAGAAGATAAGTTTATAGAAATAAAAGGATTGTTCACATTAACATCAATTTTTAATATTACTGAAAAAAATTCAATTACTTTTTCTAAATAAACACTTTTGACAAACATTGATCTGCATTCTTGTATGTCTTCAATAGTTTATAATATTTAAATTAAATTATTTAATTAATTATTTTATTTCAAATAAAAATTAATTCTGATTTAAATAAAATGAATTTATTAAATAAATTTTAATTTATTTTCATTTTTAAAATAAAAAATTAGCTAATGAGTAGCACAATTGTTTTTTTTAAATCTAGTTATTTTATTGTTTGCATTGAAAATATATATTTTTTAATTTTGTTAATTAATTTTTGTTATACTATAATTGATAAAAGCAATCATCTATTTTATTGAAAAATACAAAATTTTATAGATTAACTTGAGTTAGAATAGGTAAAAATTTAAATGTATTTAATTTTAGTGAGAAAATAATTTTTTAGCAAGTGTTAAAGATAGGATTAGAATTAAGATTGATCATAGTTTATTTGTAAATTCAACATAAATAGCTTTAGTTTTTTTTTAATTGTTTATTAAAAGTCAGATTTTATTTTTAATTAGAAAATTAATTGGATTGGTTTTAAGAGTTTATTAAGATATCTGAGTAATTTTTTTAACATTTTACATTTAATAATAAAATTTGGATATAATAATTTATATATCTATCACTTGATTATTTTTCACAAAAAATTGTCAAATATAATTAATAATTAATTAATTTCTTTCTGATAAGGAAGATAGAAAGATATTTTTATCATCAAAAAAGGGGGATTAAAATAATAACAAAATAAAAGAAAATGAGTGCTTTGATTTGCATAAATTACAAAATTGATAAGGTAAAGGTACTTTTGCTATCTATTAAATTACGCTAGAATTAAAACAATTATACTAGATTTAAAAAACATTTATAAAATAAATATTTATTCAACAAGAAGAAAAAATTATTAAAGTTTCTTATTAGTCTATTAAAATACAACATATACTTTTTTGATCCTTCTAAAATTAGCTCTTCTATTGATATCAAGCAGAAAATATTTGTTGAAATCAAATATTAGTATAAATTAAGATATGTAATCTATGTATTTGTTAAGTGAATTATCTGAAGGGAAGCTTAAGGAATAAAAGAAAGGGTTTGAATCGTCTTTAGCTGATAATATGTGAATTAAGAGTTTAACAAAATTTTTGATATTTATATAATGAGTTGAGGAAATTGTAAAATAAAGAAAGAAAGAATTTACTACTAATGATAGGAGATACATATTCAACTTGTCAACTTTTAATTAGTTATTGAGATAATTTATATCGCTTGATTTTACCAAATAAAAAAATAATAAATAAAAAAGTAAAAAATAAATAAAGATCTATTTTTACTTAGCTTTTCTTCATTATAATATCTATTTATTAGCTAACTAATCACTCAAGAAAAGATATAAAATAAATAGGAAAAATCTCAAAAATTCTAAAAGATAGTTTTAAACATACTTCCTTTTGTTGATTGATAGTTCGAATAAAAGTAAGTGCTTTTTCTTTTACTCACTCATTTCATTATAAAATAATTCTTTTTTCCATCGTTCAAAATAGGTTAAAAGAAAAAATCATGTTTTAAGGATTAATTAGTTCTGTTTTAGATAAAGTAGCAGGTGAATATGTTCTTGGATTGAACAAAGAAAACTTAAACATTGGTATCTTCTCTGGTGAAGTGAAGATAGAAAATGTTTCACTAAATCCAAATGTAGTTAATATGCTTGATCTTCCTATCAGCCACTAATATTCTAAAATTAAGAAGCTTGAGCTTAAGGTCCCCTTCAAAAATATTGGCTCAAAGCCTGTTGAAGTCTTTTTAGATGGTCTCTACTTAGTAGTAACACCAAAGGAATAAAAGGAATGGACATTCAAAGATTTTAAGGCTTTCAAGAATAAGCTTACAAATATTGAATCTTTTGCAGCAGAATGTGTTTCAAAGATAGCAGCAAAGTAACAAGAGAAAAATAAAGTTGAAAAAGATGCAGGTTACATCTAAAAATTAACTATGAAGATTGTTGATAACTTACAAATCACCATTAGAAATATTCACGTACGTTTTGAAGACACAATAACTAAAAAGTACTCCTGGGGTTTTTGCTTGGATAAAATTGAAATTTATACCACTAACAAGGATGGAATCAAAACTTTTGTTGATAGGACAGCAGAAGAGAGCAAGAATGAACCTATGAGAAAATTGCTAGTTATTTCTAATGCAGGAGTTTATTGGAATGCAAACGAAACTCGATTAATATCAGATTTAGCAGAAGAACATAAACTACGTATATTGAATGGTATGATTTAGAAAGAAGGATAAGCAAAAACGGATGAGCCTGTTGATTTCCTCTTTAAAATATCTTCTTAAATTAGCTTAACTATGAATAATAAAGGCAATTTTGAAGTACCTGAAATTAAGGTAAATAACACGTCAATTTATCATTATAATTTTTTATAAAAGGAAGATATTATTTGTGTTAAATAAAAGAATTCTAAAAAGAATTTAATAGCAATAGATAATACTTAAATAAACTACTCAAAGCCTAATAAAGTGCGCAATTAACATAAACATTTGCCATAAATATTTTTGAACAAAAAACAATTAAAGAAAACAAGATTAATTTATTTTTAATGCTTTACTTTTACATTTATTCTTTTAAATTAAAGAGTTCAATATTGATCAAGTATTTTTTACAAATAAAATAAAAATCAAATGATTTGTTGTATCTAAAAAACAAATTTTTATTCTTATCTCCCAAAATTTTTTATGACTTAAATAACAAAATTGTTTGAATTAATAAAAAATTTTTTTCTTTTAATTTTTTCATTAAATTTTGATTGAAGTTAATTCTTAAAAATGCATATTTTCTTTCAAACTTTTTGGTAATTCATAAACAATTTAAGTATGTTTTATGTTTTACTAGTTAAATTGATTTTAACATTAAATTAAACTCCTTAGATTTACTTTATGTTTAATAATATGAATAGGTTAATTTGAACTTGGAACACATCACTTTGCACTTGTAACAAAAGCAGTTGCAATAAGTTATTGAATAAATTGAATTCATTTCTAAGTACTAACATGAGCTAGCAATTAAAAAGAAAAGTGATAAAAAGATTGATGCAAAAGAAATAGAAAGATTATCAAATAATTTTACAACCCATTTCACCAAAATGCAAAGACAAGAAAAGGATAAATCGATAAACTGTTTAACCGAAGATGAAAAAAAAGAATTCAGTGATGCTGTAGAAAAATTAGAAATTGAAATTTTGTTTGAAAAAACTAAAAAAGTAGTTTTAGAAATTCAAAAAGAGCTTAAAATCAAAGAGTTGGAAAAGAAAAAGCAAGATGAATAAAAGCCAGGCTTCTTTGGAAGATTTTTTGGAGGAGCAAAAGCTACTCAAGAGGCTGCTGTAGTAACAGAAGATGATAGGTATAGATAGCATTTTATTACTTTACAAACAAATTAAATTTAAATATAATAAAATTAGAGCAGAAATCGATAAGTTCATTAATGACAACTTCAGTGAAGAAGCTATTGATGCCCCTTCCATTATCAGACCAAAAGAATATGTCTATTTTGTATTAGATTATAATTTATAAGGAGCAAGTATTAAGCTAAGTAATCGTGATGGAATGGAAGTTTAATGCTTATAATTTAATTTGAATAATATCTACGGTAATGTCTTACTTCGTGATAACAATAATGAAGTTAAGCTCAACTTGAAAAGCATGGAATTATAAATGATAGATGAATTTTTATAGAATAACTCTAGCAAAGTCATAAACATTTTGAGTCCAACCATTCTAAATAGTAAGAATCCTTTGATTGAGTTTAACATGATTTCAAAGCCTCTCGATACTCCTCATATTGACTCTGTCATAGACTTAAAGATGAGATCAGTTCGTTTTGACTATAACCCCTATTTGGTTGTTAGAGCTGTTAAATTCTTTGATGTTAAAGTTAAAGATGATTAACTTAAGTAATAGGCTAAGGATGCCATCGCTGAGCAAATAGAATAAAAGTAAACTTCTCTTTAAGAGTCAATGAATAATTCTTCAGTCCTCAAGTTAAAAGTCGACTTAGAATCTCCAGTCATTGTTTTACCCTTCAAAACTGATGGCTCTCTCACAAATGAATGCTGGGTATTGAATCTCGGTAATCTTTCAGTGAATACTGTAGAAGATGTTCTTTAACCTAATCTTCCATTCGAAATCAAAGCTTTGGATATGTATAATATCTCTCTCAGCAAAATTAAGCTATCTTATTTCCCTTCTATTGAATATTACAATCATTACATTTCTAACTTAGAAGATTTAACAATGAGTAGATAAACTTCTCTAGAAACAGCAAAACATTATCACACTATCTAAGAGTTCTCAATCCTTATTGGCATTACTCTTGTTAAAGGACCTGCTTAAGGAAAGATCAACAAAGTAAATATTTTAAAAAATTTATTTACATTTTTTTTTTAAAATAAAATTTGAATTTTTATTTTATAATTTTTGTAAAAATAAATAGCCCAATATCTAAGTCAAGGGTGGCATTGATAAAATAAATTTGTAGTTGAATCCTTCAATCTACAAAAAGTTACTTAAGCTGGGAGAATGTTTCAGTATTCCAGCTGAAGATTAAAAAAGAAACAGATAATAGACTTTAGATTCAGTTGAATTAGAGAAAAATCTACTTCTTAAGAATGCAACTAAGACAGGTATTATCTTTAAGAGAGGTAATACTATTAAAACATGGGAGAAATACAATGGTGTTCTTTCTGGTGGATATCTTTACTTGTTTGAAAAACCTAAAGATCTTAAACCTGTTGAGTACATTTGGGTTAAAAACTCACATATTTCTTTCTAAGATGAGAATTTAGTTGGGTTTAAGAATGCTTTTAATGTCAAAAATAAGTATGCTGATGCTTACTTTGCTTGTGAAAAGGAAAAGGCTTCTCAATAGTGGGTAGAAGCTCTTGAAAAAGTTAAGACTGTAGTAGCAAAGGATATCATTACCGATGACGAATTAGAAGATTTAATAGCATAATAAGAAAGACTTGAAAATGAAGGAGAAAAAGAGGGAGAAGTAAAGAAAGCTGATGATAAAAGTAAAAATTTTGATTTAGTTTAAGTTGAAGCTACCTTTGAGCTTGGTAAGATCAAACTCTCTATGTATGATGAAAATAAATATACTCAAAAGCCCTTCTTGACTTTCTAGACAAACAAGCTAAATGTCTTCTATGAACAAAGAAATATGAAAATGTCTGTCAATCTAGGTCTTGGAGGCATGTTCTTATCTGACAATCTCTATCAACACAAAGATAGTGCATTAAATGATTTCATTTCAAGTAAATCTTCTGATGGCAGCAATGAACTAATCAATATTAAAGTCATCATCTTAGATAAGGGCCATCCTGAATATTAAAATGTAGGATTAGACATAGATTTGAAATTTAACACTCTTATTGTCAATTTTAAGCCTGAAACTTTAGCCAAAGTCCTTCTCTTTATTAAAGCTGATCCAGTTGGTAAAATAAGTTTTAAATTATTTGTCTACTTATTAGAAAAGTTTTTTTCATTTTAAAAATAAACATTTATTTAAACAATTTTATATTTTAAATTTATTCATAGAATGTTTGTTATTTTTAAAAAAATTAATTTTAATCAAAATAATTTTTTTTCTCTCGAAAACTTATAGAATAAACCACAGTGCCAACTTCTGAACTCTTGAAATAATTAGAAAATGAAGCAATTAGTTCAAGTCCTATGAGTGCTGGAAGTACCACAGACTCTGATAATCTTTCTTAATCTAGTGTTGGTAAATCAGTTATATCCCCAGAAAGCTTGTAAGAAAATGAATCAATTCTCCTATAAGCAAAAATCTATATTCATGAAATTAAAGTCGTGCTCGTAAATAGAAGAAATCATTTACCTGTAAATGATATTTCTATTTAAAATATCAGTTTGGTATTCTAACAAAAATCTGACGAAATGTTCCTTAAAGGTTCTCTTGGTAACTTGCAAGTTAATGACTTGACCAATTTCCCAAACACTATTTACTTAGAGGAAGACTGGTAAAAGATCAAGCCTTAAGAGCTTATCGGTTTACTTAAGAAAGATGTAATATTTTATTTATTTATTTGCTTATTCAAATAATTAACAAAAAAATCTATTCATATATTTTAATTTCTTTTACTATTTAAATATAAGGGTGCATCGAGCTTGTTAGAAGTAGAATTCAGATCTTTGAGTGATGGATCAAGTAAAATTAAGTCTGACAACGTTGCCACATTCTTGAAAGTTAACTTCAACTCTATTCATATAAGCTATATTCAAAGACCTATTCTTAGATTGTTGGATTATTCTCTAGTCTAATTACTTGGTCCTCTCGGCACTCCTTAATTCTTTGTTGATGAGGGTGAAATTGCTGAAGATCAAAAGATTTAATTAGCTAAGGAATAAGAAAAAGCTAAAGATCCTATGGAGCCTCTTAGAAAGTAGGGTAAAAGATAAGTACTTTCTAATTTAAATAACCCTAAAGGTATGTCTATGGATGTCGTCATTCAAAATCCTCTTATCACTTTAAAGCCAAATCCTAGCTCAACTAATTACTTAGAAATTGATTTGGGTACAATTAAAGTTACTAATTAACGTGATAAGAATGGAGATCGTTTACTTGAATGCAAGAAGAAAGAGGATATTAAAGAAACATACAGTGAAAACTTTAACATAAGCATGAGTGATATGCAAATGAGATTAATCAGAGGATAAAATGTCACTGAAATGACTAAAGCCTTCGATTTCAATGTAAATATCAATATGGTTGGATTCTTCAATGAATACAAATATATTTATGGAAACGATATCAAAATTGATACAACTATGATCATGAAGAATTACATATCTCCTATTATTTTCCGTATGTCAAATGCTGATTACAACTTAGTTATGATGTGCTTATTCCACAACATTTCTTATGATGATGGTTGTGATAGATTCCTTATTCATGACTGGGCTAGAAATCAAGAAGCTTAAGTTGTCATTGAAAAGAAGAAAAAAGAAGAAGCTGAACGTAAAAAGCGTGAAAATATCTCAGAAGAAGCTTACGATAAGGAAAAAGGTGGTATTTATTTCTAACTTGATATGGAATCATTCTCTATTTTTACATTGGATAAGGAGCGTAACATGCCTTTCGCAAGAGTAACTCTTGGTCGTATGCGTGTTATTTAGATAATTAATGAATTAGGTATGTCAACTAATTTATATGCCAAAACACTTAATGGTTCTTGCTTCCGTTATGATGGAGCTGAATATATCGAAGGAAGTTTGTTAGGTGATCTCAATATCTTCAAAAGATATACTTAGCAATAGGCATAAGATCTTACCTACTTAGTTAATAATAGTATATATAAGAGCGAAGAGCATGCACTTTAAGCACTCCGTTAAAGTGAATAGTTTGTTGAATTAGCTGGAACCATTTATGAATTTACTTAATACGATGATACAAAGACAGCTAAAGAAAATCAATAATTCTAAATAGTCTTCGAGCTTTAAATGAAGCCAAACGGAGATAAAGATATGGATATAGTTGTTGGAGATTTTAAGGTTCAAGCTGAAACTGGTCCTCTTCTTGCTCTTGCTGGTTTCGCTGCAATGGATGCTAGCATTTAACCTCCAAAGCCTGTTTATGAAGTTAAATTAACAAAGGAAGAGATCGAGGCTTAGGAGAAAAACGCAAAGGAGATTGAACAATATGCAAAATAAGTAAATATTTTTTTTTTTTAAATAATTTTTATCAAAATGAAGAAAAATATCTAATTCTTAAAATTTAAATATTAAATAGGTTGGTGGTGGAATGAAAATAAATATTTCTGTTAAAAATGTTATTATTTGCACACCTTGTGCAGACAGCACAAACATTCTTGCTATTAGAGGCATTTTCGATATCAAGATTAACTTCTCTCAAGCTTAATCTATTAATTACATTAAAAATGAAATCAAGAATGGAAAAATTACTTTGGCTGATTCTCACTCAATTAATTAAACTGGTATTATAGCTATTGAGCTTTAGGGACTTGAAATATTCATTTGTGATGTAGAAGAATTAAAAAGAAAGGCTTTTAAAAAGGTTAACAAGCGTAGTATCCTTCTTCCTCTTAACTTGAGCTTATCAAAAACTGATTATTTGTATCTCACATCTGAGCAAGCTTAACTCTTTTCCAACAAAACTGCTATCCAAACAAAGCTTGAAAAAACATCATTTAAGATATCTTTCTCTGATCTAAATTTAATCAACTAAACAGTTTAGATTTTATTAGAAGACATGAAATAGAAGCCTGTTGAAGGTGAATAGCAATAGATTGAATAAAAGAAGGAAGAACCTCCTGCTATTGCTGCTTCTCAAAATAAAAAACCTGAAGATGTTTTAATCTCAGAAGAAGAAAAAATTAAGAAGGAGCTTTAAGATTAAGAAAACAAAGTTGTTGCTCTTGCTAACAACGAAGGGTAAATCAACATTTTTGATGTAGATGCTGATCTCTAAGGTTTCTAAATCTACATAATTAACGACTTGAACGCTGCTTATGTTCCCGTTCTTGATTTCAATATTTTCGAAATGAATATTAAGTTAAAACAAAACAATATCCAACTCAGTGTAAATAAATTTATTAGAAAAATAACAAATTAAGTTATTAAAATTCTAATTTAGTTGTTTCATTTTTATTTTTTTTATATTTAAGGTTGCTACTGTCATTCAATTCAGTGCTGAATATTATAATCCTAGAGTTGGTCTTTGGGAACCAATTATTGAAAAGGTTGGATTTAACATTGATTACATTCAATCGGAGTTTAATAATATTAGATAGCTAATAGCTGTTGAATTAAATCCTAATTATACCGCATTTAATGTTACTTTCTCAACTTAATTCTTAAGTATTATTACAAAATGCACCAAAACAGTCAAAAAAGAAATTCTTTAGGATGCCAAAAAGGAAAGAAGCTATTCTACTGATAGCGTAGAAGAATAAAAGTAATCAGGTAGCTAAGATGAAATGTTTTAACATGTTTCTCCTTACACAGTAAGAAACGAAACAGGTTATCTTATTGAAGTTGAAACTGATTTATCTAATATGCTTGCTGCTTAACAAAGAAGTTCCATCAAAATAGCTGATTAAAAAATATATAAATGCCAATTGAAGAATTTCGAAGAAAAGAACTTTGAAATAGATTTATAAGAGTCTGAAATGGTAATATTTTTTAATTTCTTATTTAATTTTACATAATTGACATTTGAATAAAAAAGATTAATGATCCAAACAATAGAGAAACATTCGTATTCAAGAAGACTAGTGAATAAGTTAAAGCCAGAGTGCTCATTCCTGGTTAGAATTTGAAATACATCGAATAAATTGATTTGGATAAAGTACGTAACAGACTAAGACCTTGCAAAGATTAATCTGGTAAAAAATTATTCGAAGTCATAACAGAAGTAAAGCTTGACATGATTTCATCTAAGAAAGTTTTAAATATTTCTTCTCCTTATTACTTCATTAATGACTGTAACAAATAAGTATCAATCAATCTCTATGACGAAAATAAAAACTTTAAATAAGTAAAATTAATTAAAACAAAAATGAAAAAATTTAATATTTTATTTTTTATTTTAAAAAAAAAGAGTATCACATTGAAGAAAGGGTAAAGAATTCCTATCCCAATCGACTTCTTAACTGGGTCTTTTAATGTGAAATTTGTTCAAGAAAACTTAAACTCTGATAGATTGAGTTTCAAAAAGCTTTGTAACAATTTCTTAAACAAAGCTGAAGAAATGAAATTGGGAGAAACTTTCCTTATGTTGAAGGTTCATAAAGATCCTGAAAACGATTAACGTACCATGTTCTCAATTGAACCTCCTTACAGAATTAAAAACTGTCTCCCTAAAACTCTTTTAATATAATTTATCAATCACAAGTAAAATTTTAATTTAAAAATGAAGAAAGTATCTCATTTAATTTTAATAAAAATAAAGGAAATTCACTGCTATTACTTAAGTTATTCCTTGTGGTGAAGTTTTCGAGTTTTACAATTGCTCCTAACGTAGAGATTCCTTCATGAAAATACAGATACCAGGTCATTTTTGGAGTAACGAAGCTAAAGTTTCTTCTGGAGATATAGAAAAAATACTCATTAAAGATGTAAATGGAAATCAAAGTGAGATCTCATGTCATCACAGAGGTATTGAACATCAAGTAGTTGAAGGTTGCAGATAATTCTACATCTACTGCAAGGGTTATCTAATCAACGAATCTCCATACAAATTAAATGTATTCACATAAGATAACAAGAAAAAAGAAGAGCGCAAACTTGTTGGTGGCTAAAGATAAATTTATCCTGATGAAGCTCTAAATACTAATATTATCTTACTAGGATAAAATACAGGTGATTTAATGAGTCTATCTGATGCTAAATTTGATTAAGTTTCAAAATAAGCTTCTATTGGAGGTGTTGGTAATACTTAAATCGATATCTAAACTATCAATGAATAAGGTGATACAGTCTTTTAGACAATGGGTATTAATGTCTCTTTGAAAAACGTAGATTATGAACAAAAGCTTTTCTCTAAAGTCATCACTATTTCCCCAAGGTACGATACAAATAAACTAAAAAGCTATTTATTTTTTAATTTTGTTTTGTTTATAACAAATTTGATTTAACATTTTAAATTAAAAAAAGATTTATTATTGTGAATAAGACTGGCTATGCTCTTGAGTTAAAGCAAAATAGTGTGAATAAAATCATAGCTATTAATAAAGATTCTAGAATTCCTCTCTACTGGTTTGATGACAACAAAGATAGATTCTTGAATATTAGATTAGTAGAAGAAGAAAAGGATTGGAAATGGAGTGGCAACATGAATGTCTTAGAGCTTGGTACTGTTAATTTCATGATTAGAAACTAAGAAAACAAGATGGATGTTTCATTCTTGAGAACTGATGTTCGTTCAGATGATTCAAATATTTACATTGTAGTTGAGAAAGTTACTGAAAAAGAAAGACCTTATGTCATTCAAAACTACTCTAAGAACTTCAAGATAGAACTTAAAGACCTAAACATTATCCTTCCTCCTAACGAAAAAGAAGATAAAACTGTTGATGAACATCACTAATATTATTTCTCATGGGAGAATCCTTTTGAAAAAGAAAGAAAGGTTATTTCTGCTCTTCGTCCATTAGATGGCAATTTCCAAAACTTAGACTTTAACTTTTCACCTGATTAAATCTACTTCTAAGATAAACTCTAGATTCTTCCAATTGGACAGAAAGACTTAAAGAAAAACAAAGTAAAAATTTTTTTTATTTTTTCATAAAATTTATTTTAATTTTAATTTTTTTAATTTTTTCATAAAATTATAATTTAAAAAAAATTAATTTATTCTATTTTATTTTTATTACAATTTATTAAAATTTAAATTAGGATAAGAGTTTATATTTGAAATGGTCAATTGATATTGATGGTTTCACAAAAATAATTAAATTTGAAGACTCATCTGCAGATGAACCTGTTACATAGAAAGAGAAGGCAAGACTAAGAAAGAAGATTGAAAAGGAGAAAGAAAAAGAAAGAAAGATCAAGGAGAAAGAGAAAAAGAAGGCTGAGAAAGAATAAAAGAAAGCAGAGAAAGATAAAAAAAATAAAGATAAAGAAATCAATATAGAAAAGAAGGAAAAGAAGGAAGAAGAAGAACATGATGGTGAAGAATAAGTCATAATTTAATAATAAATCAGTGTTTTTATTAAGAATTTCGGTCTTTCTGTTGTTTAAAATCACAGAATGAATGAAAAGCCATCTGAGTTTTTATACTTAACAATTAAAGGATTAGAATTCATTTCTATCGGAAAGGAAGAGTCAAAAACATATCAAATTAGAATAAAGCTATTGAATATTGATTAAAATAGCAGCTATGATATTGTAAATCCCGTTATCTTTACTCCCCAAAAGTACGGACTCTACAACAAAGAAAACTCTCCTAACTTCTTCTTAAATGTCATGATTGAATAAAATTTGATAGCTAAGAACATTACACTTTACAATAACGTAGCTATTGAGCTAGATCCCTTCACAGTGAGAATTGAAGAACAGTTTATCAGTACTCTTCTTGATTTCCTCAAGGGTGTCGAAGAAGCCAGATACGATGCAGATGCTCAAAGCATTAATACTCTCAAGGAATATTTGGATGAAACATCTCAAATTGAGAAAAATGAAAACATTGTAAGATATTCTATTTTTAATTTTTAAATAAATTATCATAAAATTCTCACTTAAAATTATTAATTTATTTCTATTATTTCATTTTTTTTATAAATAAATAATATTTAATAATAAAAATAGAAATTCAAGTGGTAAGAATGTGAAATACCTCCTACAAGTATCCCAACTTTCATCAATTAGTTAATTTTGTCAAACATCGAAATTGCATTGACTTTCAAGGCAAAGGTTAAAACTAACGATTCTGATCTAAATGTCCTTAAATCAGTTTTCACTGCTTTAGGTGTTGCTTTAGCTGATATTGAAGCTTCTCTTAAGCTTAATGGTATAAAATTGGTTAATTGCTTTGAAACTGCTTCTGGTATAGTAAGCAAATTAACTGCCCATTACAAAGATCAAGCCATCTCAGAAGTTCTCAAGGCTTTAGGTTCTTTGAATATTATTGGTAATCCCGTTGGTTTATTCTAGAACATTTCTACTGGTGTTACTGATCTTTTCACTAAGCCTGCTGAAGGTTTTGTTAAAGGTCCACTTGAAGGTGGTTTAGGTATCATGTAGGGTGCTTCTTCACTTATTAAGAATACAATGGCTGGTGCTTTTAATTCTGTTAACAAGATTACTGGCTCTTTATCTAGTGGTATTTCAGCATTGTGCATGGTAAGATATTGTTTTTTTCAAGCAATTAGCTAGCTTTTTTAATATAAAAAATACATATATAAAAAAATTTAATATTATTGGATATTAATTATATTTCTAATGTAAAAGGATGAAGAATATCTCAGAGAAAGAGATAGAATGAGATCTAAGAGACCTAAGCATCTTGTTGATGGAGCTGTTTAAGGTGTCACTTCAATTTTCTCTGGTGTTGCAAATGGTATTACAGGTGTTTTCTTAAAGCCATTTGAAGGAGCTAAGAAGGGTGGTGCTCTTGGTTTCCTTAAAGGTATTGGTAAAGGTGTTGCAGGTTTAATCGTAAAACCTGTTTCAGGTGTCCTTGATGCTGCATCATCAGTAGCTGATGGTATAAAAAATACAATTACTTATGGTGATGATAAGGCTAACGAATAACGTCTCAGATATCCTAGAGTATTCTATGGCAGAGAAGGTTTCTACAAAGAATTTATTGATTTAGATGCTGGTATGAAGGTTGCTATGCAATTGGTTTCTAAAGGCAAGTACTAGACCTCAGACTTCCTCCAAACTTTCTTGATTTAAGTTGACGAAAACAACAAGAAAAATAACAATGTTTTAGTTATAACATATGATGTTATTATGCTTTTTGATGAAATCAAAAAGAAGAAGAAATGGTATTTCCCTACATCTGACTTCGCTAAGATTGAAGAAAAACAAAATGGAATCCATTTCACCACAACTAAAAAAATTAAGAATGAAAATGTAATTTTGTTAAATTTATTTTTATAATAATTGAAATTAACTTTTTTTTTCAATCAAATAATAAATAGTCCACCTAGGTGTTTATCTAAGTTCCAACTACTGAATAAAAGGATTATATTTTTGACCAAATAAACACTTTAAAGTATTTACTCGATGAAGAGAAGAAAATAGAACAACTTGACTAGTGATTAAAAAAAATTAAATAATAAGTCTTATTAAATAATAAATTTTATAATTTTCGATAATAAAATAAAATAAAAATGTATTTATTTTTTTATGATTTAAAATAAATTATGAGTATGAAAATAGTTTGATAGATGGATGATATATTTTATTTATTTTAATTTGGATTGTTTCATTTTTAAATGTTTTTTATTTTTAATTTTGCAAAAAAAGAATTTGTTTACTTTTATTTAAAAAAGAACAATAAAAAAATATATTTTACTAAGTTTAAAGATTTTTTTTATTAAATTCTTCAATATTTTGTTATAATTTATATTATTATGAAATTTTCTAATATTTTAGAATATTTTAAATATTGAAATTCAAAAATTTTTTAAATTGTAAGATTAAAAAATTCTAAAAAAAATAAAAATGTTATTATTAATTAAATATAATTTTTTATAATAAATTGAAGTCTGTTAAAATTATTAAAATAAACAATGTAACTAAACAGATAGACATTTTCCATATTCCATTTATTTTAATTTAGATCATTAAATTTTTAAATATCTTTAATATCTCATTTATTTATTTTAGGTATAAAAAATATGTTTACTTTTAATTTAAAAAAACTACTTTAAAAGATATTTCTTGTTATACTAAATTCAAAGTTATTTTTTTATGGGTTTTTTCAATATTATATTATAATCTTATTCAAAATATTTAAATTTTGTAATATATAGCAAAACGAAGAGACACTTTATTTCCTTAAATGATCTCATTATCATTCATTGATTGTCACATCATAAATTTCTAAAAAATAAATTGAAATGTACGGGATATTTATAATAAATTAATTAATAATACTTTAAATAATATCAGAATAAAAACAAAGATTAAAAGAAATGTAATTCTAAGAGCTTAAATGCAAAGAAGAAGATGACTTTGAGCTAATAAGGGATAAGTTAATACCTCATCTTTTAAATAATAACTAAGAATGTTTCTTGATATCTATTTTTGATAAAATATAACCAATTGTTGTTTTAGAAACAAAATAAAATTATGAATATATTATTATTGAGATTTATTGTGATAAATAATACACCGAGTAAGTTTTGGAGTGTTTTTTAGAAAAAATCAATTAAAATGACCTTAAAATATATTAAATTCATCTTTTTTTAACATAACATACATAAGAAAATGATTTTTATAACAAGAACATTTGCTCATATATATAAACTTAAAGATTATGCCTTTACTTCTAAAATCTTTAGATTAAAAAGTTACAGTTTTTAAAATATATTTAGGGTATTAATTATTTGAATTTTAGATCATACAATGAATAATAATACTTAGAAGAATTATTTTAGTAAGTTATGGATAACATAAAAATTGATGAGAATGACTTGGAACTAAACATTTTCAGTAGAATTCCTCAAAATATTTGTTAAGTCTCAAATAGCAATAAAATTAGAAGTATCTGCCTCTTCGGTCCAGAATTTATTTTTAGTCCATAAAAAAAGTAAGAATTATTTTATTTGAAATTAAAAAGATTAGTTTTAGTTAATGAAACTATATAATGTTAAACACATTGGGATCTTTGCGATTTGTATGGTTCAAATGCATAAAATTATGCTTTTGCTTAATTTTACGCCATAACAAATAATAATTAAATTAATTCAAATAACAGAAGGCTAATTAGATGGAAAAAATTAATATTATTACTAGATAATTACAGTTTTAAATTTTACTTTAAAGATATTTGTAGCTTAAAAAATAAATATTTTGATTCTATTGTGAATGAACATATTTATATAAATCTTGTAAACTCCCATGAAAATCCAAATTGTAGTATTAACAATGCAATAAAGTGCAGATGTAATAATAAGTAGTTTAAAACTGAAAAAAAAAAAGTAAAAACGATGGATATTTTTGATATTTTATGGGAAATTAAATTAAGATCACTATTATCTTAACCAGAATTTCAAAAGTGCTTATACAAATAAATAGTTACCAAATATAAAGATTAAAATGAAATTTAAAATCAAAGTGAAGAAGTATGAAAAGAAAGTATTTTTATTTTACTTTATGTTTTCGTTTTCCTCTAATGAATATAACATATTATTAATCAAAATTTATATATATATTTAAACATTTGCTCATATCCTTAATCTATCATGAATTTATTATATTTTTTAGTTTTAAAGTAGATCAAAATTATTGATTGATCAATAATAGCTGAGAGATATATTATTATTTAAATTTAATTTATTTTTTTTATACTATCAATCCTCATTAATTAACACCAACCCCCCAAAATTTTTACCCTCTGAATGGGTCTTAATTTAAAAAAGATTTCTGTTTTTAAATGTAAACCTTTTAAAAATAAATATAAAGAAAATAGCTAAGATATAGAACAAAAAAAATAAAATAATAAAATATTAATCATTTGAAATTTCACTAATCTAGATTTTGTTAGTGATTAGTGATAATTCAAACAAGAAAAGCTATATAAATCAACATATTCTCACAAAAAACAGTTCAAATAATTTATTTTTTTTTGTGTTTTAAAATATTCTAACATATTTTTCTAAAATTGAATAAAATTATTGTATTTCAAATACATTTTGTAATCAATTTTGTTAACTCATGGTGAAAATATTCAATTTTTTTAGGTTATACATAACTATAAAAACAATGTTAAATTTAAGATATTATCATAAACTATTAAAAAGCTAATTTTTATTCATTTTAAAAATCAAATTATTCAAATATTTCAAGGTTCTCTTGTTATTCATTTTAATTTATTTATGTTGTTAAAACGTTTTTAAAGTCTTTCTTTTATTTTTGTTCTTATTTATAAATCTAAATTTTATTTTTTTGTGCTTTTTTATTTTTCACAATTTACTTTAAGCAAAAATATTATTTTGTTTCATTTTTAAAATTATTTTATATGAAAAGATTTTTATAGAAATATTTAACCATTTAAAATTTAAAAATAAATTGATTTAATTATAAGGATGGATGAATTAAAAATAATAAAGATTTTCTAGAATTCAATTGATTAAAAAATCTATTAAATTTTTATAAATATTAATTTTTAGATTTAGATCTTTATCAAAAGAATGTTCGCAAAATAATTAATTGAAAAAGCGTGTAGAAGTAGTAGAAATTGCTACTTATTTAATAGGAATAATATTTTTAATGTAAATGGAAAAAGCTTGAACAGCTTATAAAATTAAACAAGATTTTATTTTGGTGTAAAAAAAGATGAACCCTAGCTGAAAAATTAAAAAAAGAAAGATCAAAGCGCGCAAAACTAAGTAGTTGATCCAGTCATAATGGATTATGTCTTAGATTAAATTTAGAACACTTAAGATCCTGAAAAATTAGAAAAAATATCAAAAATATTAGATGAAATAGAAAGAAGAGAATTGGAGAGACAAAAATAGATAGTTTAAGATTTAAATACACATGCTGGTGTTTTATCTGAAACAGATGTATACAGAGCTGTCCAAACTATTTTGGACACTCCTGAAGATAAGTTAATCAAAAGTATTTAAAACAATCTTCCAATAGATACAAATATTTGGAAGAAAAAAATTAAAAAGAGAATACAAACGATTCCAACATACTAAGTTTTAAGGTTACTTAAGACAGTCTTCAATTTAGAATTAAACAACATTTAAGGAGAATTTTAAGTTGACTTAAATAATTAGCAAGAATAAGAAATAGATTATGAAGAACAGTAAGAAATAGATGAGGAAAATCAAAATGATGACACAAAGGAAAGAATTCCGATTGAAATTAAGAATATGTGCAATTCGATTTGGAACACTGTAGAGAGCGAATTTACAAGAAGACTTAAATTTATGTCTATTGATGAGATTGCTAGAACTGTTAGGTTATATGCTCATGCAAACAGATCTAATCCCCAATTCTTCAGAGAAATAGAAAACGAATTATTTGAAAGAGATATGGAATATGTTAATTATAGAAGCGTTGGGATGATTCTAGAAGGCTTTTCTCATGCAAACTTAGGTACAACAACTTTGTATGCTAATTTAGCAAGAACAATTAAAGTAGCACAGTCTGAAATACATCCCTTAGAGTTAGCAAAATACGCCTATTATTTTAGCAAAACACCTGAGAATATACAAGGTGGTTTTGGTATTTACAAAATAGCTGAAGAGAAATTGAATTACACAATTGAAATGATGGAATTTAATGATTTGATTAAGTTGTCTAAATATTTTATTGCTCAAAACATAGGTTCCAATTAATTTCTTCAAAAGCTGGAAAAGAAAATTCTTGATACTTATCCTTCTAAACAATTCGGAGGAATATCCCCAAATCAACTAACCAAGCTAGTTAAAAATACATCCAAGCATTACTTTTAATACAACGACAAGGCTCTTTTTCATACTCTAGAAGCTGAATCTATAAAACAGGTACCTTATATGACAGTACATCAGTTATAAATCATTTTATGGAGCTATTCACGTTCTAGAAGAGGAAATCTAGAACTTTATGAAGCACTTGAAAAAGCCATACTGAAAAAGCTAAAGCTATTTAATGCAAGAGGAATTTCTTTTACTTATTATTAGTTTGCCTTCGCCAACAGAGGTAATTTGGTTTAATTGAATTCATTTATTTTTTTCTAAATAAAATTAATTTTTAAAACAAAAATTATTTTTTTAAATTAAATTTTTGTTCTTAATTTTTATTTATCGAAATAAATTACTAATTTTTAAAATGAATAAATTTAAAAAAAAAAGGATCTACTTAACTATTTTAAGCTTTAGAAGAAAGAATATTGGAAATAGGTATATAGAACTTTTATGCACATTACTTAGTTAAGATATTAAGCGGAATCAATATTAGAAATGCACTTGAATCGCTGAGAGATACCCTCTTAATGCCTATCTTGAAGCACATGTCATAGATTGCTGTTTAATCCAAATACTCAGAAGCAATTAAATTTTTATATTTATTAGTCGAGTTACCTCCATATTAAATTAAAGATTAAGATAACTAAACAAATATAAATGTCTAAAGTGAATATGACAGCTTATTTAAAGAATTTGAAACAAATAAATTCATACATATAGCTGATTAACTCAAAATAGACGAAGTTAGTTAACTTTATTTTGCTTATCGTTCAGCAAATATTGGTAGTGCCTAGTTTATTTAGTTACTTGAATAGCGTTTTGAGAAACAGACAGAAGTTCCTAAACCTTATTTCTGCAGAACTTTATTCTCTTTAGTCTAGCATCTTAAATTTGATTTAGCAAATGAATTTATTCCTATAGTTAAAGAGCTTATGAAATATGGTGATATTAAGTATTTCTTTTCACACGAAGACTTCATTAGATTAACATGGAGTTTACTTTTATAAGAATAAGCACTTAGAAGCAGTGGATAGCTACATCATTATGATGAAGAGAGGTATTTTATGAAACCCAATTTCTGGTTAGAAGAGGTTTATGATGCTATGTTTAGCATAAATCCAAACACAATAAAATTTACTGCTCTTCCTATTTGGGTTTAGAATATTTGCATGCTCACATAAATGAAAATAAAGAAAATGAAGAAATTCTAATCTAAACAAAAAGAAGAATTACTTCATAAGCTAATTGAAAAAGTAGATTAAATTGATTTTGAGTATAAAAAATAATATGTATAAAGGGATCTTAAATAATTTAGCACAACCAAAAAAGAAATACACTAAGAATTATCAAGTCGTATGGCAGTATTTGGAGATTCTTTAGACTATCAGCTTGTTGAAGATCTTGTAGATGAATTTTTAAATATCATGGATTCTGCTGTGTATCTAAAACACGATGATTAAATCTTAAAAATAGGTGTTATCATTCTTAATGAATACCATTACACTAACAGAGATGTATCAAATGGCCAAGAAAATCTTTTGCTTTAAGTTTAGAATAAAATAACACTCTTATAAGAGCTATTAGATTGGTAGATTATTGTAATTGATGAACACTAATGGAACTAATATTCAGAGCAAGAAAAGAAGTAATACTTCTTCGATAACATCTAATTTGATATTGAGTCAGAGACTGACACTTCTAACAATTAAAAACAAGAATCTTGATTATTTTTTATAAATTTTTAAATACCTAAATAAAAAAATAAATGAATTTTAAACCTTTATTATTAATCGATTAAATTTGTAGTTATTTATTTAACTTATATTCAATTTTCAACCATATATCAAAACATAATTTTCTTCAATTTATTTTTTACAAAAAATATAATTTTACTCATTTTATTTAAACAAAAATAATTATTTATTTTTTTAAAGAAGTTATATGTAAAACTGATTAAAAAATTATAATAATTAACTCATCTCACTATATTTTAAATACAATTCATGAACTAAAAAATTATAATAATTAACTTATCTTACAATATTTTAAATACAATTCATGAACATAAAAAGTGTAATAAATCAACATAATTATTTATTTATTTGATCAAATGTCCTCCATAAAATAAATATTTTTGTATTATTAAAAAGAATTAGATTTATGAATGTTTCAATAAGATAATTTAAATTTAACCATCTTTCTTAACTTTTAAATTACTTTACTTAATATATTATCAACAGAGATGTTGATAGAATTTCTTCTGTTTTATTTAAAAAAATAACAATAAAAAAAAATATGATTCAATAAAAATTTACTTTAGAAATAAGAATAAAACTTAAAGATTTTTGTATTTTTTTAAAGAGTCAATCAAACCAGTTAAAACATCGTTGTCAATTTTATTATACCTAAATCAAAAAAAATAAACAACAAAATAAAATAATTAAACTCAAATAAAATAACCAAAAATTTTACCAAATATCGATATTCAAACTTTTAAGGTTTACACATGATTCTAAATTAGAAACCAATTATATTGCTCCTTTGCTTTTTATACTATTTTCTCTTTATAAATCAAAATATAATATAGAAAATCTAATTTAGATCCTTTAAATAATGCAATTCTGAAATTTATGAACTAGATTTACCTAAGATAAAGAGTTAAAAACTTAATACTTTTACTCTTTGATAGCAATTAACCAACATTAGAAGCACCTTCACAACTAATTTAATTTCCTCTATTTATTTAAAATATTATAAAAATTTAAAAGCTTTGATTTTTACCTTAAGTAGAGCTAAAGATTTTGAAGATTTTCACAATTTACTAATGAATTGACCAGTGAATATAACCCTTAATCCCCTATTTCATTTCCTCTGAAATCCATATAAATTATAAAATTAAAAACATCAAAATAAAATAAGCAATAGTAATTAATTAGTTCAATAGCTATACCTCAAGTATAGAGCAATATATTAAATATTTAAACAATTTGATAAGCCTAATCCTATAGATGAGATAGATTCACTGTTGACATTGCTCGTTCTGTTTTTATTTTTAAAAGGAAATAACTCACTCACTCAGTTAATCTAATTAAAAAGTAACTAACTATTTCATTACCTCAAAAACATAGTTATTGATTAAAGATTTGGATTTTTCTGCAAACCTTTACACAAGTTAGTAAATCCATTAAAGCTTATATCATTAGATCTATTTTTTTATGTTTCATTTTGAATAAAAAAAAAAATAAATTCTAAAATAAAATATGGCATTCGCTTAAATATTTTGATTTGATAAAAATAACTCCAGATATACTAAATATTGATTGATTCAAAGTTAAAAGTGTATTATTTACTATAAATTAAGTTCTAATTTTTAAAGATTTAAACAATTTGATAGAGATAATCCCAAAGCAGATATTCCTTGATCGCCTACACAGTTATATCTTTTTTAATAATTAAATAATTTTGATATCAATCAAACCTTTTTGTATTTTGAAGAAATAATTATTTATTATTTTACTTTACTAGGAAAAAAAAGATTTTATAAATTAGAAAAATTCATTTTTTCGATAAATTTTTACGAAATATTCATGCTTAGGGTTTATAAACTTTTGCATTCTGAAAAAGAAGAAACTAAATCAGAGAGTCCTTAATCTCCTATGTCATTTGTGCTTCATTTATTTTTTAGTGTAAATAAAATTATGATAGAATTTTATTTTAGTAAATAAATTAAAGTGTAATTTTTACGATAAGTACAAAGCTAAAGATTATAGATTGACACATTCTGATAAAAATTAACTAATTTTAGGAGTACCATTTGCACAAATAGTATTGCAACTTAATTAAATGTTAAATAATAAATTTAATTTTAAATTAAAATATTTAAATTGTTAAAAAATTTAATAATAATAAAAAAAATTACGACAAATCTAAAGTTAGAGAAATGAAATTTGAACAATTTTTCAGAGAAGCTATGCCTTGATCTCCTATGCTATTAGACCTTCAAATTATATTTATAATTATAATTATTTTAGTCATTACTAAATAAACTTAAAAAAAAAAAACCTTAAATAAAGTTCTAAATTAGTTAATTTTTTGCAAGAAGCTAAATATAAATGCAAACACTAGATACCTTTTATGCCAATATTATTTGAGCTTTTTCAAAATAAAAATACTGTTATTATTTTTACATATCTATAAATGTATTTTACGATAGATCAAGAGAAAGTTTTTATAGATTTAAACACTTTTCAAAACACTAACCAATAGTTTATATGCCTTCATCTCCTATGTCATTACCCCTTTTAAATATATATTTCAAATTTTTTTATTAAACATTATAAAAGACACTTAAATATTACCATAAATTTAGCTTTAAATTGGTTATGTCTTCAAAAGAAGAATTCTAAAACTTTTAACATGAAAAAATATTTTATTAAAAGGCCTCACTTCATAATAAATTAGTTACATCTTCTAGTTTATCAAAATTAAAATTCTATAGCATCATCTTTTTATTTAAATTACTTTTTTATTTATTTATTTTCTATCTAATTTCAAATAAATTCAATTTTATATAAAAACCAATGATTTTAAATGTAATTTAAAAATGAACATGGGTTTAATTTAAAATTCTTATAAATCAATAAATAATTAGTTAGATTAACTTTTGCTTACTAAATGGTTATTTTAATTTTATCAAAATTTTTAGTTGCACATAATAATCTCATTATTAAATTTATTAATATGGATGAATTTCGTTGATTATTTATTTTATACTTTTGAAAAGTTTTATTATTTCAATGTTTAAATGTAATTTTTATATTAAATTTTACTTTTATTTTAGAATTCATTTTCAAATAAAAACCAACCAAATTATTTTTAGACAAAATTTGCATTTATTTATTTTTAATTTGAAAATTTATATTTATTAAATGAAAACTTTAAGTTTAAAATCACGAAGAAAAATGTTGTTTATTTAGTTTGTGAATGTAATATAAATTGAGATACTAATTTATATTTTAATAAAAGAAAATTAATTTTAATTAAATTTAATCGATATAGTATAAAAGAGGTATGTATGTATATTGGTTGAATCAGTTTAAGTGGCATTTAATAATTCGTTTTATGAGCTAAGGCCTATCTCTTAAAAAGATTTTTTTCTTTAATAAATTTTATTTATTATAAATATTTGTAAATTTATTGTAGCTTTTGATTTAAACTAATTTTAATTGATAAAAGTTTTTTTTTTTAGGTTTCATTTGATTTTTCAAGCTGCATATTGCTCATATTTTCTCTCAACAGGTACATTTGAAGGAATATTTCTTCCAAAGTTGTTGTTCATATCTACATTTTCTAGTCTCTCAATATATTCGCTATTGTCTAGGTTTTACTTTTCTTTAATTAAAGATCTTAGGTGCTCAATAAAGCCTCTGTAATCTACTTAATTAAGATATATAATGAAAAGATCGAAAGTAACAATCAAGAAGAGCGAGAAGAATATAATTAAATAAAAATCAGGCATTGTAAATATAGCTTGAGCTGTGAGATAAACATTGAACTACTCTATCAAATTGGCAACAAAAATGTACAGGAAATAAGGAACCAATGAAGTAAATATTATAGAGAGGAGCATAATCATTGTCCAGTATCTAGTATTTACTGCAAGTTTTACATCAACAACTAATATAATAGCAGAATATAATGTAATTGATACAACCCAGAGATCTGGTGAATAGCCATCAGATGACATAGCATCTTTCTAAATTGAGCATTAAACTACAGCATAAATTATAGATGCGTGAACTAATGCTTGAGCTATCCATATTAAAAAGTTTTTTGTATTAAAGATAAGGTTTTGCTAGCCAACGTAGTAAGCTTTTGGGAATAATTTCATCAGTTTATTATGATTGATTAGTCTTTCCTAGTTTTCTTGATCTTTTTCACGAATTTTATAGTACAAATCCTACTCAGTTACTGCTCTAACTATCAATGGAAAAGCAGTAAAAATGATATTATAAAGAGTTATATAATAGTCATCAAAAATACTCTGACCACTAAATCCATTTGAAAAACTAAAGAAGAATTAAGGAATTGTGAAGATAAAGTTTTTATAGAAAAAGTACAAGATCATTTCAGAAATTCTAATATAGTTCCATCTATTTATTATTTATAATAAAAAATTTCAATAAATATTAAATTTAATTGATGATCAAATTTTTTTTACCTTCCGTGCACAAGTAACAATCTCCACAAGCCCTTGAATTCAGGTAATGCGTAATCTGATGCTTAAACTGCTCTCATACCTTCCTGGCCAAAGAGACCAATACCAATGTGAGCTTCTTGAATCATATTAACATCATTAGCTCCATCACCGATTGCCAAAGTAATTTTTTGTAATTTGTCTTTGACTAATTTAACAACTTAAGCTTTTTACTTAGGAGTTGCTCTACAGCACACAACTGATTCGCAATCTTTTACAGTAGCAATAAGCATATCCATAAATTCATCATCTAACAAAACATCACCTAGATCTTCTCCTTCAATCAACAAAGCCTTTTCCTTTTTTTATCTCATAAGCTCCTCTTTTTCATAGAATAATCTAGTTAATTCATCCTTTACTAGATTGGGTGGAGTCTTATATACTTAACCTTCCTTAATAGGAGGCTTATTAATATGATATCTCAAGATTCTAAAATGAGATTAAATTAGCTTGCAACTCTTAGCAATATTTTCAGCTGTTTCCATTTTATCACCAGTAAGCATCCAAACATTTATTTCTAAATAATATAAATAATAAATAAATTTATTAAAGAACTTAGCAAATAAAAATTACTTGCTTATAGCATGTCTCTTATTGTTTCAGGAACTCTATCTTATAATTTATCTTCAACAGCTAATTTTTTAAAAATTCAAAAAAATATTTTCATTTAGTTTTTCATATTTAAATTAATTTTAAAGGCTTTTCGAAAATAAAATGATGAAATTTACCTGTTGCTCCAATTAAATACAAATCTTTCTCATAATCTTCAGCTATTTTAAAGAATTATTCTTCACGATTTGCAGCATTACCAGCAGCTTGATATTTTGCTTCCAACTCTTTATACTCGTTTTCTTCCAATATTCTCATAGCAACTAAAAGAGTTCTAAGACCTTTTTTAGAAAATTCATCAATTCTTTACTATATTTCATGAAGAAAAGGCTATTCGATTTGAGAATTTAATCTTTCCTTTATTTTATTATCAGCTCCTTTAATATACATTTTAATCACTCCATTATGACGGACAATTACAGACATTCTCTTTCTATCACTATTAAACTCAAATAATTTCAATAATTCTAGTTACACTTTTTCTCCTTGAACTTCAAGATTTATTGAAGCTGAGTTTGATCCTAAAAAGACATATCCATAATGGCGAGCTGTATCGACCAATGTTACTTCATCTGGTGATGGACCCTTTGTTTGTTTGTTAAAAATAATATATGGTTTCTAAATTCAAAATAATAAATTTTATTTTTATTTGAATATAAATTTTTTTATTTTATTTATTTCTATTCAAAAATGAATGAAATAATTTATTTACTTAATATTTTATTTCAGAGTGCTTAATAGGAGTTGTTGTGTTTTAGCTTGATGGAACAGGGCTTGGATCCAAGTTCATTTGGCCCATTTCTATTTTAATAGCATTATTATTTGCCTATTTTGGTATTGAAGTATTAGCGTTTTAGCTACTATTGCTAAATGGGATGGGTTTTTTAGTAACTGATTTATTATCAGTTTATTTTTCTGCATCTTCCATTTCAGACTGATCTTTTTATTCTATAACGCATTCATGACAAGTTGCTAGCAGTAAGAGATACTCATGAGCAATATCTTTCTAAGTTACCAATGTGAATAAGGATTTTGATTAAGTCTTTGAGTCAAACATTTAAAAATGATCAATTTAAAAGTTTCCTATTCCATTTAAAACCTTAACTAAATTTTCATCCCTCTTGTAAAAAACAATTTCAGAATTTTCATCAACAAGAGTGGGTTTTCTCAAAGATCTCTTTCTTTTTTAAGGTGAAGATAGCTCTTTTAGTACCTTCTAGTCTCCATAAAGCTGGTTTCCTATGCAGCATAATTTGAGTTCCATTTTATTGCAAGTTAAAGTTCCTGTCTTATCACTGAAGATGTATTATACTTATCCAAGCTCTTCATTAATAGATGTTGTATAAACTTTTGGGAGCTTTGTTCTTCCATCTTCCTTTTGTATTAACTCTTCGTCAGCAGCTATTATAAATCCTTGGACTAATTTAACTACTTCAAGAGAGACAATCAAAGAAATTGGTATCATAGTGTTATTCAAGACTATATAGGTCAAGAAAGTGAGAAAACCTTCAAAATCGGTACTTGATGGTTTCGGTATATATGGATATTCTGGACCTTTTTAATGATTCCAAATAGAATTTCCAATAGCTGAGCAAATACTAATGATTAGTTAGAATATGAATATTGCTATGATCAATTTATTTGTTTGTGATTCAATATTTGAAACTTTGTATTTAGACTTATCAGCATTTTTCATAATCTTTGTGTCTTCTCCTGTATATACAACTATACCAGCTATCCATTTTGTATTTTTTAATTTAGCACCACGCAATAAAAATTACTTAGCTCCTACAATATATTACTCACCATGGTATTGAATAGTACCTTCAAATTAATGAAGAAGCTCATTAGGTAATATACAATTTACCTATCCCACAAGTCTTATCACAGATTTGTCGGGTTATACCCATTTTAGAGTCTAAGCCATAGCTTCTTTATTTTTATAGTTTTTCTCACCATCAAGAGAGCTTGTCTCAATAAAGCACACTCCCCTAATAATTTATTATTAAAAAAATATTTTTTATTAATTTTTTCAGAAAAATGATTTTAATCAAAAAATGTTTTTTTTTCAATTATAATTAAAAAAGCAATTAATTTATTTTTTAATTTTTAAAATATTCTCAAAAATTTTTCTTCTTTTCTTCTTGAAAAATTGGAAATTATATAAAATTTGAATATTTTTTGTAATTAAAAATTAGAAATAACTTAATCAGTTTAGTAATAAATTCGTGCTTGATTTTAATTTAATTCATTATTTTGATCAATCTAAAAATTTAGTAATTAAGTATTAATAATAATAGTAATATTTTTTAAAAAAGAATAATTTATAATTGAAAATTTAATTTTTTATAGATTGATGGACTGCTTTTAGGAGATTTTAATCATATTAAATCCCTTGATATATAGTTTTAGATAAGGCAATTAATTGTCATTCGTTAAAAAATAAATCAAATGGATGGTGGGAGATAAATAATATGATAGAAATCAAACCTTTATTATTTCAAAGGTATCTTAAATTGTTAATTTCAAACAAAGTATTCATTAATTAGTTAGTTAGTTATTTGATTTATTCATTCATTCACTCATTCTCATTTACTGTAATAAATATTAAATATTTAGAGCTAACTAAAATTACTACTAGTGCAATGTTGTAATTTAAAATAAACTAGATGAAAAATTGATAAAACTTTTTTATATCCTATTTGTAATTTAAAATTATTTACCCTTCGTTTGATGTATTTAATACTATTATATCTGATGGAAATGTTTCATTTTCTACTATTTTTACTAAATCTCCAACTAAAACATCTCCCCATTTACACGTAATGAACTTTGAGTCTCTGTAAACTGTAGTTGTACTAGAGTTCATTTCTAGATCGGATTTATATCTTTAATAGTCTTCATACCCTTCTCTGGCCATAGAAATACCTATAACTATAACTAAAGGAGCCCATGCAGAAAATGGATTTAATGGAGATATTGCTGGGATACTTTACAGAATTGCAATTACAAGAAAATAAATATTTGCATATCTTTTGAATTGCTACAACAAGCACAGAGGCAAAAAATTCCATACAGTATACTTAGAAGTCTTTATAAAATTTGAACTAAAGCGCATATCTTTATTCATAGACTATGAGCCAAAGTGAAATATTCTTCTACCTCCTACTTATTTATCAACATTAGATAAACTTTTATTCAGATTTTGGCTCATCCTCATTTCTACTTATTGAGTTTAGTTTTTATTAGTATTTTGACTCATAATAATTGTCTAATCGATACTGTGAGTTCAGAGTTTTTATTATATTAAGATCTTAGATTAGATTGTTTTTTGCTCTCTTCAATTTATTTTCTTCTCAATTATTATTCTGTTAATATGTTTATGGATAAAAATGAAAATTCTTACTCTAATTTTTAAAAATTTTACTTTCTTAGATGAAAGTTTAGCAAGCGTTTGCTCTATTTCTGGTTATTTAAAACTCTTGCTATTTTTTATATGATTTATATTTACACCTCTATACACCAAGGAGAAGCTTTATTGCTGTTATAAATAAGAATCAGCTAGTTGAAAATAAAAAAAATTTAATAAGTATTTTTTTGTTTACTTATTTTAAGAAACTAATTTGCCAAATAATCTATATAATTTACTACAATCAATTTAATAAACAACGATATTAATTAAAAAACTAAGAATTTGTGCCTTTAATTTTAATTTCATTATATTCATTTATTATCAAATTAATTATCATTATTTTTACTTTTTTTAAAAACATCTTCCTTTATTACTTTATTTTTTAGATTTCACGACTCTTCATTCATTCATTCATTGATATATACAAACATATAGATAGATTTTTTGTTAAAACCCAAATTTATTCTTTTAATAATTTATAATTTTTATTTTTCTTCTTATATATATTTATAGATAGAAAGAAAATAAAGCAGAGATTGATTGAAAGAAAGAAAGGAGTTAGTTAGGAAATACTGATTTAATGCTTAAATTCTAAAAATCGACAGACAACTCTATTTATACTTAGTTTTATTTCTAGTATATCAATAGTAGAGTATATCGTTTCTTCAATATATTTTAAATTAATTTCCTCTATAATTTCTTAAGTTTTTTCATCAGAATTTTATACTGGAAAATATTAATAAAGAAAAAATAAAAATAAAAAATTTTATTTTCAATCAGATAAAATAAATAAAATATAAATTAATGTTTAAATTCTAACACCAATTGAAATTATTTTTATAATATTTTTATTATCAATAAAATTTGAATTAATATTTCTATTTTAAAAAAAATTTTTATGAACTAATTAATATTATTTTAAATTGATAATTTTAAGAAATATTTATTTACTTAAATGTTTTTAAACAAAATTTAATAATTCAATATGGGATTTAAACTTTAGATTTCAAATTATTTTAATCTTTTATTTTACTAAACTGTGGTTGTTCAATACTTTAACAAATGCAATTAATAACTAGTTTTGATACAAACTAAATTAAAATAAATCTTACTTGTAATTTGATTTTATCGTTAAAATTTGTGATTAAAATACTATCACAGATAAATCACGAATTGCTTTATTTAAGAAGCTTTATATTTATACATTCTTACTAACAATCAAATTATACAAAATAGCTATCTTAACAATCTATCAGATAAAGATTAAATAATTTACTTTTCAGTCTCTTAAATATTTATTTTTGTTTGTTTATGAATAACTATCACTTGAAGAATAGAACTTATCAATTTATTCTATTATAAAATAAAGCTTACCATGACAATAATAAAACTAATACGAAGCCTCTTGTGAGAAGCAGACCGTAGTCAGCAAACTAAGTTAGAAAATCAAACTCATCATTAAGCAAAATTTTAAGAAGTAGCAAAAACTATGATCTATCATTAACATAAAATAATAGCAGAAATACACCACTTAGTTCTTCTAACTAAAATTTTGTAAGCAATTCTAATTAATATACTGAAGGGGGAGAATCTGATAAAAATGTTTTAAACTAAAATCAGCTCTATTAAAATATATAAATTCAAAGACCATCTTCAGCTTCAACAGACTATTTTTACAGAAAATATAGATCTTTATCTAGTTACAATAGCACTATAAATAAAGAAAATAATAGAATAAGTGCAAATACTACATTGCAAGTTTAGCCAATTTCATTTTCTAGCACTCCTTTGAATAATACTTAAATGAAAATGACTCCCAACAGCTTATTAAGCAACACAAATAATGGCTTTTTCTCTAGTAAATCTAAATCTTCTTAAAAACCTTCAAACAAATCTTTGAATAGTGTTAGGCGCAAGTTAGAGTAAAAGAGAATTGAAGAATCGAATTTAATACTGCTTAAAAGTCTCAGCTAAATAAAACCTTAAATAAAATCTAAGAGAGTTCTCGATAAAGAATTTGAATAAACTTAAAAATACAAATCCAATTTAAGAAATTTTACAAATTACGGATAATAAAAGCCCAAAATCGTTATAATGAATAAAGAATATCTCTCTCCTATATTGCATAACTACATTGATAAAAAGAATATAGATAATTCTTAATAATCTCCCAAAGTAAATTATCAAAAAATATATTATATTTGAAGTAAAAATTTACTAATACAGGTCCCATAACCACCTAAAAGACTATTTAGAAGAGCATAAAATCACTACAATAATGGTTTTGTTTGTGATGAGATAGACGACACAGTAAACATTAAAAACTACCTTACTTCTAACACATAAATGCAACAAATTCCTGCTTATTATTAGGAGTATGGATATTAAGATAACACTATAAACTAGAAGTACTTTAAAATAAACATATAAATTAAAAAATATATATTAAAAAACTGTAAAAAATGAATTAAATAAATAAACTCTTTTTATTCAAAAGTTAAAAACTGTAAGAAGAACTAGAATATAGAAGAGCAGTATATGATAGTCATTACTCATAACAATAATAATATGGATAGCAACATTCCAATAATATTAGTTAGAATGAATAAGATTTTTATATTTAGCAGCTCTATTTACAACAAGAATAAAATTAAAATTATGATAACAATAATGTTTATAATCCTGATTCACAATAATCACCTTAATTCAACTAATAGCTATAAGATGATTATCAAGAGAACTCAGATCAAATACCAAACTAAGACGATTCAGAGTATAATTAATAAGAAGAAGATAATTATGATGAATACACTTACTAAAGATAATAGTATTGATAATTAACTTATTTATGGTTATGATTGATCTAACAGTTTTTTTTATTAAAAGGTAGTAAAATGAATATGAAAGTGAAGATAAATATTATGTAAATATAAATTAAATTTATTTTTTATTAAAAATTAACCTTTTTTATACAGAATTATGATGATGAAAATGCTTAAAATGTGCAAAATAATTAAAATGTTATGATGGTCAGAGATTTAGTGAATAATGCAGATTCAGACAAGCTATATTCCGATTCGAATATAAATCAAGCAAGCAAAGATGATAATAATTAGAATTATGGTCAATATAAATAAAGTTATGATGATGATGACGAAGATGGTAATGATAACGATTATGATTAAGATTAAGATTAATATAAAAATAATGATAATAATAAAAAGTATTATTAAAATTAAAGAGCTGCATAAATTAATAAAAATAATTTTTAAGATGATGACAATTACAAAGAAGATAATGATGAAAATTAAATGTATTATGATGCTTAAGAAGAATTAGATGAAGAGTTTGAACAACATGAAAATTCAAATAACAATAATAAAAAATTTAGTTAGGGTTTTAAAGAAAATTAAAAAAACTTATAGAAACCAAACTAGATCAGCGCTTAAAATGATGATACTTAATACGATGAAGAATTTGAGGAAGTTTACGAAGAAGAGGATGTAGATTTAGATGAAATGCAGAACTAATACTAAAACAACAATAATAATATTAATTAATAAGCTAAAATTAAATCTAATTAAATGAATTTGCAATTAGATAGGTAGCATAACTATGCCAACAATGGTAACTACTAAGAAGAAGAAATAATAGAGGAAGTTGATGACGAAGAGTCATATACTAAATCTAATAAAGTATTTAGTATTAGAAATAGTAAAGGTTATATCAAAAACTCAAATAGTTAAACATCTTAAAATGAGTTTTCTGAACAGTAGTTATACAAATCGAATTAATAATCCATGTTTAACACTCCATCTTTTATATAGGACTGATGTATAATAGGATGAAAAATTTTCTATATCATAATAATTGAGTTAATTAAATTGAGTTTAAAAAGAACGAACAAGGTTATTATTAAAAATTATAAATAATTTAATTACAATTAATATTATAATTAAGAATAATTTTGTAAATATATTTAAAATAATAAATTTAAAAAGTGTTAAATATTTTATATATCACCAAAGCTAAACAAAACACATTTATTTTATAAAAAAGAATTATTTTGTAAATAAATCCAAAAAATACTAATCTTATTTGAGAGTTTCATAAATTAAAGCTATTAAATCAAATTCAAATTGTTTTGTCAAATTATATATCAAAAATTTTATAAAAATGCAAAGATATTTTCTAATTTTTGTTTGAAAATTAATATAAAAAAAGAATAATTTGCAATCAAATTATTAGCATATCTAAATTAGGCTACAAATGAGATTCAGTATTTTCATCAAATATCAATAAATAGAAAAATTTAATTAAATATCAATAAAAAGTAAGTATGTGGATTTTACTTCATTACTAGTAATAGTCATAAATAAAATTTTTTTTTGGTTTATTTGAAAAGATAAATTTGAGTGCTTGAGTCAAATTGCTATAATAAAATAAATAGTTTGAATAAATAAGAAATATAATTTAGAAATTTAATAAAAAATAAGTAGGTAGGGAGGTAGCTAATAGTTAAATTGATTCTGTAAATACAATAAAAAAAGAAAAAGACAAGCATAATACTGACTGACTCACTAATAAAAAAAAAACAGTATTTACATTGATAAGAGTAGCTCACAATAAATACTCTTTATTTAAAGTTAGTTAGTGAATCAATAAATAGTATATATACATATAATTAGTTAGTAGTGTTAATTACTTTGACAATCAATTAAATAAACAAGCAAAAAAAAAAGATTGATTGATCAATTTATCTGTTTTTAAATCAATCAAAAACTCAAACAAAAAATTAAAAAATAAAGAGTATTCTATCTATGTATTCTAATAATAGCACTTAATAGAGAGGAGTTAGTAGCAATAGTTAAGGAAATGGTGCAGGATCATACACAATGATCATGAAGAATACAAATTCACTCAATTTCTATAACAATCTACAGCCATCTACTACAAAAGGTTAGCTTTAACTCTTAAATTAATCTTATTAAATATTTAAATTTTTTGATCACTAAGTGGTTTTCATTTAAATAATAATAAATGTTTATTAAAAAACTACAAGCCAAAATGTGTAATAGCGAAAAGCATAACATTTTACAATTTTTAAATAAATAGGAGAATCTAATAATTTAAACCAAGGAGCAAGTAGAAACTAGAATGGTGCTTAGTCAAATACTTCTGGAGGAGGCACATTAAATGAAAATAGCAGCAGTACTAACTTTTACTCACATTAACCTAAAGTATTAGGACGTTCAAATATGGAATTTTTAAATGGATTTTCCAACTTAGGTAATAATCAGAATAATGCTAGTGGGTTAGTATCTTCTTCAATTAGTGCAATCAATTTAAATAAGAAAGAATCTCCTAAAGGTCAGCCTAAGCTCTTTTAGGATTTTTAATCCTTATTTTTGAATAGCCCGACCCACACTTAAAGAATTGCAAATGTAAATAAATAAATAAATCAATAAATAATATCTATTTTTAAAAGCAGTAATATGTAGCTTATATGTTATTTTATAAAAAGGGATAAAGTAGCTATAACTAAGGTAATGGAAACGGTTAAAATACTTCAACATAAAATTTGCTAAAATCCAACAATTCAAAATTGTTATTTCCTAATTCTCCTTAGGGAATAAGTTCTTCTCTTAATGCATAATCTTAATCTTCATAATAATAGCAATAAAGTTAAGGAAATTCATCCTCTCCTTACTACGAGTTCAAAAAACCAAACCGCACAAAAGTTAATAACTTCTTTAATAGCGAAGAGGACTCTGATAAGAATAATTAGCAAAATAAAAATGAAGCAAAAGGCTCAAGTAGTACTCTCTATACTAGTCTTATCAATAGTAATGGGAATGGAAAAGTAATGTAAGAAAACAGTTACCCTTTAACAAATCAAAATAGCTCAAACCAGTAGAATAATTTAGTTAATCCTCACTCAAAAAAGCTCAGCAAAGATTTCGATAATAGCAATAGTAATTCTTAGCGCAATACAGCTTAAGCGCTTGGAAATAAGTAAATTTAGCAAGGCGCTTCATCTGCATCAAGTAATCAGCTTTAACAATCATAAATAGGACTTACTAATAAATAGCAACAAAATGGATAAGTAACAAATTCAATCAATTCTTTGCTAATTAATAATACAAAAGATAATACGAATTCCTATGCATATTAACATATGTAGTAGATGCAAATATAGTAAATGTAACAATAGTAGCAAAATGCTCTATTAACTAAAAATCAGTTTTACAGGCCCCCTTCTAGTGATAGAAATTGGAGGAATGCAACACTAAAAACAATGAATACAACTTAGATTTAAAATTAAATAAAAAAGAAAGAATAAATTGATTAATTAAGAAATTCTTATGAGCCAACCTCTAGATCTACAAATCCTGCAGGAGGATATTCTAGTCCTCTCTCTTAAAATAGTTATACAAAACAAACATATTCACCTAGAAACTAATCTTAAAATCCTTAATCTAGTAATGCTTAGGATGGCAAGAGCCAGCTTAACAGTTATGTATCAAAACTAAATAGAGGAGGTAAACAACTAAATAAATAAACAAGATTTCATATTTTTAAAAAATATTAATAGATATTTATAAAATTGCAATTTAATTCACAGTCAAAAAAAAAAGAAATATGTTAAAAAATCTTCTTCTTTAATAACAATTTAAAATTTTCTGTTCCTTTTTGAACAAAAATTTAGAAGAGCTATTTAGCTGTTTAGCTATTGTTTGAGCTATGATAATATTAAAATAAATAAATAATTAAATCTCTGAATTTTTAATTTGAAATTTTCCAAATATCTTTGATTTATTAAAAATAAATAAATTTATTTATTGATTGATCAAGAAGTTAGTTATTTTATCAATAAGAAATTAAATAGCTTTAATAGATAATAGGTTTTAATTGAAAATAAAAAAATATTGCTAAAATTAATACAAAATTAAAAGCAATAGTAAAAAACTGAACAAAAATGAATTTCATATTTTAGTTATCAATAAAAATTTTTGATCCAAATTAAAACTTAAACTGAGAAGAAGTTGTTTTTAAATTATTTTGCCATTAATTATTCAGAATTTTAGAATTTGTTTTTTAAATATAGATGATTTAATTAGCTAGGCTTTATAAAGCATAGAGCAAGTAGGAAGTAAAATTAAAGGGATTACTAGAAGTGGTACAAATGATTAGCAAGATAGCACTATAGCTTCATATCAAGGAGACAATAAAAATGAATCTAATAATAATAATAGTAATAACAATAATAAAAAAGATACAAAAGCTGCTACAAATAGCTTAAGAAATAGCACAGTTATAAATTAGAATAATACAATTGGAGCATTAAACTAGAATGTCCAGAGCAATAATTCCGTTAGCAGCAATGCATAAATAAGATCAGCTTCTGCATAAAAGGAGTATAAATCTACTACAAGCTTAGGTGGATATCTTTAGACATCTTAGCAATAAAATAGACCTTATAATTTAGCACTTGGTAACTCAAGTAATTGGATGCCTTCATACTAAAAACCATCCACAACCAAAGATAATAAGCATAAAAACTTTTTATTTTTTGAAAATTCTGATATTTTAAATGGTAAACAATCACTAACTCCTAAAAATGAATCAGCCTAGCAAAATTAAAATAACTAAACAAATAGCAGTAGAACTAACGGAGGTAACGGATATTCTAGACAACCTAGTAATTATAATGTAGATTTAAATAACTCTTCCAGATAAAACTAGTAATCAGATTAAGAGGTAAACACTAGAGCTGTTACACCAAAAATTCCTATTCATTAAGATTATTACATGCCAGGCATTGAAAAATGCTACAGACTTCCACTTCCTTAAGATTACTTCTCTCAGATATATAGAGAGCATTTCCTCTAAACTTATCAAGGTATTCAATATGCAGGACTTGCAAGACCTGCTAATCCTCATGATCTCTAATAGAAAAAGGTTTTCCTTAAAAATAAGCAGCCAGGTAAACTAAATTAACTTATTTTATATTCTTCTTTACTTTGAATATTTCATTTTTCTTTATTTTTTAATAAACAATTTAATTTTTATTATTAGGGAAAAAGACAATCATTTTTGACCTTGATGAGACTCTTATACATTGCAACGAAAATGCTTCGATTCCTTCAGATGTAGTTCTCTCAATAAGATTCCCTTAAGGAGAGATTTTAGATGTAAATTATATACATTTTTTTTATCTTTATATAATTAATTACTTCCTTTAAATTAGGCTGGTATTAACATAAGACCTAATGCAGTTGAGATGCTAAAAGAATTAAGTTAAGATTTTGAAATAGTCGTTTTTACTGCAAGTCACAGCTCTTATGCTAAAGCTGTTTTAGATCACTTAGATCCTCACAAGAGGTACATTCATCACAGATTCTTTAGAGATTAATGCATAATGACTCCCTAAGGTGTTTATATTAAAGATTTAAGAATATTTGCTGATAGAGCCATGAGTGAAATGGTTCTTGTGGATAATGCTGCATATAGTTTTGCTTTCTAAATTGAGAATGGTATTCCTATTATTCCTTTCTATGAAAACAAAAAAGATGATGAGCTCAAAACATTAACTACCTACTTAAAATCATTGAAAGATGTTAAAGATGTCAGAGAAATCAACAAACAAGCATTTAAATTACATTTATATAGCTAATTTGACACAGCATAAAAAGTTTATGAAAAAATTTTTTCTGGCCCTCCCACAATAACAAAAATAGTAAATCCTTCAAAAACAACTTAAAGCAGTGTTAAAACAAGCATCAATAACTATTTTTAAAATAAAAACTCTCCAGCTTCTAATATTGGCCCATTCCAACAGAAGCAACCTTCTTACGGAAAGAATACAAACAATAATAAATGAAACAATAAGCTCTTGTGTTTCAAAACAAAACCAAGAAACTATTTATAATATTTATAGTATTACAATTTAAGAACTAACTAATACAGTATCAATAAATATTTGAAAATTATAACCAAAATAGTCAGTTATCTGAACAATAATTTACATGATGAATAAAAAATAGTCAATTACAATCTACATAATTTACCTTCATTGTTTAAATGGATGGAGATTGTAAAATTTAAGCATTTCTTTAATTATTATTTTCATTTGCATTCTATGATAATCTTATTTATATGTCTATTAATTAAATCTATAAAAGCATAACTCTAAATATCAAATTTATCTTGTTTATAATAAAAAAGGTATTTATATATTTTTATTGTTTTTTATCATTTGCATTAATTACTTATTTTTAACTTTTTTTCTCTTAAAAATTTTATTATCAACTTTATCAGTTTATTTGGTTTAATGGAAAAACAAAATTATTTTACCTATTTTTATAACTTATTTCTTGATTATTTGTTCTTAAGTAAAAATAAAAATGACTATTATTTATTCAATAAATGAGAATGAAAAGAAACATTTTGCTTGCTTTAAAAATAATAAAAAGAAATATTAATTTAAATGACATTTGACTTACTTAATATATGAAAATAAATAAAAACATTTTGCTTACTTTAAAAATAATAATTTAAATTATAAATTTAAATGAAATTTAACTTAATTAATAAATGAACATATGGATTACTTATTTTTAACTTTTTTTCTTTTAAAAATATTATTATTAACTTTACCAAGTATTTGGTTTAATAGAAAAATTTATTTTATGAGAAGATATATTTTTATAAATTACTTCTTGATTATTTGCTCTTAAGTAAAATTAAAAATGACATATAATTTATTCAAAAATTAGAATAAAAAGAAAATTTCGCTTGTTTTAAAAAATAATAATATGAAATATTAATTTAAATGACTTTTGATTTATTTAATAAATAGAATGAATAAAAATAATTTGATTGCTTTAAAAATAATAATCTAAAATATAAATTTAATTGAAATTTAACTTAACTAATAAATGAGAATGAATACAAAATTTGTTGTTTGTTTTAAAATGATATTATAAAAAATATTGTAAAATATATCCTAAATATAAATCTAATAAAAAATTTAATAAAAAAATAACTTAATTTTTTTCTTTATATTGCCTAAATTTCTTTGAATTGCTTATAAAATATTTAGTTATTCAATAAATGATGTTATTAGAAATTTGCTTGTATATAGAAGTTTTATTATGATATATTCTTAAAAATTTTATATAAAGTGCATTAGATTATTTTTTAATTAAATTATGAGTTTGGATTTTATATAACTAGATATTCAATCTATTTATATAGAGCAACAATAATTATAACTTTTGAGTTTCATAACCAATTAAAAGTAATTAAGTAAAAAATCGATAAATATTCAAACATAGTTACATATAAGCATTCATTAGGAAGCATCAAGAAAAAAGGAATCAACTGATAACTCAATATTAAAATATAAAATTTAGCTCTATAATTAATGAGTTCATAAGGATCTAGCGTTCTTGAAGTATTTTAATTGAATAAAAATTCAAAAGAAGATGATTTAGAATAATGCATAGCTTGGCTTAGAGATGTATTTCACGATAATTTACCGAAAACAATATCAGTAGTTGTGAAAAGGTTAGGTGGATACGATCCTTTGAATACTACAAACTTATCAAAAACAACTTTTAAAGGTTTAAATACTACAGTAAATGCATCTTTGATGAACAACACTTTGGTTGGAAATTAATCTTTTAATGCAAGAAAGAGTGCTAATGAGAGTATAGCTAAGCATAATAACGAAAGTTAGAAAGATGCTCATTCAGATTATTTTGATAAGCCATAATAAGAAAAAAAAGAATCTCAAATAGCATAAAATAATTCAAAATCTGTGTCAGATACTGGTAACATTTAGGAAAAAGCACCATAAATTTCATCTAATTTGCAATCACCAACTAAATAGCTTTAGAATAATTAATCAAATACAAGCCTTACTAGCAACAGTTCATATATTTCTAAAAACTATGATGAAAATGACCCTATAAGTGTGGCTGATAAAGCTAAGCATTGCTATTTGAATTAAAATTATAATGAAGCATTAGAGCTTTATCAAAAATCATAAAACTTGGCACTACATGATGAAGAAAATAATATTAAACTAATTTTCTCAAACAAAGTTTATATTGGTAGTATTTATACGAATGTAAAGCAACGTTAGAAAGCTATAGAAGAATTAAAGTCAGCCTATGAGATGACAAAAAGGTTAAATATTAAAGAAATTATAGAAACGAATGAATGGAATTCTAAAGACGGAACTCAAAAATTCATTAACTCGAACCCTGTTTATTTTATTAATCTCACTTTAGGTAATCTCTACAATGAAGAAAAAGATTTTTAGAATGCTATATTTTACTTTGAGGAGGCATACAAAGAGATATAACACTCTCAAAACGTACTTGATTATAAAAACCAATCATAAATTCTTGACTCTTTAGGACTTATTTATTATTTTTCAAATAATATTCCTACTGCAATTGAAAAATTCAAGCATTCTTTATAAATTTTTGAAGAGCTGCTAAAAGTACCTGAATATGGAAACGATCCTTCTCTAAAAACATCTTATGCCAATCGCATTAATAACGTAAATAAAATAAATTCAATTGAATTATTATAAATTTTATTTAGCAATTAAAGTCTTTTTGGATTAAGCTAAAGTATATTTAAATCAAAATATATTAAGCCATTTTTAATATAACTTCAATTTAGTTAGGAGAAGCTTATAGAAGAAATAAGCAGATCGATGAGGCAATCGTCCACTTTAAAAACTCGTTAAAACTAAAGTTAGAAGCTTAAAAAGAGAACAATGACTATTCAGTTCAAATCCAAAAATAAATTGCTAATACATATAATAACTTGGGCATGAGCTATTACACCTTAAAATAATATGATGAGGCAATAGAATACTTAAACCATGCCATAGAGATTTATGAAAATAAGATAGGAAGAGTTGAAGCAATAGATTAGCTTTCTTGTGCTAACATTTTAAATTAAAGAGGAGATTGTTATAGATTTAAGCTTGATGTAATTAAATCTTGCGAAGATTACAAAAAATCGTTCAAATTAAAAGTCGACTGTCTTGGTGAAGAGCACAAAAGCACGATACTCACACACAACAATTATGCTTAATCAGTTTTTGGAACAAAAAATTTTTAAAAGTCAAAATAGTTATTCTTAGATCTGTTAAAGATATAGAAAAAAGTATTAGGAGAAAAAGATCCTTCAGTAGCATAAACTCTCAATAATTTAGGGTATTTTTATATTCTCTTTTTAAATTTATTGAACTCTTTATATTTATCATTATTAAATTATAAATTAGCACTGTAACTTCTGAACTCCGTGAATATGAGCTTGCTGAAATGTATATAAAAGAAGCCTTAGAAATATTCTAAAATTAACCAGAAACTACTTCTACAAATCTAGAGAGAGTTAAAAAAAATTTATAAGCAGTACAACACAAGATATAGAGAAATAGTTAAGAAAAATTAACTCTAAAGAACTAATAATGAATAGATAAATAAATAAAAATATTCATTATAAACTTTTATATAGACTATTAAAATATATTAAAATTACTTATTCATTGATTCATTCAAAATTTAAGACTTTAAGTACATTTCTTCCATAATTAATTTGTATTTTAATTCTTTTATTAGCTTATTTTTCTTTCTGTTAATAAACTAATTTTATTTTAAATAAATTATCTTGAGAATCTAATTGAGGAAAATGTTTATTTCTAACTAAAATTAAGAAATTACTGTATTTTGCTAGTACAGATAATAATCCCTATATGTTATTTGAATAGGATTCGAGCTTTATTCCATTACGAAAAAGTGGATAAAAATATTTTAATTTTAATTTTTGATTGAAGAAAATTAAATTTCTTATTAATTTAAATTATAGCTAACTTAGTAAGTCAGCTTAGAAATTTACATTTTAATTATTTAAATTAGTAAATTTCTTTTAAAAAGGATTAATTTAATTTTTATCATTTATGGAATTATTTTAAAAGTTTTAATTTTCATCATACATCTTTATGAATTGGATCCTTATTAGTAGATAATTCCTTCTTAAAAAATTTTCATTAAAGATTGTAACAGTCAAGCTTAAATAAAGTACGTACATAAGCATTAGAAAGGCACTAAAAAATAAAATAAAGAAAGAATTTTTAAATTTTAAGAATAAGCTTTGAATGTCAATAAAATTCAATTTATTTAATTTAATTAGTATTTATTTTTTGAAAATTATGAAATACAAATCAGCTTTGACTGGACCAATTATAAAAAGTTTTTTTGTTTATTTTTAAATATTAACTTAAACTTCTTTGAAATAGAGAAGAAGTTTATGCTTTTATCTTGCAAATAAAGAATTGAAAATAATTTTTACTTAGATATAATGAAAAGAAAAAATGATATTTAATTCTTCATTCATAAAAAAATAACTTATAAAGTTATTTTATAGCAAAAATAATTAAAGAATTAGATGATACTCAGAGAATAAAACTTAAATGATGTAAAATAGAATATTTGATATAAAATAAAACAACAAAATAATTTAAAATTCATTATTATATATAGATTAGATTCAATATTTATTTAAATTCTCAATGAAATTGTTTAATTTTCATTCTAAATTTGTGTGTTCAGTTTAGTTCAATTAGGTATAGCCTTATTGTGATTCTTTTTATTTTTATTCGTCATTTTATCCTAAGAATGTATTAGTTACATCATCTCCATATTTTTTTTCTACTATATTACGAGTGTTATCACCAAGAGATTTACCTACTTCGCAAACACCTTTTCCTAGCCCTTATAATGCTTCAGTTGTAGCGTCTAAGGTGGCTCCACCTATCTTCTTAATCTTTTTGAGAGTTTCATTGTCGCCATTGTCTATTTTCTCATTGATTTCTATTATTTTAAAATTATAAATTATTGCTGAATACATACATACATATTTGTATTAAATATTAATAATTTTGATGATTCTCTTTAGATATTTTACAGAAAATTTGATTCTATAATTTTCTAAATTTCTAAATTCCTAAATAGTCTTTATAACTAACTCAACATAAATAATTGAATATTAAAATCTATTAATTACATTTAACATATTTAGAGGTGGCATCAACCATTGGCTCCAAGACAGCAGATAAAAATCCAGCACTAATGCTAACTGTTTTAGTAGTGGTATCTTTAATTTTTTAGAATTTTTCCTTTGTTTCTTATGAAACTTCAACCTTTTTAGTGCTTGATATTTTAGAACCAATGTATTCTCCAGCTTTATTGACTCCGGTGGCAGCAGCTTTTCCTAGCCAAACAAAACCGTTCTTAAGAATATCACCACCCTTCTTGATATAGTGAAGGGTTTAATTATCATCAATCAAGGGTGTTTCAAAGATAGAAACACAGTGAGTGTTGATAGAATTTCTCAATGTTTCATCTTGATGATCTAATAGATCCTTTGTAAGAAAGGTGGCTACATTAGAAAGAATTATATCTAATTGAGTTATAACTTCTTCATCTAATTCAACACAAATGGCATTAAATCCATTCTCAATGTGAGGGAATATGTAAGTCTTATGAGTCTAGAACTAAACACTAATGAAAGGGATTTGTTTTTAGATTGTGAAATAGAAATCATCTTAGTTAATATAGTATATATTCTATTCTGAAAGAGAGCAGATCTTAAATACTCCTTTTGAAAGTAATTATTTATTGTTGTCCACCAAACGGAACCAACTAACATTCTTTATTTCAGTTAAAATCTTGACTTCGTGTTATTACTCCATTTTATTAACTATCTAAATGTATTTATTTGTTATTTGAAAATGTGTGCTTGCTTGCTTGCTTGATTGCTTACTAACTTTCTGATTAAATTTTTAATTTTTGAAAAGCTTTTATTTATTTATTATTTATTATATAAATATAGAGCTTTTGCACTTAAAAGAGTCAAGATAATTCATGTAAGGTTTAGTACGCATTTAAAGTCAATGAATGAATATTTTTCAGCTAGAAATAAATTTGTTGTCGAGTAATTTTTAATCATAGACAAATTAAAAATTAATATTTTTAATTAAATTTGCAATATAATCACATAAGTGTCATTACTCTATTACTTTTAACACGCACATAGGTATATGAACAAAAACTGATGTAATACTAAATTGATATAATAAATCGTCATATCGCAAGTATTTATTAAAATTTATCTAGCTAGCTAGAATGAAATAGTATTTCCTTAAAAATATTTACTTATCAACACTAAAATAGAAAAAAATAAACACCTGATATGCAATAAAAAATCAGTTGATGTGAATTAGGAAATGTTATGTTAATTTAAATTTTTTTGATCTTATGTAAAAAAAATAGTAAATATTATTAAATTCTGGCAACAAATTAAAAATACGATTTGAACTTTTTCTTGATCGGCATTTAATCAACTTCTATTAAATGATATAATTTAAAATTTAAATGTAATAAATAATTTTACGTAAGCAAGATAAACTAGATAAATTTATCTATTCTAAAAAATATAAAAGTAAAATTTATATAGGATATTCATTATAAATTGCAATTTTATTTCTTATTTAAAATGTTTCTTAAATATTTTTCTAGAAATTATTTCAATACAAAAAATGATGAACACAATGAATAGAAAATCAATTAAAATAAGTTTTTAGTTATCTAGTTCATATTTCAAAAGTAGACAATTTGAAGTTTTTAGAATATCTAACAAAATTTTAAATAAATTACACTTGTAAGCATATAATTAAGATTTTAAAATGAATAATATTCTTTTTTTGAATTTTTGTTATAAAATGTTTATTATTCTCAATTACAAATTTAACAATTTTTTTTAATTTAAAAGGAAATTTTTTAATATATTATTATTGATAAAATGTAAAGTATGTAAGGATTTTTGTTTAGCGTTTTAACTTATATTTAATTGCAGAAAAAATAAAGAATTTTGTTTTCCATAATAAGCTATTAAAATTAGATTTATTTTAGAATAAAATGCGATAATAAATAAATATATTTAGATAAAATATTTCATTTTTAGTCAAAATTATTTTTATTTTATCATATTTAAATTAATAATTTTTTGAATTTAATAAAAAATGATTCCTCCGAGGTTTGAACTCGGGACCTTCAGTGTGTTAGACTGACGTGATAACCACTACACTAAGGAATCAGATCTGTTATTATTGAAGAATAAATATTTTTTCACATTACTTTTTAAGTTAAAATTTTTTATTTTTTAGTAATTTTAAAATTATTTATTAGAAAACTTTCAAGGAGCTATTAAAATAATTTAACTGCAATAATTTGATAGAAATTTTGTTCTTTATCATTAATTTTTTATTTAAAATAGATGTTCATAATTTATTTATGATTAAATTAAAAAAATTATTAGTTAATTCAAAGTTTAAAGTTAAAATTTTATTTTGAGCTAAAAATCATCTTAGTGAACTATAAAAAAGAGTGCATGCATTTTCAATATTATTTATTTTTTTATAGTTTATGATTATAAAAATTTTGATTTATAAGATAATACCTTATTATTGATCTCAAAATATTAGAATATAATATTCTAATTTCACTATGATATTATTGTATGTCATAATAAAAAATATATTTTTATAAATATAAAATATTTTCAGAATGTTGAATAGCTTTTTAAATATCCTTTGAATACAAAGAAGATAAAAGTTTTTATTTTTTTTAGATTTTAAAAAATAAAAATTTAGAATATTAGAATTGTAAAATTTGTTTGAAATATCCTAATTTATTTTAAAAATTGTTTGATATTACTGATAATTTAATAAAATTACCAAAGATTGGTTGTATTCAAACGAAAAAAAAGAATACATTTATTTAAATTATTTTTACTTATGAAATTTAATATTCATAATTAAAATATTGAAATTTATTTAATGTAGTCTTTATATTTTAAACTTACTAAATAATGAAAATTAAAAAATAAAATTATAAACTAAAATAATTTAAAATATATTCAATTTATATTTATTCTATGAATTTAGAAGCTTAGACAGACTACATTATTTTACAATATTCTAAGAATTTAGAAGATAAAACCACAATATTTTAGAAAATATCTTATTAATTGAATAATTGATTCTAAGAATCTAGAAAATGCTCGTTTATTCATTTTTAGAATATTTACCTAATATGATTTTAATAATAAAACATAATTTGCAATATTATATTTGAATAATTTATTCTAAGATTATAGATAATGCTTTTTTATTCATTTTTAGAATATTTACTTAATATTATTTTAATAATAAACATAATTTAGAATATTCTAAGAGTTTAAATGATAAAACTGCAAAATTTTAGTATATCTTATTATTTGAATAATTGATTATTAGAATTTAGAATATTTGACTACATCATTTTAATATTCTAATAATAAATTTAGAAGATAAAACTACAATATTTTATTTAGAATATATCCTATTGTTTGAATAATTGATTATAAGAATTTAGAATATTAGACTATTTACATCATTTTAAATATTCTAATAAGAACTTAGAAGATAAAACTACAATATTTTATTTAGAATATATCCTAATATTTGAATAATTGATTCTAAGATTTTAGATAATGCTTTTTTATTCATTTTTAGAATATTTACTTAATATTATTTTAATAATAAACATAATTTAGAATATTCTAAGAGTTTAAAAGATAAAACTGCAAAATTTTAGTATATCTTATTATTTGAATAATTGATTATTAGAATTTAGAATATTAGACTACATCATTTTAAATATTCTAATAATAAATTTAGAAGATAAAACTACAATATTTTATTTAGAATATATCCTATTGTTTGAATAATTGATTATAAGAATTTAGAATATTAGACTATTTACATCATTTTAAATATTCTAAGAGCAATTTAAAAGATAAAACTACAATATTTTATTTAGAATATATCCTAATATTTGAATAATTAATTCTAAGATTTTAGATAATGCTTTTTTATTCATTTTTAGAATAATTACTTAATATTATTTTAATAATTAACATAATTTAGAATATTCTAAGAGTTTAAAAGATAAAACTGCAAAATTTGAGTATATCTTATTATTTGAATAATTGATTATTAGAATTTAGAATATTAGACTACATCATTTTAATATTCTAATAATAAATTTAGAAATTAAAACTACAATATTTTATTTAGAATATATCCTATTGTTTGAATAATTGATTATAAGAATTTAGAATATTTGACTACATCATTTTATGGCATTCTAAGAGTTTAGAAGATAAAGCTGCAATATTTTATTTAGAATATATCCTATTGTTTGAATATTTGATTATAAGAATTTAGAATATTAGACTATTTACATCATTTTAAAAATTCTAATAAGAAATTTAGAAGATAAAACTGCAATATTTTATTTAGAATATATCCTATTATTTGAAAAACAAACTGATTCTAAGAATTTAGTTAGAATATTTGACTACATCATTTTACAATATTCTAAGAAGTTAGAAGAAAAGACTACAATATTTTTTATAATGCTAGAATGATGTAGAAAATTATTTTTTTTAAATTAAAATAATTTTAGAATATTAAATAATATTTTTTTTAATTAAAATAATTTTTTAGTTTAGAATGTTAATTTTAAAAAAAGAAGAATAATTACATAAATATATATATATAATATTATTATTTTAAGATCATTGATCTATATAAATCAAATTATCTATCTATCTATTGAATTAAGTTAAATTTCAAACCTTTATAGTATATTCTAGACACCTTATCATTTTCTTGAGTATTTGTATTCTTTTTGGATTTTATTAAAAGTCACCTTCAAAATTTAATCTTTATTAAAAATTGTTTTAAAATAAATAAAGCTTTTTATTATTTTTTTTACCTTAAATCAATCAAAAATTTGTAAATTTTAGCTTTTGTCTTTGTTAGGTTCTATACAAAATTGGAGGCTATATCACTTTAAATTCTATTTTACCTTGAAAAAAATTTTTTTTTATTTTTTTAGTTTTGAAGCATTTATTTTACCTTAAGTCTAAGCTAAAAATTGTGACTTTGCTTAAAGTTAATAAATCAGGTAATTAAATAAGAAAATGTCCTTCCAATTTATTTTAACTATGAAACAAATTTTCAATACATTTATTTGAAGAAAAGAAAAATTAAATACATCACGCTAAGATTAACAATTTTTATTAGAGGAAGTTTTGATAATACTTAGAATAGAATTATTAAGTCATTATCAATTATTCTATTATTACTTTAAAATAAATCAACAAAAGATAAAAAATTAATATGGTTTTTGGTATTTACTCTACATTTATTGATAACTACTGTAGGAAAAAATAATTACTTAGACCCTCAAATAGACCTAACATCGCATTAGAATTAATCTACAATTGTCTTATTTATATAAATATTGAGTTAAAAAGTGCTTTTCGATTATTTTTATAACAATACTTAAAATTTAAGTCTATGCTTTAAAGTTGTAGCCATGTTAGAGATTAGCATATTAAAGATATTCCTTGTCTTCTTATTTGAGTATCGCTTATATAAATAAAATAATTAATCAAATAAATGTTTTGTCTATTTCCAACTACCTTAAAATCAATGTAACTCTCTTGAGATTTTTGAGCTAAATCAAACCTTAGGAAATATAAAGTGCAGCTATGTCTGATATCTAGTTAATTCTTATATAACTTAAAAAAAATAGCCGTTTTTAAATTTATTAGCTTACCCAATATTTAAATAAAAGCTTTCTAAATAGTAAAATGGAATCATCTTATATCTCATATTTGATAAACCTTCGTCATCGATATACGTATTACTATTCAAATAAATTCTCTTTATTAATTTGACAATCTAACAATAAAATACCATAAATTTAAATTTAAATGTCTCAGATTTTAGCAATATTAGGCAGACTCCATCAATATGTTAAGTCTCTCACTATTAATAGAAGAACTCGTCCTAATAATTTAAATAATTGACATATTAATTTTTTTGGATGCATTTTAGAGAGCAAACATAAGGAAATTAATTTAAATCTGGATGATTTTGTTTAAAAGTAGAAAAAAATAAAAGAATTTTTAAAAAAAGAGTTTTTTTTTAAAAGTATTTTATTTTAAATATAGTATTTATTTGTAAATAAAGAAAGAATAAAAATAAAAGTGTTTTATTTTAACTGTAAATAAATAAATTACTCAAAATCTAACTCCAAGTCTTATAGATTCTGTAATAAAGATATCTTCTTTCCAATATTTTAAAATTAATTTTAAACAAGCGGAGTATTTCTTTCATTAAATAATAAGTTTATTTTTCATGAACTATTTTAAAGAATTTATTTACCTTAAGGATAATTTGACTTTTTAATAGGTGTTATTACTATTTTATATGTCAGCATTTTGATAATTATTTAAATGTAGAATATTTTCATATTGATATAATTTAATATTTGAATTCATCAAATTTAAAAGTTTATAATTTTTTATTTGAAGCGGATTTTTACAAATATTCTAACAATATTCTTTTTTTTTTCTTTAAAAATTGTTTAAGTTTTAGCTAATAAAATTTAATTAAATTAATTAATTAATTAATTAATTTTATTAAATAAAATGGTAAATTTAAAAAAAAAGCAAACTAGAGTCTTGCCTTTTTTTAGCTGTCAGTGTGGAAAATTCTATACAGAGTTATCTTCTCTTTATAACCATATAAATAGTAAACACTAAGGAGACTTTCAAAATAACTAATTGGATCGAGGAGTCCCTGAAGGAAGATGCTGGAAAATTGATCGCTATGAAAAAAAATTTTTAGAAAAACTGTTTTTAAAAGATGTAGAAAATACTTAATAGCTTAATTAAGAAAAAATAAGATTAAAATTTAAAGAAATTGTGAATTCAATAAATGAAATTGTAAACAAATATAAGATTGAAAATGCTAGAAAGGATCTTTTAAAAGTAAATATCAAATTATAACCTATTTGGATAAATATCGAAGAATAAAAAATTGTAGAAAATATGGAAAAATATTTTTATTCTTATTTGTTCTCCAAACAAATTATTTAAATACCTTCTGAATTAAATGAAGATATTGTAATTAAAGAATTAAATTATTTTTTATAAGAAACTCAAATTATACAAAATAATAATTCTAAATAGATTAAAACTGACATTTAAAAAGTGAAAACTTAGCTCTATGATCTTTCAACTAAGAATGATTCCAATTTTTAAAATAAGATTCAAATAAAAAATATATGAAAAGTTATTAGATTAGGACATAATATAGCTAAGTTTTTCAAATTTTTATGAAGGCTTGTAAGATTGATGATAAACACTTACCTCAATAATCAGATTTTTTTGTTTGTTATAAAGAGCAGTTTAAAGGTGTGAATATTTTAAAAAAGGAAATAATAAGCACTTTATGATGAATTAAAATAAATCCTAAAGTATAAAAACTCAATAATCAGATTTGTTATAAAGAGCAGTTTAAAAGTGGGAATATTTTGATATAAATTCAATTTTTTGTCATGTTTTATTGTCAAAAAACTAAATTTAATCTAAAGTTTACTTTGATTGTGCACTGCATCACTAACTAATAAGCACTTTATGATGAATCAAAATAAATCCTAAAGTGCAAAAACTCAATAATCAGATTTGTTATAAAGAGCAGTTTAAAAGTGGGAATATTTTAAAAAAGGAAATAATAAGCACTTATAATAGACATTCCTCTAATTAAATTATTATAAAATATGATGTATTTATTTATATATTGATTCCAAAGATTATGATTAAAATAAAAATATGTTTTCGGTACAAGAGATGAGATACAGATAATAAAACCTCATTCAGATTTAAACTAAAATATTTTTATTAATATAATAAAGATATTCATTTGAATTAATTCATTTTAAATGAAAATAATTCACAATAATAAATAATATATTTATTTGGAATGATAAAGCAATCAAATTTAAATTAAATAATAAAAAAAATATATAAAATTAACAAAAATTAGATAGAATTCACTAAAAGCAATCTGAGCTAAGTAAGTAAGCAAGTGAGTATTTATTTTGATAAATAGTTTAAAATAAAAATTTAAAAATAATAATTAATATCAATCTAATAGTATATTTTAAATTAAATTTATTGGATTAATTTCCATCTATTTTGGGCAATCATTTGATGATGCTCAGTAAAAGTATTAATTGTAAATATTATATCTTCTTTAATAGTGCATTAATGATTAATTTAAAAGTTGGCCACTTAAAACTATTTAGCAAAAAAATGATTTATTAATCAACAGATTAAATTTTTCGAAAATTTATTTTGATATTAAAACACATCTTTTCTTTTAATTAATTTATAATTAGGATTTTTTTTATATTAAAAAAATGATTCCTCCGAGGTTTGAACTCGGGACCTTCAGTGTGTTAGACTGACGTGATAACCACTACACTAAGGAATCAGTTTATGAGATATTCTAATTTTTATTTTCATTTGATTTATTTTTTTTAACAATAATTTCAATAATTTTCATTTTTAACTTTAATTCCTAAAATATTTTCAAATATAATTTTCATCTCCTTAAAATATTGTGTTGATTTATTAATATTAAAATAAAAAATCTTTATAAATAATTTATTTTTTTTGGAATTTAAAAAATGAAGTTTATGTATAATAAATATCTTTGAATTGATTTTACATTAATAGAAAAATTAAATTTTCAACAAGAATATTAAAATCCAAAAATTTATTTTTGATTTTTAGCGAAAAACATACTTTATTTCTTATTCATTTAAAATTATCAATTTAAAATTTTTTATTATTATTAATATAGTTGTTTGTTTAATTTTTATTTTTATTTTAATATTCCTCATACCAAGGCTTGTTTAGATTTATTTGAGGCAAAGAAACTATAAAATATTCTATAATAGTAAATATAATTCAAGTGTATGTTAGAATAGAAGACTTAGCAATAAGACATTTTAAAAATAATTTACTTTGATATAGATTTGAAAATAAAATTAATTAAATAATAATGAATCTCTAAATTACTAATTTTATTTATTTATTTAGAATATATAAAAATAAAAATAACCTGAACTATTTTTGAAATTAGTTTTACTTTTATTTTTTATATATTGTCAATCTTACATTTAATAGTATTTTATTTTAAATAATTAGTTTTAAAATATTTTTAAGTTGCTGGCTAATTGAAATATTAAATTATGAAATTTAGAAATCTAGATGGAGTAGCTAGCTAGCTATACTATATTTAAAAGATTTAATTTAATAATAAAATACTTCTATTTGATTAATAAATTTTATTAAACTTATCTTTTAAATATTTTTAGAATATTTGAAAGAAATTTATTTATTTATAGACTCTAAAACAATACAATAAATTTATCTTTTTTCATTTCTCTTATTTTGGGAAAATTTTTGTATCAATTGATTTAAATTAAATAAGAAAATTAATATTTAATTTACATTTTAAAAGAATAAATTGTTTAATAAAAAATCAAGTAAACTAAAAATTAATGAACTTAATAATTAAACTATTTGTTCTTATTTGCTGTTTTACAATAAATAAAATAGTTTTTTGTGAATAGGTATAGCTCAAGAGCAAAATCATTTCTTGCTAATATATCTATCATTATTAAACACAAATAGATGGTTAAGCTAAGGTGAATTTAATTTGCATTGATACTTACACGAAGTTCTAAAAAATATACGAAATAGATTAAAGTGGAAACGTTAGATTTGTATTTTAGTTAGAAGATTCTAAGACTAACTATTTAACCCTTGCTATAAGAGTTCTTTCTCAAAACAGACAATCTCGAGAATAGCTAAAAAATATTTATTATTTAACAAGAGAGCTGAAGCATAATTAGGAGGGATGGAAAATTGATTATGTTTCTGGCGAATTAGGATATTAAGCTAGTTTAGAAAAACAAGCAGATATTAAAAATATGCTTTAGGAATTTTATATGACCAAAGTGTAAAATCTTAGCAATGATAATCTCTGTAATCCTAACTAATTCAAGGATTGCTAAGTACTTAATTTTTATTTGCAAAATGAGTTTATATTCTACACAGTCAAAGCTGGATCAAAGACAGATTCTACTTTTTCTAACTTCTTAGGAAAATTATCGATTTAGAAATAAGATGACCCAGCTTAACTCTAGTTGATAAATAAAGATCCTAAAATGTTAGAATATGCTTTTTGCCCAAATTTTATAATGTTATAAAGTACTCTAAGCAGTTCAAAATAATATTTCTTAGTGAGTGGTAATTTTATTGAAAACAAATCTGGATAAAAGTTTGTAAAGTGCATTTAGTTAAATTCAAACGAAGACACATTTGTCCTTAACGTTGTAGGGCAGACATTTTATTTAGCTAAATTTGATTCAGTAAGTAAAACAGTCAATACTAATGTACTTGGTGACTATAATAGTGTAAGTAAAATTCCTGAGTACAATTCAGCACTGATTGTATAAGGCGCTAAAACATTTCTTTACTGCAATGGTTCATAGAAGCCTTTGATATAAATTCAAAATACAAACAAAGATTTTTTAGGCGAAGATCTAGAAGATTTACAATAGTTCTACCAAGGATACTTCTTAGCAAATTTTAAAGACCACAAAAGAGAGATTTACTAATTTTAAATGGATGAAAGTACTTGCATGGTTACTAAATTTATCTAAATGAATCTGATGCCAAGATATACAAAGCCTATCTTTAAAGATTATGACATATTTACTCCTTATTTGATATATATCATAAATAGAATGTGTGCTGATGAATAGTATTTTAAAACTACTCTGATTGATAATGAGTATATTAACGGTTGTTCTTATAGCATTACAAGATAAACTAAGCAATCAGATATCTTTTGTAACTTGTAATGTCGTACTTGCATGCCGGAAGATCCTACTAAATGTACTTCTTGTTTTGTTGAATACAACTCATATTTAGATCCTTCTACTCAGACATGCAAATGTCCTATTGGGTTTTATATAGAATAAGGAGCTCCTCTTAAATGTTCGCCTTGTATTAGCGGCTGCGATGAATGTATAAATTATACTTCTTGCAAAACTTGTTCATCCTCTAGAGTGCTGAAAAATGGTGTCTGTGATTGCAACTCAAGCTAATATTTTAACATCTTATAGAACGATTGTATAAATTTACCTATTAATTGTGACTAGGCAAATGTATTAGGATAATGTACATAATGTAAAAGTAGTTTTTTTTTATAAAATGGAATATGCGCTACAGGTTGTGATGGATTTGTATATAAAAACTAGTCCTGTGAAAAAACATGTCCAAAAGGAACATTCTAAAATGCAGATTAAAAAATATGTTAAGATTGTAACTCACTTTGTACTGAATGCACTACGTTAGATACTTGCACAGTTTGCAGAGATGATGCTAAACTTGAAGGAGATAAATGTGTACCTAAGTGCTCCTCAGGATCTTATCCAGACCGTTAAGAAACCATAAGTTGCCTACCTTGCCATTAAAATTGTAAAACTTGCATAGGACCCTTAGAATCTAATTGCACAGGCTGTAAAGAAGGCTACTATTAATTTAAGAAAGGTTGATAATAATATATTTGGGTATTTCAAATCATCATTTTTACATATCAATTAAAATCAAACTTGCTAATAAATAAATAAATCCAAAAATAAATTAAAATAAATAAATAAATAGTTAATTAAAATTATATTTATTTCTTCATAAAATAATTTTAAAAAAAGATAAATTAAAGATGAATTAAATATAAAATATATTTTTTTACATTAATATAGAACTTACTTCTTTAGATTTTAACAAAAAATTTCAATTTAACAAATAAACTGGACGACTAACTATGTGTTTATATTTTTAATCTATTTTTAGGAACATAAAGAAAAGAATTTTTAATATTTATGAATAGTTATTTATTTATTTAAGAATATGTCTTCAAAACTCTAGCAAATTACATAGCAACCTAGGCATTTTATGGATAAAATTCTTTAATATCATCTAGGACTGCATACTCAAATTGTTCAATCTATATTATAATAATCAATAATTAATTAACGAGTTTTGTTTTAGAGACACTCAAAATTTAAATGTATTAAAATAAATTCAATCAAAAATGAGATAAAATTTTTACAATAAACAGAGTTCCAAATTGTTAAGGGATTAGAGTTTTTTTAAATGAGAGCCAATATAAGAGATACATGAGTCATTTAGATTACATTCACTTATAAATAACAATTTTAAATAGTTTATAAAAAGTATTTTTATATTTTATTTATTTTTACGCTAGTGTTAATTACAAAACTTTGAGTTTCTCACAATTTTTAAGCGAAGAAATTAAGGCCTTTGCTCCTTCGTCATTGATATTATTAGAACTTATAATTTTGAAAAATATAATTTATTTTTAATTTAACTATTAATTATTAATATAAATTAAATAATATTTTCTAATAAGTCCTTAAAAGTATTACAAAAGGTTTAGACACATCGATTATAGATTTTTACAGTTTTCCAATGAAATACCTAAATCAATAGCACACTAAGCATTTAAGTTGCTATAGCTATTAAGATATGAAAAAATTATTTTATTATTTATTTATTTATTTTTTTTCAAATAAATAATTAAATAAAATCATTAGAATTTTACATCAAGATGAGCGTTAGGTGAGAAAGCTTTGAATACTTAGGTAAAGCTTAACATAAGCTATTAATACCTGTTTCACCTATAAGCATTTAACTTTTAATAAATATTAATTTTAATGATAAAAACTTCTAAAAATTTTTACTCAAAAAATAATATATGTTATTAAAATATTATCAATTTACCTTAGATCTAGTGTTAATCTTTAAAGATTGCTTAGTAATATTAGCTTAGATGCTAGAGAAGATAACCCAATTTAGCAAATTCCATTTTGTCTTTAATTTTAAATTATTTAAAATAAATACAAAAAAATTAATTGCAATAATTCTTTCTAAAGAATTGATAGATAATATGTTAGCTAGTATTTATTTACTCAAGAGAGAGAGTTAAGTCAGAAGTATTTTTAATTTGTGATAACGAATCACTAACTAGAGATAAAGTGTTTGAATCTACGTTGCATTTTCTTTTAAATTAAATTTAATATTAATATAACAGTAAATAAATTTATTTATATTCAAAATTAAATTAATTTTATCTGTTAAAAATAAGAAGTTTACCTTACATCAAGTTATATTTCTTAAAGATTCTAACAATTCTTTATCTAATCACAAAATTAAGCTAAAGCTGGACCTTAAAATTTATTATCCCTTTTTTTTTTGCAAGAATAAAGTTAGGAAAAAAAATTAAAAAAAGCAATAAAGAAAAAAAAAAATCAATCAATCAATCATTTAATTTAAAATTAAATTATGTACCATAAAATTATTTTTAGAGATTGAATATTTGAACAACTACTAATAGCCTAACCTAACGCTTAAATTCCTTAGTCTCCAATTTAATTAAACCTTTAAAACAAAAGAATTTTTAAAGTAAATAGACAAATAGATTGGCTAGATTAATGAAGATAGAAAAACTATTTTTAATTATTAAAAGTTTTTTTACTTAAAATTAAGTGATAATTTTTAAATTTCTAAGTAATTAGTTAAACCAGAACCTATAAAAGAAGCCCCTTCGTCACTTATTTAGTTGTAACTTGTTATAATAATTATTCGTTTGTAAAAGAAAAGAATAAATTAGTTGAGATACTTTAAGTCAAGGATCATATTTTAAATACTTAAACATTTAGACATTAAAGATTTAAAATCTTTAAAACCTTGATCACCAATATTATTTGACCTATAAAAATAATAAAATGATCAATTTAATAAAATTGGTTAATTTTTTTTATTTACTATAATTTGAGTGTTAAGCTTTTAAGGTTTTTACAGCCTGATAAACCTTTTATTAAATCTTAAGAACTTTAATTTCCCATTTAATTGTGACTTTTTTTAATAAAGAATAAATTTTGTTTAGATATAAAAATATTAAAAATGTAGATAAATATTAATTTTAATAAGTAATTTGTTTTTTAAATGTAAACATTTATCAAGAAAGCTAATTTAATTTACCTAAGATCAAGGATTAAACTCTCAAGATTTGGATTATTTACTAATACTTAGCATATGTTTAATATTTACTAATTACTAATTTAGATTTAGCTTTATTTTAAAACAAATAAAAAAAAATATGTGCTATTGATGATGCTTTTGTTGATTGCTATAATGAATCAGTTATTAATTATTTAATCTATCAAAAAATATTACCAAAATTTCAGATATAAATTTTTTTGATTAGACCAATCAGACTTAGATAAAAGAAACTTTTTGTCATGAAGAAAGCTAATTTGATTTTTGTATTTATGATATAAGAAATTACTTAGTCTATATTTTTGCATTTTATGGCTGCTTTGGTAGTCTTCATTTTATTTTAGTTATTTTTATAAATAGCTGAATATTCAAGATTAAAGCTTTTGTTAAATGATTTAAATAAAATATTCAATTTAACTATGGAAATTAAAATTTATACTTTGATAATTTAGGGAATTATTTATTTTAGCCCAATTTTAAGGGAGGATGTATGCTTGATAATTTTAATCTTAAATCTATTTAAATTATTTTTTTAATCACTCACCACAGAAATTATCCCTAAATCCTGTATTTTGTTTACCCCACTTACTTCACAAATTTAACTAAATTTAAAAATTTTGATGTAAAAAAATTATTTATTTATTTTTTAAATTATAATAAATTAAATTATTAATTTTTATTCTATTATAAAATATAAAAATTAGATTTTTTAATAAATAATTAAAAAATCTATTTCATAATAAGTGGTATGCAAGCCACGACATTTTTATATGGCATCTTGCTATATACAAAGCCTATCTTTAAAGATTATGAAATATTTACTCCTTATTTGATATACATCATAAATAGAATATGTGCTAATGAATAGTATTTTAAAACAACTCTAATTGATAATGGATATATTAAAGATTGCTATAGTAGCGTTACAAGATAAACTAAGCAATCAGATATCTTTGTAAATTGTAAAGTTGCTACTAAATAAATGTACTTCTTATTTGGTTGAATATAAAGCATAAGATCCTTCTACTTATATGCAAATGTCCTCTTGGATTGTATATATAATAAGGAGTTCCTCTAAATGTTCCACTTGTATAAGCGGCTGCGATGAAGGTATAAATTCTACTTTTTGCAAAACTTGTCATTCCTCTAGAGTGCTGAAAAATTGTATCTGCGATTGTCACTCAAGCTAATATTTTAAAATCTTATAGAACAATTGTATAAATTTACCTATTAATTGTGAGTAGGCAAATATATAAGGAAAATCTATATTATGTAACAGTAGTTATTTTTTATAAATGGAATAAGCGCTACAGAGTGTGATGGATTTGTATATAAAAACTAGTCTTGTGAAAAAATGTGTCCAAAAGGAACATTCTATAATGCAGATTAAAAAAGATGTTAAGAATACAACTCTCTTTGTATAGAATGCTCTGCTTTAGATACTTGAAAAGTTTATAGATAGTGATAATACTAAGCTTGAAGAAATTTAATGTGTAACTAAGTGCTCTTCAGGATCTTATCCAAACCCTTAAGAAACGATGAGTTGCCTATCTTGCCATTAAAATAGTAAAACTTGCATATGACCGTTAGAATCTAGTTGTACAGGCTGTAAAGAAGGCTATTATTAATCTAAGAAAGGTAGATAATAATATATTTGGGTATTTCAAATCATTATTTTTACAAACCAATTAAAATCAAACTTGCTAATAAATAAATTCAAAGACAAAGTAAATAAAATAAAAAAATAAAATTATATTTCTTTTTTAAATAAGTAAAAAAAAAGATAAATTAAAGATGAAATATTTTAATTAAACATAAATATATTTTTTTACATTTAGTGTAGACTTCCTTCTTTAGTTTTTAACAAAAAAATTTAATTTTAACAAACAAACTGTTTTACTTGTTTGTATTTTTAATTTATTTTTAGGAACATAAAGATAAGAATTTTTAAAATTCATGAATAGTTATTTATTTATTTAAGAATCTTTCTTCAAAACTATAGAATATTTGATATCAGCCTTGGCATCTTATGAACAAAATTCTTTAATATTATCTAGGATTGCATATTTAAATTGTTAAATCTATATTAAATTATCAAATAAATAATTAATTAACTAGCTTTATTTTAGAGGCCCTCAAAATTTAAATGTATTAAAATAAATTGAATTAAAAAAAGAGATAAAATTTATACAATAAACAGATTGCCAAAATGTTAAGGGATTAAAATTTTTTTAAATCAGAGCCAATATAAGGGATGCATGAGTCATTTAGATTGCATTACCTTATAAATTACCATTTTAAAATAATTTTAAATAGAGTATTTATTTTCATAGTTTATTTATTTTTACGCAAGTGTTAAAAACAAATCTTTAAGTTTCTCACAATTTTTAAGTGAAGAAATTAATGCTTTTGCTCCTTCATCATTGATATTATTAGAACTAATAATGAAAAATATTGGTTATTTTTAATTTAAAATTAACTAACTTAATAAATATTTTCTAATAAATCCTTAATAGTATTACTAAAGGTTTAGATATATCGCCTATAGATTTTTACAGTTTTCCAAAGAAATACCTAAATCAATAGCACACTAAGTATTTAGGTTGTTAGAGCTGTTAAGATATGAAAAAAATTATTTTATTATTTATTTATTATATTTTAAATAATTAACTAAATAAAATCATTAGAATTTTACATCAAGGTGAGTGTTAGGTAAGAAAGCTTTTAATAATTAGGTAAAGCTTAACATAAACTATTAATACCTGCTTCACCTATAAGCGTTTAACTTTTAATAAATATTAATTTTAAAGATAAAAGCTTCTGAAAATATTTACTCAAAAAAAGCTATGTGTTATTAAAATAATATCAATTTACCTTAGATCTAGTGTTAATCTTTAAAGATTGTTTAGTAATAATAGCTTAGATGCTAAAGAAGATAACCCAATTTAGCAAATTCCATTTTGTCTTTAGAATTAAATTATTAAAATAAGTACAAAAAAATTAGTAGTTAAAAAAGTATCTTCATTATAAATTGTTCAAATAATAATTCGATTGCAATAATTTTTTCTAAAGAATTGATAAAATGTTAGCTAATATTTATTTACTCAATGGAGAGAGTTAAGTCAGATATATTTTTAATTTGTGATAACGAATCACTAACTAGAGATAAAGTGTTTGAATCTACGTTGCATCTTCTTATAAATTATATTTAATATTAATATAACAGTAAATAAATTTATTTATATCAAAATTAAATTAGTTTTATCTGTTAAAAATAAGAATTTTACCTTAAATTAAGTTATAATTTTTAAAGATTCTAACAATTCTTCATCTAATCACAAAATTAAGCTAATGCTGAACCTTAAAATTTATTATTCCTTTAATTAAATAAAATAAAATAAATAAATAAGCTATTTAATTTAAAATTAAATTATTTACCATAAACTTATTTTTAGAGATTGAATATTTGAGCAACTACTAATAGCCTAGCCTAATGCTTAAATTCCTTAGTTTCCAATAGAATTAAGGCTTTAAAATAAAAGAATTTTTAAAGTAAATAGACAAATAGATTGGCAAGATTGATGAAGATTGAAAAACTATTTTTAAATTATTAAAAGTTTTTTTACTTAAAATCAAGTGATAATTTTTAAATTTCTAAGTAATTAGTTAAACCAGAACCTATAAAAGAAGCCCCTTCGTCACTTATTTAGTTGTAACTTTGTTATAATAATTATTTATTTGTAAAAGAAAAGAATAAATTAGTTGAGATACTTTAAGTCAAGGATCATATTTTAAATACTTAAACATTTAGACATTAAAGATTTAAAATCTTTAAAACCTTGATCACCAATATTATTTGACCTATAAAAAAATTATTTGATAAATAAAATCTAATAAATCAATTTAAATTGGTTAATTTTTTTTATTTACTCTAATTTGAGTGTTAAATTTTTAAGGTTTTTACAGCCTGATAAACCATTTATTAAATCTTAAAAACTCTAATTTCCAATTTAATTGTGACTTTTTTTAATAAATAATAATTTTGTTTGTTTGGAAATAAAAATATTAATAATACTATTTTTAAAAAGTAATTTATTGTTTTAAATGTAAACATTTATCAAGAGAACAAATTTAATTTACTTTAGATCAAGAATCAAACTCTCAAGATTTGGATTACTTACTAATACTGAGCTTATGTCTAATATTTACTTATTACTTATTTAGATTTAGCTTTATTTTAAAACAAATAAAAAAAATGATATCTTATTGAAAATGCTTTTGTTGAAAACTATTATGAAACAGTTATTAATTATTTAATCTAGTAAAAAATACTACCAAAATTTCAGATATAAATTGTTTTGATTTGACCAATCAGACTTAGGTGAAAGAAACTTTTATCATAAAGAAAGTTGATTTGCTTTTAAAAGTTATGATATGAGAAATTACTTAGTTTATATTTTTGCATTTTATGGTTTTGATAGTCTTCATTTTTATTTTAGTTATTTTTATAAATAGATGAATATTTAAGATTAAAAAATTTTTTTAAATGATTTAAATAAAATATTAAAATAAACTTTGAAACATATAACTTGATAATTTAGTGAATTATTTATTTTAACCCTATTCTACGGGAGGGAGTGTGTTTGATAAATATTAAATCTTAATTCTATTTAAATTATTTTTTTTCTAAAAATCAATTAGACCGAACGCTCAAAAATTTTCGAGTATTAGACCAACTATGTATGATATTTAAGGGCTTTTATAACATAATTATTATTTATTTAATAAAATATAAAAATAAAAGAATATAAAAATTTATTTTTGTCTTTACAGTATTTTTTATTAATTAATTTATTTTCTTTAAGTAAATAAGATACTTTTTAATTATAAAAGTATTTATTATTATGCTTATTTCTTTTATATAGTTTCAATCAAAATATTAGATTATTTTTCTTAGTTTTCTCTTCACAATGTTTGAAACACTAAGCTAAGTAACAGGACCATCATTCTTAACATTTCCAACATATATAAACTCTCCAGAATCACTAACCTTTTGCAAATTGTATTAGTCATCATCTAATTCTACTCTATTAAAGAAAATTCTTTTATAGTTGGCAGTGACTTGATACTCTCCGTTATCATATTCTTCGACTGAAGCATGAAATTCACCTACATCAATAAAATCACCATTTTAAGTAGAAATAGAGTCATCCCAACCTCCTTTATATTAACAGAAGTCTTATTCTCCATTCTCATTAACTTCATCCCTGATAATTTCTAAGCTTTTAGGATCAAAGAGGTTTTTAGATGATGCTATAGAAATAATAGCTAAAATTAAAATAAAACTATTGAACTTGTTCATATTTAGATTTTTTCGATATCTTAACTTATTTGTAATTTAATTATTATTTTTCAATTTTAGCTTAATAGTTGAAGGTATTTAATTTAAAAGAAAAATTCCTATAACAAATAATAAATAAATAAATCTTATTATAATAGTTATTTTCATTTAATTTCTGATTAAATTCATCAGAATCATAAATAAATTTCTTCTAATCTAATTAATATATTTGAAAACCAAAATGCAATATAATGCACGCACTAACAAACACTCCTTTGAAATATAATTTATTTTTTATAATAGAATGTTGAAATATTAAATTCAATTGATAAGAAAAAAAATTAGTAATCATTAAAAATGAAATTTCCTTATAAGATATGTAAAACATGTGCAAAATTAAAAAAAGCAAACAATTTCAATGATTCTTTTCACTTTAAATATTAAAACATATGTTAAGGAAATTGATATTATTTATATATTAGTAATTAAAAATATGAATTATTTTAACTAAATAAGTTTATTATTCAAAAAGGTGGCTCGTGTATTGTTTGTTTAAAGTAGTTAAAGCTTGAAACAATTTAATATATCTATAAAAATTTCTACTCTTTTTAAAATTTAAAAATATTAATTTATAAATGGCTTATGTCTTCTTTATTATTTTAAAATTCTTTTATATTTAGCAAATCTAAAATCCCTTTTCAATCTCCTTGGAAATAGATATCTTTCTAAAATTCAATATAGAATCAAATTAATTGAAGCAAGAGAGCAAGCAACAACAAACAATTAAAGTTGAGTAAAAATGTTGTATAGAATTATATAAGTAAGTAACTAATTCTGCTCTTTATTCTTCTTTTACTAAATATTAATTAAAATAAAAAATGTTAATTTAAAATATTTCTTTAATTAATTTAATTAAGAGTTTTATTTATAATTACAGTTTTATGTGAAATTATTTTAAAATTAATTATAATTTATATAAATAAATATTGAATGAATGAAGGATCAAATTTATAAAATCCTTATTAACTTCTTTAAATGAAAAACTCAATAAAAATGTTGAAAAGCTAATTAATAATAAAACTAATGAGATAAATTAAATTATCTATCCATTTGTACACTAATTAATTAATTTTGAAGAAATAAATCATATTTAAAGAAATAAAACTTGCAATATTTGTCTATATAAGTATGCTTTATTTTATTTTAATTTTCTTTCAAATGAATACAATTTAATTATGGATAATTAATCAATCAATGGGATACTTTTTGAATAAATTATTTTTATTAAAAACAAATAGAAAAAAAATAATGTATTTACAAATATTAAAATTTATTAGAAATAATTTAGATAATTTATTTGATAGAATTTATAATTTTATTGATTAATGCTAATTGAATTTAAAATATTTTGGAAAATTTATTATCAAATTAAAATCACAATTATGATTTTATTTCTTCTTGATGGTGTCTTAAGTTTTTATGGCTTTCACTTGAACAGCTGAATTATGAGTCTATACCTAAGTAGAAAGATTAAACAAAATTATTAAGTTCTTCAAGTGAGGAAAGAGAAGGAATATTATAGATTTTGTTGTTATAGACAAACTAAATAGAATTGTCATCGTATAGCTCTATTTGAATATTTGCAGCAAAAGATGGTGAAGATATGCAGACTTCTAGCGGGGTATAGAGGTAAGGGTATTCAAGAACTAAATGCGAAAATTCGTTTGAATAGTAGCTTTCTATCAGACAACGAGGATTTGTTAGGTTTAGAGCAGCAAATATTCCATCTAAAGTTATATCATGAGCACTAAAAACAGTTAAAGAAGGAGATAGCAAAGAATAAGGAGAAGATGAGAAGATTTCGAGTATTTTTAACATTAAGGTTTAAGTGGTTATTTTCACTTGAAGAGGGGAACCATAGAAAGTATAAATGGCTGAAAAGTCATTCATAAATCGAAGAGTATTAAAGAGAGTTTAATTGGCTAAGACCATTTACAGAGGTTCAGAGATATTGCCTTCTATTTAAGATGAAATAATTTCATCATATAAAAGGTAGGCATCGTAAAATGTATTTATTTAAGTGTTTGTTAAGGCTGATATATCAGAAACGATAGGATAAAGGAATGAGAACATTTATTTAAAAAAGGGAGAATTTATTTGAATTTTTACTAGCTCTTTTTGTTTAATGCACTCATTTTACCTCCATCCATTCAAAAGAATATCACTATTATAGTTTGTTTTGTATATTTATATTAAAGATTTTAGGTTATCAATAAATATTTCATCAAAATTTTAGTCTTTCTCTTCATGTTTAAACTGACTTTCATATAATCCCAAAAGAAAAAATTTAGCGCTTTGTATTGTACGATTGTAGTTTGTTGAGTAAACTTAGATGTTTTAGAAAAATTCACTGGAATTTTATACATGACTAGAATACTTCTCAAAGATTTTTTGTCCTACAATTCTAAGTTATTCTTTTCCTTTTTCAGTCAACTCCATCCCTTCGCGCTCGGAAGTACGAGCCCCATGGCGTTAGATGTGAATTAATTTCTTTAACTAGCGAGAAGAAGAGTTATAATTAATATTTTCTGATGAAAAGTTCAATAAAAGTGCTGACTCATCAGACAAATTGAATGCCTAGTTAGAGAGACTCTCAACAAAAGTAGAATCAGTATCATTAAACTTCTCAAATTTATTTTGAAGAGAATTAGAAACACAAAAAACCAAAGAAAATAGTAGAACAAATAGAAGCTTTCTCATATATTTTATGTTATTTAGAATTATTTATTTCTACACTTATTTATTGTTGGATATTTTAATGACAAAATATTTGGAAATTTAATTTATATTTATTTTTTTTATTAATTTTATAGTAGATTTATGATTGGTTATTATTTAATTTTACTTTAGCTTTTTAAATCTTTTTTGTATTATTTTATTTATTTATTTATTTTTTACTTTTGATTTGTTTTGTCAAAAAAAATTATATAATTAAAAGAAATCCAACCAATATATAATTTGATAGCACTTTTGGGGTTTCTATGTCATCACTGATCAAATACTTGCGCATAATTCTTGCTATTCAAAAAAAATTATAAAATAGAAACCTAACAAATTAAAAAAGACAAATGAATACTAAATGTGTTAATTTTAAGGAATATGTATTTTTTCATCTAGAAATATTATAGACTCTTTTGTCTTCGCTTAATAAATAAATAAATTTAATTCAAAAATGAGTTCATTGAAATCAGTAAGTAATAAATTCATCTTAATAGACATTTATAGTTAAATATATCAGTAACTATCTGAAAAGTTCTTGTATTCATAATGCACTATTTTGTAAAAAATAAATGAAAAGTAACTCAATAATATTTTGAATATCTTTCTAACTATTGAAAAGCTCTTTTTCGTTGTATAGATGAAAGTTAATACGATATTTTATACAACTATTTAATCTTTTTTATATTATTTTCATTATAAGTTTTTTTATTAAGCATTATAAAATTCATACTAAATTTTAAAAATAAAAATGGATAAGAAATTTTTTGCTAATATTTTTATTGAAAGAATTTCAGCAATTGATGAAATCACTTACTATATTTAAGCATCTATAAAATCTAATAAAATTTGAAAATATGTTTAATGAACTAAGTATTTGAAAATCCCATAAAAATCTCATAGATAATTTTATAAATATGATAATAAAAATAAATGTGTTGATTATATTTTATATTGATTTTGAATTTCATTTGAAAGTAATCCAATTGTTATAGCTATAGTAAATTATTAATAATATTTGTTTATTTATGTATGTATTTTTGATATTAAAGTTAAGCATAAATTTTAATAAAAGCTATATGTAGAATACGCGTGTAAGTTGATATATGTTTTATCAACTTAATTCCAAGTGTAATTATATAAAGTTAATATAAATATTCCTAAAAACATATTTTAATTGTTCTATGAAAGTTTTATCCTTTATATCATAAATTGATTCCCTTCAATTTTTTTACTCAAATTCTAAATTTTTAGACGATTAGTGAATATATTTATTTTTTTATTTGACTCTATTCTAATATTATTAATATAGTTAGTTAGTTATCAGTAAGATTATTTCTAATGAAAATCAAAATAATAATTTTTTTATGATTTTAGGATTTTTTAATAAAGAGAAAAATAATATCCTTTATTTTCGTTTAAGTATATATATATATATATATAAATATTAACTCTAAACAACAGCTTAAAAAATAATAATATAACTTTAAGTTTATTTACAATTTAATTTTTTTTAACAATAAATAATAATATATAGAAAGTTTTTAATATAAATTTTAATATTTAAAAATATGATTAATGACAGAATTTGTTATAAATTGTTTAAAAAAAGAGATTATAAATAAGTATTGGTTTTATACTAATTTATGAGAAGAGTGAAGTCTCCATTTTGTTTTATTTTTGTTAGTTTAAATAATAAATAAAGTAGCTAATCTTATTGATTAGAACATTCATTTTAGAGTAAAATTTTATTTCTAATAAATATATAAATTTATTTTTTTTAACAATTGAAAAAAATTTTGACATTTTATTAAAATGCAAGAATAAAATTGGAAAAATAGTTTTGATTTTATTATTTTATTTTATTTATATATTATGAATTTTATGATAAATCAAATCAATAAAGAACATTAAAATGAATATGAAAATGAAACTCATAAGATCAAAAAAAAATTAGAAATTATTTTTATTTTTCTTTCAAAAAAAAATTAAAATTTTTTCACTCAGTTGTCATTATTGCTATCCTTGCTATCAAAAATATAGGTTTTACTTTTTTTATGAACAATTTAATTTTTATATGTAAAATTATTTCATTTAAGTAAAAACATAAAATTTAAAGGTTGCTTTTATATGTTAATATGGATAGTAGGTAGGGCAGCATTGTTGAAAACTTGCTGATTTTATACTTAAAAACATTTAAAAAACCGCTTCAAATTTTAAAGGAATAGGTCTAATTTGAATTCATCTTTAATTTAGTTGATAAATTTAAATAATAGAAAATTTTTATTAGAAATCTATTTATTGAAGTTAATCGATATTAAATCAACATTTGTTTGTTTGCTTGCTTTTTAATATCATGTTATTATGTTAGAAATTTAAAAGACTAAAGAATAAAGGAGAAGAATAGATCGTTTAATTTGTTATTTAGATTTGAATGCAGAAGATTAACAAAATAATTAAAAAGAATCAAACATATAAGTAAAAACTTATTTATTTGAGTGTCATAAAAATTTAAAGAAGCAAGTAAAAAAATTATACTAAAATTTTAAGATAATAATTGGCCAATCAAAAGGAATTTTAATAGAGATTAAAGTAGAAATGATAGAAAAGCAGTTGGCAGGTATCATAGATGACTAAGAGAAGAGTCACATTATTGTAGAACCATGGATTCCTAAAGCTGTTGATAAGAATTAAGGGTTTATTAAAAAGATAATGTCATTCAAGCAGACATTATGTAAGAAAAGAAATAAAGTAAAAGCAGATGAAGATTTGAATTCTACCAAAAGTACAAATAAAAGTAATTCTAGATTAGGTAGTGATATAGATGATGAAGATGATGAACACTAACATGATGAATTTAAAAAGTGTCAAAAAAGTCACCAGAGCAATAGCGAATAAAATTAGGAAGAGGAAGATGATGAGCTAAAAGATGATGAAGCTTATATCAAAAAAATGGATTATATTAAAGAAAAAAATATTATGATTATACATTCTTATAGAAAGGCTGAGCTGTATTTAATGCCTACAAACATAAATTCAAGGGCAAGAAAGATTTAGGAAATTTAGTTAGAAGAAGATTGTAATGTTTATAGATGCTTTGCATTTAATACAGAGTAATTGCTATTTGGAATAGGAAAAAAGCTCATTTGTTTCTAATGGAGCTAGCATCAATAGTATTTTAATGAATTAGATGTATTCAATCTCAAAGACGAAATCACTTAGGTTTGTGGCAATGTTGAGGATTCCCAAGATTAAAATGTCCGAAATGGATTCATAGTCAGAAGTTCTAAAAATTATTTATTATTAGTTAGATTTATGGAAGGTAAAGTAGTAATTAAGGCATAAGCATACATAGATGACAATAGAATTATATTTGAAAAAGAGCGTAATTTCATGTTTTATCATAAGCAACGTGTCATTTTGATTCGTTGGTAAGCCAATTTTGCCTCAGATTATCAAAAATAAAATAAAAATGACAAGTAGAAGGAATCAAGCTTTTCATTTAATAGTAAAACGATGCAACTAAAAAGTGCTGTTGTTATAACAATCTATGAATGCAATCCCAGTCTAACAAATAACGGTTTTTTCGCTAAATCATACTCCCATCGTTTGGATTTAAAAGAATTTGAAGTAATCAAAGAAATAGAAGAGGCATATATTTTACCTTAAATGTAAAACGGAAAAAACAGAATAGCATTAGTTTGTCAAGGAAAATCTTTCTTGTTGGTATTTGGCTATAAAGATGGTTCTTTTATCTTAGATAAAGCAGCTCATAATAAAATAAGGTTGAATTTCGATATAAGCAATAACATAATAGTAGGAGTCAAGGAAGACAACAAATGCGAAATAAGCACATTTAACGATAGTGGTTCTTATGAATCTGTTCTTCATTAGTCAGCCTCTTCTTTTTTCCACTCTGCTTAAAGCTGTGTTGATATATAAGAACAATTCGATCTTCCTTTTATAGGAGACTATGTCGTTGCAATTGAATAAATAAGATTATAGCATGGGTTCGAATATTATTTTTTAGTTTAAGAGCCATTATACAATGAAGATGAAGATGATCTAGAATAAGATGAAAGCGATTAAGAAGAAGAAGAAGAAAAATCAAACGAAGTCAGAAACAGAGAGAAGAAGAATGAAAAGAAAGAATTAAAATAAAAGTAAAAATAATAAAAAATAAGTGAAAATATCATATTCAGTATCTATAAAATGAAGATTGTTACTCCTAAAGAAAAACTAAGATATCTTATTCAAGAAGGTCTTGATACAGAATAAACCATGAAACAGTTTGGCTTTACAAATGTAAATTAGTTTGAAGCTTAATTTATACTTTATTAAAATAAATAAATTGTTTCAAATGTTTCAAAATTTTATATTGAAATACTAAAAAATAAATAATTAGAATAGGTTTTTATAATTTAGATTTACCTGCTTTGATTTTAGCTTTATTTTTTTATATTTTATGAATGATGAGAGATATTTATTATCATTTATAATTTTAACAATTTTAGTTATTTTTATGTATGAGGCAGTTAAATGTTTAAAAATCTTTTTATTTAATTCCCATTATAGTTTTAAAATAAATTAAAATAGATTTTTAATTTTTGAAGATTTTAATATTAATTAATTCTTTTTAAAATTTAGGAAATAGAGTTTATGATTAGTTGGGAATAAAGTAAGAAAACATATATTGATGTTTAGAAGTACTTGATAGATTCTAGATCTATTGAATTGAGAAGCACAAGCGATTTATTAGGTGTTAGAGATTATAAGTACTTGAAATAAGAATTAAAATCACTTGTAAATGAGAAAAAGCTGAAAGTTTCTGAAATTAAAAATGTTTTACGTCACATGATGGAAGTGTTTGCCAAAAACTAATTTTCTTGCGTGTAAATTTAATTTTCACTTATAATAAATTAACTGAAAGGATATTTAAAAATGTATGAATAATTAATTAAATAGATATAGTACACCAGAGTATCATTAAAAGTTCGAAAATATTGAGAAAAGACTGGCTAAAATAGCACAATTGCTTTTTGCTTATTAAAAAATGGTTGTGATTTACTTAGATTAAGATAACATAGAAATCGATTTAAATGAGTTCAATAAAATATGGAAAAACATGACTTTATAAGAGCTATTTTTACTCGTATTGTAGAAGAAATCAGATCTTAATTTATAGGAGTTTGTAGCAGTTTTCAAAAGAGAAATTCTTAATAATTATTATACACTCTTTTACGAAATAAGAAGAGAGTTGAGAGAAATGCCCATGAAAACTATGTTTATGAAGATGGATTTCTTACTTCCACTTGAATAGTAAAAGTTAAACGAAATATTGTCATAAGAGAATGATTCTAATTTTATCAATATTAATGAATCTGAGATTAAGTTATGGAATCTATGGGATAAAGATTCAGAAGAGACACTATTTTGTAAAGTCTATGCAAAAAATTGTGCAGCTTACACAGAGCAGAGCGAAGTAGAAAACAATGTCATCCCAAATTTTATTTCGAAAAGAGACCAATATTCTAAAAAGTTCATTTATTCTACTGTTGATGGTATTGAACATTTAAAAACAATAAAAGAGAGTCTTTAGCAAGCCGATACTTACATGAAATTAGTAAAATAATTTACTACTTTATATGGCGAAGTAGATTTCTCTTTGCTTTGTCTCGAAGCCGCTATGAAAGATAAAGGTTTTGCTGATAGCGAAGTGCTGAAGAAAGAATATATTAATCTATCTCTTTACAGTGTTCTTCTTTATGAAAATAATTTAATTGACATAGATTACAATGAATTTAAGTAATAAAAAACTCTTTAAAAATTATGTTAGATAATTTCTAACAATCCTACCAACCCAGCTATAATACTTTGTCACAAAACCATGAAATTGTTCACTGAATACTCTAAAAAACCAGATAAATTTTTAAAAATACTAAGAAAATTCATTCACCGCTAAGAATGCACTCCCCATATCTTCCACGAAGTATTCAAATGTGTATAAAAGGTATTTAAAAAAATAGTCTTTATTAATTAATTTCTTTATGTTTCATTAAAAAACATAAATAAAATAATAAACTGAATAAGAAAAACATTTCTGAATTTAAATTTATGTTATTAAAAATAGGAATTTGATGAAGTCAGTAGAAACGATATCTTTTAAAATTTATTTGATTTTATTTGTGAAAAACTTAATTTTGAGCATAACGAATATTTAGAAGAATACGTTGATATTTTGAAAGATAAGTCTTAAAAAGAAAAAATATAATTGTACTCAAATATGTCAAGATTGATCTATAATTTTGGTATTAACAAGAATATAGGTTATCTTGAATAGTTTGTTAATTTTGATGAAAATAGAAAAGAGGAGGAACAACAAAAATAAGATGAAGATAAAACTAAAGAAGAGGCTTCTAAAAATAATTAAAAAGAAGGAACAAGCAATTAAGACATTATAAAAAGAGCTCATAGTATTGTTGATGAGATTATTGAGAAATACTTTTACAATAAGGTTAGTGATAAAAATAAATAAGTAGCTTTAGATAGATCACTAAATATTATCGATATTAGAAAAATTACGCATATGAGAACTCTTTTGAACTTCATCTAGGAAAATTTGTTTAATAAAATTCTAAAGAAAGGTGAGTCTGAGGGAAAACTATTAACTAAGTTACTCGAATTCAGCAAGTTTGATCAATTTAGAGATGTTCAATCTTCTACTACTTTATCACTAGAAGATGTTGATAGAATTATTTTACTTAACATTAGAAATACATTTAAAAAACACAGGATTGATGAATAGATTAAAAGATATATTTTTGAGCATTTTACATTGCTTAAACTCGAAAATCCAACTAGAACTTAGGAAAAAGCTTTCTTCGATTTAGCATGCTTACTTCTTGATCCTCCAATCGGATTAATTTATAACTTACCAGATTTAAGAAAGAAGGAGAAATTCACTTTCTTAAGAGAAATACTTGAAATATTCCTCCAACCTCAAAGAATACACGATTTAGAAAGGGTAGATTTTTACTCACTTCACAAATATTTTACACTGTTTGATAAACCTGACGAAGAATATGTACCTTTTAGAGAGCATGAATTCTAGCTCTTTTTGAGAGATTATGCTTTGAATCTTGAGAATGTTGAAAAAATTGTTGAAGTTATTGAAATTCTCAAAAAAGAAAAATCTTCATATGTGTCTGACTTATGTTATTACTTAATTACTGAATTTGAGGGTTTGAGTACTGACCAAAGAAAGAGATTCACATAGCTAGGTTTATTGGAATGTTAAGATGAAAAATTGATGATGGAAATCGTTTCAGTTATTCATTAAAGTAAAATTATCTCACAGCAGCCATAGAAGGAAAAGGAGGTTTAAGGAGAAAAGCCTTCTTAAAAATCGATCATATCGACCAATAAGGAAAACAACACATCATTACCAGAAATAAAAGAAGAAAACGAGGATAAATTATCTGCAAATAACTCTCAAACTAATATAAAAGCTCCTCTACCAGCTGAAAAGCCTAAATAGTAGCAATCTTCTTCCTCTTCATGGGGGTTCTTTGGTAACCCACTATAATATCTTAAAGATAAATTGTAAAAGAAAGGTTCAAATATTAGAATTCTTAGCACACAGATATTTTAAAATGATAGCAAATTGAGTCTATAGTAAAACGAAAAGGAAGTTAAAGAACTTCTTCACAAGCTATATGATGAGCTGATATCTTTAGTAAGTGATAAAAAGTATAATTTAAATCATATTAAATCTGATGACGATGAAGAAGATGAATCAAATTCTGAATAAAGCTAAATTTAAAACAGAAGAAGATAGATGGATCTGTTTTTTAAATTGTTAACTAGAGATCCACCATCTCAAGCATTTTACTTACTTGCTTTGAATAAGTAATACTTCGATCTCGCGCTTATAAGTGACATCATAATGAAACTCTTGAAAAACTATTTTATAAGCTTAGATACTTTCTTCTTGGTCAAGTAAATGATTAGAATCTGTATATTTAGACTTTGCGAAACTCCAAATAGCTCTATATTTTACAATGAAATTACTAAATAGTAATTGAAAGAAGGATTTATCCCTTATTTGAATGAAAAATATTAAAAAAATGATGTTAATAGAAAAATATTTGAGAGATTCTTTGAATCATTCATTTTAATCAATTAGCTTTCATACTTCCAAAAATACATCACAAAAGGTAAATGAATTAATTAATAATTTATTTTAATTTTTTAAAATTATATTGAAATAATATAAAAGAAACTGAGCACAAATTCTTGTTTGAGAAAGCCTTTAGAAATACTATTATTGGATAGATGATATAGGAGAGTGGTAACCTGGATATTTTTGAAAAGGAGCCTGATATTTTTAGAATGGAAGATTTTAACACAAAAGAACTTTTGATTTCTTCAATTGTTTGCGAATTGAGAAATAATAACATTGAAAAAGCCATGGAATTATGGAGGAAGATAACTGTCTTGAATAAGTCTGAATAGCAAAGCTAGAATAAAAATCAGTAACAGATTGATCAAGGGTGGATTGACTGCTTCAGAAAAATTCACGAAAGATCCAAGCATTTAAAGGCCTTGATTGAGTTGCTTGATAGAATTCATGGTGAAAATAAAGATTTATTTGATAGAATTGTTGATAGAAAAGCCTTTTAATTGCTTAAATCGCTTAATAATGTTTCTTGCGAAGTCGATATGTCTAAGTATGTTAAATTCGAGCAAATTTTTAAATGCAAGGAAGGACCTTAAACAATCTCTAACAGTTTAGCCAGCAACAACATTATTAAGATTAGAGATCCAGCAGAAGAGAATAGGAAAATACTCAGTAAGGGTGAACATTCTGAAAGAGTTGTATAGACACTAAAATAAATCAATAAATATGAAATAAGATAAGATTTAGAAGAATATAACGTTTTCGTGCTTGCTCATGTGCTAGGCTACTTCATAGAAGGCGCAGACAGCCTAGTTTATTATCTTTTCACTAAAAAGCTGCTTCAAATCAAAGACAAGAAAATAAATGAAGATGAAAGAAATGATCAACTCGGAAATGATTAAGATGAAAGATTATTTGAGTCTGAGGATGAAGAATTTTACAACATAAAATAAGGTAAAGATGACATTAATGGATCATCAAAATATGGTGGATAATAACTTCATAGAAGAGAAATAATAGAAATTATGATTGACAGAATAGCTAGTATTGAATTTATTTAATCTTAAATTTAGAAGATCTCGAAAAAGACTGAATAGGATCCTCTAAAGCTAAGAAAATACCGTTTGCTAATACACTTGCTTAGTGAAAGAGAAAAGAAACTTATTGAGACCTCTCTAACGTATACAAAATACAATAGCAGCAGCTATTAATTAGAATAAAATACAAGCAGAAAGCAAATGAGTGAAAGCCTTTATCTGAGAATGACCAGACAAATAGAAAGTTCTAAGGATGGCGACTCTGTTTCTGATAAGACTTGCATATGGAAATATTTCGAAACTCTTTTAAATCAAGAATCAACAAATCTACTTGATTGCTCTGAGTGTAAATATTTAGTTACTGAGTTTATTCATTAAAAATTCACAGACATTATAAGCTTCTATTAGAATACTAGCGTTGAATTCAAAACTGAGTTTGTAGATATTGTAAATTAAACCTTAGAAAATAGCATTTAAAATTTCTGCACTTAAGCTCCATTGAGAAAATAACTAATTCAACTGCTTGAAAGAATCTAATACAATATGGAAAATGTATGCGAAATAATATTTGATGTTATGGTATAACTTATATTAGCTTAAAATTCAAACGATTCAATTAATTTAGTCTTGATTTCAACTAAGGATTACATTGTTCTTACATAAGAACAAAACAATATTCTTACTCAACTTTCAGCTGTACTTAGAATGGGACTGCTATTACAAGATTCATAGACTACTAACCAACTAAAAATGGCTTTAATTTAAAATACAAAAAATGCAAGTTATTTCATAGAAAGAAGTCTAAGGGAAATTATCTCAAAGATCAATTAATCTTCTACAGTAGTTGATATAATTAAATTAAAATATCTTGTAATGTATCTGCAAAATACTTCACTCTTACAAGATCTAATACTTAGTTGCGCAGAGCACTTATAACCAAATGTTTTAATTCCTTTACTAGTGAAGCAATTTCTTTCTTTTGAAGACATTGACATTATAGATAATGTATTAAACTAAGTTTTGATCTCATCATATAATTTGTTTGGTACTTAATTGTAAGAAAAGCAAGTAGAGTAAATAATAAATACCTTAGAAGAAAATAAAAATTAAATATAATAACCACTTTTATATGGATTTATCCTTTAATACATTGGAGCAGCTTCATTTAAAAAGAAAAGTGAATTATTTCATGAACTATTCGATGAGGCCCTTTTCAAAATTGTTAAAAAAAAATAAGAACAAGAAGAGACTTTAAGCTAATCGCCCTTGAAAAACTACAAAAACGAAGTCGAGTTTAATTAATATCTCGACCTGCAAATAGATTGCTACAGATTATGCGTTCATAAATCAATAGATGATTTAATTGTATATAATATCATAGATCTAATCAAGTAAAATAAAATCTATGATGCTGCAAAACTAAATAGTAGATTCCAAAATCATTAATAAGAAAGTCTGGTTAACTCTTTCAAAAAGCTTAAAGAAGATATTATTCCAATGGAAAATAATAGCAATCTTTCACAAATAACTCTAAAATTATTGAATATGACCAAAAATGATATAAAAAAACTTAGTTGAATTATTTATTTTTCAATACAAATTTATTTTTATCCTTATTTAAGTTGTGGAATTTTTATTCATTTTACAAATATTAAATAAAGGTTGGTTGGTTTCTTTTTTAACTTTAGACAATTTTTAATTTAAAAATGATTTAATATAATTTTAATTGTATTTATTTTATATTTTTCATTATGATTTTGATAATTTATTCATAAAAATATTGAATATTTTGAATGAGTATAAAATGATAAATATACCAATTTAATATTAATTAATAATTATAATATAATCATCTTCTTCTTTATCTATAATCAAAAATTTAAGTAAAACTAAGTTAGTCTCTTGCATTTTAATATTCTTCTTAATAAAGCACCTTTTTCAAGACTAAGAGATCTTTACAAAAATAAAATAATTGTTTTAATAATTAAATTATTTAATATTAATCCTAATAAATATACTATCAATCCTCATAAATTAAAGCTCCATTTAATTAATACAAAAATTTTAGATTATTAGTTATAATATCCTTAAAATAAATTTAAAAGGGTTGCTTTGGGTCTATTAATTAATGAAAATTGACAGTATTTTAATTTAGTTAATTAATTTGAAAAAAAATTAATAAATACCCAGATCCTATCTTCAATATTCTTAGATATTAGCAATTTTAAACATATTCGAGCAAAGTAATGATGAGGCTTTCAAATATGCTATTTTTACTAATTAATAACATTAGCATATATACAATAGATAAATAAATATGAATATAAAATTTTTTACTTTAAATCTATGTCAAGGATTTTCAAAAATCTTAATTCTTTGATTAAATATTATAATGTAAAGACTTTTTCATTTTGTAAACAATTATCTCTTTAAAAATTTAATTAAAATTTAATATTTAAAAAAATAAAGTCAAATAAATTTACTTGAAATTCAGTTTTAAAACTTCTAGTTTTCTACACTTAGCTAATCCTTCCACCATTAAAAATTTATCCTCAATACCAATTGTGTTTTAACTGTTTAATTAATAAAGAATTTACTATATTTTTCTTATTAAAAACTACAAAGTTAAATAAACTAAATTTGATAAAATAAAAAAATTAAATAAATTTACCTGATATTTATTGATAAAATTTTTAATTATTTGCAACTAGCTAGTTTTAAACCTAATTAAGAAGCTCCCTTATCACTAATTTTATTTTCTCTAATAATTAATTAAATAAAAAAATAACTTTAATTTATGTAAGATTAAATTTACTATAAGTTTAAAATGAGAGTTTCAAGTTTCTAAAATTTTTCTAATCCTTCAGCCAAATAGCAAGTACCTTCGTCTCCTATCTGATTATTGCTTATTAATTAAAGAAGTTAAAAAACCATAATATTAGCCATAAAAAAAATTATATTTACTATAAATCAATATTCAATTCTGATAAACTAGAAAGGTAAGCAAGAGTTTTGAATAATAATTAAGAATTTTTAGAGAACAATCTATTGAATCTAAAATAAATATATTTATTTTAATGTTTATTAATAAACAAATTTATTTAAATATTTTAAAGAAATATTAGGCGTAATTTTTACTATAAATTTAGTATCAAGTTTACTAAATTAGTGTTTATTTCTTATTAAGTTTATAGAGTTGTTAATGAATTATCTCGGAGCTTGTTTTCACTTTATATTTAAATTTACAATAAATTAGAATTTTTACAACAGTCAATATAAAGATAAAAATTATTCTCTTTATTAACTTAATTACTTCAAATTTATATTCAACTCTGCTAAGTTTTACTTCTTCACTAACTTACTAAATAATCCAAAAAAACCATCTGAAGTGATTTTATTTTTACTATTTTAAAAAATTTAATAATTAATTAATTATAAAGAATTTCTTCCTGATGAGTATCTTTTTAGATAAGGATTTACTTTAACTCAAGATGGATACTGGTAAGATTGTCACATTAAGCTAATCCCACTCCTAAATCAGATATTTTATCTATAAGGTTTCTACTGTTATATTTAATTAAGTGAATAATATTAATTTATTATTAAGATATTTATCTAGTTTAGATTAATCAAAATTGAAACAAACAAACAATAGCAAAATAGAAATAGAATAAAAAATAAAAATGTTTAATTTTACTTTAAATTTAATTAGATTTTTTCTATACTTTTAAATTATGATATGGACAAGCTTAAATTTTAAATTCCTATATCTTCCAAACAGTTCTCTCTTTTTAAATATTCAGAATCATTAATTATTTATTTTTAGTGAAAAGAGATCAGAAAATTATTTACTTTAAATCCAAAATCAAGGTTTTCAACTTATTTAACTAATCAAACCCTTAAAAATATTGCTCTATCTGCATGCTGATTGTATTTTAGCTTAAAAAAAGTTTATTTATTTTTAAAATAAATTTTATTTTATTGATTGTAATTTTTTATATTTAATTTATATTTTACCTCAAATTTAGTTCTAAATGTGTTAAATTTTTACAATTAGCTAATTTTTTAGATAAGTTAAAACCTCCACAATCTTGAATTTTATTACATCTAAGCAGAATTAAATTAATAAACATATTTAAATAAAATATTTAAATTTCTATTTAAAAAGTGATTTTAAATTAATTAAATATTTTTTTTTAATTGTAAAATAAATTTTTTATTTTATCAAAAATAATCTATTATGTCTATATTTAGTTATAAACTATATTATAGATTTAATTTTTACCTTAAATTAAGCTCTAAAATACTTAAGACTTAACATTATCCTAGCCCATCTCCAAGATTGGATGCTCCAGAATCACTTATATAATTCGTACTTTTTGACAGAAATTAATTATTTGATTAACTTCAAAAACAAATTTTACTTTAAATCTAATTTTAGTTTTGTAAGATTTTAGCAAAAAGCTAATTTTGTACCTATATTTAATGCACCTTCGTCACTAATAATGTTATCACTGTAAAAAAATAAAGTCAGCTTAGCTTATATTTTTATGTTAAATTATTTTACTTCAACATTAAAACCAAATCTTTAAGATTTGTTAATTAAGAGATTCCTACAATTATTCCTAATGCTCCTTCATCATTTATCTAGTTATATCTTTAAATTTAAAAATAATAAATCAAATTTAATGTTCAATTTTATTTAATTTACAGCACTAACAAAATATAAATTGAATTATCACAAATTGAAAAAAATATCTATTAACTAATCAACCTTTTTACCTCAAATTTAAATTTAGAGATGTCATATTTTTTAAATAGCTTAATTAAGCTCCTAAAGTGATAGATCCTAAATCTCCTAAGTAATTTCCACTTATTTATTTTAGTATTTATTTAAGATTAATTAAAATTACAAGAGATCAATAAGTAATTTTTTTAGGTTTTAGCATGATTAAATAGCATTTCCAATATCAGCTATTCCTTGCTCATTAATTTAATTTTAACTAATTAATTCAATAAAAAATGTAAATATTAAACCAAAGTATTTAAAATTACTCGAAATTAAGTATTAAAGTCTCTATGTTTTAAAATTCCTTTAACATATTTGCAACAAAAGATATATTATTTTTATTAATATTTTTGTTCCTAAATATTTTAAATTTTAAATAACTCAAGCGATGCAAAAAACTTATTTTTTTACTCGTAATCTAAGTGTAAATATGATGAACTAAATAATTAATAATTTGGCTAAATCACCTTTTTATTCATAAAAATTTAAATTCAGCCTTACAAATTTTAGAAAATACCTTTATTTATTCACAAACTTATTCATTTTACTTTTACAACTAAATCTTTTTTTTTGAAAACAAAGAACCCATTTTATTTATTTATTTTTGTAAATATTAAATAAAAAAAATTGATAATTAATTTTCTGATCACTTACTTATATTTGACTAAAAACTTGCAAAAGTATTTTATTTATTTTAAATGATTATTAATAATTTAAGACAATTATTTAAAAATAAAAATTGTATTAATTAGCATTTAAATTTTTATTTATTATTTATTTATATTTTAATTTTTATAGTAACCTTAATAACTAAATTTATTTAATTCATCAAATAAACAAAATAATAACATTTATACCCAATATTTCATCAATTCAATTTTTAAAATACATTTTTATAATAATAAGACCTGTATTCTCTAAAATTAATTTTAATATTTTGAGGAATTTTATTATAAAATATGTTTTTAATATATTTATAGTACCAAATCATGCAAAAAAGTATCTGTATCCTACTGAAAGAGATTGGATATCGGATTGAGTAATTTTTATAGTTAATCGTTTTAGCCACTTAAAGAAGGATGTATTTGTAAGCTAAATCAATTGCATAATCACTTATTTATTTATCTTAAGAAATATAAATTTCATCACAATTTATGATATGATCTCATAAATATTTTTTAGATTATATTTTTTAAAATAATTCTAAAATAAACTTTTTAATATAGAAGAACTTTAAGTTATTATGAAAAGATAGAATTTAATTCCTGGATTCACTATATAGTAATTAATTAATTAAATAAATAATTTTATTTCAATTTTAATCATAAAATCTTTATTTTATGATTTTTTATTTAATTTCAGATATTAAATTGTTAATTGATAATAGATTTTTATTTTATAATAAATATAATATGCTTAAGTATTTTAAAAGAAAATATTAATTATTTAGTTGTAAATAATTTTTTAAATTATATTTACTTTTAAAATTGAAAAAATGGGAGGAAAGTTAGTCTGGTTCTTGTTCTTATGATCCTTTATATGTTAAATTAATTAAAAAACTATTTTTAATATTATATACATCAAAAATTTCAATAATAGCTTGATTTGCTTCAAAAATAAAGGAGAGTTATTTGATGTAAATTTTCTTTTTTCATACATTTAAATTAATTAGATTTGTTTTTGTTAAGAGCTATAATATTTGTAAATTAAATAAAAGAAAGAAGTAGAAAAAACAAATAGAAGTAATTCAAAATTAAAAATGACTCAAAGAAAAAATATTAATTAGTAAAGCGAGTAATTTATTAATGACGCTTACTCGTAATAGTAAATAAATGATAAATCTTGCCAAAAGTAATTATTTTAATCTAGAAATACGAATGTTAAAAATGGATTACCTGGAGATAATAGCATAATTCATAGTTATGTAGATGCAGCAGAACATTAAATAAATACAGAGTAACTCACTATAGTTTAGGCGAGTAATGAAAAGACTTAAGAGTTTAAAGAAGACATGTATTTAGATTTATAAAATATTAATTAAGAGATAGATCACTCTGATGTTTCTTATTATAATTATGATTAAAGTAAATGGTTTTCATAATATTATGTTTATATCTCTATGATTTATTTTATTCTTATCTTTACATTTTTATCTATTTTTAGTATTTTTATTTTTAAAAATACTTTTTAAATAAAATAAATATATTAAAAGAAATTGATAGCAGTATGTAAGAGCATGAAACAAATGGCATATGCATGAGTTATCTCTAAAATAAGCCTTAAAATTTTCAACATTAAAATAATAATGTTAATAGTAATAAAAATAATAAGCAGAATATGTCTACTTTTTATCAAAATAATTATGTAGATATGAAAATTTAAAGTGGTGGCTCTTGTAAATCTTTAGATTAATAAAAAAAGAGAAAGTATTCTTAAGATATTGATTTATTGTATGAAAAATATTTTAGAATTGTATAAAAACTAAGAAATTTTAAGTAAAAGTGTAAAATCTATTCAAATAATGCTCACTAAATGCTTTTAACTAAGGAGTTAAATTCTTTTGATTAAATATTAAATTAATAAAGCAAATTTTGCATAAAAAATAAATTAATCAATTAATTTATTAATATAATTAATAATACGCCAATAATTACTCCTACCTCTAAGTCGATAATAATCTGGGATTGTATTTGTTTACTCTATCTTTCAATTTTTTATTATTTCCTTTCTATTGCTATTTTCTTTGATTTTCAACCAGCAGATTCATAAGCATTTACTTATTTTTGCGCGATTACTCTGTTTATATTACTCATTGACATTATTATTATTCTTAATACGGCTTATATTAAAGATGAAGCCATTGTAAAGGAAAGAAAAAAGATTATTTCAAAATATTTTTTTTCTTTTCATTTTCTTTCAGATTTCCTAAGCGCAATAAGTTTACTTATAAAAGTGTCAACATATACCAGTTTGAATGTTCCTTTTCTTTCTTATAAGTGCCTTTTTAATTATCTTTTATTTCTAAAACTGTATGCTCTATACATTAAAAAATAAAATATCGAAGAAAAATTTGCAGATAAATTTTATTTTAACTCAATCTACAAAGTAACTAGAAGTATTGGTACCATCATTATAGCTGCTCATATTGGTATTATATTTTATTATTCTTTATTTTAAATTTAAAATTAATATCTATTGATAAAAGCCTCAATAGGCTGGTATGAATAAACTAAAGTGTACTTACTATACAATCCTTAAGGCTAAACATGGGTTAAGTAAATTCAGATCCAAGATGATGAGTATTATGTTAAATACATTTACTCGTTATATTGGGCTATTAGCACTCTCTCGACTGGTAATTTAAGATACTTTTGGCTTAAATTTTACACCATTTTAAAATAAAATAAAAACACTTTGTTATCATAAAATTACAATTAATTAATAAAATTATTATATTTTTTATTAATTTATTTGTTAAACCAATTCATTTAGACTAAGATTCGATCAGTTAAAATTTATAATTATTATTTTTCTACAAAAATAAATATGAAAATATTTTTGAGTGAAAATATTATTTATTTATTAAATAGTTGGAAACTATGGTGTTTGTGCTTAAAATAGTTTAGAGATATTATATTCTTCTTTAAGTATATTAGCTTTCAGTGTTGTCTTTGTATACTCTTTTAGTAATATGGGTTTTGTCTTTTGGGATCTTTATTAATAAAATAGACATTTTTATAAAAATATTTATTTATTAAACAGGTAAAATAAAATTGTTTAAATTAATTTAAGCAACTTACATTAAATTTAAATTTAGCATTGGTTTTATTCATTTTATTATATTGATTAATATAGCTTTTTGAGAAATTATCATATTGACTCTGATTTAAAGTTTAAAGTAAAAGAATATCTTTCGCTGTTTAGCGAACGCCTTAAATCTCCTTAATATATTTAAGAAGCATCAATTCTTAATATTCTTCCTAAGAATTTAAGAGAATAAATAATTTTTTAATATAACAAGAGTGTTATTTAAAGTTTTGATATTTTGAAGTAATTCTCAGAGAAATCACAAAATAAATTTGCTTTTTTAATTTAAGAATTAACGTTACCCCCAGAAGAGATAATATTTTAGGAAGGCGAAGATTAAGATAGCTCAATTTACTTAATAAAAAGAGGATGCATTTAAATTTACCAATAAAATTAAGAAACTAATTCAGGTCAACTGATTTTATCTACCTTAGGGGATAACTAAATATTAGGATAAATATCTTTTTTCTCTGGTTTAGCAAGAACAGCTTCAGCTAAAACTATTAAAACTTCTACTCTTTATAAAATAGATAAATAGGAATTTATTAAAGTTATCAAATAAAATTAAGGAGATTATGAATATTTTAAAATGATTTAAGATAAAATTATTTATTCAAAAAGTTTTATTGATTTAAAAATAAAGTGTTATTCATGTTAATAAATAGGACACATTACCAAATATTGTCCACATATTAATTATTAACATAGAATTCAAGCTAAATTTTCAGCAAAACAATAATAAATTAGCTAGAAACGATAAGTATATAATCGATAAAAGGCAAGATCTTAAAATGCCAAGTAAAATTTCAATATATTATTTAATTAATTTTATATCTTTTTGATAAATTGTTCACTAATCATTTTTTAATAACTGGAAAAAAATTTTAATATTTAAATTCTTCTAAGTTTTTGTTTGATTTGAATTATTAAAATCAAATAAAAACATATTTAAATATTATAAAAAGGGGATTTTTGAAAGTATTAAAGTAGCAAAGAATTCAATCAGAAAGTGAAGAATAAAAAAGTTTAAATATTTTGCTAGAAAACGATTTTTACACATTTTCATAAATAAAAGATTAAAATAAATTTAGTAATTCGCAGATTGTAGAATCTTCGCCTTAGAAAAAGAGAAACCATCAATAAATTAAAAAGAGATAAAACTTAAAAGAATAGGCTGATAAAAATTTTAAAAAATCTTAGCAAATACTTGATTAGAGCGGAGGAGAGGTATTTGATGAAATTAGAGAGGAAAAAAGCACATTTGATCAAAGTAAATTTGATTATCTTTTAATTTAATATATTTTCTTTCAAAATAAAGATAAAATTAACTATATTTATTAATATTACCCTAGTGTAAGAAATAGAAGGATAAGAGTCATAAATAAAGTTTATGAAATCCAAGAGTAAAAATACTTCGTTTCTCAAAAACTCAATAACGGTTGATACGTGCAGCATTTCAGATTTTGCAAAAAACACCAACACAAATCCCAAATTAAATTCTTAGCAAGATGATGAAACAATTAATGTGACTTCTAATTTAATAAGCGACTTTTAAATAAAAGACATCCAAAAAATTTATAAATAACTTACTAATTAATAATAATAGCAAAATAACGAATAAATTTGTAATAATTTTACAAACAGATGCTCGATTGACTCAAGTAATAACATAAATTGTTTTTAAGATATGATTTTAAATGTTAATGGATAAATTATATATGATTAAACTGAATTATAGAATCCATCAACAATTATATCAATAAATTAAGGAATTTATTCGGAGTAGTCACATAAATAATTATCAAGGATAGAACCCTTCTAGCAATAAGTTTGTCTCAATTAGAAAAATGCCAATCTTGATTTGCAAAAAAAATAAAATATGTTAGATAATTTAATTCTCAAAATTAAAACTCATTTTTAAAATTAAGATAGTATTTAATAATCTTCTTGCTTTTCAGTTGATTCCATTAAAAAATTTAAATATTACTTCCCTACCTTTAACTATGATATAATCTTTAAATAATAAGAAAAGTATTTTTGTTTAAGAATTAAAAAAAGCTTAACGTGTAAAAACAATGAAAATCAAATTAAAAAGCATTGAAAATATTCTATTATACTTTAAACTAGAATGGGAGTATATTTTTTTTTAATAATTAGCTTCGTATATCATTTATAGTTATTTGAGAATTTTAATTGCTTATATTTTATTTAAAAATAATTTATTTTGTTAAAAAATTTATTTTATATTATTGTATTAGAACTATTTGAAATTTTAATTAAAATTATTACATTTTCTAATGAATCTTTATTAAAAATAATAACTATAAGAATAGAGCTATCTATCTATCTATTTATGAATTTGAGATATTATGTTAATAACTAATTAGCTTTTATTAATGCAAGAAAATTTAACATTATTTATTCATTTTGAGAAAACTAAAATAAGAACCAATATCTTACTTTAAATAATTCAATTATATTGATTTACTTATCTTCACTTTTAAAAAAATTAATAGCATTAAGTTAACAAAAAAAGAATAATAATAAACCAATCAAAAAATGAGTCAAACAAATAATATTTATGAAATTAGTTAATAAGTATTTGATGAAAGCTATTCATAACATTAAATATGTGATAAATCGTGTCAGAAGTAGCTATTTTAATCTAGAAATTAGAATGTCTAAAATGGATTGCTAGGAGATAACAGTTTTATTTTAAGCTAAGTAGAAGTAATAGAAGACTAAATAAAACCAGATTAATTAGATATATTAGAGACGTTCAATGATAAGATAGATTAATTTAAAGAATATGTTGACCCTGACTAAAAAAACAAGTAGTAAACGGAAACAAATCAATAATAATCAACAAAAAGTAAATAGATTTTGGAAATTTATTTATATTAATTCTAAATTTCATTTTCTTACAACTAATCTACTCTTAATTTACATAAATGCTAAAACTAATATTTCTTTCTTATTAAAAAAATATTTTAATATTAAACATTCTTTTTAAAAAGGCATAAAAAATTAACAATAAGATCAATTAAATACTCAAATGAGCAACCTTGCTCATTTTGAAGGATTATAAAATGCGAAGCAAAATTAGTATCAATATCCAAATGAAACATAAATGAAGTCAAGCAAATAATAAGATTAAAGCAGATAAAATAATTCTATCTTATGGTAGCTAGATTAATAAAATAACAAAGGAATAATATTATAAAACAATAACAAACTAAATAAATATCTTAACCTGATAAAAAAGTTTTAATAAAGAATAAAAATTAGAAAAGATGGTGTAAAAAACAGATAATAATAGCTTTTATTAATTGATGATTTAAGTAACATAGACTAATTTCAAAAGTAATCGTATAATAAAAACAAATAATATGGGCTGATTAATTAATTATCTATCAACTTTAATTAAATCCCTATCATATCTCCAACATTTAAATTAATTATCATATGGGATATTTTTAGTTTAATTAATTTCACTGTTTTTTACTTTTTGCTATCAATTGTTATTTTCTTTAATAGTCAACCAGTTAATTCAAAAGCAATTTCTTACATATGTTTGATAGCTTTGTCCTTATTATTCTTTGAAATGATAATTAATTGCAACATTGCTTATTTTGAAGAAGGATTTTTTGTTAAAGAAAGAAAAAAAATTATTTAAAAATATATTTTTTCTTTTCATTTTCACTCAGATTTTATCAGCACTATTAGCTTATTAATAAAAATCATAAATGAATCTTTACAAAATAATTAAAAACCTAACTGTCCCTACCTTTCCATTTACAACTATTTGATATTTCTTAAAATTTATGGGCTTTACATTAAATAATAAAAACTTGAGAAACACCTCTAATAAAAATATTAATTTAATTGTGTCTATGAAATTGCAAAAAGTATATTTCATATTATCGCACTTGCTCATATAGGTATTTTATTTTATTATTAATATCAATATGTTTTTTTATTTTATTTGTTAAAATATTAGTATCTATTGGTTGGTATATTTAATCATATATTTATTCAACTTATTATCCTGAAAGTCTCACATGGATAAAGACCCTTTAAGTCTAAGAGTCAGAGTATTATATAAAATATATTTATTCCTTTTATTGGGCTATAAGCACTCTTACTACAGGTTATTTCAAATTACTTTTAATATTTCAAAAATTATATTTTTAAGATAATCAAGGTTATTTCCAATCAATATTTTATAAAATTTAATAAATTAATAAATAAATAAATACTTTTCCTTTTAAATAAACAAAAAATAAAAAATGTATTGTTTTTATTCAAATAATGAAAATTCTATCATTATCTCTTTGATTTTTTTTACATTTATTGATTATCAGTATTTAATAAATAAAGTTTTTAAATTTTATTAAATAAAGTTGGAAATGGTTACTTGACTGCATACAATTTTATAGAGGCTTTTTATGCCTCTATAAGCATCATAACTTTTAGCTTATTTTTTGCTTATTATGCTAACTGCTTAGGGTTCATTTTCTAAAATAATTTTAAAGAGAAAAAGAAATTTTAAAATAACATTTATCAAATGAATAGGTACATAAATTAATTTTATTGTGATACATGTTAATTATTATTTTATTAAGTTATTTATCAAGTAGGTAAATCGATCCTGATCTGAAATATAAAATTAATTAAAATCTTTCATCTACTCATAAAAATCTAAAAGATTAGTATAATATTGAAGAAAGTCCTATGTTTAGCTCACTACCAAAAAAACTTAGAGAAGAAATTTAAATTTAAATTAACACAAATATGTTGAAAAACTTCAATTTTTTCTAAAATCTATCTTAAAAATCTTAGTATTAGATACTTTTTATACTACAAGAGATGGTCATACCTCAAGATGAGATATTATTTAAAGAAGGAGATCTATTAGATAATTCTGTTTATATTATTCAAGATGGATCAATTTAAATTTATCAGCAAAAATCAGAGTACTTATAGACACAAATATCTATTTTATGTAATTTAAACAAAAATTAGTCATTTGGAGAAGTTTCTTTTTTTACTGGATTAGCAAGATCAGCCTCTGCTAAAGCTATAAAAACTTCAATTATTTACAAATTAGATAGGAAACAATTTATTGAAATAATTAAATAAAATTAAGGAGATTTTGAATATTTTAAAATGATCTAAGACAAAATTATTTACTCTAAAAATTTTACTGATTTAAAAATAGATTGTTATTCTTGTTAACAAAAGGGGCACATTTTAAAATATTGCCCATAGATTAACTAAAAATTGAATAATAAAATTAATACACTGACTAAACAAAACTAATTTAAATAAAAAAGGTAATATCGTGATCGAAAACAATTTAAATCATTCAATGCAAAGTAAATTTAAAATTACAAAATAAAAAATAATTAATTCGATTTTTTAATTTTCTTCAAATTACACCAAGCTAAAAAAATTTGCTTTAAATTTAAGCAATTTTTATCAAAAAAGAAATTAGAAATTTTCTATTTTATTTAAATATTTATTATAATTCTAACTAAAAAATATCTTTTATTTATTCTTCATTTAAAAAAAGACATGCTATAAAATTATTTCGAAAATAAGGAATAGAAAATATACAAAATGATCAATAAATATCTATGAATAACCCAAAAGATAATGAATATTATTCATTTTAATAAATATAACTTAATAATTAATAAGTAGCAGAACCATTTTTGTAGTTTAACAATTTATAAAGTGTAATTAAGAAACAAAATTTTAAAGAAACTATTGATAAATCTTCGAGAAAGTCGTAATAAATATAACAGGATTAGAATTTAAGCGATATTAATATTGATTTTAAATAAGAAATCAGTATCTAAGATCATGGTAGTTATTTTTTTTATCAAATTTCAAATCAATATACTTTTTAATTTTAAACTTACATTAATTATATTTTTATAGTATAAGGATTTGAAATGTAGGAATCGTAAATGAAGGTCATAAAAAATAAAAATAAAAGTACTTCCTTCTAAAAAAACCTAGTTACAAATGAAATAAATAGCATATCAGACATAATTATGATAACTAATTCAAAGATAAATATTTAGCATGACGAAGAAACATTAAATGTTACTTCTAATCTGATAAGCGACTTTTAAATAAAAGATTTACAGAAAGTAAAAAAACCCATAACACCCAATTAAAAAACATAGAATAATGAATTATAAACACAATCATGCAAAAATTAAGGAAACAGATGCTCAGCTGATGTTAATTCTAATTCAAATTGTTTAGATATGATCTTAAATACTAATGGATAATTTATTTATGACCAAATAGAAGATTAAGTGCAGTCATCAATAAATTTAAGTTATCAAGAATCAGTCAACAAATAATAAACTAAAATAGAATCAAGTTAGTTATCACCTTGTAAATGCTAAAAAAATAAGCTATTTGAAACTAGGCTGTCTAAATAAAATGAATAAAATGAGCTAGATCAAACTTTGTAAAATATTAAATTTATTTTTTCAAAGTACGATTCTGAATAACCATTTAACCTTTAAATAGATTCAATTAAAAAGTATAGATATTACTTTCCAACACATAATTATGATTTAATACTTAAGCAATATTAAAAGTATTTAACTAAAAAGAAAAATAAATTTTAATAAAAAAATTAATGATCACTCAATAAATCTATATTAAAAAATTATATTTATGTTCAAAATCAAGTTAATTAATTAATTATAATAGTCAACGAAAATTTTAAGTTATTGAAGTAACTGTTCGTATCATATTTTGTTTTTAAATTTTTTTATATAAATATTAATTAATTATTATTCCAACAACGCCAATTAATAATTCTAATTTTAATTTTTTTACCCAATCAATAATTAATTCATAACCAACTTTCTCTAGGGAAGATTGAGGTACTGCAAGAAAACTCTTTACTATATGTATAAAATTAAATTACTAATAAAAGTTGGAAATATATATTTTTGGGATGTACATATTACTATTTGTTTATATTCTTAATAGTATAAAGTATATTTTATTAGATTAAATAACAAAAAACATTAATAATTAAACTTCTAAAGAACTTTGTTAATTAATAATAACCAAAGAAGAATTTATTTATTAATTATTTTTTAGCTTATCTTGAACAATAAAAAAGTTTGTTAATAAATTTAAGAGCAAAATTGAATCGAAAGAAAAGTGCCATGTATTTATTTATTTAAAATATATATTTTAGGTTTATAATCCAAAATAATTTATTATTAGATATGGCTGAAAGAAATACAATCATGAATCATCCAAGCTAGACTGATCAATAATATATTGGAATATCAAGGGGACTCTTTGAAGATAGTGCTATGAAAGGTTTACAAGGAGATGATGATCATATTAACACTAGTTAACATAATTAAACTACAGAATTTGAAGTTGGGAAAATGGGATCAACTGAAAATATGCATATGTTTATTGAAAGTGATATTAATGCCACACAATAATAAGAATTTAATTATAAAATTGAGGGTCAGCAGAAACATAATCTAAGTTAGCGTGTGAGAAATAATTACAAAAAAATAGTTCTACTATGTAAAAATAACAATCAAGCTGTGATGGAAAAGAAAAATAATTTGAATAATGATGCATTAAACACAAGTATATGCATCTAAAAGAATTATTCTAATACATTAAATATTTAAAATACCTATGATGACTCTCAATAAGGCAAATAGATAAAGTTTATGACCATGAAAAGTACTTAAATTCCTAATATTCCACTAAAATAACTAAATGGATAAAATAATTCAAATAAATATTAGTCTGATTTTGATTTAACTTGCTAAAAAATTGATTCGATTAAAGATGTGAGTAAAGAATCTAATTACAACAAATATGAAAGTTCAGAGCAAATAACTACCAATTTTATAGGAAGGAAAAGTGTGTTAAATTATTAAAAGGCAGCAAACATAGTGAACAATGTAATTAGCAAATCAATGAATAGAGTTCAAAGAATAGATAAACATGTAAAGTATTTTGTATAAACTCTAAAGTAAAAAATGAAGAATCGACCACTGCCAAATTTATTGGAAGCTTAAATATAGCTATTGAATGACTCTTCTCACTTTCATCAAAGTAGAGCTAATAAAAAGCTAATTCATAAGCTTTTAATCAAGCTTTAAGATTTAGCTAATTTAAAAAATCCGCTTCCTGTTTTTATGCCAACAAATGATTTTAGAGTATATTGGGATATCTTTTAGACTATTTTTACATACTCCTTTTTATATATTTATTCTATTTTATTATTTTTTGCTTTTAAAGAAAAAGACTCTGGTTTTATAAAATCGTTTTTCTAATATACTTTTATGGTTTTTTTACTTGATGTCTTGATTAACTTTAACACAGCCTATTTTAATAAAGATATTATTATAACTAATCGTAAATAAATTATATGGAGATATTTGTCTTCTCATGTTTTTTTAACTGACGCAATATGCTTGGTTATAATGGGATCTAAAGTTATTATGTAAAGCACAGATTTAGTATATAATCCTGATAGCAAATTATTCCCATTTTTCGTAAATACCTTAGTATTTCTTAAACTAAATGGAATTAATCCAAAAAGAGAACGTTTTGGTTACGTATTTACCTTAAGAGAAAGCTAAAAGCATATAATAAGACTATGTAATTAGCTATTAAGTGTAGTTTCAGTCGCTCATGCAGGTAGTTTTATTATTTTTATATTAAATTTGTTTAACTCAATATATTTTTTAATAAATTACAATTTTTATGCATTTTTAGTTTATTAAAATATTTTATTTAATTCGTTATATTATTTTTTCCAAAAATTGCTTTTATTTAATAAATTTAGTTGAAAGTTATTAATAATCAATAAATTTTTTATCTAATTGATCTTAAATAAACTTGAATTTTAAATTCATATAAATGAATTTGAATAAAATTTTTTAAATTAATATAAAAATTGATCATTTTAGATTAAAGAAAGAAATTAAAAATATCAAATAACATTATATTATTATATTTAATATAGTGAGTTTAGCATGGTATACTCTAGGTGTTTATGAAAATTAGAATGGCTATTCTACTTCTTGGCTTGATAAATACTAATTTTCTGATCTTAGCTACTTAGAATAATACATCTATTCGATGTATTGGTCAATAACAACTATGACTACTGGTATTATTTTTTTTTTACAAAATAAACACAAATGAATTCAATTTTTTTACAAAAATATATAGTTGGATATGGCGATATAGCAGCTAGCAATCATGTGGAAGCGTTGTTTATAATATTGTCTATGATATTATTTAGTTGTGTATTTGCATATTCTATAAATAATATAGGTTTTATTTTATAGGAGATTGAAAAATCTTCAAAAGACTTGAATGACAATATTAGTACAATTTAAAGGTTTTTATTAATATTTATTCATAAATCAATTAATTATTTTATTTATCTTTTTATTATTTTAATTAAACTAAAGGTACCTTAACAGAAAAAATGTAAACATTTAACTTTAAAGCAGAGTTAGGCATTATCTTTCATTTTTGGCTGAAGAACAGAAAGATAGAGATTAGCTAGCAGAGAACTAAATATTTTAAATTTTATCTAATAAATTAAGAAATGAAATTGTTATTGAAATAAACTCAAGGATTTTAAAAAACTATTCAATTTTTAGTGCAAACTTTTCTACATAGACCTTAAGGAAGTTAGTTTTTATCATGGAAGAAGTTCTTATTTCTCCAAACGAAATTATATTTGAGGAGGGAGATAATGATGATTAATCTGTTTATTTAATAGAAAGTGGAAATATAGAGATATATTAAGTATCGCCTTCAAGTTAAAATGGATCAAATTTAAATCAAAACAAAACTCATATTCTATAATCATTGAATAAAGGCAGCATTTTTGGTGAAATTTCATTTTTTTCTGGTCTTGCTAGAAAGGCAAGTGCAAGAAGTACAAATTTATCTACTCTTTATAAGATAAACAGAAATCAATTTATTGAACTGATAAAAGAAAACTCAGAAGATTTTGAAAGATTCAAAATGATGGAAGAATAAGTTAAATTCTAATAAGACCTTTCTATACTATTTGTAGAGTGTTATACATGCAAATCAATAGGTCACATATCAAGCTAATGTCCAATTATTCATTAAATATTTGATAAATAATTTAAAGTACTTAAAAACAACTTTAGCATCTTTTAAAACAGATCTGTGCATATATAGAGGTAGGCAAAAACCTAGAAGTTTAATCCATTGTAAATTAATGCAAATTTATTATAAAAAAATTACCATAAATTTTAATATATATGTATTACCATTCTTATTTAAATATTAAAAATAGGCTTTATGTGTGTTACAACATATAAATATGTTAAAATCTTAAGGAGTAAATAAGAGACTACAATTCTTATACAGAAATAATCTTTAAATCAGATATAGACATTTCTTAGCAGATCAGTGAGGAAGAAAATGAAGAGAGCTCTGAAAATGAATATAACAGCACAAGTAGTGATTCTTCATTATCTTCGAACTAAGATTAAAATTCAATGTTCTAGCAATAAAAAGAAAAGATTGTGGTTAAAAAGGAAAAAAGCAATTCACAATAATATGAACCGTATAAAAGCTTAAAAAGCTTAAAGAATTTTAAATCATTAAAAACTGTATAGAGGAAAAGTAAACACAAAAATAGAAAAAGTAAAAAAGATGAAAGCTTAAAATAATTGAATATTTAAAAAGACATTGAGAACTAACTCATTTTAAGAGATCTTTCACCAAAGCAAAAAACCTCAAATGAAGATTTTGATAAATTTAGTGATATATCAAAGAGAGAAAGCATTGATAAAAGTGATAAAAAGTATGAAGATTTAAAAGACTTTTTACACCAACGTTAACACAGCTATGAATAAAACGATTAACTTTTAGATCCTAACTCAAATTTAAATAAATCATAAAATTCAAAAAATTAAAATAACTCTCATTTAACTATACCTTCTTAAAAGGATTTAATACCACCAACAAGTTAACTTGATATCACAAATGAAACCTCTAAAAAAAAGTATAATCAATAAATCAACTTGATTTATGAGAAATCTATTAGCAACGAGGAGAGCAATTCAAACTCTTTTATTGAAGATTAAGCTGCAACAAAGTAAGCCTAAATTCCACAATAAAAATCTACAAATAAATTAAGAAAAGGTACTTTAAAACCATAAAAAACTCAAAGAGATATTAGAACATCAATAGATGTTTTAGTCTAAAATACAATTTATAATGCCTTTGTAGCTCAAAGTGCTGCACTCACAAATACACAAAATGAATTAAATAGGCTAGAAAGTACTTTAAGTAAGTTAGAAGAAAGATTTTCAGTCTTTAACTTTCAAAATTCCAAGTCAATCAAAAGTGTAGATTCTAATATAGTGACCCGCAGGATTAGCTCATAGTAAACCCCATCTACTTTATTTTAGAAATAAACTAATGAATATAGATAAAGTTAATTGGGAGTAAATAATCTTAATAATCCTATTAAAAAGTTAAGTGTATTTAAAGATTCATAAGAAAAGAAGCAAAATTCAAAAATGAGTATTGATGTTTAAGGGATACCAACATAGAATGAATTAAGGCAAGATACTGTTTAAAACATTATGCTTGAAAAAATTTATAAAATGCTTGACAAATCCAATATAAAAGATGTATCAAACAGAGCAAGCTATTAATAAGATGAATACAGCTAACTATATTAAAGCGCTACATAAAATGTTCTCAACAAATTCGATATGATCAAGAATTTCAAAAAGTTCTTTCCACACAATAACTTCACATATATTTTTAATAAATTCAATTCAAAGAAATTACTTTTTAAAAGTAAAAAATCAAGAACTTAATTTTAAGTTTAAAAAACCAGAAGATAAAATATTATCGTATAGCTTAAAACTGCAAGGAAATCTTTATTTTGTAACGCAATAATACAAAAGCCTACGCCATCATAACTAGATTACAATAGCTACAAACCAACATTTTTATCATATGGAGTTTCTTAAAAGAGTGAAACAATTTATCCTAAATTCCTAATAAAAGAAGCATTTTATATATGAAAATAAAATAAAATTGAATTACTCAGATTCTTTATAAGTGTATAAATCATTATAAAATAATTAAATTAGTTTAAATATTTAAAAATGTTAAAAAATTAAAAAAATTAATTTTCATATTTTTGTTTTTAAAACTAAAAAATATTTAAAATTATCTACATTATACTTTTCTATTTTAAGAAAGAAAATTATATAAAAATATATGTTTTCTATTTAATAAATATAAAATAATATCTATTCTCTTTTACATACGAATATTTTTCAGAAACTAGTAAAAAAAATACCAAAATGAATTCATCTAAAACTATTTTTTCAAAAATAAATTTTAATATACCATGAATGTAGGTTGTTCTAAATAAAAATATGAAAAAATATATTTTATGACCTTAGTATATAAATATAAACATAATAATAAATCTTTTCTTATTTTAAGTTAAATTATCCTATTTAAAAATGTTATAAAGTAAGTCATATTATAAATATTCTTTTATTCAAACATTTTTGTATATATTCATCATTCTTTCACAACTTTATATCTTCAGAAATTTATTTTAAAGACAACTAATCTTTTTGATTTAAGACACTTGCTTTTTATTTTCAATTGTTATTATTTATTGATTTCGTTTTTACTTTTAAAATAATAGTGTAAATTACTAAAAAAAGTGGAATAATTAAATTATTTAATTAAAAATTTTATATTAACTATTAATTACCTAATATTAAGTTTTAAATTTGAGAGATTAGTGTATTTTGCTAAAAAAGAACAAAAATCTAATCCACCTTAATCACCAATTTGATTGTAACTTTTTATATATTTAAGAAAAAATATACAATAAATTCATTCGTTATTTAGTTAGTTAGATTGAAAAAATGAATAAAAAATATGAAATAATAAGAAATAAAATAAAAATAAAAACAAATGTTAAAAAAGAATAAAATTAACAAAGAAAGAAAGAAAGTAAAAAAGCATGCAGACTAAGCATAAATAAAAATAAATTAAATAAAAAGCTAATTAATAAATTAAAAGATTCAGTTTTATTCTTTTTAATAATTTTTTTTATTTAAAAATATCACAATTTGTAACTATTTTTACCTAAGATCAATTATCAAATTTGAGAGACTATTACAGTTTGCTAAAGCAGAACCTAAGCCTGATGCACCAATTGAATCGATTTGATTGTAACTTTTAAATATTGAAGAAAAAATATATATTTCATTAGATGGAAAAAATGAGTTAAATTAAAAAACAAATAAAAAAACACTAGAAGAATACAAAAAAAAGAAAGCAAATCAAATAAAAAGCTAATTCATAAATTAAAATATTTTATAAAATTGCTTTAAATTCCTTTTTATATTCAACGTTATTACAATAGAAAACAAATAAACTATTTTTTACTTAAGATAGAGTTTCAATTTTTAGAGATTAATACAATTTGCTAAAACAGAACCTAAGTCTTACAACCCAATTGCATCAATTTAACTGTAACTTTTAAATATTGAAGAAAAAATATGAAATAATAAGAAATGAATTAATTAATAAAAAATTTATAAAAAAAAAATAAATTAAGTAAAAAGCTAATAATTGTTTTAAATTCATTTTTATATTTAAAAAATATCATGATCCGAATCAAATAAACTCTTTTTACATAAGTTGAAGTTTCAAATTTGTGAGATTAATGTAATTTACTAACGGAGAAACTAAACCTAATGCACCAATTGCACCAATTTAATTGTAACTTTTAATAATTAAAGCAAAAATATATAACTTATTAGTTAGAAGGAAAAAATGAAGAAAAATATCATATAATAAGAAATTAATTAATAATAAAAGAAAAAGTTGAAAAGAAAAAATGATTTAAATAAACAAAGAAAGTAAAAAAAAGCAAGCAGAATAAAATAAACACTAATTAATAAATTAAAAGAGTTTTTTATATTGTTTAAATTTATTTTTATATAAAAAATTAATCAAATAAACTATTTTTACCTAAGATTAAGTATTAAATTCGAGATATTAGTACAATATGCTAAAGAAGAACCTAAAACTGATGCACCTTCATCACCAATTTAATTTCCACTTTTTAAATATTGAAGAAAAAATATAAAATTAATAAGTTAATTAATGAAAAAATGAGTTAAATTAATAAAGAAAGAAAAAATAATAAACAAATTATAAGAGCTATATTTTTTAAATTCATTTTTATATTAAAAAATATCACAATTCAAATAAACTGTTTTTACCGAAGATCAAGCGTTAAATTTGAGAGATTAGTGAAATTTGCTAAGGCAGAACCTAAACTTGATACACCTAATACACCAATTTTATTGTAACTTTTAAATATTGAAGAAAAAATATATAATTAATAAATTAGATTGAATTATATGAAAAAATGAGTTAAATTAGTAAAAGAAAAAAAATACAGATAAAAAAAATAAATCAAATAAAAAACTAATTCATAAAATTAAAATATTTAGTTTTATTGTTTTAAATTCATTTTTATATTCAATATCATAGTCAAAAACAAATAAACTGTTTTTTACCAAAGATCAAGTGTCAAATTTGAAAGATTAGTGCAATTAGTTAAAGCAGAACATAATCCTGATACACCAATTTCACCAATTTAATTTTAACTTTAAAATATTAAAAAAAAATATTTAATTAATTGATTAGAAGGAAAAAATGATTAATTAATAGTAGAAGTAAAAGTTAAAAATAAAAAATGATTTAAATTAGAAAAGAAAGAAGAAAACACTAGCAAAATATAATAAAAAAAGAAAAATAAATTAAATAAAATAAATGAATTGTTTTGTTTTAAATTCATTTTTATATTAAAAAATACCAAAATCCGAATCAAATAAACTGTTTTTACATAAGATAAAGAGTCAAATTTGAGAGATTAGTGCGATTTGCAAAAGCAGAACCTAAACCTTAAGCACCAATTGCACCAATATTATTGAAACTTTTTTAATATTTAAGGAAAAATAATATCTAATAAGAAATTTATTAATTATTAATAAAAACAAAAGATGAAATGAAATTAAGAGTTAAATTAATAAACAAAAAAAAAAACAAAAATAAATTGAAAAGTTAATAAATAAATTAAAAGAGTTTTTTTTATTGTTTAAATTCCTTATTTAATTTTAAAATATCACAATTCAAAATATGTTTTTACCCTAGATCAATTGTTAAATTTGAGAGATTAGTGCAATTTGCTAAAGCAATACCTAAACTTAATGCACCTTCGTCACAAATTTAAATGAAACTTTTTAAATATTGAAGAAAAGTATACAATTAATTAGTTAATTATAAGAAAAATTAGGGGAGGGGGGTGTCACAGCATGGTGATCTTTTTTTATGGTCTGAGCAAACTCTCAGAGTTGTTGTCAGATTCACTTCATTTTTTTACCCTTATTAAGGCAACCATCTTCTATGAATAGATAATAGAAAAAAAAATTTTGTACACCCCCTTGCCAAAAAATTTAAATTAAAATGAATGACACCCAGCTGTGACTCCCCCCCCCCCCCACTTACTATCTTGTTTTTACCTAAGATCAAGTGTCAAATTTGAAAGATTAGTGCAATTTACTAAAGCAGAACATAAGCATGATATACTAATAGCAGTAATTTTATTGAAACTTTTTAAATATTTATGAAAAAATATAAAATTAATTAGTTAGAAAGGAAAAAATGAAATCATTATAAATGAATTAATAATGAAAGCAAAAACTGAATGAATTAAATTAAAAAAAAAAGACAATCAGAATAAAAAAAGAAAAATAAATAAAGTATAATGAGCTAAAATATTTAAATCATTTGAAATATATTTTTATACTAAAAATATCACAATCAAAAACTAAACTGTTTTTACCGAAGATTAAGTGTCAAATTTAAGAGATTAGTATAATTTGCTAAAGCAGAACTTAAGAGCTTTACACCTTCATCATCAATTTTATTTTCACTTTTTAAATATTGAATAAAATATGTTTAATTAATTAATTAGAAATGAAAAATGAAGAAAAAATATCAAATAGTTAATAATTAAAATAAAAAGCGATGTGAAAATTAAAAAAATATTAAAACTAATATTGTAAGTAATTGAAAATCAAAAAATAAAAATAAAAACATTGACAATAAAAATAAGAATAATAAATTTGATAAATTAAATATACTCCAGAGCAATATGAAGAACTTAATGGCATTAAAGTGAAGAGCTTAAAAACTTTTTTTATTAATAAAAATAAAATAAAGAATATTCATAAAAAATTAAATATTTACTTCTTCTAGTTTGTTAAAATTTTATTTATATTATATCATTTTTTTTTCTCAAAAATATTAATACTTTTTTATGAATAGTTTATTAATTGTAAGTATATCAAGAATTAATTTACTTTTATTTCAAATTAATTTGGATAAAAAGAGCAAGTAAATAAAAATTATCAAATATGAATATATAAATTTGCTTTTAGGAAGAAATATAAAAAAAATTAAGTGTAAAATTCCACTTATGACTACCCACAACTTAAGAACATTAATTACTATAATTTTTTCAAATATGACTAACTGAACATCTCTAATTTCTACTATATTTATAAATATAAATATTAAAATAAAATAACGAATTATAAATTAATTATTTCTTCACAAAAAGCAAATTTATAAATAAATATTTGATAATTAATTAATTATTATATTTTATTTGTTCATTTTATCCATTAATAATTAATTAATTAAATTTCATAAATTGCTAATCAATATTTTTGAAAAAAAATAAATGATTTAATAGTTAAAATATTACAACAGATTAGAAAAAGTAATTATTAATTTTTTTATTAATATCCTTTAAATTTATATAAATTAATAAAAAAAGTTTTTAAGCTCTTCACTTTTATCTCATTAGGTTCTCCATATTAATCTGAGGTAAATTTAATTTAAAAATATTATTTTTATTATTATTAATATTTTTTGAATATTTAACTTTCAATTATTTTTAAGGATAATGTAAAATTAGATATTCTCATCATTATTTATTGATTTTTATTAAAACAAAAATTTTTTAGCCAATTTATTTTAATTTCAATTTTCAATTCTTTACTTACTATTCATTTTTTATTATTATATATTTTTTCTTCATTTTTGCTATTAATATTTACACTTGATAAAAACAGTTTATATGTTTTTGAGTGTAATATTTTTAATTATAAAAATTAACTTAAAACAATAAAGCTCTTTTATATATTTAAAAAGTGACAATTAAATTGGTGATGAAGATGTTTCAGGCTTAGGTTCTGCTTTAGTAAATTGTATTAATCTCTCAAACTTGACACTTAACCTTGGGTAAAATAGTTTATTTGTTTTAAATAATGATAAATTAAAATTATAAAAACTAATTTAAAACAATAAAACTCTTTTTAGTTTTTCTTGTTATTTTGCTTGCTTTTTTTTATTCTTTATTTGTTAATTTAACTCGTCATTTAATTTTCAACTTCTGCTTTTATTATTAATTAATAATCAATCTTATTATTTCATATTTATTTTTTCTTCATTTTTTCCTTCTTTTTAACTATTTAATTATATATTTTTTCTACAATATTTAAAAAGCGACAACCAAATTAGTGCAATAGGTACATTAGGCTTAGGTTCTGCTTTAGCAAATTGCATTAATCTCTCAAATTTGACACTGGACCTTTAGTAAAAACAATTTATTTGCTTTGAATTGAATTGTGATATTTTTAATTATAAAAATTAATTTAAAATAACAAAGCTCTTTTTTCTTTTTATTTTGCTTGCTTTTTTTTCTTTTTTCTTTGTTAATTTAACTCATCATTTTATTTTTAAATTTTGGTTTTATTATTAATAAATCTTATTTTTTCATATTTTATCTTCATTTTTCTTCTAATTAACTATTTAACTCTTTATTTTTTCTTCAATATTTAAAAAGTTGTAATTAAATTGGTGATGAAGGTACATCAAGCTTAGGTTCTGCTTTAGCAAATTGCATTAATCTCTCAAATTTGACACTTGACCTTTAGTAAAAATAGTTTATTTGTTTTGGATTGTGATATTTTTAATTATAAAACTAATTTAAAACAACAAAGCTCTTTTTTGTTTTTCTTTTTATTGTGCTTGCTTTTTTTTCATTCTTTATAAATTAACTCATCATCTTATTTTAAACTTTTGATTTTATTATTAATTCAAGTTATAATTTCATTTTATTTCTTCATTTTTTCCTCCTAATAAACTATTTAATTATATATTTTTTCTTCAATATTTAATAAGGTAAAATTAAATTGGTGCAATGGGTGCATTAGGCTTAGGTTCTGCTTTAGCAAATTGTATTAATCTATCAAATTTGAAACTTAACCTTGGGTAAAAATACTTTATATGTATTTGATTCTGATATTTTTAATTTTTAAAATTAATTTAAAACAATTAAGCTCTTTATTCTTTTTCTTTTCATTATGACTGCTTTTTTCCCTTCTTTCTTTGTAATTTAACTCATCATTTTATTTTAAACTTTTGCTTTTATTATTCATTAGCGTTATTATTTTAAATGTTTTCTTCATTTTTTCCTTCTAATTAACTATTTAATTGTTTATTATTTCTTCAATATTTAAAAAGACACAATTAACTTGGTGATGAAGGTACATCAGACTTAGGTTCTGCTTTAACAAATTGCAAAAATCTCTCAAATTTGGAGCTTTAGCTAGCGTAAAAATAGTTTATTTGTTTTTAATTGTGATATTTTTAATTATAAAATCTAATTTAAAACAATAAAACTCTTTTTACTTTTTCTTTTTATTGTGCTTGCTTTTTTTTATTCTTTATTTGTTAATTTAACTTATCATTTTATTTTATTTTGTTTTTCTTATTATTAATTAATCTTATTATTTAATATTTTTTCCTTCTAATTAACTTCAATATTTAAAAAGACACAATTAAATTGGTGACCAAGGTGCATTAAACTTAGGTTCAGCTTTAGCAAAATGCATTAATCTCTCAAATTTGTCACTTTACCTTGTGTAAAAATAGTTTAGTTTTTTTGAATTGTGAAATTTTAATTATAAAATCTAATATAAAACAATAAAGCTCTTTTTTCTTTTTCTTTTTATTGTGCTTGCTTTTTTTTCTTCTTTTTATTCAAATTTGACTCATCTTTTTACTTTCAACTTTGCTTTTATTATCATTTTTTTTCTTCATTTTTTCCTTCTGATTAACTATTTATTTAAATATTATTTCTTCAATATTTAAAAAGACGTAATTAAATTTGTTCAATGGGTGCATCAGACTTAGGTAGTGCTTTTGTAAATTGCATTAATCTCTCAAATTTGACACTTAACCTTTAGTAAAAACAGTTTATTTGTTTTGAATTGTGATATTTTTAATTATTAAATATAATTTAAAACAACAAAACTCTTTTTCTTTTTATTTTGCTTGCTTTTTTTTCTTTTTTCTTTGTTAATTTAACTCATCATTTTATTTTTAAATTTTCCTTTTATTATTAATTAATCTTATTATTTCATATTTTTTCCTTCTAATTAACTATTTAATCATATATTTTTTCTTCAATACTTAAAAAGGCACAATTAAATTTAAGACGAAGGTGCATCAGGCTTAGGTTCTGCTTTAGCAAATTGCATTAATCTCTCAAATTTAGCACTTAACCTTTAGTAAAAACAGTTTATTTGTTTTCGATTGTGATACATTTAACAATAGAAACTAATTTAATACAATAATGCTCTCTTTTCTTTTTCTTTTGCTTGCTTTTTTTTCTTCTTTCTTTGTAATTTAAATCATCATTTTATTTTAAATTTTTGCTTTTATTACTAATTAATCTTATTATTTTATATTTTTTCTTCATTTTTACCTACTAATTAACTATTTAATTATTTATTTTTACATCAATATTTAAAAAGATACAATAATATTGGTGCAACAGGTGCATCAGGCTTAGGTTCTGCTTTAGCTAATTGCATTAATTTCACAAATTTTACACTTGACCTTTAGTAAAAACAGTTTATTTATTTTTGATTGTAATAAACTAATTTAAAACAACAAAGCTATTTTTTCTTTTTTTTTTTATTGTACTTACTTTTTATGTTCTTCTTTTTGTTAATTAGGCTGATTTTTTTATTAATTAATCTTATTATTTCATATTTTTTCTTCATTTTTTCCTTCTAATTAATTATTTAATTAAATATTTTTTATTTAATTTTTAAAAAGTTGTAATTAAATTGGTGATGAAGGTACATCAGGCTTAGGTTCTGGTTTAGCAAATTGCATTAATCTCTCAAAATTGGCACTTGATCTTAAGTAAAAACAGTTTATTTATTTATTTAGCATTATGACATTTTTAATTATAAAAACTAATTTAAAACAACAAAGCTCATTTTTGTTTTTCTTTTTATTATACTTGATTTTTTTTTTGTTTCTTTGTTAATTTAACTCATCATCTTATTTAAGACTTTTAATTTTATTACTAATTAATCTTAATATTTCATATAATTTCTTCATTTTATCTTTCTAATTAATATTTAATTACATATATTTTTTTCAATATTTAAAAAGTGATAATTAAATTAGTTCAATTGGTGTATTAAGCTTAGGTTCTGCTTTAGCAAATTGTATTAATCTCTCAAATTTAACACTAAACTTTGGGTAAAAAACAGTTTATTTGTTTATGATTGTGATATTTTTAATTATAAAAATTAATTTAAAGCAACAAAGCTCTTTATTCTTTTTCATTCTACCGTACTTTTTTTTCTTCTTCTTTGTTTGTTAATTTAACTCATCATCTTATTTTATATTTTTAACTTTATTATTAATTAAACTTATTATTTTGTATTATTTCTTCATTTTTTCCTTCTAATTAACCATTAATTATATATATTTTCTTCTATATATAAAAAGTAACAATTCAATTGGTGACTAAGGTGTAACAGGCTTAGGTTTTTCTTTAGCAATTTGCATTAATCTCTAAAATTTGACCCTTAACCTTGAGTAAAAACAGTTTATTTGTTTTTGATTGTGATATTTTTAATTATAAAAATTAATTTAAAACAATAAAGCTCATTTTTCTTTTTATTGTGCTTGTTTTTTCTTCTTCTTTTTTTGTTAATTTAACTCATTAATCTTATTACTTCATATTTTTTCTTCATTTTTTCCTTCTAATTTACTATTTAATTATATTTTTTTTTTCAATATTTAAAAAGTCGCAATTAAATCGGTGACGAAGGCGCATCAGGCTTAGGTTCTGCTTTAGCTAATTGCATTAATCTCTCAAATTTGGCACTTGACCTTTAGTAAAAACAGCTTATTTGTTTTGGATTGTGATATTTTTAATTATAAAAACTAATTAAAGAACAAATTTTTTTATTTTCTTTTTATTCTTCTTATTTTTTTTCTTCTTTCTTTGTTAATTTAAATCATCATATTATAAATTTTGCTTATATTATTAATTAATCTTATTATTTTATATTTTTTCTTCATTTTTGCATTCTAATTAACTATTTAATTATATATTTTTTCTTCGATATTTAAAAAGATGCAATGATATTGGTGCAAATGGTGCATCAGGTTTAGGTTCTGCTTTAGCAAATTGCATTAATCTCTCAAATTTGACACTTGACCTTTAGTAAAAATGGTTTATTTATTTTGGATTGTGATATCTTTAATTATAAAAACTAATTTAAAACTATAAAGATTTTTTTTTTCTTCTTTTTATTGTGATTGCTTTTTTATGTTCTTTCTTTATTAATATAACTGATTATTTTTTTTAAACTTCTGCTTTTATTATTAATTAATCTTATTATTTAATATTTTTTTTAAATTTACACAAATTTATTATAAAAGTTATAACTAAATGAATGAATCATAAGAATTAAAAGTAATAAGCTAGTGTCTTAAATCAAAAAGATTAGTTGTATTCAAAAATTACTTCTAATGATAAAAAAATAGCGAATAAAGGATGAATAAATATTAGAAGCTTGAATAATTGAATTTATTTTATAATATTTTGAAAAGTTTTTTTTAACCTAAAATATAGATAAATTTTCTTACTGTTTTTTATATTTATAAATATCATATTTTTATAAGTTAATAAATAGCTAATAAATAATAAAAAACAATCAAATCATTTGAAATTTTTAGTTTTATATTATATTTTATTAAATAATATAAATGCCAAGCTTCTATATTCCAGTTAGATTTTAATCTTAAATTCTACCCATCAAACATATTAAGGAATTTGAGGGGTTAAATTGTAACCCTAAATTAGATACCATAATTTAAAACCTTAGGGATAAATTAAATTGTACTTTTTATTTTAACCTCAGTAGTTATAAGTTTTTTAATTAGGTTATATTAATTAAAAATAACCAACTTTTAAATATCATAAGTTATGTTATATTAATTAAATTAAATTCTTTTGAGTATACTTTTTAGTATTTGAACAGTTTAAGATAAGTTTAAAAAATAAATTCCCTTCATAAAAAATAAACAAAATATTCAAAAAGGAAAATTTGAAATTTGAAAAGATATTATTTAGATTAATAGATGATTTATCTATATTTTTTATGTGTATTAAGAATTATCTCTTGAAATTAATTAATTTAAATATAATTAATAAAATAAATAAGTATTTATCAGAAAATTTTTAAAAATTTAAAAAAGAGAAATAAAGTTAATAAAGGATTTATATTTAAATAATAAACAGGAAAAAGCTGATTTTTCAAAAATAATTTTTGAAATATTCATTTCTTTCAATCTGAAATTTAAAAATAAAAGAAGCAAAATTCTAAAAGTTTTATTTTTATAATTTAACTTTCTGTACATTATATAAATCAAGTTATTTATTACATAATTTTGTATTTATTCAGTTAATTTTTTACATGTTAGAATTATTCTTCATGAATTTGTTATTAAAAAGTGTTCTTTAAGATAATTAATTATACATTAAAAGGTTTTTATCCACTGCTGATGCAGGTCTAATTTATTGTTATTTTTGATTATTGCTCAGACCAACATCAATTTTTATTTGTTGAGAATCTTCTATTTTGTAAAATTGTTATAATTGTTTCTAATATTGCTGCATATTTAAAGAATTCTATTTCCTATGTTAAGTAGCTTTTTATTTTTTTGTATTATCACCTAAAGGAAATACGATGTTTATAATATTCGGACTTTTAACATCCTGATGTTTAAATAAGCTGCAAGAAGAAGTAAATTATATTTTCTACTTGAATTGCTAATCTTCACTATCTTTTAAGTTTAGCTAAGGATTCTAAAATATGCTAAAATTATTTTTGCCTTCTTTATTGAGATCATGAGAGGATTTTTATTCATTTTCAAATGCTTAGTTTTATTTAAATTTTTTATAAAGTAAAATCTATTTTTAGTAATTATTTTATTTGCCTTTTTCCTATTCAAATTATTAAATTGTTTCTGTTATATCTTATTAGTGCTAGGTAAATATGGTGCTAAAATTTTCGTTTTTGTGTTATTATTCACTTAAAAACTCTGGACACATATTAATTTGACTTATTATAGTTTAGCGTTTTTATTATCCCTTAACCTAATTTTTTTGTAAAATATAAATATAAAATAAATTTGAGTCATTTTAATTTACTTTTGGTGTTTCTTTTAGATTTACGTTTATTTCAATTTAATTTTAGTATTTAGTTGAAACCTTTTGCATTGCAGTTTTTGGTCTGAATTATAATTTATTAAATTTATTATCCATTTTCCCACTAAATTGGGAGCTATTAAAAGAACTTTGTTGGACATTCATTGAATTTATCTGCTCGGTTTGAGAGCTATCTTGTTGGCTTTTAACTGATTTATTTTCAGTTTAGACATTAGCAGATTTTGCTCTTTAATTTGATTTTTCTGTTTGAAACTGCTTATATCTATTTATAAAATCAATCTAAGCTGAGGCTAATTACCTTTTCTCCTCAACAAGAAAATTACTTGATTAAATTATTATTGAGGGATGATTGTTATTGCTTTTTGAATTAGGAGAAAATCCATTAGAGTTTTCATTAACTCCTTATTGAGAATGCATAGAACTGTACTTAATTGATCTGTTGCCAGGAAAATTTTGATTTTTTAATTTAAAATTCTAAAAAGTTGTAGGAACTTAGTAATTGATTAGCTACTCGATTTTAGATTTCGGTGTTTCTTGGTTTTTTTAAGATTTTCCCTTAGAAGAATTTTATAAGCTAACCTAATTTGCTGACTTGATAGGAATATTAGTTTAATCAAAATTGGGTTTTACATCCACAATGTTATTGATGTTTTTATTATAATTATCATCAATATTATCATTATTCATATAATTATTTTACTATTAAGTATTTGATGAAACAGTTGAGAAGTTTGGAAAATAAAATGCAAACGAACTCTTTAAATTGCTTATTTAGCTTTTATTATTAGTGGAAGTGTTAAATAGAGCTTCCTAAATGTTTATCAACTTTTATAAATTAATACTTCTTTACATTCTGTTTGATTTTCTCAATTGCTCTTGCAATTTAATCCTTTTCTAAAAATTTATCTTTTAAGGATTTTAATTGAGACTGCTTAAGCTGTTTGAATTAAATTTATCTTTTACAATAATTCTTGGAGAAATATCCATATTAGATACAACTGTTTCTGATTTTCTGTGTGATTGATGAAGTGTATTTTGTTGTTGGTTAAACGATTATTGAAGATTGATTTAAAATTTACTGAACTTCATATTTTGTTCTTCATTTAATCTTTATCGAGGAGAAGTTTTTGGTGAAGAAGCAGGTGAACCCTCTTTATCAAGTTGCTAAGCAGATACTAAATTAAAATTTTATATTATTTGCTCAGGATTTATCAAGGGAGCAGACATATTTTTAGTGAGTGTTGTAGTGTAAGGTTAAGCCTTTTAATTATTTAAATTTTCAGTTTCATCTTCATCTTCTTAAATATTATTATCTACATTAAATTCCTTTATCGAAACTAAAGATTAAATAGCTTTAGGTGTCTGTTATGGATATTACTTTGAATGATATTCTTGAAACGATCTTCTTTAATTGTTCAAATTTATTTTTTTTACTGAGGGAGTTTCATCCTATTTAAAACTAGCAATCACACTCTGTGACTGAGTTTTTTATCTATGAGATGGACTGGCACTTTCTTTATTGAAAATTAATTTAAAATTTTATTTATTATTTATCATTATAAAATGTAAATTAAATGATTTTTTCGTTGTTTTTTAGATTTTAAATTTAGTTTTAGATAAATTATTAGTAGTTATTTGCTATTTTATTCTTAATTCTTAAGATTAATTTTTTTATTTTCAGAAATTTAATTTATGTAGTATTGAATTTTCTTTTAAGTATATTTAAAAAATTATTTTGATTAATTAAATATTTTTTATTCTTTAAGCATTTACTCTTTCTTTCATTTTTTGAAAAAAATTTTAATTTGAATTATGCTAAAATTCTAATAAAAGCTTATTTCAATTTTTATTGATTAAAAAAAATAAAATAAAGAAAAAATTGAAAAAAAAATATTTTTACATTATCTTTTTTGCTATTTTGGATTTGAATTTTAAAAGGTTTCGAGTCTCTGTTTAACTTTTTTTTTGTAATCATCATAAAATAAATTTTATTCTATGGGATTTTCATTAGAATATAGCTCACTACCTCTTTCTTTTACATATTACCTATTGTTTTTATTTGCAGTCATAATAAAATTTAATGTTGTCTATATTTCACAAGCTGATTAAGGTCTTTTCGAGGTGAGATACTAATTTCTTTTTTAAGCTAAGGTTTATGAATTCTCTTATATTTTATAACTGTTTTTAATGTTTTTATTTGAATTAGAAGAATCTAGACCATTTTTTTATCTGATAAAGGTATCAGATTTTACTTAAGAATCAAGATAACATGAAAATGTTTCTACATCACTTTACTTTTTTGGGGAAATAATTTGTTTCTCTTAACAAAATTAAATAATTTTATCTATATCATCAACTTCACTCATTATTTAATTTGAATCTTAGTTGTTTACACTTTCTGTTTAGTTTCTTTAAGGTTACTCTAATTAGTAAACAGTTGTATCTACTTTTTTTTATTAGCTTGCTCTCCACTCCTATCTTTACATCATTCTATTTGTAAAAAAATCTTTCACACTCCCACTTTAGCTTAATATAAATCTAAATTCCTTTTTTAAAAAATGCATACAATTTATTCAATATATATTTAAGGAAATTAAATTTCTTACAGATGCTTTGATTCTATAAATTGTTGCACAAGAGGACCTTACTCTAGCTGTATAGGATCTTTCATTTTTGTTTTCTATCACATCTTCTTCACCAAAAAATTATCCATCTGAAATGGATGAAATCTATATTGAAATTAGTAAATTTAATTATTTTATGAATCAATCACAATTAAAAATTGAATTACCGTTCTATTTTTAAATTTGGAATTCCCAAACATTTTCATTTAATTTACTTAGTCTTATAAATTTAATTCACCACTTTCTTTTTTTGAGGTTTAAACTTTCTCATTTTTTATAATTTCTATTTCTCCTTTTTTCAAGTAATATACATAAGAAGGATTCTCTCCTTATTAGAAAGCAGGCTAATTGTAAGAGAGCTAAATCTTGAAGAATGCAAAGCAAAATCTACTAGCAGTCTAAAAGGGAATGTTTTTATCCATATTTTCTACAAGCATTTAAATTTTTTTATTTATCTTTTTATTTTGAATTTCCTTCAAAATCAAATCATAATCTTGTCTTGAAATAACAGCAAAATCGCAATCTTAGTTACATATTACTGTAGCAGTACGAGGTCTTTTTAAAATTAAATGAAGAAACTTATTTTTATAATCAAAAGAAAGAAGAGTAAAAAGAGCATAAAAATGTACCTTTTTAGAATTAAACCACCTTCACCAAATGATTCCCCTTCTTTTATAATGTTTGCATTGCTATAGACATAAATTCCATTCTAAAATAATTTCTGAGGATGTGCAACATCTTCGATTTTAAGATTTGCTGGCAACTCAGGAACTATTAATTTTTAATTTTTAGCCATATCTTTTAAGTTTTTTGGGTTATTTTCATCATTTATATTTGCCAAAAAGTAGCTTGTCTTTCTGCCAATTTTGACAGGTGAGTCCAAACTAACATTGCTAACAGGTGAAAGAGAGTCATCATAATTATTTATACTGTTATTTCTATTTAAACCGAATAAGTTTATTTCTTCAGTTTTTTATTGAGTGCTACTTTTCTGAATTTATTCATTTAGAATTTCCTATGCCTTTTCAAATAAAAATTTGAAAGAAAATCTTGAGTATGATTCCCCATTGCTTTTTTATGGTGATTCTTCTTCATTATCGTTTTCGTTTAAAACAATAGATCCCTGCTTTGATTAAAATTTGCTTTTGGTCTACTACCTTGAAATTTTACTCATTTTATTTGGTTGCTTTTTTGGAGAATATTCTGAAAATGATTGACTCAAAGGAGTATTAGATTCTCCAATGCTGCTTAAACTGTTTCTCCTTACCTTATTTAATTCCATTTTTTACTATCTTTCTTTTACACTCTATGGAGAAATATTAAATTGATTGTGTGGATTATTTTTTAAAGAAGATATTTCTGCTCTCATTTCATCTTTTTCAGATTATAATTGACTGATATAATTTTATATTTGAGTAGCCTCGTCGTAACTCAGCTATTATCTCTCTTTCTCAATCGTTTCCTAATCTTTATGAGTTATAACAGTAACTTTTCCTCTCAAGAGGATATAAAAATTATCAGCTATATCTCCCTAATAAAACACGCAGTCTCCTTTTTTTAGACTTAATGGTGTAATCACTTTATAGCATTCAATTACCTGTCTTTAATAGCCTTTTCTAATTAATTTGGTGAAAAAGGGAAAGTTTCTAGTAGCATTTTCTAATATCATCTATTCAGTTTTAAATCTTTTATCCCTATCTAATTGCATAACTTACAAGCAGTCCTTCATAAATAAATAATAAAAATTAGGATTAAAAAAATAAAGTTAAAATATTTTTTTTTTCATTTAATTCAATGCTTTTAATTGTTAAGTGAACAAGAACAGCCTTATCGCCTTAAGATCAAATCTTAGGATTTGTCTTTATTTTTTATGGCTTCATTAATTTTCTTAAATTCTTTGTAAACAAATTTATTTACATTAATTCTTTCATCTTGGGTTCTTTTTATAGAAAAATCATAGTTTTAAAGTTTCTTTTTAATCAATTTTAAGGTTTTCTGTCTTATTTCGTCAGAATTATTAGCAAAAAAAGTCTTTTTAGGGGAATGTGAAGGATTAGCCTTCATATATGGACGCTTTTTGAGATAGGCTTGTTATATTTCGAAACCTCTAAGATCAAATATATATAAACTACGAATAATGTAAGTAAATAAATAAATATCTTTGTTATTTTAATTTAAGTGCAAAAATTAATTAATTATTTTGTTAACTATCTTAATTGTAAAAAATTCAAGTAAATTAGTCAATTTAGGAATGTATTCTTATAGTTTCTTTATTATTTTTAACAAATTTTAGATTTTTTTTTCAAAGATTTCGATTTATAGCCATCGATAAATTAATAGTTTTCAACTAACTAATATAGACTACTCTTTCAACTTTTAATAATCAATATCTAAAATATAAGCTCTAATTATATATGCTGCAACACTCCAACTCCATCCATCTGCTTTTCTTAGGTAAAATAAGAAAATTATTAATCAATTAAAATGAAAATTTAAAACATTTATTTTTTATTCAAAAATTAAATATTCTATTACAAATAAAAAATGAATATTAAATTATTCAAATCTTTGAACAAATAAAAAATTAATAAAATCAGAAAATTAATTTTAATAACAATACAACACAAGCAATTATACATAAATATATATAATATATTAAAATAAAAATTCAATTTATATAAAGATTTACAAAAAATAATTTTATTATTTTTGAGTTAATTAGTTATAATTTTTTTGTACCAGATAATATTTATTTGTTTGTTTGTTTGAATGCATAATAATTAATTATTTCAATAACACTTTGCATCAATAAGAGTGATTGTATTTTCATCATCAAAATCATAAAACTCGATACAAAGACGATATCTACCATTAGAATAAAGACTGTATTCAGAGTGCAGCTTTGTAATATTATTTTGATTAGGATAGTCGCTGAAAGTAAGGTGATTTTTGGCAACACATACTTCCATCATTATGGTCTCATTTTTCTTCAAAAAGGATAAAGTTGACTTCCCTTTAACACTTGATCCACAATAAGTTACATTTTCTTGTCCAAAAATTTTTCCAAAATGGTTTTAGCTTGAGCCTTATGAAGTTGAATCTTTCTATGAATCAGGTATCAAGCCGATGATTATAAAATTTTGAACTTCTTGTTTAAATTAGAAAACAAACTAGTATGTAAGGTGATTATCTAGAATAAAATCGGAATAAACTTATCCCCAAATTTATCCATTTGTATGAATAGTAATTTAGTTTTTGTAGTTGCGATCAACATGTAACATACTAGAATTCTTAAATTGGCTTTTTATGATTTAGAAATCGGTGAGATTTAGCTTAAATTTTATTTGATTTTATAAAGTCTTTAGTTTAGATTGCATTTTTTTTCCAAAATCTTTGATTCCCTACAAATTCTCCTCCAAAGGCTTGAATTTGTTTAACTACTAGACTAATTTTGTTAGTTTTTATGAATTAGCCCTCTTTTCTGCATACTTTTCTTCTAGAAATTCTTCAATTTTCTTTCTAATATAGTCAATTTACTATGTTTGCTTAATTGATGCATTTGAGTTTTTATTTGCTTGAGTCTCTTCTTTTGCTATCTATTCTTCTGCATTTTATTGTTGTGAGTTCTACGAGTTTTACTTATTCATGAATGGATTCACAGCAGTCAAAAGGTTATCAAAGTTCAATAAAGGATGGTCTATATCAAATGACTATGCTTCTTTAGTGGCAGAATTACTAGGCGAAGTTTACTCTTAAGTTGCTTGTTAACTTTAGGCATTTGTTTGCTATTATTGTTATTAAGTTAAAAGTCCTCTGAATGTGTCTATATTTGAAATATCATCATACATCTTCTGTAAGTCTGCTAAAATTTAATATTTTTCTCCTTCTATGCGCATAAGATCTTTTTTTAACTAATTAACTTATTAAGTGAACTATTCAATTAAATTGGAACATATTATATCTATTTGGATCATGCAGTTTTATTGATCATTTGAACATTTCAGTATTTCATAAATCTTTTAATTTAAATCTTAATCTAAAGGTGGCCAGTTATTGTAGAGTCTCTCTTGATTAAAAATGAGTTTTCTAAGCGGAAGTAAATTCTTTTTATCAATATCATTTGTTAAGTTGCATTCTGCACAAAGAAATCGATTCTATGATGTATTCAAATATGATTAATCCTCATCTTCTTTTAAAAACATGTCTTTAATATCTTCATTTTCCTCGCTACTTTAAAAATCATCTTATTCCCTAATGCTACTGCTATCAAGTGCTCCTTCCTAATTAATGTAACTTTTTTGGCTTATATTAATGTAGCATATAGGCTCATATTTATGAATGGGGCAGTTCATAAATATATTCTTGAGCAAAGAATGATATTAATTAGGATTGAGCTAATTATTGTAAAGTTCTTTGAATGAATCTATTCTTTGCATTTTTTGCTATAACTTTTCTGATAATATTTAATTTGTTTGGATTTTAATTGTATGATCTTTTTTGATCAATAGTTTAGTTTTGCTTGTTTGTTTTTTTGTTTGTTTGTTTAATATAGATAAACTGATTCATAAATTCAAATCTAATATAAAAGAACAAATAGTAAATTTTTAAAAATATACATTTAAATTTTTTTACATATTTTTGTTACAAAAATTAAATTCAATCATTTAACTAAAATTATTTGGTTTCAAATATATTTTATTTGTTAAAATAAATAAATAAATAAATACATTCTGTTAAAATTATTTTATTATTTGAAATAAAAATTTTTGCTTGCTTTTATTTTTTTTTTTTTATTCCACTATCAATAAATCTAAGTTTTTCACTCTATTTATTTTCTTTAGAGATTCAATTCAGCTGAACCAAGGTATCTTATAAAAAATCATATTAAGAATTAAATATATTTTAATTAATTGTATACAAGGTGATAGATAGATATTTACTTTGTTTTTCTCAAAAACATATAATTTCTAGTAATTTATTTTCTAATAAAAAAATAATAAGAAATATTTTAGAATTAAGAGTTAATTAATTGGAATTATATTAAATTAAAATAAATTTGCATAAATTATGAAGCAGCATGAAAATATAATGAATGATAAATAGAACAATAAACAACTAAATTTAAATATAAAATAAAATTTTTTTATTTATTTTATATTTATTTGAATTAAATGATAAAAATTTATGAAATGTATTAATAATCAAATTTCTTTTGCCATTGATATAATATTAACTACTAATTTTAGGATTACATAGACAGAGTAAATGCTAAAAAAAATGTATGGTTAAATAATTTAATTTATTTTAAGGTAATTGTTTCAACTTTACTAAAATTATGTTACTCAAAATCACTTTGAAAATGACCAAAAAATTTATAAACTTAAAAATTGATGATAGGAAATATTTATAAAAAATAGATAATTATATATAGGTATTAATCTATTTAATGCTTGAATTAGCATTTCTTCTAATACTATTAAATTTGTTGTCATTTACTTTATTTCCATTGTGTTGAGATACTTAAACTCTTTATGAGCTTCTTTTTGGAGATAATTTAAAATTTTTAGAATTATTTGGATCAGATTTGTTAAGGAAAGTACTTGAAAATATTTAAAACTTTTTTGTCAGTTTATACACTTCACCACCAGTAGGAAATTAAATATGAATCCAACCAATATTTTTTAATTAAATTAAACATTTTTCGCTTTGTTTTTAATCTTGAAAATAAACAAAAACAATTAGCCTGTTGTTACTCGTTTAATCACTTTGTATTTTTTGAGTACTTGCTTTTTAGAATAATTTTTATTATTTTTTGATGATTTAATTTGTTTAGAAAGTAAACTATTCTTTATTTACCACTAGTAAGTTAAAATATCCAATAATTAATTGAATAAGATATTACTGTAAAAAAATTCAAAAAGCTCTATTTCTGGCTTTATAATAAAAAAGAAAGTAATTTCTCCTTATAAATTCATATAAACAATAATAAATAAATATCTAAATAGACAAATAAATAAATACATAGATATCTTCAATCAAAACAAAAAATAGTTCGATAATTACTTAAACAAATGTTCATCAGATATTCTTTTTTAGTACCTTAAAAATTGCTTTTGAACAGTAAAATTCAAATTAACAAAAGATTTGCCAAACAGCCTTGTAAATCAAATTTTTTACTGCACATTATTATTTATTGTTTTTTTCACTTGATTATAAGTTAGTTAAGTAAGTTTTGTCTACAAGTTATGATTCTTAAATTTAATTTAAGAATAGCTTGTTTACATTAGTTTTTTTTACTGTAATCTTTTAAATAGGTATTTTAAACTGCATTTGTTGTTTTTATTATATTGTATTCATGTAGAATATTATTTGCATTCTTGCTTGCTTAATAATGTATTGATTAGAACCTAATAAATCATAAAAAAACTAATTAAAAAAAACCTCAAAAATCTTATTATCTCTTTACGACTTTGCCACTTTACTGATTGAATGTATGTCTTTGTTATATTAAATGGAATATAAATAATTTTTGCAATTGAATTCTGCGAAATAAAGCAATCAACATTTTTTATATTTCAAAATAAAATTTAGATTTTGAAACTTTAATAAGAGGAGTAAACATATCTGCTTTATTGTAATCTAAAAATGGGTAAATTTTTAATTTGAAAAATTAAAAAACAAACAAAAAAACTTTTTCAATCAATAGAATTCACTACTTACATGCAAATAAATTAACTAAAGCACCTACATTTGATTTTAAATTTTTGAAAAAACCTAAATATATATACATAGATAGATACATACACATGATTTTTATAAATTATGAAAATCTTTTTGAAAAATATCAAAAATTTAGATACATTTTAAAAAGAATTTTTTCCAGTTATGCCCCTAATAAATATATATACCAATCCATTGATTTTATAATTACTGTGCGAAAAAGATAAATTATTAATTAAGTTGATTATTTAATTAATATGCATGTATTTGATTTCACAGTCATCAAAATAACTTAAATCAAAAACAATTAACAAAATTTATAATTAGTAATTGATAAAAACAATAAAAGATTAAGAATTAAAAAACAAAATACATACAATTTTTATTGGCAACCTGCAAACATTTTCGCAATAAATAACTCACTCTAACTAACTAAAATTGCTAACAACAACAACAACTTTAAATCAACATACTCATAACTAACTAAAAAAATCTGCTAATTTGATAATAAAGATTGTAAATAAATCCATTTATTAAGATTATCTGAATAAAAAAAACTTGTGTTAAAATTAAAAATAAGATGACTGCTTAAAATGATTAAAGCGATTACTTAGAAGTTTATTTACAGAGCCTACACAAGGAAATTGAAGGAATGAGAAAAAAACTTTATAGTGATTTAGAAATTCCTCATTTACTGAAAGAAATAACTGAAGTAAACATATTGATTGATGAGTTATATATAAATGAGCGACTTGAATATACCCTTTAAAATTGCCCAAAATCTCTTTATCTATATTTCCTAAGAATCTTCTCAAATTATAAATAAAAGATATCAATTATTTATTCATAAAAGCTTCAAGTTCTACCCAAAATAAGTTGCCATTTGCTCCAAAGCGATGGCATGTTATCTCTTTATTTTCAAATACTATAAAGTTATTTCTGTAATTAAACCAGCTTGGGCGGAGACTCTCGCGATGAAACCATCTACTAAAAATATTAAATTTGAATCTAACAGATTAGAAATACATTTGCTTTTAAATATTAATTAAAGCGCCGTATTAGGATAATAATAAATAAACAAACAAACAAACAAAAGATATATTTTGAACAGTAAAAAAATAATTCGATCATTTACAAATATATATAAATAAATCAATAATTAAATTTACACTAACAAATGATAAATTAATCAAACACATATACTCACTCACTCACAATCACACATAAAAACTATTAATATTCAAACCATTATTTAAAATATAAAATTCTATTTGTAATTTTTGTTATATTCAATTTCTTTATTATTAATTCATTTATTCGTTCACTTCTAGATTAAAAGTAAATAATATAAATAACTAAGTAATCGCTTATTATAACATTTTGTAAACTGTTTATAAAATTTGCTTTTAGTTAATAAATTTGGTATTATATAATTTTTAAAATAATCTTCTAGTTCTATCTGAATGATATTTACAATATATAATATCTTTCAGTAAAATAGAAAATAAATCTTGAATTAATTTATTTTCAGATTGTATTGGTAAATTAATTTAGAACAAATAGTTAGAAAGAAATAAATCAAACAAAAAAATATTCAACTAATTTTTTTCTTCCACAAATTAAAAATTTTGTGGCAAATAATAAGGTACTACAAGTTTCTATAATTAAAACTTATAGAAATTATATTTTTCAAGATAAATATCAGCCAGCTTTTTGAAAAGTCATCGATTAAATTTAAAACTTTTTATTTTCCAAACAAAACCAAAATAAAGAAAGGAAATATATATGTGTGTCAATTTATTTATTAATCAAACCTCATTTATAATCATTTTAGTTAGAAAAAATTCAAATAGATATAATGAAATTGAGAAAACTGTTTTGACAATTTTCAGATAAAAATCCTTTTTTTACACTATATTTATATTTAAAGTCAGATCATGTCAAATATTTATTCAAAAAGTAAGCTATCTTATATATTCTCTTCTTTAAAAAATATTATCTTCAAATCAAAAAGTTTTATCTATCAACAAAATAAATTTTCGAGTTAATGCATATTTGATATAAAGAATATAAATGATTAAGATATACAAAAATACTTTGTCATTTAATAATACAATTATTATTATTTTTAACAAAAATAACCTCATTAATTTGTTATTCTTTAGATTTTTATGAAAATAAACTTAGGTTTTTTATATAATTTTTAAAAATAAATTAATTTTCCATAGATAAATATAGTTATTTTTTGTATGAATAAAGATCTATGGAAATATATGAATACAAAATATTTTAATTTTGCAAATTTTTAAATGAAAATTTTGTTAAAAAAATTTTTCTAATTATTAATTCTCGAAATTCATAGTTTAAGTACATATCATTAAATGAAGAAATAAAATTACTATTTATTTAACGCTATTCTTTCTTTTGTTATTATTATTATTTTCTAGTGTCCTTTGCTTCTATTGAACAAGATAAAACCCCAAGCTTCATCAAAAAATAAGTAAATGTATTTTTGATATTTAACAAAAATAAATAAAAAAAGCTAAATTTAAAGAGTAATTATTTGTTCTAAAATTCAAAAAAATTCATTTTTTAAGCTGAAACTAGTAATTTATGATTGAAATTTGTTATTTTAATTTAATTTATCACTGTCTCGTTTTTAATATTTTTTGTTCTATTTGGCATAATGGTTTAATATTTTGAAATGCAGTTAATTATAACTGTTTTGAATTATAGCTAATAATATAATAAATCTCTAATACATTTAATAAATTACATAAGTATTTAATGAAACAATAATTAAAGGGCTAAAAAGTACATTTTAAATTTAGTAATACTATTTAAACAATTTTAATTTTAATTTCTTCTCATCCGATTGATTTTTAAATGATTTATCCTTTTTTGAAGTAAAACCACTATCAGATTTATTCTATTGTTACTTATCTAAAACAGCTAAATAATATAAAAAATACATTTGTTATTTATTACTTCAGTAATTTTATTGCTTCCTTTTATTAATTTTTTTAATAAACTCAAATGAGTAAATCTTCAAAAAAAAGAGTTATCTTCAGGAATTACCATATTAAGCATATATTATAATTACATTATCCTAATAAAATTCATTATATTTATTTTATGTAAATCATCATATATAAATCTTACCCTTGATCTAATACATATAAAAAATACAAAAATTATAATCACTAAGGGTGTTTACTAAAAATATTAATTAAAGGCATCATTAATTTATGAGGATTGATATTATATAAAATTAATTTTAAAATTGTTTCATTTTTTATCCTTAAAAAAATTTTGTTTTAAAATATATTTAATTAATAGTTGTATCTATCTATCTATCTATCTATCTATCTATCTATCTATCTATCTATCTATCTATCTATCTATCTATATTAGCAAATTAAATCTAAATTTAAAAAATTAAAAAGAAATAATTTGACATATTATTAAATAAATATGAAATAAGTTCGAATAGTTTGATTTGTATACAGCAAAGTTCTCTAAATATGATTAAATTGAGTTGAAATTTTATATCAAATAAAGTTATTACAAAAAATAAATAATATATAAATTAATTTACTATTCAGTTTGTTTGTTGATAAATATTTATAAAATAAATATTTGATTTATGTTATCTTTCTTATTTATATATAAATATAAAGAAAGAGAGATAGAGTTAGAATATACTTTTTATGCGCATTAAATAATTTAAATTTTTTGATTTGTTTGTTTGTTTGTTTTTATATTTGTTTTTTTTCTAATTAAAAAAATTGTGATTGCTAGCTATTTGATCTCAATTTTATTCATAAAAATTATAAAATAGATTTATTTTTTTTTGCTTTTAAATTTAAGTTTAATTTTTTCATTACATTTCTGTCTTATAAATGAAGTTAGGATCCATTTTATATTTCATCTCAAACTTTTAATACCACTTTTCTAAGAAATTAGAAGGGATTACCAAATAATTACCATTAGATTATATTTATGAAACAAGAGAGTCATTATTATAACTCATCATAAAATTGTAGAGATTTTAAGCTACAAGTTTTGCATATTGCTTCTATGAGTCTATTTTATCTGATAGGGTAACCAAGTCTTGCAATTCACTTAGAGGTTGCATTTTTACAACTAGCTTTATAGATTGGCATTAGTTTACATCAGGCTTTACAGGAAATCCTGTTCTAAATATATCACTAGGACGTACGTTTGCAATAGCTCCTATAAAATGAATAGATTCAAAAGGAGGGGCAGAATAGTATAACGAAGCACCGAACCCATCTTGGATTGGAACGTTTAAAAAGAAGGCTAAATTAGGAACTGCAGCAGGATTAGGGAGATCAACACAAAACATTCCATTGATAAATTCAAAATTCATAAAAGGAATTTATCCTGGAATCATGATGCCAAATCCTGGAGTTTAAATCATTTAGTTAGGATCCATTGTTCTTTATTTATATATTTTAATTGAGAGTTTGATTATTATAATGGCTATCTAATCTTTTTTTAAGTTGACTGGAAGTCTTTTACTTTTGTTAGTTTGCTTGCTTGCTATTGTTTGTAATTAATTACCTATATTTTTTATAATTTATTAAGCTATATCAATTATAAAAAATTCATAAGTAAAAATACTTAAATATAATTACTCAATGATTTTAGAATTATTCTTTGCAATTAACATTCACATTTTTACTTCTCGAAGCTATCCAATAATAACTAATTTCAAAAATTAGAAATTTAATAGAAAAAATTTTCATTCTATTGTTCTATATTATTACTAAGAAAAAAAGCATAGATAGATAGATAGAATAGAAGACCACAATAGAAGAAATTGTATAAAATTTCTATCATTTTACTTAGTCCTTAAATTAATCAATCAAAGTAAAATAAATATAAATGAAATTTTGTAAATTAAAATAATTAGCATGCATAAATGTAAAATAGATTTCTGCAAAAACGGTAAGAGAAATAATTAAAAATAATTTTAAAAATGAATTAAATAAAACAGGCTTTATTTGCTTTTTAAATTTTTTGAGTGAATAATAAATAAGTAATAATATTATAAGATATAATAGAAGACTGTAATAGAAGAATTTGTATAAAATTTCAGTCATTTTACTTAGGATTAATATCCCTTAAATTATTTAATCTAAGTAAAATAAATATGAAGGAAATATTATAAATTTTTATCAATATAAAATAGATTTGTATACAAAAAAATGATTATAAAGATAATTCAAAATTATTTAAAAAATAAATTAAAATAGGTCATTTTTGGTAATTAATTGAATGATATATAATTTTAGGAAAAAATAGAAGAATTTAATATAAGAATTTTTATAAAAGTTCAGTCATTTTACAAAGGCATAATATTCCTTAAATTATTTCATCTAAGTAAAATAAATATGAAGGAAATATTACAAATTAAATAGTTTTTTAATATAGAAATTAAAAATTTGCTTTTTTTTTCACTAATCAATTGAAATTTTTTAAAATATTATATAATACTTTAAAATATTAAGAAAAATGAGGTAGCTAATTAATTATAATAAATGATTAAAATATTATAACTTGCTTGAAGAATAAATGTATTAATTTAGTTAATTTTATTTTACTAACTATGGTGTTTGTAGATTATCTAAAAAAAAATTAATTTCCTTAAAATACTTATTGGGTTTGGTTATTTTTGTGAGATCATCTTTTCTATCTTATGCAATGATATCTATCTATATTTAAACTCTTTTGAGTAATAAATTTTCGTTAATAATTTGATTGGTAATCAATCATAAGATATTTTCAATTACACATAGCTTGATTTAATAATATAGTAAATTTTATATCAAATAATATGAATGCTAAACGAAAAAGAGTACTTAATAAATGAAATCCAACAAAATTGTAGGATAAATTCATCTTCTAGAAATGGCTCTCCTTACAAAAAAAGAGATAAAATACTGAAAGAGTAATAACAACAGAGATCTAAAAGTGAATTTGAAGCAAGACGAATTATAAATAAGAAGAAAAATATCTTCTAAGATTAAGATTATCGCAATTAATACTATCAAAATATTTTAGCTCTTCCTTTTAATGATCCTCGTCCAACTTAAGTAATTATTTTATTATCATTAATTTGCAAAGATAAATTAAAAATAACTCTCATTTCTTACTTAATTTTTATTAAAATACTAGGAAATGATTATGATTTTAATGAAGAATCCAGCAGTTAGATAGGAATGCGAAATAATATTTTTAACACAAATACTGTGTTAATACCCTTTCTTTTCTAAAATAAAATAATAATATGGACTTTAGGTTTTGTAATATATTAGCTAGCTCGCCTTCTATAAAAGGTATGATGATAATGTAAATATTGACTTTTTAGAAAACTCAAATTTGATTCTAAAAGAAAGTAAATAAATAAATCAACAACTAAATTAATTTTGTATTTATTTTCATTACATTTATCAAATTTTTTTAGCAAAAGATAAGAATTAGATCAATGAGGCAGGTGAATAAATCTTATTGGTATTATTAAATGGTTAAGCTGTTATGAAAAAAATTAAATAAGATAGCATTTAAATAAAAGCATAAAATTAGTAAAATGATGAAATTTCTCTCTAAGTAGGTTAGCCCTTATAAAAGTTGAATACAAGCGATTTAATGATTGATTAAGGTGATTTCGAAAGTAAAAATAAAGAATATTAATATTTGACCCACTCAGTTTGTGAATTTATCGCTATTTCAATATAGGATTATCATTCAATTATTTAAAGAACGTTAATAAGATAGCAAAAAATGAAATAAATTGAGATATAAATTTTGAATAAAAATTAAGAGGTTGTTAAATAATATAAATTCTTAAAAAACATCCCTATTTTCTAATAATTTTCAGATGCAGATATTTACGATGTAATGGTTAATATGACACTTGAGAGGTTAACTCATGGATAAATTCTTTATAAGTAAGGAGATAAAGTAGAAGGAGTGTATTTAATTTACTCAGGCGAATTTTAGGTAATGAAGAAATAAGAAAGACTTAATCAAATTATCTAATGTGAAGCTTTATAAGTAGTTAAAGATGTTAATAGATTTATTCCTAATATGGACTAAAGTTTAATAATCTCAGTTATAAAAGAGGGAGAAATATTTGGTTTTGAAGAGATCATTCAAAATATATAACACCGTTAATATACAGTGGAATCATCAGCAATTAACTCATTTGTGTTCTTCATGAAAGCACAAGTAATTAAAGGCTAATCAATTTTAAATAATTTTAAGTTATTTAAATTTGCTTTTCTAACAATATTTTTATTTTTTTGCTTAAAAAATATATTTATTATTTATTAATCAGTACTTTTAGAAGAAGTTTAACAGACTTATCAATTAGAATGAGTACAGTTAATTGGTTAAATTAACTGAAGAAAAAATTATGCATAGAAAACAATTTTAAGATAAACAAGAATATTTAGCATACAACATGCTTGAAGATATCAAAAATAGCTCATTGGGATATTAAATTTTTAGTAAAATCAAAGAAGACCTTGATAATAGCAATCTAAATTAGCTTTTAAAGAAAAAGCAATCAAAAGAAAATTCAGAATTAGTTAACAATGAAAAAAATAAAATATATAGAAAGAGATTAAATCAAGATTCGATTAACTTTTTAGAGAAATCTCTGTCACCATTATAAAAAACTCTACCCTTTTTGAATAAAAATACTCAAAATTTTTCAAACTTAAAATAAAGTTAAATTACCTAATAACAAAACATTATTAAACAGTAGTAATACCAACAATAATTTATCTAGCTTTAAACTACATAAAGCAATTTAAATAAAGAATAAAATAATTTAATTTCTAAAAGTAATTTTCATTTTAGATCAAAAACTCCAAATTAGGAAATTAATCTAGAAAATAACTCGTTTTTATAATCGAAGTAAAACACTACAGCTATATCGTAGTTTATATAAACAAATAATTCTACAAATAGATAAAAAAGAACAATTGATTTTTTGAGAGAATCTCGTTGTTTAACAACCCAGGGAAATGAAATTGAAAGTATGGTTGAACAACCTTTTTAGTAAAATAAATATTCGAGATCACTTTATTAATAAAAATGGAATTTTAAAAGAAAAAGAAAATTATAAAATGCTCATCCTACCTAATAAAATTTTGATTTTCTCGAATAAACCAACTAACTCACATCCCCAGTTGATATAAATAATAGCTTGCAGTTGTTAGATACTGATAATTATGATAGACTTTTTGTATTCGTAAAAAGTAAAGATTAAGAAAGGGCTTAAAGAAAATTAAATGATTAAAATTTTGGAATAGTTAGAGCTGTTGAAATAGAACATCTAGAAAATGGCTAAGTTTTTTAAAAACTTATTTAAACTCAACCCAACGAATCTAGTGAATAATTTGAATTTTCCAACTAAATTGATGATTTAAAGCCAATTGTTTAAAAAAGGAAGTAAATTTATTAAGAAATTAAGAGAGCTATTTTACAGCAAACAAATTAATAAGATATTGGTATTCAAATTCATGATGAACTTAATGCACCAAAGTATTTAAAGATAAAATAGTAGAAAATAAAAGATTCTAATTCAAATTCACCAAAGAAAGAAAAAAGGATAAATGAGAATGCTTTTGTCAATGAAAGATCGATTTTGATGAAGTTCTTAAAAGATAAACAAAATTATGAAGGAGGCAAAATAATCTAAAGCACTGAAGTAGCACCAATTTTTAACCATAAAAAATATTCAGTTTAGCTAGGATCAAATTTTGAATAGATTAGCAACTCCAATAATTGTGAAAAGTAAGATACAGACAGTAAAAAAATATATCTATCATAGCGAACTTCACCTCACAGTCAAAGACCAATATCAAGATTTAACCCATAATTGCAATACTTTTAATCTAAAAAAGTCGATGATAACCAAAGGATCATTAAAAGGGGAGATAAATAAATTAAATTCAGAGATAACAGATCACCACCTAAAATCCTGCAAATTTAATGAAAAATATAACTAACTATAATATAGATAATAAAATAACAAATATAAACAAAATTAAATAATTGTGAATTATATTTTAACAAATTTTTATTTTTAAAAAATATTCCCTTTTTTGGCATTTTAAACAAATTATTTATTTTAAATTTAATAAGCTAAATTGAAATTAACTATTATAAACTTGTGGTGCAAATACAGAGGTTGATTAAAAAAATTAAATATTCTGCATCTCTTGCTACATTTGATGGAGTTGAATAAATATTTTGACTCTCAAATCATCCCCTTAAGAAAGAAAATAAAAATATTGATTGCATTTAACATTTTACAAATAAAATAAAAAACTATTTTCACATAAACTCTATTTAAAAATGGATATTAGAATTAAATTAAAAAAAATTATTTTGTCATCTCAGTTGATTTAAAAGAAAATTATTAAAATTTGAATTAAATTATTTTAAAATATTAGTTTTAGAATTTTAGTTTCTATCTTATTTTTGAGCCTTAATAATATGTATACTCTTTTTGGTTTAAAATAAAAACAATTTTTACGTTAATAAAGAATTGTTTTTTGCTTTAATTTTAAATGATATAAAGAATATTTTATTAATTTGAAATAAAGTGATTTAATCAACATCTTTTGGTATTCTAAAGAATCTACAAAATTAATTTAAAAATCTGAATTTTGTTGTTTGAGAAATAATTTATTCAGTTATTAGTTTTTTCTATATTAAAAGACTTAATTAATTAATTATTAACAGTTTACAAAAAGATAGTAGAAATTAAAAGGTAGAAGAATTAATTCATTTTTACAAATAGGTCTTATTAATAAAAAATTAAAATATATATTTTGACTATATTTATTAGATAAAATGTACAAGAATTTCTCATTTGAAAAGACTGGTAAAGTTATGACTCTTTCTAAGCTCTAGGAAAACTAGTTTTAAGTTGCTAAATTTCACAGGTAGAATAATTAATTAAGCTATTATTTCTTAAATACATTAAAGGATAAAAACTTCTTTTTAATTTTAAAAGCTAAAAAGCAATAGACTTAAAACAAAAATCTTAGCATTTTCCACGGTTAAGGATTAGTAGCTAATAAGAAACTAATTATGGAGGTTAACTTAATTTTGAATGTAAACATGCTTTGGATTACTTATCAATAAATGATAATAGATTAAATTAAAGTGATGGATTTACAAAATAAGTCGCATCTGACAAATCCTAAACAACAAGTTATCCTTCGACAACAAATAAAAAAATATTTTAATTCTCATTCAAATAAAAGAATGACTAAATATCAAGCGCTCGTTCAAAGTTGCATGGAAGTTCTAGAATTAGCGAAAAAAACTCAGCTTTTTCAAATGTAGATAATTTATTTTAGGAAAGATAAATATTAGAGAAATCAACACAATAGATTTATAATTATAATTTGATGAAGTAAAAAGAGGAATAAATGCAAAAATAATTAAAAAAGGAAATAAATTTTATCTAAAAATAAATTTAAGAGGAATAAAAAGCTGCCAAAAATATTAACGGAGTAGGCACTATCATACACTAACAAAAGTAGAAAATAGACGATAATACATATGTAAAATTAAAGCTTTTTATATTACATAATAAACTTATTTTAATCTAAGAAATTCAGTGAACAGATATACCCTATCAAAAAAGAAAAAGAGGCATTAATCACAGATATTAAATCAGTAAATCAAAATAAATTAACAAGCAAATTAACATTTAAATTTATCAATCAAATTATCTTTCTTTTTTATATAATTAATAACTCATTCATATTATTAACTTTAATTAATAGCTCAATGAGGTTAAAAAATAAATGATTCAGAAAAATGTATCAATAATTTAATAAATTTTGGCTGAAAAATAAATGATTGAGTCCTTAAAAAATAAAATTTAAAAAGCAAAAGAAATGTCACACTTTGAACAAGTAACAGCTACTTAGAATAAATAAAAGTTTAACATTTTTTTATAAAGAAAAATAATAGTAAAATAAAGCTTTAATTTTTCTAAAATTAAAAAATTGCATCAAATCAACAATATTAAATTGACCTATTAGTAATTTAATAATTACTTTTTAATATAAAAATTATTTATTTTTACTTTTGTAAATTAGGAAGATAAAACAGATATTTTGTGCACTAAAGCTAAGCAGTATGCTTAAATAGAAATCAAATGAAAATAAAATTCTGATTCTTTCCTTTTAAGGATAAATTATATTAAATTTTTTAGAATATTATTAATTTTGGTTAGATAATCAATCGCGAATAGAATCTGTTTGTGTTTTTGGTTTTATCAATAAATTTAATTTAATTTTGTGTGTAAAATATTATAATATGATATAAAAAATAAATGCTATTTTTAGTTAATTTTTAATCTTAATATTCAACGTTAAATAAAACGAATAAAATGAAAAATTAATATAATATTGTCTGTCTGTCCTATTAAATTTCTCTGTAAATAAATTAATTTATATTTTTTAAGAGCTTTTTATATTTAAAGATTTGGAATATAATTAGTTGTTTAATTAATTTTAAATTAATTTTATGGTTTAATACGAAATATATAAATAAATATATTATTAAATACATAGATTACACATTATATATATAATTAGTTTTATTCATTTTTTATTTCTTAAGACATACATATATACAGTTCCATTTATTTTTCTTTCCTTTTTAAGTATTTCAAAATCTTCTTCTTTGATGAATTCTTCCCAGTTTCTGTTGGGAAAGAATCCATAATTGCAAACGGTATAGGGAGTTTTATAGTTCAAAAAGAAATTAAGTCCTTAGTATAAACTCTAACCACTTGCAAGAATTAAAATTAGCCCATCTTTTTTGCATACTCTCTTCATTTCTTTAAGTGCTTTATCAGGATTTACATAATATTCTAATCCAAAAGTATCAACGACAGTATCAAATACATTATCTTTAAATGTTAAATTTTCAGTATCATCTATTTTATAAGAGTAAGAGATGTGATTTACACTTTTTTGCATAGCTGCTTCTAACATATTAGAACTCCAATCTATTCCTAACACTTTGACACCAGGAGGATAGAATTTTAAGTTTCTAGAAGTTCCAATAGCTGTTTCTAATACAAAACCTTAGGCATAAGAAAGAAGAATCTTGCGGTATTAATTTATTTTTGAAAGATCTTCGTAGGAATCCACTGATTTATCATATAAAATAGCGAGGTTTTAGTGTATATTAAACAAAAACTATCTTTTTCTATTCGAATTTTTATAATATTCTTCTTCAAATGATCTAATCTAGTGGTATTTGTATGAACCATATGTGACAATACCAAACATTACTATTCAAATAAAAAATGTTTTTAATAATCATCAATTTAGTTAGAATATTTTTAGCTAAATCATTCATTAGATAAACAAATATTTATCTAACCAAAAGTCCTAATTAATTAACTCCTATTTAATATTATATCAAAACTTTTCAAGTTAGTTTTTTGAATTATTACTCATCTTATTATTACAAACTGCAATGATTGCTTCATTTATTTTCTAAAAGAGTGAATCTAAAAATAAATATTTAAAAGAATTAATTACTTGTTGCAGAAATTCCGTACTTAATATATTTCGCCATCTATTAAAACCTTTACTTAAGCTAACTATCTTGATTTGATTTAGTAAATGAATTGAAATTTTGCTTTAAAAATAAATAAGCTATTTTTGATTTAAGCTGATAAATTAATATCACTATTTAATTATATCTTTTTTGATATAATGTTTGTATCAAGAATTTGTAAAGAATATTCTTCAGTAAAATAATTGATTGCATTTAATTTTTAAGATATCTCACTATTAAAAGCTGTTATTAACAGATGACAAGCCATATATTTTTATAATTAACAAATATTTAATGGCGCTTATATTAAAAAGTCATTTCTACAAAAATGTAAATAAACAAATATTTTCAAATTATAATTTTTAATAAAAAAAATATCTCCTTAGTTATCTAAAAAAATAACTCTATTTTAAAATTTAATTTAATAACCAAAATACTTATTTTCATTTATTTTATGTCAAATTAATATCTTTTATTAATATTTAAACATAAATATTTTTTATATCCATTTAAATTTAAGATTTATTCTAATCAAATAAATTATAATTTGAATAAGTATCAACAATTCTTTAAATGCATATTATTTTTGTTTAAAACACTAAAAATTAATAGATAGAATTTGTTTATCTGCAAACTCAAAAATTAATATTCAGAATTAAAATATTTTTTAATAAATAGGAAAGTTTACAGGTTAACTTCAAAATTTACATACAACATTTTACATTTCTCTGCATATTAAATCAAAATTAAATAATTATACAATTATAGATTCATTAAAATTTAAAAACAAATATTAACTGGTATTGTCACTCAAAAAAATAAAATTCTTTAAGCAGTAATTTTTTTAAAGACTAGGTAGGATTCAATCAAAATAAAATATTATTTTTATTTCAAAAAATTGGAATAATTCTTAATCTTGTAAACTAAAATAGTTAATACAAATTAAAAAATATACTTCTCTCAAAAGTCTTGTATTATTTAATGTTAAAATCAATTAATTCATTTATTTATTTACAATTTTTGCGATATTTTTTGCTCGTACTAAACATTCATTCTATTTTTTAAATAACAATATAATATTAATTAATTTCTTATATAAAGTAAATTAATTAGATATTCATTTCAAGTTTTAATCTTTTTAAAATATTAATTTATGGAATTAGGGCCACAATTATTATATTTTTTTCGCTATTAAATTTGAAAAGTACTTCTCGTGGTGCATATATATATTAAAAAAATAGATTTATCTGAATTCAAAAATAATTTATTATTTTTAGTAGTCATCAATTATTTTTCTATTATTATATTTTAAATGATATAGTTAGTTATCAGTATATGTTAATAAAAAGTAGAAAAATAATTTAGTTTCTTTAAAAATAACAAATAATTGACATATTTTTAAAAATAATATGTGATTATCTTATGAAAGGTATTTCAAATTTTTTAAAAAATGTAATTCAAAAGCTTTTTTGTAGTTGAAATTTGTTTTTTTTTTAGGAGTTCCATTTCTTTCTTATTCAACTGTCTCAAGTTTTTTAAATTTTTTGATTATTTTTTTGATTGTATTTAATAATTCGTCAAAAAGTAATTAGAAACATCTATTAATTTATTTTTCTTTTTAATCACTTTTAAAAATTTGTGGCTTAGTTATTCATAAAATTTACTTTTATATTCTGAATTACCTTGCTATTTAAATTGTTTTTTTTACTCAATAAAATTTCAATGATGAATTCTTAAGTTATAAAAGATAGTCAGCCCGCAGATATTTTGTTAATTCTGATTATGTTTAAAAAGGAAAAATAGTTGCTTTTGCTTTTTTTAAATTATTCAAAAAAAATATTCAATCATTTTTGGAAATAAATTAAACAAACAAGCCATCATTTACTGTTTTTTGATAATTCACTAGCTTAAAAAAATTCTATGTAAAACTTACTAAAAAAACTTATTAACCAGCTTTTAAATTTAGAATTATTTAGCATAAAATAGAATATATAAATATTTTATTATAAATGAGTAAAAAACATATTTTAGTAAAATATTAATGAATATTCATTAAGTATCCTTCAATATTTAAATAATTAATAGATAATTATTATTAAGCCACAATTGATTTTTTTTTGTTTTTGTTAATTGAGAAATAATTGATAAAAAGTAAGTGTTTAACTATTTAAATATTGAGGTAGAAAAGTAAATAAATATCAAAAAACATAAATAACAATTACTTTAAATCTAAATTAAAAAAAAAAGAGAGGAAAACTTACTTAAATAATGAAAATCATTTAAGACATTAATAACCAACCTTTAGATTTTAATAATAATGACAATAATAATCTTAATCTTATTGATATATTCCTTGAACTGGTAGATGAGTAAGATAGTGGATCTTAAATTTCAAGTGGTAGCTATGAAGAATGCTTAGATATTACTAAACTTTTTTAAGAAGTGAGGAAATCTAATATTGTTAAAAACATAATAAAGTCTTTTTCAAGGTTCATTGAGACTTGTAAAAAAGAAGAAGAAGACAGTTTGAATCCTTTAATCAAAAAGGGGCAGAGCTTTTCTTAAGCTAAAAAACTCATTAAAAGAAACTTCAAAACATTTGGAAAGAGGTGGAACATGAAACTGAATTATTTAATTGATAAAAGCTCTTTCAAACCTTTATTTTCATATTATTTAAATAATAAATCATAAATATGGCTAAACTCAAGCAAGGTTTAAAATAAATAAGAACATTAAGTAGTAATTAATTTCATCATTTAAGCGTTAAAAAATCCTTAGCATTTAAAAGAAATCAAGTATTACAAAAAAACAAAATCAATTATTAAAGATAAAAAGAAAATTTGAATGAAAAATAGGTTATTAATTACTTTAAAAAACTCTTAATTTAAAATATTTTCCAAATTTTCAATTAACTAAATAGTATTTATATTTATATTTCTACATAGTTTGTTTCAACTGTAAAAATATTATATCAATTATACTTATTTTTTAAAAAAATTATTTATGTCATCGAAGCTAAGCGGGGAGATGTTTTACGATTAGTAATCTAAAAAGAAAAGTCGAATATAAATTTAAATAAATTTTATTCGAATTATCTTTGGAATATGTTTGGAATGTTTCCCCCCTAATCTAATTTTTGGTAAAAATAAATATAATAAAGCGACAAATAAATAATATAGAGTTGTTTAACTTGTAAATATTCATTTAACTTTATAAGCTTAGCTTATTTTAATAAATACTAAGAGTTATTAAATATAATATATTTTTTATTATTTTAATTGCTTTTACTAAAAAAATGAGAAAGTGTTAGTCATATATTATTTTACATTTAAATAATTATTTACAACAAAGAATTTTATCTTTTAGATTAGCGTTTATAATCTTTATCTATTAATTGGTAATAAATTCAATTAAAGCAGCTAATTTAATTGAATTAATACTCAAATTTATTTAAAAGATTAGCTTTCCTCCTTACTTGAGGAATCATTCGCTTGCTATATCTGTTCATTCCTAAAAAATACAATATCTATTCAATTTAAAAAATTCTTACAAATTTTTTAGTTAGTTGTTAAACCATAATATTTTTTTTTATTAATATCACACACATACATACATACATACTTGTTTGTATTCTAATTGTAAATATGCTACAAAATCAGTAATCTAAATCTATTGATTTTAATATATTTAAATATAAAAATTTAAGTATAACTTAAATGATTTTAAATTGTAGTGAAAATCTAAATAATAATTAATTTTATAAAGTATTCACAATAAAATAATATAAGTTAGTTTTATTAGTTTCTATAAATTTATTTATTCCTGCGATATGCTTTTTTAATCAAGTTTTTATTTGCAATCTTTTACTCTAATCTAAATGATTTGACATAGTAATTTGATATTTACATTTCTTTCTATCAATTTTCTTAATATGAGATGAACATTTTTTAGCTACAATTAAAACATATTATTGGAATAAATTAATATTTCGATTAAAAAAAATTCATTCATCACCCATATATTTAATAAAAAAAGCTTAAAATTAATTATTTGAGGAATGGTTATTTTAGATTAAAATTTAAATTCTTAAGGTATTTGAATGTAGCAATTGATTTCCTTCATTGCTTATATATTATCTTACAAATTATTTACAATTATAATCACTAAAAATTAATTAGCTATGTGTTCTATTTGTTATATTCGAAATGTTCAATTTTTTTATGAAGTGAATAGAAGATAAGAAAGAGAGGTTAATAATTAATTAATTATATTTTGGTTTTTGATTATAACAGATATGATGACATTCCAAAATATACAGGATCTAAATCAAAAATATTTAGAGCTGAAAATAAAGATAAATAGTATGCATTTCTATGTAAAATATAGCTAATTTTGTTTATGATATTGTATTATTCATAAATTGATCATAAAATTAACCAAAAAAATTATTTAAATTCAATATCAAAATATTTTTTTATTTAAAAAAAATAAATCATTATTTTATTCTTATCAAAAATATAAATTTATAGATATTACTATTTGAGTTTTCTTGTTTTTTAAAAATAATTCCATATAAAAAAACATGAATTAATTATATTGGCACATCTTAAAAATTAAAATAGATAGATAGAACTGTTTGAGTTTTGGAATTTTTTCTAAAAATAACTCCATATAATTAATGTTTTATTAAAGCTTCTAGATCAAAAAAGCATGAATTATATTGACACATTTTAAAAATTATGAATGAAAAATATAAAAAATGGAAAATAAAAAACTTTATTTTGGGTAAATTTAATTTATCCTACTATTTGATGAAAACCATAGCTTTTTTTTCCACTAAATAAAAATAAATTTTAAAAATCATTTTGATATTCATATAAATGTAAGTAAATAAATAAATCTTATTATTAAAACTATCAAATCCAAATTTTATTCTAATATTTATTTTTTTCTTTTTTACTTAGATTGCAAAGCATTTTATAAATCTAACTAAATACATTTTTTCCCACTTAATTTTTTATTCTGTAGTAAATTTTATTCTCAACAAAATACACTAGACAATTCTTTAATTCTACTCGTTCTTTATTAAATAAACCTTTCTAGCTTATTAAAAAATATAAGCATTACAAAATAACTTAAACCCTAGAAAAATTATAATTGTCCTATTTTCTCTTTAAAAAAATTCTTCATTGTACGAAATTAATTTGTATAGATAGAGAGAGCTATATTGCTTCTAAATTAAGAATTGTATAAAAAAATCTTTTAAATATATTTAATATTTTAGATGTGAAATAACGCTCTTTTAAGAATTAATCACTTTTTCGTGTTTAAGATAATGAATTAGAAGATTAAGCAATAAAAAAACATTTTTTAATAAATGCATCTCTAATGTTATAAATTCAATAAAATATATTAAATAATGAATGAATGACTAATGAAGATATGTGTTAAAAGTTATAGTTGATTTATTTAAAAATTAAACATTAGATTAATGCATTTAAATATTTTTTGCTATAAGAGTATTTAAAATATATATTTTTTTTATTCATACTAAAATAAATTTTTTGCTTATTTTGAATTATTAAATATATTTTATCAATCAAAACGTTAATTATTTTATTTTTGTCAATATACTAGAAAAAATACAAATATTTTTCTTAAATGACCCAATTTTGCAACAATTTGCTCTAAAAAGGTATTAAGTAGCAAGCTAGCTAGCTGGCTGTTTTATAATTATTTTTGTCAACGAAAAATTTTATGCAAAATACATTAGATAGATGGTAATCCTCCGAAGATTTGATAAATATTTATATGATATAAAATACTTATTAAAAACTCTTTAGAATTTTTCATAATATTGATGTATTTTTGGTTTTCGCTTGATTATTTTTATTAAGTATGCTCATAACATTTAATATACTTAAATATTATGTTGCTGAATATTCAGGCTAAAGTCAGTAGTGCTATTTAACTAGCTTAGCCAGTTCTGTAAATAAATGTCAATATTATTTTATATTTAGATAGTTTACTTCCCTCTTAATATTTCTTAAAATGGAACTTAAAACTAAAGCTTGATTGATTGATTGTATTAAATTTTCAAAAATCAGTCTATGCCTAATAATTTATTGATAACTATTATTAATTGGAGGATTTTCCTTAAATACTAAAATATTCAAGCTTCGATCAATTTGTTTAACTTTAATAAATATTTATTTTTTAAGATTGCACATTTATAATTCCTTTACTCATTAAATATACGTATACGAATTTAGTCACAACAATTTTTATGATGAAAGTATCAATTGAGTCATGATATATTAATTTTTTTTGTTTACTAATAATAAATTAAAAATTTTATTTGTTAAGGATTCTTTACATTTTTAGCTAAGCATATATCTGCTCATTCATTCATTTTATTTAAGCTAAAAAATTTATAAAATTACATATATTTTTCTATTATAAATAGCTTTTAATTTACAAAAAAAAATATTCCTTTTATATTTATTTTATATAACTCTCTCTGTCTATCTTTAGTTTAATAAAACAAACAATCTGTACATTAATTTCTTCTTTTACTTTATTAGAAATTATAAGTAATAGTATATATTATCAGTGAATCAAGTTATTTAAAAAAACATATGGAGGTTCTTAATCTATTAATTTATAGTAAAATCAAATCATTATTTTTGATAAAATTTACTTCTAAAAGTATTTAAAACATGTTTTTTTTGTTATTTAATTAAGTTTACAAATTTATATTTATAAAATGGTTTAAAAAATAGTTAAAAACAATATTTAGATTATATAATTATTTATTATTAAAAATATTTATCAACTTAGATATTAATATAAATAACATTACACTAAATCAATTATTGTTAAGGTTACAAAAAGCATAAATTATTTTTTTAATCTAAATAATATTTTTTCTAATTTTATATAGAATTTTATAAAAAGTTAGATAGTTTGTAAATATTTTCTAATAAAGTCACTATTAAAAAAATTCAATAAATAAGATGTTTTATAATTAATTAACCAATATATTTTTAAATAAATAAATAAATCACTTTCTTCATAAATTTAGAGCAGTCTTTCTCAAAAAGATTTTGATATAAGAAAAATTCGTTTTTAAAAATACTTTATTAAATTAATAAATATTTGAAAATAAAAAGATATAGTTATCTAATATTACTTTAAATTTTACTATTCTAGCTAAAGTTAAATAGAATTCTTTATTTGTTAAATCCCTAATTTAATGAATTTGCGTTATCTTTTTATATATTAACACTAGTTACTTTCGTTTTTAAAATAATAAGATGATAATTTATCAAATATAGAAGAATATAATTTGTGTTTTAGTAAATTTTCAATTAAACTATTTCTGATATACGAATTCCTTCTATTTTATCATCAAATATTAAGATTATGATGTATTATCTATTTGATTTCTTGCCAATTTCTCTCATTTATAGAAATAAGGTAAAAATAAAAAACAACCTTACAATTTTTAAATGATTTACCGAACTATAGAATTTATTTAATGCTTTTTTTTTAGGAAAATAAATATAAATTCTGTCATTCTTTAATAGTTAGTATCATTTAATTTAAGATATGGCTTTCAGTACTTTATAATTAATAATAAATATGTTTAACTTGATAAAAAAAATAAAAGAGATCTTAAATAGTTTTTTATTTAAAATACATTTTCACACTCACTGACTTTTCATTATGAATTAGTTAAATTTTAAAAGTATTTGAATTATTTTATTGCATATAATTCATTTTTTTAATTAAAAATGGCTCATCTTTTTAAAAATTTCTTAACTTGTAAAAGAATAAAGGATTTACCAGTCTATCAATATCTCTCTAAAATTTATGGCTATAATTTAATTATTTCTTGTAATAATAAGACAGACTCAGCAGGCATTAATAATTAAAATTTATAGTTTGCTATACACAAAACTTGTATAATATAATTAGCATCATAATAATGCGTATTCATTCATTAGTAACTATTGCTTAAATAAATATATTGATTATTTCAAACTACTTATTTAATTGAAAGTCCTCATTGGATTACTTTGATATTAGCATCTGATTAATATTCGATATTATCTTGTTGTAATTAATTTTTGTTAATATTTATAATTGAAAAAAAAGTAATCAAATATAATATTTACATCGCTTGCTTAAGTACGAACTAGATAGACTATATCAAAAAAAACATATTTATTTTTCAAAAAAAGCTTGATATGATTATTTGTATCTATTTTTTATACTTGAGATTATATTTTTTTCTTTAAAACAATTTTATTCAAGATTAAATTTTTAAAATAAAAAAAATAATTATAAAGCATTACATATATAAAAGTAATTAACTCTCTCTCCCTCTCTTTTTCCTCTTTTATAACAATATTGGTTCTTCAGATTATTTGATGCCTTTTTGTTAAAAAAGTAATTCAATTCTATCAAACAAAATTCAGTAATCAATCTATCTTTTTAATATGATGGGTAAAGTTATTAATTAAAAAGGAATATTGATAAGCATTTTAATTAGAAAACATACTTTTGAATTAATTTTCTTCATGAAGTAACAAGTAAATTTCCATTAATTAAAGAAAAATCATGTTTATTTTAGATAAGATTTTTATCTAATCTTTCCTATATTTATAAAGATTTAATGTTTATCCTTAAAAAGAAGCGAATCAAGAACGTTTGAAGATAAAAATATACTATTAAACTTTGGCTAAAATGGATAAAACAGCTAAAATTTATGAAAATATAATTTGTAATTTAAAATAAAACATATCTTCTAATATTCAATAGCTAACTAATATTTTAAATTACAATTTAGAGTAAATGATAATAAATTTGTTGATTAGATGATCATTTGAAATTGATTTCTCTTAGTAAGCAAGAAGCTCAAAAATCAAGTTAATAATTAATCTATCTATCTATATTAACTATTTAAATATAAAATGAAATTTTGTTTTGCTAAGATTTCTTGAAAAATACTTTCATATTCCAAATTATTTGGTAGGTGAAATGATGTTTATTATTCTAAAATTAATTAATATAGTTTAGAATTTGCCATGATATTATTATTGAAAATACAATTTTTTTAGTATAAAGCCCTTAAATAATTAAAGAGCAATATAATTAATTTTCATCAAATTAAGTAAAAAACATATGTTACTTTTCGAAAAATAATTGTTTAACTAATTTAAATTTGCTATAAGAATAAGTTTTTTAATACAAAGAAATATAATTAATAAATAAAAATAATAATATATATTAAAACAAACAAACAATATTATTAAAATAATCATTAAATTATTCCCTATGCAAAATAATTTAGAAGAAAAGAGTAATTCTTTAACTCTTAATAATAATATAATTGATTTATTTCTTGAATATATAAACGAATCTGATGATTCTTCCTCTCATTGCTTAGACTCACCAACTAAAGAGTACACAGATTCACAATAATCTAAGAGCTACTTCGATGTGAAAAAATCTAATATCATTAAAAATATTCTAAAATCATTCTAGAGGTTTATAGAATCTTCAGATAAAGTAGAGTAACAAAATTTAATATCCCATGTTAAAAAAGGATAAAGCTTTGCTTAAGCTAAAAAACTCACTAAAAGAAATTTCAAAACATTTGGAAAGAGATGGAATATGAAGCTAAAATACTTACTTGGTAAGAGCTCATTCAAGGGTTTATTCAGTTATTATTTGAATAATAAATCTTTGCTTTGGTTAGAATAAAGTAAGGTTTAAAATAAAGATGAGCACAAAATTGTCATTGAATTTCTAATTCAAGCTTTGAATAAACCAGAATATGCAGAAGAAATCAAATATTACAAAAAGACCAGATCAATTATATCTGATAAATGATAATAATCACTTAAACATCATATAACAAACAAACTATAGCAAAAAGAAAACTAATTTGTTTAAATAATAATTTCAATATCCTTCCAAACAATTTAAATACTATTATTTCTAGTTAATATATTAATTAATAACACTTATATATACATACATTAGTACAATTTATTTTATATCTTTTATTAAAAATAAATATCCATGAGTCTTCCCATCCATCATTTTAGAGAAAAAATTATATGCGTTTTAGTAATAAATATGTTTTAAATTTATGTAGATACAATCCATTGTAATTTTTATGATTTTTTTGTAATGATTATTTCGATAATCAACCAGTCAGTTATTTTTACAAAAATATATTCAGATGAGTTTACTTTTTTTTATATGGTTGATGGTAGGTAGGTACCTCCTATCAAAAATTTTGATTTTAAATTTTATATTAAGTCAAAAAGAACAAGTACTCAAGGCAACGTATAATTTAAGCAGCAAATTATCTTAAAATTAACATTAATTTTATTAACAAATTTCTTTCATAAGTAATTTTACAATTAGAAATTATTTTATCAGCCATTAATTTCAAATTATTATAAAATGAGAATAATAGTGAGAAAAAGAAAAGATTTTGAATAAATATTAAAAATAATTGATATAAAATAAATATAAATAAAAATATATGTGATTCTATTCACTTAGTTTACACTTATGAAATGAAAGAAAATCTATCAAACAAGAATAAATATTTAAAATATTCAAAATAAATAAAAACAAAACAATTTAAGTATAAAAATAATTTTTATAAAGTTTTAAGATCAAAAATTAAAATTTTAAAATAATTTATTCCAATAAAAATACAAAATATCAAAAAATAATTGATTGAAACAAACGATTTTTAATTGATAATAACTGAAAAATACAAATACAATTTTGCAATAATTACTTTTTAGATGTAGAAAAGATTTTATATATTGTATTAAAAATCATTTTTAATTACTAGCAGATAAAGTTTATGATAGCAAATATTAATTATACAATTTTAAATATAGAGACATTTCTGGTGTGTTCGGAATTCTATTAAAACTTTGTATGTAATCTAACTTTTATTTTTTTATAAAAATTTAAAAAAAAAACAAAGTTGATGTTTCTGGTGATAATTCATAAATAAAAGTACGTCATAATATATTCTTTTCTTGAATATAAGTATTAACTAATTAAGTTAAGTAAGTAAATAAGGTGAAGGATTTGGGAAATTATATCTAATTGTTGGGTAAATTATAATTTTCTTCTCTTTTTTATCTTGACTACTTTGTAATTATTACTAAATATAATTCAATTTATTGAGAGAGTTAATCTTTATTAAAAGGCTCAGAAAATAATAGATAATTATTAACTCCCCATGAAGATAAGATAGAAACAAACAAACAAACATATTTGGTTCCTCACCAAATGCTCTTTTCAATAAATATGAACATTGCCTGTAGCAATTGATTTGTATTTTAGTAACATGTATCAAGTAAATAATGCTGATTTTAAAAAATAGTTTCTTAAGAACAAAACAACTAAACAAAACAGAGAGTTATCGAGAAAACAAATATTTGTTACAGTTGATAAAAAATTAGTTTAAAATCAATTCTTAGCCAACAATACATTAAAAAAAATATAAGATTACTCAAAAAAAATTTCATAGCTTGAATAGCCAATTAATCTTTTTAAAAAATTAGATTATCTTTCAGTATTATTTATAATAAAAAATGAGAAAGAAGTTAAACTATTAAAACCATAATATATCTAATTAATCTATTCTAAATAATAATAATTTTTAGTTAAATACATCCAGATTTTTCTTCGTGTTTTAATTTTCTCAACTTCTTAAGACTTGTTAATCGTAGTAACCTGTATCTTTCATTATATGTTTTTTGCTTAATTTAAAATAAATTAAGAGTAAATAAATACTTTATAATTTTCATTATCTTGTATGATATTTTAATTAAAGAAATCAATGATCTTCTGATTTTTCTTTTTCTTTTTTAAACTAATTAATTTAATCGTCATAAACATCCGTCCAATAAGAAAAGCTTTATTTATTAAAAATTTAATAATTTTTCTTATATTTTGCAATTAGATATATCATTATATAAAATACTGCATAAGCTAACTAATTAACTAACCAAAATATTTTAGAAATCAAATTTAAAATTTTTATGTTTATTGAGTTAGCTTTCAAAGAAATCTACTGTTTCTAACAAAGATTTTATTTATCAATTATAATTAAATTTATATTTCAACAAAAAAATTGTTTTTAATTAACATTAATTAAAACATTCATTAGTTTTTGATAATATGTCTAATTCAATATCCTTATTAATATAAAAATAAAACTGATTTTGATTCTCAAAATAATTTTTTATACAAGATTTACTCATCAAAATAATTTATCTATTTTGACTTTGACAAAGTACTTAAATGTATTTTTTTGTTTTATTTACAATAATATAAAATTTAGTAAATGTATATATATTATTATTATTATTCGATACATCAAAAATATAATTTCAGTATTATTCAATCAATTAATTAATCAATTATCAATAAGTTAAAAACTGATTTATTGGCTTTGTTATTATCGTTTTTTATTTATATCGCATTTATTTTAATAGATTCAATTTATTTATTCATCTTCATTTTGATTATTAACTTCGTCATCGTAATTTTCTATTGTTATCTGTTATATGTTGCTGATAAATGCATTTACCTATAGATATTGCGAGTTTCTGGCTTTATTTTATTTGTTTTAATTAGACATATCAAAATCTTCTTTCTCTTCTTTTTATTAAAAGACTCTTTACTCTTTTTTGAATATCGAAGCTTTCCTTTTAATTTAATTATTAGGTACTAATATCTATAATGAAGCATTTTTTCCTATTGACTCATCTGTGTTATCGCATATTATCTCATTTTATTAGAGTTCTTTGTCTGGATTTATGGTTTGATGCTCTTAAAACGGATTATTTGATGTTTGATTATCAAAATTAGTTGTAAAAGCGCTTAAAGGAGTTTTAGTATTTTCTGATGCTCTCCTAACTGGTGATATTGGCTCTGTCTAAAAGTTTTCTTTCAAAATAAAGAGGGTATCATCATCTTGGCACTTCTAATTCTGAGATTTGGGAAATAATGGTTGTTGTTGTTATTCAGTGTTTTAAATCTAATTATCTTCTTTTTATTATATTAAGCTTTCACTTTTTTGTGTTTCTTTGATTTGATTCGATAGTTAAGATTAAATTTCTTACTGCTTTACTATTTACAATCTCTTTGTCAAATTTTTGATATCAAAAATTTAGTAGTCTTTGTCTTTTTCTAAATATCTCTTTTTCCATTCTTTTATCTTCCTGATGATGGTTATGATAACAACCATGTCTCTACTCCTAAACATAGACTTTTAGTAATACTAGACGTTCTTTATCTTTTCTTACTTCAAAAGCATTCTTTTGTGATATCTTTTTATATCTTTATTATCTGGTTCTAGACTATTTTAAGAAAAAATGTAAATAAAACTAGGAATTCAATAGATTATTAAAAAAATATACTTTTCTATTTAATATTTTATTTTAAGGGAAATTTCTGCCAATTTAATGATGACATCATGAAATTTGTAGACCAGCGTTTTGTTATAAGGATCTTCAAACATAGGAATATTAAGTCTTTCAAGAAACTTTTTCTTTAGAGATACATCCAAAAGATCTTCTTACTTTATACCAAATATTTATGCTATTTAACTAGAAAATTACCAAAACAGTTTATAGTTGATGAAGCCGTGACCTTCTGGATCAAAATTAGACCACAATTTCTTAATATCATCAAGTTAATATAAATTGATTGCACTTTCTTCTTAAATGTAGCCTTCTTTATATGAAAGTATGATCGAAGCAATTAAAAGATTGAGTATAAAGAGAGTAAAAACGAAGTAATATATGTTAAAAAAGAAGTAAGATAGGTTAGATCCACATGAATTTTTACCATACTTAAGATAATCATCATATGTGTAAATGTCTTATCTACACACAAAAACAGATGATTGCTAAGCTGCGCACTCCGCAGTGATAGGAAACCACAGCTCGCTCGTTGATATTCTAATTAATGTTAGTAAAGACATCATGAAACTATTAAAGTTTGTATCATAATCGTCAATTGTATTTTAATTTTTTATATAAGGAAAAAGATTCATCGCTAAGAGCACTGAAACATAAAGGAAGAGGAAAACAAGAGTTGACAATCCAAAAATGTTGGAAACAGCTCCAAAAAAACTGTTTAGTAGTTTCTTCAGAACTTTCAAATGAGCCAAAATTCTATAAACTTTGATAAGCTAAAGACTCCATGCGATTCCTCCAAATATTTTATAAAAATAATCATAAGATTTGTAATTTATCGTCGTTTAAAAGTAATTGTTGATAATCGCCATAATTATCATCACAATATTAAACCTATTCCATTTCTTTTCAAAATAAACTTTTCTTAAACTGATCATGTTTAGAATTAGCTCAATACAAAACGTTATTATACAGCATAAATTGATAAGGTCTGATAGTTAAAAAAAAATAAAAAAAAATATAAATTAAGTTATTTTTGAAATGATTTCAAAATCAAATTTACTTAAAATGTTCAGCTTTTACTCGTCTTATCTATGTGTATATCCTAAAATAGATGCACAATTTAGCACTGTAAAAAAGTTAAATAAATATTTTAAGTATTTCTTTTCTTCCAAAGTTTCGTATATAAATGAGCTAATTTTATCTTCTGGAGGAGTAATCTAATGTTTAAATGTACATGTTGACTAAGTTATTAGTATAAAAACAAACAAACTTACTTTTTTTGATATTGATAAGCTGTAAATAGAGTATTTAATGTAATACCATTCTTTCTATTGAGGAGTTAATTTATCAAGTTTTGCTTCATTTTCTTTTAATTCTTTGAATGTATCTACAACAACTCCAACAAACATATTTAAAATACAAAAATTTGCAATGCAATAAAACTGAATATAAAATAATATCCAAAAGCTTTAATGCTCCTTTTTTGGTTAAGTATTTGGAGAAGTATAGTTAAACTACTATTCCATGATTTGTGTCCATCCCTCAGAAGTTTGCACCATCAGCAAGACTGCTATACTTGAGAAAACATTATTAAATTAGTATTTATATTCAACCCAGTCTCCTCCAACGTCCATACAATCTTTATCAGTCACCACCTCAAAATCCGAGAAGCTTGTCTCATCATATTAGCAGAAATTCATTTAAGCTTTCAGCAGCTTAGTTACAAAAACACTATTAATGAAAGCAAAAATAATACCAAAAATCATTATTTTTAACATTCTTGGCAAGCAAGCTTTGCATACACGAACTTTTTATTAATTAATTAAAAAATATTTAATTTATTTTTATAAAATATTTAAATTAATTTAATCTGATTAAATAAAAATGTTTTTTTTTTTTGGAAATAATAAACAAATAAATTGAAATTTCTAAAAAAAATTATTTTGTAAAAATTACAAAAAAACTTAATTTTTGTAATTTATTTATTTTAAATTAGCTATTGTGAAGTCTTTAAATACAAAGTATTTTTTTTATTTTATTTGAAGGAATTAACATTTGAAAACCATTATAATAAACACAAAAATAATAAAAATTAGTTGATAAATTTAATGTTATTTTTAATTAATTAATTAATTTACCTGCAAAGTTGATTTAGCTAAAATTATTTTATAGGAACGGAAGGAGTAAAAGTAGTCTGAAAATTTTAAAGATCCTCAAAACATAGATTGTTTAGTTTGAAAAAGGAAGAAAGTAAAGGAAATGAAAGATATTAAATACTATTTCTAGAAAGTTATTTATGTTTAAATCAAAGGAGTTATTACCTAAATATAATATAGGACCATATGCTATACTGTAAATAATCGTTTATATATTAAAAATGATCATCATACAAAAATCTGCCCAAATTAAGAAATTTCCAAATGAGCTATATATATCTAAGTAAGGATCTAAAATACCCAAAACTAATGCAAATGATAATAATAAAACTATTTTTAATTTATTAAATAAAGAGTGATCTGCTATTTTCTTGCAGTAAATCCTAAAACAACTTTAGGCAGAAAAAATGAAAAAAGAGAATCGTTTTGCTGATGCTTGTTAGATATAAATTTCTGTTTATTTATCATCTTTCATTTAATTACTCTATTATTAGCTTTCTTTTGATTGCTAACTTGAAGAATCAAACTCACTGTTTTATTCTTCTTAATTTTTAGAATCTTCATTTTTTTAAACATTTTATATATTTTACAATATTCCAAAATCATCTCCATATTGCTCTTTATTTTCACATAATTTTTAACTTTAGTTTTCTAAATTTATTTCATTTTCTTATTATTTATCTTAGATTTACTGCTTTTCTAATTAGCTGTTGGAAGCTTGTTGTTAATGATTAGATTATTTATCAATAAATTAGTTTATTTCATCCTTTTATTCATCATTAATTGTAGTTATTACATTTTAAAACTCTGATTTGTTGTTTTAATTTTGTTTAGATCCTGTATCTTAATTAGCAAAATCAGTGAATTTTTCTTTTATGGAATTTAATATTGCCTAATGATCTCCTTATATGTTTTAAGGACTTACCATTTGATTAATGGTATTTTTTCTGTTAAAAATACTTAGCGCTTTTTCACTATGATGCACTTAATTTACAGATTTTTAATAAATTACAGGTAAAACAGATATTTATTAATAGTTAGATTTAGTTATTGAAAATTTTCGCTATTCTAAAAATTCTGATTTATGATTAGCCAAAACGTTTGAATTGACGAATTTAGAAATTTTTTGAACATTGTGCGAACTATTATTAAATAGTTCTTCTTCTTTTGTAAAATTTTAATGTGAAGCAGACTTAGATGCATAGTCTTCTAAAGGTGGAATTTAATTTATTTATTATTCTTTTAAGTCAATATTTTAGTTTAATGTATTTTCACTGCCATTTTATAAAAAATATTACTACAATCTACAATAAAGATTTGAAAAGAATTTAAAAATGCTGTTTATAAAAGGCGAAGAAGTGTAAATTTAATCTTCAAAAAAGCGAAGCCAATCCATAAAATTATTTATAAAAATGGCAATAAATAGACTGACCATGATTACAGAGCAAGTGTATGTGCAAAACAAGCAGTAAATCATACTTCTATATCCTATTTAGTTGTAGTATTGATACATTACAATATGCCATTCTTCATCAAAGCAAAATAGAAGTACAGCTAAAAAAGAATCCGAGAGACTATTGAAGTTTATCATCATGTCATCATACTGAACTCTTTAAGAAAACAGTTCTCTCCCAATCAAAGCATAGAGTGTAATGAGAATAGATATAACTATAAAATATCCAGTTATCATCTTTAAAGTTTTCGAATAAGTTTTTAAGATAACTTTTATACTCTAAAATATAGTTAAAGTGTAAATCAGTCTATATATTCTTAATACCTTTGTTGTACGAATGAAAATACTGTATTAATTAGTAGCAAAAAATATATCTAGCTAATTATTTGTTTCTATGCAATACATTATTATGTGAGCCAACGCTATACACAAGTCTAGTTTGTTTAACTACTCTTTCCAGTATTTTTTCCAACCAAAAGAAATAAGCTCAATTGTGATCTCTAAAAATAGTATAAGAGTTGTAATAAAGTCAATTATATACAAGATTGAGAGTTGATCATCTTTAATTGAGACCCTTATATAATAAAAAAAGTAAGTAAGTAAGTAAATAAATTCAATCTTTGAAAAAAAATATGCAAGAAATTAATCAATTCTTTTTTTTATAAAATAATAAATGTTATTTATGTTGTCTGTTACGTTACTGAAGGAAAATTTAATAAATATCTTTTTATCTTAAAAATTAGATTACCTGTCTAAACTTAAAACAACTATCTATAGGCATATGTTTGTATGTCTAATTATAACATAAATAGAAGAATTTTAAATTTGTTTTAAGCTATTTTTGACTTAACTGAAAAAGCTATGTTTTTTTAAATTCTGGCTTTCTTTTTGGCTTGAATCCTGGGCAAACTCGCTTAAAATTTTGTTGAAAAGGGTTTTCCTTTTCTTGATCCCTGTGTGGGAATGCCTTACTTAAGTAAATTTTTTTTGCATAGTCATATCTTTTTTCAAGAGCATTTTTAAATCAAGGTTTCTCATCATTTAATTTTAATTATCATCCTCATCTTTAATTATACTATGATGTTCCATAAAGCTTTCATGCAAAGTTGCAAGGACCATGTTTCCAAAAATATGAGCTCTATGATAAAATAAATTTTACTTAAAAAATGGAAAGTGAGGATTTTATAATTAATGAATCAATTAATTTGTTTACAATAGTAGAACTAAAGATCCAAAATAAATCTAACTGACTGTTTTGTTTTAAGCTCTCTAATACTGAAATAAAAAATATTTATTTTATGTAAAAAAAAGGAAGTTATTCATTTTTTAGATTAAATGAAAGAAAGTATTATAAATTTATTTACGATTTCTGTCACTGTACTCCAACCATTTACAGTGAAAAAACTTTAAACCGTGTACATTGATTGCCATATTGTATCAAAATTTGTAAATCCATAAAATAATTCTATATAATTGTTATCAGATGGAATTTCAGGAAGATTGTAATCAGAGGGATTACGGCAATAACTATCATCAGGACAAGTTGTATAGCCACAAAGATAAGGGCTATCTTCTAAAATAGGCCAAGAGTATGGATCTAAAGTAGGATCAGGAGTCTATCTACATTTACTCTCCATTAAACCATTAAAAAAGTATAGTCCTATTACTGAGTATAACAATACTACTGAGAAAAACGGAATGAAAGGTTTCCATAGCTCTTTAAAACCTACCACAAAGCAATCAACTTAATGCTAAATGTATTAATTAGTCCTTACTAAAAACAAAACTCTAAAAACTTTAATAATATTCAAGATCTCTATATCATTATATTCTATACTAATCCATCTTTTAAAAAAATATATTGTTTTGGCATTAAAAAAGTAACAAAAAAAATCAAAATTTTACGAGCTTGATAAAATTAAAAGGTCGAATATGTTCCATTTTTTTCTCAGAAATGTGTTCTTTCCTAAAAGGAATCCATTTGAAATTATTTTTGTTAAAGCTAAGAGAGTAAAAACAGAATTTGAAACAATCTCTAAAATGTACTTAGCCTAATTTAATCCATACTCTAAATAATTATTGCCATATATTCTGTATGAATAGTCAGTAAGCATTAGGGCTATTACATTTGTAATAGTGAAAGCAATTTCTATTAAAGCTTAAACTCTAATATTTAATTCAATATAAATCATTAATATTTTAAATCATTACGTTTTTAAAATATGCATGTTATGCTTGCTTGCTTTCTTTCTTGGTAGATAAGTGTATAAACTATTAAATTAATTACCTAGAATTGATGAATCTATTACAAAATATTCTTACTGCGTTATCATTACTGAAAAGAAAAAGAGAAAACATAACGTAAGTACTTTCCTATTAATATTAAATTTTGTATAAGATAATTAATTGCAAGTAGTTACAAGTAGAAATAATTTCAGTAAAAACTAAATAAATAAACAAATAAATAAATACATCATCTACTTCAAAATTGCAATCTTTTTGCCCTGATGTTTTTTCATCATTTTATTATATTGAGGGAGTCTAAATTTCAGTATGTTCTTTTAATTGACCAATAGACTTTTTATCTATATTATCTATTTCCGCTTGCTAATTTTCTTTTTGAATTTAGCTTTCTTAAGGACTATAATTATCTTTTTTATAAACGGATCGTTTTCCTCTACTATTAAAGCTTTAAAACTAATCCTATTGGTTCCTATTTTTTTGGCTGTTTAAGGTGTTTTATTTTTTTAGTTTCTATCTTTCTTGGGAATCTTTCATTGAATTTATCCATTTTATATTCTTTTTATTAATGTCACAACTATTTTTTGGAGTACTTTGATAGTCATATTCATTTTATAATTTTTAGTTTTCAGTGTTGAATTACTATGATTCTTTAAAATTTTCTTCTTCTAAGCTTTCTTTAAGACGATCCTACTAATTACAAAACTAAATGACACTGTTTTACTTTTATATAAATGAACTAGCTTCTTTTTTAGTTTGCATTTTAGCTTATCTTCTTCTTGGTTGTAATAGTTTACCAAAAAAATTAACTCAATTAATTAATTAACTAATTTACTTATAATATTAGTTAAAATAAATCAGCCAGAAGTCAGCAAAGTTTTTGATGAATCTGTTAGTAAGTGCTTTCTTTCTACTTATTCTTTTTAAATTCCTTTTTTATTTGATAAAAGTTAATATTTTTGTCAATTACTACCAACTTATAAGTATTTTTAAGCTTAAATCTAACTAATAATTCTAACCAATTACAAATATTTCTTCTAACAAGTTAATTTAAATGTTGTAAAATTAAGCCAATAATTTTCTTTTATTAATATTTTAGTGTTTAATTTACCTTCTGAAATTTGATAATCAATCATCCTTCATTTTCTCAATTATTTTATCTCATTTAGTAATCATTAATTACATCATATGATTATTAAGAATTTAAAAGCTTTATTAAAAATTCATTATAAATGATATTTTCTTTATGATTTTTTTAAAGTAACATTTTAAACCTACAGCCAACCTAACTAATTTGGCAATTTAGTTACAAATTTTTTTCTAATAAATATCATGAATTAATTTGCAATTTGTAATTTAAAGTGAATATATTCTATTAAATTTTAGTCTCATATTTATCAAAAAGTAAAAATAAATTAATTTATAATCATTTTTTATTTTCTAAATAATTTTAATAGATTTCAGTAACCATCAATTTAATAATTTGATTTTGAAGAAACCATTTAGCTTAAAAATATATTAATAAACATGATTGATTCTGTTTGATTTGTAAAGATAAATATTTTAATGCTACAACCTAACGAACGAATGTGACTGGCTTGTTAATTACAAATATTTTCTAATTCACCTAAAAAATAATTTACAATTTATAAAGTAAATTATTTTCTTTTAAGCTTCTGTGCTTTATTTGCCATTTAAAATTGATAGTAATATTTCTTATTCTCAATTATTTATTGATTTCAGCAATCATTAATTTCAGCATATTATTTATTTAGAAGAAGTACTTTAGTTTTATTAAAAATATTAGTAAAATATATTTCTGTTTTATTTTTGCAAATAAATATCTTATCATCAAAAAAAAATAACAAACAATTTATAACTTTTAGTAAATCATTTCATTAGCATTTAAAAATTGATAATAATACTTTATATATTTATTTTTTCAATTATCTATTTATTGATTTAACAAATGAGTAATTTCAAAATATAATTTTGAATAAATATTTTAGCTTTATTTAAAAAATTGTTTGTAAAATATGTTTCTGTCTAATTTTTAAATAAAAATAAATAATGATAAAATATTTTATTTTTTAAATATTTTAAAGATAGATTGGCAAAAAAACTAGAAGGGAATTATTTTAAACAAAATAAAAGTTTTTTAATATAAAAATAAATTTGAATAATTAAACAAACTATAAATAAAATTATTAATAATTTTTTATTTTTAATAATTTTTTTAGTTTTTGTCATAATTAAAATTAATGATTTAATAAATCGATAAATCAAACAATAAATTATTAAAATCACATGAAAATATAATGCAAATGTATAATTATTGGTTTTACTTTTATTAAATTTTGTCTATTCCAGGTGCTTTAAAAAATAAAAATTTTAATTTTGACAACAAAGTTTATTTTATTTGATATAAATGTTCCGCAAATTATCCTTTTTTAGTAAAGCATAATTTTGTATTTTTTTTTTTGTAGTTCTAGAAGTGTTGAGTAAGCATGTAAGTATTTTAAATTAATTTTCAATTTGTATGATTAAAAATTAATCTATTGATTAATAGAACTAATTGAATATTTAATGTCCAATACTCAAAGTAATTTTTAAGTAGAGATAAATGTATGTATGTATGACTTTTGTTTTACAAATGGAACTATTTTATTTGAAAATAATTAAATATAAATAGAATAGCTTTTGATATCATGATTAGCGTCATTATTGATAACCTGATAGATTTATCAAAAATTATTAAAAAAAATTAAACTAATAATAATTTTATGTGCTTATCATTTGTATATTTGATATACATGCTAACTAGTACTGAAATATAATTAGCTATTCAAAAATATTAAGCTAAGAATTTTAATACAAATTAGATCACCAAACATTTACAATTTATAAATTAATAATTTAAGAAGATCATTTTCCTCTCATTTGTTTGATCATAATTAATTAAATAATAAATTTATAAAAATTTTGCAAAAAATAAGATAAATAAATGAAAATATTTAAATCTATTTTGCTTCTGTCTTTTATCTTCATAATTAAGAGCGATCCTAGTTGTATAAACCCAAATGGTGCTCAAGTTGATTGGTTTATTACCTTAAAACTGAACAATGGTGATGATTATGCCTACTGTGATTCAAAGAGTTGTGATAAGATATAATTATCAGGCTTTAAAATTAATGATGCGAAAAATTCACCAATTTTAAGAACCTTATAATAAATAAAATAAAACCTTAATAATGACAAATAAGGGTATCTTTTATGGAATGATTAGCCACCAAATAATATGACAGCCACCAGCAGTAATGCTCATGCTAAAGGATTTATTAGTTTAGGATAGTAAAATTATTTATTTATAAATATATAGCTAGCTTTACTTTATTAAATTTTTATATTTTTTTGATGAAAAATAGAAAATCTGGATTTATACTTATTCACAGTGTTCCAGAGTTTCCTGCATTCGCTGATAGCAGCAGCTTAAAGGAAATACTTTTAAATATTGAAGAATCTCAACAAAAATATGGATAGCATTTTCTTTGTACTAGTACTTCTCTTGAAAATTTAGAGAAATTAGCATGTGGCTACAATATTGATAATCCAAAAGTGTATTCAAGTTTTCTTCCATATTATATTGATCAGAGTTCTTATCCCTGCCTCAATTAGATGAAAAATAACAAACGCAATACTAAGACCAAATAAATGATAATTACTTACTCGACTCTGAATGGAGAAACATTCACAAAGTTTTCCAAAAATAAAGACAATTAAATACCATTATATGAATAGATAGTTACCCAAGAACTAAAAACTGGTCTGTTGGTTTAAAGCTGGGGAAGACCTTATGAAGAAGCTTCATGCTCAGGATCTTACTAAGTAGTTTCTAATACAAGAGTTTAGATAGATGGAGCACCATAATTTAAAGACACATAAGATCATTCAAAATATGGTATATCAATAGATAAAGCTAAGCCATTTGTTTGCTTAGGTGATATTAACAGAATGAAATCGTAATGGAAAAGAGGAGGTGGCACAATATGCATAAGCAATAAAAATATTCATTTTCAATTTACTAAAATTCTTTAATGCTCAGGTTGCACAAATAATAATGGCTATGAAGAAATTAAAAATGATTGTGATCCTTCTTGTTAAAATTGTAAAATCCCTTAATGTTAATCTGGATGTAAGAGCTGTTTATCTTCAGACTCAAATATCTGTATTGAATGTGATATAGGATTTTATTTAGATGGAAACAAATGTTCTCGATGTTAATAAAACTGTGAAATTTGTACCTAAAATGGAAATATATGCACATAATGCATCGAAAATTTTGAATTAGATAAAAACTCCTAATGTATTCCAACTTGTGATCAATCTTGTTTAACTTGCTCATAACCTTAGGATCCAGATTCTTGTCTTTCTTGCTCTAAAGGTAGCTACTTAACAGATGACAATAATTGTAAAAAATGTATTTCTCCTTGTACTGATTGTGAAAAAGGAGATAAATGTACATAATGCGAATAAAATTATATTTTAAAAAATTATGAATGCCTACCGATATGTGATAAATCATGTTTAACTTGTTCATCTCCAAAGAATCCATAATCTTGTTTAACATGTGAGGAAGGGTATTACTTGAATAAAATAACAAATGAATGCATGATTTGTGGTGTTGATTGTGCTTAATGTTTAGAATCTGCTGATAATTGCACTACTTGCAAAGATGGATTTTCATTTAACAATAAGAAATGTATTAAAAATGAAGTTAGTAAGACTAAAATTTGTCATATAAGCTGCTTAACATGCACAAAAGATTCTGATCCAAATGCTTGCTCATCTTGTCCTCCTAATTTATTCCTTACAAATTTAAATACTTGTTTACCTTATTAATGCGATAAATCATGCTTAACATGTTCATCTCCTTACAACCCTTAATCTTGTTTAACATGTAAAGGAGGTTATTACTTGAATAAAATAACTAAATAATGCATGAATTGTGGAATTGATTGCGCTTAATGCATAGAATCTGCTGACAATTGCACTGCTTGTAAAGATGGATATATATTAAAAAATTAAAAATGCGTTAAAAGCGAAATTAATAAAGTTAAAACTTGTCATAATAGCTGCTTAACATGCACCAAAGATTCTGATCCAAATTCTTGTTTATCTTGCCCTCCAAAATTTTTCCTTAGTAATTTAAATACATGCTTACCTTGTTAATAACCATGCTCGGAGTGTAAAGAATCAGCAAATACTTGTACAAGTTGTTTAGAAAATTATTTTTTAGAAGAATCAAAATGCTAACCAATTAAAATAGAAGTTACCAGATTTTCATATAGTGTACTCTTTGAGCCAAGTTTACTCTTAATTTTATATTTAATATTTACAATATGATTAAATCCTTTTTTATTTTTTTTTGTTTTGAATAGTTAAAATTAAAAAATCTACAAATAAAAAAATATAATAAATAAATAAATAAATAATATTATTGAAATTAGTCAAATTTATTTGCAATTATCTTAGGTTTCAATTTATTAATTCTATTAATCAAATTTCGAGTTTTTTTGCTATATTTCTTATGATTATGTATATAATTAGTTTTTTAGTTTCATTGTGATATTTTTTAAGTTTGAATAGAATTAGGAATCGTGATTTTTATCTACAAATTTTTTCTTCCATAGCCTTACTTTGCTACTAAGTATAATTATTAAAATCATGTCTGAGCTTGTTAAATTAGTTGGTTTTATTAAATTTTCTCCTTTTAATTTGGATTTTACGATTTTCTACTCTAAAATGTAATTAAGATCTGCATCTTCTGGTTCTAAGCTATTTTAAATTATTATTTAATAAACAATAATTAAATCATGAAAATGCTTTTTATATATTAAAATAAAGAAAACATAATAAAAATGTTAAATTTAATTTTTATGTTTACTTATTAACACCATACTTGATTGAGACAGAAATTCTTGAAAGTGAAATTACAACGTCATGAAATTTGTAACAAAAAATTTTATTTTCTGGGTCTTCAAATATTGGAATGTTTAAAGTCTGTAAAAATTTTTATTTATTTTCAATATCGAGCAGTTCTTAACTATCAACACCATAGATAATAGCTATCTAGCTGGAAAATTTCCAAAATTATTTATAAGTAATATAACCTTTTCCCTAAGGGTCAAATGCAGTCCATAATTCAAGAATATCATCCATTTAGTAGTGATTAATAGCACTTTCATCTGCTTTGAAAGATTGTTTATAAGATTCAATGATTGTAGCAATAAAAATATTTAGTATTACTAGTGTAAAAAATAGATAAAAGAAGTAGAAAAAGAAAAAAGAAAGAGAATTTCCACAACTCGCTAATCCAAATTAGACATAATCTTCATATGAATGCATATCATTTCGGCATACAAAATTAGGTTCTTATTTCTATGAACATTCTAATGGGATTAAATACCATGCTTCACTAGTAACTATTCTTATTAGAGTAAAAGTAGCTTAAAAGAACGTTTGAAAATGATTATCGTAATAGTTTATGATTTCCTAAGGTTTTAAATAAGGAAAAAGATTAAGGGACAATAGCACAGAAGTGTACAGAAAGACAACTACTATAATAAGTACACCTTTGATCGAAGATATTGCATAATGTAAGCTTTTAAAAAGTTTTCTAATCAAAACAAAATGTCTAAAAATAATATAAGCTCTGATCAATTATAAGCCTTTAGCTATGCCATCTAAAATTCTATAATTGAAATTGTATGTCTTGACATCGTTATTCAACTAGAAACTTAAATTTAGCCATCCAATAATAATGACTGTGAGGTTAAACAAATTTTTTTTACTTATCAAAAATTGTCTTTGTATAGCTATTAAGATTAGAATAAATTCTACAGAAAAAACTGATAAACAAATCTTGTTAATTAGATCTATTTTTTTTTAAAAAAAAAATTTTTAATGAATTTTTAACTTAAAATGAAAAAATTTTTTACATAGATTTTCTAATTCATCCCTGGTCATTCTACTTTTAAAGAAAAGAAATGATATCCCATTCAACAAAATAAATATGTAGATAATAATTTTCAAAGCATATCCTTTGATAAGATGCTTAAAAATAAATTTAGATATTGGATTATCTGGAGGAGCTAACTATTTTATTTGATATTTTTTTTAATTCCAAAGTAAAAACAAATAAATAAATTTACTTATTTGCTAGGTGAAATACCATAAATGGATGACTTTATGAAGTACCATTCTTTTTGCTAAGGATTCAGTGTGTGAATGAGATTCTCTTTTTCAAGAAGTTCACTAAAGGATTCTACCATTAGTCCTACAAACATGTTAAGAAAACATACAAAAGCAATAAAGTAAAATTGAATAAAAAATATAGCCCAATAACTATGAGCTTAGTATTAATGAGTTAAGTTTCTTCCTTGAGAATCATAGGTATCAAACATGATTTGAGACCAGCCTTCAGATGACTATATATTGTATAATATTTAAACAGATTTTATTATATTATCATAATTGTAGTCAGATTCAGTCCAGTCTCCTCCCAAATCAATACAGTCTGTTTTTGAAACAACTAATTCCTAATATCCTTTATCTTCACCGTACACAGTAGGGAATGTGCATTACCAATTTTAACCTTTTAGCAATTTAGTTGTAATTATTCCCATCATTAGCAAGTATAAAACGGTAAACGTGATTAGTTTCTTCATCCTTGGAGCACACTCTTACACAAGTTTTCCTTTTATAATTAAAATATTTTAAAAAAACTTAAAATTTCATTTCAAATTTTTAATGAAAAATAATAAAAATTTAGAATAAATGAACATTACACTATTCACCCTCAATAATAGCTAAAAAAAATAATATTTTTCATTAATAAAACTTTAGCATAATAATAAATAATTTGCTTTAATTTTTTTGAAGATAAAAAATAGCGTTTAAAATAGGATTTATGAATGAATGTTTAAATTTTTTATGATAATTAAAATAGATGTGTTTGTTTTACCTGCAAATTTAATTTACTGATTATATTTTGCCAAATATATCAATACTAATAGCAGTCTAAAGATATTGATTAGCTTAAGGTAATATAGAGGTTCTTTATTAAGAGGGAAGACATACACAAAACAGGTAATTGATGTAATTAGATCAATTATATTTGTGTAATTTTATGTCAGGTAATTAAGCAGCCCTAAATTGAATATTTTAATCAAATTTATTAATATTTATATGAAGCTCAGTATTCCCTGTAATATTAAGAGAGTCAATTTTTATTTGCTCTTTGTATCCAGATAAGGTGAATCCAATACAAAAATAACTGCTTAACAAATAAAGAAAACAATCATAGCGAAATCAAATTTTTTACTTTGTATAATACTGAAAAAAGTCAAAATAAGCGAATTTTCTTCATCAATTTAATAGTTTTAATAGTTACTTAATTCTTCTTCTATGTTTTAAACGATATTCAATTAATTTTATTTTTTTTCTGCTTGACTTTCTTGTATTATTGAGTCACTGTTTTCTTTATTGTTATAATTTTTTTTATTACTCATGCTGATACTCTCGACTACACTGTCAATATCTTTGCTTATGAATAAACTCTAGCTTCTATTAAATTGATTTAATTTTTTGTTTTTTTATTTTTAGGTTGGAGAAATCTAACTATTTTGAATTTTGTAGCTTTTTTAAGATATTTCTAAAAAGTTATTCTCTGAACTTTGGTTATTATTTTTCGAGTTTAAGAAATCTGCCTATTTTTACGGAGTTTCTAAAAAGTTATTTTCAAATATCTGATTATTATTTTAAGTAGGAAGTGTCTCTGTTAATCCAGTAGGGATATTCATAATAGTATTACTCTTTTGGTGTTTTCCTTTAAGATTATTAAAAGAATTATGAGAGATTAAATCTTCAATGTTCTTATTTTCAAGTTTATTAATATGACTATCGGATTTTTTATGATTTATATTATCTCCTCTTTTCATATTTTACGATTCTTTAGCACTATAATTAGACAATTTGTCTTAAATTATATTATCATTTTCTAGATAGCCATTTTTATTTTGATTTTGAGTTACATTTTATTGATTATCTTTTTCTTTTTAAAAATGACCTATTTGAATATCTTTTTCATTTTAATCTTCTTGTTGGAAAAAATTACCAATTTTAGGTGAATGATTCTACATTTCTAGGTTTAAGTTTATTTTTTTATAAGTTTATTCATCATTATTTAATAATTTATTAAATTAGCTCTTTTAGTTACTTGGATTCAATTTTTACATATCATCATTTTAACTATTTAGGTAACCGCTTTTTAATTTGATAGATTATGTTTCTGAATTAATATCTTTTGTGATTTTAGAAAATAGATTAGATAATTTAGGTTTTGAATCTGAACCCTAATGAAAACTCTCATTTTGTTACCTTTGATTATTATCTTACTTATTTTTTTGATTATTGCTAAAATCTGTTAAGCCAGGGCTATCCTTTTGATTTTATTCACCTGCCTCTGCATACTGAGATAATTTACTAGGATTTTTGATATTAGCTTTTTGATTTATTAATAATCCTTGAATTGTTGGTCTTTTTTAAATATTCTAAAAGATATTCAGATGATTCAATTTTTTGGGAGGAGATACAAATTAATTTGAACTATCGTCTTGAACTTAACAGCTTAAAGATTTAATAGAAGACTTTTTAAAGTAAGAAGAGTTATTTTTATTACTAGATTTAACCGAAAAATTGTCTTTCGGTGACATAAAAATTTTATCTTTTAAATAGTTTGTTTTATCTACTTATAAATTTAAACTTTTCTAAATCTTATTTTAAAGACTTTCAGAAGAATTCTTGAAATTATTTATTACGTTTATATTTGACTCTACATTATTAATTTAACCATTAATAGCAGAAACTTAGCTCTTTTTTTTGATATCAGATTTGCTAAAAAAATAATAAAAACACCTTTAAAAAGTTAATTTGACAAAAGTGTAATAATCTGTTATGTGCTATTATTCTTTACTATTAAATATTTCCTTCTCAAGCTCTTCCATCCATTTTACAAAGTGTTTGATAAACAGAGCAATAAATAATCTCATAAACAAGACATATAAAATTAGCATAGTAAAAAGATAAAACACAATACTCTGAGCCCCTACTATTTCAGAATAGAAATACATAGAAACATAGTATTCCTCATTATAAAGTATCATTATAGAAGCAATTATGCTATCTATAACACTCTCAAAATTTATTCTTATTAATCTAAAATAATTTAAATAATGAGTTTATTTAATTAATTATAATAAACTTAATTTTAAATTACTCATTCTCACTTTCAGGTATATATTGGGAGAATAGCTCTCTTCCAATTTAAGAAACGACAAGGATAAGAATAATTGAAACAATCAAATATTCAGGTATAGTTTAGAGAGTATAATAATAGGTATCTAGAATAACTCTCCAACTTTCAAAGATTTAATAATTATATAACAATTAAAAGGATCTCATTATTTTTGTGCATCTAACTAGGATAAATGGCTACTTAACAGGGAAGAAAATATCGTACCCCAGATTTACCTCAAACAGATAGCTAATAATATGAGTTAAAAATATTAAACAATCAAGAATATTGATATTATTGTTAAAGTATTATTTTATCCCATCAGCAACAAAAGTAATTAAAATCTCTAATAACAAAACTAAAACAGCTATAAAATCAAGACAATTTAGTATTCTATAATCTCTATCAGTAATATCTGAGCTATTTCATTATATTTAAAACATTTTTATTTGATAAATTTTAAAACAAAAAATTCTTCAAATTAAATAATTTTTTAGATTATTTAGTTTAAATTGCAAATTCAGCAGTCTAAATTAAAATTTTATTTAAAATAAATAAATAAAGAATTAAATTAATGTCTTACTAATCGAGACAAAGGACAATTATGGACATCAGATTATTGGCAAAAAACAAAAATTTTGTATAAGGAGACTTTTTTATTGAAACAAATAAATCTCTGAATTTGAATTTAGTTTTTTCCTTTTAAAAATGACTTTTTAGTGAAGAATTATTTTATTCTTGTTATTCATTTAAAGGATATTCAGTATCTAAAACTTCAGAAGATTTTTTAATCTCATTTTAAAATAGATCAGAATTTAAATTTTCTTATTTTTTTTAAATTTCATGAATAAAATCTCTTCTACTCCTAGACCTTAGTTTTTAATTATTGTTTTCATCTCTTTTCTTTTACTTTTTTTGGTTGTAGAACACCTATGGCCCATGTTTTATATGAGTTTAATTTAAAAAACCTTCATAAAGAGTGGCTAGAATAATATTTGAAAAAATTTAAGACCTAATTTTTAATTTTAAAAATAAAATTAAATTTTTAGATAAAAATTATTTTGTTTTTATTACGTCACTAAAACAAGTGAACCAAAATAAACAGCTGCAACTTCTTTCTGCTATGCTCTCCAATACTAAAAAATTTAAAAATAGTAAAAATAATCATAAAAAATATTTCAATAATGAAATCAAACAAAAGAAGTTTTTTTTACTATTTGCGTTATACTAACCCACCCAGAAACCATAAAGAAAGTATAGACAGTAAATAATGCTGATTAAAAATTATCAAAATTTGGAAATCCAAATAGTAATTCCTCATTATTATACTCGCTATGGTTAGGTGGTAAATTATAATCGATAGGATTTCCACAATATGTTTAAACAGGAAAATCAGGGCACTCTAGAAAACCGCATGGCAATTAATTATTAGGGTCTATCTCCCAAGTTTAACTTTCCAAATCAGGATGCTGCGTTAATCTGCACCTACTTTCAATATCTCCTTTGAAAAAACTCATTCCAATAACTGCATAAAGAAATACGATGCTAATTAAAGGAACAAAAGTCTTTGTTAGATGACTGAAGCTTACAAAGAAGGCATTAACTTTCATTCTAAGGTTAGGAAAGTGTCTAAAAAAAGTAGTTATTCTTAAATATTTAATCGAATTAACTAATTAATTCTCAAGAAATAAAGATATCCAGCTTTAAATAAATAATTAAATAAATTTAGCTATTCAGTTTAATGATAAATAATTGTTTTTTTGTTTTAATAACTTTTACCTAGAAATGAGCACGCAAAATAAAAGGATATTCCATTTGTTCCTAAAGTATGTATACTTCTTTTACCACAAACCACAAATAATAATGTTTATAATTAATTCAAATGTAAATACTATATTGCACACCAAGTCAAAGAAATAACTAATCTTATTAGTATTTATCTAAAACTTTTCTAAGTTTTGATGTTTTCTGTAACTATAATCTATCATAAAAAACCCTGCAATTTAAAGAAGTGTGAACAGCAATATGATTCTTTTATAATAACTAGAATTATTAAAAATATTTTAATATCGCTCTCACAAAAATGAATTAACATATTAATTACATAGTATTTGTGATTTTGAATAAATATCTTCTTAGTGGATGGTTTAAATTGAAATAATTTAAAGACTTTTGGACAAGCTTGTAAATAAGTTAGAAAACTTTAATTTTTAAGAATCAATTTTTAGTAAATTTACTTAATCGTATTTTTTAGTAGTGAGTTCATTTTTTTATTCAAAAAGGGCAGAAATTCGAATTCTTTTTTCCTATTTTCATTCATCAACAAAACACTTATTTATTATTTTATATGTTTATTTAATGTTATTTTACCTTTCTCTAAAACTTTTCCCTTTGGGCAACTTCCTTATCCTCTTCAAAATGGATTTTTTTATGATTTGATTACATTTTAGTTTTTTACTTTTAGAATTAAATATCTGCCTTTAATTCTTCTTTTCCAACGTCTACTTCTTTCATTTCTTCTTCAATTTCGTGATTTAATAATTAATTAAACTCCTATTTGGTCATCTATTTGAACATATTTATATTAAATTTAGATCATATTAACAACCAATTTATTTTATAAGAATGAATAATCATCATAAAACACAATTTAATTTTAATATTACTTTTCTTTTAAATTGGAAATTATTATCCAAAGGAGGACTTTACTCCATTTTATTATTTACATGGTTTGCTTATATTTCATTTTTGACTTTGTCCATTAAAAATTCTATTTCAAACTAAATTAAAATAGGAAAAAGCGTTTTGTAAAATAATTGCAAATATTTTTTAAAGCAAATTTCTACTTATTTGTTTTGAATGTATATTTAATACCTTTATATATCTTACTTTAATTTCAATATTTTATGCAGCTTTCTCAAACAAAATATTTGTAGATTAAAAGTTATGCATGTTACAAACATAAGTTTTTAGAGAAATTAAAAACAAAATGTATGAATTTGGCAAACCTTCCCTCCTCTCTCAAAATAAATTATAATTTTAATTAAAAAACATAATTTACTCATACACTTTAATTGAGCATATTAATATTTTAAAAATAGAGTAAATTATTCATATTTTATCTTAAATATTTAAATTAATTTTTGTTCGTTCAATTTCAATTTTCAGCTTTTAAATTTCTTGATTATAAATGATATTTTTTAAGAAATATTAATGAATACTGTTTTTTTAAAATATTTTTTTAATAAAATTTGATCTTTTGTATTTAATTAATTTGAATTATAAAGAAATTTTTTAACTTTTAAGTTTTAAAAAGCAAAATTTTTCATAAAATTTAGATCATGTATAATAATATTTTCTGATAAAATTCATTTAAATTTTTTTAATAAATTAATAATTATATAAAAACAATCAGTCAGTTATAAATTTATTTAAAAAATGGTTTGAGAAGTATATAATTTGTTTGAAATTTATTTAGCTATATTAATTTAATATTTTTATCAATAAAAAGATAAGTAGTGACATTTTCATAAATTAATATGAAAATTATTATCTTGAAATTATTATATAATAATTTGAGCAAAACTTCATTTTTGAATTCCATAAGTATTTTAAGTATTTTGGCATTCAAAATCAAATATTTTGAGTTTCTTCTTACTCATCAAAAGCAAAAATAAAGTTTTGATTGAAATTGACATCTAAACCAAAATCATCATCTTGATAATTATCCTATTCTTAAATTACACTGGTAGCCTTAAACTCAATTGGTAAAATGCTGAATTTTAATTTTTCATCTCTAAATTGCTTTTCTTAATTTTCTTAGCAGTTATTATTATTTTCAGGGCTTTAAATATTTTGATTTTGGTTTTATTCTGAACTACTTTTTTATTATATTTAAGTGTTTGAGATATTATTACTAGCATTACTGTTTTATTTGCTAATTTTTACAGGTAAACTTTTATTTTTTTCAAATTATTGATCTGTAATTTTATTTGGTTATTCGATATTATTATAATTAAAATCATCTTAGTTATTATTTTATAAAACTAAACCATCTTCAGTGCTAAATTTTAAAAATAAAATAATAAATATTGTAAAAATAATAAATTCAAACAGAATTTATATTTGTGATAAACAATATTAAAAAAACAATTTAAATATTGGAAAAATTTTCAGAAATTTAAAATATAAATTAATAAATTAAATCAAAAATAAAAAATTACTCTTAAGGTTTTGTTTATAAGCATTCTATAAATTTGACATTTTTTTCTGCTTTATTGAGAGTTGATTATTTAGAATTAAACTTTTTCTTTTCAATTGGAGGCAGTTTACTTTTTACTGTAATTGGGATAAATTATTCAGTGTCTTATTGTTTATCTTCCTTTAAAATATCCTTAATTTTAAGTTATTCAGTAGTTTGTTGTTAATTTAATTGTTGAATTTCTTAATTTGTTTATTTTTTATCATTTTCTTCTTCTTTTTATGCTTGCTCTAAATTTATGTTTTAGGATTTGTTAAATTGGCTTTTTAATTTTTAAGTTAACTGCTTTATGTCTAATATATATTCTTCTTACTTGCCCAGTACTTTTTGTCTCCATTATTTAACTTTTCTAGTTAATACAATTATTAAAACCATATCAGCACTAGTAAATGAAGTAGGCTTAATCATATCATCTCCTGAAAGCTTTTTCTTCTTAATTAGAGAGTCTAATTAATTTCTGAGATTAGAATTTTCTGGCTCAAGACTAATTTTAAAAATAAATACAAATATTTAAATTAATTTAATTTATTTAGATAGAATTATTTTTACGTTGTGATTCCATATTTTATTTGAACAGATATCTTTGAGATTGATATTACAACATCATGGAATTTGTAGCAAAATACCTTATTTATGGGATCCTCAAAGATAGGAATATTTAGTGTTTTTAGAAACTCATTTTTATTTTAAATATCCATCAGATCTTCGCTTTTTACACCATAGATAATTGCAATTTAACTTGAAAATTGCCAAAATTCTTTATAGCTGATATATCCTTTTCCTTCTGGATCATACTGTTTCCACAATTCTAACACATCATCTAATTGATAGTGATTTACAGCACTTTCATCTGCACTGAATGCTTCCTTATAAGACTCTATGATGGTTGCAATAAAGATATTTAGGATGACAAGAGTGAAAACAAGATAAAACCCATAGAAAAATATATAAGAAAGTCTACTACCGCATGCATTTTATCCATATTTTTAATAATCTTCATATAGAATAATATTTTCAAAACAAACAAAATCAGGCTACATTTTTTTAGCTCCTTCTTAAGCAACAACATACCAATACTCACTTGTCATAACTCTGATAAGTGTAAATAGAGCATTAGGGAAATCCCTAAAGGTCACATCATAGCCATTTATAATCTTTTACTCTTTGATGTAAGGAAATAAGTTCATACTGATCAGAACTGAAATAAATAGGAAAATAATAAGAACCTAAAAAATTCCAAAAATGGAAGAAATGGCATATTGCAATGATTTAAATAATTTCTTAATTATTGTAAAGTGTTTCATAATTCTATAAAATCTTAATAGCTATAGTCCTTTAGCAACTCCATCAAAAATTCTTAATCCTCTATCAAAAATTTCAAATTCATTTGTTTATTAAAATCTCAAGTTTATCCACCCAATTATGACAATAGATAAATCAATTACATTCCAAGGTTCTGTGAAATATTTTAAATTTAAGCAAACCATCCTGCAAAATATTTCAATAATCATAGCCACTAAGCAAACTTCATTTACTAAATCTATTAAAATTATTTTTATAAATTGTTTTAAAAAATCAACTAAAAATTTTTAATAAATTCCATTAAAAAACTAGAAAAAAAATAAAAAATTAAAATAATTCCTGTAAAAAAAATTTAAAACAAACGCAAGAAATATTAAAAATTAATTTTCCTCAGGGCAAGTTATATTTATATCTATAAAATATAATTATTAAATTATTTGAATATTAAAAATTATATTTTGAAATTCAAATAAATAGTAATTACATAGTTTGTCTATTTCTTCTTGAGTTTATCTGTTTCTGAATAGCATTAAGTTTATGCAGTTAGCTAGAGTGAAAGTATAAAAAATTATTTTTAATGCATTCCCTTAAATTAAATTATCAAATAAGAACTTTCTAACTTTATCTTGAGGTATTTTTACCTATTTTAAAAACAAACAAAATTTTAGAAAATTATTTTTTTAAAAGCTAATTTATTTATTTATTTCTTTACTTTTGCTGATGGCTTCAACTAATATATAGATTTCTTGATAAACAGCCATTCTTTTTAGAATTTATGTAAATCTTTAGTTTTATGTTCTGATTCAATCATTTCTAATTAAGTTTCTACGACTAAACCGACAAACATATTCAGGATACAGATGTTTGCAATAAAGAAAAATTATATGAAAAATATCGCCCATAAACTGTTTTAGCGATAATGAGAATTAAGCTCAGGAGATGTTGAGTCATAAACATTAAACATAATATGAATCCAACCTTCTGAAGATTAAACCATAAATAGAATTTAAAGAGAGTTTATTATATTGTTAAAATTATATTAAGAATCTATCCAATCACCTCCTAAATCTAAACAATCAAATTTTGTTATAATTTCTGGTATTTCACTATTTTCTCCATCACTTTCATCTCCTATATAGCAATGATGCATAGATCCCTTCAATAATTTTGTTGTTAAAGCTCCGCTTATCAGTAAGAATATAGCTGCAAAAATGATTAATCTTAGCATTCTGGGGAGACACTTTATCAAAATCATTCCTTTAAATTTAATTAGTAAATAATATTTTTTTTAATAAAATCATAAATACTATTTTCCTTAAATCAGAAAATTAATTGTTTAAATAAAAATTTTCTTCATAGCAAAATTCAATAATAGTATGAATAATTTTTTTATTTTAAAATTAAATTTTTACCTGCATGGTGAACTTCTTTAACTTAATGGGATAAGAAAGAGAATAGCACAGTTAATCTTAAGATTAGGATGAATTTAAATACATATACACTTCTTGGCCAAAAATCAACTGTATAGAAGAATGAGGCAACTGTTGTGATAATATCAATAGAATTAAAAAACCAGTTTCTTTATATGAAGGAAGTAGGTGAAAAAATGAAACCATATGCAATTATTTGCATAATATTTTCAATTATAAAAAAGGCCGTTAAAATAGCATGGAAAACTATTATAACTACTTGCTCTGAGCTGTTTGGATCAACAAATGGAGTGTCAGCGCAAAATAGAAAAGCAAGAGCAGCTATGCAAATAGAGTTAAAGTAATCAAAGTAGTTGTGCATTACAATATTTTTGCAGATTTTTCTGAATTTATTTTCTTTACTAAATATGAACAAAGATCTCTCTTCTTCTTCTTCATCATTATTTATGTCATGACTATTTTCATTTTATTCACTGGTCATATTAAGCTCTTTAAAGCTATTACTTCCAAGATTTTTGTTATAAGCATTATTATTATTATTTAGTTTATCGATAAATTCGTTTTACTGTTATTATTGATTTGAGTGATGTTGAGAATTCTATTTTCCATTCTAACTCAGCTTATCATTATTTTCTTAGCTTTTTAAACTTTCTAAGCTCATAATCAACAATCTATCATACTTAGATTATGAGGGATATGATTCAGCGTCTGACTAGAATTATTCTCTGCTTGATTGTTTTATGATTTCATTGATACAATTTTAATTTATAAAAGGAAATACAGTAGAGCTGTTTAATGGAGATTATAATGATATGCTGGGTAGTTAGCTATGACGAGTCCTTTTTTATGATGAATTATGGCTTTGGATATTAAATTTAGCATGCTCTATTTTATTAAATTCATCTTGATTATTTCTATTTTCATTTTCACCTGATTTACTTCTGTTATAAATTGACCTTTATGGAGTTAACAAAAATATATTATTTTATTTTTAATCGTTTTTATTTTCTTAATTAATTGGTTCAGCTATCTAATCTTTTTCACTAGAATCGTTATTTAACACAATATTAAAAGCTGTTGATGCATGCGAGTGTGTATTAATCTTACGATAAGCTATTAGCTAGTTTTAGTGCTTACTAGATGTTTCTCTAGAGCTTTGCTATTACTTTTAATCAATCAAATTTTCATTTGATTTGCTTCTACTCATTATTACATTTATTGAAGGTTAAGTACTTTCTCTAAGCATTTCAAGTGATTGTTTTCTTTTAAGATTTTATTTTTTCATTTAAATTTCATCTATTTTTTCTATCGAAGTTGTATGAATTATTTTAGGTAAATTTAAATTACCATTTTAATTTTATTTTTTAGTCTGACTATTTTAAATAGCTCCATTCATTTTCTAGTTTTAGCTATCTTAATTCAACATTTTTGTTTCATTTTTCAAATTTTATTGCTTTTCATAACCTTTCATTCCATCTTACTAATATTCTTACATTTCTTCTACTGAATTTTTAATGGATGCTTGCTGCTTAATATTATTGTTTTCTTTTAGAGTGTTTGATTGTTGAGGTTAGATTTAATTTCTTTTCGAATTAAAGAAATTTGTAGCTTGCTTTGTGAGTTTTTTTATAATAACTAATGTTTGAGAGTGATATAATACAATTTCATTTTCTCTCAGCCACTTCATAAAAATATTTATAAAAATAGCTATGAAAAGCCTAACAAATAGTACTTAAAGGATTAGCATAGCAAGAAAGTGATATAAAATACTTTTGTAACCAACTATTCTCCTATATTTGTACATAACTAATTGCCACTCTTCGTTATAGCAAATCATAATAACAGCTATCAAACTATTATGAAGTGTGTTATAATTAATTCTAATAATTGTTTCTTCTTCATCGAAATGTTCATCTCCTCCATCCATTCCTGCCAAAAGCTCTCTACCTATTTGAACAAAAAGAACGATAAGAAGGACCCACAAGAAAAGAAACTCAGGCAAAGAGGCAAGTGTATAATAATAAGTATGTAACAAGATTTTTAAGCTTCCAAATATAGAGAATTCATTTATTAGTCTTAGTATACGCAGCATTTTTATCCATCTTATAAAAATAAATGTTTAAACCTATGGATTGAAAATATCATAGCCTTTACTACTCTCCACGATATATGAAATAGATGTTATTAAGATAATAAAGGCATCTAGTAGAAGGAGTTTTTGCTCAAAGTACTTTTTTCCTTAAGTGATTAACTCTATAAAAGAAAAAGAAAAAAATATCATTGTGACAATAAAATCAGCTTTGTTCAACTTAACATATTCATATCCTTCTATTTAAATACTATTTAAAATTTAATTAATTATGATATATTTTTTATTTATAAATGAAAGTAAATTAATTTACTTGTCAATACAGAGGACTACTATTATCGATATTATATTAACAAAATGTAAAAAACTAAATAGAGTTGATTTTCTAAACTGTTTAGCATATTTATATATAGATTAAAGAAATAAACTTAATTTATAGCCTTTATTGTATTTTAATTAATCATCTCTAACACAAGAAATCTATGATATCAACATAAGACCTTATTTTCTCATTTTTTCTTATTCCTATTCGCTGTCATTTGAATGCTTAGTAAACTTAGAAGCATTTTTTTATTTTTTTTTAAAGATAGACTTTTTTTGAGTCGGTGATGCTTTGCTTTCCTTATCGTTCTATAGAGTTGATTCTCCTCCTTCCTTTGAGCTTTATTTACCGCTAGTATTACTGTCCATGAATCCTTCATAAAGAGTAGCTAAGACAATGTTAGAAAAAATTTGGGATCTATTTTATAAAAAAAATAAAGATAAGAAAATCAAAAATATAAAAAGGGTAGCTAAATAAATTACAATAATAAAACTAGCGAAACAAAATATATTCCAGAAACAGTCTTGTCTTGAGCTCTCCAAAACTATTTGATATAATAATTCAAAATAAAGAATTTAATTAAATATGTATTATTAATTACTATATTAGTAGTAGCAACCCAACCATTTATCATAAGAAAGTTATACACACTAAAAAGTGCATTAAAAATATCATTGAAATTAACATAGCCCCATAACATATGTTCATTATCGAATTCATGGTGGTATTCAGGTAATCCATATTCAGCAGGATTTCCACAATAAGATTGAGAAGGACAAGATGCAACTCCACAAGGCAAGTGAACAGATTCGTCAATTTCCCATATCGTTTCTCCTTCTTCAGGATGTTTTGTTAAGCGACATCTGCTTTCTATATGTCCTCTAAAAAAGCTTATTCCAATAACAGAGTAGAAAATAATGACACAAATCAAAGGAAAAAATGTTTTTCCTAAGTGCTTAAAGCTACCAAAAAAGGCATTGACTTTCTTCGCTAGAACAGGGAAGAGTCGAAAAATAGTCAGTATTCTGAAATGTTTGTAAACATTAAATACTTCAATTTCATCTGTAGCATACGATATCCAACTAAATGTTTAATAAAAAAACTGAATTAAAAAAATCATTTTTAAATAAAATTAATAGTTTGTTTTTAAATAAATTAAAATGATTTTTTCATTTAAAACAAAAAAAGAATAAATTTTATATATACCTTGATATAAGAACTGTCAATAAAAGGGCATTTAATGTAGTAAAAATTTAATTTAATGTCTTTCTGTGGGCACCATAAGCGAAAATTATAAAAATTATTTCAATTGTAAATATGATATTTGTAATAAGCTCAAAATAATCTGCAACAACATTAATTTGTAATGACTCCTTTCTTTACTTTGTTATTCTGTATGAATAGTCGTGCATCAAATAGGCAGCTATTTCAGCTAGAGTTGAAGCAATAATTATCCATCTAAAAGTTCTATATTAGGAAAAATAAAAAAGTATTACTAAAAATTATTATTTTTTATTTTCACTTATTTTATTAAAATAAATGCCTAAAATCTTAGTTAGTTTTTTAATATACACTATTGTATCATTTATTGTTATATTTATTCTCAAAATCAAATAGTAAAATTTGTCTGTAATACTTTGAAGTTATAGATTATAATTGATAAATAACTAGTAGAAGAGTGCTAAGTATGAAAAAGAATCATTAATTAAAATGAAAATTTCTTACTATTTCAGCATTTAAAATTAATAAATATAATATTTTAAATACTTACTAAGAGTTTAGTACCCTATAATAATTATTCTTAGTCATTTTTTTACTGGCACTCTCTTCCTTTTCCTTCTTTTAAAATTATTTGAAAAAATGAATTATTATTTGTGTACTTACTATCTGCCTTAAAAAAATAATAAAATGATAAAAAAATGGTCAATAAAAAATTAGGAATAATATCATTTATAAAAAATCTTAGCAATTAATTACATTTTATCCTAAATTTTAATGAGAATACTATTATTGGTCTTACTCTTCATGAGTTTAAAGATAGTTTTAAGTATTTCTATCTATTTCATTATTAGCATCTTAAATTTTTTTTGAAATGATTCCTTCCTAAAATTAAATATCTTCCTTTTTATTTAATAAAATATATTTTATAGCTGCTTCATAACACATTTAATTGAACAAGAAACTGATATTACTTGGGAATTTCTTGTTATGTTCTTCTCATTTTATAATTAATCTATTTATACATTTTGCTAGATATATTAAGGGCTACTCAAAATATTATTTATTGCAATCGTTTCTTGATTGTTAGCTTTTTATGGAGTTTAATTCATTTTATAGCAATTAATGCGCCTTTCAAAGCTATTTTTTTACTTTGAAGTCTCTAAAAGAAGGCTAACTTATTACTTGTATAGCTGATATCAGAAAATCTAATTTTTCTTCTTATACAAGGATAGATAGATATTACTAAATTGTTTCTTTCTAATTTAATTTTATCAAAAATTATATGTTAGACTTCTTGAATTAAAATCGATACCAAAAAGCAGTAAAATTTATGGTTTGGATTATTGTATACTTTTCCTATAAACCCAGCAAAAATAATCTTTACTTAATCTTTCTAGTCATAAATATTTATTAATAGAACTTTACTATAATATTAGTAAGAAATATTAATCAGTAATTTAATGACACTTTTTTATATAAAACTGGATTCTTGACAAAAATAAATAAAAATTATCCAATTATTATTTATTTATTAAGTTAAATGCTAAATTAGTATATCAGAAAAAATATCTTCAAAACTTATTAATTTAAGAATTGAAACTTATCATTTTACAAAAATTCAACTTTCAATTCTGAAAAAAATTTATTTTTTTACATTTGAACTTAAAAAAAAATGCTTAAAATTTTTAAAATAAAGATTTTATTTTTTCATTTATTTTCTATAATAGATTTTTTTATATGTTTCAATGCAATATTAATAAAAATTTATTGCAAGGATTTTTTAATGTGTTTCAATGCAATATTTTATAAAAATTTATTGCAAGGATTATTTTTAGAATCCATTCAAGCGGTCTATAAATTTTTTAATTATTATAATTTGAATGCTTGAAATGAGTTAAAATAATTTGAAAACCAGTTAAAATTGATGAAGTAAATAAAATAGATAATTAATTATGTTAAGGTAAAGTAAAATGAATATCTTTAATTTGAAATTTAATCTATCTGGATTGATAAAAAAATTATCTTTTTAAATGAATTTATAAGCATGCTTGGTTTCCTTGCTTTTTAATATTATCGTTGAAATTTATTTGATAAATATGAGTTTGAGTTATTCAATAAATTTCAAAAAATCAAAATGAAAAAATATATTTCTTTATTTTTACTAGTCTTGGTTTATAAATTTCAAACATAATAATCAATTGCTTTAAATTAAAAATCAAATTAATTTGCTACATAGAAAGTCTTTTATACATACATACATAAATGAGTTTCAACAATCAAAAACAAACTAGATATTCCCAAGTTATTACAGTTTTGGACAAAAAGCCAATCAATTTAGAAGCTGAAAAGTAGAAAGCTATGATGGAAAGAGAATAGCTTATTTAAGATTTTGAGGCTAATTACATTTATGACTAGAGTGGAAATTATAGACCAAATATTAGAATCAAATAATATGTAGATGGATCTAAATATGAAGGAGAAGGTATTTAATTAATTAATAAATTAAAATTGATATTAAGTAAAAGATTTAACTAAATTATTTTCTATATAAAATAGTTGTAAATGATAAAAGAAATGGGAAAGGAATCTACCATTAGTAATTCAGCTTTTTCATTATTGTACATTTGGATTTATCTATCTCTTATAAATTATTTATATAGTGCAAACTCAGATAAATATATTGGAGATTGGAAAGATGACAAGTAAATTTGTTTATTATTGTTTCAAGTAAAAATCTTAACTGAATACTATTATATAGATTTCATGGCTTTGGAATTTACATCTTTATGAATGGAGAAAGATATGAAGGTGAATTGAGAGGTATAATTTAAACATTCAAAAATAGTTAAGTACATTTTATTTTTATTATTATCATCATCAGAGGGTGCTAAGCATGGCAAGGGAACATATAAATATGTAAATGGTAATGAATACAAAGGAGAATGGAGAAATGATAGAAAAAACGGGCACGGTATTTATGATTATTATAGTACTTAAGAGAGATACGATGGATAATGGGTAACACATACTTTAATTATCAAATTATCAACTAAAAATCAATCCAAAAATTAAAATAAACTATTTCTTAATCATGAAAATTTTAAAGAAACTCAAATATTTTTAGAAATGTTTTGGTTAATGTTAAAATATTAAAAAATAAGGTTGATGGAGAGAAACATGGATATGGTATTTATAATTATGCATATGGTGATAGATATGAAGGAAATTGGAAAGAAGGTGAAAAGTTTGGTAAAGGCAAATTAGAATATGCTTCAGGAGCTATCTATGAAGGAGAGTGGTACGGCGATAAAGCTCATGGATCTGGAGTATTTAACAGCTAATTTTTTGTTTTTTATTAATATGTTTGTTTATTTCTAGGTTTTCTTATTCTAAAATGGAGACAGATATGAAGGAGAATGGGTAAAAGGAAAGAAAGAGGGAATAGGTAAAATAAGTTACACTGACGGATCGAGATATGAAGGTAAAAAATCTATTTAATTGGATTTTAATATAAAGAAATAATTATTTTCAATTTTAATTAATTGTTTTTTCTTTACAGGCGAATGGTTGGGCGATATGATTAATGGACAAGGTATCTACTACTTTCCTAATGGTGATATATATTAAGGATAATTTAAAGATGGGGAAAGAAATGGAAATGGAATTTATATATTCGTGAGCAAAGATAAGTAATAAGAAAGTTTGTGTTCCTTTATTTAAATATATTATTAATTTATTAATGAATAGGTACGAAGGTGAGTGGCACAATGATAAAAAGCACGGCTAAGGTGTTTTATATTTTGCAAATGGTGATATTTATGAAGGTGAATGGAGTAATGGTCATAAAAATGGTAGAGGAGTTTATAAATTTGCAAATGGAGACATATATGAAGGTTATGTAGAAGAAGATAAAAAATAAGGAAGAGGAATTTATAAATGGAGAAATAATACCAGAGTAAATATATAAATAAATAAAATAAAATTATTCTATCATATTATATTAATTATTTCTAAATAAAAGTATAATGGTGAGTGGAAAGATGATTTTATGCACGGAAGAAGTGCATTTACTCTTGAAGATGGAATAACAGTATAAGTTGAATTCTAATAAGATAGAGTTCTTTCATGAAAACTTCTAATAAAATAAGATAAAATAAATAAATTTCATTAAAAATAGATAAAATCTAATATTATTAACCCTTAAAGTTTATAAAATACCAAACAGCTTAAAGCCATTCTAATGTTATCAAATTAATTAATTCAAAAATTTTATGTTTATATATATGTATGTATTTTTAGCATATAGTGATGGTTACTTAACAAATCAACATAATTTAACTTATTATTATTACTATCATCTGTAAATTTTTATTTTAAAAAAATAAAATGTGATAAACGGATGGATAACTTTATATTTATTTATATACCTGAACTAACTATTTTATTTTAAAATGAACAAAAAATACAAAAAATTTTAATGAAAAAAAAAAGTAAAAGCACAAACAAATCTAATTCATAAATTTAATCAAATAAAAAAAACTTTTTTTAAAATTGCTAAATTAAAAATTTTCAAGTGAAAAATTAAAACAAAGATCAAAGGAAAAGTTTTCATAGAAAAATCAAAAATAATATATTTAAAGACCTAATAATACAAAAAAAACAAACAATAATACATATAAATATAATAAATGAATAAATAAATAAATAATTTTTAATTTAAGTTGTATTCTGAGTGCATTTATATGTGCGAGTATTTCTATTCTATTCTATCACTAATTTAATTGCTCCTTTTTAAATATTGAAGAAAAAAAAAATATAATTAAATAATTAATTAGAAGGAAAAAATGAAGAAAAAATATGAAATAATAAGATTATTTAATTAATAATAAAAGCAAAAGTTAAAAAAAAAATGATGAGTTAAATTAAAAAACAGAGAGAAAAAAAGCAGGAACAATAAAAAGAAAAAGAGTTTTAATTTTTAAAAATAGTTTTTATATTTAAAAATATCTAACCCAAAACAAATAAACTATTTTTACTAAAGATAAAGTGCCAAATTTGAGAGATTAATGCAATCTACTAAAGCAGAACCTAAGCCTGATACACCCATAATACCAATTTAATTGTAACTTTTTAAATATTGAAGAAAAAAATATAATTAAATAGTTAATTAGAAGGAAAAAATGAAGAAAAAATAAATATGAAATAATAAGATTGATTATTAATAAAAGTAAAAAATGATGAGTTAAATTAATAAACAAAGAAGAAAAAAAAAAGCAAAAATAATAAAAATTAAAACAAAAAAGAGCTTTATTGTTTTAAATCTGTTTATAATTAAAAATATCACAATCCAAAACAAATAAATTGTTTTTACTAAAGGAAAAGTGTCAAATTTGAGAGATTCCTGCAATTTGCTAAAGCAGAACCTAAGCCTTAAGCACCCTTAGCACCAATTTAATTGTTACTTTTTAAATATTGAAGAAAAAATAAAAAATTAATTAGTTAATTAGAAGGAATAAATGAAGAAAAAATATGATTAATTAATTATCAAAGCAAAAATTGAAACTAAAATAATGAGTTAAATTATCCAAAACAAATAAAATGTTTTTACCCAAGATTAAGTGACAAATTTGAGAGATTAATGTAATTTGCTAAAGTAGACCCTAAGCCTAATGCACCTTCCTCATCAATTTAATTATCACTTTTTAAATATTGAAGAAAAAATATATAATTATATAGTTAATTAGAAGGAAAAAAGGAAGAAAAAATAAGAAATAATAAGATTAATTAATAATAATAAAAGCAAAAGTTGAAAATAAAATAATGAGTTAAATTAACAAAGAAAGAATAAAAAAAGAAAGCATAATATAAATAAAAAGAAATAAGAGCTTTTTTGTATTCAATTAATTTTTATAATTTAAAATATCTCAATCCAAAACAAATAAACTGTTTTACCCAAGGTAGAGTGTCAAATTTGAGAGATTAATGCAATTTGCTAAAGCAGAACCTAAGCCTTAAGCACCCATAGCACCAATTTAATTGTTACTTTTTAAATATTGAAGAAAAAATAAATAATTAAATAGTTAATTATAAGGGAAAAATATGAAATAAATAGATTAATTAATCATAAAAGTTAAAGTTGAAAATAAAATAATGAGTTTTTAAATAAACAAACAAAGAAAAAAAAAGGCAAGTACAATAAAAAGAAAAAGAACATAAACAAATGACACTAATGAGAATCAGTCACTGGGTTCGTGTTCTCATAGTATCATTTTTTAATACATTCCAAAACAAATAAACTTTTTTACTCAACGTAGAGTGTCAAATTAGAGAGATTAATGCAATTTTTTAAAGCAGAACCTAAACCTAATGAACCTTCATCACCAATTTAATTTTACCTTATTAAATATTGAAGAAAAAATATAAAATTAAATAGTTAATTAGAAGGAAAAAACAAAGAAATAATATGAAATAATAAGATTAATTAATAATAAAAGCAAAGGTTGACAAAATGATGAGTTAAATTTACAAACAAAGAAAAGAAAAAAGCAAGCACAATAAAAAGAAAAAGAAAAAAGAGCTTTATTGTTTTAAATTAGTTTTTATAATTAAAAATATCACAATCAAAAACAACTAAACTATTTTTACTCAAGGTCAACTTTCAAATTTGAGAGATTAATGCATTTTGCTAAAGCAGAACCTAAGCCTGATGCACCCGTAGCACCAATTTAATTGTCACTTTTTAAATATTGAAGAAAAAATATATCATTAAATAGTTAATTAGAATGAAAAAATAAAGAAAAAATATGAAATAATAAGATTAATTAACAATAAAAGTGAAAGTAAAATGATGAGTTAAATTAACAAATAAAGTAAAAAAAAAGAGAGCACAATAAAAAGAAAAAAGAGCTTAACTTAGTTTTATTTTTAAAAATATCACAATCCAAAACAAGGAAACTATTTTTACCCAAGATAGAGTGTCAAATTAGAGAGATTAATGCAGTTTGCTAAAGCAGAAACTAAGCCTGACACACCTTCATCACCAATTTAATTACCTCTTATAAAATATTGAAGAAAAAAAATATAATTAAATAATTAATTAGAAGGAAAATATGAAGAAAAAATATGAAATAATAAGATTAATTAATTAATAATAAAAGCAAAAGTTGAAACTAAAATAATGAGTTAAATTAAGAAAAAAAGCAATCACAATAAAAAGAAAAAAGAGCTTTATTGTTTTAAATTAGTTTTTTATTTAAAAAATATAACAATCCAAAATAAATAAACTTTTTTACTCTATGTAGAGTGTTAAATTTGAGAGATTAATGCAATTTTTTAAAGCAGAACCTAAGCCTGAAGCACCCAAAGCACCAATTTAATTGTTACTTTTTAAATATTGAAGAAAAAATATCTAATTAAATAGTTAATTAGTAAAAAAAAGAAGAAAAATATGAAATAATAAAATTAATTAATAATAAAATGAAAAGTTGAAACTAAATTAATTAGTTAAATTAACAAAGAAAGAAGAAAAAAAAAAGCAATAAAAATAAAAATAAAAAAGAGCTTTTTTGTTTTAAATTAGTTTGATTTTATAATTAAAAATATCATAATCCAAAACAAATAAACAGTTTTACCTAAGGTAGAGTTTCAAATTTGAAAGTTTAATGCAATTTGCTAAAGCAGAACCTAAGCCTGAAGCACCCATAGCACCAATTTAATTGTTACTTTTTAAATATTGAAGAAAAAATAAATAATTAAATTGTTAATTAGAAAAATATGAAATAAATATATTAATTAATAATAATAGAAAATGATGAGTTTTTAAGTTAACAAACAAAGAAAGAAAAAAAGCAAGAAAGCACAATAAAAAGAAAAAGAAAAAAGAGCTTTTTTGTTTTAAATTAGTTTTATAATTAAAAATATCACATAATCCAAAACAATTAAACTGTTTTTACTAAAGGTCAAGTGTCAAATTTGAGAGATTAATGCAATTTTTTAAAGCAGAACCCAAGCCCGATGCACCCATATCACCAATTTAAAAAAACTTTTAGAAAAAGGTTATTAAATTACCAAATTGTTCTGGAATTAATGAGAAAAAGAGGAAACAGGGTGTATATTAAATATTCAAAAATCAGATATTGATTGAATTATTAAAAATTAATAATTATGAAAATACCTAAAAATAAATAAAAATTATTTATATAAATATAATAAAAATAAATTTTAAGATGTATTCTGAGTGCATTTATATGTGCGAGTTTTTCTATTCTTCTATCACCAATTTAATTGTCACTTTTTAAATATTGAAGAAAAAATATATAATTAAATGGTTAATTAGAAGGAAAAAAGGGAGAAATAATAATAAATTATCAGATTAATTAGCAAAGGTTGAAAATAAAATGAGTAGTTGTTAAATTAACAAAGGAAGAAGAAAAAAAAGCAAGAATAATAAAAAGAAAAAAAGAAATTTATTGTTTTAAATTAGTTTTTATAATTAAAAATTATAATCCAAAACAAATAAATTGTTTTTACCCAAGATTAAGTGTCAAATTTGAGAGATTATTGCAATTTGTTAAAGCAGAGCCTAAGCATGATGTACCTTCCTCGCCAATTTAATTTTACCTATTTAAATATTGAAGAAACAAATTTAATTAAATAGTTAATTAGAAAGAAAAATGAGGAAAAAATATGAAATAATAAGATTTATTAATAATATAAGTAAAAAATGTTGAGTTGTTAAATTAACAAATAAAGAAGAAAAAAAAGCAAACACAATAAAAAGTAAGTAAAAGAAAAAAGAGCTTTATTGTTTTAAATCTATTTATAATTAAAAATATCACAATTCAAAACTATTAAACTGTTTTTACTAAAGGTCAAGTGTCAAATTTGAGAGATTAATGCAATTTTTTAAAGCAGAACCTAAGCCTGATACACCCATATCGCCAATTTAATTGTCACTTTTTAAATATTGAAGAAAAAATATATAATTAAATGGTTAATTAGAAGGAAAAAAAGAAGAAAAAATATAAGTAATAAGATTAATTAATAATAAAAGCCAAAGTTTAAAATAAAATGATGACTCTAATTAACAAAGAAAGAAGACAAAAAAGCAACAAAATAAAAAGAAAAGGAAAATAAATTAAAATATATTTAATGCTTTAAATTGATTTTTGTAATTAAAAATATTATTATCCAAAACAAATAAACTTTTTTTATCAAATGTAAATGTTAATAGCAAAAAAATGAAGAAAAATTATAAAATAATAAAAAATGAATAATAAATCGTTAAAAATTGAAATAAAAATTAAGTTAAGATAGAGAAAAAATGTTTGTTTTTATAAAAATTGAAAAAAGATGATAATTTTGATTAGAAAAATTATTTTTTTAAAGAAATTGAAAGTTAAATATACAAAAAATATTAATAATAATAATAATAATAAGGATAATATTTTTTAATTAAATATACGTCAGATTAATATGGAGAACCTAATGAGATAAAAGTGAAGAGTTTATAAACTTTTTTTTTTTAAATTTATAAATTTAAAGGATATTAATAAAAAAATTAATAATTACTTCTTCTAAAACTTCATACTATTTAATCTATTATATCATTTTTTTTTTCTCTCAAAAATATTGAATAGCAATTTAGGGAAATAAACTAATTATAAATGGATAAAAATAATAAATCAAATATAATAATTAATTATCAAATTTTTATTTATAAATTTGCTTTTATATGTTACAGAAAAATTAATTTAATATTCATTATTTAAGCTTAATATTTGTATTTATAATATAAACTTAAAAATATGGTAGGAATTAAAGATGGGTAGTTAATTATATTTGAAATAATTCTAGTCATTAATTAATTAATCTTCAATTAGCTTTAAATCATAAAAATTAAATGAAATATCACGATCTGTACCTACTCAGTTAGTGATATTTTAATTACAGGATTAGTTATACATATTTTAATAAAACTTTTTAATTCTTGAATAATCTTAATTAAAGATAGAATAAAAACATATAAAAAAAACAATATTAGATTCAAAGACTTTTATAGAAATTTAGTTTTTGCTGATACTGTAAATTTTGTATTTGCAGAGTGTCATATTATTTGAGAATAACGAAAATTATTTGGTGTTTTTTTATTTAGGACTTAATTATTTCTAAAAGATATTATTAAGAATGAATACTAAATACATTTAAAATGACATACTTTTATTTTTTATTTGAAATATTAAGTTAATTTATTTTTTTAATCTTAAGAATTTTAAGATATTTATTATTGAAATTGCTATAAATAGTTCTTCGTGTTAGATCAATTTGTTCTTAAATCTAAATTTTGTCTACATTTTTAATTTGTTTTTACAATATTTTGGTATTTATTTTTTTGAATTAATCATTGTTTTTAAATATTAGAATTTTTTTCTTTTTCTTCTTGCTCTTCTTTTTCTATTTGTTTTTTGATGATTTCTATGAAATTTTACTTTTGGCTCTTTATTTTTTAGAACAAAGACTAAATGTGAAAAATATTAGTATCGCCTTTTTGCTTGTAAACATATTATCTCTTCCATATTTTTGCTTTTCTAGACAATACAATTAAAAGTATCATATCACCACTAGTAAACTCTGTTTCTTTAATATTTTTTTCATATTTTAATGTATTAGATTTGCATTGATTGTCAAGAGATTCCCTCAATTTTAAGTTTTTAGGTTCAAGACTATAATTATTTAATGATGATTAATATTTTTATGCAAAAAAAATGAAAAATTTACTTATTAACACCGTATTTAATTTAGACAGATATCTTAGAGAGTTTTTCAACTACGTCATGGAATTTGTAACAGAATATTTTGTCAATTGGATCTTCGTAGATGGGAATATTTAGGGATTTTAGAAATTGGCTTTTGTTTTCAATATCAAGGAATTCCTCACTGTTAACACCATAAACAATAGCAATTTAACTAGAAAATTACCAAAATTCCTTATAACTGATATAACCTTTGCCTTAAGGATCAAATTTTGTCCATAGTTTCAAAATATCATCAAGTTGATAATGATTGATAGCAGACTCATCAGCACTAAAGGCCTCCTTATAGGACTCGATAATAGTGGCTACAAACAAATTTAATATAATCAGAGTAAATATGAGGAAAAAAACATAAAAGAATAGGTAAGAGATGACAGAACCACAAGACTGAAAGCCGTATTTAACAAAATCATAATAATCGTACATATCATCTCTGCAAACAAAATTAGGAGCCATTTTTTATGAGGCCTCAAAAGGAATCAGATACCACATTTCTAAAGTGACTATTCTTATGAATGAGAATAGAGCCTAGAAAAATCCTGAAAAATTTAGATCATATTCGTTAATTGTTGATTAAAATTTTAAATAAGGAAAGAGATTAAGAGAGAGAAGGACGGCAGTATATAGAAAGACTATTAAAATTAATGATATTCCTAATATAGAAGACAATGCGTAATTTAAGCTATTAAGAAGTTTTCTAAAGATCAAGAAATGATTGAAAACCCTAATTAACCTAATCAATTGCAAACCTTTAGAGATGCCATCAAATATTCTATAATAGTTTGAGAATATAGTTATATGCTGATTAAATTAATAATCAATATTTATCATTCCTATTATCAATACTGCAATGTCAAAATTATTCCACATGCTTATAGTGAAATATCTTAAAATCCCTAAACTAATCATCCTACATAGAATTTCAACACCCAGAATAATTAAGCAGACTAAATTTATGATCTCTAATTTTATTTAATTAAATAATCATTCATATTTTTTTATTAACTTGAAATTTAATTTATTTTTTTATTCATTTTGAATTTTATAGAGTTTAAAAAAGAATTTATGTAATCTTAAAAATTAAATAAATTAATTAATTAAATTATCTATTTATTACTTAAAACCATCATGTTATCGGAATCCATCCTATTCTTAAAAAATAAAAAGGAAACCCCATTCAAAACAGCGAAAAAGTAAAAAAATATTTTTAAAGAATTTCCAGTGACTAAATTTTTAAAAAAGAAAAGTCTGAATCTATTTTTTGGTTCTTATTCCTAAATTTTTAAAATAATTAAATAATTTCTTTTTATTTAATAGTTTTTTTTTTTACATTTTTAATTGGAATAAGTTTTCTGATAGATTTCTTAATAAAAAACCACTCTTTCTGTTACTTAGTCAAAGAATGAGTTCCGCTTTCATGCTCATTCAACTCTAAAAGAGACTCTACGATTAAGCCAACAAACATATTTAGGATGCATATATTAGCAATAAAGAAATATTAAATGTAAAAAATAGCCCAGATACTTTATTATTTGTAACTTATCTAGAATTAAGAAGAGTTTGAATCAAAAGTATCTAGCATAATCTGTAGCCATCCTTCAGATGCCTATACCATAAATAGCACTTAGAGTGAATCTATAATAGAGTTGAAGTTATATGCAGATTCTATCCAATCTCCACCTAAATCAAAGCAATCATGCTTTGATATTATATCATGAGAAGAGGGATAATAGAGATGCTTGCACATCCAGCCAGAGTCTTTTAATAGTTTTGTAGCTATGATTCCATTCATTAAAAGATAAATCATAGCAAACATAATAAGTTTAAACATTCTTGATGAGCAGTATGCCATTAATCTTCCTATTATTTTGAAATAAATATATAAATAATGTTGTTATAAATATAATTATTAAATACCAGCAAATGCAATGTCCTTATTATATTTTGATAGGAATGCTAACAAAAAAATAACTCTAAAGATAGCAATGCACTTGAAAACAAAATTAGATTTAGAAGTGATGTTTAAAATGTAAAGCAACACTGCGAGTGTAGTTACAAAATCTAATATCGAAAGGAGACTTCTTCTAAGATAAGATCGTGGACCATTAAATAAGAAACCATGTTAAACAAGATGTATAAAAAGTTGAAACAAAAAAATTCCTGCTAAAACTTTGTAGGAAATGTTGATAATATCTTTTTGTATGCTTTTTGGATTTAAGAAAGGAGAATCCCATACAAGTATACCAGCAAAAACTATAATTGTCAAAACCATAAGAAAGTCAAATTTACTACTTTCAGAGATATTAGAGCAAATTTATCTAAACCTATTATCAGTTCTGAATAAATTTAAGGAGATGTCTTCGCAGCTAGTTTATTATTGATTTGTGGAATGATTTTAATCCAAAGCATTTTTTTGACCATTTTAATGGTTTTGTTGGTTATTTTAATTATTTTGTTAATTGTTTTGATTATTTTATTAATTATTTTGATTTTATTAATTCTATTTTTTTTCTTACATTTATTGTTAGTTAGCCATTACTTTGTTTGATACATTTTAAAATACCATCTCAGAAGAATAAATTTCTTAAGCAATATGAACAAGAGATTATGAAGGCACTGGAGTCATGATAGATTATTTACTCTAAAAAATATTGCTCTAAGTTTATTAATTACTAAAATTAAAATCTAACAACTAGATATCGCTATTCTAACGTTAGTTTTATTTCTTGACTTGCTAAGGATATTCATATTCTTAACTCTTATTCTCAAATTAAAAATTTTTATTTCTATTTTTTTTGAAAGAATAGTTTGGAGATAAAAATGCATCAGATTGTTAAAAACCTTGATTAATTTAAAAGTTAAGTGGCGGAGCATTCTTATTTTCTTTTGGTTGGATATAGTCATCTTAGAGTATAGAGGTAATTGACTTCACTCCATTGTTAATAGATTTTTCTTAAAATACTTAGTTTTAACTTTCCATAATTGGTCTTGATGAGTTAAAGTCATCTCTATTTGTATTAAATGCAGATTATGATTATTAGAAACTAACATGTGTTTGACCATTAATCTTTATTATTTATATATTAGGCTTATGAACACTTTTTCTAATTCCTATAATTGTGGGTGCTTTCTTTTTTACTCTAAAAGTCTAAAAATCTTCCTATTAAACTTCAGAATTTTCTGAACTCTCACTCGAGCTTTCATTTTCATTTTATAAAGTAGCATTTTGTTTTTCTATTTACTAGTTAGATATTGGTTTAGGATTTGAAGAGATGTATTAATCATCAAATTATTTGCTTGCAGTAATTCCATTTTCTATGCATTAAAATTAATTAGCTTTTTATTCATCATTTTAATTGATATTTTCTATCTTTGTGGCTAAACTGTAATTAAGTTTTGTGGGAATAGCATGAACTTAAGATGAATTTTTCTTTGAACATAAATTGAAAATACTTAAAAAGCATCTTCTGAAAATCATATCAATTGTATCAAGTTGATTTTTTTTCTTATAATATTCCTTTTCATTAATTCTCAGATATTTCATGAATTGGCTAATAAAAATAGCAATAAATAATCTCACAAAGAGCACCCAACCAATCAGCATGCATATTAAATAATAAATCACACTTTGATATCCGACAAATCTCATAAAATTATACATTGAAATATGCCATTCTTCATTATAAAAAATAAGTACAACAGCTAGTAAGCTATCCTGAAGTGTATTAAAATTAACTCTTAATACATGGTGATCGCTAATTTAAATAAAATTTATTTACATCATAAAACATGAAAATTCATTAAATTAATAATTTACTCATGAGGCTACGAGTAAGCAAATAATTCTCTTCCTATTTGTGCAAAAAGAATGACTAATATGCAAAAAACAATAATATATTCAGGTATTGAATTTAAGGTCTACTGGTAAGTTTTTAAAATGACAGTCATATTTTAGAATAATTCATAGTGGAAAAAGATCTTAAAGATTCTAAAGACTTTTGTGCATCTTATAAGTATGAACATTTACAAAGTAGGGTTAAATATATCATAGCCGTTAACTCCTTCATAAATATAAGATGTCAAATGAGCTAAAAATACCAAACAGTCTACGCAGTTAAAAACATCTTTAAAGAATTTTTAAAAACCAATAAAAACAATCATGTAAATTATTTCACAAAATAGAATAATAATTGTAGCAAAATCTATCTTATTTAGAATTATATAAGCTTTCTAAGATATCCAGTGACTATTTAATTTTTAAATAAATTAATATTTAAAGTACTAAATAAACACAATAAAAAGTAAGTATGATTTAATTTAAATAATTTTTAATTTATTCACTAGCAATTTAATAAATTTCACAAATTCATTTTTTATTTTTTCAAAAGTTTTTATTATAATTAAATGCATTTATTTATTTATTTAAATTTATTTATTCATCAAAAAAGAAAAGTTGTTATTATCTTTAATAAATGAAACAAGAAAATTACTTATCTAAACAGAGATTAGCAATCTAAAGGAGCAGATTTAAAAAAAATATAGCTTTAATAATAGGAGAGGCTGCCATGACTTCTTTGAAATCGTTTCGATCTGACTTCACTGAAATATTTGACTTTTTATTAAGTGAGCCATCAGATTTGTTATGCTCTCCTTAGTAAATTAAACTTAATTATTTATTTTGTTTATAATTGGAGGGATTCTTAGAATTGGATAAACCTACATGAAAATTGTCTTGCTTATCGGAATTTATATCATTAACCATTATATTTTATGCATTATTTATGATTTCTTTTTTTATTTTTAAATCACTTAAATTATGTGCGTTTTCCTCACTCTCAAAGTTGATCACAGCATTTTTCTTTTAAAATTGCTAACCACTATCTTGATGAATATAATTGAGATTGCTATCTTTATCGCTGCCCGAAAATTGCTTTCCAACTTTTTTCTTTTAAATTTTATCATTTTTGATTGATGTTTCATCTATAAAACCTTCATATAATGTAGCCAAGATAATGTTTGAAATAATTTAAGATCTTTTATAAAAGAAAATAATTAAAAAAATTCTAACCAAAATTATTATTTTTTACAAGAAAAGTACCAAAGAAACAAAATATATTGCTGAAACAGCTTTATCCTATGCTCTCCAATACTATATTTTAAATTTATAAATTAATTAATAAAGAATAAAATTAAAATAAATTTTAAATTATTTAAATTCCTTTTTTAAATCATTCTAAATTTTTAACTAATTCTAAATTTTTAAAGTAAATTTAAATGCTTAAAAATATTATTTTCATTGAACTAATTTTTAAGAATTTATTTTATTTAATTGTTGATTAAATCACGTTATTATGCTATAAATTAAGAAGATGCTTGCTTACCATATATGTTGTTTGAACCCATCCAGTTACCATCAAAAAATTGTAAACAGCAAAGAGAGCCCATTCTATACTATTAAAAAGGTTATACCCAAATAATAAAGTTTCATGCTTTGCTTCAGTTTTATTAAATGGTAAACCAAAATCAGCTGGATTACCGCAAAAAGTATTTTTAGGACACTCAAGAACTCCACATGGATATTAATTGGATTCATCAACTTCCCAAATATCTGAATTATGTTCAGGATGTTCGGTTAATCTGCATCTGCTTTCTACATGACCTTAAAAAAAGCTCATCCCTACTACAGCATAAAGCAAAATTACACAGATTAGAGGAAAAAATGTTTTTCCTAAATGTTAAAAACTACTGAAAAAGGCATTAACTTTCTTAGTTAACTCAGGAAACAGTCTGAAAAATGTAAGAATTCTTAAAAATTTGATGATGCTGAATACAGTAGTAGTCACACTAAATCTTGATATCCAGCTAATTAATAAATTAATTAAAAAAACAGTAAATTTTTTTTTTCTTTGTTTCTCACCACCACTATTACTTAGCTTAGTAAGTGAGATATTAATAATTTATTTACCCAGAAAACAAAATAAGAATAAGTACAATATTCCATAACTATCTTAAGAGAGCGCTTTTACCTTAAACAAGGCCGAGTGCTATAATCCCCAAAAGAATTTCCAAAGAAAAAAAAGAATTGCATATAAATTAAATAAAATCACTGACTTCATTAATTTTTAAATCGTACATATTTGCACCAGTGTTTCTAAATGAGTAGTCAAACATAAGATAAGCAACTATTTCAGCAATAGTAGCAGCAATCAAAAGTAATCTCATAATCCTTTAAATAAATTAATAGAAAATTTAATTTATTTATAAAGTTTGGTTATATTATTATTAATGGATTGAAAATTATATTTTATAAATAAATAAATAACTCAATCAATCATTTATTAAAATAATTTATTTAAAAATTCATTACAGTGAGTGATAAAAATTGAATATTTTTTATCTGAATTTAGACTTTTTGTCAAATAATCCCAAACTCTTATCTGTGACCTACATATATTTAAAATGTATGAATTTAACTCATATCCTGTAAATCAGTTTATATGTTATTTTATTACTTCTTAGAATAATTGATCTACTTCGCTTTACCTTTATGAGAACAAGTATTTCAAGCGATCCTAAGTCAATATATAATAAGAACAATTAGTTATTTTTATAGCTTTTATAAAATAAAGCATTTATACAATTGTGGAAGTGTCATCTACTTTACTTTCTGAATCATCTTTATTAGAGCCGCCGCTGTTATTTTATTTATTAACAGCATCATCGCTTTCTACAAAATTTAAAGGATTTTCTTTGGGATAGTGTTCTTTTGATTCAGTTGTTATATTACTATTATGTTTGTTTTAGACTATTTAGAGGTTATTGTTTGCATAACTATGAGGCTAATGTATTTCTAAAGGAGGCTTATCCTTTTATAAATAAATCAAATTTACAAAATTTAAAGATTGATTATGCAGATTAATATGTTTTTTACATCCTCTATTTTAGTTGGAACCTAAAATCTCACAGTATAATTAGCTTCAATTTTTTACTGTCTTACCATATAAATATATGTTATGCTTTTTAACAAATACGTGCTTGTAAAATTAGGAGATCAATTGAACAGCTATAAATATATAAAAAGAATCTCCTTCTTGTTTTAAATTATTGTTTAATCAAACAAACTTTCGATTTCTAATAATTAATTAATTATTCACAGGCAAATAAATACAAAAAATATTACTTAATTTGCGTACTTACTCATTCTTAGAAATTAAGTTTTAATATCACAAAATTAATTTGCATATAGATTTCGATTAATATTTTTTTGTCATAATATATATATATTAAATTTGTTACCATTTCTTTTAGTTATTATGAGATTGAATTATCTATATTAAATGTGATTTTTTATTAATTTTCATACCAATAATCAATATAAATTTACAAATATTTTATAATGAATTCAATTAAATGAGGCAATTTAAATACCTTTATTTATTTTTCAATATTTAAATAAATGCTACTATTTATAGTTTCATTAATAGGTTTAATTGGTTTAGCATTTTAAAGAACGAACTAGTAGGTCTTTCTCTAAATTAATTAAATCATCCATCCATACTCAATTTTATGATATTTATTCTTTTTGATATTAATTATTAAATCTGTCTATCAGTTATGGTAATTATTCTAACCATAAGTCTTAGTATATTTAGAATTAAAATCCATAATAAGCATTCAATCATCGAAGCTAAATATTTGATTGATAATTTCTTTGGTAATTTAATCAAAGGATGAGTCGTATTATTTATTAATAAAAAAAGATAAATAATTTATAGACCATAATAAGAATAATATAAATTATTGTGCCGTTAAAGCAAATCTAAAATAAACCTGAATTAAAAGAATCTATTACTGAATACTTTTTACTTATTTTTCAAATACCTTTTCCTTCTTCCTATAATAAATTCTTCAACTAAATTGATAAAGAAAAATTTTAAAACGTAGGTAAATGCATTTACATTTAATATGATTATTAATGCACTTAAAAAATATCAATCTTAAAATATTAAAAAAATAATTAAATATTTAAAATAAATAAATATTTTTAAATTAATTTGTTAACCATTTTTATTACATAAAATTAAGTTTAATTAATTAAATTTAAAATAGAGATTAAATTAAACAAACATTTATCTTAAAAATAAAAAATAAAAAAGTTAACAAAAAACATTTTTATGGATTAAAAATAATTATTTTTATAGATTTTTGATAATTGTAATTAATAATTCTAAAATTAATAAAATACAAAATAGCATTTACAATTTCTTATCACAATTTTAGCAATTATTTAATTATTTTACATCAAATTATTTAAATTAATATAAACTTAAAATATTTTTAAACAATTATTATTTTTATTAAATTGCTAAATTATTATTATAGAATCTTAAAAAATTTTAACTAAAATAACATATATAATATTATGATAATTCATCTTATTTTTCTAAAGTATTTACTTAATTGATTGATAAATTTAACTAATTTTTGACTTAATTAAATTGGTATCTATCTTTAAAGATAATATTGATAAAATTCTTTTTACATTTTCACACTTAGTCGTTCAATCAATATTTAAAATGTTTAGTATAGATATTAGAGATAAAGAAACTATTGATAAACTCAAATTGAGTATTCCTTAAGATGAAATATAAGGCGGAGTTGAGATTATTGTCAGTAATCAGATATCTGAGGCTGATAAGAATAATATTATTGATAGCTTTTCTGAAGAAAAATTAAAAGAATTGTTAGAGAAAGCATAGACAATCAAGATAGAACTTTTCAAAGAAGATTCTGATTAGTTAGAGAATTTAATGAGCTATTTCTTGGAACATTTAAAGATAAATAAACTTTAGATTGTTTCTAGAGAATCAGACATAAAAATTAGCACATTAACTTATTGCTTGCAAATCATTTAGAAAACTAAGGATTAGCTTTAAAGTTTAAGCATTGATTTTTCTAAGTCTAATTCAAATGTTGAAATCCTACATAAAATTGGAGATAATTTGTAAGGTTTAAGCGAGCTTACTCATTTTTATTTTAATTTTTCAAGCAACCCTATTGGTAAAGCAAAAGAATTAGGTAAATTTGGAAAATAATTGGAATAGAATAGTAAAATAAACAAGCTTATAGAGCTCTCTATAAATATGTCAAACATGCATATGGGGCATGCTAATGTTCATAGTTACACAGAATTTATAATGAAAAATGGTTAGACTTTGAAAAAATTAGATTTAAATCTGGAGAATTGTTCTATTGAAAAGAAAGGAACTGAATCTATCAAAAAGATGATTCAAAATGTTTGCTAAGTGCAAGAATTCAAACTAAATATATCAAATAATGGTTTAATGGACTTATTTATTAAAGACATGTTAAGAGCTTTCACCCTGAAAAATGATTATTAAATTTAAAGGATTGAGATATTATTATCTGGAAATTATCTATCTCATGAAGTTTGTGAGTTCATTCACTCAACTTTTGTGCACAATTCTTTAAGCAGCATGACATATCTACATTTAAACCTTTCAAAGAATAAAATAAATAACAAAGCCTTAGAATATCTTAGTAAGATTTTGGAAGATTCTAATAACTTAAAGCAATTTAAATTAGATGTGAGCAACTCAAGAGAAAAAATAGAAGGTATAAATAGGATTGTTGAAAGTTTAAACAAAGCTAAAAATGTTTAAGATATTTAAATAGGCATAAGAGGGCTTGGTATATAAAGAACTGATATTTAAAATTTTATTCAATAAATTGAAAATGTAAAGTATCTCCAATTATCAAGATTTATTCTAGATATTGATGATTCACTTCTTTAAAACTCAGACAGCCCATTCTCTATTGTTAAAAAAGATCTAATCTTTATAAATTAATCTTTCATTTGATTTTTATTTATATTCTTTAAACACAATAAAGACTTCAAATTTAACAAAAAACTAACTATGCATATTATAAAATCTTTATTCTTTAAAACAGAATTATGAATGTAAAAAACAAAAAATTTTCAAATTTTATTTTATTAATTTAATATAAAAAATAAGAATTTGCAAATTGTTTTATTTTTGAAGTTTTGCAATAAATATAAAACTTTAGATTTGCTTAAATGGATAGAGAGAAGAGACAATTTCTTAAAAAATAAGAAAAATAAAAAATATTTAAAAACAAGCTCTCTTTTTTATTTAAAACAACTTGTTTCATACTTTTAATAAGTTTGTTTGTACCTTTTTGTATTCTTCATTCCTTCAAATTTAATTTAAATATCAAATTTATCAAATTGAGTCTTTAAATGAAATTGATGAAATCAAATAAATAAGGAAAATATTTAAAATTTACATTCATTATTTTCTATATAGTTTAAATCTAAGTGATTAAAAGAAATTAATCCTACTAATTTTTCTTATTTTAATTCAAATAAAATAAAGTCCAGTAAATAGCTTGAATAAACTAAATATAGTATAAATATAAATGTAATAGAAATCTTCTTGTTAAAATTATTTATTTGTATTACTTATTTTATTTGAAAATGACGAAATATGCTTTGAGTCGTATTGAAAAAGTTAAAAAGTTGATTGTATTTTTGTATGTGCAGCAAATATTTGTTTTTAATCAAAATATTTGTGGCAGTGTAATAATAATACAGCCTTAAAATTATACTAGCTAAGAATCACAATCTAACAAATGGATAAAAATTAATTAGATGTAAACAAAAAAGTCAATAATTGAAAAGCAAATTTTAGATTACAAAAATTTTAATATAAAGAAATGTATCTTTTAAAGTAACACAACCATAATCTATCTAGATTTTAAAAGAAATATTTATGTTTGGTTTATTTTAGATTTCTTTGAAACTTTATTCTTGAGTAAAAATTGTTTATAACTTACTTTATATTTACTTAATTATTATTATTAAATAACTCACAAGATATTTAATTTATGAAAAATTAATCTTTTTTAATAAAAAATGCTCTTCAAATAGTCTTACTGTAAAGAGTTTTTGTTATTTCATTAACTTTCTCAAAAATGGTATTAAAAAAATTTATTATTTAACTTTTATAATTTGAAACAAATTTTAAAAAGATTATTCTTTAAATAATACTTTTTCTTAAAAATATGTTTAATTTAATAGATTTATTATATTAAAAATTTTCTCCATATTTTAACATAAAAATACTTTTTGGAATGTTTTAGAAGTTAAACAAATAAATAAATAAATAGGCATAATCTATAAGATTTTCGTAAAAGAAAATTTGAAAAAGTGTAATAATAGTTAGGGATAATTATTGAAGTAATTAATGTTAAGGCAATCATAATTTTTTTTCACTTTTTATATTAAAAATATTAAGGAGTAATAATCAAAATATTGAAAAGATGTTTTTATTAAATTCAATACAGTATTTAGCTAGAAAGAAAGAAAGTGATTGATTATGCGTTGGGTTTTATGTAAAAAATATTCAGCGGTTTTAAATATTTGAACAGCTTAAATAAATTCAATTTCTATTATTTGAATTATAGTAGATGATTTTCTAATGTAGTCATTCTTTTATTTGTCTGTCTGTCTGTTTGTTAGTATTTTTTTCTTTTCTATTCTTTATAAATAACTCTGTGAATTAATAATTTTCAAGATTTTAAAATAGATAAGATTGGATGATAATATTAGAAATTAATTTTTCTTATAAAAATAACTTATCATAAGAAAAAAGTATTTGGAATTAGCGAATAGAGCTAAATTTATTACAGTATTAAACATCTTACAAATATAGTAAAATTATATTAAGAATTTTAAAAAAAGTTTGTTTTTTATGTGCTTTGGTTTACATAAATTAATCAGCAAGCAATAGACTCTTTTTCTGTAAATATTCGGAAAAGGATAATTATATAAATCCCTAAAAAGTAGAAGTAGACCAGCTTAAATTAATTACTATATATAACCTATAAAATATTGATATCTGTAAGGCAATTTAATTTTTTATCATTCACAGAGACAAGGCTCTTTCAGAGTATTTCTGATTAGCAAAATTGAATTAATCAAATCAAATACTATTAAGATTATATGCATACATATGTATGAAAATTATCAAATAAATAGAATAGAGACAAACATATAATAATAGACTTATACCTTTTTGCCTTTGATTAAACTCTGATTATCAATTCAAAAAATTGTAATAAGACAGATACACATTTCGATAGCAATAGAGAAAATGTAAACTCATAAAATAAAACTTTACCAAGCTATCTTTAAGCAGAGTAAAGTATTTTTATAACAATAAAATAATATCATTGTGAGAATATCTAATATAAAATATTATCAAACACAGAGAAAAATTAAATAAATAAAGTTATGTATGTATTTATATATGTAATAAAGGAGAGATTCTAAGTATAATGTTTTGAAAAAGTAAAATTCTATCTGTGATAGATGGATAAAAGATAAATAAATAGTAAGTCTTCTAGGATCTATAAAAAGTAAACATATTTTTTTATTAAAAATTGAGAAAATTGTGCGCAAGATAATTTATAATAATTAAAGAAAATAAATTAAAGGTAATAGTCAAATAAATAGGCAAATAGCAAATAAACAAAGAAAGTAATAAACAGATAACTCAGTGCTTGATTTCCAATCAAAAGCTCAAAAAACAAAAAAATAAATACAAAAACAAAACAAAAAATTGAAAAATTAATCATTTAATCAATAATAAATAAGTAATAACAACTAATTATTATCAGATTCATTCGCAAAATAAAAGAAAAAACTACAACGATATATAAATAAGCAAGCGTTCATATAAAAAATTAATCAAATCAATAAAACAAAAACAAATAAAAAACATTGCAAAGAAGATAGCAAAGAATTTCAAGACAATTGCTAATTTAATACAATTTTCAAATGTCGATATTATCAACAGCTGCTCAAATTGCTAATAATTAAAGTTAGTACAGATAGTCAGTATTTAGGATTGAAGCTTCTGGAGCTGACCCTTCAGCAGTAAGAAGCAATATTGCCAAGCCAACACTTATCAATAAGGTAATATTTTTTTATAATTTAAAAAGCACACTCTATTTATTTACATGTTGTTTGTTACTCTATCTGAAAGATCAGAAAAGAGAAAAAAATTTACGCTACTGATAAGTTAATTTTTAACAAAGCACCAAGCTAATTTAGAAATGTTGAATTGAAATAAAACATTTTTTAAGTTATAAAATAATGTTTGCCTTTTTAAATTAATATTCTTAATTTTTAATAGAGAAAGAAAGTTTTTGACTCCGCTGACTACTTCTATTAATAATGCATTTAGAATGAAAAAGAATAAAGAAGAAAAGACCAAGAAGAAAAAATGGCATAGCAAAGCAGGGAGTTTTTCATGCAGGCTTGCGAAGCAATGAAAGAGAAGTATGGAGAATCTAATTTTAAGAGAAAACTTTCTATGATTTAAAAAGAGGTAATTTTTTTATATTCATTTTTAGTATTATCTTAATAGCAAATTTCTGATAACAATTTATTGCTAAGTATATTAACCTATCTATCAGCAACGCTCAACCAATTAATTAATTCACTTTTTCTATATTAAGTGATTTGTTATTAGCATAATATCTTAAAAGAAAAACAAACAATTTTACAAGAAAATGAAATTAAAACTATAAATTTTTTTTAAACTAATCATTTACTATGAAATAACTAAGCTAATATTCTTTAAATGAAGTAAGATTGTTGATATAAAAGTTGATAAGAATATAAAAAATTATTATTCATACAAATCTTCTTTCTTTTCCCCACAATTCATTCAATCCACAATCAACCAAATTCAATTATCAAATTTATTAGCCTTATGAAGAAAAATCCAATATTATGCTTATCTTTTAAATCCCTATCCATTCATTCATACATACATAAATACTTATCAATATTAAATTATAAGAATAATAGAATAATATATTACTTACTATACCCATTAAAAAACAATATACTCTGTTTTTTTAAAAAAAAACTAAAGGCATAAAGGCAGGCTATTTATTTTTATGATAATCAAAAAAATTTTAATGATGAACTTGAATAATAATAAACAAACATTTTATATAATAGCCAATAGATACTGAGCTGTATAGTAATTATTTATTCTTTTGCCAGAATTTATTAAAGCTATTATAACTTTTAAAAAAATTTCACCTGATTTCATTCTTTTAATTAAAAATAATTCTGGCTATAATATAATTCAAATTTTTTGCATAGTTTGTTTCAAAATTAACATAAAAATTAATTTAATCAAAACAACGAACTACTTCTTTAACAAAATGAAACTAATTGATAAATAAATCTAATTTTTGGTTTTTAAAGACAAAAATCATTATGTGAAGCACAACTTAAAACTAAATTTATTTTCTTTTTCATACTTTTCCAAATTTAGAATAATTTTAAATGGCTAAAGGGCTTGCTTGATAATATAAAATAATATCTGAATTAATTACAAATGCTTATTTTTATTTTTAATATATAGAAGAAGAAATTTGATTCTGCAGATTATTTCATGTAAAAAGAATCTAACTGTGGGGATGAGTAAGAGTATCAATCTGAAGAATAGCAAATATTGAGCGAAGCTGATAAAGCTATGCAAAAATAAGCAGATTTTGGTGACAAGCACTTTATCTGCTGTGCTAAAAGAAAACCACTTATTCCAAAGCTGAGAAAGAATTTTGATAGTGCAGATTACTTTATGGATATAGCAAAAGAAAGTGGTTCTTCCCATCCAATATCTTAAGAAGAATGGGAGTAGATGCTGGAGCGCTAGATAGAAAAAGTTGAATAAGAGTATAACTAGTTTTATTAAACTTTGAGTAGCTGCTCTGAGATAAGTGAGTCAGGCTCAAATGCAAACCATAATAATTAATCTGAACAAGCTCAAAATCCATTTTAAAATGATATTGCTGCCCCCTAAAATTTCAATTTAAATTAATTTGCTTAAAATTCTTAAGGCTCTTAAGAATTAGTAGGTACTAAGTAGCAATAGCCAAAAGTAAAAAGCATGCCTGATATAAGCATGGAAACTGAAAAAATAGTGAACATTCAATCTGACAGAATGGAAGCTAAGTACATTCTCCATAAAAAGAGATTACCTTTAATCAATAAGAAACATCTTACCTAATTTGATTCAGCTGATTACTTTATGCAGTAATAGTAATAGTAAGAAACTTAATAATTACAACAATAAAATGATTAAAAGCTTTACAAAAAATCTGGCTCTCTTGATGATATAGTCAATGAAAAAGTTGAGCAAATTATATAAGCATAGGCTGATATATGTGAAAGACATTATATCCTGAAAAAAAAAGACATTATTGTTAAAATGAAATAAAATACTAAAAAGAATAAATTTGACTCTGCAGACTACTTCATGGAAAAGGCAGCAGCTTCTAGTGATCATTCAATATCTGATGATTGATTGATTTATTTTATCTCATTAAAGGAAGAGCCACTAATTTGAATGTCAATAATAAATAGTTTTTACCTCTAACATAACTTATAACTTTTAAAAACTATCTCTCTATCTATCTATCAATCAATCTATCAATCTATCTATTTACTGAAGGCTCTTTAAAAATCTCAATTATACCCAATAGAAAACAATTAATTAAAAAATATATAAATAAAAGCTTTAATTAACACTATCCACTCAACCTATATAAAAATTTAACAAAATAAAAAAAAATTAAGTATCCACTAATGACTTAGAAAAACTCAATAAAATTTAAAATATTAACTAATTATATAACTTATTATTTCAATCTAATTTTTGTTGTAAAAATCTACACACATATACTTATACTTACATAAATTCATACACCATACATATGTAGAAATTGTTAACTTTTCATTGATTTAATATTAGTTATTTGATTTAGTTTAATTATTAAATAATTAATTACTTTTTTATTTATTTATTTTAATAAAGCAATTAAAATAATATGTAAATTGTCATATAAAAGCTCATAAAAATTATTTTTTATTAAAAATATTAATCTAATTAAAAAAAAAATTTATATCAAAAAACCATTTTTGAAGAAAGAAACTAAATTTGGAAGATAAATGGAATATTAATTAAAATATTTATGTACATAAATAAAGGCTTTGGATATATTAGTATAGATTCTACTTTATAGAAATCTAGATTTATAGCAGTGTTATTTATTTATTTATTATTATTCTATTTAATAAATTGTGTTAAATTTTATAATTAATAATAATTTTTACCACAAATCTTGTAGAAATAAAGCATCAAAGTAGGAGTAATATAAAATAAGCATTATTTGTTGTCTTTAATAGAAATTGAGTAAATATGCATAGATATAAAATAAATATGACACTGGGATACCACTAATATGGAAGTTATTATCGAGCAGAGAGCTTAGAAAATGGTGAAATGCATTTAATAGAAGAGCATAATAAGAAATGCAGTACTTGGGAAGAATGCATCTCTATTAGATAGGTGAAAGTTCTTAGAGTGCTGAATCACCCAAATATCATCAAAATAAAAGAGATTATTAGATAGGATAAATAATTATTCTTAGTATTCGAATACTTTGAAACAAACCTTAGCCAGTATTATTAAAGTTTTGCAGATAGCCGCAAAAAAATTAGTGAAGAATAAATAAAAAAAATAATTTACTAAATTGCTTTAGCTTTAAATTAATGTCACCTAAACGGAATAATGCATAGAGATCTCTCTCCTGAGAATATATATGTCACAAAACAAAATAGGATTAAAGTAGGATAATTTTCTAATGCAGAATTTCAAAATAAACACAATAACACAGCATATGTCACTAGCAGATACTACGAGTCTCCAGAATCTATCCTAAAATAATAGTAGAATACAAAGATAGATATTTGGGCACTAGGCTGTATAATGGGTGAGCTTTAGTAAATAAATAGTCTTTTTCTATTTTAAATGAATATAATCATGCAAATATTGATAATCTACTTGATATAATTATTATTCTAAAAAAAAAAAGAAAGAATATGATTGAATTTGTTTTTTTAAAAGCATTATAATATGATTATTTTTGTTTATTTCAAAAATAAATTTATTTCTATTGAAATATTTTTAACAAAAATAGTTGCTTGAATCCATTATTCGCAGGTAACTCCGAAATAGATTAACTTATGCAAATACTTAAAATTATTGGCATTCCAAATCACAAAGAGTATCCTGAGTTTCATACTCTGTGCTAGTAGAAGTAAATTAAGATTTTACCTTCTCATGAAAGCATGAAATTACCTTCTATTATTCCACAAGCATCTTCTGAAGCTATTGATTTATTGTAATTATTATTCATAATATTTATCTGTTAATTTAATAAAAAATATATTCCAATCAGAATAATTGCATCAAGGAATACTTATTTTGATAAGTAATCAGATAATTAATTGGTTATAAATTATTTCATTTGATTAAATTAGCATATATATATTTCTTTAAAGAATAAGTTAGCTAAAAAAATATTTGATAATTGTTTTGTATAATTAATAAACAAGAAACAAATAATAAAATGATAACAAAAATTATGGTTTTTTATTATAAAATAGGTTTAAAATGCTGAATATAAACCCTTCTAAAAGAATCAGTATTTAAGCTGTACTTTAGCATCCCTTTTTTTCAGAAATTAATCAGAAAAAATTAGATTAGAGTCTTTAAAAATAATAATAATATCTTTAAAATTAGTCAGATAATAAGAGTCGAAATAGCTTCTCTTCTTAAAGTAAAAAATAAAGTTCCAGAATTTAACTTCCTTATAATTCCTAAACGAATACAGATGATAATTTTAACATAGAATAACAACAAAAAACAAAATCTTAATAATCATCAACATCAAACTCATTTTCTTTGATACCTGCAGTTTCAGCTCCATAAAAAACATAAGAATCTTCTTAATCTTCATTATAAAATGAACAAGATTCTCCTACTAATAATCATGGAAAAAGATTAAGTAAATTTGGAATGCTAAGTTTACCCAAACTTTCTGATTTGGTTCCAATATCATCATTTTCTTAATATTCTCAGAAATCAAGAAATTCTCACGAAAACATAAAAAATTCATAATAATCATAGTCTGACTGCTAATCAGATGATTCCAACGAGAATAATGATAAATTTATTAAAGATTTTGAAGATATTAAATTAGCTAAATGATTTAATTTAAATTAATGATTTATTTATAATTTATAAAGTTTACTTTTTAAAATAAATTTCTTAATATAATTTCTAAAAAAATTAATTATTTCCTTTTAATTTCTAATTCAACACTAACTAAAATGAAATTTTTTTATTATAAATAGATTACATTTTTTTTAAAAAATTTGATTTATGCTTTTAATTTATTTTTAATTAATTCAATTTAAGCAGCTTTTTATTTCTAATTTTCTAAGTTTTCTTTCTGACTAATTTATTTTCTTATTTGCTTATTTATTTATTTATTTATTTCTTGTTTTTCCTTTTTCAAAATTTAATTTTATTAATAATAGGTGCATTATTTTTTTGATAATATTATTTTAACCTTTTTGGTTTTTTGATATGAAGAAGCAGCTTTTAAAGATAATAAACAAATTGTTTGTAATTCATACCAAATTTGGAGATGAATCATAATATATTGACTTTTAAACTCCTGTAGTTATAAATTGTAAGTAATTATTTCTACGTGGTGGAGGTGAAGTACTTTATTGATCATTCTTTTTTGATTATCTTTCTCCCCAACTAGCAATTAAATTGTAATTTCCTTAAATATTTAGAAATAAAATAAATTAAAAATCTTAATATTAATTTTTGAGTACCAGGTCCAGGACGAGGAAGAAGTTTGACTTTAGATTTACTAAATTTTGGTTCTACTTCTCTTACTGATACTCCAAATCCATAATGCACAAATTTCTCTCCTTTCTTTTGTAATGGACTATAGCTTTTTTTATTTTTTTTATTTTTTCCTAATTTTTGATCCTCCTACTCTTATAACTTAGCAAATGTTTTATAAGCAAGAGGATGATGGTTATATGTTCCGACTCCTGGTGGATTTCTCGGTACTCTGATTGGTGATGGCTGTTTATGTTTTTCTTTCCAGTAGACTAAATCTCTTTTGTCAACATGGATTTTTTTAATTTCTGCTCTAGGATAATATCTAAAATATATTAATTAAATCATTTAAAGAATATAAATAAATAAATCATGATTAAAATAGTTTTTTAATTATTTTGAGCTTATTTAAAATAGCAAATCTATTTATTTTAAGAATATTAAAAACTCACTATCCTGGTCCAGGTGAAGTAGTCCCTTCGTAGTAAAATTAGTTAATGAAGCAAGGCTTTTATTTCTTTGATTATTCCTCATGAATAAGCTCCAGAGTTTTTTTCTGGTGTTTATTTAGTTTGTTATCAAATTCACTTTTTTCACTTTTATATGCACCACAACCTGGTGTTGGACTTAAACTTTATCTTCTTTCTATTAAATCTAAGAAATTCTATCTATCTTATTTATAAAGAATCTAATTTGGTTTTGGAATGCCTAGCTTTTCTCTTTCTCTATCAGAGAGAATCCACTTTTTAGGTGCTGTATACTGCTGAGGACTAGGAGATTTGCCTAATTATTTTATCTATTCATCTAAGTAAAAACCTCTCTCAGTAGGCTATTTTTCAGCACTTTTAGGCTTAGCTTAGAATTTCTATTTATATGGAACAAAAACCTTATCATTCGAAATGTATTTTCTTGGCACTTTATACCCACCTATTCCAAAAACTTCTTTTTTTTCAACTTGTATCTCATACATCCTCTAAATTTCAATGTCTTGTTTTTTCAAATATAAAATTTTAATTCATTCTTAAAATATTTATTGCAAAGAAACATTTTTTAAACATAAAAATTCAATTAAGCTTTAGTTTCTTTCAACATATCTTTTACTCTTATTTTCTATTCTAAATAATTATAGATAGAAATACATTTTGAGATATATTTACCTAAACATATAATAAGTCATTTTTTTAAAATTCTACTCAATATTAAAGTAGAGATTCAATATCATATTTTTTTGAATAGTTGATAAAAAGCTATAAACAAAAGTAGTAATTAAAATCATCAAATATGTTTTACTTCCATCTTAAGGAGAGAGACTTCTTGATTGTCTAATCATTTATTATTTATGAGAACTTACTTAAAAACCAAGTTATACAAATTTATTTATTTATTTAAATGGAAAGTAAGATTTTTTAGTTTTCTTCTACTTTAAATAGTAATTTTTGAATGGAATTAATTTTAATATAAATCTTTTTTATTCTTGTAAGCTATGTTTAAAATTAATTGGTAATATCCTAATGATTTTTAAAAATCTAAAATAATTTTTTATATTTTCTCATTATGAAATATTTTTTTTTATTTTGAGAATCACACAAATAAAATATTATTAACTAATAAATAAATAAATATTTTTCAATTAAAAAATTGATTTTGTGAATTTTTTATTATGTTTAATTTTAAGTACAAAAATTATTTAATATAGACAGGCAAAATACACGACTACTACTAGATAATAATAGTAATAAAACACATTATATATTAATAAAATTTAAATATGATTTTATTAAATTATAAACAGGGTATTTGATAGAGTCATCAAAACTGTTTGATTGTGAATTTTTAATGACACTTTTTTTGAAATTTTATGATTTTGATGATAGATATTATCAATAACTAGTTTTATCTATTAATTTTACACTTTTGACAAGAGCATGTCTTTAATTATAAAAATCCAATAATAATCCCTGATTATATATCATATTTTCTTATTAAATACATTCTACATTCTTTATAAAAAAAATTCAGGAAATTTTTGGAAAAAAACATGCATGGCTCAATCAAAATTAGATCTAGCTTCTTTACATTTTTTACTTAATTGCCTTAGCTTGGTTAAACTCGATATTATAGAAATGCTTTGGGGTTTAATCTCTATCATATTATTTGTTAGATGTTTCAATCGATTTAGTTTGAACTCTTTACTATGGACTGTAATCATATTATCTTGGAGTATTGTTCTTAGAGTTTTCTTGGGTAAATGTTTAATATTAAATGCAATTATAGTCATTATTGTTATATGATTGACTATTTTACCTAGTTCTATAAGGAGAGTTTCTTAAGCTATTCTAAGCAGCTAAAGTTGTGTTTTCTACTGTATTAAATCTTTAATTATTACTGTTATTAGGATTGTTAATACTATTTCTTCTATCTATTTAAGGCTGTATCTAGAAGGGAATCTGACTCTACTATGGTTTTACTATATTATTATATGGATTTTATATTTTTTAGCTTTGGTTTAATTAATTTTCTTTTTAATTATTCTATTATTAGTTTTCAGTAATGATTAAATCGTTTAAATTTGTGGAGTTTTCGGTCAGCAAATTTGTACTTAAACTTTATGTTCTTCTATTTATCTTCTTTCGATCGTCTAATATGATATTGTTATTTTACTTTTCTTTAAGTTTCATTTCTTGTTTCCACAATTATTCTTATTTTTAACTCTGCCAGAATTCTTAGTTTCCTTAAAAATTATATCTGTCTGAAGTATTAGTCTTTAGCCTTTCCCTACTTGGATCTTTATTAAGCTCTTCTTAATTTTGATCCCTTACATCTGTCCAAAGTCTATCTCCTGCTCTTAAAACATCAGTCTAGGATGACCTTCTTTTTGAATTCGATCTCTATCTGTTTTAGTTGAATTTATAGTCTACATTATAATAGTTCTTTTTTATTTATTCAGGAGTTTTATCTTATGGAATGTTGTGTAATTCCATTTAATTTTTCTTTACATTAGTCTATTCGTTATTTTATGTTGAATATTCCTATTTAAGCAATTAGCCTTAGGAACTCTTACGACAATGAATAGAAGAAGTATTGTTTTGTGTTTATTAGCTAGTATTACCTTTATTTTTATTAGAAGGTTAGCTATTTTACTATACATCTTTATTATTTTATGACTTTTAAAAATGTTGCTACTATATGCTCAGTTTGTTATTGTTGCTATTTTTTTCTACAATAGTATTTTAAGTTAGTGGTGGCTTAGAAATTCGTTAGGAATCTTTTAAAATATTAGATTAATTATTTATAACACTCTTTTATTCTAAGAAATTGTTAATCTGAGGATTGATAACAGCATTGGGAGTCTCATAATTATTTAAAGTTGATACTGATTAAATGAATTTTGATTATGTAATTTTTTAAGGCAAGACAAATGATTCGTTACTATGAGAAATATCAGTTTAAAATATTACACTGCTCATATTATTATTGTAAGCATCTTCATACATTTATCTTATTTTAGATGGACTATATTTGATTGGTACTCCTTCTTCGGTTTTTAAGACTACTCGTGTTGAGTAATCATATTTCATTTTAATATCTGTTGACTTCCTACGAGAAATTGCAATCTCTCTTCCTGTAGTATCTGGTATTACACCTTTGTTAACAATCTTTTCATATGACTATAAATTATTTTAGTGCTTTTTCTGAATTTTATTTTCCCTAGCTCTTTCTTCAAGTTTTAAAGGATTTATTTGCTCTTACATCACAACACCTTTGAAGCAAGGGTTAAATCGAGGGGTTTCTTGTTATTCGGGATGAAGAACTCTCAGAGTATTCTATTTTGTATTAGCATCTCTTGAGAGAGATCGCTTTTTCTAATATTGCTCAGTTATAGGCGTTTTATCTATTAAATTTTACCAAGAACCTTGTGTACTTTGATTAACTTAAATTTCCTTATAAGATTTTAACTGTCCATTAATTTCTTAGAAGTATTTCTTCTATTCTTTGCCTATCCAGTCAAATCTATTCTCCTTTTCAGTAGCCCAAACTGAAAGGTTGCTGCCTTTAGGACTGCGCTAAGAGAGTTAAGGAGGCTAAGGCTGCATTTTTTATTCAAATCTGCTATTTTTGTGTTATCTATACTCATTTGCTTTCTCTGCTATGAAGTCAGCGTAAGATTAAGACGTTTAATGTCTGCTATTTTGTTAGTTCTCTTTTTATTAATTCTATAGCTAAACTTTATTCATACCATTTTAATTAAGTTAGCTCGAAACACTTTAATTATGTTATCCAACAACAGTGCTAGTCACACTCGATTTCCTTTAATGCTAGTTTTACATATTAATTTGCTTTTGTTAGTTTTAGATAACATGCAAAGCATAAATTCCATCATGCTAAAATTTATTTTCACTCATTCTATAATTATAAGCCAAGTATATAATAAATAAACTTACTAATTTATTAAATAATTGATCAATATCTTATTTGTTTTCACCGCTTATTAAATTTCTAACAACTCTTTCTTCACAATAAATTTCTTTTTCAAATTTTCTATCTATTTGAATGGATAGATAGATAAAACTCGTTAAAAATAACTCACTCTATAACAATTCCTTACTATATACTTAACAAATGAAAAGTTATTCCTCTCTCTTAAAACATGTATTAAATCTATTAATAATTTAATATTAAAGTATTAAAATTTCATTATCCTAAATTAAATCCCCATAAAAAATAATATCTTGTTTGTTTATAATTTTTATTTTTCAAATAAAATTATTTATTTATTTAATTAAATTCTATACATGCATGCTGATAAAACTCGTTAAAAATAACTCAATAATAATTCCTTCCTTTCTTACTAATTAACAAATGAAATAAGTTATTCTTCTTAAAACATGTTAAATCCTTTAATAATTATATATAAAAGTATTAAATCTTTAAATCATTTTATAAAAAAGTATTAAAATTTAGTTATTTTTAATTTTTCACAAAATAAATAACTAGTTTGTTTGTTTATAATTTAATTAAATTACTAATTATCTAGATAAAATGTTTAACAAATGAAATATGTTATTCCAAGTAATTCTAGATAAATATCAAATATTGATAATTAAAACTGTCTACTAACTTAACATAAAAATATGTAAATATTTTTAATGGAATATCAAAGAATCAGCTTTAGAAAATAAATAATATTCCTTAATTTTACAACAAATTATCTTGTTAATATTTCTATTTCAAAGAAATATATTTATTTATTTATTTAATTTAAAGATAATAAATAAATTTTAAATTTATTGAAAGAATTTAAAATCCTTTAAAAAATTGATAGTTAATATTTTTTCTAACTATAATGAACATAAATGAAGATAAATAGAATTATATTATTGCTAAAATTATGTTTATTTGCTATTATAATTTTTTAAATTTTCGAATTATCTAAAAATGTATCTTGTACCACTGTTAAGATGTTTCACTAAAAATAAAATTTTCAAGCTTTTTGAGAAAATTCAATCATTTATTTTTAGATCATTATAAAATTTATATTTATTTAATTTGTATTTTTTATAAATATGGGATTGATTGATTGATTGAGTAGAAGGTAATATAAACTTCTGTATTTCCTTATTATTAATTAATGAAATTGAATGAAAGTTAAATTAATAAATAAAGAAGTTTGCTTGTATTTGAAATATATCTTTAAATTATTTACAATTTATCGTTATAGTAAACAAAATTAATCAATAACTATCAATAATTTCTACTCAAATTTTTCTTTCATAGTAAAATAGGTCAATAGCTAAGTAAAGTCTCATTTACATTAACTCTAACAATTAATTTAAATCATTATAAAAAAATAGATTTGTTGTTATATTTTTAAAGTTAAATATGTTCTGGTCTAGAAAAATTGCATTAACTGGAGGTCCTTGCGGTGGTAAAACATCAGCAATGAATTACTTGCATTCGTAATTTAAAAAATGGGGCTTTACTGTATTTATGACTCCAGAAGCCTTCACAGTAACTGCACAAGGACATGCCCATGAGCTGTATGGAATATTAAAGTAATAAGACGTAAATGATTTTTGTAAACTTGGTGCTAAAATAACTAATTTATGCTACTTTTTTGAAGAATACTTTGAGGATTTAGCTAAGCTATCAAAAAAGCCCACAATTTTATTTTGTGATAGAGGTATTTGTGATACAAAGGCTTATTACCCTGAATTATGCTGGGATATGACTCTTTAGGAAGTAAAAATGAATGAAAAGTAAATTTTAGATAGATATTATGCTATTCTACATTTAGCAACAACCGCCAAAGGTGCTAAAGATCATTACATCACAAGCAATAATATGGCTAGAAGGGAATCAGTAGAAGAAGCAATTGAAGTTGATGATAAAATATTCAATTCTTGGAAAAATCATAAAAGACTGATATATGTAGGAAATGAAAATGTTAAAACATTTGATGAGAAATTAAATAATATTTAAGGAATAGTTGAAGATCTTTTATAGCTTCCAAAGAATCCTTTATAAACTTTGAAGGTTAGTGTAAATTAAGAAGAATTATACAATTATATACTCTCTTCTAATTAGGACAATTACATTACTTTGGAATAATTCGATATTGAAAATGAATACTTAAATAATTCATTTGTATAAAAGATAAAGTAAAAAGATGGCAAAATTTCTTATCAAATGGGAGTAGAAATGCAACACCCAGAAAAACCATTTTATCTCTATTAGAAAATCACAGAAGAAGAGTATAATAAATGTAAGAAAAAAGTACCCTCAAAGCTATTATAATAAATTTAAATTAATGGGTAGACTCTTACCTTATAACAGAATATTTAAGACTAATTACACCAACAATAATAAACAATTCCATAAACAACTTTAATGGCCCCTAAAAATATAATCTTACCCTCATTCTTTGTAGTCAATTAATGATTGCTGAAATAATATTTAAATCTGAATGAATGATATTTTATAATGTAAATCGAATAATTATTTTAAAATTTTCAATTTATTTAAATCACACCTTTAAAATAATGAATATCTAACTAAATATTTAACAAAAACAAGCTTAAAATAAATCATCATCACCAATATTAATTACTAAATATTTATTGCAAATCAATCTATAATATTAACAAAATTTAAATAATATTTTCTAAAAGATATTTGGAATTATTTATTTAATTATTTGTTTATGTATTAAAAACATTTTATAAAACTAATTTTCATTTTTAACAAAAAAATAAAGATAAAATAAATTTTATTTTTAATGAAATAGAAAAAAAATAAATAGATTTTATTTTTGTTTTAATTTTAATTTTAACAATTTTTATAAAATTAATTTTATATTTTATGTGATTAATAAATAATATTTTTTTGATAAATAAAGTCAAATTAATTTCGCATATATATGATTTAAAACATTTCATATTTCAAATCACAATAAATTTAATATAAATTTCTGTTTGACATAAAAATCAAATAATGAAAAATTTTAAGTTTTTGCTAGTCTGCGCTAAATAACAATTTTGATAATATATTGCATAAAAATGAAAAAAATATACAATTAAATAATATTTAAATAAATATATTTAATTTTCGCGTATCTTTATAGTTTGAATTTTTTAAAAAATTTGAAATAGTCTAAAAATTAATTAAACAAATGAATGAATGTTTGTTTTGGAATAAAAGGTATTTTGAAAAATGAATGAAAGAGTGAGATGAATATTATTTGCTTTTGATAAAGATTTGCATAAAATAGGGATGAACAAGATGAAAAAATAAATATATTTATAAAAATATATATATAACAATAATAAATAGAATGCATTTGGATTGATATCTATCTAACTATCTATGTTTATGATTGTGATTGTGAACAAAAAATTAGATAAAAAATGAAAATATCTAAAATTTTAAAAATTAATGATTAAAAAAATAAAAATAAATAAAAATAAAAAGCAAAAAAATACAAATAATCTTTAAACAAAAAAAAGAATTTATTCATTCACAAAAATAAAGCAAAATCAACTCTAGTTTAACTAATTAAATATAGTATTCTAAATAAAATGGCTCCCTCTGTTGGTATTTTAGGTGAAAGAGATTAAGGTCAAGATGTCAGAACCAATAATGGTAATTTATTACAAGATGATTAACTTTGCTGCCTTTTACTTAATATTTTTCATTGATTATTTCTAACTCAAATTCTGTTTGTTTGCTGAAATTATTTTCAAAAATATTATGTTTGTTTAACCAATTTAATTACAAAAATGAACTAATGCACAGTTCAGTTACAAATGAAATAATATATATAAACAATAACAATTTGACATTATATCAATCTTTATTATTTAATAAATAGTTACTGCTGTCATGGCTATTGCTAATATTGTTAAATCTTCTTTGGGTCCTCAAGGTCTCGATAAGATGCTCGTCGATGAAGTCGGTGATGTCACCATTACAAATGATGGTAATAAACATCATTCATAAAATATCCCAATAGCTTAATTCTTTTTCTTCTTCTTCTCCATAGATAATAGTTTCTTTTAATTTTACACCTTTAGAAAAGAATGAACAAAGTTGCATGAATACTCCAAAACAATAACAACACAATCAAGCTACTTTGATAAGAAATTGTAAAATAGGAAATAAAAAACATAATAAACCACCAAAATGAAATCACAAATACAATAATAAGCATACAATTAACAATTAAATAGGAGAAAATTTAGCGAACCTATAAAAAAACATTAAATTGAGTAAAAGAGAGTATTCAAAGTCAGTAAAAGATAAAATCTACTTACTAAAATTTAACAAAAACATACAAAGAAAGAAACAAACAAACATATAAATTTAGAAGAAGAAAATGAAGCTATTTTATAAAATATCTTTGAGTTTTTAACATTTTTAATGATAATAGGTGCTACCATTTTGAGACAATTAGAAGTTTAACACCCTGCTGCTAAGGTTATTGTTGAATTATCTTAATTATAAGACAAGGAAGTTGGTGATGGTACTACCTCCGTTGTTATTTTGGCTGCTGAATTATTGAAGAGAGCCAACGAATTAATTAAGAACAAGGTTCATCCTACTAACATTATTACTGGCTTTAAGATTGCTGCTAAGGAAGCTTGCAACTACATTAAGGATCACCTTGCTATTTCAGTCGAACACCTCGGCCGTGAAGCTCTCATTAATGTTGCCAAGACTTCCATGTCTTCCAAGCTTATTGGTCCCGAATCCAATCTTTTCTCTTCCATCGTTGTTGATGCTGTTGAAACCGTAAATAAACATCAAAATACTTTTAATTCATTCAACATAAAATAATAAAAATCAATTTTAAAAATTAAACTTTGAATCATTAATCAATTAATTAATTTGTTTATTTTAACAATAAATAGGTCAAGATGACTAACCTTTCAGGAGAAACCAAGTATCCTATCAAGAACGTTAAGATCGTTAAGAGTCACGGTTAGAGCACTTTATAATCCTAATTAATTAAAGGTTATGTTTTACAAACTCAAAGAGCTGATCAATAAATGAAAACTAGAATCGAAAAAGCCAAGATTGCTTTACTTGACTTCAACTTAAACAAATTCCGTTTACAAATGGGTATATAAATTTTGGTTAACGACCCTAAGAATTTGGAAAAGATTCGTTTCAAAGAATGTGAAATTTTGAAAGAAAGATGTAAGAAAATTATTGAAGCTGGTGCCAACGTTATCGTCACCTCTGCTGGTATGGATGATGTTGCTACCAAGTACCTCGTTGAAGCTGGTGTCTTAGGTATTAGAAGAGTTGATAAGCACGATCTCCGTAGAATCGCCAAGGCTTCTGGAGGTAAAAAATTATAAATAAAAATAAACATAGATAAAAAGATAGTTGATATCTTTATTTTTATTCAATAAAAATAAGAATAAAGATTTAAAATAAATTATTTTTATTTAATATTTAAATTAATAAAATTTTTAAATAATATTTAGCTACCGTTGTTACCACTTTGGCTACTCCTGAAGGTGATGAAGTTTTTGAAGCTTCCTACTTGGGTGAATGTGCTGAAGTTTACGAAGAAGCTGTTGGTGATAACGACTGCATCTTCTTTAGGGGAATGAAAAAGTCTAACTGTGCTTCCATCATCATTAGAGGTGCCAACGAATTTATGTGCGAAGAAGTCGATAGGTATTTTATTAATTAGTTTTATTATTTAAGCAAATAACTGAAAAATAAATGCTTGTTTTGTGGCTAAATTAACATCAAAATTAATTATGATATATAAATAAATGAATTTTAATTAAACTGAATTATTTTTATTAATTGAAAAGATCTTTACATGACTCTCTCTGCGTCGTTAAGAGAACCTTAGAATCTGGATACGTCGTTCCTGGTGGTGGTGCTGTTGAAATTGCTTTGAGCATTAAGTTAGAAGACTTCGCCAGAACTTTGGGTAACAAAGAATAAACTGCTGTTGCTGAATTCTGTGAAGCCTTAAACATTATTCCTAAGGTCCTTGCTGCAAATGCTGCTCAAGATGCCACTGAATTAGTTTCTAAGTTAAGAGCCCTCCACGCTGCCTCTCAATCTTCCGATGATCCCACCAAGAAGGAACTTAAAAACTGCGGTCTTGACCTCTCCCTCGGTAAAGTTAGAAACAATGTTAAGGCTGGTGTCCTTGAACCTATGGTTTCTAAGATTAAATCTCTTAGGTAATAAATTAATTAATTAAATAATTAATTTTATAATTTAAATGAATTTATTTATAAATTTAAATAGATTTGCCACTGAAGCCGCTATTACTATTTTAAGAATTGACGATATGATTAAATTAAATCCTCAACAAGAAGAATTACCTCAAGGAAGACATTGAAGAAAATGAAAAATAAATACAAATAATGGGTTAGTTGGATAGTTAGTTAATTATTAATGAATGAATGATAGGTTGCTTATTTGATTGAGAGAAAAAATATATAAATCTGATAAATTATTCTCCACAATCAAAAAGACCTGTTGAATTACTTACTTAATTTATTAATTTATTACTAGCTATTTACCTATCTCATTAATTCATTATTAAAATTCAAAGCAAGCAATAATTTTCATTAATTTACTTAGAAAACTTAAATTTATAATTATCTAAATCAATTTTAATATTAATTCATATACGCTTAAATATTATTACCCATTGAGTATGTGTGTATGTACACTGTTCTAGGTTCATTAGTATTCTTCTTTTTTAATTCTTTTAAAATGGTAATTCTTAAGTCAAATAGAAATACCTTTCCTCTTTGCCAACATTCCAAATATAATTAAATAATTTAATTTCACTAATTTTGCAGTTTAATTTATTCTACAAATTTATTCATTTTGTTTCAATTGAAGTTTCAATCTGAATTAAGTTGATATTTAACAGGAATAAATACTTCTTTAAAATATTATTAAATTTAAGAAATGAAAATTTATAAAAAAATTACTATCAAAATAAATAAAATCGTGTTTTTTTGAATCAAAAAAAATTCAATATTTTTGTTTAGTTGTTTGTTTGTTTATTTATTTGATTTATTTGAGGAAAATAATCAAAAAGAATAATTAATTCCTTTTTGTTTTTTTTTGCTTGTTTGTTTATTAACTTTTATTAAATCAAAAAATAATTAATATTTAATACTCTCAAAAAAATTGCAAATTAGTTTAAGATCATCAAAAAGATAAAAAGAATTTTATTTAAAAATTATAAAATGAATAAAGGATTTTCATTAGCTCTTTAGGGTAAAAGTTTTCCTTCTTTTAAGTAAGAAGATGAATTATATGCAGGAGATACTATCAATGTAAAACTATTCCCAATTTAGATATTTATCAATTTACTTTAAACCTTGTTAAAGCTATTTGATGAATTAAATCATCATTTTATAATTCAATTTCAAAGAGATGTAACAAATATTTTGTTTAAAATAACAATAGCTCTTTTTCGAATTTCCTAATGGCAAAGCTATCAAATTATCAGTAAATTTAAATTTATTAATTTAATCATTCACAATAATTTGAAACTCTTTTTATCCATCACAAAGTTTAAGTAAGGATAAGATGTAGAATGGGCAAAAAACGTGGTTTAAGATAGAACTGGATTAAGTCGCTCTGACTTTGTAATTTATAAAGCTCTCTAAACATAAATAAATAACAAATAAATATTTTTTTAATAATAGAAATTGTTTTTCGAAAATAAATAAATGATTGAAATACTTTCATTAAGTGATATACCTAATCTCAAAGACGGTAGCAAAGTTTAAGTAGTTGTAAGAATATGTTTAATATATATCTTTTTAATAAAATCAAAAGAAAGCTTTTTAACATATAAATAAGCAAATAACAAATATAAATAGAAATCTTAATAAAAAAATATTTTAAAATCTTTAAACATAACTGATTGATTGATTGATTTAGCAAATTCATAAAACATTATTTTATATAAAACAATTAATAAATAAATAGGTAAATGAAAATGTAGAATTTAATTTTGATTAAATAGCTTGATTAGTAGGTAGTTAAGTTGTTGCTTCTCTTACTCAATTTATAGATAGATAACATACACTTTTTCATGAAAGCTTATAATTATAATTAATACAACTAACTGATTTGCTTTTATTGTTGCTTCAGCATGAATAATAGTTGAAATAAAATACTAAATACGCTTTTTTAAGGTTTACCCAAAGTTAATGATAAACTTTTTTTCATATAAATTACTTATATTCTATTAAAAATGTTTTCATATTATTTCATATCAAAAATCACCCTTTTACTATTTTGAAATCATTCACAATAAAAATGTTTATTAATTTAATTTCAATTAAAATTTGATACACATTTTCTGCATTCTAACATCTACTAAATATTTAGGATAAACACTTTATCTTTTCTATTCTATTTAAACGTTAAACCAACTTCCACTCTATAAATTAAGTAATCTAAATAAACATTTAAATGAAATTAAACTCCTTTTATTTGAATTAAATATTTCATGCAAGATAAAATTAAATTAAGACTTATTTCATTGGAAGCTTTTAATAAATTAAATGATTAAAATCTTAAAGGTATAAAATAACAAGTTCTTGAGACAAATATTGAACAGTTTAAATATTAATATTTATAATTAATCACTTGTCTAAATGAATCTTATCATAAACTTATTTCCATGTTTCCCATTCTTATTACAACTGTTCATTAATTTGGTTTATTCTTACTTCTTCTTACTTTAAATATTCTTCAATAAATTCATCTTTTTCTAATTTTATTTAATTATTAATTTCTAAAAAATAATATTCATATTAATTACTTGGATGGTGAGGTAGAATCAAACCTTAAATGTTTCTCCAAAATTATCCATCATAAAACTCACCATTTTCTAAACCTTCTCCTCTGTTTCTAAACTAAATGTCAACTATCTCTTCTTCTGTTAGATCTTTTCTTTATCTTAACTTTTGCTTATTCAGCTATAAATTGAATTTTAATATTTCGTTATCATTTAATTATTTAATTATTTATTTATTTTACTGGCTTGACTAGCTTGTATAATAATTCTAACAACTTCTCCTTATTGAGATTTTTTCCAGCAAAAACGAAACCCATATCATTGATTATAGAATTAGTAATTCCAGTGTATTTAACATTTTTAAAGGAAACTCCATTAAGCTCTTCTGTGAACTCCTTAGCATCAACTCCTTTTACAGTTCTTTCAATAAAATAATTAGGTGTTATAGTTATTTCCTCTAACCCTTCTTTTAATTTGCTATCATATCTTAATATACCCTTAACATAGTCTATTTTAATAGCTTAATCACTAGTTTGAGCATTTTAAATTTCGATTTTTTCTAAATTAAAATATAAAAATATTAATTTCTCAATCTAAAATTATTTTTTTTAAATAACCTTTTAATTTAATGATTTCAATCATTAGAGGATCTTTAGAATTTTTGTTTAACTCTTTGAATTCTGCAATTTTTTGTTCAGCCTCGATTGTATCTACTAGGGTTTAGTTACCATTTTGCAGGATTTTCTTATAAATTAAATCTCTTATCTTTTCTCTCAAAATGGGAAGCTTAAAAGGTATGAAAACAACACTACTTGGTCCATTTGATGTCAAAAGATCTATTTAAAAATGAAATCAAATTAATTATTTAAAAAATCTTATTACTGAGAGAATTTTACCATATTAAACTGAATATTTCAATCTATTTAAGTTATTTTACTCAGAAATAAAAGTAATAGAAGTAAGAATATCTTTAGCAAGAGCTGGGTTCAAAATGTTATTCATAATTTTATAAATTTTTGCACCAGGAAGAACACCTGAGAGAGTTTTATTCAAAGCATTTACATCTGCATCATAATTATTATAGGTATCCAAAAGCAAGAACTAAGAGTAACCCTCTACACCGTATGTAAAAACATTGTTTACTGGGTTCTTTTATAAATTAAAAAAAATATTAACTTTTAATTAAATGAGGGGAAGGCACTGAAAAAAGTTGTTTTTTTTTATTTTTCTGCCAATGGTTTAACTTCCTTGGTAGACATTAAAAATCTGGGAGGTTATTCTATTCAGTGCCCCTCCCATACACCCTTAATTGAAATTATTTTTTTTATTTATTATGTTTTTATTAAAAAAACTATTTTTAATTTATTTTGGGTTTTATTATTTTAAATTTATTTCTATTTAAACTTTAATTTTTAAGAGAAGCTTATTATTTTAATTTGAATTAATTTTTAAATTTAGTTAAATTAATTTATTCAGGAATAATTTTTAAGGTTAATTTATATTTATTTTCCTAATGGTTCATTCATTGATTTCAATATCAGGAAAATCTTTACAAAATTTAATTTGATTTAAAATAAATAAATAAATAAATAAATAAATAATTTGGTTTACTTTGTTAAAGTTGGAATAGATATTGTTTATGTTTATTTTTGTAGCAATAGTTCTGATATAAAAAGCATTAGAAATTTTTTCGCTCTTGCTAAAGTAATCAATAAGAATTTTAGTGTTAATAAAATGAGGGACTGAAGCGACAATAACGTCAGTATTTTATATTTTTTTCTCTGAAGCAAATTTAAGCAGTCCACTTAAATAAGATTTTTCTGTTAGTTCACTCATTTCATTCAAATCAAATCTAATTATTTTTAAATTATTATAACAAATTTCTTAATTTATATTTTTTTAAAACGCTTTTAAAAATAATAATTATATCTATTTGTTTTACTTGTAAAGATGAAGTCTTAAATTGTTGTCTGATCCAAATCTTATTAAATTTTCAGCAAATTTTCTTTTTCCAGAGCAGTAGCTACCATTTACAAGAATGACTCCAATATGATTTTCAACAGGAGTGATTGCTTAACTGATTTGCATTTATTCATATAGGTTTTTATAAGCAGATAACTTAAGGTCTTTCATTTGATTTAGGATCATCAGTTGCTTGCTTTCGATGTAAGATATAAAGAACTATTCGTTTTAAATGCTATTCATTGTGATTAATTTTTAACCTTAAGACTATTAATTTAGAATTTGTTTCTTAGCTATCTATGATTCTTAAAATATTGCTGGAATATCAACCTAATACTCATACTTAATCTATAAAAAACTTATTAATTTCAAATAATTGTACTAAATTAATATTTACTTAGTTTTCTTCAAAATAATTTTTTATCTTAAAAAATGATTGTTCAAGAGCATCACCTGTAAACTCTAAAGCAATAGTGTCTTTGCTTATTGAATTAAAAGTTATATTAGAATCGACTTTAAATATAAGCCAAGTGTGATTCATTTTTTATGTTATTTGAATTTCTTTCATTTCTTTGAAAAATAATATGAACCATCCTAGTCTTTAAGTTTCTATTCTTAAACCTAATTCATGCATATAATAACTAGCCTGCATAATAGGGATATCAAACCCATAATTACTTTTTCTACCTGTCTAAACGAATATTCTATTCTTAGGTAATTCATCTTTTTCATAATAAAAAATTTATTTAAATAATTTTTATGAAATAATTTCTTTATTTGAGTTTGTTTTTTATTATTATTTAAAATTGCTCTTTTTTTAAGAAATATTTACTCACTAAATAATCCTTTCAAATATAAATATTTCTCTATCCAAACAGTGTTTTAGTATTTAAAACAAATTTATTCAATTAAACTGTTTACCTGAAATTTACTTGCCAAGAGGTTCCCATAAAATTCTTTTTTTCATTTTTTCGATCTTTTCAGAGTAATCATTTTAGCAGTTCCATAGGTCAAAATAAGGTATTTCTTTTGTTAATAGTAAATAGCAACCTTCTTGCAAAATAAAAGACTCAGCAAAAACTAAAGAACCTAGGACTGTGTTGTTTAGAATTTAACTAAATTATTTTTAGATTAAAAATGAAACATTTTGAAGAGAAAAAATTAACAAAAAATATAAAAAATAATTTATAAATAATTTAAAATAAAAACTTTAACAAATTTAAATGATTTAAGACTTTTTGAATATTACCTTTTAATATTTTTTTATTCTATTCTAACCATGAAGAAATAAGGAGTAAGCTTGAAAGAAATTGTGTCTTTAAAATCAATTTTAACTTCTTCACCAAAGGAGTTGTATGCTTTCAAAATAATTTAGATTTTATCCCTTTTATTTTAAAATTGATTTAATTTTATTTCTAAATTTACTATAAAAAAGTTATTTACAAAGTAATTTCGCTTTCTGGGATTTAGAAACCAGCATAAACTTTAGAAACCTTCTAAAAAATATAATCTTAGATAAATTCTTCAGTCATATTTTTATAGTCTTTTGTAATCAATTGCATAACTTCATTGAATCCGATTATGATAGAAAGATATAAGTTAGCCAAAAAGCTATTTATTTAATTTATAAAAAAGTTAATCCTATTTTTATTTAATTTTTTGTTACTCTTAGTCTTTGTATTGCTAATTTTCATCTATATTTAACTCATATCCTTAAGGAACGCCTTCATCATCATTTAAAGTGATAAGGTTTCTTTCCTCTTTGACTCCCTTTGCTAAAAAGTAAGTTCTTGCTGCTCTTAAGCAGGTTCTTAAATCAAAAGTTTCAAAAGTTGCATGGAATGAATGAAAAGTTTCTGAGTATTTTACTATATTTATATCAAAACCTTAATTTACATTTTAAAGTTTAGAAATAAGTTTTACAATCTTTTAATGGTGCAACTGAAGGTTCTTTAGAGCAGTCTGCAGAAGTATTCTTACCAAATAACACTCTTGGCTTTGGTAGAGCAGCGTTTACACCCCTAATTTACACCCATTTACTTATTTCTTCTATTTCATATGTATCCCTAAATATTTCTGTTAGTTAACTTTCAGTTGCTAAATTTCTTTTATGCATTTTCATATCTCCTAACTAACCTGCTGCTGAGTTGAAGTGACCAGTCTATTAAAAATATATTATGTTATTTTAAATATTATCTATCTTTTACTTACTAGTCTCTTAGCTACTACATAGATTAACTTCGAGACAAAGAACTTATCATAATTTTTATAAACTGCATTCAATCTTAGAGTGAGATCAACTACTTCATGGTTCATGCTAAAAAACCCAACTCCTAATTCTATTTATTTTAAACAATATGATTAATTTTAAATATTTACTTGAAAGCTTGTTCTATTTTTCGGTTTACTAAACCAATAATTAGTTTATTTTATTAATTATTATCAAAGTATTACCTTCTAATCCATATGACTGAATTAATGGCCACTTTTCAATTGAATTGATTTTTCCTTTGTCTTTTTAGCCTAATAAAATACCAACTTTTTTTGTTGGCTTCATTACCCTAAGGAAAAAAGCCATTTTGAGAAGCTCCATTTCATCTTTATCTTCATATTGTTTCTCAGTAGGACAGAAAACATCAACATTAGGAATACTGTAAATAAGAGTTTGAAGAGAATTTAATGCTTCTGGGTCTATGAAAATATGGGTAGTTCCTTTCTTAATTAATACTATCATATCGCTGTAAATTTAATTTAAGTACTCATTTTCTTCGATTTCTAAACCTGAATTTCCTAAAAAAAGCCAATTTGTCAATTTGACATATTCTGTATTTTCACGAGAATCTACTCCATTAATCAAGAGAAATCCGTCCAAACCTTCCTTAACTACAATTTTCTCTATCTTTTTCAACCTAAAAACAAAGTCATTAACGCTATACTTTGGGATATTTTAATTTATATTTGCACTACTAAAAAAGTTGAACATTATTAAATTCCTAGATATATAGATTTCTTGTATTTTTAATTTGCTTAACAAATAGTTTGTTGTATCTTTTTCTAATTAATTAGTTTTTAATTTTTCTACTTACTGATCTCTCTCCAAAGGAACATAGAAAAGTTAATTGGATTTGATTTGATTAATATAAATTAAAATGCATTTAATCGCAATAAGTTATATTTGAAAATATTTGAAAATTTAATTAATTTTAAATATTTTTTATCGAATAAATAATTAAATATTCATTCCAATTTATTTATCAAAATTTTCCTTATCATTAATCAATTATTTGCCTTCTAAAAAACAAACAAAAAAGCATTATAATTTATTAATTAAAATCTTTATTGAAACAAAGTAAAGGTGGTTGAATTATTAAAATTGAATGTAAAAATTTTTTAAAATTTAATTATTTTAATTTAGTTTTTAAATAAATATAAAAAAATATTTTTTTATAAATTGTTAATGTCAAAAACTCAAACTTCTATTAAAACATCTTTTAATTTGATTAATTTTTAAAATTAATTATTTATTATAAGCAAATCTTTTTATTAATTCTTTGAAAAATGAATTATTAGTTAACTATTTTCTTAAAACTTTACAAAAAGAATAATGCCTTTTATTTTAATACTTTTTCTTTTTAAAAATTAAGTAATTTTACATACACAAAATATTTTTTTACAAAGAAATACTAAAAATAATCAATATTTGATTATCATTATATGAGCTTTGGATCTCATAAAAATCTAATTTTTTTAGATAATAAATGAAACTGGATTAATAATTTTACACATAAATATAAAATTTATTATAAAAAAATAAAAAAAGTAATACTTAGCAAAGATTTTCTACTAAATCGAAAAATAATTAATTAATTCTAAAATGAAAATTTTCAAATCTTTTAATAATAAATGATTTTTTAAGTCTGTCTGATTCAAAGTATATGACAATACAGTATCATTTAAAAAAAATTGTATCAATTAATTTAAGATTATTAAATAATATAATACATAAATAACCTTTTTAAATTAAAAAAAGAAGCTAAATAAATTCAGTTTTTCTATTAAATATGTAGTTCTGCTCTTTTAAATTTTTAGATAGCAGAAAATAATAAAATATTTGTAAAATATTAACCTTCATATTTATTTGTTTAAGTTAAAAATAGAAATCAAAAAATTAATAGCAAATTAGGAAATTAAATTATTTATTCATTATCTAATTTGTTTAAAAATAAAAATTAATAAAACATTTAATCTCAACTTTTATAATTCGTGGATAAAAAGGGAAATTCAGATCTCAATAATAAAAATATCTTTATCAAATAAATTAAAAAAATAATAATTTATAAAATCGTCTGAAAAGAAATGATTATTCTCAATCCATTGCTTATTACTGAGGCTATTCTATTTGGAGTTTTTTGCTATTTTTATCCCTATAAAATTGCTTAGGATTATAACTATATTTTATTTTTGGTAATTCTAGCTTAATATATTCATTTTGCACTCAGCTACTTTTTAGAAATAGAAAAGGAAGTCTACTTAGTGATATTACTACTTAACACATTCATTTTGTTCAGACATTATTTTCTCGAAAGGAATAAAACTCATCCAAATTTAATGTATTGTTTAAGCTGTGCCATAGTAAACTGGAAGATTTGCCAGTCAATGTACTTATACATCATGAACTGTACAATCACTTGGTCTAATCCTCTCATAGTTATGCATATTCTATTTGGTATAATATGTATAATTTTATACGTATTATTAAGTAGAGTTAACAAGGATTTAGAGAAGATAGTTGTTATACCTTTGATAATTATTTATTTCATTCTCTTTTACGATCCTTCTCCACTTACAACTAAAATAATGTTGTCAATAGGTTTATTATTATCAACATTTTTAACCTTCTAATTTGCGCAATCTAATAGATAATAAAAATTTAATGGAGATTCATTATTTTATTTATTTTATTTACTAATTTACATTGGAAGCATTTATACTCTGATTGTTCATAAGTGGCTAATCTAAAATAAAGCTAAATGATGATTTATTAATATTAAGCTAGCTATATTTGTTATTTAAATATTTGCTTGTATTAAAATATTTTTACATTTAGTTATAAAAAATTCCATTAAAATAAAATATAAATATTACAAAAATTTATTTTTTATTAAATAGATTTTAAATAAATTAAATTGTGATATCTAATAAAAATAATCTTTATTAAATAAATATTTTGAATTAAAATTCTTTTTTAATCATTTAAAATATATAAATTAATCAAATTTATTTATTTATTTAATCGATCAATCAATAATTTCTTATAAAAAATATTTTAGAGTTAGTTATTTTGTTTTTCTAAAATATCTTTAAAATGAAAGTTTTTTATGCCTGTAAAACAAAAAAATATCCTCAAATATTACATTAATTATTAAATTAAATATAATTTTCCATAAAACATAAAAATTTTTGAGTAAAATTTGTTTGAAATGAAAATTTATGTTTTTATGGCAAAAAATACAAATTCAACTTAGAACATACCTTATTGAAGACATGCAAAATTTAAATTCATTATGATTGTTATAAAATTAATTTATTTTTGGAAATAATTTTTGTTTATGAAAAAAAAAAAATGATTTTAGTAATATTTATTTATGAATATAAATTAAAAACTATAAAAACTCATATGCACAATAGGAAGGTTAATAAATATACACAAATTTACAGACAATAATATCAAGCGATGCTTTAGAGATTATATTTAATTATAATGTTGATTTTTTATAATAAAAGGTTTGGTTGGGTGTTATAAATAATAGAGAGTTAAACTTCTTTTCTTAATCTTATTATGATAATAACTATTGTAAAGTGGTTCTCAAGATACTTAAGCTGCATACTATGATTTTAATTTTAAAAGGCTTTCTAAGCTATTCTTAGCTCATTCGATCATTGATTGGTTTTTATTCTTGATTTTATTTTCAGCAAAGAAAATTAATTGTTAAAAATACCATTTAATTTTATTTTAAAGGTAAATCTATTTTGAGAAATTTAATTCAAATGCTCAATCAGCAAAAGGCAAATAAGTGATGCTAATATTTGGTAAGATACTTAATAAGTTTTTTTAGTTAGGTAAAGTTAGCCATCTTAAAAAGCAATTAATTGTATGTATTTTAGAATCAATTGTTAATTTGATTTTAAATTAAATTTTCCTGATGACTAAGAGGGTGAACGAAATTATAAAAATGTTAATTCAGAAAGAGTTTATTAAGGATCTGTCTGGGTAGATTTGATTAATAAGAATTTGGCTGATTGTTTGTTACTAAATTTAAATAAAGGCTTTTAATTAATTTTGTTTTTTACTAGCTATAAATTCTTCTCTTCTATTTTCTGTAATCAAAGCTGTTTTAAGAAAGATCAAATTAAATAACCTAAAAAAAGTAAGAGGGATAATTTTTAGGATAGATTTAATATTATGATTCATTATTTTCTCAAGCCTCGGATTTAATTTTTTAATAATTAATTTTTTAATGACTTAATATTATTTGTCATGTTCACCATTATTATTTTTTAACGCTTTGATAAAATAATTTCTTATTCTTCTTCAAATTTTTAACGATATTGTTGGCTTTTTTTTTTTTGAATTTCGCGCTCTTTTTTATTAATTCTAAATGATGGGCCAATCACAGAATTTTTTATTGATTTTATTTTTTGAAAAGATTAAAAGCTCTTGAAAACTAGCTATATAAATATATATAGCAAGAAAGATATTTTGAGACAACGAATTACATATTTAATTATTAAATTCGACCAATGTAAGTTGAAAATCCTTGATTATTTCACCTTTTTAGATTGTAATTCATTAGGAATAAAGAATTTTTGGTGAAAAATGATAATTTATTAAAGCACTGAAAAAAAAGGTTATATTTTTAATTTCATTAACTCTATCACATTTTTCTTATTTTAAATGTTTATTTTTGCCTTTATTTTATTTTAGACCTTAATTTTTTGAAAGGAAGCATGGATCTATGAAATTTGCTTGATTTAATTAGATAGACTTAATGTTTGTTTATTAGCTAAATTTAAAACTTTAAATTATTATATTTTTATTTTTTTCTAAATTAAATTTTTCCTTATCGCTTATCGCAGACAGAGAGACAGACAAACAAACTATTTTTCTTTTTTAATTTTTTTCACAAAATTTGAGAAAAATAGTTAAATTTAATAGATTTTTCGCTCATTTTCTTATTTTCTTGAGATTAAAAATATTTTTTAATAATTAAACCAGATTTTCTTCTCTGAATTTTTATTAATTTCTTATTTCATTTTTCTACTTTTCTTTCTTACTTTTGGTTGTTATTTTCCGTTTAATTTTCAAAGAATTAAAGTAACAGATTAGGAAAAGGAAGTCTTTATCCTTAAAGTTTTTTTAAATTTGTAAAAGTGTTTTGCATTTATTTTAACTAAATATAAGTTTGATCAAATAGATATTTGTTTGCATTAATAAACAAAATATACTCCTTCTTCAAATATCATAGACATTGTAAACAAGAAATAAGTGATAAATGTTTGCTTTTACATCTTTATTCAAAGTAGCAGCTCTCTTTTATAATAGAAAAGATAACTTGTTGAGACTCTCAGATGAATTTAAATTGATGATTATATTGATTGTTTTTTTAAAAAAGAACTAGACAGTGTGAGAATGTGTATATTTAAAATAATAATATATTATAATTTATGTAATATGTTTAATTTTTTTGATATTAAGGATGAATTGATAGATAGATAAATAGAAAGATAAATAAATCTGTTGATTGGTTGGTTTGTTGGTTGGTTGGTTGAAGCACTCAATGATGATTACTTCAATCCTCTGATTTATGTTTTAAGATCTTTATTTGTTGTTTGTGTTTGTTTATTTGTTTTTAAAGTTATATTTTGAAGTGAATGTGAATCTTTTATTTTTAGATCAATAAAATTTCACATACCTAAGTGCTGTTGGTTGATTGATAATGATGATTAATCAATTCTTTTTGAAGTAGTAGAAGCTTGCAGGGTCAACAATACCTTCTAAGAATCTGCAGATGTATTTTATATGAGTTTTACGAGTGTCTTCTGATCTCATCTATGAGCCAAGCACGTAGACAGATGCGTGATTTTCGTAGAAATCGAAGCAGATTTCTCTAAAGAGTACTTTGTATTCTTAATATTGCTCACCGTTGCTAACATGCCAGATGTTTTTGAATTATTCAAAGTTTTCCAACTTTTGTTGTTGCACCCATTTTTTGAAATCTTCAATTTTATCTTAGTTGTTGTCAAAGAATTTCTCCATCATTCTCTTGGAATACATATTATTTAATATAAAACGACTCTAAGCATTGCCATAGTTACGAAGCAAGTTTTTGGTATCTTCCTTGACTTTTTTTACAATTTGATCTGCCCTTGGACGACGACTACGCTTTTATATGTATCTCAAGACTTCTTGATTATTAGCGTTGCTGAGGTTGTCAGAAGAGCCAACTTAATTGCCTTCTCTGACTGATTAGCCTCCGTTTTCACTATATTTGCTTTCTAATTCTTTTAAATCGGCATCTTAATCACATCTATAAACGCGACCCTTCACGAATTCTTGAGTGAGTTATTCAATTTAGCGCACTAGGTTTTGGCTTTGCTAAAAGGGATTAACAAGAGGCTGCTTTAGCAAGTTAGATTAAGCGTTTTCAATAGAACCTTCAAGCGAATTAGTAGATGAATTAAGGGAATTATTGTTATTATTATTATTATTGCTAATATTATTTTGTAAGAGCAAACGCTGCTATTGCTCGTGAGGCTCTAAAGTACATAATTTTTTTTAAGGTAATTTCTCAATTAAATCCTTGTGATTTTGAATAATGTGACTGCAATCATTCAAGATCTTTTGAACAATGTTAGAGTCTGGTTGGTAGAAAACCTTTCTAACGCTAGGAGTTCGAAAATTCTAAAATTTGAGCTATTCAGTTTAAAGAATGCTATACTTAAAAAGCGCGTTTAAAATTTAAGGCTCTTCGAAAAGAGAATCGCAACCTTCGTCTCTGGAATCCATGCTTTAATAATGAATAATTTGCTTTAAAATACTTTTAAATTAAGGTTTATTTATCCTTTTGATTTTAATTTGGTAAAGAAGATGGGTTTGTATTAGCTGTAAAATGGAAAGCAAGCTACCTTCTTTTTTTTTTTTGATTTGTTTGATTTAGTTTTGATTTTTTTGTTTATCTTGAATGCACTGTTGTATGATTTTGTTGTTAATTTACTCTTTAAATTCTTTATATTTAATGTGTAATTTACCTTATATATATATTAAGTATATCATAAAATATGAATTTATTTTTACTAATCTAAAATGATAATTAATTTATTAAATTAATACAAAAAGAAATCTATTTATTTTCTTATTCATTTATTCATTCTTCGCTAAATAATTCATTCATTCATTCATTTTTGTATATTATAGAGTATGATCAATTTAAAGTATATTTTTTGGCTTAGCTATTCTTTTGGTATCTATCTATCTATAAATCAATGATTAATGAATAATTAAAATAACAAAAAAAACAAACAAATATATTAATTTATTAAAGAATTTAATAATTGCTATCCAGTTTTTCCTTAATTCGTTTAACTTATTTTAATTTTGATTTTTGTTTGTTTGTTTGTTTAATATTTACTACTATAATATACACTTGTAAAGAAAGATAGATAAAAGATTAAATAAATTAAACAAACAAGCAAAAACCATATTTTCACTGAGAAGTTAGTCAGCCAGCTAACTAGCTAGGCATTTGATTTTAGGTTTTTGTTTGAAAATAATAAGCTTAAAAAAAATTAATATTTTGATGCATACATAGATCTACGAATAAATACTCCCTTATTAAATTATTGTATCAAAACCAATCAAGCAGTATTTCTATGTTTATTTTTTTACTCCTTTATATTTTCATATCTTAATTGGTCATAATTATTTTTAAATTCTATTTGATTTTTAAGAAAAAAGCAAGCACTTATTATTTCAGTTTGCATTGGGTTTGATCATTTTTTCAAAAATTCCCCCCCTTTTAATTTCTTCTTTACTGTTTTTATTTCTGACCAAATAAAAGCAGACATACATTTGTTTCTGCTAGATATATTTATTAACCATTAATAATAAAAAATTACTACTATAAAAGAATATCCTTTCTCTATTTTATTGCTCATTAATAGGCTTTTAGTCAAGCCTAAGCCAATTTAATTTAATTTCGACAAGTGATTAAATTTTTCCCCACCAACCAATGATCTTCTTTTTGTTAAGGCTTTCATATTTGAATAAATAACTACAAATATTTTAATTAGTATTGACCCTATATAAAAAATATATCTATCTATCTATGGATTATATCTTGCAAAAATAGTAAGTAACCTTGAAAAAATATCTGCATGTTTAATAAGAAAAAATTTTTGTCTGCATTATAATTTCTCATAATTATTTGAATAATTTTTGTAATAATTGACTGCCTTCTTTTGTTTTAATCTATTCTTATTTTCCTTATATCCAAAAATATAATTCTGGCTAGCTTTTTTATTAATTTGTAATTTTAAAAGAGCCTAAAACTGGTATTTACATCATATATATATTCAAAATCAAAAGCAATTACTATCATCCTAAAAATAATACATTTAGATTCTAAATTTACATTAAAATTAACTCAAAAAACATAACTGATTATTGCTAGATAAAATTAATTGATTCTATATTTGCTAAAGTAAGCTATACTTAACTCGAAATTTGAATGTACAAATTTTAAACGAAACGAAGGAGAAAAAAATGATAAATGAAAGATATTATATTTAAATTTTAAGATAGAAAAATTTATTTATTTATTTATTGATTTATTGACCGAACTAACCAAAGAACGAAAAAAAGAAAAGATTTGCCTTCCTTCCTTCAGTTACGATATTATTAATAGAAAAAAAAAATCTAATTCTTTATAAATTACAATTTTTATCTCTATTTGAATTTTTCTCATCTCATGAATGGCAATCGCTAATTTAATTTTTAACTTTACCTTTTTCTTTAGATTTAATGAGGGTTTTTCTTCCTCCTGAATTTATTTCCATACAAATCTTAAGCCTAGAAGTAGAAAATTAATTAATTAAATAAAAGAGCCTTTGAAAATTAAAATTTTAGTAAGTAAATAAATAAATACAAAGAAAAGCTTGTAAAGACAAAACAAGAGAGAGTGAGAGAGAGTTTGCTTTGAAAGATAAAAATAAAAAAGAAGGGAAAAAAAACTATAATTAAATTTATTCTTCGAATTATTATAATAAATATATACTCGAGAAATTTAATTTTCAAAGGACATACTAACTTACTTACATTGCATATAAATTATTTTATTCAAAAATTTAATTTGATCAGAAACAAGTAAAATTTTCTAATTTTTGATCAGAAAGAACGTATCCAAACACTCTCACCTTCTGATTCACCCCACTTAATACAAAATTGTTGAAATCCAATTTTTTCAAACAGATGTTCGCTCTTTTCCTTCTATTTTTCTAATAGAACAAATTTATTATTCTTGGAATTATCTATTTTGAAAATAATAGTTTCACTTGCCCCCAAATTAAAATTTTTATCTCAAGCGCAAAAATGAAAAATTTAATAAATTAAATTTCCTTCTTGTTCTACCCAACCAACCAGATAGATAGTTATTAATTAGATCAAAATCAATTTATTTTCTTGTTCTTCGATTAAATTAAAATATATATTTAAATTTTTATTCAAATCTTTTCAAAATATATTTAAATTTTTAATTAAAATTTTTAAAGCAAGTAAACAAACAAATCATACACCTCATTACATTTTTTTATTTCATTTTTCTTCTTAATTTTTTAATCAAATAAATGTTAAATTTATATCTTATTTTATGTAAGCTTTGAATTTTTTAAATAATTATTAGTCATTTATTTATTTATCTATTTATTAATAAAATTATTTATAAGCTATAATTGATTCTTATTAACTAATTGAGTAAGATATAATTTTTTTTACCAATAAACAATTTAACAATTTTTTCACAAATTTAAATGCAATAGATTTAGATTTAAAAATATTTTAATAATTTTTTTATCTATTAGATTACAATAAGTTAATAAAACACAAATGTCAATTCAAAATAAATTGAAAAAAAGAAAGTATTCTAGTTTTTCAAAAAAAGGTTAGTAAATAAAATTAATATTCAGAAAACTTAATTTTGGAAATTTATTAAAAAAAGTATTTTATTGATAAAGTTGTTTATATGTATTAAATATTTTGGTTCTTATCTAAATATGCTTATTGATTAGAAATTATTATGTACTTTTAAATCATCTTTCATGTGAAGTATTTATAATTATTTATAAAAGTATTTTATTAATTAATTTTTATATTAAATATTTTTATTATCAGCAAGGAGAATCTCTCTTTCTGTTGTTAAATAAATATTCTGATGATTTTTAACTTACAATTGATTTTTAAAAACCTTAGAAGAAGTATCATCAAAATAAAATGATATTTTTATCAAAAAATGTATCAAATAATTAATAAATATACATTAAAATGTGTCTATATTGATTGACCACTCTTGGAGAATTTATTGTATTTAATTTTCAATCGAAATTTGCTTTTAAAATAATTGCAATATTCCAACTTTAAAATATAAAAATAAATAAGAAGAAATAAACTATTTATTTTTTCATTTTTAATTCTGAATTAGAAAAAAATAATTCAGAAGAAATATTTTGATTAAAATAGAGCAAATTTATCTATTTATTTTTAAAAAGAAATAAATTTTCTGCCAAAAGGAAATAAATAGACCATATTACTTTACACTTAAAACTCATTTGAGATTCCTATTAGTTTTAGAATAGATTTTCCATTAAAAGGATATGATGATAATATAGATTTTATAAATTCTTTTTTGATCATCAAAATAAAATTTTATATTACTTTACACTTAAAAATCTATTAGAGATCCCTGTTAGTTTTAGAAAAAATTTTTAGCAGTTGTTTATCTTGAATCAAAAATTAGCTCAAGCAAACTATATGTTATAAGTTTTAAATTATTTTATCTGTGAAATAGATTGAATTATTTATAAAACTATTTTAGTATATGATATTTACTTATGATATTAAAATCTGTTCTAGATGCTTTTATTTATTTTACTTTATGCTGAAATATTATTAATTTCAATCAAATAAAAAATATAAAGCAAATAATTATAAAACAAACAAACAAACAAAAAAATCAGTACTGTCAAATGTCTTAAGAGAGAGAAGAAATATTATAAAAAGAGATAAAATCTGTTTAAGATAAAAATGATAGAATATCTCTTGACTAAAAAATAAAGAAATTACCTGTTTTCTAAAAAAAATACATATATAGAATAGAAACAATTCCTAACTAAATGAGTCCACGCTAAGTAAAAAGATTATAAAGAGAGATATCTCACTACGAATAAAATTAAATATAAGGAGTTAAACTCAATTATAATTATTAAAATCCTAATTTAATATACTTAACTATTGAAGGACCTAAAGGTACTCCTTTCTATGGAGCATCGTTAAATTATACAATGATATATAATAGATAGGAGCAATTATCGCCGGTCCAACAATAATAAACCCAACCCTAACCATATTATAACCTTTTAAAAAAAAGCTGGTCCTAAAAATTAGTCTCCAGACCTCACTTTTCCCTTTATATTGTAATCTTTAAATTTTTAAAATTAGTCATTTATTTATCTATTTATTAATAAAATTATTTATAAGATATAATTAATTATTATTAAGTAATTGAGTAAGGAACCATTTTACTAATAAACAATATAACCATTTTTTCACATATTTAAATGCTATAAATGCCAATTTATAATAAATTCAAAAAAAAATGCATTAAAAGATAGATATACAAAAGTTAGTAAATAAAATTAATATTCAGAAAATTTAATGATTAGTTGTTGTTTGTATGTATTAAATATTTTAGTTCTTATCTCAATAAATATGCTTATTAATTATATTTTATTATGTACTTTTAAATTATCTTTCTTGTGAAGCACTTATAATTTTATATAAAAGTATTTTATTAATTAAATACTTTATATGTCTATTTTTATTATCAGCGAGGATAATATCTCTTCCTATTATTAAAGATTCTGACGACTTTTAATTTACAATTGATTTTTATAAACCATAGGAGAAGTATCAAAATAAAATAATATTTTTATAAAAAATGTATTTGTAATAAAAATGTATTACTTAATCAATATACAGTGAACTCTGTCTATATTGACCACTCTTGGAGATTTATTGTATTTAATTATCAATCAAAATTTTCTTTTAAAATAATAGCAATATATATTACATCTTTAAAAATATAAAAATAAATAAGAAGAAATAAACTATTTTTTCATATTTAATTCTGAATTAGAAAAAAATAATAAAGAAGAAATATTTTGATTAAAATAGAGCAAATAAATTTTATCTATTTTTAAAAAGAACTAATTAGACAATATTAACAATTTTTTTTAATCCTCATCGAACAAATTTTTTATGTTACTCTACACTTAAAAATCCATTCGAGATTTCTGTCAGTTTTAGAATAGATTTTCCATTAAAAGGATATAATCAGACAATATTTTATAAATTCTTTTTTGATCATCAAAATAAAGTTTTATATTACTTTACACTTAAAAATCTATTAGAAATTTTTCGCAGTTGTTTATCCTGAATCAAAAGTAAATTAGCTCAAGCAATCTAAATGTTAGCTATTATAAGTTTAAAATTATCTTACCTGTGAAATAGATTGAATTATTTATAAAACTATTTTATTATTTAATATTTACTTATGATATTAAAATCTGTTCTAGATGCTTTTATTTATTTTACTTTACGTTGAAATATTATTAATTTCAATCAAATATAAAATATAAAACAAATAATAATAAAACAAACAGATAAAAAAAAATCAATACTATAAGAATGTCTTAAGAGAGAGAAGAAATATTATAAAAAGAGATAACATCTGTTTAAGATGAAAATGATAAAATATCTCTTGACTAAAAAATAGAGAAATTATCTGTTTAAGAAAAATACAGATAAAGAACAGAAACAAATCCTATCTAAATGTCTCCAGACTAAGTAAAAAAACAATATATTTGCAATGAAAGAGAGTCTTCTATGATGTACTTTGATGACGAAGAATAATTTAAGAAATATATTAATAACCAAATTGTTGAAAAAAAAACAGAAGAATAATTTATATAATACTTAGTCTTCCAAAAGCATATAAAATAATTTTTATCTGTAAATTCAGATAGTGTTTTCATTGACTTATTTTATTGAATAATTAAGTAATGAATTAAAACCATTCAATTTTACCAATCTACTAAATAAAATATAATACTAATTAAATTAAATGAAATTAAATAATTTTCAATCTTAAAAGTTTATTACCTGTTTTTTATATTTTTTGTGAACATATATCAAAATAAATAAATAAATTAATTAACTTTTAGATTTTTATTGTTTTAAATTAATATTTTATATTAAAAAATAAAAAAAAATATCCAAAACAAAAAAACTGCTTTTACATAAGTAGAAATAATTTATATATATATATGTATAGTACCCAAGAGTACTGCCTTTTTCAAGGCTATAAACTGAAATTTTAGATATATAAAAATATGTTGAAAAATATTTTTAAAAATGTCTTAAAAAGTAACCCTCCAAGTAAAATACTTGGAATGAATTAGAAAAAAATAATAAAGAAGAAATATTTTGATTAAAATAGAGCAAATAAATTTTATCTATTTTTAAAAAGAACTAATTAGACAATATTAACAATTTTTTTTAATCCTCATCGAACAAATTTTTTATGTTACTCTACACTTAAAAATCCATTCGAGATTTCTGTCAGTTTTAGAATAGATTTTCGATTAAAAGGATATAATCAGACAATATTTTATAAATTCTTTTTTGATCATCAAAATAAAGTTTTATATTACTTTACACTTAAAAATCTATTAGAAATTTTTCGCAGTTGTTTATCCTGAATCAAAAGTAAATTAACTCAAGCAATCTAGATGTTAGCTATTATAAGTTTTAAATTATCTTACCTGTGAAATAGATTGAATTATTTATAAAACTATTTTATTATTTAATATTTACTTATGATATTAAAATCTGTTCTAGATGCTTTTATTTATTTTACTTTACGTTGAAATATTATTAATTTCAATCAAATATAAAATATAAAACAAATAATAATAAAACAAACAGATAAAAAAAAAAATCAATACTATAAGAATGTCTTAAGAGAGAGAAGAAATATTATAAAAAGAGATAACATCTGTTTAAGATGAAAATGATAAAATATCTCTTGACCAAAAAATAGAGAAATTATCTGTTTAAGAAAAATACAGATAGAGAACAGAAACAAATCCTATCTAAATGCCTCCACACTAAGTAAAAAAATAATATATATGCAATGAAAGAGAGTCTTCTATGATATACTTTGATGACGAAGAATAATTTAATAAATATATTAATAACCAAATTGTTGAAAAAAAAACAGAAGAATAAGTTATATAATACTTAGTCTTCCAAAAGCATATAAAATAATTTTTATCTGTAAATTCAGATAGTGTTTTCATTGACTTATTTTATTGAATAATTAAGTAATGAATTAAAACCATTCAATTTTACCAATCTACTAAATAAAATATAATACTAATTAAATTAAATGAAATGAAATAATTTCCAATCTTAAAAGTTTATTACCTGTTTTTTATATTTTTTGTGAACATATATCAAAATAAATAAATAAATAAATTAACTTTTAGATTTTTATTATTTTAACTTAATTTTTATATTAAAAAATAAATATAAATATCCAAAACAAAAAAACTGCTTTTACATAAGTAGAAATAATTTATATATATATGTATAGTACCAAAGAGTACTGCCTTTTTCAAGGCTATAAACTGAAATTTTAGATATGAAGGTAATATTATAACCATTTAAATAAAGCTGGCCCTAAAAAGTTGTCTCCAGAACTCACTTTTCGCTTTATATTGTAAGCTTTAAATTTTTTAAATAATTATTAGTCATTTATTTATCTATTTATTAATAAAATTATTTATAAGTTCTAATTAACTCTTATTAAGTAATTGAGTAAGATATCAATTTACTAATAAACAATTTAACAATTTTTTCACATATTTAAATGCTAAAGATGCCAATTTATAATAAATTCAACAAAAAAAAATGTATTAAAAGAAGATATACAAAAGTTAGTAAATAAAATTAATATTCAGAAAATTTAATTTTGGAAATTTATTTATTTATAAAAGTATTTTATTGATTAAGTTGTTTGTATGTATTAAATATTTTAGTTCTTATCTAAATAAATATGCTTATTAATTATATTTTATTATGTACTTTTAAATTATCTTTCTTGTGAAGAACTTATAATTTTTTATAAAAGTATTTTATTAATTAAATTTTTTATATTATTTATTTTTATTATCAACAAGGATAATCTCTCTTCCTGTTGCTAAAGATTCTGACGATTTTTAATTTACAATTGATTTTTATAAAGCATAGGAGAAGTATCATCAAAATAAAATAGTATTTTTATAAAAAATGTATTTGTAATAAAAATGTTTCACTTAATCAATATACAGTGAAATCTGTCTATATTGACCACTCTTGGAGATTTTATTGTATTTAATTTTTAATTAAAATTAGCTTTTAAAATAATTGCAATATTTGATCTTTAAAAATATAAAAATAAATAAGAAGAAAAAAACTATTTTTTCATTTTTAATTCTGAATTAGAAAAAAAAAATACAGAAGAAATATTTTGATTAAAATAGAGCAAATTTTATCTCTTTTAAAAAGAAATAATTAGACAATCATTATAAAAATTTTTTTTGATGATCAAAATAAACTTTTTATGTTACTTTATAATTATAAATCCATATGAGATTCCTGTTAGTTTTAAAATAGTTTTCCTCAAAAAGGAAATAAATAGACAATTTAATATAAATTATTTTTTTGATCATCAAAATAAATTTTTATTTTACTTTACACTTAAAATTCATTTGAAATTCCTGTTAGTTTTAAAGTAAATTTTCCACAAAAAGAAAATAATGAGGCAATGTTTTATAAATTCTTTTTTTGATCATTAAAATAAAGTTTTATTTTACTTTACACTTAAAATCCAATGGAGATTCCTGTTAGTTTTAGAAAAGATTTTCCACATTTGTTTATTCTTAATCAAAAATTAGCTCAAGCAAGCTAGATGCTATTATAAGTTTTAAATTATCTTTGCTGTGAAATAGATTGAGTTATTTATAAAACTATTTTATGATCCTAAAATGTGTTCTAGATTCTATTTTTTATTTTACTTTATGTTGAAATTTTATTAAATTCAATCAAATAAAAAATATAAAATAAATAATAATAAAACAAACAAACAAATAAATAAATAAATACTATAAAAATGTCTTAAGAGAGAGAGGAAATATTGTAAAAAGAGATAACATCTGTTTAAGATGAAAATGATATAATATCTCTTGACTAAATAAAAGATAAATAATATGTTTAAAGAAAAAAATATTAATCAAGAAATTTACAAATAAGTATTATCAAAATACCTTTAAATAGAGAAGAAAGGTTATAAAAAGAGATAAGATCTGCTTATGAAAATGAGATAATATCTGTTTACTAAAAAAAAAAAAATTATCTACTTACTCAGAAAATTAGATATAAAGAAAGAAAGAAACAATAAACAAACTACCTTCATTTAGACTAAGAAGAATATAAGGAGAGATATCTCACTACGAATAAAATTAAATATAAGGAGTTAAACTCAATTATAATTATTAAAATCCTGTAGCAATATACTTAACTATTTAAGGACCTAAAGGTACTCCTTACTATGGAGCATGGTTTAATTATGAAATGACTTTTCCAGATAATTACCCTTTCGAACCTCCTATAATAACTTCTCTTCAAACTGTCTATCATTATTCAGAATATAATTGTTTACTAAAAGGGGGATGCTTTGGTCATGCCCCTAGGCATTTAGAGTATAAAAGCGGCTGGTTACCTTCTTACAATTTTGATAGATAGATAAAAAAAGTAATTGATTACTTTTATATTGAACACTTTACAGATATGTGGGTTGATACAGTGACTTATTAGATCTACTTAAAAGACAAAGAATAATTTAACAAAAATGTTAAAAGCACAATTGCTACAGAAAAAGCAAAAGAATAAGTTAAACAATACTTAGTCTTCCAAAAGTGTATAAAATAATTTTTACCCATAAATTCAGATAGTGTATTCATTGACTTATTTTTTTGAATAATTCAGAAATCAATTAAAACCATACGATTTTAAATACTTCTACTCGTATGTATATTATATATCTCTATTAAATAAAACTAATTAAATCAAATATAATGCAATAATATCCAAGTTTAAAAGTTTAATACGTGTTTTTGATATTTTTTGTAGATTAAATATCAATATCTAAAACAAAAAAACTGTTTTTACCTAAGTGGATGGAAATCTTTTTATTTGTGGTAAATATATTAAAAGTTGAATTATTCAATAACAAAAAAATTTTAAATATCATTTTATAAAATTAAATTAAACTTTCTTCATAACTTTACTCTAAACAACTATTTATAATATTATTTTATTTTTTCCTAAAAAACCAATATCTTCATTTAAAACATTCAATTTTTAAAATTTAAATAATCAATATTGATAATTTAATAGAATATAAATAACATGATTTACTTTTTATTTTAAAATAATTTCAGAATATTCAAAATTAAGAATATTTTTTATAAATATTATTTTTAATAGTGTTTTAAGAGTTTAATGATCAAAATATATTTTCATCATAATCAATTTTAAACTAAGTAAAATTTAAACATAGAATTAATGTAAAATACATAATAAACAAACATATAAAAATGATAGTTTAAGAACTAAAATTTAAAAAAATTGGAGTAAAATTAAATAATACTTTATAATATTTTTATATAAATAAAAAAATTTAACTAATATTAACTCAGTCCCTAATGTTAATTTATGATCCCATGCTATTGTTAATATTACTGTTGTTGTTATTGATGTTATTTTATTGTGATGGACTGTTTTTTTGAGGAAATAGTCTTTACTGTAATTCTATTTATTCTTCTTATTCTTATTTAAATATTTTTGACAAAACCCTATTTATTTTTTATGACTAATTTAAATATAATATTGAATGATTAAAAATTACTTAATTCCTTTTTTAGCATGATTCTTAGGGACTGGTGTAATTTAAGTCGGGAATAAGTTATCTTAGATTATCTTTATTCCTTCGTTAATTCTGTCTCCTTCCAATTTGTACTAACTATATACTTCTCTATTTAAAAAATTTAATACATTACTTATTAGCTTTAAAAAAATATTATTTTATACTTTTTTGCTTGCTAAATTAATTCTCTTTAATTTCTTATTGCAGCTATATTATCTTAGTGCTATTTTTCCTTTTCTAGCATTTGCTCAAGCTTGTAATCATTTATTCTATGCTGTCTATCAAAGTTTTCATGAATGTAATCTAGCTTCAAGTTTCTTAACTCCTATTTAAGTTTGCACGTTTCTTCGATTTCTTGCTGTAATTAAAATCAAAAAATTTTGAACAAGCTATTTATTTATTTCATTTTATTAATGCTCAAATAAATTTACTTACTTATTTTTTTATCCTATTTTCTTCGATCTATTTGAATTTATTATTAAGTTATATTTTTTTTTATTAGTTTTCTCGATAAACACCGAGTTAATTTTCTTTAAGTCTTTCCTCTTTTTCCTTTTTAAGCTACTAAAGAGAGATATCCATTCTTATTTGTTTTTCCATATTTTCTATTTTAATACATCATATACATGAGGTTAATAACTTTTAAGGATTAAATTGAATATACGTTTATGCTTCTAGTCTTTGTCTTAAAGTTTCTCAACAAACTATGAGAAATTCAATTTTTCTTTATATTTTTATGTTTAAATAAAATTATCTAATCTCATTTCTTCTTAAGATAGTCGTTCTTTCATTTTCTACTACTTTTCTTATATTTTCTGTTTATATTATTCTTCTGATATCATCATTTTATTCAAAAGCTATTTATATTGCTTTTAACTTTCCTTCAGGTCTCTCATTTAACATTCTGATTTTGCTCTTGAAATCTTTTCATTTCTCTCTCTTCTTTTTCTCCTTTTCTGCTCTTATTCTTGTTCATTTTAAACACTCTACTCGTTCTATTTCTGCTTACTAAAACATTTTTAAACATAAATAAATTAAAATTAATATTTTATTGGTTATTTTATTTGATTAAAATTTATATGTTGTTGCTAAATAAAATATTAATTAATTAATTAATAATTTATCTTTAATTTCTTATCTTTGAATATTCAAAAATAAATAAATAAAAAAAGATTACATTTCCTCAAGCCTTTTCATCACTTCTTATTTTTGTTTAAATTTTTCATCCTCTTGAGCCTTATTGAGAGACCTGATTTACTCAAGCTTTTCAAGTGCTCTCTCTCTATCTTTTTCTTTTTTCTATTACTTTTTTATTTCTTCTCTTATTTTAAATTCAGTCATTTTCTTCTCTCTTTCTGCCATTTCCTCAATCATTTTTTATCTTTTTAAGTCATCCAGATATATAAACTTTGCTTCTTTCTATATTTTAAGTTTGAAATTAACAAACTTTTCAAAAAAATATTTTTTATTTTTACCTATTTTTAGAGTTTTAACTTATTAAATCTATTGATTTCTTTCTCCATTTAGCTTTCAAAAGGGTCAAAATCTTAACTCACTTCATCTCCATTATTATTTAAAACAATACTTCCTTCTTATACTTCAGGTGTTTCATGACTTGATCTTAAATACTTAACTGTCTTATCAAACAGCTATGACATATGTAAAGGATCCCTATTAAAAAAATTAAAATGCTACCATCAAATTACAAAAACCATGTTATTAAAATAAATTTATCTATAATTTAAAGTCAAAAAATTTTGCTTATGTAAAAAGCAATAACTAATTTTTATTAGGCAATTAAAATAATATATGAAAATAATGCCATTTTGTGCTTTTGATTAAAATAAAAACTATTACACTTTATACTCACTAAAAGAACGATAATGAAGAGTAGGTTTTTAGTAAAAACTTTTAAAATTTATATTGTTTGCTGAAGTGATATTAAGATTATCTTTAGAAGTTCTATTGTTAGTGTTGCCAAAACTTGTTATTTTTTGTAGTGGAATATCTTTATTTTATCCAGATGAAATATGAGGTTAAAGAAAAAATTGTTATCTGTCTTGCCTAGCTCCAGAGATAGCTGTATTAGCTTTTGTAGATGCAACTGATTGATTTTGGGATTCTTTATTTGGTTATCTTTACTTTGCAAAAAAGTTGTTATTATTATTGTTTGATGTAATTGACTCATTAAGTTTTAGCGCCTATTCTCTTTCTCTTTTCATTATCTCTTTTCTCTATCTCATTATGCTAATATAATCCTCTATTTTTTAAACATGACAAGTTTATGAATACATACATGCTTTGTTAATTAGTTTATTTATAATGTAAATTCAACTTACAAATAAGTCTTTCTTGATGGTGCTCGTATCTAAGCTATTGAATTTTTTCAGTTACATTAGGGCCTTTAAAGTCATCTAACTGCCTTAAGTTTGTTTTATAAAAATAAGATATTTAATATTTCTATAAATGTCTACATATTCTAATAACAGAATCAATCTATCATTAATACTACTAAAAAGGGAGATAAATATGATAAAAATGTTAACAAACACACATTCTCATTGTCAGAAATATCCTGCAAAAGTTTTCATATATGTTGTTTAATGAAAAAAATAACTTATTTCTACTTTTATTGGAGACTTGATGGTAGTATACCTAATTATTTCATAGCTAATTATGTGCGAGGACTATCAATACGTATTTAAGCCTACTTTCCAGATTATGGAAGAGTAAAAACTATAGAATATTGTCTAGGCTTAGACCCACTTAATCCTTTAGGAGTATTTATTGCTGTAAACGAAGGTAATTACTATGCTAAAATTGATCCTCTCTGCATATTGCTAAATATGTTAATCTAATTAGATTGAAGATTATCACTCATTATTATAATTAAAATCAGTTGCTAAATTTACTGCTTATAACTTATATCTAATACCCTTTAATAGTTATTTTTTATAAATTAATTTATGTATTTTCATATATTTTTACTTAAATTAAATTTTTTTTCTTAAACCTCATACCAATATAAAACATTATTGCAAAATCAAAGTCATGCAAAACATTAACAACCAAGCAAAATATTTACAAATTATTTGTTTTTCTAAGTTTTGTTTTTTAATCTATTTGAACAAATAGAACATAAAAAAAATTCTCTCTTTAAAAAATTACTGAACTATTTAAATTTCATCAGTATATTTGTTATATTTTTAGTTATTCTAGATTTATTTTATAAAAATTTGAAAAATTATTTTATTAATTTTAATTTTTCAGTGAGTACTTTAATAAAAATCTTTATTTTTTAATTATTATTTTGGTTAATATTTTTATCTAAAAATATCTTTAGTACTTGAAAAAGATAATTCTAGATTATTAATCTAAAAAGCTTTTACTATACCAAAGATGATCTTTTTTCTTAATAAATAAATACTACATAATTAATAGAAAAAAAATTTAGTATTTTTAATCGATTTAGCATAATTATAAATATTTTTGAAGGTTAAATCCTTTTTAAAAAGTGATATTAAAATATTAATGTAATTCTTATTAAATGTCTCAACAAATATTTTTTTGAATTTTAGAAAGCAATTATTTGTTTAGTTAAAAATCAAAATATATAAAAAAGCAGGGGCTGGTTACTTTACTTGAAGCATTTACATTTACTTAATTTTTAATTATAAAGTTAAACAAATTGATTATTTTTCTTGTTAATAATTGTAAGACTATTATGCAAATTATTTATTTTTTTTCTATAATCAATATAAATTAAATAAGAAAAATGAATTTTTAAAGATGATGTTATATGTTGCTTTTTCCTCTTGGACTTTTAAAAACTTGTTACTTACTTTTAAGATTTAGGCTTTATAGGATGCAGCACTAAAATAATAAATAGCTTTTTGTTAATTATTGACTGGTTATTAAGATAATATCAAATTAAGTAATAGTTTGTATAGTCTGATTTCTTATATTAAAAAAAGCGAGATTTTTTGAGGTAAAAAATAAATTGTTATATAATCCTTTAGATTAATTAGATTTTTAAGTCACAATTAATCATTTTTAGTAGGTTATCGAAAAAAATAAGAAAAATAATCTGAATCAAAAAATTGAAAATAACAAATTATTCATTATCAATATAAATTGATTTTACTGACATAAAAAGGACATAATAAAGGTTTTTACGGATAAATTTTATTTGGTCAGCAATATTTTAACCTATAAAAAGAGTAAAATCAGCAAATATTTAGCTTTAAGATCTCTAAAAATAAATCTGCATTTTGTTGAAAGGATAGTGTAAAATCTAAAATGAGTATAAATTCTATGACAAGTTCTATAAGTTCAGATTATGATTTCAATTCAGTTACTTTTTAAAGGAAGTAAGAATTTTCTGTGAGCGATACAAGTAGTTCTAACCTGAATAGTGTTGCTTAAATCAGTTCCAATTTTACTTTGAATTATTAATAATAACTAGAGAATGATAATAATCAATCTGATAAATAGAAGTCTGTCACAAGTATAGAGGAAGAAGAGGAGAAAAAGGAAAATAATTATCAAATATAAAAAATATAAAAAAAGATCAGGAAAGTCAAATATTTACTCAAGTTATGTCAGCCTTTAGAAATCAATGAATGCTTTTTAATCGAGGGCGAGTTTCTTTTTTATCCTAAGGCCTTTATGAAATATTAAAGTCAAAACCACCTGGAATAATCTTCTTAAATGAACCAATTCAGACCTGTTAGAAAAGTAAATTTCTTTGATGATTAGCGCATTGATGTGGAGTTAGATAATTTTATGGATTGCTATGGTAATGTGGAAGTAGTAAAACAGTATTTAAATAGATTGAATGATTAAAAAAGTAAATAAATGTGTATGTATGTAAATTATTATGAGATGTTAATTTCAGATCAATACTAAACACTAAAATTAGTCAAAGAATATTATTTAAATAAAGAATAAGAGTTGATTGACAAATTAGATGAAAATTTTTAAAAGTCCTTGCAGTAAGCTCATAAATTCATGGAACAGTTAAACAAATAAAATACTCTTACGCTATATTTTTTAAGGAGAGTCAACCCAATAAATTTATTCAAAAAATCCCACTCGATGGGTGCAACAAAAACTCTTTTAGACATAATTTTTGGATAAGATGCTGTTGATAAGTAAACTCTGAAGTAAAGGCTTATGAGAGAAGGAGTGCCTAATTTGATAGACTACAGAGGTTTAGTATAATATATGATTCAATCTTTCTCTGGAACTGAAGGTGAAACAATTGATTTAATGACTGTTGACATGTTTAAAATTCCTTGCAAACTTTAATGTATGAATCTCCCTTTAAGTAGTATAGAAATAATTCCTGGATATACTGTTTACGATGAATTGCTATACTCTACATACACACCTACTAATCCAAAAATTATCGATAATATCTTAAAAGTAAGAAAAGAATAATAAAATATACAAACCCAAACTTACTAAATAGATATTAGCGATTTTTCATACGAAGCTAAAAGTGAACAGTTTGTTGAAAAATATTATCCAGATGTTTCCTATTAATTAAAATTTAAAAGAAAAAAACCTGAAAACTTTAAAAAACCACTATATCAATAGGAGTAAAATAAAACTTTTAGCAGCATGGGTATTTTTTCTGACTGAAAGAATTCTAAATTACATAATTGAGTTAATTAATTATCAGATATACAAAATTTGTTATTAAATTGCAAATTTATATTCATATATATAAATAGTTTAAACAACTTTATCAATTAATTTACTATTTATTTTTTTAATATTAGATAAATATATTACCCCTTTTTGCAATATTTTCTTTTTTTAATCTATTTATTTTTTAGTTTAAAATTAATTTTAAAATGGCTTAAAAAAATTATAAAACTTAAATAAATAAAAAGTCAATAATTCACTTCAAAATTAAATGAAATCAAGAATTTATTGGCATTTTTATTTTTTTTTGAGATATATACTTTGCATTCTTATTAATTAATTAGGACCGGTTTACAATATATTTTTTTATCAAAATTGGTCTTAATAAAAAGCGTATCAAAAGGTATTAGCTCATAGAAATATGACAAAACTAAAAATTAATACAGTAATTATGTTAAATGAAAAAAAACTTTAAAAAATATTTATAAGCTAATTTTAAAGTTTAAAAATAAATAACTTAAATCTTTAAATCAGACTTAAAAACATATTTTTCAATCAAGCAATTTTTAAATTTTTAAAGATTTATCTTTGCCTATTCTAAATGTAGACTCTATAAAAAAATTTATATAACTTAATTAAAATGAGCTTTTAAATTCAATTTGTATTAAAATTGCTAAAAAATGTAATTATGCTTTCATAATGTATTATTATTATATATTATTTAGTATTGTTTATTGCTATTTTACAGACATTAAAGTTAACATAAAGATTTAAACCAATGTTTTGGAATCAGTGAAAAAATATTGATGTATAATTATCACTAACTTATTAGGTAACCTATGTTCTTTTTTGATTTACATATTATTGGTATATTAAAATTAGGATAATGTATTAAGCATCTCAATATATTTCATATTAAACCAATATTTAGGAATCAGTGGATAATGATTGAAGTATAATTATCACTAATTTATTAGGCCATCTATTTCTTTTTTTATTTTTTTCTTCGAAATATATTAAAATCAGGAAAATATATTAAGCATCTCAATATATTTCATTAATGGAGAACTTTCAATTTTGAATTTAAATAACCAAAATTTTTTTAAATAAACAATTCTCTTAGGTAAATGATAGTCTATGAAGTGTTTACGAATGAAGCTGCAAATATTTTCATTATAAATGAAATATACCTTTTCAAATAAATGTATTTTAAATATTTAAGATATTTATTTATTTTATGTTTTTATATTTTAATTAGTATAGAAAATTCAAATAATTCATTCATTTTATCAGAAATTAAGATTTATTACTCTTTTTTTTTTGATAATTAGTACAATTTTCTATATAAATCACATCAGAATTAAAGAAAAGGTATCAGTAAATTAAATAAAAATAATTAATTAATTTATTAATTAGAATTGTCTAAATATTTGCATTTTAAAAACAAATATTAAATTTAATTATTCATTATTTCCATGAAAGTTTTTATTATCAAAAATGACTATAAATTGTAAATTAATTAATTAATTAAATATTATTAAATAATTGATTTTAAAATTTCAAAAAAGAATCTTTGGAAATAAATAGTAATTAATTATTCTAAAAAAATAAATAAAAGATACAACTTATTTCAAAATTAAGTAGAGAATCAAAGAAAGGCGACCCAAAATATTTAAAAAGGTTAACAAATTATTTAGATCGAAAAATGGCCTATAACTAAGAATCTACCTATTTAGACTTGAAGAAACAAGTGCATAATTTCAGTTACGAAAGTTTATTTTAAGAAGGTTAAATCCTCGAAGGCAAAGACATTCAATAAGATTAGTTAAATGAGTTGCATGAAGGCGTATCTCAAAATACTTATTTATTCGTTTAAGAGAAAGACATATTATAAGCGGATGTAAAGAATGTTTGCCTATATTTTAGACACACAGAGATAGAAAAGTAGGCTAATTTAAAAGAAGAATAAATCAAAAAATTCCCATTTACTATGATTACAGAAAGATTAAATTATATTATTCAAAAGTATTAAGAATAACCTGTTTTACTTGATACAGTAATGGATCATATTATACTACCTCTTATGGAAGAAGTTAATCTTTACTTGTAGAAATTTATGAAGGAATCATTATAGCGTAATTTACTTTGATATAATGAAAATCATTTAAATTATATTTACTTAAAATAGATGGCGAAGACTCAGAGTTTATTCAAAGTAAGGCATTTATTTTAAGTTTAAAAAATTAAAAAAAACCTAAATATGATATAAAATGATTAATGTCTTTAAAAAATTCAAAAATAAAGCGTAGCACTCATCATAAAAAGAAAATAGTTAAACTAAATTGAAAAAATGATATTAAAGAAATTAAAAGAATGAAAAAACCATTTAAAATTAATATTAATTTAGAATAAAATGATAAAATCTAGTAGAATAAAAAGAATAAATAGACTGTCAGTATGTATGCTTAAGAAATGTGTTTATAAGTTAACACTTTACAATAAAATTTATAATGGCAGACCATAATAACATTAGAATTAAATTAGTTTAAAAGTATAAATAATTAAGGCAATGAAATTATTTGAGAATAAATAAATAAACTTTTATTAGGCAAATAAAATTAAAGTATTCAAAAACCAATAAATAAATTTTGTTTACTCAATCAAAAATATTTAAAAAATAGTTTTATGCAATCAATTTTTAAATCAAAATAATATTAAATTTAATTGAATTAAAGAAACATTAAAAGATATTCTAGATTTAATTTTTAATGTGGTTTTTAAAAATATAATTTTGCTTAGAATTAATAAAAAAGAACATTTATTTTTTATCAAATTTTCAAGTTTTAAAAGAATGAATCAATCAACTACTTTAATAAAAACAAAAAAATTCAAGTTTATTTTTAAATAAAAAATGAATTTTAAAAATAATATTTTTATATTCAAAATAATTGGATTCTTTCTTCTTATTTAAGCTTAATATTAATATTCTTTATCTTATCTTAATAAAATGTAGACAAAAACTAATAGAGCTTCCATTAATTGATATCAATTGTTTATATGCTTTGTAAAGTGAGACACTATAAACATATTAACAAATTTTTCCCACATGAAGTAAAAGATCTAGAACCTGTGGTATATTATTTAATTGTTTAAAGAGCTAGATAAACTGAAATTTGGGAGACTAAGTATGTTTTACTTTTGTGGATGTCTATCATTATTTTGGTTCCTTTTGATTTAGTTACCATTGATTCTTCACACATGAATATGGAGATTTTTGATGCAGCCATTGTAAATAATCCAGCTCTTAGAAAGTAGCAAGGTGTAAATGCTCCTTAAAGATGTAAAGGCATTACTAATAATTTGATTGAAATTGGTAAATATTATCTTAATAGCTCAACTAAGCTTAGAGAAGCATCTTCTTAATTCTTAAGTAACTTTTTCGCTCGTACAGATATTTAAAAGACAACTACTTTATATGAATTTATTGAATGGGCTATTAAAACGGTTTAGTTATTTGAGAAAGATCCATTTTCTATCAATTTATGTGCTGGTATCTACTCCTCTATTGTAGAAATATTTAAAATAGGACAACGTAGAGAGTTTTTAAAAATCATTCCTCTTTTAGTACCTTTGATAAAATATGAAGATGAAAAAGGCAAAAAAATCATTGAAAATACTGCCTTACGTCACCTTAAATGCAAACTAGCATAAAGAATAGGTAATCATCATTTAATATTAATCATTATTTTTACTAATAAATTTGAATTAATTCTCATAAACTTTTGTAATTTAATAGGAATGGTTTACTTGAGACCAAGACCTGTTGCATGGGCTTACAGAAGAGGTAATAACTCACTGTTAGAAAATATGAAGAAGACTATTACAGATTCAAAGCTTCAAACTAACGTGTAAAAAGTAGAAAATAAATCAAACTAATCAGTTACAGAATCTAATAAGAATTCAAAAGTAACAGAAAAGTCAGCTTAGGAGCAAGCTATTGATTTATAGAATAGCCAACAATATTTTGAAGATGTTGATTAAGAAAAACTAGAATGTATCATAGATTTCTTGTTGGAATGCTTAAGGGATAAGACAACTGTAGTAAGATGGTCTGCAGCTAAAGGTATTGGACGTATTACTTCAAGACTAGATATAAGTATGGCTGACGATGTTGTTAATGCAATTTTAGATTTATTCTCTCCTAATGAAACTGAAGATACTTGGCATGGAGGTTGTCTCACTTTAGGTGAACTTTCAAGAAGAGGTTTACTTCTTCCATCTAGACTTAAAGAAGTATTTCCTATACTCTACAAAGCCCTCCACTTTGATTAAAACCAAGGTAATTTATCATAAAATTTCATAGAATTATTTAATTTACATAATTAATCTTTATTAAAAATTGAATATTAATTTAAATCTAAAGGTAACTATTCTGTTGGTGCAAATGTTAGAGATAGTGCTTGTTATATTACTTGGGCCTTTGCACGTGCTTACGATCCAGAAGTATTGTAGCCTTATGTTGAAGAATTGGCTAAAAATCTACTAATAACTTGCTTGTATGATAGAGAAGTTAATTGTAGAAGAGCAGCTTCAGCTGCATTCTAAGAGCACGTTGGAAGACAAGGTTCCTTCCCCCATGGCATATAAATTCTCACTGAAGCAGATTACTTTACACTTGGTCTTAGAAATAATGCTTATTTAAATATAGGTCTTTATGTATCTCACTATAAAGTAAAAATAAATTTAATTTAATTAGCCTAAGCAAAAAAAAAAATGCTTCATTTCATTCAACTCATAAAATTGTTTCTTTAATTTATCTTAAAAAATCAGATAAAATTAATTCTCAATTTAAAGTTAAAATTATTAACTATTTTATTAGAATGATAATTATAATATTTTATGTATAAATTAAATAGGTTTATTTAAGAAGTTTTATTGAGCACTTAGCTTTTTCTAAACTTCGTCATTAAGATATAGAATTAAGAAGACTTTCAGCTTCTGCACTTTGTTTAATGACTTCTCTTGATCCTGAATTTATGATAAAGGATGTTCTTAGAAGTCTCTTAAATTATGTCACTCATGACACTGTAAATTTCTTAATGCTTATAAAATTCTAAATGAAAATTTAATAATAATTTTAAGGAATAATTTTTATTTTGCAATTCTAAATAAGCAAAAATATAAAAACTTAGTTAGAAAACTAACTAAATAAATAAATAAAAATGAGTATATTTCTAAAATTAAATAAATTATCAAATAGCTTCCCTATAAATTTTGATAATTTTAAAAAGATTAAAATTGATTGCAAAATAAAAATTATTTTAAGTTTATTTGAACAAAAATTATTTTAAATTTTTTTGAATAAAAACAAAATTACTTTTTTTTTAATTATTTTTTGATATTTTTTTTGTAATTAAAAAAGGTTGAAATTAGACATGGTGCTTTATACGGAATAGCAGAAATATTGGTTGGTGCTTGTGGTAGAAGCGATTTACATAATATGAAAGGTGAGATGAAGGATAGTGTTTTTTTGAAAACATTATCTTCAAATGAAAGAAAATTGATTAAAGCAGGAGAATATATGAGCAAATTTAAAGAAGATTATGAGGTAACTAGATATCAGAATAACATCAATATATTACTTGGTGAAGATACTCTGGCTACTGTGTTAGATGTTGTTAATTAAATAGAAAAAGCAAGACTTTTTAGAGGTAAAGGTGGTGAGTTTATGAGAGTAGCTGTTTGCAGATTAATAGAAGCTATATCTATTTCTAATTTACCAGCAAAGGCTGTCCATTTAAAGAGATATATGGTAAACACTATTCAATCTAATTATCGATTTTATCTTATGATATTTTTTATTTAAAGGATACTTTAGAAGAATGTTTGAAGAGTTTTATCGAAAATATTTAACTAGCTGCTAGTAAAGCACTCAAAATATTTAGTGCCACTTACCACACTGAGCCAAAAAAAGAATTTAACCAATATGTGACAAAGTTTATCGCAGCTGCTTCTACTGATTTAAATGTTGCTGTGACTAGAGGTTACACTCTTGGTTTAGCAGCATTCTCTCCATCTTTACTAAAAGCAAACGTATAAAATTATCTTAATATGATAAAATTATTTTTAGGTGATTAGTTTAGTTTTAAAAAATATTCATTTTAAAAAAATTTAGCTCACTGAAATTTTAAGAGTTTTAGGTGAAAACTGTAAAACAAAATCTAAGGAAGAAGATGACGCTGATACTCGTAAATACGCTGTAAATGCATTTTATAAGATAATAGCTATTCTAGGTCTAGATGGTAACACCTGCATATCTCAAGAGCAATTTAACTTCATCTTTGATTAATGCAAACAAGTTATGGGAGACTATACTATGGACAAGAGAGGAGACATAGGTTCAATTGTAAGAGAAGCTTCTATGGTAGTCCAACAAAATATTTTAAAGAAATGGGTAATGACAAAATAATAAGAAAATGAAGAAAATAAAACTAAATTAGTGATTTCAAGTGAATTGATGCATAGCATCATTTGTCTGATCCTACAATAGTTATCTGAAAAAATAGATAGAGTAAGACTTGTTGCAGGAAGTGTCATACAAGAAATTTTTGATAATCTTTATGATACCCTTCCTGATTTCCCTAAAAAGAAAGAGCTCCAAGCAATCTTTAACAAACAAAACATAAAATCTTTAGTGCAAAAAGACGAAGACAGAATGGATGCATTTTTTGAAACTGAAGTCATCAAAGCAGAATTAACTCATTTTTCAAATGAGCAAAATGTTAAAATAAATGATTTTATCTTTTATTGGAACTAGCCTCATGGAGTGTACCCAATAGTAACACAACTCTTATAGCATGCAGAATACAACTATTACATAGTAATTTTTTTTTAATTAAATTTTGAAGAAGATAAATTTGAAATCATAGATGATATTTTCTTAAATAAATTTGAAAAAAATCAAATAAAACAAATAAATAAATAAATTATTTTATCATTAAAAAAATTTGATTTTCTGAAACAAGTAATAAAATAAAAATGACGACATAAATTTTACAATTTGCTTAGAATAAACCATAAGACTATTTTAAGTCAAACAATAAAAAAAGCATCATATTTTATTACTTCTGATTAAAATGAAAAAAAGATGATTTTAAATTAAATTAAATTTAACTCTTAGTTTGAAAATTAATTTATTTAATTTGCTTCAATAATTATCACTTGAATTGATCTTATAAATATTGTTAAAATTTAAGATTAAGGGATTGTGCGTTAGTGTTGGTGGAATCACTGAAAGTGTAGTTAAGCATTCTCTCGGAGCTCTGACTCAGTTTATCTCTAATATATCGTAAAAAACTTTACTTTTATTTCTTTAACTATGTAAGTGTACCCCACCATAAAATATCATTAATTGTTTATACATCAGCTTAACAAATTAATTATTGAAAATTTGTGTGTAAACATTCGCTTAAAAATTTTAAAACCCCTATGAAGTCGAACATTTTCAAATCTCTGTAAATTCAAACATTTTTAAATCTATGTAAAGTCACACAAGTTTGATATTTACCTGAATATTTTTTTTTCTCTTTTATTTAATAAGTTGTCATACATATTTTTTTTAAAACAAGAAAAACTTAACTTCAAAATGAGGTCTTTGAACTCACCTTTGAAAATATTATAAAAATCTTAAATGAGTATGCAAAAGAAGAAAGAGTAGTCATTCCGATGTTCAAAACTCTTGATTTTATGTTTGAAAAAAGTGAAATTCAAGAGTGGGCAAAGACAAATAATTATGGAGAAAAGATATTTGAGATTATTTGCAAGGAAATCAAAGGAACTAAGTCAATATTAAAAGTAATTAATACATTTTATTTTACTCTGCCATCTTTCTAAATATTATTTTGTATATGAATTCTCCTATAATTTAAATAACTTGAAAATTAAGGAAATTAACAAAGATATTTACAATTTAATAAATCTTTTTGAGATTGTATTGTTTAAGACAAAACAAATAAAAACTTGATGAAATGTGAATAATTAAAGTTTTTAAAGCTGAAATCTAATTTTAAATTTCAAAGCAAAATTAATTAATTAAGCACATATCAAAATAGTTTTTATTCAAAAAATTTATATAACAATTGTAACAAAGAAGATTTTTTTTTAAAATAATTTTTATTTGTTCTTTAAAAAGATTTATTTTTGCTTTAAAATATTTATAAAAAATTATTGTAATAAAGATACCTTCATGCGTTGGCTTGGTTGTTGGATTGATGAATTTGTAAAAAGAAAGTATATAAAATGATATGCTAGAGCTCATTTTATCAATATTAACTCACAAGTAAATACTACATTTTAATCGATATTTTTAATTTTTAATATAGTGCAGTTTCTCTAATTTAATTAATCACAATTAATATTTAAATAGATTCCCAAAGGTTAGAAAAGCAATGTCTGATAAATTATATCTTCTTTTGCTTGCTTCTGGGGAGGATCTTTTTGGAGAAGAAAAGAGCGATGCTTGTATAGAATTATTAATGGAAAGAGACTGGTTAGAGGTATATTAAATTTTAATAAATTGACAATTATTTAAATAGCTAATCAAAAATACACATTACACTATTTTAAGAATTCCTTTGGCTTCTTTTAAAAACAAAAATTAATTATAGCCCACCAAAAAAATAAGTTGGCGTAACTTTCGAATATAAATTTAAGATAATCCTTTAAATTTATCTTTTTAGATAGTTCTATTAATTTTATTGTATATCAAATTGGTATATTTTTACTCTTTGAGGCAAAAATTCGCAAAGATAAAATAATCAATGAATCAATATTTGAACTTACTGGATAAATTTTGATATTAAAATAAAAAAAATTATTAAATCATTCAAATAGCTTTTTATTATTCAACCAAATATTTTAAGCAAATTGCTTACTGTTTAAATACTAGAAAAAAATAATTTAAAGAAAAATGATTCAAAATTGACAAATTTAAATTTAATTTTTAAATTCAGTTTTTGAGTAATTCTTCATCTTAATTTAATTCAAAATATAAGGAAAAACAAACATTCGAAGAAGTAGAATAAAAATTCAGAGACATATTTAGCTTAACTAAAAAGACTGATTGAAAAACACTGTTTTAAAAAATAAATTGAATTTAATTGCACTTACAAATAATAACATTAATAATGATTGAATAATCAAATATTTTAAGAGTAAAAATATCTATGTATGTATGAATGTTAAATAAGTATCTGACAAATATTTTAAAAACTATTTTGACTTTCTATAATGAATCCAAAATTTAATTTGAATGAATATTTATCAAGTAATATGTAAAGTTAAGCATTCAAGTAAGATTTTTAAAAAATCTAGTTGGATATTTTTAGGAAAATTTGAAAATATGCTTTCTATAAATTTACTGAATGTTTTAATTTAAATTCAAAAGTTGTAATGTAATTTAATTAATGCTAACTTTCCTTTATTTATCTATTAGATGATATTTAAATCTTATTTGTTTATTTATTATTTGTATTTTTCACTATCAAACTCGCAAAGTATAATCAATCGAAATCAAATGGAATAGATAGAAATAACACTTGAATAAAAGCTTTAAATTCTTTCTAGCATATCTTTAATATGTCTAAAGCAAATAAATAATTGTATATAATGTTTTTCCTTCAAACTAAATTAATTTACTTGTTTCCTTTTAAGTTACAGCGTTTAAAATCAAATTATACAATCCTTTAATTTCAATAAATTATGTTTAATTTATTTGCGACTCTACTTTTTATTTATTTTTTAGTGAGTCAAATTAATTTTTTAAAAACATTTTAAAATCATTCACCAAAATTTTATTACTTTACATTTATTAAAGAATTTTAATATCTAATTTATGAGGAATAAAAAAGATGAAGTATTTACAATGCTCAAGGAGGTGTTATTAATTACTATTTACACATGATTTAATAATAATTCTAAAATTAAAATTTTTAGTCAGCAATAAACCAATCTCTATTTTATTTAGAAATAAAAAAAATAGTACACATAATTTAGTAAGTAAGCTTTTTATAGATTTTGCATATTTTAGGCTTATTTTAGTTATTGGCGTAGGCTAATTTATTTTAATTAACTTTATTACAGATCAAAGATATTGCGTTCTATTTATTAATTATATTAAGGAATAAAGCACATAAATATGAAATAGTGCTTTTATGCTGATTTGATTGCCTTACTTATTGACGCTATATATTTATTTCTAAAATATGCAAATAATTTAACGATGATGTATCAGTAACTGCAATAAATATTCCTTAAGCAGATATTAAGCAAGTAAATGATTCATTAAATTTAATGAATGAGTATATGATGTCATTTATTGAGCTACTTTATTGCATATAAGATTCGCTACTAAATTATATCGAAAATTTTCAAGTAAATATTTAGAAAATGGTGAAATTTATTTAAGAAAAAATTGAAGGCAATTATTTATTAATCTTTGCTATCATTTTTTTACAAAAATTAAAATCTATTTTAATAATTTGCATATTTATTTAAATTTTATGATTTTTGAGAGCAAATATGCAAATTAATTATTATTTAGATTTTTACTTTCAAGATTCCTTCCTTAGCAGCTAAATATTTATCTGAAAATATCTTTGTTACCGAAGATAAAAAAACTAAGTTTGTTTATTTTAAGTAATTTCGCACTTTCCTATTTGGAATTTGATTTTAGAATGAGAATATCTAGAGATCATTTAAAAGTAAATATGTAGTGTTTAGTAGAAAATACAAAGTAAAAATCTAGGAGAAAATAATGAGCAGCTTAATATAAGAAAAATAATCAACTTTGATCAAACAAACACTCCTGAATTTGTTTCTATTTTATTTCTATTTTAATTTTATTTAAATTTTCAAATTACTTTTTTTTTCATAAATTCTTAGCAATTCTGATAGAGATATTTGCTTGATCTAGAAGAGTTTTTTTACAATTTATATTTTTTTAGCTAATATTCTAGACGTATTTTCGTCTTAAATGCAAACAACTGATTTTATTATGGAGAGAACAAGTCTTCATATTCATTAAAGCATGTGACAGTACTGCTACTAGATCTTTATTAGGAAAATCTTTGATATAAACTTCTTTTTTTAATAAGATTTGCTTACTTTACCCTCTTAATAAATAAATTAGTAATATACTCCTTAATTAATAAAAAAATTAATCCATTGTAATTTTTTTATTTGCTTTTAGTAATTCAATCAAACATATATTAAAATCAGTGATTTACTGAGCAGTATAACAAACACTTTAAAGAAAGCATCCAAATATATTTTTAAAAATAATTTATTTATGATGGCAGTTGATCATTCATGCACTAACCTGAATAAATAATGGTGATCCAAACACACCTGGCTTTTTAATTTCAGGTAGAAATACATAATATAAATTTTTTATCACTCATTAATCTTTATTGAAAGATAAAGTTCTCTAGAAAAAATAATACTAATGAAAATACAATTTCAATAAAAGTTTTAAATTCAATATTTGGACAAAAAGGGCAAAAGATATATGTATATATCTCTATATGCAGTTCTAAATCTCAAAATTAATGTGCTTGTCTTGCAAATTCATACACAAAAAAGCCACTATATTTATCAAATGACTATAAGAATGATATTTTATTGATAGATAATACCAAAAAAAATTGTATATTTCTTGAAGTTTATTTATTTATTATATCAAATTACACAGGCAGATTTATTTATGTTTAATCAATAAACAAATAAATAAATATAGGAGAAACAAAAAATGAATGAATGAATGAATTTGTGTTTGCTTGCACTAATACCTATATTTTTTTATCAAGTCGCTTAACTATCTTAATTAAAGGTGTACATTAACAAAAAAGTTAGTAAAGTATTAATTTATGATTGATGCAATAAGAATAATTAGATAATTAATATAAATTAAAAAATTAATAATTAAACAAAGAAAAAAAGTAATAAGTAAAGAAATTATTTACTGAAACATCATTAATTAATCAATAATAAATAAATAATTAAAAGCGAAGTTCTACTCCTTTTAAAATTTTCTAAAATAAAAATAACCAATCAAAATACAATCTAAACCTACATCTAACAAACGATGGGATCTGAAACTTCAAGAATTAATAACTGCTGTTCTTGCTTAGAATAAACCTAAGTGGGAGAATCAACTAGTCAAAATTCTTTCAGCTCTGGATCTTATTCCAAAAAGCAAAATATGATCAGCTTACAAAAAGGTATTTCTATCATCAATGATGAAGACTGTAGATCTTCTTCAAGCCTCAACTTAGTCTTGCTTGGTGACAAACAATGTGGAAAGACTACTTTCATTAACTAATTGAAAGGCAAGAACTCATCTTCTCCTCTCCCTACTTTATGTAATTCATCTTATTCTTCATTTTTTAGTTAATCATTCAGCTGCCCCAGTTAATAATTAATTCAATGTATCTTTCATACACTTTATTACTTGAATTAAACATTTGAGAATATAAGCTTTTTTTTGTGAAACTTTACTTATTTTTTGTAAGCTTTGGTTGATCAAATATATTCTTTTATAGAATCCTAAATTAAATTAGTAAATTAATAATTAGATTTTCATTTGAAATTGTTTGTTAGTAATTTGGAAACAAATAGAGTTAATTATTTGCCTTTTTTTAGCTAACAAACACTATTTGTAAATATTAATCAATAATCAGTCCCCCCTCAAAAAAAAAAAAAAAAAATTCAGAATGAATTAATAAATGTTAAGAGAGATAAAATATGACTTGGTTAATTTTATTTATTTTTAAATTCCAAATTAATAGCAAACATTCATTCATATTTAAAGGCAATTAAATCCTAACCTTTCATAGGATTGTTCTAAAATTAAATTTAAATCTAACAAAAACTTACAAAGATATTTATTTATTTAAATACAATAAACACTTCTTAGAACAATGTTCAAACGCAACATTCGTCTCTGAAAAAGAAATCTTTGAGCAAGAATTAATTTAAATAATGCCTTCTTCATTGATTTTTAACAAATATTCTCGAATAATATATCACAATTTGATTAAGTTTACCTTTAAATATATTCAATTCTTTATTTATTTCAAATAGACCCTTGCTAAGAAATGGTTAAGGCAAATAGAGACTAAATTCGCAGAGCTATCTTGTTGAATGAAGTAGATTTTGAATATTATCACTCCAATCAATCTCGTAGCTTATAAAAGAAATCATAAGGATTCATTTTTGTGATTAAGTACGATGAAAACAAATAGAATTTAATTGATTAAATTCGCAATTTCTCTCGCATTGACAAGAAATAAACCCCCTGCGCTATTGTCATCAACTTATTTTCATAAAATAGTGAGGATGATAGATAATCTATCAAGCAAGACGTAAAAAATATCCTTAGCTAATATTCTATTAACGCTTGTGCCATCGAGTTTATGAACGATCGCAACACTAAATTCCTATCTGATATGTCTAAATTGATAGAAGCAAGCTAAATCAGTTAAGTAAAGTGAGGATATAAATTAAATTAGGTCATTTCCAACCTAATACATTGATTTAGAATCTAAATTGAATGAAAATCTATCTATAGTATTATTTAAATAATTAGTAACAAAACTGATTTTAATAGATAACTTAACTTATAATTAAAACAAAACAGTCTCACTTCCACTATTAATACTAACATTATATTTATATACACTTCTTTACAATCTAACATTAACGGGGCTAATATTTTAAGATATTAACTTATGTGTTTGCTGATTTGTCGTCTAATTTGAAGATTCGAAAAGAAGATTAGTCTAATCACTTTTAATAAAAGAATACTAAGTTTTAATCTTTTTTTGGGATATTTTAAAACAAAAGAAACTAACTTTTGGATATTCAAAAGAATTAATGCAATAACTTCCATCCAAAAACTGATTAATTTGCTAATAATTTAAATCCATTATTCTTAATCAACTTCTTCCCTTACTCGTAACCAAAATTAAAAAAATTAATCATAATTAATAACAAAGACTTTTCTCTATGGATTTTAATTTAATCTATCTTGATATCTGCAATCAAGCAATTTAAAAAAAGCTTTGCTATTATCAACTATTTATTTTATCTTCTTATAAGATAATTGAGATTATTCTATACATCAAGATAGTACAATAGATAGATGAATGTCTAATTAAAAAAAGAAAACAATAATAATCAAAAAAGCAATTCACCATATCAAAGGTTCAGCTTTGATAACAGGTATTGTAAATAACTATAATTAATATAAAAGTGATTAAAATAAAATTAATTAGTGCTTTTGTTAATGTATAAGAAATATCTTTTATAATTAATTGCACTAATTGAGTGGATACTAGCAAGCAAATACAGACTAATGAAATATTTCTAAATAAGCAAATATCTTTTATAAAGCCTCAATATACTAATATTATTTATAATTACAAACATCAATATGTAACAAAAATATCAAGCATCTAAAATCTAATAATCATTCCAAAAAAAAAAAATCAAATTCTCCTCATTATAAAAAATTCTTTCCTTCTCAAAACCTTCTTCTTCCTTAATTTATAACTATTCCATTTATTTAAGTCGTCCCTACATCCTGTATTTATTATCTAAATATCTTGTTATAAGTATTTCTTATTAAATAAATTCAATTCAATTATTACTTATTTCATTCTCAAGTTCTTTTAAACATTTATACCATTATTGCTTTCACATTAATTTTTGGATTTAAACTTTTTAATTATCAAAGTACACCATTACTTTCTTTGTAAACAAACAAAATACTTTTCTCTCACTTTTAATATTTAAAAATAAAATAAACAAATTTATTGCCAATAAATAAATAAATATATTTTGCTATAATTCATTTCTTTATTCTTCAAGCTATTAGGTGTAAAGTAATATCATAAAAAGTTAACTAACTAACTAATTAATTAAATTAAATAATTCTTTATTTATGAATTAAAAATGTATGTAAATTCATTTCTATAACTCTTATCAACATTTAATATTATCAAATGCATATTTTGTTTCGTAAATTTAAAATATATGAAAAATAATAGACTTAATTTTGCAAGATATGATTGTAAGGTCAATTAATTAATATTCAGCTAATTTATAAATTTTTATCTATTATTTTAAACTTAATGGTATTTAAGAATTACAAATGATTATGATATTCTATTTAAATACTCTTTAAGGTAAATTTGATTTATTTTAATAAGTTAACTTAAATAAATCTAAATAGATTAAAAAAAGGCAAATTAGTTTTATTAAAATTTATAAATATATAATTTTATAATCAATATAAATATGAAAATTTAATGTTTCTTCAATTTATAACAAAAAAATGTTATTTTTAAATGTAAATTTAAAAAAATATTTTTAATTAATCTAAAGATGACATTTTTTTTTTTAAATTAATTGCAGGTGTTTTTAATTTTAAAATTATCTTTCATATAATTTAAATATTTATAAATCCTATTTAAAAAAAATAATAGTTTTTTAATTTATATTATTTGAATAAAAGTTTTATTCACACAATTTAAAAGGCTATTACTAAAAAGCTATAAAAGCATTAATCAATTGAAATATAAATATTTTTTATTTATTGATTGTTTATTTTTAAAAATCAACCATTGATTACTTGTTTTTTAATTATAAATATGAGTTAATTAAACATAATTAATATGAAAAATTTTTAAATAGATTAAAATATTTTTTTAATTTATCTTTCTAAATTCTATCAAGTTTATAGCAAATCAATAAATATAAAATAAAGCAGCAATTTATATAATATATTTTTAATAAAAATTCAACAACAAAAAAAAATCATTTTATTTGTAGCTCACTTTCTTAAAACTAACTTTCTTTAAATAATGTTGGAAGGACTTTTTCACTTTTATATTAATTTGATAGTAAATAGTTGTGGCTTGTTTATAAGTCAGATTTCAAATTGCACTAACTTTAATTTTTGCTTAGCCTATTTTTTTGGATAATTAGTTTAGATGATATTATTTATGGAGGTTTTATTTTGTAGAACTTATTAAAAATATTTTAAATGTAATCCACTAAGAGTTGTATCTTCGAAGTTTTAATTATTAAAGAATATTATTTTTTTATTACAATTTCGCAGATATCTTCTGCTGATATAATTATTTTTGTAATATCTTTTATCGGAAATGATTTATTTTTTTTCAAATCCTATAAATTTTTTATAACATAAAAACCACTTTGATCTATGCATAAAAATTATTCTTCAGATTTTTAGGATCTAGAAATTTTCAATATACTATCACTAAAAAATGTATTATTTTCTTAGTTAATAGCTTTTTAATACTAAATTTAAAATTCTTTTTTTATCTTTAAAAAATCTAGATCCTATTGCGAATCAATGTAATGCATGATCTGATCGTTGGATGATTGATTTGATTTATCTATTTTATTTTTAAAATTTATATTTAATTATGCTAATCTTTTGCAAATAGCTTACCTTTGGTGAATTAAATGTCAAAATTATCAAAATCCTCTTCTTATACAATACTTAGTTTACCAAAAGAGCTTAATGTAGAAATAGAAGCACTATTATAAGATAAATGTTTTTCCATTTTGGAAAATTAAAATTCTTCTCCTTCATTTTATAAATTGAAAATGATTTCGTCTGATTCTTTTTAAGCTTATTCACCTATTATAAATTAAATAAAAAATAAATTAATAAGTCTTTTTGTTACTTTTTGTTTACTGAATCTTTTTTAAATAGAAGAATTTCTATTAAATTATGTGGTTTTAGAGTGAAAGAGTGAATTTTATTGGTTAGAAAGAGATTAATTTTCTTCTAATCGTTCTATTTTCTATTTCTAACAATCTAATAGCTGTTCTAAGTTAATCTAAATTTCTATAAGTTATTGCTCAATTTTTTCAAAAGAGATTTCTTCTTCTTCAATTAGACCAAAACTGATAAATCTATCAATACATTCATTTTTATTAAATGACTTGAAAAAAAGTGGTAAAAAAGTACTTTTTAGGTTCTTGTAAAAGCTGAATTCTTTTCAAAATATCTTGCCTAAACTCATTTTGAGAGTAAAGAGTATTTAGAATATATGCATTAAGTTTATAAACTCTACAAAGTATCTATTTCTATTCAAAATTTTAATCGCTATGTTAAGTTTTTTAATTCTAAAATGTATAATCTTAGCTTATTTATATTGAATCCATCACTATCTGTTTATTAATATTTTACTATTTTATGTATATTTTACAAATATTTAATAGTTAAAAGTTAATATTTTTAAATATATTTTATTAAGAATAAATATCCTTTTTTAAATTATGACTTTTTTTTAATGCTTTTATTTTTTATTATCTATCTTCTCTTTATAATAATTTTTAATTTCAAGGATTTAAATAAAGAAATTTAAGATTTTTAAATTTGATTGGTTATTTTTATTATTATTAATAATTCAAGCATTAACATTCTATAACTATTAAATTAGATTCAAAACATAATAGTGCATTTATAGTTAATTTAAAAATGGTTTTAAATATCACTAAAATCTTTTAATTTCTTAAGTCTTATCCTTAAACTTGATAGCAGAACAAGAGATTTAACTCTCTCTACTTTTATTGTAATTTATTTAAAATTCAAATTCATGCATGAATGAAAAATCAATCAGATTAAATAACATAAAAAAATATATAGATATATTATTTTTATGAAACATAGCAAAACAATCCTTGTTTATTAAATTGTTCGAGTGAGCAAAATAAATAACCTTATTGAAAAAAAATTGTAATTAATTTCAAGACTTAAATAGATAGCTAGTTAAAATTTCTAAAATAAATTTATATCTTGAATATTTCATATAGATAATGAGTTTAGAGTATAAGTAGATATAAATTCTTTGTTTATTTTTGATAAAACAAACTAATAATACCAAAACTAAATTTTTTGTTTATATCTTTCCATAATAAATTTATAAACTTATTGATTTATTTTCTTTAAAAAATAATCAAATTAATTAGTTTTTTCAACTGATTAATTTGATAAGTTATTATGTCTCATCAATCAAAATTTATTGCATAAAATAAAACTAAAATCTCTCTTTTTTCTTTTTCTAAAATAAGAAAACCTTATATCCAATTTTCTTCTTAAATCTATTCTATATTATTAATGTTTTGATTTATTATAATAAAAACTTCTAATTAGTGATAGCACTGCTGATTATAATTTTTCTCATTTGATTTCAATTTTTAATAATTGTGTAAATTGCACTCAGTTAAGTTAAACTGTTATTTGCTTGTTTATTGATGATCAAAATTTTAGACCTTAATTTCACTCTCTCTTTTTTAATCATTTGTATAGATTTCTTAAAATATAATTTCAGGTGAATTCTTAGATAATAATAACTTTTAAAAGCAGTTAGAAGTATAATAGATAAAAGTTTTTATGTTTTTTATCTCAATAATGAGTTAGAATCTGTTCATGATTTAAATTGAACACATGGTACTTATTACAGTGCATAATATTTTTTAATATTTCCTTTCTTAGAATGTTTGTTATTTTATTATGAATCTATACTGAATACTTAAAAATAAAAAGAATTAAGTACTATTGGAGAAACTAAATTTGCTGTATTAAAGTTCTTTTTTTAAAGATTACTCATGAATGAAAATAAAATTTTTTAAAAACTAATAAAGATTAATTATCTTCATACAATTGTATAATCTTTATCTTTTTATTTCTTTTATTGTTTATTAACATAATATTTTTTATAAATTTGGGTAAATTAGTATTATATATAACAACTACTTATTAAATAATAATTTTATAAAATTATTTACTCTAATGACCTTAAATTTCTATTTTTAAAAATAAACATATTATGAAAGTTAAAGCAATAGCCATTTTTATAGACTTACTTTTTTAAAAATTTGATATCACTTTAATTAATTAAAAAATACCTTATTTATAAAATTGTAATTAATTGTTGGTTTGTATTACAAAAAATTAAAAAATTTAGATTCAATTTTATTATATGCTACATTCATGAGTTAGTTTTTTTCATAAAGTTAGAGTAAAAAGATTTAATTTTTAAGTAGGTAGGGTATTATAAAAAGTGTTGCTTCTCAGAAAATAATTTTCAACCATCAAACAAACAAAAAAACAAACAAATAGACAAAATTGATGGCTCGAAAATAAAAGTTAAGAAAATTGCATATAATTTATAACAACTTTAAGTGACCAATAAATATTTTAAAATATTTAATTAATTTAGAATGATATTACAAACAAACAAACAAACAAAAAAATATACAAACATACAAATAAATAAAGAGTTCAAAATTATATACTTAGTTATTTATTTATTTTTTACTGATTATGGTTTTATAATTTGGTTGAATAAATTATTAATTTTGGATAAAATAATTAATTTTAATATAAAAAATTGATTAGAAGTTCTTTTTGATTATCAATCGCATTACAATTAACTAGCTGAAAATCCATTAAGACTTACTTATGAATTAGAAATTAAATTGTTATTGCTTAAATTATCACTTTGTGTTCTTTTTTAAGCAAGTATTTTGGAGTGTATAATTTGAGGAGGTTTTACTTTTAAAATATTTTTAAATATTGAAATGATGTAATTTATCAATAATTATCTCGTTGAGATAGATATTATTAATGAGTATTCTTTTTTTATTTGAATCTCGCATTGATCATGAGAAGAAATTTTTATCTTTGTGATATCTTTGATTGGAAATCTTTTATTTTACTTTAATTAATTTAAGTCTTTCAAAACATAAAAGTAATTTTTATCTAAACAAATAAAATTCTCTTCAGTTTTTGAAGATCTAGATAACTTCACAATTTTATCGCTAAAAAACATATTTGCTTCTTATGTATCATTTTCCTACTAGTCACCTTATAATTTTTGTTTAATTTTTAAAAAATCTAAATCTAAATCAGTTTCTGATTATTAAGCGACGGGCTGATTAGAACTTTAGTTTTCTTTTTTCATTATAAATATCGATTCAGGTTACTACTGAAATTGTAACAAATTACTATTAACTTTTTATGCCTCTAAATTATCTAAAATTTCTTCCTACACAAGACTCAGTCTACCTAAAGAGCTCAAAGTAGATAAAGAAGGAATTGTGGAAGATAAATTATTTGCTTGATCGATTTTAGATAATTAATCAATTTATAGACTTTATAAATTCAACATGAGTTCTTTTTGATTGTAATCTTATTCACCTATTTATTTGTTAAAATAATTAATAAATTTTATATTGTATAAGAATTTATTTTTTACTTAATCTTCTTTTACTGTCATAGTTTTTTATATGCATCATTATTTTTGATTGAAAAAGATAATTTTACTGTTTTAATAGAGATTATCTCTTCTACAATTCCTCAATATATTTATTTTTAAAATTTAAGGTCTAGTTTAAGTTAACTTAAATTTCTTTTAGTTGATTCTCTATGCTCTGAATAGATACATGTTCTTCAGTTATAAGGCCAAAACTCATAAACCTTTGTTAAATTTAATAAAAAATTTCAAAATAGTGTGACTAAAAAATATTTATATTCTTACTCTTCTGCTTTTTCTTCAATTTAAATTTTTTTCAATTTTTCCTCTCTAAATTCCTTTTAAGAATATATGATATTTAGAATCTAAGAACAGAAAGAATAAATCTAGCAAACCATTTATTTTTATTCCAATTTTTAATGTTCATTCGTATGTAAAATAAGTTAATTTGACTCAGGCAAAACTCTTGTTTAAATTTATTCCATAGTTAACATTTTATGATCTCGCGTAGATATATTTTGTGTGTGTGTTACTTTTTTATAGTTTTATAGCTGAAAGATGGAAGGAAATTGACACCAATTATTTGATATTTTTATCAAAAAAAATTTATTAGCTTTTTATTCTTTTTTATGTTTATAATTAATATAAATTTTTTAGATTGTCAGATTTCTTTTTGAATGATATAGATGGATTAACTCCTTAAAATAACTTGTTTTTCTAATACCACAAACAATTTAATTGAGAACCTCAAATGTGCTAATTAAAGAATTTATATAATTGAGAAACATAGTAATACAATAATTAGCGTCTTTATAAAGATATTAATATTTATTTAAACCAAAATTAACAGACAGCAAATAGTTATTTTACTTAGTTAGACATAGAATCAAATACTTTATAATACTTTTATTAGATTTTACTTTTGTTTATAAAGGTAAATTGTAACAAAATAATTCATTTCACTCAATTGCTTAATTTATATTAAATGAAAAATATAATAATAGAGCTGGTTGAAAATTTTGTTTATAATAGCTATTCTTGTTTTTTATCTTTAATTTTTTTGTTCTTTTTAGTTATTTTAAAATAGAGATTATTATTTTCTAATTCATGATGATTAATTATATTTTTTATCAACTTTCAAGTCAAAAATTTTTCAGGGGAGTGTAAAATAGTGGAATATATTCAAAAAATAAATGAACAGATTTTTATAATGAATTATTTTTCATTCATTTTTGAATATATTCCCCTATTTTACACTCCCCCTAATTTTCAATCAGGTAATGAGAGGGAAAAGAATTCTAAATTGTTGAGAAATTAAAAATTTGTCTTCTTTCTAATTCACCACAATTTTTTAGTATGCTATATTTATAAATGAGATTATTGATAGCACAAATACATGTGATTTATATGATAAGAGAGATAATCTTAGTTTAAAAATTATTTTTTAGATTACTATTTAGCTTTGGTATGGTTTTTTGGGAATTTTTGTTTAGAGTCAAAGAGTATTTAGTGTATCTAAATATAAAAGTTATCTTTAAAATAGAAAATGAGGAATATAATAATTTTTTAATGAAAAAAGGATTGCGATTTATTTTGATCTTTATAAAATTAAGTGACGTACACATAAATTATATGAATAAGAATAATTAAATATATAAATAAATATACCAATTTATTACTGAATTAATTTAATCACAATTAAAAAAAACACAAAGTAATTTATTTTATTACATGAAAAATACTTTTGCATACATTAGATATAAAATATTTAACTTATAAATCAGATAGTCGTTATAAATCATTACTAATTTTATTTTTAATAGCAAAGATTATTTTATATTTTAACTGTAAAAATTATCTTTTAGTAGAGTTAAGTTCATTTATTAAGGGTTTAGGCATCCTATATTATATAATACATTTCAAATCATATTTTCAAATGATAAAATGGATTTTCGAATAAAAAATATAGCATAATTAATTATATTTATGATTCATTTTATAGCTTGTTTTTTGAAGTATCTAAAATAATGCTTTTCTTCAAAGTTATCTAGGATTAAATTTATGCAATAGATAATTACTACTTAAAACTACAATTTGTAATTATTAATACGGTTACAATTTTACTTTTATTATTATCTTATTTTATCGAAATGCTTTAAAATATACGAAGTAGATAAAATATTTTTCACTTAGCCAGTATTTTTTTATTATAAAAGTTCATACAAATAAATAGAGCATGTATTATTTATCTCCTTTCAATATACTTTATTAAATAAATATATTGCTGATAGCAATACTTAGTGAATAAATGACTAGCAATATAATTTTTGAATTTCTTAATCTCTTTGTTTTTACAGTTATTTAATATTACAAAAAATATATTTTGTTACAAATGACTTTGCTTAATTATTTTTAGTATAAAAAAAATAAAATTAGAAAGAAATAATTTAAGCTAATATTATTTCTCTCTATCTTTAACATATAATCATAAATATAGCAATAAAATACGTTAATAGTGATATCTAGTTATTAAAATTTTAGCAATTATAAATTTGTAAATTGTAATCTCTTAGTTGGAACGGAACGTACTGCTATTTTACATAAATAATATTTTAATTTGATCTATTTATGATAATAAAGTAAATTAAATACAAATTTGTATAATTTTATATTGAAGATTAGTATATATGATGATGCGTGCATATACATACATTAATTCGTATTTACTCAGATATGTAGATCAACAAAAAATATAAACATACATTATTTTATAAAAGCTTTAGTATAAATAATAGTTATTTTTTATTTAAATTTAAAAAAATAAACAATTATTTTTAAATATTCATAATATTTGATAACAATCTAAATAAAGTGTTTTGCATTTTTATTTATTTTAATTAATGCATAATACCTATTTTCAATAAAAGAGCATACATACATACTTAATTTCATTCCATAAACACTTTTCTTAATCTCTGCAAAAAAATATGTTGATATATTTATTAGTTTTCTTAAATATATCTCAAAAAATATTAAATCAAGGTCAATAACTTAACATTTTATTTTAAAATATGCTCAAAATTTTATTTTAAACATCTTTTAGCATTTATTAAACTAATAACTTTGTTTTTTTTATTTTAGATTTCATATTTTTTATTTTAAAAGAAGAAAAAAATTAATCTAGTTAAAAATTTGAGCAATAATTAGTTCTACATAATTAAGAGGTGTATTTATCATTGATTTTTGCTTTAAAAATGCTTCTAATTTACCTTTTATTATTATCTGATTGAGTATTTAGCCTCTTAAAGTTAAGTCCTTATTATAAAAGTATATAATTTGTAAACTCTAACAAATTTAAGGTTCAAAGTTATTACATTTTTACTTTTTGAATTACTAAAACATGTTACGAAAATTAGAATAACTTAGAAACCAAACACAGATAGAACGAGTTTTTTACCTCTTTGTATTATATTTAAATCAAAAGAAATATTTATTTAAGTTTTAGAAATATTTAGTAATATTTTTTATCAAGTTAACGTTTTATAGTTTATTTTCATTGACTTAAATTATTTCATCTCATTTATAATAAAATCTTATCTTTAACTGTGTTTAAATAAAATTGATAGTATTAAATTATAAATATTTCAAAAACTATTTTATATAAACATTAAGAAAGTATTTAGTTTTGGATAGATGGATTAAACTTTTTTTAAAGCTTAGTTTTAAATAATATTTTTTAGCATGTAAATTTATTTTTTGCATATTGGATTTTATTTTATACTATTTAAAAATAAGCAAGCCCCTCCCCTGTTAAGAAATATTTTTAAACAAACTAAAGTAAAATAAAATAAATTTTGCAATAAATAAACTATTAAACAAATGGTTAAAATAATTTTAAAGAATATAAAAATCTATTTATTTATTTATAAAATGTTTAAATTAAGTTAGTTTATTTCCTTAAAATAATAGTGTGAATGAGTTAGTTAGTTAGTTAATGAGAGAGAGTGAGCTAGTGAGCAATTAATTCTTATAGAATTTTAAATGAAACAGAACCAGTTATAAATAATTAAAATGTATTCTTCTTAAAGAGTTAATCAATCAAATAGACGCATAAATTGCTTGCTTGTTGAATTAAACGTTATGAGGGTTCATTCTTTAATTATTATTGTTAATTTCAAGAATTAAAGCAATAAGAGAGATTCAAATATTGTTTATAACCACAATTAATATTTTTATTTAAGATTGGAATATCAAAATCTTATTTAAGCTTTATAAAATAGTTATTGCTTTAATTGTCAATAAATTAGAAAATTTTTTAATTGCTAATAAAACAATCAACCTTAGCTTAGACCTCTAATTTTTCAGCTGTTTAAAAGATTGATTCGCCTACTGCTGAGTCACTTTTATCTTTTTCTAAAATAAGAAAACCTTCTACCCAGTTCTCATTCTAAATATATTGTAATAACTTATTTGGGTTTTTTGTAATAAAGGCTTTGAAGCAATGATTTTTTTGTTCTTTAAAATTAAGCTAAGCTGAATCAGTTTTTAATTAACTTTTTTAATCTGACTAACTTTTGGTTAGCTCTTATTTACACCTCTATTCATCAAGAAATTTTTAAGCAATTACATCACTCTATAGACGACAATTATTTGTGTAAATAGCTGTTCTCTAAAATTTAATTTCAGGCGAATTCTTTTTCAATACATTTTTGAAGTGATTTTGTATATGTTGAATAAAAAATTCAATGTGCGGGACTTCAATAATAAGTTAGAATTATTTCTTGATTTAAATAGAACACAGTTAATTATTATTAGGGCATATTTCTATTTTACTAATATCTTCTATTAAAAACTATTTATGTTTTTCTAATGGATCTTAACTGAAAACATAAAAGTAATAAGAGTTTAATACTATTGTTCTTTATTCTGATTTCCTATTGCTAGAATATTTAACAACTTCATCACTAAAGAAATTTTTTTAATCTATTTAATCTACTACTTTTAAAACCTCTATGTTAAGTTTTGCTTCACAGAAATCCATACTTGTTATTTGAGTACTATTTTGTGAACTATCATCATGATGATGATGAATTGGGGATAAATCCTATGGTTAAAAATCCGTTTGGCTTTCTTTTATTATAATTAAATTATATTCATGAGGCAATTAAATAATAGAAAAAATTTTACATAATTTAATTTTTTCTAAATTCTCCAAGTAAAAAAAACTCTTTTGAGAAATATTAGAAAACTTTTTTGATGGACATCTTGAAAATATAATACTTGGTCTTGGTCTTTTATTATTCTGATTTTTTAGTTTTTTTTTATGAAATTAAATCAATTCTCCTCCTTATTTTTCTGATAAAGTGTTCTCTGTTTTGAAATGCATATGATCTAATATTATTATAAATATTTGTTAGAATATTAATCAATATATTAAACTTATTTACAATGCCCTTCATTATGATTTTTAATATTATTTAATTTTTTAATATCTTTGCAGTTAATTGCTTCATTTATTTCTTTTCTATTATCCTTTAATTTTGCCATCATTAGAATTCCTATATTTAGTTTACAAATTTACTTATCAAAATATTTTCAATTGAAAAAAACTCTACTCTAAAATTCAGACTCTCCTCTAGAGCACTTAGTAAATGAATTATGATTTTCATTATTTGAGCTTTCTTCTTTATGACTAGATATACTAGTTTCAGAGTATAAATCTTTATCTTCTGAATTCTTTAAATCTGATTCAGAACTATCTTCAGAATCTAAGTTATTTATTTTAAATATATATTTAGTTTAATTAGTAATATATTACAATATTTTTATATAGAATTAGAAATATTTTCAAAATGAAATAACTAATTTAAAAAAAGCCTAAGTAAGATTAGTTTAATATGTATTATATTAAAAATATTTTAATATAGAACTCAGAAATATTTTCAAAATGAAATAATTTATTTAAAAAACCAATTAAGATTTGTTTAATTTGTATTATATTAACAAAAGTTTAGTAGAAGAAAGAACTTAGAAATATTTTAAAAATGAAATAAATTAATTTAAAAAAAAAACTAATTCAGATTCGTTTAATATGTATTATATTAAAAATATTTTAATATAGAACTCAGAAATATTTTCAAAATGAAATAATTTATTTAAAAAACCAATTAAGATTTGTTTAATTTGTATTAAATTAACAAAAGTTTAGTAGAAGAAAGAACTTAGAAATATTTTAAAAATGAATTAAAATAATTTAAAAAAAAAAAACTAATTCAGATTCGTTTAATTTGTAATAAATATATTAATAGTATTTTAATACAAAAAATTAGAAATAGTTTATTTAAAAATGAAATAACTTAACAAAAAAAGTTAAACTTTATCATTAAAATTTTATTGGATGAAATTAAGAAAAATAAATTTTTTAATAAATATAAAAAATATATATACCTTCTTAAGATGAGTTATCTATTTCTTTAGAATTTTTTTAATCTAATTATGCTAAACTTTTAGGCTGAATCTCTTAATTATTTTCTTTTTTCAAAAAAGTTAATTCTGAGGCTTTTTTGATTTCTAATTTTTAACAAGATGAGCTTATTTTATGGAGAAGTTTTTGATTTTATGATTAAGCTATATTTTCTATTTATTCACTTTGCGGGGGAGAGTTTGTGTTTAAATGAATCTCTTAATTTAGATAATTACTTTTATTTAATTCCTTATTGTGATAAGGATTCAAGTAAATTTCTTAATTAGGAGCTGTTTAACTTTATTTTTGCACAAAATTATCTAAAGGATTTTAAAATAAATAAATTTTTGATCACATAAAAATAACAAAAAGTTTATTTAATTTGAGAGTAAATAATTTTTACATTAGAAAGCATCATCACTTATTTTGCATTTAAGCTGAGAATCAGCTATGAAATTTAAAAAAGGCACACTTTTTAATTGATTTTTCAACACTGATTCTATTGCTGTTTTCATTTCAAAAAATATATTTTCCACTTCTTATTTCAATGCTTGTTTGCTGAAATTGTCATGATGTATTAAGCTAAAAGTAAAATAATATGATTAAAAATATAAAAAACTAATAAATAAATAAATACTCAATATTCAAATTTAGCTTTTCATCTTTTACGAGGCTTTTTGGAGTATTTTATTTATCTAAGAGGTTAAACAACTTCACTTAATTAGAATCAATTATCTAACTCACATTTTCAATATATAAGCAATCAAATTAGCATTCTTAATTTTAAAAATGTACAAGAGAGGCTGAATATTTTTATAATTCTTTTCTCAAAGCTTCTATCTCATCAGATTTTTATTTTAGTGACTCTTAAAGTTTTTCATTTTCTAAAATAAAGTTTTCAATGTTTAAGCCTATGTTATCTTCCTGATAAACAATAGAATTCTTATCAGCATCATCTTAGGTTTTCTTCTTTATTACACTTTGTACAATTTCATATAAAATGGCACTTTTGTTTAAGGATAAGTTTTATCCCATTTTTATTTTTTTATTTAATTATTTTCAAAATTTATAATTATTATTTCTTTGCTCTATTGTATCATAATAGATTTGAAGTTATGGATTGAATACAAAATTTGGGAAATGCAATGAAAATTAAGAAGATTGATTAAGAAGGCAGCAAAAGGGGGTTTATTCTTAATTAATTATTTATCATGGTTATGGCAATTATTCACCTAAATAAATTTTTATCTTAACAAATAATTTTCTTCGCTGGTTATAAATTATATAATAAAAGGAGCGAGTAAACGATTTATATATTTTAGAAAAGATTTTTTTATGTAAAAAATGTCAAAACATGATTAAAATATTTCAAAAATAAAAATGTAAATATTTTTTAATTATTGAGTGATTTTTATTATTCCTTTTTAATCCTTGAATTTTTAAAATCACTTTAAAAAATTGAGGAAAATAAATAAATAAATAAATAATCACAATTATTATCTAAAATTTAGTTTATTTGTAGTTAATTTATTATCAAGAGGAACTGCATAGTTTTTTTAATATTGTAAGTAAAATATAAATCTGGTGGCAAATCTACCACAATTATAATATAAACTAATGATGTGAGAAATAGTCAAATAAATTAATATAATTTTAATTTTAAAAAGTTTTAGAAAATTACCAAAATGATTTTATGTAGTTTAAAAGCATTAACAAATTTTATAGAACATACAATAAGATATCTATTCCATATTATAAGTTATAATTGATTAAGCCTTATATAAATTAGATTCTCTTTTTCCATAGTAAGTAGTAAGTCTCCTTAAATTATACTAAAATTCTCCATAAATTATTTCAAAATTTTCTTTAAATTATACCAAAAGTAACTAAAATTGTTAATACTAAATCAAGAATTTAAGCGATTATTATAATACAAATATTGCTTATAACCACCCTTAATACTTTTTATTAGGAGTGGAATATCAAAATCTTATTTAAGCTTTAAATGATAGTTATTACTTTCTTAGTCACTAAATTTGAAAATCTTTTAATTGGGCATAAAACAATTAGCCTCAGCTTACACTTCTAATTTATTCTCTATTTCAAATATTTATTCATCCTCTGATGAAAAAATTTTATCTTTTTCTTAAATAAGAAAACCTTCGACCCAGTTTTCATCTTATATTTATTCCAATAAGTTATTTGAGTTTTTTAAAATAAAAGCCTTTAAGCAATTTTTTGTTTATAAATTTTAACTCAGCTAATCTGATTCAACTTTTGATTAATTTTTTTAATCAGACTAGTTTGCATTAAATTGTGATTTTGTAGTCTATTCTTCTACTAAATTCTAGCCACTTATATTGTTTTAATGGCAATTATTTGCAAATATCATTGTTATCTTTTAAATTTTAATCTCAGGTGGATTTTTTTTCAATACATTTTTAAAGTGATTAAGGATATATTTTATAAAAAATCTGACATGAGGAACTTCAATAATTAGTTAGAACTATTTCTTGATTTAAATAGAACATAGCTATTTATTATTAGGGCATATTATTATTTTGCTAATATCCTCTATTTAAAACTATTTATGTTTTTCTAATGGATCTTAACTCAAAACATAAAAGTGTTTAGAGTTCAGTACTATGATTTTTTTTTCTGATTTTTTCTAGCGAGAATATTTAACAACTTTATCACTGAAGAAATGGTTTTCATCTATTGGATGTATTATTTTTAGTAACTCTCTATTATCTTTTGCTTAACAAAAATCCATATTTGTTAATTGAGTGCTACTGTGCGAGTAATTTTTATCTACTGAAGATAACTCCTTCGGCTTTAAATTAGTTTCTTTTATAATAAATTAATTTTATTAATCAAATTTTTTAATCTTTATTAGAATTAATAAATAAGATACTATAGCATCAATTGATTAGTATCTTTCAAATAATTTATTTGAGAAATACAATTTTTTTATGCATTTCAAAAGGAATAAAAAACATAAATTTTAAATCAATTTAAATTAATTAATTTTCAATAAATGTTTGAAAATATTACATGAATTAATTTTTTATTAGTTTTCTTAGTAAAAAATACTCTTTTGCGAAACAATTGAAAATTTTTTTGAGGCGCATCTTGAAACAATATGATTCGAAGTTTTATGATGTAAATGTTTTATTTTCTTTTTGCTGCACATTATCTATTCTCTTTACTTTTCTTAAAAAAATTTCTCTGTTTTGAAGTATTTATGTTCTATTAATTATTAAAAATTATTGATTAATTTACTAAAATGTAAAGCTTAATTAATTACGTTCATCTTCATTTTTAAATTACTTGAACTTTTAATTATCTTAACTATTTTAAGGATTAGAAGTTATAAAACTTTTTTCAAAAGAACACTTCCTTATTTTATTTAATTTTTGAATTTCTTTTTTTTGTTAAAAAATTTTAAATAACATTTGCAATTTATTTAAAAAATTGTACCTTAAAAATCAGACTCTTCTCTTGAGTTAATAGCAGACTAATTTTATATTGAATTTTTAGGGTTCATTTTCTTAGGGATTGAAATGCTAGTTTCAGAATCAAAATCCTTATCTTCTTAATCCTTATAATCTGAATATGAGCTACTTTCAAAATCTAAATATTTTAAATGTTTACATTAACTCATAATGTAAAATTTAGTATTTTTTGTATCATAATAAACAAAATTAAAGAATTGATAATAGTGAAAGAGAGAGAGAGCTGATAAATTTTTCAAAACTAAATATTTGAATACAAACAATTTTAAATGTATTTCTTAAAGTTTTGCGTTAAATAAATGAGAAAGCGAAAAATAAATTATTTTAATTTTGAGTTTACCTTCCAAAAATAAGTTATCAATTTAGTTAGCTTCTTTAGAATGATTGTTGCCAAATTATAATCGCGTTTAGCTTTTAAGCTTAATCTCAAAGCTATCTTTGCATTTATTTAATTTTTAAATGAGATCTTATTCGAAAGCAGTTTTGTGAGCTTCTAATTTTTAAGATGACGAGCGGATTTTATTTATTGATTGTTTTTTTTTATGTTTAGATAGATTTTATGTTTATTGATTACTGGGAGAATTTCCTTCTTAATCAAGCACCTATTTAAGATAATTAAACTTATTTGATTCCCTTACGTGATAAGAATTCAACTAATTTTCTTATTCAATAGCAATTTCATCAGAGCTTTGCATTGAATTATCTATGCAATTTATAAAATTAATTAATTAATTAATTTATGACAAATAAGAAATATAAAAATTTTATTCCATTAACAAATAACTCTATTTACCTTTAAAAGCATCATTTGTTTCACATATAAATTAATAATAATGATCTGAATAATCTTAAATTGAAGGCAATATTTTTTGTTTATTGTTCAACATAGATTCTATTGCTGTTTTCATATTAGAAAATAGATTTCCCACCTCTTATTTAAAAAATTGCTTAAAAATATCCAGACACTGACCGTCTTGAAATATTTAGCTTTAAATTAATTAACAAAAATATATAAAAGAATATATTAAAATATAATAAGTACTTAACACTGAAGCTTATTTTTCCATTATTTAAGAGGTTTTTTGGAGTATTTTGTTCGTCTATAAGAAGGTTTAACAACTTATCTTAATAAGAATCAATTATCTCATTAATATTTTGAATATACTTAGAAGTAAATTCGCATGCTTGATTCTAAAATTGCACTGGAGAAGATGAATACTTTTTTAGTTCGTTTTTCAAAGTTTCTATTTCATCAGATTTTTATTTTACCTATTATTGCAGCTTTTTGTTTTCTAAAATAAAATATTCTTTGTTTGAGTCAGTTCTTACTTCAAGATATTCATCTTATTTATTATCAAAATTTCTTAAGAACTTCCTCTTTATTACACTTTATGCAATTTCATATAAAATAGCACTTTTGTTTAAGGTTATACTTTATCCCATTGATTGTTTCGAATTAGTTTAAAAAATTTTTATTATTATAATTATTATTATTATGACAAAATTATAATGCATCATAACAGATTTAAAGTTTATAATTGAAAACAATTTTGTTAAATATAGATTAAAAAAACCAATTAAGAAAATAGTATAAGGGTGTGTTTACTGCAATTTAAATCATTTACCCTTGCATTTATTCATCAAAATTAAATTAATCTTAATAATTAGTTTTTTTTACTGATTTTAAATTAGAAAAACATAAGGAATGAACAATATATGTATGTCATTTAATATTAGCTAGCAAAAAATTTGATAGTAGTAATCTTAAAACAGAATATTAATGTTTCTATAAAAGAAATTTGAATACCTAACTTAGTAGTAAAAAATATGTTTCATATTACAAAAAATGACTTTTGTTTCATTAATATTTTATTTATTCATTTTATTTTTATTAATTCTTCTAAAAATTGAAGATATTCCATAAAGTCTGATTACAATCAATTTTTTTTAAAAACAAAAGGCTAGCTGAATACAGCTCTTTTTTAATTAGAAATTTATTACGTTAGCATACTTTCTTAATAAAAATTGAATAAATAGTTATAATTTAAAGCAAATGGGAAAAATTCCACAAACTAATTCAACTAGTTTATTATTTATAGGAAAATGATAAATTAAATTGAGGATCAAATAAATGCGAGTTTTAATTTAAATCTTTTCTCCGTTTATAGGATTTCTTATATTAATCGAATAAAAGATTAATTGATTTTAATAGTAAAAAGAGTGTTCTTAATTGAGGTTTAAATTATTTTTCAAACACTTCCTATTAATTTAATACGACTAATGACATATCACTAATTTAGTTTATATCAATATGAAACATTATTTTTAAATAAATCATAAAACTTTTAAAACAAAATAGAATTTATTTAGATTTTGAGTCAAAGAAAAACAAGCATATTTATTTGATTATATTATAAATAAATTTTAATGAGAAGACCAATTAAGATAAAAGATAGAAAAACAAGAAAAGTAAGTATATAATTTGGTATAGTAAATGATAAATGTAGTTGAAATTAAATTAATTAAGTAAATTTATAAAGTAAAATTTGGTTTTCATCATTTATCTAGTTCTTCTATTTTTCTTTCTTCTTCAAGTTAAAACTTAAGAGTGTTAATTTATTTGAAAATATATTCTTTTTATTCTTGACAAGGTATTTAAAGTAGGACTTCTTTACTCTAAATATTTTGTTAAATTAATAATTTTAAATAAAAATTAATTCGATTAAAATCAATTTTACATTTTATTTTTTTATTTTTTTTGTTGTAGAAAAAAAGATTCCATTTTATTCTAATTCAATTTCTGCTAAATCAGATGTAGAGAAATACCATTTCTTTTTCTTTTTTATTTCATCAAACAGCATTATTATTTCAAATGTAATTACCAAAACATTATTTATTTTTTTATTATTTTCGTCAATTTAAATCAAAAAAGTTTACAGGAAATCTGAATTCCTGAATTTTCCTTTTGATACTAATTACAAGGCTAGTTTCATACCTGCATCTAAATCAATATACTCTTTATAGAAGCCCTCTCTACCATAGAAAACTCTAGGATATCTTAAGCGTTTTTCGTTTGCTTTATCATCTCCATACGTGATTGTATTTTTAATACCATCAGCCACTGATGACACTGCGTCAAGGAAACCAGAAACAGGTTTAACAAATAATCCAGCAATACCTTCTCCAATACCTTTTAACAAACCCAAAGCTCCGCCTCTTTAAGCTCCTTCTAAAGGTTTAATAAAAACTCCTGCGATACCATTTGCTACACCAGAATATATAGAAGTAGCTCCTTAAACAGCTCCATCAACGAAATGTTCAGGTTTTTTAGACCTTAATATATCTCTTTCTTTTAAATACTCTTCATCCTTTTTTTAAAAAAAATAAAAATTAAATCTTTATAATTAATCATTTCGCTTTTGTTTACCATGCACAATGCAGAAATTCCACTTGAAAGTGAGCCAGTAAATTTATTAACTGAATAAAAGGCTCCTGCCATTGTATTTTTAATTAAAGAAGAAGTTCCTTGCATTATACCTAAACCTCCCTCTAAAGGACCTTATACAAATCCTTCAGCAGGTTTATTTAATAAATCATTGACTCCCGTAGAAATATTTTAGAACAAACCAACAGGATTACCAATGATATTAAAAGAGCCACAAGCCTTAAGCACCTAAGTAATAGCCTGATCTTTATAATGGGAAGTAAGTTTACTTATAATTCCTGGAACTGTTTCAAAACAGTTTATTAATCTTATACCCTTAAGCTTAATTGGTGCTTCAATATCTGCTAAAGCAACTCCCAAAGCAGTAAAGACAATATTTAGGTCTGAGTCTTTAGCCTTAAGGTTAGCTTTAAAAGTAATAGAAAGTTCTATATTAGATAATATTAATTAATTAACAAAAGTAGGAATGCTAGTAGGAGGAATTTCACAGTCTTGCCATTTAAATTTCTATTAATAAATAATTAAATAAGTTAATAAATTGCTTCACTTCAATATAAAGCAATTAAAAAATCAAAATAATTATTTATTTGCTATTAAAAGCGTTGATAAAATAAATAAACAATTTTTGTTCAAACTTTTAGTTGGTTTTATATGGAAATGCTTGTGAAAAAAAGAATGTTTTGGAGCTATTAAACTTGTTATACTAACTTCTTTATGTAATTCAAATTATCAATTTTAATAATTAGAATAAATAAATGAACAAATCTATTTTTAAATAATTATTATTAGCAAAACATTTCTCTAAAGTTTAAAAAAAATTATGAAATAACCAAATAGTATTAAAATGTCTTCTTTTATAAGGTGGTACTTTCTAAACAAAGAGGGTTTTAGAGTTAATAAAGTTAGTATATTATATTTCTTTTTGCTCATATTTGTTGAATTAGATTATTAGTTTAAATGAATTAACTAAATAATGAGTGAAGGAATTAAGGGCGGATTTAATGATTGAAAAAATGAATATAATTAATTATAAATTGAATATTTACGGTGTTTTAAATTTTTTCAATTTATTGAGATTCTTCTAAGTATTCTTTGAGAGTGTTAACATTTTAAGTTTCAGCTTCTTATTTTGCTTCTCTTATTGCTTTGAGAAAATCCAAAAGAGTTAATATAAACTACTCCTCTATTCTAACAGCAAAGGGGTCTATTTCTATTACTATATTATTGTAAAGGGTAATGTTTTTGGCATATAAATTTTATTCTATCATAACGTTCATAAAGAATTTATGAGATGCCTCGCTACTATACATAATGTATTTTTAAGGTGTAAAGATTACTGGATTTACTATACTGTAGCTATTGTTTTAATCTATATTTAATAATTTAATTCTAAGTTAGTATGTTTTTGATTCTTCCTTAGCAACTGAAATAAATTCTAAGCCTTTGATTGTTAAGTATAGAAATTCAGTTGGTTTTTCGTTGATTCTGTGATTTTATATAACTGATAAACCAAAATCTTTGATGTAGATGCTGATTTATTGCTAAATGCAAATTTACTCTGATTATTCAGGTTATTCTTCATCATTTTCTGTATTTTCAGTGATATTGATTTCTTTTCTATCTATTTATTAAACAGAACCTCTCCTCTTTTTATCTTATTAAAGTTTTTTCTTGTATGCAGCTTTTTCTTTTTTATCGACTGGGTCCTCAAGGCTTGAATCTTCAAACCTAATTATCTTGGTAAAACCATCGATATCGATTGAATATTTAATGTATAAGCTTTGTTCCTAATAAATAAGTATAATTAAGCCAATTAAAAAAATAAAGATAAATATATATTATTTTTACCCTAGCCAACTCAGGATCTTTTTATCCTACTGGAAGTATTTAAATCTTATCTTAGAAGTAGATTTCATCAGGTGAAAATTTTAAATTTGTTTTTTGGAAGCTTTAATTGTTTGGAATCAAGCAAGAAACAACCTTTCTTTCTTTATCAAATGGATGCTCCCATGAGAAGTAATATTTATGCTAATCTCTTAAAAATTGACTATCATTTTTTTTGTAAGCAGGAAGAGTGATATGAAGATCTTAGAGTTCAATCTTAAAATGTCGTGAGTAGTTTTTAATGAGATATGGTCTTTCTTTTTCATTTACTTTCTCAACTACAATAAATATGTTTGAAGCATCAGATCTAACATCTATTCTCAAGAATGTAATTTCCATTTTGTTTTTTAAATTTCTTGTCAAAAAGTTAACAGTTCCAAGCTCTAAAACATTTAAATTTCCACTCCATTTCCAGTACTATTTATCTTCTAGTATTTTTAGATTCAAGTATCTTTTTTCCCTTTGATCATACCATTGCAAAGGTATTCTTGAATCTTTTTCAATAGTGGTAGATTTACCAAATCCACTTTATCTAACTTAAATTGATTAACCTGTCTTATTTACAATGATGAATCTAATTTTAATAAGTATTTTCAATAAAAGTAATTCTAAATAATATTGCAATATACAGTAATTATTCTGACTTAAGCCCTTTAGTTTTAAAAAATTTGCAAATTTAAATGACTTAATTAACGGGCTTTATTACGAAAAATTTTAATTTTTTTGTAGGGCTTATCAAAGAATAATTACAGTAATTTAAAGAAATATTTAATAAAAATCTCATTTACCTCGGAGAAATTGTAATTACTTTTGAAAAAAGCTTTTACTCCTAGTCTACATTCTCTAATGAAACGTTAATACCCATTGTTTAAAATACAGTAGCTCCTTATGCATCAAATGTTTATAGGTCTATTTAAGTGTTACCAACACCTCCGATGGATGCTTGTTAAGATACTTTTCCAAATTTGACATCAGATAAACTCATCAAGTCACCTATTTCCTATCCAAATAAGATGATATTTGTATTTAGAGCCTCTTCAGGATAAATTTGTTGTTATCCACCAACAAGTTTACATTCATTTTTATTTTCTTTATTGGCTGTATATATGTTAAGCTTATAAGGAGATTCATTAATAAGATAGCCTTTACAATATATGTAAAACTGTCTATAATCACCTATATTTTAGTGTTCTAATCTTCGTTAATGACAAATTATTTCACTTTGATTTCCATTTACATCTTTAATCATTATTTTTTCAATTACATTTTATGAAATTTTAGCTTCATTACTCCAGAAATGACCAGGAATCTATATTTTCATGAATGATTCATTATCTTGAGAGCAATTATAGAATTCAAATATATCACCACTTGGTATGGATTAAGTGATGGCAGTAACTTTTCTAATTATAGCAAAAATAAATAAAAGCTAAACTAAATAATTTTTTTATTAATTTTACTTGTGGTTTATAAATTAAATTGTTATGGTTTTAGGAAGACAATTCTTTATTTTATAAGGAGGTTCAATACAAATCATGAATCTTTTATCGTTTTCGATATCTTTGTGAACCTTAAAAATAAGAAAGGTATCTCCTAACTTAATCTCTTTTTCTTAGTTAAGATATTTATTACAGAGCTTATTGATGCTTAGACTATCAGAAAATTCGGTGTCTCCATAAAAAGCTGCTTTGAAAAACCCATTTTGGAGATCAATTGGTATTGGAACTTTCTATCCTTTCATAACTGTGAATTCCTTAAAATAAAAAAATTGATTAATTAATTCATAAATTCAATTATAACAATCAATTTACAAGCTTGAAATTTTTCTTTTCGTCATAAAGTTATATATTTATGATTCTAAAGCAATCATTTTCGAAGTAATAAGGAGAAGAAATATTTAGGATCTTCTTTAAAGAAACAGGATCAAGTTTCACCTCTGTGATGACATCAAATAACTTTTTACCATGCTTATTTTTGCACGCTCTTAGTCTATTACGAACTTTGTCCAAATCGACTTATTCTATGTACTTCAAATTAAATCCAGGTATTTATACTTTAACTTTGACTTAGTCAGAGTACTTTTTGAAGACGAAAGTTTACTTTTTTATGGGATCATTAATCTTTTATTTAAATTAATATTATCAGCAAAGAACCAAAAAAAATACATAAATTTACTATGTCAGATTCTTTCATGTCAATTTCAAAATTTTTTTCTTCATAATTCATTAAGGTGCTACTATAAATTTTTTTATGCATTCTTGATATTTTATGCTTTTATCTGGTATTTTCAAGATTAGAGAGATCAGTTAGAACTTCTATTGGATATCCTGTTTCATTTCTGATAGTGTATGGAGAAGCGTAATGGCAATTTTCTTGAATGCTTAATTATTCAATTTGATCTTCAAAACATTAAGCATATTGATGAGAATCTTTTTAGCTTTTCTAAGAAATTTCTTGCTTAGCTATTTTTATTGACTTAGTCATAATGCTTAACAATTGAGTTGAGAAGGTCAGATTAAACGTAGGGTAGTTAGGATTCATTTCAATAACAATAAGTTACTTTATGTTACTAAGTTAAGATTTAATGAAATCTATACTAAATCCAGCGTTTTCAATTATAGGTTCCCAAAGACTAACTCTAGGATTATAATAAGCAGCATTGAATTGAATCATTGTAACAACCTAAAATAAATAAATAGATTAAAAAATATTTTATTAAATGAATAGTTAGATTAAATGATCTACACTTAGTTAGATATTGCTCTATTTTAGCTTAACATTCATCTCAAAAATATTTAGGTCGAATATTGGAACATAAGATGAATTCAGATCATTTATAATGCAAATCTAAAAGCCCTAAAGATCAGCATCTAAATTAAAGATATTTATTGACTTTTCACTTTTAGCTAGAGCCACAATTTAGTTTTCCTCATCTTCAAGCTTCTTTTTGATTCTATCTTCTTCTGATGAGAATTAAACATCTTCAGTATATGTTTACTATGATTTAGGAGTATCAGATTCCATATTATTTTAATTTACTTATTAATCTTAAGTGCCATTAGGCTTTTGTTACATATCTTCAAGAAGAATTCTTATTGTCTTGTTTATGAGTTTAAGGTCAGAGAAATATATCTTAAACAGAGTATTTTAAAGGTTTGTTTAAATTATGGTTTTGTTTGTAAAGAGTTGAGCATCATCTGAACATTTATTTGGGGCAAAATCGTTTAAAAAATAATCTGTTTACTAGTAAAAGCTATCATATTGCATCATCTCTTCTAGGCCTATATCTACAGCCATATTTTTTTTTTGCTGATAAAAAAATTGAAGTTTGTTTGTTTAGAAAGCCAAGAAAGGTTTTTGATAATATTTATTTTCATCAAACATAGAAAGCTGAATTTAGCCTAACTCAAAAGAAACTTCCATTTAAACAACATCAAAATATTGACTATTTTATTCTGAAGACTTTTTCTTGTTTTCTGGAGAAATCTCCTCACTTTCTTATTTTTCTTAAAATTCAATTAATTATTGAATTTCATCATCAGTAATTGTGTTTTGTAAAAAAGTTGTTGTTTTAACCTGATCTATAGCTTCCATCCATTGTTAAGACAAATTACTCTTTTCACAAGCAAAATATGCATCCACGTACCTATTCTTAACATTAAAAGCGCTATTAAAGCCAACTAAGTTTTCATCCATTGGCGTTATAGTTGAGTTCTTTACCCAGATGTACTCAACAGGTTTTAAGTCTTTTGGATTTTCAAATAAATAAAGGTAGCCTCCAGAAAGTATACCATTGTATTTTTCCCATGTCTTTAAAGCATTTCCTCTCTTATAAATTATCCCTATTTTAGTCGAATTTTTAAGAAGTAAATTCTTTTCTAACTCCACTTAATCCAAAGTCTGCAAGCTATTCCTTCTTTTCTCTTCATCAGGTACTGCAAAGCACTGCCCCAATTTTAACAATTTCTTGTAAATAGAAGGCTTAAGCTTCAAATTAATTTAATCAATTCCACCTTTTATCTACATATTTGGCTTTTTTTCAAAAAAAAAAAAATATTTCATAAATAGCTTCAACTATTAAGATAAATAACAAAGATTTTTAAGATAAACTGAAAATACTTTTAATATGACTCATTTAAATAATTAATTACTCTGTTAACTTTGCCTTAGGCAGGTCCCTTTACCATAATAATTCTCACTTTAATAGAGAATTCTTCAATAGTGTGAAAATATCTCTTTTCAGCTGGACTTTGAATATTCATTAATAAATCACTTAGATTTGCAATGTAGTTGTTGTAATATTCAATAGAAGGAAAATAAGACAATTTTATTTTGCTAAGTGAAATACTAAACATATCAAAAACCTTCATTTAGATTGGCAGAGTAGGTTTAAGAATGTCTTCTAATGTGTAAACGGAAAGATTACCAAGATTAAGAACCCAGCATTCATTTGTGAGAGATCCATCTGTTTTAAAAGGCAAAACGATAACAGGAGACTCTAAGTCAATCTTCAATTTGAGAACGGAGGCGTTTTTCATTGTCTCTGAAAGGGATGATTACTTTTTTTCAATTTGTTCTGCTATTTTGTCCTTTGCTTTCTATTTAAGTTAGTCATCCTTCACTTTGACATCAAAAAACTACACAGCCCTTATTACTAAGTATGGATTATAGTCAGCACGAATCGAGCGCATTTTTATATCTATTACTTAGTCTATGTGAGGTGTTTCTAATGGTTTAGATGTCATTTTGAATTCAATTAAAGGATTCTTACTGTTCTAAATTGTAGGACTTAGAATGTTAATTACTTTGTAAGAGTTGTTCTACAAAAATTCGTCTATCATCTGCAATTCCATGCTTCTTAAATTAACCCATATTTATTTATTGTTTTCACGGATCCAAACACTCCCATAAATGCTATTTAAGCTAAATTATAAAGACTAAATTTCTTATCCAACCCTATTGCTAAGTTTGATGCTAGCTCCATGCAAATTGTAATCTAAAACAAAGTAAACATAATCTTATGGTCTAATTATTGTTGGGGCATCAATTTTTTCTTCTCCAAAGATTTCATCAATAAAATTATCTATTTCTGCTCTATTTAAAATGTATAGAAAGATATTTAATGAATAATTATTTCATTGAAATTTATATCAATTTTACTTTTCCTCTTCTGTAACTAGAGAGGTTTGCGAATTTGTGTTCCTTGAACCCCAAAGCCATCTTGCAAAGAAACCTTATTTTTCATCAAACTTCTTTTTTTCCAGCTCCTTGATTTTAAGAGCTCTCTATACTTGTATGACTATTTTTTTTGTTCTTTGTAACAAGATTTACATATCTAGCTTAATTATTGCTTCTTCAAATTGATGTTTCTCTTTCTCCGTAAGGCAGGCAATGGATTTGTCTTTTTTTTATTCTTACATTTTTGTATATAAATTAGTAAAAAGATCTCCTAATGCTTCTATCTCTTTTGCACTTATCTTTTTTTCATTTTTCTTTCTTATTTCTAATTCCCTTGAATATTTAGAGAGGAATTCAATTTATTCTATAAGCTGCTATAGCTGCCTTTGCTAGAGATGTAAAGTGATATGTTCCAAATTTAGAATGACCTTTTTTGCAAATAAATGAAAAAAAAATCTTAATCTTCTTATTTCATTTATTTTCTTCTCTTGGAAAATATAAATATTACTAAATGTATCGATTAATTACATTAAAAATTTGATTAATTTTATAGAAGTAATCTCTTTAAAAAATTATCATTTGAATTTTTAACTTCAGTGTACCTTAATTTCAGGAACGTCAAAGTTACCTTTATTGTTAATAGTTAGGTTCACTTGAGATGAAATTTTGAAGAGAAAGTCGACAGGCTCATCTGTCTTGTCTTATCCTTCCTTTTAAATCATCCCATTTAAAATTTTGAACTTCACTTCTTCATTCAAATCAGAAATTAAGCGAGTTTCATTTGCATTCCAATAAACACCTGCATTTGATATTGTAAGAAGCTTTCGAATGGGCTTATCTTTATTTTCCTAAATAGTTCTATCAACGAATACTTTAACTCCTTCAATATTTGTTGTATAAATTTCTAGCTTATCCAAACAGAAACCCCAAGAGTATCTCTTGGTCAACGTGTCTTCAAAGCGTACATGAATATTTCTTATTGTTATTTGCAAATTATCTACAATTTTCATAGTTAATTTTTAGATGTATCCTGCTTCTTGTCCTCCTTTAAGCTTTTCTTTTTGCTTAGCTGCTATTTTTTGCACGCATTCAGCAGCGAAAGCTTCAACATTTGCTAGCTTTGTTTTAAAAGAATTGTAGTCTTTGAATTTCCACTCTTTCTACTCTTTTGGAGTAGCAATCAAATAAAGTCCATCTAAAAAAACTTCTACAGGCATAGAACCAATATTTTTGAGTGGAACCTTAAGCTCTAGCTTTTTAATAGAAGAGTATTAATGATTGATAGGTAGTTCCAGCATATTAACAATATTTGGATTGAGCGAAACATTTTCTATCTTAACTTCCCCTGAAAAAATACCTATGTTTAAGTTCTCTTTATTCAAACCTAAAACATATTCGCCTGCAACTTTATCTAAAACAGAGCTTATTAAACTTTAAAACATATCTATCTTCCCCTTTATACCTATTTTATTTATTTAAGAATATGATAATTGCTCATTAGTAAAATGACTTCTATACTATTTGCTAAAGTTTCTACCTCCAGAGAAGTAATCTATTTTCAAATATTATTTCTCTTTATTTATAAATTTCTTCTATTCACTATGCTAACTAATTATTTGATTGATTCAAAATAAATCAATATGACAAATAATATAAAAATTTGATATATATTTTTATAGATTTTATAAGCTTAATTTTTGATTTTTTTTTTTTTTGCTTCTTTTTTTTTTCTGAATGTATTTTAGTATTTTTACTTTGATTATCAGAAGGATATTTTACTATCAAAATGAAATAATTTATGAGAAAGATCTACTTTTATTCATCATTTATTTTATTCAATATTTTGCTTTCAAAAAGTTGAAAATATATCAAAAATTGAGCAAATACTTTTACTAGTGGATGCAGACGATTCAAAATTTATTATAATTTATTAGTTTTCACAATAACATCAATCTAAATATTTCTTTCTATTAGAATACTTTCATTTTCTAAAAATAAACTAAATAATTTATTACTGTTTTAATAATATATTGCAAATAATTTAAAAACTTTACATTACAAATCCCTAATTTTACATTTTTTTAGCCCTAAACCTAATAGAAAACGATTCTTGAAAATTTATAATTTGAGGAATTCGGAGAAAGTAAAGTGAATATTTTACTCACTAATTATAATGTAGGATAAAATGATCTTAACAAAAAAAAAATCATATATATTTATTTTATCAGCTATTTTACTATCTATTTATCTATCTATCTATGTATATTTTAGTTCATTAAACTAAACAATAAAAAATAATCTACTAACTTGAAAAGAATGATGATAAGAAGATAAAATTTACAAAAAAAGAAATGTAAATAAATAAATAAGTTCATAATTATCCAGATAAAAATAAATAGTTTAGAAATATTTTTTAAGAAAAATGAATTTTTATAGCAAGTATTAATATTTTATACTCAGCTTATAACTTTATTTGATAGTGTTTGTTATATTTAATTGATTAATATAGGCTCATCGAAATGATCTTAAAGTTTTATTTAATACTTATTATTATTTGTATCTTTAAGATAAATGATCTTAGCATTTGATTAAAATTTATAATCAGAAAGTGCCTATACTTAAATAGTTTTTTCTTGCTAATTTTATAGGTTATATTAGATGTATATTTAGTTTTATATAAATATAATGTATCCTTTCACCCAGAAATCTTAAGAGTTTTGCAAATCATTGACTAAGACAATCAATTTTCTTTTTGCCTCATCGGAATATTAGTTAAGATTTGTTGATTTACCTTCATTAATTACATTTTGATCCAATTATTAATTTGGCTATTAAGCATTTTTATCACATTTGTTTAATTTGGAAAACATTTAAATTTTTGGTTATTTTTATTGATTATTTTGAATTTATTTTTCTTAGAATAATATATTTGGTGGGTTCAGCTTTAATACATTTATAAATATATTTATTATATAATCTATTAATTATTTAGAATTATTTGTTTCAATTATTAATTAGTACTCATTCTATATTGAAATACAACATCTATTACTGTCCTTAGATGAAGTATTTATTTGGTTTATGTCTTTAATATAGAATCTTTTGAAATTATTGATCTAAGACAAATTTTAAAATACATAGAAATAAGTTTAGTCCAATAAAATTATTATTTCTTAGGATGCTCCGGTTTTAGAGTGCTTGATAACTTTATCACTGAATATGAGTTAATTCTCTTCTTCCTAGTCTTTATCAGGTTTATTTTTATTTATTAAATTTGAAAAATTCGAGTTGCTTTTTAATTTTAAAAAATCAGAACAACTTCTAGATGAAATATCTGACTCTATTTGTTATTGTTATTCTTCTTGTGATTTTAATTATTATTCACACCAAAAAAAGCTTTCTATTTTTTAATTCAAATTTTTTATAAAAAGTGAAAATATTTTTTTTAAGCAGTATTTAAAAGATTTATTTATTTAAAATGAATAAAATTTACTTTTTTAAAAATGGCAAGTTTCTTATTGTTTTTTTTTTAGACTATGGTTAGTAGGTGTGGCGCTATTTAATCTTTTAGATTTATTATTTAAAATCAAACTATTGTTTTATTCTATAACACCAAGTGATTTTGATTTATTTATTAGTTTTCTTTCAATATTATCATCTATATTATTCAAAATTTAATACATAAATAAATTAAAAATTAGAAAAAGCAGTCAAATCAAGACAAAAAAATTTAAAAAATTTACAATTATTCATGCCATGTATATTTAAATTCTACTTTTCAACTTCTTCAGATTATTTACAGTCGCTGTAGGAAAGAATATTTTTGTATTGACAATCTTAATTTTGAGGAAGATTTTGTGAAGGAGAGTCGCTATTTTTAAGATTTTTATTAAGCTATTCTTAACTATTAGCAACCATGTCTCTCATATCCTCATCATAAAATGAAAAAAATTAAGAGTTTTTTTATTTTTATGAGCACTGTTTAGATTTTAGGATTGGGGAAACTAAAATATCCTAGGAACCTAAGGTCACTTTAAAAAGAATTAAAATTTTATAAGTTTTTATATAAATATTTATATGAAATTACAATTATTGATCTTATTGGTATGGACAGAAGTAAGGTAGTTGTTAATTGATGTTGACATAACATCTTATTCATCAGAAGAGCTTTTATAGCTTCCTAACATAATTGTCTCTAATTATTTTAAATAATAAATTTATATAGTAAATAGATTAAATAAATTGTTTATTTACCTTCATCTTTCCTTTAGATGCATTAGTCTTCTTAAAAAGTGACAATTTTAACAGATTATTATTATTTTTTTTTTGCTTTCTTATCCGATGAAATTAAGCCATTTAAATTAGATTTAATTTATTCTTTCTCTTCATTATCTATCTATTTTATAGATTAAGTTTAACCAATAACATCTATTTTTATTTAATTAAATATATTTAATCTAATTTAACTGATTAATAGAAAAATAACAAATAAATCAGTGATAATAATAATAATAATAATATTTATTTACATAACTAATCTCTTTAGCCATCTTGTTTAGGATCTATTTATCTGTTAATTATTGTTTACATATGTGCAGTAATTCTCTCTTCGAGTATAGTAAATAATTCATAAATACTTTAAATTTAATATTGGCTTTTATAATATTTAAAAATTTTATTATATTATTGATAGTATTTGATTTTAATTACTCTTCTATTTCTTCACCTCCTGCTATTAGTTACGCTTGCTTCTGTAATTATAAATCATCGCTAACAGGCTAACCGATTAAGTTTTCAAGAATACTTTTTGTTTTTTTGTTAACAAAATTTCTAATAGAGTTTAATTGAGAGGAAAGAAACTATTTTGATCTCTCTAATGCTTTTGCTGTATTCATTTCTTTTTCTAATTGTGTTTTTAAGCAAATGATATCCTTTTCCCTTTTTTCTAAAAGCTTTTTAAGAAGCCCATTTTCTTTTATCAATGATTTAATAGAATAAGCGTTATCATTAGTAGTTAAATTACAACTCATTAAATTCTACTCAGACATTTTTAGCAGTATGAGATTAATAAGTAAGAAAATTAATATGTGCTTAGTGTTGCGCTTTATTTTTTTTTTTACGCTAATTTGTATAATAAATCTAATTATTAAAAGTTTTGGTTCAATATATAAATTAATCGATTTAAAAGTAATTAAAAGAAATAAACGAAGGTACTAAAAGAATATAATAGCTAATTATTTATTTATCGTTTATATCATAAAAAATAAAATGTATTTTTTTAAAAAACTAAATTTAATATAAATCTAATAATAAATATGCGAATAAACAATTTATCCTAAAAATTCATTTTCTCTCCTATATTTTATATTAACTATAGAAAAAATTGTGCAAAGATAAAAAATCTTTTCTTTAGTACATTCGTTAAATTAATTTCCCCTTAAATAAGAATAATTCAGGTAAATAAAAAGTAATTTTTTCTATTTTAATTACAAGTAAATAATTAAACAATAAATATTTAATCATTTTTAGTTAAATATATTAAAATAAAATGAAATTTGATCATAATAATTCATTTTATATTAATTAATTAGTGACTAAGACTATTTTATTCACTTTAGATGAGAAATAAACATAACATAAAATAATATTTTTTAATAAGAATAATGGTTTTGAAATGCTTTAAATCAAACAAAAAAAATTAAAAAATGTATATTAAATAAATTGACTATGTATGTCTCATAAGTTGATTAAATAACAATAATGTTTAACAGCATTCTATTATAATTATCAATTTTTTAATTAGATTCTTTATTTACATTTATTTTTTGTTTTGCTTTATCCTTAATAATTTACTGGTTTAATTTATAAAAATTATATACTTAATTCGCGATTTATCTTATTACACTAAATGACTTTATATTGTGCCATTTTACTTTTTTGAAATTATGAAAAGTAAGTACATTAGCTAACTAAAAACTTGCTTTTTTTTTGAATTTATTTTACTTATATTTTGCATTATTAACTGTTTCTTTAAATAAATTTAAGATTTATAAAGAAAACAAATAGATGAAAAATAAAAAAAGGACATTGAAATGTGTTTTAATTACGAAAACAAGCTTTAAAACTGATAGAAATTCTGATTCTTTTGTGTAAATGAGAGAATGAATGTTAAAATTATTTGATAAATGATATAAATTTAAAATGATAGAGCACAAAATTTTAAGAAGAAAATATCCATTCACTTTGTATTTTTAAATAAAAATAATTTTTAAGTTCAATAAATTAGAATGTTGAATATTTTTTAGTCCTACTCTTTTTTTATAGATTTACATTTTTCTTTTTTTATTTAGATTGATTACTATTGATGTATGTTTTATTATTATTTTTTGTTCCATCAATTTTATTTCATTAAAAAACTTATCACTAGTTAAGTTTTATCATTATCAAAAATCAAGAAGAAATATTGGCTATTTCATGAAAACTGTTGAATTTTGCTGTAAAATAGATAGTGATTTATTTATTGTTTGGCCAGATGAATTCATTTAAATTTAAACGCTCTAAAAATAATCAAGCTTGCCTAGGTTAAAAAATATTTTTTAATCGAATAAAATATAAAAAAAATTTTATTTAATGAAAATATTAAATTTTATTATTTAATATCAGATATAAGAAATTACGTTTAAAAAGCATATTTTTAAACATAATTTCTCTTTTTTAATAATTTATTGACTAAATTAGTTAAATCGTCAGTAAAGGCAATATTATTTTTGGGTAAATGATTGATTGATAAATATAAATAATAGTTAAAGTTAAAATTAGTATATTATCTTATGAAATTCAATCTTTATTTTAATTAATTAAGCGAACCATACACATTTATTTTTATTAGATTTTAATATTTTTTCGAGCAATTAAAAAATTTTGTTTTGATTAACTTATTTAAAATTTTGATAGAATTAATCAATTATATAAACTAAATTTTTGTTAGTGATTAATTGATTCAAAATATATTTTGTGGTTATAAATTATTGAAAATTTTAATTTAATTAATAAAATTTAAATGTTCTAATTATAATTAATAAGAATTCAAAAATCACATAATCAGCTATTTAAAAATTAATTTTGAAAGGTTTCAATAATTTTGAAGCAAAAATAACGAGTTATTAATATAGTAAAAAGTTTTATGCAAAATAATTAAACAATCTAATATCAATTTTATATTTTATCTCCGTAATTTCCCCAATATGGATCTGGCTGAGTCCAAGTGCCACTGAAAAGTCTTTTGACTGTTTAGGAAACAATACTAAATCTAGCTAGTTTAACATCGTTTTTACTGTAGTAATGCATGAGTTTTATTAAGTTTTCGACATAGATCATATCTATCATTTCTTCGTTGCTGATATTTTTATTAAAATAGTTGTCATGAGAATCTTCATCATCTTCAGGCTTTTACTCTTCTATAACAAAAGCATCTAAGAATTAAAATAGCAAATCCACGTCAGTGAATAAACCGAATGTATTTTAGTCATCCTCCTTTTTTAATTCTTTCCACATTTGATATGTTGTCTTTTTTGTTTTAGTCATTTGAATAGGTGTAGATTGCTCTAAGATATTTTATTTAGATGCTAGTTATTACCAAATTTGCAATTTAGGATTGTCAGTATTCTATTCGTCTTCATCTCTGTTTTTATTTGGGCCAAGAGACATCTCAAGTGAAAATCCTGGGGCACTTTTGTTATATCTAAATAAGCATGCTCTTTTTAAGTCGAAACTATTAATTAAAATATCACTTTCTTTAAAAGACTTATTTATTGACTATTAATTAAATATATTCTGGTTCTTATTTCCTTCAATATTAATTGCTATCTTGCTTTTTTCAGGTTTTTACTCAGCTTAATATTCTTCATCTAAAAATTTAGTTTCTTTCTTCTAATTACCTTATTTATTGAAATCATCATCATTAATTCTTACTTTTTTGTTGCTTTTATGGCTAGAAGATTTTTTTATCTTTTACTCATTTTTTTTATTATTCGAGCTTATTAAAGCATTTGTCTTTTGCTGATCAGCTAAAACATCTTCTTCTAGCTTCAGATCACTGCTGTTGCTTTAATTGTTATCATTTTTATTAGTTTTATTAAAACCATTATTAGAATCTCTATTGATCATTTATTCAGTTTAAACAATCCCTAAGCTTTCTTTAATTTCAGCTGGTTCTGTTACTAAATTATTTTCTAACGCAAAGTTTATTTAAGAATTAGTAATAACATTTTATTCCTTATTCTTATTTTATTCTTCATCGTTTATTTAAGATGTTTTGCTGCTTGTAATACTTTTAAAAGTGTTAGTTGTTTGAGGTTTTTTTTGTTAAGAACTTGATTTTTTAGATAGATTCAATTTTCTTTATTTATTAATGACTTATTCTTCAAGTTTTGCTTGTATTTCATCTTTATCAAGCTACTCTTATTCTAGCCTTCTTTATTTATCACGAATTCTTTATTCCATAATCTTCATCTTTTTCAAAATAGCATTTAAAAATTCAGAAAGCACCATTTTGGTTTTATACTCAGAAAGCTGCAAGTAAAGAGATTTAGCAACTGAGGCAACTATAGAATAGGTACTGTTTGAAATGGTTTGTTCTTCACGTTCATTTAAATATTTACCATAGTTTAGATACTAATGGTTAATTTTGCAGTCATTATAAAGTTAGACTACCATGTAATAATAACCAAAAAATAACCACTTCAGTAATCTCTTCAGCTTATAAGTCTTTGTTTGTTCTTTACTTTTCTCTCTATAAATTCTTAAAAAGTTTACTAAATAGAAAAGTGGAGAGCATATTAAATTTATAATGACACCAGATGCCATTACACAAAAGTAAATCGGAAAATATCCTAATCTGACTAATGCTTTACTAATTGTTCTTAGTTTATCATTGCTTTACTCCTAATTTAATCAAAAAGAAAGAAATTAATTAATAAATTTAAATTATTTTCAAAATAAAAGCAAATAAAAATCAAGTAAATTTTGATAAATGCAATAAATTTTTACTCTGAGAGGAGTTGTTTTATCTACAAATAGATAAGGAACTATGTAAAAAATATTTAGGAAGCTTCCAACACAGGGTAATGTGGCAAGGCAACCGCTTTGAGAATCATACTCAAGGTATTTTACACTATGTATAACTCCAACATTATATTAAATTCTACCCTATCTTGAAGCTTTTTCAAAAGAATATGTTAAGACTGCTACAAGAAGTTACATGAAAACGACAGGTCCTACTAGCAAAAATATTAAAAGGAAAATGCTTGCGTATACAGGAGAAGGTTCCATAAAATCACTAAACTGAAATTAAGCGAATAACGCTTCTATCAAGTAAAGCAGAGTCTAAACTACACTCACGAATCTTCCATTCGTATTTTCATAAAATGAGAAATAAGCTGTGAACACAAAGCCGACATTAATGATAATAAAAATTAATGAAAATTTATTACATTCCTACACTACTTGGTACATAGCCGTAATCATAGGACCAGTCACTTTATAGCTCTTGAGACTTGTCATGAATTGAATAAATACAAATCCCATATATAATATACGAAAGATCATCAACATAGAATATCTATTAGGTTCCTAAATATACTCTAAATTGGGAATAACTGAAAGCTAAAACAAAGAGAGAAGTCCTAAAATGAACCCATATACTTCATGAGTATAAATATCATAAGGAATTTTTTAAGTAATTTTAAAAAAAGAAATGAAGATAGGTTTCAAGATAAAGTTGGCGCTAACAATAATATCTAGCCAAATTTAAAATTGGTAATAAATTGATTTAATGTTATTAATAATTTATTTTTCTTAAGCTGCAAAATCAGAGCTAGAGAGATGAGCACTCTATAAATTCTATAAATCAAGCTGAGGACTAAATATGTTAAAAAAGTTTGCAAAAATTATAATCATTAGGATAATCGTAAAAAGTTAGTCTAAATAGTTTCTCACTTTGCAATTGTATGTCCACACAACTCTTTAATAGTTGTAATGGTGATTTTAGTAAGAAGAATTAAATATTACAAACTTCTCTCTGCTAGCAGGATTAATATATTTCTCATATTCGCATTTTTCTTAATAAAACAAATTTTAAGTGATCGAAAACATTTCTAGTAATTTAGTTTTAGGTGCAATATTTCCGTTATAAATAGCCTATTTATTTTTTAGTTATAAATAAAATAATTATTTTGTCAATATATTTAAATAAATTCAATAATTTAATAATTTTAAAGTCTTTCCAGTGTAAAATAAATGCATTTGTTTAATAATTTTATGAAGATTTTCATTTCTCAAAACTATCTAAATATAAATGCTTACTTATTGAAAGATAGATAGCATATGAAAAATTTTTATTATTATTTAACAAATTTAAAATGAAAAAATTAATTAATCGAATGGAATATTTAATTTTATTTTTTATTCAACAAAAAAGTTGTTATCAGATTTATTAATTAAAAGTTATTAAGTTTATATTTCCAAATATTTACTTCTATTGCATCGTCAACAATTTAGGTAGATAAAATAATAGCACCAACACTCTCGTTCATTAGATAAGCTGTTTTTCTTTTCTCTAAATCTATATCTTTTAGAAGTTCCATAAGCAACTGATGGTCATTTTGATAAAAACAAAATATTTGTGCGAATTTGTAGTAATAACTATGGGCTTTTATCAAAATTGATTTATCACGAACTACATTTTCAATTATTTAAGTAAGAAGCTCGCAAACTAATAGACATATTTTAAGGGGATTATAGAATGTATATATGAACTATCCTTCCTTACCCTACTCCATTCTATGGATAAGTGTTTCTGCCAGAAGTTAAATCTTTTTTCTTTGGCTAAAAAGCTGTATCCTCTTCAGATAATATATCAAATATTCAAAATTTTTTCCTTCAGCATGATACAAGCAATCAATAAGCTTTTGTTATGTCTCTTCATCACTCAGCCATCCTAACATAAGCTCTTCTTGCTAACTGGTCAAAAACCATAAGAAATCATAATTTTATACCTATTTTATAATATTGTTATTTATTTATTTATAAATATTTGAATGATCTTTTATTAGAATTTTCCAAATTAATTTAGTAAAAAAATAAATATCATCTATGTTAAATACATTAAGAGAATATTTGAGAAGAGTTTCATTATAAATTTATTGATTTGATTGCTCTAACTCACGGAAAACGTCTTTTGACAATGAATTAGCTTTATACTTTATCAAAGCTTATAAAATTTCAACTTTTTCATCAACTGGTAATTATATACCAAAGAGTAATTGCCTATATATTTTCAGAATAAATGATTGAAATTCATATACTTTTATAATAATATTTTTTACTTAATTAGATCATGGTCCTTATGTTTTTGTAGATAAAACAAAATTATTAATTTTAAGTCTACTCTTTGTAGTGGCTTATTTAGATATCCCTCGTATGTAAGTTTATCATGCAACTTAAATAAAATTTGGTCTGAAGATTGTTCTATTTTAACACCATTCTTGACTAAGTACCTGTTAAGTTTATTTGTTCAATAATTTTTTTAAATATTTAGTAAAATATTTATGAAATATATACAGTATTTGTTCATATCTTTTAGCTTATAAGACTTTGTGAATTGTACTAATCGATACTGAAAGCTTGCTTTAGAGAGAAGATTAGTTTATCTTAGGATTTTAAGTTATTTAAAGGTAAATTTCATAAAATATATTTTTATCTTCCATTATACGTCTCATAAAATACGAAGCATTATCAATTATAAAGTTAGAAATCATCATTTTATCTTTCTTTTTACTTTCTTCAACCAAAAAGTAAATCATTTAATTGACTTTTTTATCATCTTTTTTCTCTCTTGTGTCCATAATTTAAGCTTTAAGCTTATCAAATAGAATTCTTTTTAATTTTAAAAATATTAGCTGATTAAAATAATTATTAATAAATTATTCTATACTGTATGTCCTCTTCTCTTTCTTAAAGATAAGCGATTAAATAAAAAATTATGATATCGAATTTCGTCAAATTGAGCTTTTTAAGTAGCTACTGTTTATTCCTTTTTTTTAATATAGCTTAAAGTTAGTTAAATGAAATATATATTATAATAAAATAATAAATGCAATCAATACTTCAATTCAACTTGCTCATCAATTTTATCTTTCTCAAGGAAGTATTAAAGAATTTGTGTAATGTTTCTAATATACTTTTCACCTGTCCTATTAATAAAAGACCAAACTATCATTCAAAGAGTTCTGATTTAAATGCTATATCATACCTCAATCTTACTAGCTTTTAAGACTTAATTCTTTCTTTAATGGCTTCTTCAATATCTTCTGAGCTACTTGAACTAGAGGAAGAGGAAGAACCATATGGATTACTTTCAGAAGATCTGTCAAAACCTTCGGAATTAGAAGATGACTAAATTGTTTTTTATTTATTTGCATATTATTTATTACATTTTTAGAGAAATTGTATAATCAAACAAAATTATAGCTATTTATTAGTATGGATTCAAGTAATATTTACGCTTGAAGATGAAGATCTTTCATGAAAGCTTTTATTAAGTGCAGGAAGATTTAGAAATGATAGCTCATCCTAATAAACCTTTTATTACTAAGATACGATAAGGCTATTCTACTAATTAACCTCTTAAAAATTCATATATAATCAATCTATAAAACTATTTAATTATTAACTCAACTTTTGTTCACAAATATATTTTTTTTTTACAAATTAAGTCAAGTATTTAATAATATTTTTTCCAATCAATAGAAGTTTATAATAATTAAATAATATCAATTTCAAGTAATATATCTAAAAATTATAGAGCTAAATAAATTATTTCTCAAGTTACTTTAGTAAAATAAGCTGACAAATTTACATAAAAAGCATTCAAAAAATAACAACTTTTTTAAACACACTTTTAATTCTCCTCATGATATCCTTTGTTTTAAAATTTAAAAGAAAATTTGAAAAAATGGATAGTAACATTTATATAAAAGTACTTAGTATATAAGTATGATTTTTTCATATTAATGAAGTTTTTCATTTATTTAAAACTTCATTTTTGTTCTAAGAAAGACCAATCATTTTTTCTTTTTAATAAAATGTAAGTAAGTAAATCAGAGACTTGCTTGCTTAGTTAGTTTTGATTAAATCTTATATAAAATAATGCATTCTTTATCTTATTTCAGAAAGCATAATTAATATAACAAAGGATAAATAAAATTAGCTAGAAAAAATTAATTTTAGTTCATTTCTATTTGTATATAAATATCTAGTAAAGAGTTTCATAGTATATATGTGTGTTAGGTATTATAGACTATTTTTCTTATCTATTACCATTTATAGCTTGAAAGGTGGAGAGCCATACATGCAATTAAGTTAAGCTATTTATTTACTAGATATTTAAAAGGTATTCAAATTAATAGACTTATTTTAACTGCTAATAAACATTTAATATTTTGTAATGTCGTAATATAAATATTCTTATGAAAATTACTTGCTATTTTTACATTTTAATTAATATTGAAAAGTATTTGTTTAATATTGGCTGATGCATATTTGGCTCAAACATTATTATTATTATTAAGTATTATTATTATTAAATTATATATTTTTGATAAGCACTTTATTGTTCATAAGCAAATAAATAAATCAATCAATCAATCTACTCCAAATATAATAATATCAACAAGATTATTGATTTCAAATTTTAAGAATCTTATTATGAGTTTTTCTATATAAAGCGAAAATAAGATAACTTAGCGCTTCGCAACAGAAGATTAGGAGAGCAACGAGACAGCCTAGTTAAACGAAATAGATTATGAATAGCAATAAAAGTAGAAGCAAAAAATCTTAATGAATGAGTTATTATTCAGTTATGATGAAGGATAGCTGAGTGAAGAAATAGATGAACAACATGAATAAAATTATCCATAAATTTAGTTCAAAAAGGCAAGTTTAAAGTTTCCTAAAAGTAAAGTTAGTCTTAAAGGCCAAAGGAAAAAGGGTAAATCAGCTTCTCTAGATGTGATCAAATCAGAAGAAAGCTCTTCAGAAGCTGAAGAAAAAAATTCACCATTTTTAAGGAGAAACTCATTATAAGATATTAATATTGCTTAGCCAAAAATTTAATTCGTGAAGGATTTTGAGTTAGAAATGAAAGAAGGTGACTCTATGCCTCAATCTGAAAATGAATAGAGTGTAGAAAAGTATGAACAGAATAATCAATCATTTTAAGATGATCTTGAAAACTCATAAATTTTGAATTTAAAGAAGAAATAGTCAAAAAAAATATTTAACTCTAGTGATTCTAGCACAAGTAGTTCTGACGAACATAGGTAATAAAGTGGAATTCACAATAAGAAGCAGTCCTATCTTATAAGGTTAATTAATTATTTTTTATAGCTTTATTTTGGAATAATAAGTTTATTTAAAGATATTAATTTATATTGACTAATTTAACTCTATTAATATTTATCTAAAATATATAGACTCAATGTAAAAGAAACTGTAAATTATTTTCTTGGCTAAGCAAGAGGCCTTTAATCAACTCCAAAAACAACTAAAATGCTTTCTAAAGAGTAATTTGTCAACACTAAAATTAAAATTAGTTTAATTTATTTATATAAAATTAGCCAATCAAGCAGGTATCTAGATCCGATGAATATTATTTTCTTCTTTTAATACTTCTTGGTGAAAGAGCAGTAAGAGAATATGGAGTATAATTTATTTTATAAATAATTTCATAAAATGATTATTTATGTTAAAAATTAATTAGAATTTTGCACAATTTAGTCAAAAAAATAACAGAAAAGGATATTAAATAGTTATAGAAATGGAAGCTTTATGATGATTGTGATTCAATTAAGTAGGACATTTGGAATAGTATTTAATAAATCAGTTCTGTTGAATTGAGTGATAAAACAAATTTAGGAACTATTATAGATTAACTTTTTAGTGAAAATATTTAGCATATATTTGAATCTTCAGTAGTATTTTCTTATTTAGAGGAATTTAAGTAAAATTTTTGAATAAAATTAAGTTAAATTAAATTTACTTTTTAAACTTTTAGAGAAATCTAAGACTTTATGGAAGCTAAATTACATTGCAAATTCTCAGTGGTTCTAAAAAAAGAAATCATTGAAATTATTCTCAACTTAGAAAACGAAAAATATGTTAAAATTATTTATGAAGGAAATTTTGTAATTGACGATGAACTTTCTTAAGACTTTTTATAGATTTTTCAGTCTAATTTCTCACCTGAAAAAATTTAAAACAAATTAACTCTAAGTTCTGAAATTATGGTCTTTTACTATAGTGTAGAGCTGCTATCTCCACAAATGATTAGGTATGTTAGATTTTTAATTATTACATGATTGAAAACATTATTTTTTATAAATAAATAAATATAAAGATTTATTATTAGTTTAGAAGATGACTAAAATGTTTTAAGATAAGTTTTGCATTATTTTATATTATATCACCTAAATCAATCTGCAAAGTAATTCAAATTTGTTTATCTATTAAAAATGTATTTTAAATTATTTTTTTCTATATTTGGAACAGAGAAACATTTTAGAAGTTGCTGCAAAAAAAATTAGAAATGGAAAATGAAATTGTTTAATTGTGTCTTTAAAGTTCTAATTTTGCTTTTTTGCATACTTATTATGAAATTACAAGAACTAAAATCTCAGGTTGGCTAGAAGATGAAGAGTATCAAAAATTACTAATTAAAGCATTAGGAAGATCTACTGGTATGAATTTTCAAGCTCTATTATTCTTTATTAGAAAGGTGAAGTTATGGAGTTAAAAGAATTTAATTCACTTGCTTGCTGAAACTTTAAGTGAAAGACTTGATTCTTCTCAGAACGACAATCATTTCTTATTTACTTTTAGCAATCCTTTTAAAATAATCGTCCTCATCTTAGAAATTTTGAATTAGCTTTTCTAAAACGAAACTTTCCACAAAAATATTTTAGAAAGGTATTTATTTATTTATTTACTTATATCAAAAGAAGGAATTAATTAATAAATATTTTAAAAATTATTTTTAAAAACTAGAACTTAAGCAAAGTTTAATTTATTTGCTACCACTTTAATTAAATAATCTCAAGACGAAGAATAAATGCGTCGACTCTTAATCGACTGGGATCTAGAAGGTAGAAAATTGCTCTACATTATTTATGAAAATTCTCTATCATAAATTTTAACATAAATGAACGTTTAAGGTGTAATTGATAATGCTTGGAATGGTAATGCTAACTCCACAATAAACATGTAAACTTAAATTAAAATAAATACTATCAATTAATTAATTAAATTATATTTTTTTAAGATTAAATAACAAGCAATTTAATAAAACTTAATTTTCCTAAAATTAAATAAAAAATTGTTTAAATATAGATTTAATACTTTCTCAGTTTGCTAAAATTTATTTTACTCTTTGCCTAATAAATTCTTGAAAGATAAAGAAAAGCTACACTTCAGTCTCAGTAAGTTATATTAAAAGGAAGATTTTATGGGAAGACAGAGTATATGGATTAAATAAATTAAATTTAGATACTTTAGTGATTAAATTCTAATTTTTATTCTTAATTCACTGCTGCTGGCTTACTTCTTAGTTTTATTCTCAACATTTACTCAAGGCTTTATGCCAGTTAATAGCTCTCCTGATGTAGTAAATTCAACTATTTAGCAAATTCAAAGCTAATTCTCATCCGGATGGATAATAATACTTATACTCATATCAGCAAATTTCCCATTAAATGCCATATCAAACTTAATTTTTCTAAAATAGTTTGAAAAAAAGGCTTTTTTTACCAAGATGCAAATTTTTGAATTCATTAATGGATTAATTGCTATCTACTTTATCATTTTTATATACACTATGCAGAATTATTCATTCTAAGATGCTTAATCTACAATGATAGCACTTTTAAATATTATGACAATTTTTGCAATAATGAGAAATCTTACGTGTCTTACTGTTACAAAAACTTTTGGTCCTGTATTCTAAGCAGGTTACGTAATTGTAGTTGAAGTTTCTAAGTTTATGACTATATTTGTTACTTATTTGCTCCTATTTGCCATAATTGGTAAATTAAATTAATTTTATATTTTTACTTCAATTCATTTTTCAAACTTTTTTAATTTTAAAAAAATTTTCTGTAAATATAAAAACAAACAGGTGTAATTTTATTCAATTAACTTCCCTCAGGTCGATTTGATTCATTTGACAAAGCTTATAACTTTTTGGTTGAAGCTATGTTTGGATAATTTTAGTTTGCTCTATTCTCTACTGTTTATCCAGCTGCAGGATATCTTTACATGATGGCTTACTTATATATCTATGGTATAGTCTTAATGAATGCATTAGTAGCTATCTTGACATTTAATTTTGAAAACAAAAACAGACAATCTAAAATGCTTCACTATGAACACACTATTTTCCATATTAGATAAGGAAACTACATTTAAAAACATGGATGTCTTATCTTGCTTCCATTCATTATTAAGTTTGCAATTCTACCTTACATCTTTCTCAAACAAATATTTAGCTCAAAATCTGACTTCATGAAATCTGTTTAAAAATTCTACATTAATCTATCTTATTCTCCATTTCTTCTATTTACTATTTTTGTATGTTTGACAATTAACCTTCTTCTTACACCATTGGCTTACTTTTAGCACATGTACCATATTTCTAAGTAAGTGTGCAAAAAGACTTTACCTTCCAACGTTCTTCTTAAATGGATGCTTTTAGGTAAATTAATAAATTAAAAATATAATCATTTATTTATTTATTAATTCATAATTTTTATTTATTATTTCATAATTTTTTTTGATTTTATAAAAACAAAATCTACAATTAATTTTAAAAAGAATGTTTTGATATTCATTTTTTTTACAATATCTTTTATAAATAAAATAGGTTTTTTTTACATTTTAAAGTAAACATTCTTTGAAGACTTAAAAGAATTTTATTAGTATATGTGTGCTGAGTACTCCTGTTAGGACAAAGAGAATCAGCTCTAGAAAAAGATTGTTTATGATAACACAATGAGGAAAATTTTCTAAACAATTAATAATATGTATATAAATGGCGTAACTTATTGCACTATTAGTGAGCTGTTTAGTTAAATTAAAGATGATTTCTTAAGCTATACTAATTAAAAAGGCAAAGAAAGCTGTGTAGATGAATAAGCTATTTCAGGCGTTCATTTACTTAAAAGATAAAATTTACCTACATAATCACCAAACATGGATATATAATTGAAGAAAAAACCTAGCTCAACTCCTTTACAGCTGCATCTTTTACAAAGGAAAAACTCTATTGGAACAAATGTATAAAGAATAGATAAAATTAATGTCAAATTAATATTTTAAGGTATCAGTGAATTAGAAGAAGATTGTGTGTATTTTTATGAATATTTTGAAAGATTTTGTTTCAAAGATATTGTCAGAAACGAAGAACAAAGAGACTAAGTACTTAACCTCTATAATATTCTCAAGTTACATGAGAATTACAATACTTCCCAATTAAAAACAATTATTCATACAGAATTATACCAAGCTGTTAAGTTAACATGATTGATTATTCATTCATTCACTCATATAAAAAAATATCTTTTCAATTTACTTATATATTTACTGCTTTTATATTTACAATTTGTTTTATACCCTATACATTTTAATACCCTTTCCAATTAAAAAAAATTCAATTAAAATAAATCAATTTGAATAAAATTTCCTATAAAAAATAAATATATTTTATTAGTTTAATTTTTGAAGGATTGCATTATCTTTAAAAAATAGCAGTTTCTTGAAAAAAGGCTAGTATCAAATTTATAACTAAGAAATAATGCTATTTTTTCAGAAGCTTCAAATTTTTCATTAGATTTACTTAAAAAATAGAAAATTCTTTGCTTTAGTTTAATTTTATAACAATTTATTTTACTTTAAGTTGTAAGACTCTAAGAAAATTTTTTTTTCATTTTAATATAAAATTTAACATAGAAACTTCTACTTTAAAGTGAAATCAAAACTAATCTTAATATTTGAATTGATCATAATTATTTAGAATTACTCTTATTTTATATCAAAGTAAATAAATAAATAAATAAAAAAATCTATAAATAGATTGTGATAAGTTTAAATTAGATGATTAAAATATCAATTGCATCTCTTTTTAATATTTTTTAAACTTTTCTATAATATTTTTATAGAATTTTATAAGTATTGTTTTTATTGTTAGTATTTTTATAAGATTTGTACAATTATAAATAAATACTTAATTAATTTAATTCATTTGTAGATTATATTAAATGCTAATAAATAAAAAGGTTGATTTGTTAGCTTTTTTATAGCTTAATTATTTTTGAGACAGACAGATAATCAATATTCTTAACTTTTCCTTTTTACAAAAATATATTTAGAGTAATTATATTTATTATCCATACTTTTTTGAATTAAATTGTATTATTAATGCTTATAGCATCAGAATTAATTAACTATTAATCAATAATTAAAACAATTATTAACTAATAATTAGGATGACATCAAAAAATATGATCTACTTTTAAAATAATATGAATTTCAAAATAGAATATAATACAAATGAATATATCAAAAGTATGTAAGTATGAAAGTATTTTCCTTTACATTTATCCTCAGCAATTATATTTTTCGGTTGATTTATTTATAAAGATGAATATTTGCTCTAAAAAATTTCTAGAAAATATGTTTACTCGTAATCAATAAAGTAATGAATAATTTATTTTTCAATTTTCTAATGTTTTTAGATAAAAGTAAAACAGAAAAATCTATTTTGAAAGATATATAAAGAATTTCAAATACTTAGAATTTGAATTTTATATAACTATGGGTATCTTTAATTAAAATAAAAGCGATTTAGCTAATAGGACCACTATTAATTGTTTACTTTAAAAAAAATCTAAATTACAATAGTTTAAAGTCTAATGGCACATGACTTATTTATTATTAAATAATTTGATTATTAATGATATAGACCTAAGGCGTAAATGCCAAAATAACTAATATTAAATAGTAAATATATTTATTAAACAAAAAGCATTCCTTCAAATGATTATTCTTATATATAAATTTTTTCTAGAAAATTTAAATTACAGTTTCCTTCTTTTATTTCAGGCAATCTATCTTTAATTTGAATTATTTTAAAAATAATATCTTGTTTATGAAAAATATTTTTCTGAATTTAAAACAATAAAATATTTTGAAATCTAAACAGCTTGCCTGTTTTTAATATTTAATTGTTAAAAACATTACATATACCAAAAAAAAATAATTAAAACTCTTTGTTTTTAAGAATGAATTAAAAAATTATGCTCTTTTGTTATTTATACCCTTTAAATTTAGTAATCGTCCGTCATTAATAAGACATTAAAGAATATTTCAAAGGAAAATCTTAATCATATATTAAGTCATACTATTTGTGAAATTTACATTAATATGCTTTATTTTTTACATTCTTAAAATAAACTAGTTGTAAAACAGAATTTCTTGCTTGCTTGTTAGCTATTTGTTTGTTTGTTTGTTTGTTTGTTTGTTTGTTTGTTTGTTTGTTTGTTTGCTTGCTTGTTTTTTTAGTTTTTTAATCCATTTTTATTTTTGTTTATATTCTTTTGAATTCAAATATAGTTTTTATTGTCTTCGTTCGTGATGCTACACTAAATATTTGTATTTATTCTTATATAATGGAAGAGTGTAATAGCTTATAATACACTTTTATAAATACGACTGTTATTGTCATGCTTCAGAATTAAATGGCATTACATAATTAAGCTAAGAAGGCTTGTGTAAACTGATTTACTAAAAAAATATAAGTTTAATGGCACTTAATTTGTTTGTAAAATAGAAAATTAAAAATTTCTGATTCCATAAAATTTAGAATTTAACTTGGTAAAGAATCTATAATTAGACTATTAATTTGTTAATACTTTTATCTTGTTTGTTTGTTTGTTTGTTTAAGAGAGATTAATAAAATTAAAAGAAAAAGTAAAATTTTCAATATAATGAAAAATTCAAAATGCATTTAATTTGTACTTACAGAATTATTCTCGAATCATTTGTAATTACACTATCCAGTTTATATTATTCATTATATTATGAATAACTATTAACTTCAAAAGCTGATTTTATTGGTAGAACAATCCATATAATTACAATAATTTAATAAAGATCTTTTAATACCAAAAAAAAAAAATTAACTATTAAAACCTATTAATTAACTAATTAATAAATAAATATAAAAAATCTTGTAAATAATAATTTAGCAAATTTGAAAACACAAACACAAAGCAATAAATAAATAAATAAATAAATACTTGACATTTTAGCAGAACAAAAACCATCTCTTATATCTAAAACACAAAATTAATAGTAAAAAGAATGTTCGGAACTTTTGACAGATCAAAAAAAGGAGTTTACAACTGGAGCGGTACCAATTTACTCGCTAACCATAACTAGATTGTTTCTCCTAGAAGTGAGGAAGAAATCATAGATATTCTCAAGACACCTAATATTAAGATTCGTATGATCGGAAGCGGTCTTTCATACGAGCCTTTGAACAGGGTAGATCAATAAGATCATGTTTTAATGACTTTGGAAAACTATAGAGGATTTATTTCTGAGACTGATGATACTGTAACTTTCAGAGCTGGTTCAGCTTTACAAGAAGTATTCAGCTATTTAATTAAGTAGAACAAAATGCTTCCCTCCAGCCCTGGTGTTATTGGTATTTAAACTCTCGCTGGAGCTATAGCAACTGGTACTCATGGTCAAGGTATGAAGTAAGCAACATTGGGTGACACTATTGAAAGATTAAAAGTAATAACTGCAGATGGAGAGATTTTAAATTTAGACAGAAAAAGTGAGCATTTTGGCGCTTTCTTAATGCACTACGGAAGTCTTGGTGTTGTAGTTGAAGTCACATTCCGCACCATCCCTATGGAAATTTTGACTTGCAAAAAAATCACAACAAATTTCGACACTCTCTGCAGCGTATATTCATAAATGAATGAAAAGTCTGATTATGCAAAAGCCTGGTGGTTCCCTGAAAGCGATGATGTCCATATTTGGGATGTAAATAAAGCAAGCGAAGAAGAATAAGAACTTTACTTCCAAAATAACAGGGAATTAACTTAAATTAGCTAATAGACTGACAACTAATTGAACGAAGCAATTGATTAAATTATTTTAAAGATGTCTTATGAGACTTGCGATGATAAATTTGAAGGTCGTTAATTTGAAACAGTCCAACGTTTTAAGAGTGTTACTAATGTAGTTGGAGATATCTATTAAGTTTTTTGCAAAGGTATTCCAGTTCCTTAAATTAATTGTGAAATAGCAGTCCCCTTCGAGTAGATTACTGAAGTCCTCCACGCTCTTAGAGACTGGTACAGAAAATCTGAGCACAAGCCTCACTATCCATTCATATTGCGTTGCACTGGCGCCTCCGAAGCCTATCTTTCTGGATCATATAATAGAAGAGTATGCTGGGTTGGATTCTTAGTATATCTTGCCAAGGACGGAAGTTTCATCAAAGGATCACTTGAAATGATGAAGGAATTATAAATTATCTTAGCAAAGTTCCAAGGCGTTCCTCATCTCGGCAAGCATTTCATAAAAGAAATCTTTGATTTTGAAGCCAACTTACCCAAATGGAATACCTTTAAGCAACTTAGAAAATAATACGATCCTAGCGGTAAATTTGAAAATGAATATTTAAAGAATCTATTTGCTTGATCTTGATTTTTCTAAAATAAATATCTTGTTTTACTAGAAAGCAGCTTACATAAAATAAAATAGTGTAATGTAACTATCAAAAAAAACAAATAAATACAAGACAAAAGTAATATTAAAATATTTATACTAAATAATTATCATTTTGCCAAGAAACAATTAAAAGAAATGAACTTCATATATTAATTACTATATAATAACTATAATAACAAAATTAATCTGAAAAATAAAAATCTATCTATTGAGATAGTAGTTTGTTAGCTAGACTATATATTTATAGTCTCCTTTAAGTAATATCTCAAAAACCAAATTATTATTTCTAAAAATTAAATAGCTATCCATTTAGTGATGATAATAATTATAAAACAATATTTTTTGTTCCACATTATTAACACGCAGACCAATCTTATTCATTATAAATACTAATTAAAAATCTTATTTCAAATGTTTTTTATATTTATGTACATTAATATTTCTTATATACAATTTTGATCTTACAAAAAACTCTTCTCAGTCAAAAATTTCAAATTTCTGTTTAAACATAAAACTAAATTATTAATGAAATTTCGCCTTAACAATTCTATAAAGCTTTAAAAAAAATATATATATACGAATATAGGTATGTAGTTAGGTATATAGTTGAGCGCCTCTAATTTACTTTTTAAAGGAACTCTTATGTGATAATAAAAAATTTATCACAAATTAATTACTTAGTTTTTAAAAAAAATATAGTAAGTAAATTAATAGAATTTATCAAAAAAATATCTAAAATAGAAATATGTATTACGTATGGTGTTACATAAATAAAGAATGTAATTAAAAATATCCATTTTAAAATATATTTTACATATAAAATATTTCTTATTATTTTATGTTGATTTATCAATATTTAAATATTGTAAATGGGTGTTATAAATTGATTGAAAGTGAGTATTAAAATACTCAAATTTATTTTTGTTTTTATTCATTTTTTTCTTAGATTAATACAAATTTTGATTGATTAAAAAATTTTTTGTTTGAATGTAAACTAAAGAAAAAAAATTTGATTCTTTTAATTTTCAAACAAGAAATTTCAGCAAATTAAAATAGAAACTTCACATTCATTCATTTATTTATTTATTTATTTTTGTTATGACTAAATATTATTTCTTAGTTTATTTTTTCTAATGAAAAATTTAAATTTGATATTGTTAATTTTACTTTTAGATTAAGGCTGTTTTCACTAATATTTGTCTATTCAAATCAAAAAATTAAGTATTATTTGTTTTAAATTTTCATTTTCTAATAATTTTTTGCATATTTAATCTATCAATATAGTATTATCATTTTTGATAGCATTTCCTTAATTACACTTCAATGTAAGCTTAAAAAAATCATGTCATCGTGTATGCATGCAATGATAACGAAAATATAAATTGAAATATTGAAGAATTCTATTATAAAATAGTAAATTTGTAAGAAAAGAAATAAAATGCTTATTAGAAAATAAATAAAATTAAGATTTTATGGAATTCAAATTGACTTTAAAGCTGAATATTTTCTTAAATTTTTAATTTTGTAAAAAATATCCTCAATAAATATAATTATTTAAAAACTTTGAATATTTATAATATTTTTTTAGTATTTTTTGAGTTTTACGTCACATTAAATCAATTATTTATTTTTGAAATAATTTTTTAATTTTGTGCTAATTATTTTCAAATTTCTTCCTATTTTTTACAGATTTTTTCATTTATTGATATTTAAATGAAATTTCCTAATCTTTGAGTGACAATTTCTAAAAGTATGTAAAATATTTTTTATTTGTATTTGAAAAGCAAAAAAAATTATAGTTTTATCCAAAAATAGTTTTTCATTTTTTTTTGATATAGATTTACTCCTACAAAAATTAATGGTGGGGGTTTTTAATTAAGCAAATAACTTAAATTTGTATTGGATTAAATTTTGCTTTTAATGAATGACTTCTAATATTTTTATCTCTTAAAAATAAATATGGAATATGCTTTTTTTTTAAGATTAAAATCTACTCAATTAATTAATCGATAATAAAATATTTTTTACTTATTTTTACTAAACCATGTTTAAAAAGAGAGTACATATTATTTTTATAAAATTATCGAACATTTAAACTCTTCAGATAACAAAAATAGCTAACATTTATTTCATCTTTATCTTATTAATTAGTAAAAATATTGCTAATACATTCCGATTAACATATTTTAATTAAAAGATATAAACTACGCTATGTACAATTCTTAGAGTGAACTTTTCAGAAAACATTAGTTTAAAATTGCAATTTATTTAGATAGTTATTTTAAAATGAGAATTACTTTATGTTAGAATTACTTTAAAAGATATGCCACAATATTAAATAAATTACATTTAAACAAAGTGAATGCGAAATATATATATGAATTTTTTTAAAGTTAAATAAGTAAATTTACTGAGGTAAATGATTTATTTGTCTTATCTGATTTTTAAAATCATTAAGTAAGTAAGTATAATAAGATATATTCTTTAACATCTTAAGTCAAAGCTAATTCTATTTAATATCTAGTATTTATTTAGCTTTTTATAGGATCACTTTTAATCAAAACATTCTAAAATTGGGTGTTTATTTGTATTTATCTTTAGGGTTTTTTAATTTAAATAACAAAATATTACAGAAGTTTTGTTACTCAATTGCTCTAAAAATTAAAGTCATATATATATTAGACGTAGTAAATTCATTTTTATTTTTGGCATGTTTAAAATTAATTTGCACAAAAATTTATTTAACAGATTAATTAAAATAATTTAAAATAAAATCCAAATAAATTTTTTATAATTTTCTGAATTTAGGATTAGTAATTATTAATTGAAGTATGATCTGCTCATAAGATAAAAAATTATATAAAGAGTATTATATATTAATTTAGCACTATAATATTTTAATATAATGATTTTATTAAAATAATTTAAAATAAAACTCTAAGGATTTATTTAATTAAATTCTCTATAGTTTTCTGAACTTAGGATTAAAATTAATGAATTTAATTTTTTTACTATTGATTATTTTAATTTTTTTAAATTAATTTCTACATTTGTTATAAACATTTTATTCATTTTAAAAAAAAATTTTAATTTAGGAAAGTAATATAAAATAAATCTTTAGAATTTATATAAATTCTTAACAATTTAATAATTTAGGTTGAAAATAATTAGAATAATAAATTAAATATTTTTTATTAATTGTGCACAAAAATATTTTAATTTAACGAATTATTTAAAATAATTAAAAATAAATCTTCTAATTAATTTAATTAAATTCTTGATATTTTTTTAATTTCGTGTTAATTATGATAAATTTAATTTATTTTTTGAACTTTTTTAATTTTATATAATTGAAGGCATAATAAAGTAAATATTTTTTTCAATTTTTAATAATTTTACACAAAAATATTTAAATTTAAAAATTTAATTAAAATAATTTAAAATTTAAAGCTAGAAATTAATTTAAATTCTTCATAAATTACTACATTTAGTGTTAATTAAAATAAATTTAAATATTTATTATTTGATTTTTCAAAAAAAAGGTTAATATAGAGTTAAATGCCTTTTTAATTTTGGAATAGGTTATACTAATGATTATTTAATTAAAAGAAATTTAGACAAATGTTTAACTTAAAAAAAAATAATTTAAAATTGAAAATCTTAGTTAGTAAATTTTTTGTTGAGAAATTGATGAAATCTTTGAAAATTTTTTTTAATTAAAATTTAAATAATCTCCAATAAGCTTGTATATTATCTTAATGAAATCAAAACATTTAATTTCACTTATTATAAATCGAAATGGCATTTTACTCTAATTATTTCTATAAGTTTTATAGATTCTTTATCAATTATTAGATGAAAATAGCTCTCCTAATTTGAAATAACTAATTGAATATTTTGAGTAGTTTGAAAAATATTCTTTCTCTTCTTTATGAAATTACAAAATAACTTTAAAAGCAGGAATTAAATTTATGAACATTCAGAAAGATATCAATATATGTTTTGAAAAATTGAAAGAGCTGCAAGAAAGTGATGGTGGTGAATTAATATCCTTGTTTCTCCTTTAAAATTATAAAATCATCAATTATTATTAATATAATATTTAAATGTCTATTTTTTAATATAATAATAGAATTGATTGATGCTCTAAATTAATTGTAAATTTAAAATAAGATATTCTATTAGTTAGTTAGAAGGAAAAATGAAGAAAAAATATCAAATAATAAGAAATGAATTACTTAACTAATAATAAAAGCAAAAGTTGAAAATAAAAAATAAGTTAAATTAACATAAAAACAAACAAAGAAATATGTATAAAAAAAAGTAGAATAAAAAAAAAGAAATATAAATCATGTAAAAAGCTAATAAATAAATTAACAGAGTTATTAAAATTGTTTTGAACTCCTTTTTATATTCAAAAATATGATATTTCAAAACAAATAAACTGTTTTTACGAAATATGAAGTGTCAAATTTGAGAGATTAGTGCACTTTCCTAAACCAGAACCAAATTCTGATGTATTAATTGCACCAATTTAATTTCCACTATTTAAATAATGAAGAAAAAATGTATTTAATCAGTAAGTTAGAAGGAATAAATTAAGAAAATATATGAAATAATTAGAAATGAATTACTTAATTAATAATAAAAGCAAAAGTTGAAAATGAAAAAATTACATAAATTAATAAAAAAAAAAATAAATCAAATAAAAGACTAATAAATAAATTAAAAGAGTTAGTTAGTTATATTGTTTTAAATTCATTTTTATATTAAAAATATCACAATCCAAAACAAATAAACTGTTTTTCCTTAAGATCAAGTACCAAATATGAGAGATTGATTAGTGCATTTTCCTAAAGTATAGAGTAAGCTTGATGTACTTCCATCACCAATAGCATTATAGCTTTTTAAATAATGAAGAAAAAAAATATATTTATTAGTTATTTAGTAGGAAAAAATGAAGAATATATGAAATAATAAGAAATGAATGAATTAATGATAAAAAAAAATGAAAAAATAAGTTAAATTATCAAACATAAAAACAAAAAATAAATATAAAAAAACAAACACAAGCAGAATAAAAAAAAACAAAAATAAATAAATATAAAAAGTAAAAAGTTAAAAATAAATAAATAAATTAAAAGAGTTAATTCTTTTGTTTTAATTTCATTTTAATATTTAAAAATATTACAATCCAAAACATATAAACTATTATACTAAAGATCAAGTACAAAATTTGAGATTAAGTGCACTTTTCTAAATCAATTAGTTATTTAGAAGGAAAAAATGAGCAAAAAAAATAAATAATTAACAATTAAAATTAGGTTAAAATAATTAAAAAATATTTGTTAAATTAAAAAATCAATAAAATATAATTATAATTATTTATATTTTCAATAAGTTTTTAATCTGTTTAGATATTAAGAATATTATTGATGATAAAATAAATAAGTTCAAATTAAAATTTTAATAAAATATCTATTAATTTTTTTTAAAGTAAATTAAAAGATAGATATTTAAACATAAAGTTTCCTTAAATAAAAAATCAAATTAAATTAAATATTTTTAAATTTATAATAGATTTATGAGTATATACATTTTTAGTGTATTTATTTAAAATATTTTAACTACTTAGAACAATAAAATATTTGTTAATAAATTCATAAAATTTATAAAAATTTCAATTTTCTAATAAAATAAATAATACAAGAAATAAATACATAATAGCTTAAATTTTAAAAATTTGAGCAAATTTATTCTTATGTTATTTGGTTAATTTGGTATTAAAATAGAGTTTTTGTAATAAGAATGAAATTCGGAATTAGCAAAAAGATAATTAAAATTTTAATTAATATTTCAACACATTTAAAACAAAGTATAGATATAATTTATCCATTAAATTAATTCTATCTACTTAATTAAATGGAAGCTAAAAATATTCTATAAAAATGTAATCAAATAAAAATAATAAATAACCATGTATTTATTTATTGGATTTAAATATATTTTTCTTAAAATAATTTATATCAGAAAAGCTATAAAGTGGTAGGTAGTATATGAATTTATATTTGGTAAATTATAGCTTTAAATTAATCTAAAAATATTTAAGAAGTTATTTTATGAATAATTTATTGAAAAAAGACATTTTTACAATTTAAGATTAAATAAAATTAATTTTTCTATTTTTTAAATTAGTTTTCTGATTGATATTTTTTTTTGGCTATTTTATGCAATCAAAAATTTAATAATTATATCATATCGAGTTCATAAAATACCAAAAAAAGTTAAGCTTGTTGAGAAGAAAATCATAAACGCGAATTTTAACTATCAGTAAATTAAATATCTTTAAGGTTTATCTATTGTTTAAATAAAAAAGACAAATAAGAAGTCATCCATTTAGACAACAACCTAGAAGAATAATTCGTAGGGATATATATTATCTAATACATTTTGATTATGCATCTGCTCACCGAATATTTATTTATTTTGTTTGATTGTTTGTTTGCTTGTTTAAAGGGTAATTAAATTTCAATTCAATTAATTAATTTACTTTCAAATATAATTAGGATCTTTTATATTTGATAATAAATATTGAATTTTTGCTGGAGTTATTATGATAATCATTTATTTACAAATCACCATTAGAAATAATATTGAAAATTTTAATCAAAAAGAAGGATATTAAAAATTTCTTCAAAAGTAACATCGAAAAATTTAGTTAGGATAAAATTCTATTTAAAAGCACATATATATTCATACATACGCACACACACACTCATGGGAAATTGCTGTTGCCCAGAAAAGGAAAACGAAAGTGTTGGTAAAAAGCCACCAAGAAATAAAGATAAAAATGACAATTAAAATGTAGCTCAACCAGTTGATTTTGAAATGGAGTTCAAAGAAATCTATTTTATCGTTAAAGTAGGAGATATTACAAAGGAAACTGCAGACGCATTGGTTTCTGGTACAGATAATTATGTTAGAAACCGTTCTAATTCCTTCTTGACTCCTGCAATGACCGACTCTTTGAATAAAGTAGTTGCAGAGAAGAGAGGAGCTGCTGCACAAGAACCTCTATTGAATGGAGAAATAATTCTTACAGGACCTGGCTGCTTGCGTAATGTCTAATCAGTTTTCCATATTTCTGTTCCTCTTTGGAGAGGTGGTAGACATAGAGAAATGGAGATTTTGTAATAAGGATTTTCTAAAATTTTAGAAGAAGCAAATAAGAACAACATTACTTCAATCATTTTCACTGATATAGCAGCCTAATTATTTGGTATTCCAAAATAAATTACTGCACAAGCTATGATGAAAGCAATTCACGAATATGCAACTAAATATCAAGGCTAAAGTAAAATCAAAACCATCAAATTTGTGCATAAGGAGCGCTAGACCGTTCAATTATTTGAGGACTTTTTAAGATAAGAAGCAGGTGTGAGAACGGAAAAGGTATAATCTGATTACAGCGATGCTTTATAAGGATCAAAACTAGAAAATGAAATATAAACTAATCTTAAAGAACCTCTTTTGAATTAAGAATAAAATAATGTTGATGAGACTAAGTAATCAATCAATCCTGCAGAAAGCTCTGATTGATTGATTAATTTATGGTTTAGCAAAAAATTATATGTTTAATTGAAAAAAATACATTTTATATAATTCATTGATTGATTTAACAATTTGTTTTATTATTTTATAAATTTATGAAATCTGTCTGTCTGTATCATAACAAATTACAATCCTATAAATAATATTAGATTCAATATTCAATTGCAATTTATCTCAAAAATTTTTGTTAAACAAATTCATAGCTTAAAAGGATTTAAATGTCTTTTAGCTAATATATCACAATAGGTATATAGCAGAAAATTTTTCAGGCATTCATTTCAACCAATTTTTATTCGTAAAAGTTGTAAAAGATTTATACAAATAATTGATAATTTATGCAAATATCCTTTTTTTAGCACTTCAAATATCTTACAATTTTTCTCAAAACTATTTAAGTTGATAGATAATCAAATACTTAAAAATATCCAAATCATATTTAACAAAATTATAGTGTTCCATAAATTAATATCTGAATTTTGATATTAAAATTATTATTTAAAATATATTTATTTATTTATGATTGAACTATTTATTCCAAATAAAACATGTCTGTCTTTATTAATTGCAAAATCTAATGTGTGTGTGTGCGTGCGTGAGTGTGTGTAAAAATGTAAATTTAGATTCAAGCAAGCCTGTACATAAGAAGTCTCAGAAAATTTTATTTTACATTCATTTACCAATATAAATAAATAAATTAAAAACATAGTATAACAAAATAAGGTAATCAATAAGGAGATTTTTGATTGTAATTTTATTAGTTTTAATTTAAATTTTATGATCTAAATAGAGATTAGTACAATACAAATAATTCTGAAGCTTAAGGTCCTATATCTGATTTGATATCACTCATCTCATATAAAATTTCTAATATCTACTGCTACTCTCCATCAATTAAATACTTAGTTAATCCACAGTCTACACTATCCTAAAAGAATCCCAAGCACAACTTTGCAAGGAAATTGCTTTGCATAAATTGTATAATTTTTTTGATAATTTATAATTATGTTGCTCTCTGCAAATGCTTAAATCCATTTTTATTTCTCAGCATGAGTCTTATTAAATATATATCATCACCTTTATACAATAAATACATTTTAATTTATCTTAATGATTTATTTATTTATATATTTTACCTGACTACAAAACTGATGAAAATGCTTTTTCATATTAACCACTGTCTGCATATTCTAAGGTTTCATTCCACATGTCAGATAGTTGTATGTTTTATTCTCTGATTTCATTCTTTTTAATATGTTCTACTTAGATTTCTTATATGTCATATCTAACTTATTAATTTTATTTTATTGGGTTATTCAAGTTGCCCTTCTTTTGTTTGAGGGCTTATCTTTCTTTTTAACCATTGTAATCTAGTGTTTCAGCCAACTCATCATTATCTAAGAATCTCTCGGTATCAATATCATAACTATTTTCTTTCTAATTAAATACATACAATTCAATAATCAAGGGTTTGAAAAAATTTTTATTTAAATTTTTATAAATAAGAAAATAAAATCAATCAATATTATTTAAAAGAAAGAAAAATAATCAATTAGTTAAATTCATAAAATGTTTTCAAAAAATTAAAAAAAATAATTAATGAGTTTGTTTTTGCTTACTTGGTGAGACATAGGAGGAATAATATTTGGATTATTTGCTATTTCAGATTCATTTAATTGCTACCTTTGTTTATTATTCTTTTGAAGGATACTATTTTCTATTCTATCTTACGAATTGTATATTTGATTTGAAAATAATTCTTATTACTATCCCATTTAGATATCTAATAGTTAATCAGGAGGAATGTTCGGATTCTTATTAAAGTAATAATTTCCCGATTTATTTCCGAAAATTTATTCTTTTAAAATATTTCTTTAATTTTCGTAGCTAGCTTAAGGTTTTTTCATATTGTCTGCATTTATAAGAAGACATCCTCCTCCAGTACCAGTTTTCTTCTTAATAAAGTCTTTTGATCTTGTTTCTTGCACCTTTATTTTATTTTAAATTATTATTATAAATATTACTTATTTACTTATTAAACAAATAAATATACCCAAGCTGGTTGCTTATTAAAAACATTTGACGAAGTAGGTCTATCATCTTTATGATGAGGTCTATAGAATTAATTATCAGATTGTGTTTTAAAATCTTTCTTTTTATTATTAATAGTGATTAAAAAAGTAAATTGTAGTCATTCAAAATTTATTTATATTATACAGCTTATTTTGCATTTACTTCAGCACCAGTTTTTTACTATATCAGCTCATCTACGTCAATATTTTTAGTCAATTTTTACTATTTGTGCAATTTAAACTGCTCTAAATTTTCAAACTAATTCTAAAACTTGATCCACTGCTGTAGAGCTTGTTTGGCGGAACTTTATACTTAAAGAATTCTATCTCTTGTTGCAGTTTAAAGCACAGGAATAACTTATTCCTATTAAACACAATAAATGATTCTTTAAATATAATAAAAATTTTAACAAATTACATGATAACTACCAACGATATTTTCAGTCATTTCTTAAAATTAAATAGCAATCAACTCCAATAATTCACATACAGCAATTTTTATCTTATTTAAATATAAATAAAAATTAAGTGATATCTTTTTTAATAATTTTTGAAAAACAAATTTGCTACTTTATATTGTGTTTTCCTATCGTTCAATTATTACATGCACTTTTCTATCACGATTGAAGTGTAGATAATAAGATTCTTTATATGTAAAGTTTATATTATGTGTTTACAGCTTTTGTATATAGAAGGACTATCTATTCCACTTCTCTTTATTTATTTAAAGTAAATATTATTATTATTATGCAGACATTAATTACTTAGATAAATAGATAAATTAAATAAAATTTATTTATTAATTGGATTTTACAGTGAATATTTATGGTAGAAAACTTTTGGCAATAGATAATATTAGCTCTTCTTCATAATTCTCGGCTAATTTTAAAAGAAGTTAATCAAGTACAAAAACAGAAGTTGTTTAAGCGACTCTATCGCCACCTCCGTTGATTATATTCTTTAGAGTAGTGTAGAGCACTATCTCTTTATTTTGTAAAGATTAATTTTTTAAACAATTTTAATATATTTAGCACCAACTCTCAGAACAAGCTTTTTAAATACTTTCGTTTATTTATTTCGCATAAAAGTATCTTTAAATCATTTCACATAATTTGTAGCTAGCTTTTACAACTGAGGGAGGACGATCAATAGGATCTAATAGCTTCTCCTTGTACACAGATGCTATATGGCCTTTATAAATTTTATTTTATCATAATTATCAAAGAAAAATTAAATATTTTAAAGCTTTTAAAAATTAATTTCAATTCTGATTTTTTGCAAACTCATTTATTTTTTTCAATTAATTAGTTTCATTTTACCTATGAGAAGAATTTCTGTCTCTGATGAGCTGAAGTTTGCTGGACGTGTGTGATATTCGCCTAGCGCAGAGATCCAAACTCTTAAATATTCAGGTGAGAAATTATTCAATATCATATCTTAAAGCTACTAATTTGCAATATCCCTCGTTTGAAGGTCAATGAGCTTACCAAGTAGATTCAAAAACTTTTATCTAATTTAGATCATTTATAAATTTTTTTTGTTGAACTATCCTGCATTTTGGCCATTAATCTATGGTAAATCATTTAAATTAGAGGTAATATTCGTATTAGAATTAGGCGAAAGAAGATTATTAATTTATTGCTTTTGCTTCATTTACATTAACTTTTATTCAACTATCTTAAGCTCCTCTTCAGTATTTGGATTATTTAAATTTCCTTTCTGCTATCTTTATTACATTTACTGATCTATTATCTGATTCTACTATTGTATAGCCTTTTTTTGAAGTCTTAGCTAATTTAAGTCCTGTATTGGTATAGTAATTGGTTTATCCCTTTAATCTTATACTTAATTTTCTTAGCCCTTATTTTCTTCTTGAGCAATAACATTTTATGCATTTTCATTCTAAATTTGATGATCGTTTTCTTTTGGGGCAAATGTTTGCTCCTAAGCTTTTAAAATAATCAAAAAATACACCTAAATTTTTTTTGTAAGTATTTAATTAGCTACGTAGTATATTTTTTGGAACTTCTTTAGGTAAACTATTTTGTGAAGACCTATTTGATTTTTTTGGTCCAGCCGCTGCTGCTGTACCTGTTGTTGACATTTGATCTATCTAAACTTGTTTAAAAAATAAATAATAATCTCTTCTTTCAAATTTTAGTTAGATATTGGATTAAAAATTAAATCTTTTTTTCAATATTTCGTTATAAATTAATAGTTATTATGTTTTATTTATCAATAACAAATAAATTAAATAATTTTGATTATATATATTATACACACAATCCTCCATTCATTTATGCATTAATTATAAAAATTTATTGAAACGATAAGATATCATACCTACCAATAAATTTTTTTATCACTTAATCAATCCTTAATTTTTAAATTATTCAAATTAATATTTATTTATTTAACTACTTAATCAAAGTATTCATTTTTATATAAACTAATGTTGCAATAAAATATTTTATCATTCAAATTTATATTTAATTTCAATAAAGAAAATTCATATCTTGAGAGGAATGCCTTTTAACTAGGTAATATTTTATCTTCATTTTTTACATTAACATTTTAAATAAATAAATAAAAAATTTGAAACAATATTTTAGATAAATAAAAAGGTAAATGATTGATTTCAAATTCTCTCAAATTAAAAGCTGATAAATTTTTAATATAATTAAAAGCAAGTTTGTTTGACTTTATGGGATAGTTAAAAATGTCTTTTTAATAAAATAAAAAATAGAAATTATTAAAAATTTATTGAAATATAAATGTTTAAATAAATAAAATTTTAATTTAAAAAGTTTAAAAGAAAGTGATTAAATCAATATAAAATGAATTAAAAGTGCTTTAAACAAAGGAAAATTAGTAATCTACATATTAATAAATTAGTCGTAAATAAGTAATTACTCTGTTTATAATATATATATTAAAGGATAATAAGTTTTATTTTCAATATAAAATTTTATTTTAAGAGAAAATGTAGGAAATTATTGTAGTTAAAATAAATTTGGTGATTTTTTTTTTTTGTGTTTCTCTCAGAAAATTATTTGCTCGATTCTTTCTTTAATGTATCATTCATTTTAGGCATAATAATTTGATACAAAATTTTTTCTGTATTAATTAATAGAATAATTAAAGTTTGATTCCTTATATTATTGATTTCTAAGAAGCACGGTTTGATCTTTATTTGGTGTATAGACGTTATTATTTTTTTATTTGATTATATTGACATTGCTAAAAGAGTTCTTGAAATCATATAAACTTCCTTGATTGATCTGCTTTTGAGCAGACAGTTAATCCTATCTAAAAATATTTCCATAAGAATCTATCTTTTCATCGAAAGGTTTGACTTCATTTTGGAATGTGGGATATTTTCTATCAAATTGTTATTGTTCATATTCATATTGCTTTGCTTGAGATTAACTGAATGTTGGAAGTTTTTCATTTGATAAAAATACTTACTTGTTTGTATTTTTTGGTAAATTTACTGAATTCCCAAAGAATTAATTAAGTTGTTAAGATTATATAGGTTGTGGTTATTGAGGATTATTGTCTATAAATCTATAATTGTTTGTATTTTAAAACAAGGGAATATTTTGAGAAAAGTTATTGTTTTAATTTTGATTGAATGGCAGATTGTTTTGTTTGAATAACTAGAATTTTTGTTGGAAATTTTCATTTTATTATTGATGATTGAAGCTAAATTTAGGTAAGTTTTAATCAAATACTTCAGTGTTTGATCTTACTTAGGGGCTAAATAAAGTGGGAGGATATTATTTTAAATTTTGCATTGACTGCATTTATTATGGATTAAAAGCATTTTAGTAATTAAGCATCGTCTATGATCCTGGCTAGTTTATGTTATTAACAATCTAACTTGAACTAAAGCTTCTTTATCTATCTTAGTTGGGTTATTAGTAGGAACTGTTATTTGAATTTTAGTATTATTAATAGAAATCACTTCCTTTTTATTATGAAGTATTTTACAAACTTATTTGTTGATTTTATTATTTTTATCCTAACTTTTCTTGTTGAGGTTTTGGAATTTATTTAACTATTGGTGGCTTTTTGATGCTTTAAGGAGCCTGAAATGCAGCTTAATTAGCAAAGTATTAATTCTTCTGCAAATCAGATAGCAAAGATTTATCAAAAAGTGAAGAATTTTATTCTTTTATTTGAGAAAAGTTATTTTATCTCTGTAAATCCTATGTAGGAGGTGAGAGAGAGCTTATTTTAGTGGCTAAATTGTTAGAAGGTGATGAGAATCTAATTGAACTTGGACTTAGTTTATTTAGTAAGGAATTCTTAGACATGCTAAAGCTATTACTTTAGGCAGATTCGTGAAGGTATTATTTGGCTTACTATAAAGCGTTTTAATTGAATTAGTTTTGTAGGTTATAGCCTTAAGAATTCTCATCAATTTATTATTTTTAATCGAAAGAATTTTCAATATCCTAAGACTCTCTTTCTCTACTAAGAGATCTTTTTTTCTAATTTGATGTAGAATAAGATTCGTATTCTTAAAGGTATTTTTATTTCTTTGCATTTAATTAGGCGTCTCTAACAGGACTCTTGTTAAAAGGGGTTGTTTGTTAAAGAATGCTTTAAGACAACTTAGGATGTGAGTTTAAATTGACATTTTTAAAATTACTTTGATAATTATCATATATATCTTGAATTGTTTTAGGAGATTAGCTCTTTTTTATTGATGCACTGGTGATATTTACTTTGACCTTTGGAGAGATAGAACGGTTTTCTGTGTTAACTTATGTCTTGATTTCATTGTAATACTTGTTGATTTCACCTAATTTCTCATTATTTTTAAGAACTTGTTCCTAAATGTCCTTGATTTTCTTTTAAAGTTAATTTTCAACTACCTCCTCTTTTTTGCTAACGTTATTCAAAGATTAAATGTCTTGCAATATCTTTTATAATGTATTTGAGAACTGAGATTGTTTTTCCATTACATTATTGAAGTTTTTACTAGTTTCTGTCTCTTCATTTTTCTCATTTTGCTTGATTTAATTTTATTAGCTTTTACCTATTTTATCACCTTCTTCTTAAGCAGAATTGATTATTTCTTGACGGAATTAAGAAATTTCTTGCTTTTGTTACTTGAATTTTTTTATTATCTATTCAAATTTGTCATCATCTTTTGTCAATTCTTTCTGAATTATTTACAACTTCTATTCAGAATTAGTTTTGCTAGTCTGATTGTCTCCAGAAAATGAAGGTAAATTAGATTAAGCTATTTTTATAGTTTTTATATTTTCGGACTCAACCCTGTTAAGCAAAGCAGCATGATTTTATGTAAGAAGCTAAAGCTATCTATTTAAGCTTTGAATCTGATTACTTAATTGTTTCTACTCAAAATCCTCTTACTTTGAGATATCTGCTTCTTTTAGCTACATTTCTGCTAATTTTTACATCTCTGCATAAATTTGTGAAAATTCTTCTTAAAGTTTCTTGTTCTTTTGCTACTCTTGCTTATTTAATTATTCTAAATTATCTAATTTGCTTTCGAAATCTTGCGTCTTCTGAAGCTTTATTTTTGGTGGTTCTGATTTCTATTAGAAAAAAAATAATTTGATTCTATAGAATATTTATCATAAATCTTACTTCTTCGATTAACAATTTTGAAGGAGATCTTTCTAGGTATTCATCAACTTCTAAAATAGATTTTATTTGATCCTTTGGCTTATTTTGAATGTTTTCTTAAAAATCTGGCAGACTATCTAGGTCTACAATACCTTCTAAAATAGTCTAAACTTTAACATCTTCTTTGCTTGGTCTACTTTTACTCTTTTTAGCTCCTAAGTCTGGCAAATTAGATTAATTATTTTTTTAAAATAACTAATTAGGGCTTTCTGTAAGATCTTTGACTTTATTCTAAATTTATTTAAATAAAAAAAAATTTTAATTAAATATTAAATAAAGATTTTTTAATTTTATGATTTTTTTTAATTGCTTACCAAAACAAAACTTGTCTGTGGTGAAGGCACATTTAAGTAGCTTGTAGCGAGTTTAAATACTTGCTTTGGAGAGGTTGATGGAGTACGAGAAGTAGGGTTTTCTTTAGTTGTTTCTTTTTCTTTGTCTGTATTCTCAAAGAATTTAGGGTCTTCAGGATGAGAAGATATCTCAATTCGAAGAGGATACTAAGGAAATTAATTGCTGATATCCATGTAAGATTTTGTAGGAGTTATCTCTTTTACGCTAGAACTTTATTGCTGCAAATTTACAAGTTATGAGTCTTGGTTGAAAGTTCCAAAGTTAAGATTTTATGTTGGCTAATATATTGATTGCACTTACCTTGGATTTAATCCTTCCTTTTTAATCTCATTAGAAGAAGATTTGTTGTTTTAAGGGATATAAGAAGAAAGCTTATTTTTAGAAGAATCAGTTATAGTTCTTGTTGTTGGAATCTCAGATAGTCGAGTCTTTTCTGCTAGCAAGTTGTTGCTATTAGGACTGCTATTAAAATTGTTCTTGTTGTTATTCTGAATTGATTAATTTTTTAATTATGATTCCTCATCAATAATACTATCCTGAATATTTCCTTTTAGGATCAAATTATATTGCAAATCTTGATTTCTTTGTAAATCAAATACTTTCTACTAATGCTAAGGTTTACTATTGTTGCTGCTAGAATTTTAAGTTTTATTGCTATCATAGCGTGGAAAGTCTGATGAATTATAGAGTTCAGCTGTTTATCTTTCTGAATATGAAATTTTTTACTAATTTTAGGATACCATTTTTTGCTCAAAAGTAAAATCCTACATATTTGAAGGTTGGTGTGATATAGTTTGAATTGGTTAGAAATCAAACACCTAACTTTCACTTTACTTTTCAATCAATTAATTCATCTCTAAAGAGTATTTATCTTTTCCTTGAATTGTGTTATCAAAAAATGCAGTCTTATTTTTATCTAAAGCTTCTCTTCTGAAATCAGGTTAAATTTATGTATTTTTCTGAGAAGAAACAGCATTAGATAGTATTTGAGGATTAGTAGTGTTATTTTAATTATTTCTGCTTGATGTTTGAGGCTCGTTGCTTTAATTTAAATTATATACTTTGTTTTAATTATTCCAAAAGTTCACCATATCATTTAAGAAATCTTGAGCTTCTACAGGGTGAGCTTATGTTGCAGTATCAATCTATCTTTGCGATTTATTTTATTATACATTTGTTTCTTATTCTTATTTTACTATCACTTAGTTTTAATTGCTTGTTGAATCTTTATTTTCAAAGTCTTTCTATTGATCTAAAATATTTTTTTATATAATATCTGACATATAGGAGTCATCAGACTCGTTTTATGATATAGAACTTTCGTTCCTCATGTTTGCCCACATATCATCTTCATCAATCATATTAGGTGGAGGCACCTAACTGTTTTCTTAATTTTTATTGACTTAGTTAGAAGATTGTGATTTACTTTGCAGAGTATTGCTAACTAGCAATTATATTTCACCACTTTATTAAACTTGCTTCTATTAATAATACGAACTTTTATTTTTCCCAACCTGATTATATACAGAAGAAGGAGGAGAAGGCATTCTTGTTCCTTTTTGCGATGCAAAAGATCTATTCGAATTTAAATTATTTTAAGCATTTTCTTAAAATAATTCAGGTTTGAGAATCATTTTGTGGGCAGATATTGGAGATAAGTTATTAAAATCAAGGTTTTCTACTTATCCATTTTTTTACATATCATTTGCAGCTATTTCTGATAAATGTGATTGATTAATAGTAAACTCCGATTCTAAAATATTTCTATTCATGCTATCTTCAACGAAATTATTTTATTAGTAAAACTTTTAAAGAGGAGAAGCGCTAGAAGAATTAGCTACCAAACTTGGATTTTGATAATCTTCAAAATCAAACTTGTAAACTCTTTTATTTAAACCTTATTTCTTATCCAAAGTAGAGCCTGTCTAAGCTACGTTTGACTTTTCTACTTCTTGATTTTATCTACTTTCACTTTTTTTCTAAACTTTTTAAAGATGATTCTACTCTTTTTAATCTTAATCATTTAATTCTTCTTTTATTTTACTACCCTCAGAGTTATTTTCGAAATCTGACTCAAAAGGATTTTTTTCAAATTTTATTTCTCTAAGGCTAATTTAGCAATTATCATCTGATGCTGTATTATAATCACCTTGGGATTAAATTTATTCAAGCTAAGAATTCAACTCTTAAGCTTCGGATATTTTTTTTAAGTGTGTAGTTTTTTCCTCTGATGATTTCTGTTTAAAATTGATTTTTAAAACATAATCTTAATCAGAGCCAGCGAGCATTGATTATTTATTTGGATACAGCCTTGTTGATAAAAAGGTATTTAAATTACAAGAGAAATCCTAAGAAGTATTAGAAGACTATTCATCATTTATAATTTTTGAGCTAATCACATTTCTTGTATTGCTTTAAGCAGTATAGCTTTAAATATTAAGACTTGATACTCTTGGGCGTTAATAATCGTGATCTTCAATAGATTCATTTTAATCAGATTTATAATTATTCTCTATCTTAGCAGAATAATTTTAGTTTGATTATACTCTCTACTCTTAATCTTATTGGAATTCAGCTGATTCATTATTACAATTCAAAATATTTTCTTGCATATCAGCTATAATTTATCTATTCTCAATAATCGATTACTCAGTTACTTATTTATTAGATTTGGAAGAAGGTAAATTGTTTAAATTACTCTAAAGGTTTATCTGATCATAAGTTATTATTTTAGGAATATTTTTTATACTAAGATTTGTTAAATTATTGTTACCAGGAGATTTAATTGATTTGCTATCATTCTATTGAGTAAAAGAAGAGTTTCCACTTGTTATCTAAATAGACATTTTTCCATTAGGATTCATAGCAAATGGTCTGAATTTATTGATAGATTTATCTAAATCTATTTTCTCTTTTTTCTCTTCTTCTTGCGCCTTAATATCTTAATTAAAATACTCTAATTCTTTATCTAATTCATCTGTTTCAATCATAAAATTGTTATTATCCTATTCTTTGTTTTAATCTTATTATTTTATATCTTAGTCTTCTTAATCTCTACTTGAAGGCTTTTAAATATCTAATTTTTAATCTATTTAAGCAGTGTTTTCTTCATTTTTTTGCTTAGACTAATTAATTCCTTACTCATCTGAAACTGAATAGAATGAATCATCTTACTTTTTATCACCTAAAGTATCTTTATCAATATTTTACTAATATGATACTTCTAATTTATCCTTAACAGTATAAAAAGACTCACTACCTTCAGATGATTAAGATCCTGGTGATTTCTCAATATTTATTTACTCATTATTAAATTCTCCTTAATTTCTTGGTGTTAATTAATCATTCTGTTTCAAATTAGAGTTTAAATCTACTTCGCAAGAAATATCTTAATTAATATTTTAATTTTATTTCTTTTAAATGTTGATATTTTATAAAGGCTATTCTGATATTTAAAGACCTTATAACTCACTGAGACTTGAATTATTTTATTAATTACCTTTTTTTTGAGTAAAACCAAAAATTTATCCTAAGTTTACATTTTACTTATTTTGAGTTTTATTCTCTTAAAGATTTTTTGAGATGGGAATATGTTCCTACAATGATTCATTTTCTTTAATTACATTAATTAAAGCAAGATCATTGTGTTAGATGTTAAGCTTATCATTATCATTTATTTACGGAACATAATTCGTTTATGAGCTTTAAAGGGTATTTTTAAGCTATGGTTAATGTGTTTCTTCTGTTATTTGCATATTTAATTCCTTTTATGATATTTCTTGGCTACCATTGTCTTTGACTTGAATTTAGTTAGTTACATTAACAATTTTTAATTAATTATTGTTGGTCTAACTATTTTATTTGTTATAGCTGCTTAAATTATTCTTTAAATTGAAAGGTAAAATTTTTAATGAATTTTAATTATTAAAGTTGCTTGCACTAGAAATTCTAATATCATTATGACTTTTATTCTTTTTGAGATTTTCACTTTACAATTGAGAGCATTTACTACTGTGATCTAAATTTGTAAGTGAATTTACAAAGCAGTGAGAGTGTTCTTTTTCCATCTACAAATCAAACTTTTTTATTTAATTAGGACTATCTATTTTCTCACTTAGTGCAACACCGACATCTAAATTAAGACTTGCAAGACTTTAATGAGTTAATTGCATAAGATCATTAAATTCGTATTACTTTTTAGCAGGCAACTGAATTTTAGCAATTGAACTAAAGCTTCCAAGATCCATATTTTATTACTCACAATCACTTTCACCCTCAATGGGAGCTATTACACTTAAACCTCCTGTTAAACCAAATCCAAAGTTATTATGAGTAAAACTAGGATTGTTAGGGGTATTATTTCTTCCACCTGAATTTCCACTCTAAGTCGATTTCTTGGTATTCTACATAAAAATTGCTGGTGCTTCCATATCTACTACGTCATTAGGATTCACTTGTTAAATCAAGGCTATTTCAATATTTTTACCTAATTATTTTGTTAGTTTAAAAATGTTTATATTTAATCTAAATTTTCAAAAAAAGTAAATTTTTTATTTCAAAAATTACAAATAAATTTTTGCTTGCAAAATCATAAAAATAAAATCGAGTTTTTATAAAAATATTTTCAGGGGAGAATATTTTGTTTAAATGCTTCTTTTGAAAAGATAAAATAACTTGATAAAATACCTCTTGCAGGAGAGTCTACAACATTATCGATTTCTTTAGATTTTCCTTTTAAGTTATCTAATTTATTATAACTAGGCGTTATGTTTTATCTTGTTTTCGAGGAAGGCACAAATATGTCTTTTAAAAAAAAATCTAATTCTTTATTAATATCGATTGGGCTTTTATTTTCATATAAAATAGATTTTTTATGCATCATTCTGGGCATTTCCATGTTAAATATTCCCCCATCTTCTTCCTTTTTGTCATTTTTAAAATGAAGCTACCTTGGTTTATTCATGTCAAAACTTTCTTCGTTTTTTTCCTATATTTATCCAAGGTTTGTTGGCTTGTTCATATCATAGCTTTCTTCTAATTTATTTTAATTTTTATAAAGATTAACTGGCTTATTCATATCAAAACTCTCTTCATCATCCTTGTATTATTTATTATTAAGTTTAGTGGGTTTACTCATATCAAAACTATCTTCCATATTAATTTATTTTGATTTTTAATTAATAGGTACTTCGATACTATCATCAATATTGTCTTTTTTTGTGTTTAAATTCATAGGCATATTCATGTCAAAAGTTTACTCTATTTTTTACTATTTATCTTAGAAAGAAGTAGCTTTACCCATATCAAAAATTTGGTCTTAATCGTTAAGTTTATTGCTAAAATCATGAAATGGATTTTAATTTATTCTTTCTTATGACATATTTTAATTTAATTGGATATTTATTTTTTAACCCATATCAAAGCTCTAGCTTTTATCTTCATTTTTTTAATAATTCATCATTACTGGATTGGTCATAATATCACTATATTCATTAGTATTTCCTTTCTCTTCTTTCTCTAAAATTGAACTGTCCATTTATTTAATTTTTTAATTATTTTTATCATCACTTTTTAAAAATGAAGCAATCAAGCTATTATTATTATTATTATTTTAATCTTTATTATTGCTATTTGGATCATAAAAATCAGAGTTATTTGCAAGTTTATTGTTGTTAAAATTTAAAAAATCAAAATTATCTTTTAAGTTATTGTCATTTTCTTTATTATTAATTTATTAATTTTTATTCATGTCTAAATGAACAATTTATGAATTATTTTTTTGATCTAAATTTTATGAAGACTTTTTTTGATCTACGAATCCAAACAAATCATCGAAATTGACTTTATTTTATTAATTTTAAGTCTCTTTATTATGCCCTATTTATTAAAATATTTCAAAAGAATTTTATATTTATGAGTCTACACTACTTCCAGTTTTATTGGCAAAATCATCCCAGTTTAATTAATCTTGTTAATTTTCTTATTGCTATGGCGAAATTTAATCAATAATTTGGTGGATTTAATCTTGATCACCTGTTTTATTAGCAGAAGAACCAAATCTTAGATCTTGATTATCTTAATTTTCTTAAAATAAATCACTTTAGCTTTTATCAACTTGGTCTAATGGAAAATCATATCTTTTTTAGCTGAAATCATTTTAGCTATTCAATATTTTTTCTTATTTTTAGCTATTTTCTTTAAGTTTAAAATCTAAATTATCCATTTGATACTAAGGACTTTAGTTAGTTTATGAATCCTCTGCCTTTTAAATATTATTGAATTATTGACTATATCTATTATTTTAACTAAAAACACCTTGATTAACCATAAAATCTTGACATTACTTTTGTGAAATATTCTATTTATTTAATTTATTACTATATTAATTGTCCTTTGTATTTGTTTCTATTCCGGTTTCAATAAATCCTTATTCTAGGTAACCATATTAATCTGCCATAAAAAATTCATCCTCATTTTATTGTTAATTTTAATTTACGTTGTTTATTGGGTTTTATATTTATTAAGTATTGTTGTTGCTTAAAATTTGTTGTTAATTAAAATTCCAACCTTCAATTTGTTATTAATCTTTGTGCTAATTTAACTCTTAAGTTTTATTTTCAAATAAGTAATGAGGATTGTTAGCAGCTTCTTCTGGACTAAACTATTCATATTAATTAACCTCTGCAATTTTATTATTTTAATTATTATTTTTTTAATTTTAATGTAAACTTTCGTTTATCATAGACAATTCTGCCTAACATACAGAGTTCTTTATATAGGGTATTGAAATATTACTGTTTTAATGACTATGGAGACCTTTTGATACATTGTGCTAAATAGAAGGAAATAATTCAAGTATTTATCTATTAGTGCTCTTAAATATTTCATTTCCATCTGGATTTATGACAGACTCTTAGAAAATTTAAGAATTAAGATCATATTAAAGATCAGGATTTTTAACAATTTCCAAATTACTTTCAACTCTATTGTGATTTTATATTTATTCACCTCTTGAATTTTCTAAAATTTAGTTAATTCCTTCTTCTTCATCTCCTAGATTTTCATTTTTCTCTTAGTTTTCTAAGTGGGTAAAGAATTAACCATGTTGTCCTTAGAATTCTTGTAAATTATTTTGTTAATCATTTATTGAAATATTTTATAACATTTTTTAAAGTTGCTGTTCGTTTTATTAGTTGAGTTCTTAGTTTTGAGGATCAAACTAAAATTATTCTTGATTTACATTTTAATCTTCTCTTTAGACTGGTTGATTTTAATATTACTACTTTAACTTTTGTTCGTATTCTTCATCTTATTCCTCTCCAAAACTAGCTTCGTCATCTTAATTTACATTTTTTGCTTTGGGATTGAACAAATTCTGATTTGAAAAATCTTTATTATCCCCCATAAATAAATCAATCTCAGGTTGCTTTTATTCCTTAACCGTTTCTAAAACAGTTGGTTAAATTTAATCAGAAAAAAGGATTTATTGGCCTATAATATTTTCATCTTGGTCTTAGTATTAGCTATCTGAGCCATACGAATCAAAAACTTGTTTCTTTTTTCTTAATTATTCAAAATCCTAAGTAAATTAGTTCTGTTAATTCTAAGTTTAGCTTTCTATCTAACTTTATTAATCCTAAAAGTACATAATTTCTCCTTTGCTATATAAATCAAGCCCTTTGACACCTTACTAATATTGTGAGTGATCGAAAGTATACAAAACTTATTATTTTTAATTCAAAAAGAAGGTATTTAAGTTATTAGATTGATCTACCATCTTGTCTGTTAAATTATCCTATTATTCTTAGTATTACTCTTCAATTTATTCATTTTGTACATAGTTATTTAATTAATTCTCTTAATCATTTTATTTTATATTATTGTCTTCATATTCTAAAATAATTTGCTTATCTTGCTCATATATGAATGAATCTTTTTATTCATCTGATACCTCATTGTGATGTTAATGATCATCTTATTAATTCTATTTCTGTTTTATATATTTCGTTTAATTTGCCTATTAAAAACTTGAAAACTAATCTTAAGAGTCTTCGCTGCAAAGATTGCTATTTTATAATTACGAACTCATTAATTTGTATTCCTAAGCTCTATAATCACCTTATTCCTATTCGAAATTATTAGCCACATTTGTATAGTTAGTTTAAACTTGCTATTAAATTCCCATATTAGCCTCATTTTCATTTTATTAATCATTATTTTTAATTTAATTTTATGAATTATTTTAATTTGATTATTATTGTGTTTACTATAAAAATTATTGCTACATTTGTTCGCCAAAATTATCTTAATTTATATTATTTTTATTTACATTTTATTCATAAAAGCCATATTAATCGCTTTATTGTTATTAATCTAGTTAAGAATATTTCTCAGCAATTTCTTAGTTTTCTAAATTTAATGCTATTAAATAAAAATAAAAATAAATTAAAAATAATAAAATTTGATATTTATTTTACCTGATTTGCTTTTATTCTACATGCTGAAGTTTTATTAATGGTCTTGAAGGTTTAATCTTTAATTATATTCATTTTCAAATGAGATACTTTAATCTATATTTAAGTTGTTATCATTTTTCTCTTCAGTTTAGTAGCTCTTTTACTAATATTCTAAATTTTAATTAAATTACTACATTTAATTCTTGCTGTTTTAATTCATCTAGCTGTCGATTTCTTATCTCCCTCTGATCTAGCTATGATGCAAATCTCTTTCTAAGTCGTTTTACATATCTACAGCAGCGACATTAAAATTAGAATTGGATTAAAAATTTACAGTAGGTAATGATGGAAGTTACTAGAATTCCTTGTTCTAATTTTCATTAAATTGATTATACATTTAATTTTCAATTTAGTTTTTCTAGTCTGATTAATCGTTGATTTAGAATTAATTATTAAAATCCTAAGTCTCAGATAGATTTTGATCAAATGTTTTAATCATATTTTGCTAAATTATATTTGGCTATATTTATTTTTTACTTGAATTTTCACTTTTTATCTATCCAGATACTTCCTAAATATTTTAGAATGCTTGATTAGTGTAATTGTGAGTATTTAAAGTTTGATTATCACTATTGAAATCCTATCCGAATTGTTAAAAAGATGATGATTTTTAATCAATATAAATTTATTAATTTTAATTTTGATACTAAGGCTGCTAAAAATCCTAGTTATTAATAAAATCATTTTTATTTAAAGCACACTTTGGAGTGTTAAGACGCTCATTGATAACTTTTTATTCTTCAATGAATTGGTTATCAGGATCAATATTTTCATCTTAATTTCCAAAGAAATCTTGGAAGTTGTGCTTCTACTGATTGGACATATAGAATTGATGACTCAGTTCGTTATCTTCTTTTAATGGTTACTCCTGTAAGGTATCTAACTAACTTTTATCCTCATTTTAGTAATCTTCTATAATCTTGTGCTATACATATTAAACTTTACTTCTGCTTGATGACACAGATTAAGCCAACTCTGCTAATTCTTTTCTCTCGCTATTCTTACAAATTTCCTCATTAATATCTGAGTTTTTAGTGAACTAAGAAAGATTCGACAAGTAATTCACATCCTTATCATTATCCGAAAGAGAATGTTCAATGTTTTAAAATTAATTGAACTGTTGATTTATATCTGATTTAGTAATTCTATCATTCTATTTGAAAATCTAAGATATAGTTTGAGGAAATATTTAACTATTACTACTACTACTGTTATTGTTTGGATTAATTTGCGACTGTTACTACTTATTTTGTTGCTCTTAAAATTAAGTTATATTAGATACTGCAGATTATTCTACACTCTAAAAATCGCTAAAATTAAATTAACCACTTGCTTTTTTATCATCAGAATACTGAATGCCAACACTTATTGTTTTCGAGATATCACCTGCTTGCATTTCTTTTTAAGCATTACTAAATTTATTTTACAAATTTTTTATAGTGTTTGCATGAATGACATTGATAATGCTGCTTTTACTTTAGTTACTTTCGCTTTCGTGAACTGATCCAAATTCATCAAAATCAAAATTATTTGAATTTTCTATTTTGCTAGATACTTATTTTTATTTGATAGTTGAGTTGTTATCTAAAAAGTTGTTGTTTTTATTGTTACTTATATCAGAGTCTTTGCAGCCTTAAATTTATTGCTTTATGTATTCAGATATAATTTAGCTATCATTCTAGCTTTAGCTTTGAGATATGTTTAAATTGCCAAAATCTTCAAAGTTAAGACTCTTTTCTTTTTAGTTTTATGATTATTAAGAAGATGTCATTTTCACTTAATTTATTTAGGATTTACTTTTGTTAGATACTGCGTTGCTAGAAACGCTATATTTCATAAAATTCTCATTTGTTTTCTAAATACTCTTTTAGCTTCTCTCAATAAGATCTTTAATTTTTGAAGATTACTCATCTTTATACAAACCTTTTTACTGACTACTATTGCTCTAATGTAATTTAACATTTTAATTGATATTTTCATTTGAAATATTTTAGCTTCTTTTCAAATTGTTTGCCCTTTCAATTATCTCTTAAGTTTTTTAACTCAGTTATTCATTTTATTGAGAAAGACTATCTGAGTGCTTTTTATTACTAATAGAACTTAATTTACCTAACTAACTTTTTTACTAATCTATCTGCATTTTTATTTAATTAAAATTTTCATTTGTTTCTTTAACATTTAATTAACTGTTTGTTTGAAAGTTTTCCTCCTCATTTCTAGGCATGACGACTGAACTTTTAGAAGAAGTCTCACTCATTTGACTTTAATTCATTCCAAAATCTTCAAAATTATAATTATTGTGACTTGTGCTAGATTGATCAAAGAAAACATTTTGAGATAAATTAACCTTTTATTCTTATTTATTTGCTGAGTTTTATTTAGAATCATTGTTAATTTAATTCTGTTAATTTAGACTTTATGAGCTATGAGTAAATTATACATTTTCTTTCAAAGGGTATTCTTAATATTTTTTAGACCTCTAAAGCAATTCATTTGTTTTTTAATTAAGATTTTAGCTTTTATTAATAATTTGACTATTTTTCTATTAATCAGATTTTTTCGAAACAGATGATTTTATACTTGCTTGACTCAAATTTAAATTACTTTTATTGAGTGTATTTATTCTTCCCTATACAGCAGCTACTTTTTATGCTATATAACTATCTTCTAACGATTATTTACTAGCTACTTCTGATTTATAACTTTCCATTTCATCCCACATATTATCCAAATTAACTTTTTCAGTTAAATCTACATTATCTTTTTTCTAAACAGCTTCATTTGGTTCATTTATATTACTATTATTTTACATCATATTCTTATTTTCATTTAGCTTTAATTGAATTTAATTATCTTTATCTTTTCTATTACTACTTAGCTATTAGGATTTATCTCCAATATTAGGTAAACCTTCATCAGATAAAATATTTTTTGATTAATTTTAATCAAATTTAAGAAAAAATTCTAAATTTTATAAACTCTGCTGAGCTTAGCTGTCTTAAAAATGAGATCCACTTCTGGAATTTTCAGACTCACATTTTTACACACTTCCTAGCATATTATTTAAACGCATATCAAATTAAGCTTGCTTGTAGCCTTGCAGTAAATAATTATCAGAAATATTCTTAGGATTTAACAAATTTTAATCAATTTCATCATCCTTTATATTAGCATTTTGCTGAACAACATTTTTCCTGAGCTAAGATTCATTCATACCAAATTTAAGAACAAATTCTCCTTTACCGAAAGACGAAGACTAATTATCTTCCACATTATTTGATCCTACGATTAATTAGTTATCACTTTTAATCAAATTAATTTTAATCTCATCTGGTTTTTGATTTTGATTATAATCTTTAAATTTATTTTATAATTAGCTGCTGCTTTCTTAGCTCTATTTTTAATTAGAGGAGCTTTCTTCCATATTTAAAATTTGCTTGCTTTATTTAGGAGTTTCTTATATTTGTTAAGTATTGATTTAAGGCATAAAATTCAATACATTTTAATCCATTTATACTTTAACCCCACTATCTTTTAAATCTTAGCTTCTTTTTTGAAGACCTAAGTCTGTCAATGAAAAGTCTTTATGATTGCTACTAACGCTTTATGAATGAGATGCTTGACTATTTTAAATAAAGTCGCTTAAGTTGAATTCTTATTTTTCTTCCTATTATTTATTCGAAATCTACCTATTGCTTTTTCCACTCTGCTTCTATGAAATCTAAGAATGCACTGATTCATTGTTTTTAAACCAATCCATGTCAAAGCCAGCACTGAATTACTACTGCTATTTATTCTCTTCTTATTTTTCTTAGTTACTAAAAGTATTAATGTCACCAAACTAAAACTAATCCCAATTAAAGTTTTATTCATTGTTGTCCTTTTAAATATTATTCTAATTAAACTAATTATCGCCATCAAAATCTAATAAGTTTGTATTTTTATTCTAATCACTTTTGCCTTAATCAACTTAATGTTTATCAAAAGGGCTGTTTTATTCCTTACCCTATATCTTTATATCATCAAATTCTACAATATTATTATAATTATTTTAAGAATAATTGCTTTAAATTTTTTATCTTTGAAATAAAGTTTTAATCAAAAACAAAATCTCATATTGATCAAGCAATCATCAAAATTATTGATAAAATAATTTGTTAACTTGCTATACAAACATAATAAAACTCTATCTAAATAAAAAAAGAAATAAATAATTACACTGATCATCAAAACTGAAAGGTTTGTTTAAATCTGGAAAACTATTTTAAAATGTAGCAGCAGCTTGTTACGGTCCAGTACTTATTCCTTTTTACTAGAGACGCTCTCGAATCTAGGTAAATAACTTAGAATCACTTTTGATAACAAATTAAAATAAATAAATAACAAAAATCGTTTTTTCTGTTAAGAGAGGAATAAATAAATAATTGATTTCAATATTATTTTGATAAAAATAATTCTAAATTCAAATTTTGTAAAGCATTTCGTTGTTTATTACTCCGATTCGAAAGAATAAAGTTCTCTGTCTGCTTGTTACTGAATTATTTGTAGTAGATCTTTAACTGTTTGAGATTCTTAGTTTAAAAATTATATGTTAATGGATAGTAACTAACTTAAATTGAAGTTATTTTATTTAATTTTATTTTACCTTTCTTGCTATTGATTATCATGTTTTCAACTTGCTGTGTAAATAAACTGTTAAATTATTCTATTTATAAAATTAAAATTGCCTTAATCTTATTTGCATTTGCTAATATTTGAATAACTTACATTTTAATAACTAATCCTCTCCTTCATATATGTTTTTTGAAAGCTGTTTATTTAATTTTATAAAATAATTAATTGTTTAATTGCAAGCTATTTCAAAATGACAAAATATCTATTTACATTTGATAAAATTTATTTTTAAGAATCATCGATACTTTTTGATAACAATCTATCTACTATTTCATTTGCTATAGACAATTTTAACTCTTTTCTATTATTTTATTAAAGAAAAATTATTTTAGCGATATAAATTAAACTAAATATATGCATTTATTTTGAATTAACTTTACTTAATTCAAATTTCTAATGCACAAAACATTTAATTACTTCTTTTTTTGTATTAATCTTAATGTTTGGTAGCTGTTTTAGTCTATTTCTTGCTAATTTTCAGTACTTTCTTTGATAAGATCATCTAAAATTTAGCGCGCTTCATCTTTTTCGCTCTTTTAACTCATCATCTTAGCAATAATACTCTAAAAAATAAATTTTTCGCTTTTAAAATAGTATTATTGACAGAATTCAATGATTAATTAATCAATCTAATTCCTTTCTTTCTTTATTAATTTTATGTATTTTATTCACAAATTCAAAAATAATTAAAATCAGATCATTTGATTTGATTTATGAATCCTAACTAAAAGTTTTATAATCAAGTCAAGAAATTTTAAAATTCATATGCATTTATAATTAATTTTTAGTTGATAAAAAATTTATAATTAAATTAATAAATATTATATATGTCATTATACATTACTTATTATACAATTATATGTAAAAACAGATAATATCTAGAGATAAATAATATCAAAAAGAAAAATATGGTATCTAGCCAATTTATAAATAACTCTTTTCATTAAATAAAATAAACTAAAATGCATCCATCTCATAATAAATTTTTTAAAATTTATAATATCAAAAATGTTTTTAAGTTAAATAATATTGAAAAGAAAATAAAAATTGTTTACAAATTAGAATAAATATTTATTGGTAATTATTTTTTTTAGATATTATTTTTAAATTTTTCTTCTTTTTGATAGCCTAAAAATTAACTTTTTAAAGTAATCAAACAAGTTCACTATTTATTTTTGAAAAAAAAAAAATGAATCAAACTTTAAATAAATAAATCAAAAGAGTAATTTACTTTCATATTTCATTTAATTTCTATAATTTTAATAATAGAATGGTCAATTATTATTTTTTTTAATATTTATTTGTCTCATACTTAAATGAATATCTTTAATGAAATGTTGTTTTCAATGATATTTTATAATAAAAACTTTTTTACATTTTCTTTAATTTTTCTGATTTAGACTTTTTATATATTCTGTAATTTTTCTTGCTCAATTTAGCATATCCCATTTACTTTAAAATGGAATTTTATAAGGCATAATTTTTAAAAATTAAGATAGAGCCTTGATATTTTTTTGGACCAATTAAATGAGGGTTCTATGGTAAATTTAAGTTATTTAGTTAATTTTTATAATTTGTATTGGTTTTTGTCCCAAAAATAAAAATAATATGTTTTAAATCAATTTAATTTTTAAGGCTTTTAATAAAGAAAAAAATTAGATTAAATTGATAAAATATAGGTTTATTAGTTTGATTTAGTGTTTTAATATGAATAAATTAAAATATTTATTATTTTGGATGAAGTAGTTTTTCATAGCAGAAGTCAATTAAAGCAATATTTAAAATAAATATTTTATATAAATGAAGTCAATAAAGTTATACAATATATATAATATAAATTTATTACTATTTCTAATAGCTAAGGATAATTGTGAGTATATATTAAATTAGATAGATTTTTTTGGGCATATTTTATTTATTTATTTATTTCCTTATCAAAGCTAAAAGAAATATTCTTTCCTAACCTTATTATAATTATATTTGAAAGAATATGGATAATAATCTATTAAAGATAAATGTTATATTGCAATCATTAGGCATTCTTTTTTGTGTCAATCTATTTTAAATAATATTTTTTCTATGAAATGCTTTTGTTTTATAAAATAAAAATTTACTTCAAATTATAATTGATCTATTAACTTTTTCAATCTAAAATTTTCTTCTTTTAATTTATTATAATCGGCTTGTAATTTTTCAGCATCCACATCAACATTAACTCCCATTGCTTTTTTAAATGTTCTAATTTATTTTTACATTTTTTACTTAAATGTCAAACTAAAATTTTAATTTACGTTAAACCTAAATCTTAACTTTCCTATTGCGAATCATAAACTTGTGCTAATGCTCTCACTAATTAATCAATTGCGCCTGATCTTTCAACATATTTTCTAAATTTTTCTTTGTCTGCATCAGTAACCTATTCATAAATTAGTATTATTAACTTCAAATAACATTATTTTATTATCTTTTACTTAAAATTCCATTTTTAAACTTTGATTAATATCTGCTATTTTTATTTGTTTTTACGCTTAATGAAAATGTTAAATTTTTGCTATTAAATTAATTCGTTTTTTTTATTATATAATTTATCAAAAATAAATAGAAATTTAAAAATATAACCAATCAAAAATTAATAAAATTTCTACACCAATTTATTTTTCAAAGACGCATTAATTATAAATAAAATTAATTCTTCTATTATAATTCTTAAGCCAATACAGAATATAGCTTTAATAATTTTTGAGATTTATTTGATTAAAATTTATATAATTTTAATATTTTATTTTTATAAAATAAATCATGTCAAAATAAATTAAAAAATATTTAAAAATTAAATTAAACCTTTTAGTGTTTGTATAGTCGTCATTAAACTATTATGAAATAATTTCATACTTTTAAATATTTATTTTTAATTAGTATTTATTTATTTATTTACTATTTATGAAACAAATAAATATTATGAGGTAAAAAAATTATTTCTTTGAGATTATAAATAAAGCAGATTATCTTAAAATCTTATTTATATTTTAATTACTAAACCTCTTCTAAATTTTATTTAGTTTCTTTATTATTAGCAGGAAGGAGGAAATATTAATTTTATAGATAGATTATCTAAAAATTATTAAAAAGGAAGTTAACCTTTTTAACCTTAGGAATTTTAAGGATAATCTTATTAAACTAAATAATATTTTAGTTATTTTAAGGGAGAAAATATGGTATTGGTTGGTGTTTTAAGGGAGATACTGCTATTTTAAAGAATTAATAAGGAAATAAGATGGATTTTACATTATAATTTTAAATTTAATTAATTAAATAATATTTTATTTATTTTAAGGGAGAAAATATGGCATTGGTGTTTTAAGGGAGATATTTCAATGCTGCTATTTTAATGAATTAATAAGGAAGTAAGATGAATTTTACATTATTATTTTAAATTTAATTTTAAAATACTAATTAAATATAAACCAAATTTAGTAATATTATTCAAAAAATACAATATTTATTGAAGATTATAACAAATTTATAAAGCTAGTAAGTGATTTATACAATAATATTTTAGTAAATATTTTATTAAAAGTCAAAATATTTTAAAAATATATGATAATAAAAAAAGTTAAATTGATTAAAAATCAAAAGTATTTCAATAGAAAATTGTAAAGAATATTATTTTTTTATTTATTTTTAAACAAATAAAATGCTATCTAAGATTTAATAAAAAATTAGTTAGCTATTTAGATTTATGACTTGGCTTTATAATTGAGATATGCTTTTAACATTGTAATTTAAGGTATTAGAATATTACTAAGAAAAATGTATTTATTCAAATGATAAGTTAAATATAAAATTAATTATTATTGTCTTTAAAATTCTGAACCTTTTAATTATTTTAACACATTAAAAAGCTTTTAAGTCAACTTAAATCTTCAAAGAAAATAAAATTTTTTAGTTTTAATTTTTGTTTATTTTTTAGTTTTCATGTTTCAAATTCAAAATATTTGATAATCGACTTTGAGAAAAAAAGAAAATTAATATTTTATTATATCTAAGTACTATTAAGTACTATACAAATTTTGTTAAATTTTTAGATTATCTCATCAAAAAACAAATAAATCTCACATCAAAATTATATATAATAATTTGTTATTTCATTTCTTAAATCAGTTCTTTCTAGTTTTAGGCTTAGTGAACCAAGAAACAAACTTTTCCCAAGCTTATTCGATTTATTATTTAGCATATTAGACAGTGTCGTTTAACTTTTAAGTGAAAGTCTTAGGTTTTTCTTCAGCAGGTTGAGCAGGGGTTTCATCCTTCTTATCTTCAGAGGGTTAAGAGGGGGTTTCGTCCTTCTTGTCATCGGTAGGTTGAGCGGGGGTGTCATCCTTCTTGTCATCGGTAGGTTGAGCGGGGGTTTCATCCTTCTTGTCATCAGTAGGTTGAGCGGGGGTGTCATCCTTCTTGTCATCGGTAGGTTAAGCAGGGGTGTCATCCTTCTTGTCATCAGTAGGTTGAGCAGGGGTGTCATCCTTCTTATCATCAGTAGGTTGAGCAGGGGTGTCATCCTTCTTGTCATCAGTAGGTTGAGCAGGGGTGTCATCCTTCTTGTCATCAGTAGGTTGAGCAGGGGTGTCATCCTTCTTGTCATCAGTAGGTTGAGCGGGGGTTTCGTCCTTCTTATCATCGGTAGGTTGAGCGGGAGTTTCGTCCTTCTTATCATCAGTAGGTTGAGCAGGGGTGTCATCCTTCTTTTAATAAAATGAATTTTAAATATATATAAAAAAGGTAATATAATTTTAATAGCTTTAAAGTATAGTAAAAATATAAAAAGCTTTATAAAATATTTGATGTCCATTTTTTTTCAAGGTTTATAATATTCTAAATAAAAATTAGAAAATAAATAGCATTTATATTTACAGATAGATTCATTTTGTTTTGAAGTATTTATTTTTTCATTAAACACTTGAATGAAAAAATATTCTAATTATTCTAAATCTATGAAAAATATTTTTATTTAAAATTACCTTATCATCAGTGGGTTGAGCAGGAGTTTCGTCCTTCTTATCATCAGTAGGTTGAGCAGGGGTTTCATCCTTCTTGTCATCAGTAGGTTGAGCGGGGGTTTCGTCCTTCTTATCATCAGTAGGTTGAGCGGGAGTTTCGTCCTTCTTATCATCAGTAGGTTGAGCAGGGGTTTCGTCCTTCTTATCATCCTTAGTTGAAGGTTTATCTTCAGTAGGATCAGTAGGGTAAGTGGGTTTGACGGGCTTTTCTTCTTCAGATTAGTTCTTAATGGGAGCACCAGAAGAAGTATTAGAAGCCTCATGAGGCTTGAAAGCGAAGTAAAGACCAACAGCAGTACCAGCTAAGACCATCACGATCAAAGCGGCAACAATAATTTTCTTCTTGTTGGATTTATTTTGGGGCTTTTGAGATTCAATATCTCTGTATCTGGTATCAGTTTCAATCATTTTTGAGTAATTTTTTTCTGAATTTAAGACAAAATTTAATTTCTTTTACAAAGAAAATATAATAAGGAAATGCTTGATTGTATTTTTAATAGCGAAGAGTTAGGATCTATCAAAAAAAAAAAAAAAATTGAAAAAGATAATAATACTTATAAATTTAATAGAATCTATCTTGTGATTATTAAATTGCTTTGAATAATTTTACGCATGACTCAAACATATATATGTAATATCAATTAATCTATCTATCTATGGTGAATATCAATCTATTAATTTAATGAGTAAAAGAGGGTATTTATTTCTTTGATGCTAATCGAAAGAAGAAAATTAATTAAATTACTAATTCTGTCAATTTTATCAAAGTTATCCAAAAGGATACTAGATCAAATAAAAGTATTGAAGGATAAGATAAATTTGAAAATATACTGAAAAACAAATGCAAAACCTTACAAAATTAATAAATTTATCAACATATCAGAATAAAAAAGGATAAATAATTAAATTGATTCAATAAAAAATCATAATTGTTAAAAATTTAGCTTCTAAACAGTTTACATTTTACACTAACCATAATATTCTAAATTAATCATTGAAAGATAGATAGATAGCTCTATTTATATGAAAGACAATCTTCGAAATTTGAAATAAAATTTTTTTATTCTTTTACAGTATATGTGATCTTATTTGGAAAGATTATCTTTATTTTCAATAAAATTTTTGTATTTATTTAGACAATTTATTTAAATAGTTTTCCAGCCAGGTCGTCCTGCAACTAAGAATTAATATGCGTTATGCTAAAAAAGTCTTTTATCTCATTTTTTTTTAGATTTTATTTACTCCTATATATTTAAACATCAAATTGCGCATATTTCAAACAAATAGGTAAAACTTACAATTTATTTTTAGTTTAAATTGCACTGTAAAATTTTCATCATTTTATACAATTTCAATTTAAATAAAATTTGAGTTTTTAAGCATGTATTTTATTTTATTTCAAAATCAGTCATTTCGTTCAATTTTTTTTATCTCTAATAAACTATTGGTACTAATAAAAGTTTAAGTATACAAATAAAAAAATTGAATTATTGTTACTGAGTTTGGCTAAATATATGAAATATAGGAAATTTAATAAGCAGAAAACTGGATTCATTAGCTATTTTATTACAAATTATAATTTGTAAGGTAATCTAAAAATAAAGGTTATTTAAACCTTTAACTTACTGTAACTCTAATTATAATTATTTTTGAGGAAGTGAATAAATTTAGTTTTTTTTTCTTTATCAGTGATAAGTGGTAAAAAATGCTAAGATCAGAAAAGAAAATATCAATTAATAAAAAATAAATAGATAAAAGATAATTGCTTTAGGAATAATTTGGGATACACAGATTATGTGATTTTAATATACTCTCTAATTTTTTTGAAAACAGATAAAAATAATCAATAAGTAAATTATTAAAATAATAAGAGGGCAAAAATAAATTATTTAAATATTAGAACAATCTAAACAAAAAAATAAAATAATTAAAATCTCTAAAAATAAATCTCATCTTATGATTTCTAAATTTAATTAGATTCTTATAAAAAATCTCTATTTATTTTTAATAAAAAAATAAGTGATTTTTTATTCTATTTTTAGAAAAATACTAGCTTTAATAAAAGCATTTTGCATTTTTTTAAATGTTTTTAATATTTAACATGTATGATGAGGACATTTTTACTTGAAAAGTCTTCTATAATTTTCTTTATTCATCTGATAAATTGAATCGTGATTATTAGAGAAATTAAATAAAGATTTTATAAATCTTTTTATTAAAATCTTAGAATATATTTAGTAATTTTTTTTTGATAAAATAGTTTTTTATTCTATTTAGTTTGAAAAAACAAATAATTTATTATGAAGTTCAATTATGTGCTATAAAAGATATCCTTATATATGAGAACACTCAAAAATAATTTAAATTAATAATTCTATCAGAGTGTTTATTTAAATTTTTTAAAAGCAGCTAATTTATTTTTATTATTTTAATAATTTACTTAAAATAATTTTGATGAAATATTTTAGATGTAATAAAAAAAATGAAATAATTAAGAAATTCTTTTTATTAAACAATTCATTCTAATTTTATTAAATTAATCTATAGCATATGTTGATTTTTATTTTTTAATTAAATACATAATAAAAATAAATTTATTCCATAATAATTTTAAAATTAAATATATTTTATTATTTATGTATTTGATTGCTTTAATTTCCCTAATCGTACAATTTAACATGAAGCTAAAATAAATAAATAAATAAATACATACATACATACATAAACAAATAAACACAATTTACTTTAGTTTCTATTATTATCTGGGATTGTAATTTCTAATTCTTTTTTTCATAATTTTTATTTATTTATTTTGATTTAAAAATAATTTTTTTTATAAAATAAAGAAAGAAAGAGTGTATTTAATCACAATAATATAATATTTTTGTTAATGTTAAAGAAATGTCTGATTTTATTAAATATTTAATTTAAAAAATATGATCAAAAATTTATCTTGATTTCTTATCAAAATTCTATTGATTCTTTTATTCATTTTCAAAAGATTTATTAATCAAAATAACTAAGTAAGTTGAAGCTTTCCTGTTTCTAATTATTATAATTATTTATATTATCTGCTTGTAAATATCAAGATTTATTACAGATCAAATTTTTAGCCTGTCTCAAACAATAGAAATATGCAAGATTAGAAAAAAAATAATAGCAATAGATTTGAAATATCTTCAAATTTTAATTCTTTTATAATAACAATAAAATTTAATAATAGTACAAATACTAAAATAGAAATTATTTTGATTATATGTAAAATGGTTTTATGTTAACTATTCCACATCAACCTTACTAAGGTTTACTCAATAGGGTTTTATTTCTATTTTTTAAATCTTTCTAATTGTACATTCATTTACTTATTTATCTTTCTATATAGTTATTTTTATCTTTATATTTATTGAAATGAAAAATCCAAATAATAATAATAATGCAGAGTGTAGAGTGTGGATGATATTTTTAATTTTTAACTACTAAATTTGCATTTATTTTTATTAAGGTGAAATTTTGTATTCAATCAATTATTGATAAATTATTGGCTATTTGGAAGATCAAAATATCTTTTTATTTTAAGATAACACAATAGTGTATAGAATATAAAATTAAGACTTGTAAACCAAATTTTATTGCATTTATTATTGCTAAAACTATCTAATAAATAAAAAAATACATGAATATTTAAAGTGAGATTATTTTTATCTAAAACTTAATCTATTATTTGTTATAGCTTTGAGAAAGTATAAAGTAAGAAGAAATATTAGAAGAAATCTAGAAATTATTTATGCTATCATCACATAAAAAATATAATTTGGGTTGATGATAAGCTTAAATACGTCTTTACAGTTTGTTTCGATTAAAAGCAATTTTAAGAGATACAGAAAGCAAGTGGTAAATATTAGCGTTAAGCAGATTAGGAGATCATAATTTTTCTTTTATAATTATATATTTGTATTAGTTGTAGACTCTTAAAAGGTTTAAAATGTGACATTTATTTTATTGGTTTTTTCCTTTTAATAATGTCATAGTCTCAACTATAAATTGTGCACTTAAAGCTTTCAATTTGATCATAAATCAATCACAAATAACAAAAAGAAAAGCATATCTTAAATCTTATTAAAAAAAAAAATTAGAAAAACACATTAATTAATTCAAAGCACTATAAAATGGACCCAAAGTTATTAGTTAAAGAAGGCAAAAGCTACTATATTTAATAGTTCTTCACAGGATGCTTAGCAGAGATGGCTTACTACATCGAATCAGATAAAGTTGCTGTCATCATTGATCCCATGAGAGATTATCAAAGATACATCGACTTACTCAATCAAAGAGGAGCTACTTTAAAGTATGTAATTGAAACTCATTTCCATGCAGATTTTGTTTCCAGCCATCTCGATATCGCAAAAATCACTGGTGCCACTATTGTTTTTGGTCCTACTGCTTCTCCCAAGTATGAGATTAAAGTTGCCTCAGATGAAGAAATCCTTGAAATTGGCTCTGTCAAGCTTTAAGTTCTTCATACTCCTGGCCATACTCCCGAAAGCAGCTGCTATTTATTACTTGATGAAAACAACACTGCTTAATGCGTTTTCACTGGTGATACACTCTTCTTGGGTGATGTCGGCAGACCTGATTTAGCATGCAATAGCAATGTGACCAAAGAAGATTTGGCTGGCTAGCTCTTCGATTCTTTGAGAAGCAAAATTTTCAAATTGCCAAGAGACATTATTGTTTATCCCGCTCATGGTGCTGGCTCATCTTGTGGTAAAAATATTTCTGATGGTACCTTTGATACTCTCGAAAACTAATTCAAGACCAACTGGGCCCTCTAAGAGAGTGTCACTAGAGAAGAATTCGTTTCCAGATTAGTAAAGATTTCTGCTCCTCCTTAATAGTAATTATTAGTTTTATTGGCATTTAAATTGAAAATAGTAGCACGCAAACAAAGCTAACTATAAATTAATTAATCTTCTGATTACTCGTTTATTCAATAATATATTGTTTTGATAGGCGAAGTATAATTTTGGTCATTCGTTAACAATTTTTTATAAATCAAATATTACGTCATCACGATGACCAAAAAATATAAATCAATTGCATTTCATTTTTGGATAATTATAAATAATTGTCTTATCATTTTTTAAAATCATATACAGTTACTTCTATGATGCAAGAATCAACAGAGAAGGATACGAAAGTTTAGACATCGTTTTAGAAAGAAGCACCAAGGCTTTGACTGTAGATCAAGTAAAGCAAGAAGTACAAGATGGAGCTATCATAGTCGATGGCAGATCTAATCAAGATTATGTTCATGAATTCATTCCTGGTTCTTTCTTCCTTTCATTAGGTATGCCCTTCGCCTAATGGATCGGAACATTGATCAAACCCGAAACAAAGTTAATCATTGTCGCTCCTGCTGGCTAAGAAAAGGAAGCTATTGTCAGACTTGCAAGAATCGGATATCACACTGTCTTGGGTTACCTTGACGGAGGTATTTAACTATTTAATTTATTTTATAAAAAAATTAAAGCCATATTATAATGATAAATCTAAACACCAAGCAATTAAAATTAACGCATTTACAAATTTTAGAATTGTTAATTAACTCAAGTCATAAAAGAAAATTTTAGATAAATTATGAAGAATATTTTGTGATTAATTAAGAAATGATTAAAGGCAAATTAGAGAAAAACTTTGTTGAAATTAGAATTGTTTTTGAGAAATTTAAAAATTGAATTTATTGAAATAGATAAAATTTATTATAAAAAAAAGATGTTTTGGTGCATTATAATTTTTTCATATTTTCATTTATTTTCTATCTAAAAAGTTTTTTTCTATCAGATAAAGTTTTTTTAATTTTGTTTTTATTGATCTAAATTACAACTATAATATCTATTCTAAAATAAAATAAAGGAATTAATGCTTGGAAAAATGCTGGTTTGCCTTTAGATCACTCAAAGGACGTTACTGCTGAAGATTTTGTTGAAAACTTATCAAATGGTATCTATGCTATCGATGTTAGAAAGCCTGACGAATTAATTAATGGTGGATCTGTTAAAGGATTAAAGAACGTTGAATTGACTGTTCTTGAAGCTGAATTAACAAAAAATCCTAACTTGTTCCCTAAAGATTAAGATTTGTATATTATGTGCAGATCTGGACAAAGATCAGTTGTTGCTATTAGCATTTTAAAGAAATTCGGTTATGACAAATTGATCAACGTTGCTGGAGGCTTCATTGCTGTTGAAAAAACTGGAGCTTCCGAAGTTGTTGGCCCTACTTGTACAAACTGAGAAAAATGAGTGAAAGTCCACAAAAATTTATGTTTCTCTAATAAATAGTTGAATAAAACTGAAGGAGAAATACAATTTTTGAATACCATCATATAAATAAATAAATTAATATTAAATATATAAAATCCATATCTGTGTAATAAATATAATAGTATTTATTCTTCTGTTACTTCCATTTCTCTATTTTATATTTATAATATCTTGTTTCAAATTTACACAAATCTCAAAACATTCACTAAATTAAAAAGAGTTTCTTAATTTCATAATTTTAGGGAGTGAAAAACTTTAAAGATTGAATCTTATCTAATTGGTAAGACATTGGTAAGATAAATAATTTTATATCATTATAGAATATGAGAATTCTGAGAAACAAAAATTCTTAAAAGATAAGAAAATATTAAATTATTCTTCAATTTGTTTGTTTGCTTTATATATTGCTCTTAATTTTTTTTAGTTTACTTTACTTTTATTTATGTGATTCAAAACAAACATAGCTACTTGTTTAATAATAATTAAAAGAATCTAAAAAATTTTTTTTTTTTTTAATTTATATCAAAGTCTGTAACAATATGAAACGATTAGAGTGTCACAAAGATTCATATTAAGACGCTCAATTTTATGAAGCAAAAGCAAACAAAATAGATATAAAATCATTTCTTAAACAACAATCTCTTACGAATAAATTTTAAAAATCCATTCTGTCTCCTAATTTTATAATTTTGCATAATGCGTTTCTGGTGTAAATTATAGTTAAGCGACAATGTCCATCAATTTTTTAAATATTATTATATTTATAACGTATTTGAAGCAATTTTACATTTGATTTTCTGAATTATGCAATTGTCACACAAAAAAGGTAAGTTATTGCTTATTCAACTAGAAAATAATTGATAGAAGAAAAAAAAAGTAAGTTTTTTTTAACTAAGAAAAATTTTTGATTTGTGGATATTATATTAAATGATTAGATAAATCCAAAAAATATCTGATTTTATTAATTTAAGTTTACTTTCGAGTCTTTAAAAAATATAAAAATAATCTAAAAATACTTTTTTTATTTAAAATATGCTAAATTATTTTGTGAGACTTAAGAACAGTTAATTTATAATTATCATAGCCTTATTCACAAATAAAATTATTTATTTTTAGAAATTATAAAAAATTTTCATGTAAAAATAGTGTATCTACTGATAAACTAAATTGATTTTTTTATCATTAAATATATTCAATAAAATGAGTGTTTTTTATAAAATTAAATACGCAGATGAAAGCAACTTCATCCTTAAATAAACAAATATAATTACCACTAACTTACAGAAAAGTTTTAAAAGTAATAGTTAACCTTATTTTGCAATATTTACCATTCTATTTTACATTAATAATTACTGTTATTTATTAGCTTTTTGGTGGTATATTTATTACACAAACAATATTATATTAATGCGAAATTTTAGAATACTAATTTTTATAATTATTTGAATATTTGATTTATATGTGAATATCTTATCAACAAAAATGAGTTCAGTTTTTAATTAGCGATATATTTGTTAAATCTTTTTCGCTTATTTTTGGAAATAATGTCATTTTTAAAAAAAAATGAATGTCTTAGAAAAAATACCATAAATTAGTCATTTTAAACAAAATTTATGAATTATTTTATTATCAATTTTAGATCAATCTTAGTCTAATAATATTTAAAGAAATAAACAAAATCCAGAAAAAAAGATACTCTAAATCAAAAACATTAATCTATCTATCTAGAATGGCTGGTTTCAAAAAAGTTAATAGCTCCAAATCTGAATATCCTAATTAAAACATACCAAGCCCTTTTACAGTCGGTACTCAGTACAACGAGGAAAAGGAGCAAATGCTTAAAAAGTGCTACGAAAAGTTTTTAGAGTTTCCATTAGAGCATCAACAAAAAATAATCTAAATTATCTAACCTTAACCCCAAGTTGCCATCAAAGAAAGAGATTAAATATTAGATATAATTAATTACTTAATCGAAAAGGATAAGACTATGTCTTAATCTAATGCACGCCAGCGCTTAAATTTGATAGCAAATAAACCGAAATATGAAATAATAATGAGGATTTTTGAAGCAAAATTTGCCCAGATGTCTAAGTCAAAGGAAGAAATGATAAAATTTTGTATGAGGAAAGCCTTTAAATTTGTTTATGATAAAATTGTGAGTGAAAAGAAGTAGAAACTGAATAAGAAGGAACAGAAATAACTTAAAAATGAATATTTTGGAATTACAAACGAAAGTGAGTATGCACTTCCTTTCAGGTAGAAAATGATTATAAAAATTTATTCAGTTATTTCAACTTGGTACTTTTTCTTAAAAATTAAGATCAGCCAGAGAATAAAAATTTAAATTAATTGATTAATTAGATATAAAGATAGATTGATAGATAGTGTGTCCCATAATCAAATAGTAAATTTAATAAATATCTATGGATAAATTATCAAATAAATACTTCAAATTATCTTAACTTAAATATATGAAGGGCTAACCATTTATTAACCCTTGATAGATTTAAAGTTAAATAAATAATTGAATGGTGTACCTATTTAATTTAAGTATAAAGTATAGTATTAGATGCTAGAATGTACATTTTTACTCTTAAACAAAAGACAAAGGGAGAATCTTTTAATTAAATTTTGTTGAAAAATATAATTAAGTTTCCCATTTTAAATCTAATATTCAAAGCTTAAAATTTTTTTCCTATTATCTAGCTAAAAAATAGAGGGATTATAGACGATTATTTAATTTAATTATTAAACCCCAACAAATAATAAATCTGTCTAATTGCATCCTATTCTAACCACCCTCTGTCTGTTTCTAATTTAAATTTTTATTTATTACAACATCTGTAAACTCTCCTGTTATCTTATTTTTTTAGCTCTAATTAATCCACTTAACTTTTTCTCGATCTGATCTTACACAATTATTTAAATTATTTTTTATTTTCATGAATTATTTATTTATACCCTATTACCTTGATCTAGTAAATCAAAACAGTTTAATCTGATTATTCACTCTGGCTGGTCTTTTCCATGAAAGTTTAAAAAACTCATTTTCGTCGGAAATCTTTATTTATTTTTTATTTAAGATTTTTTAAGTTAGTATCTTTTTTTAAAAAATATCTATCAATATTTTTGAAAAATTTATTTAATAATGAAAATTTTTTAAAATTTGAATTTTTTTTATTGAAATAGAGATGATTCAGCAGAAAAGACAATGAATGACGATTTCTTGAAAAAAACATTTGCTCTAAATAATTTCATAAATGATTACAAACTTTTTCTTGGTAAAAATTTTGAATGACTTATATTAATTGTTTACTGCTTTTGCTTATTTCTCAAGTTGCTCAAACAACCAACCAATCAATCAATCAATCAATTGATTAATATTTATTTTCTTATATCTCGTTTTAGTAAAGAATTCAATTATTTGAGTTAGTTAGTTTTAGATTAATATTTTTATTTTCTTCTTCTCTTCGTTGATTACAAAACAATTAAGTCAGTGAGTGAGTGAGTGAGTGAATGATTCAAAGATAAAAATAATAGCTAGCTCTTCAACATATTTTTTTATAATTTAGGAATCCTAATTTTTTTCTTAAGAAATCAAAGAAGCTTTCTTGTTTGAGAAAAAAAATTTAAAAATTAATTACACTTTTATCATCATTATTATAATTTTGTAGTATTACTAACACTAAAAATGATGAATATAATAGCCAAATAAAACTTATTATTCTGTAATTAAGTAAATTGGCTGTGTTAATTATTTATTTATTAATTAATTAATCAGATTCTAAGGAAATACAGCAAAATCAATCAATGTATTATCACAAAAATTATAAATTGATTCATAGTAACTCCAAATTCTATTAATCTATTAAATTTTTTCTAATAGAAAGTTATGATGACATACTTGAAAAAGATAATCAAAAAAAAATTGCAATTCTTGTGGATCAAATACTTGAAACTCCTGACGAAAATTTTGAATAAGTAAACCTAAAATAATATACTGAAAATTTCTAAGCATTTTGTTTGATTTTAAATAAAGATTTTAATTTTAAAATAATTAGGGATTGTTGAAAATAAAAAGGATTCCATGGTCTAGGGAGATATTAGAGTAGACTAAATAGTTGGCCACATTTTTACTGTAAAAATATGGAACAATTAACGAGTAATAAATGAACACTAAACCTAGTCATCAAACCAGCTCCTTGAATAAAGATTCTAATATTATCACGTCAACTGAAGGAATTTTCAATGATTCTAGCTTTAATTTTTAAAATTCTTTAGCAACAAATAATACGCTTAACAAACATAAGCAAATTCTAATTAGTTACGAAGAATTCAAAAAGTTAACCTTAAATTTTTCGAAAAATCCAAATTTCAAAGACCTTGCGACAAATCTTTAGAGAGATTTTAATAAACATAATCAAAGTAACTTAGAATAAGTTAATTTCTATGACACTCAATTTGATTAATAAGCTGAGCAAGTTTTAAAAAATGAACCAGTCGTTTCTAATAACTTAAACGCAAGTTAAAAACAGTTAACTACATCTTTAACAAGCGAATTAAATTAAAATTTGATACTTCAACCAAACAATATTATAAAAGAAAATTAATTGTTGCAATCTCCAGAAATTTTTAGAATTCAAAATGAAAAAAATGTAATAAATGAAATTTTGCTTTATTCAAACATAAAAATACAATAATTAATTTATAAATTAGTTAATCAGATAAAAAATTAATCTATGCTAATAAATATTATAATTTTTTTTATTTAATTTAGCTGAACACAATAACTTGCTAAACAAAAGTCAATCTAGAAAAATCTACTTCGATAAAAGAAGAATTCAATGATACCACCAAAATAAATTCATTTAGAGACAAAACACCTGAACCTGCTCCGTTTAAAGCTTTCTCAAGTACATCGCAATTTAACATATCTCCAATATTCAATTTAAATAGTTTGAGCCAGACCTCAAACCCCTCACAAAAAAATCTTAGCATAAATCAAAATTAATAGATTAATACCATTATAGAATAAAGTACAAATAATATCCCTGCAAATCCATTTAATCTTGTTAGTTTACAAGGGTATATCAACTAAGCACCTCAAACATACCCCTAGGTTTAGTAAAACAATCAAACCTAAAGTATTTTTATAAGCCCATTTTAAAAGCCGAGTAGTAATATTTTATCACCTCTTAATACGACACATCTTACTATTGATTAAAGTAATTAAATTAATCTTAATTAAAACTTGTTCCAAGGAATAGGCCTTAATGAAGCGAGTTAGCAAATAAATCTAAATAATTCTTCAGACAATAATCTTTATCAGTAATCATTGTTACAGCCCAATAATATGAACATCATTGATCAAGATTCGTTTGATACGAATTTTTTAAAGCTATTAATTTAAGTTTATAACGATTATACTTAGCAATAATAATAGCAATAGTAATAAAGCCAAATAAATTTGATGAACTAAGATATATTAGGCTTATAAAGCTTAATTTAACCTTCTAGCTCTACATAAGATTTTTCAATGTAAGATTTATCGATGTAGACAAAATAATACTTGCAATAAAGCAGTAACCAGTTTTTAGCTACCTAGAATTTACTTCCAAGCAATGAGTTTTTTCGGGAAAGAAGCTTGTCTTTCTAGTAAAATTAACAAATGTAACTCTAGCAAAACTTAGGTCAAAACAGTACATTTTCTAGTAATATTTTTTCTAGCTTGGTAAATGATGTTAGTTTGGAAATCCCTAAATAGACTTTGTTAAACCAACAAGAATAAAACCTATTAAAGCGAATCAATCAAAATTCTTAATTTTATTTCCCATTAACAGATTCTCAGGTAATAATTTATTTATTTATTTTATCTTTTAAAAAAACTTATCAATTCCATTTTTTAAATTAGTTAAATATATAAAAATAGCCAGAAAGCATATAAATTAATTAATTTTAGAACAACACTTAAAATGAAGATATTTCACTTAAAGATATTATAAAGAAAGAATAATAAAATACATAAAAAAATTGAGAAAAAGATATATTTTTAGTAGCATCTATGAATTAAATCCATTCATATAATTTAAGAAGTAATATATAGAATATTAGGATAATAATCTAGTTAAAAAACATTATAATAGTTTATTAATCAAATTATTAATATTAATTAAATACCCTTTTTGTTAGGATAATTAATCGTTGTTTAATTTTAATATGTTTATTTTATATTTCTAAATAAGATATTTATTATATTTCCATAAAATTTGTAATCAATTTTTTTTATATGTTTTCAACTAAGTACCTCATATTATTTTGTATTATTTTATTATTTATTTTTTTAATTTTAAATATTTAATCACAATAAAAATTAATTTGAAAAAGTAGTAATATGAAATAAAAATACTAATTTAAAAAGTATTTTTTAATTTTATTAAACAGCAAGTATATAAATATACTTAGTAAGCTTCCAACTAATACATTGGAATATTAGGGTGGCGATCAAAATATCAGTGCACCCTTATTACTACCATATTTGGTATTATTATGGGTTTTATATGGTGTAAAACTGGGTCTTTATGAAATGCTTCAAATAATTATTTAAATTTAATTTATGATCGATAACTTCCAATCACCTTAAATCTGAATTACTTTATTGCTCTATCAATAACACCAATCAGCCAACATTGTGTATTTATTTTTTCATCGTCTAATCCTGTTATATGTGTGAGTAAAGTTTCATCTGTTTCAATGCAATTATATTTCCATTTTCTATTTATTGTTAGTCTGATTTTTTTATAAATTTAAGAGACAATATATTTCTCCAAATTCATTTCTCTTGCCACTTAGCTAACTGCTTCTCTCTTGATAAATGAAATAAAAACAATCTGAAATAGCTTATCTAAATCTTTTTTCATCTCATAGAATATGCTATTATACCTAAGATATCTCTTAACACCATATTCTTGACTCTTCTTCAATTCAGTTATAAGAGATAAAATGTCCTCATAATGTTGAAGGATGATAATTTTTGGTAGATTGATTAGTGGCCAATTAATTAATTCATCTTAACTCTTATGGCTGTTAGATGTTTTGTTTTATTAATCTTGTATTTATTATAAAAAAATTATAATTGAAACACTAACGATTTATTTTTTTAAAGCTATTTAAATTAGAAGAGCATAGTCGAAATGATAAATTTTAATATGAGATAATTTGAGCAAGTAATTTTTGATTGGTTTCTTTTTAATCAAAAAATGTAAGAAAAATACAAAAAATATGAATAAAAAACATAAATAAATTTTATAAATTTCAATGTAAATAATTTCCATGCTATTCAAGGAGTATTGATTAAACATGGTTAATACAATTTATAATGATATTTTAGTCTAAATTGTTCCATATCTCATTAATGATGGCTATGAGATCATCTTTATTCTTTATTTTTTGATTGTAATTGATCTTTTTGAACATTTTTTTCATTGCCATCCATACTAGCTCGATTGGGTTAGTATCAGGGCTCCATGCAAAATTTTATAAAATTTCAATTTTATTAGCTGTAAGCCATTATTGAGTCTGTTTAGAGGTATGACTCTGCGCTCCATCTTAAAATAGGATCCATTATTTTCTTCCATAAGTTCTCTAAGTGAATGGAAGCAAACTCGTTTCTAGGCATTAAATATATGCAAAACTATCTACATTCAAATTTTGTATATAATTCTCCCTTTCGTTATGTGATTATTAAACCCCATACCTTTACTTCCATATTTTTATAGGAAAGCTCTTTTGTTTATTAGAAAAGTTAAGATTCATCTGAATGCCATATTTGCAGTCCATTTTCATTTAATTAACTCTCATCAGAAAACACAATCCTATCAAATTAAATTGCTATAAATTCATTTCTATTGAAATTCTATCATTTTAATTGGTATCATTTATTTAGTTAATGGATGTATGTAACCTTGCCATACTTCTTACCTATTGATTTTAAATATTTCATAACATTTTAGTAACTAATGTGTACTTTTATGGTCAGATTAAAGCTGTTTGGCTACATCATTAGAAGAATACTTCTTACCTTAAAAGTCTTCCGTAACCTATTCTATGCATTCTATAGCCCCCTAATACATTTTTGTGTTTTTTCCTTTTAAATGATTGTTATTTTGTACATTATTTTAAAGTAAGAACTTATGATACACCTTAGAAACAATCCCTTTGCTTGCTAAATTAAATTTATCCTCTACTTATTAAATTGTTAAATAAAAATATTTAACCGAAATTATAATCGCCCCATTTTTATTCTTCACTGAGATAGCCAGAATCCTCCTCAAAATTAGCTTTATCTATAATTTCTTTTTATTTTTCCTAAATTCTTAAATTAATTCAATTTTTCTTATTTTTCTAAACAAACATATTCAAATTACTTTCGTTTTAATAAAAAATATCATCTAAGAAAATAAAATAAAGAGAAAATTAATATTAGACTTAAAATTATATAAAAATATAGTTTTCATTACTAATTTTTCTATTATAGATATTTTTTCCTTAATAAACAATTAAAAAGTTTATTAATATTAATAACATAGAAACGCTCGCCTTATTCTGAGGTCAATTGTAAAGATTTTAGCTTAATCATATTGAATTAAACATGCTTTAATTTATTTTGAAAATTAATTTGTAAATATTCAAAAAAATATGTTAATTTAAATATATTACAACTATCACCATTAAAGACTCTATTAAAAAGTATAAATTAATTTCTAATCTAAAATAGAAAATTAAGAATAACTATCCTTACAAAAAAATATAAGATACCATAACTCTTCATATAATAAGACATTGTTACATTAAGGACGTTTGTTTTTGAAATTATTTGGAATGAATAAAATTATGACTCTAAAATACTAAAATAAATACTGTCGATTCTTAATTCTTCATAAATGAGAAGTTAAAGTATTAAAAAATAATTTAATTTAGTTTAAAAGCTAACTATCTTATATTTATGCTTTAAACTAAAAATAAATAAATTAAATAAATATTAACAAATTCTCTCAAAATTATAAAAATTATTGTATAAATCAGGATTTATTTTACTAAAATAAGATTTAATTTTTTGTTTGGTAGGTATTAATATATTACAAATAAAATTTAACATTTAATGCGGATGATTGTTAAGCAATATTTAAGAGTAAATTTATATAGTTCTATGCATTTTTAATAGTCTGAGGATGAATAAAATATATACAAATAAATAAATAGCATTAATAGATAGAAATTACAATACTAAATACTTAGTATTAAATTTATATTAATATAATATCATTTAAGATAAAATTTCACAATTAAACTTTAATTCAGTTTAAAATTGTTTATAATGTTAAAATCTTTGAATAATTGTATAAGCAAGAAAGAACAAGCACCTTATCATAAATATCATAATTAAAAACTAATTAAAATGGCATAAATAAGTTCTGTTGAAAACATTTTAATGATTCAATGAAATCTTAATGAATTTCTATTTTTAATGCATTAATATAGCTTTTTGAAATCTCTATTGTCATAGATGTTTTTGTAAGTAGGATTGAGTATATATGAAACGCTTACCTGCACAAGAAAAAGAGTCCAGTAAATTTCCATGAAAAGTGTGAATAAAAATAATATCAATAAGTATATGTAAGCATACTTAAAGATGCTCCAGAAACTTTATGCTAGATCAATAATTGTAAAAAATTAGAAAATGATGCATTTTGGCACTATGAAAAATCTTGTAAAAATCCAAATACTGACTCCAAATGTAATAAGTAAATAAATAATCTTTTTTTGTTTTTATTCTAAATCTGCATATGCTCTTCCACCTGCAACAATTATATCACCTTTTTAAAAATAATTAATTCAATATCAAAATCATTTTAGTTTCATATTTTATTTACCGAAATTGTGTAAGATGAAAAAAGCAGTCGACATATTCAAAAGATTGAAAAAAATTGAATAAATAATTATTGCTAAGAACATGAAGTGGTTTAGGCCTGTTTCATATTTTTTGTATTCATCTTATTTTCTTGCTCCAAAAAATAGATCAATTAGTGCATTAACATGAAATGCCAACTAAATCAGATTGAAATATATCATTTAATTTATTATTTGTGGGTCTTCTTAGTTTATATTTGGAAATGACTTTAAAAGATTGTTGCAGCATCCTTTGCCACCAAGCTCGTATGGCATCCATGTTGCTTAATTAAACGTTATTAGTCCAAATAAAGTCATGTGAAAATAGTAAATTGTTTCATATATCCAAAGTATAATTTTATTAGCTCTATGATTCCTTAAAATACCCTTATATTTATTATTCAAATTTTTCACCACCCATTAATAGAATATCTACTTCAAGATTTATTTTGTGAAAGAAAGTAGGCCAATCATAATAATACTAAAGAAAATATAGTTTAATTCAACTGTTTCAATTATTGGCTATTATTCCCTCGACCATTATCTAAAAGAATAAGCTGGCTTGATGAATAAAAAGAAGATCCCTAGTATTATAGCGAGAGCGAATTTAAATGAGGGTTCAAAATCCTTCACTAAAACTCTCTATCGAACTTTTTTCATGATTTTGGAAATATATTTTTACGCTTCTTCTGATTTATTGTTTTATTCTCTCAAAAGATTAATTTGCTGTACTTACTCTTAAATTTTATTGTCAATTAAGCTTTCTGTATAATTGGATTTTTCTTTTTATTTGCCATCATTTGATTTATCATTCCATTTTTAATTATTATTTTTTGAAGAAATTAAAATTTTTCCAAATGAAGAATCTTGCAACACACTAGAAATCATAATGTGATTCATTTATTTGTCTTTATCCACTACTAAAAATTTCTATACTTCTTACTTTTTATGAGCTTTCATTAAACTTCTATTCTTTTCAAATCTAATTTTAAATATAGTTGAACCTGTTGGTTGAAAAATATTAATGATTTATTTATAGTTATTTATCTAAATTAGTAAATAAAGTATTTACTTTTTATCAAAAGATAATTTATGTAATTAAAAAAATTTTGAAAGATTACTTTAAAAATTAAGATCAATAATCGCTAATCAATATTCATCCTAAACAAATAATTACAATATTAACAAGTTCCTAAAGTAGAAAAAATGAAATAATATAAAAATTATCTTTATCAAGCCTAGTATCTTGAGCTCTAAAATTTATAAACATTCAAAACTCTTAAATAATTTTTAGATGGAATAAAATTAGCTAATCAGAACTGACTTGTCTGATATTTTGCTTAGAGGAATGCATCAATTTGTAGATATTAAATATCAAATTAGAGTAGACTTTTATTTGTGGATCATAAACAAGTTCACTTAATAGTAGCTATTTAACAGATATTTATAATCTGTCATTATTAGAACTATTTATTTCAGAAAATATTATCAACTGAGTAAGCTTATTCAGAATATGATCAACCTTAGCATGTTTATAAAATTTAACAAATTTGTACCTCCCCAATTCAAAGCTGCTTGTGAGGGTATATTTTTTTATAAGAAATTTTATTTTATCATTTTTTAATTAAATTAATTAGCTATTTTAAAAATACTAGATCGCTAGTGATCAAGTAAGTAATTTTTTTAATTTGAAAAATAAATTTATTACATTCTTTCCTGAAATTAAAAAATAATTTTTATGATTTTTTCTAAAAATTTGTCAAACTTTTGCATTAATATACAGTAGAACCCAAACCAGTAATAAATTTATGATTAAACAAAATATCAAAATAAAACAATTTAAAATTCTCTCTATTATGTATTTAAATTAACTTAATTATTTCATATAAAGGTTAGAAAAATTATAAAATAAAGAAAAATAATTAATTAAATATTAATTGCTAATTTAAAGAAACACAAAAAATGTAAAAATAAATTTTATAATTAAAAGATAAGTCAATAAAATAATATCTTTTCTATTAATTAAAAACTTTTTAAAACAGTATTTTAATTAATTTATTTAATTTAGCATGTTTTTTCTTAAATAAAATATCATTCATTCATTTTCTTTAATATTATTGTCTTCGTCACTTTCTTCTATATTATACTCTTCTTCCTCTTCATCATCTTGTTGAAATGATAATAAATTTGTATTTTGAGGTTTTGAGGGTGGTAGATTAATTTTTAGCTTTTTCTATAGCTTTTCCTATCCTTCTTTTTCTTTATCATCATCTCTACCTATAACATTTGTAGGCCTTTTTCTTTTAAATATATTAAATCTACCCATGACTGGATCCTTTTATTTTTCTTCTTCAATTTTTTATTTGTTTTTTTCATATTCATTTTGTGCTATGATTTCTTTACCATGCTTTTACTCAGCTTACTTTAATCTCTGATCTTCGAAATAATGGCTGGCTAATTCAAGCAACCATTTTGGATCTACTTCAGAAACTTCTCTCATGTAATACTTTGTTGAAAATACAACTTCAGAATATATGACCCATTGAGGAAAATTTATGTTAAGTATTGAAGTAGGGTGAAGATAAAGAATTTCTTTATTTCTTAAATTTCTATAAGATCCATCAGGTTAAAGTTGTGCAACATTCATAAAGAAAGCTGTAACTAAAGCTCTCAAAATTCCCTCAATATCATCTTCACTATTGTTAACCTTCAATCCCATTCTTTTAACTTATTTGCAAAGCTAATCATGTATTTTAACTGCCATATTTAGGCTTTTTATATTTAGTTTGTGATCGCTACAAAATCCTTGTCTAGCTTGTGAGCTTTTCAGGTGATTAAAGGCTAAAAATATATTGATTAATGTAATATGATCACCTTCTTTAGCTCCTAATTTTTTCTTTTATTTCAAAATAGTAGCTGGATCAAATCCATTGTAAAATACCTAACCTTACAAGCTGAGCATTGAACATAAAACAAGCATTTGTTAACTACATCCAAAATCATCTTTAAAGCTATTCAATAATAGAACCTTTATGTTAATAAAATAAAAATAAATGACTTATTTATTTTTTACTATTTATGAATATTTTAAATTTTGAAAAGGATTTTTAATAAATTAATTTACTCCTAACTTAGTTTCAAGATTAAAATCACATATTTTATGTCCAATTTCTTAAGTAAGATTGCAATATTTATCTATAACCTTTAAAGCAAATAGTTATTCTAATGCTTTTGCATACGCATTTTCGTTAGGCTACTAAAGTAATTCAAAGTTAGTGACATCTCCTACTCCAAGTGTTTTTAACTAGAGAATGAAAGTTGATAAATCACATCTTAATATCTCTGGAGTGCTGTTATCGTATAATTGTACAAACTAATCTTTTGTGCATAATCTATAGCATTCACCTCTTTATACTCTGCCAGCTCTTCCAGCTCTTTATTTAGCAGCAGCTTTGCTTATCGGTACAACAAGAAGGTTTTCAAACCCTCTTTTAAAATCATAATAATTTATTTTGTGAAAAAGGGTATCTATAACATAAACTACTCCACTAATAGTGATACTGGACTCAGCAATGTTAGTTGAGACTATAATTTTTCTAACATATGATTCACTTGGTTTAAAAACCTCCATTTAGTCCTCTAGAGGCAATCCAGAGTAAAGTGGAAGTATTTTCAAATTTTATCTTTCAGCATCCCCAATAAAATTTTTTTAAATGATTTCGATAAAGGCTTCTATTTCTTCTTAACCAGTCAAAAAGATTAAGATATCTCCCTGAACATATTTATTTTCAAACAATTATTAAAATATTTTCATATTTTCAAATAAAATAAACCTTTTTATCAGGAGCTCTTATGATTTCAAGAGTGACTTATACGGCTTTCACAACATAATTTCTTGTAGTTTCTTTAAGGTAATAAATATCTACAGGAAATTGTCTGCCTTCTATGTACAAAATTTACGAAGTGAGGTTAGCAATAACCTAATTTGTTTTAGGATCTGTTACTCTTTCCTAGAAAAAGGTGCTAATACTTTCAGCATCAATAGTAGCACTAGAAATAACTAATTTCAGCTGTGGATTCTTTCTTCTGATTTTTTTTAACAATCCTAACAAGATATCAGTGTTTATACTTCTTTCATGAATATCATCAATCATTAGCACTGAGTATTCACTTAATAAGGGATCATTAAGAATTTAATTTATAAGCATACCATCTGTCATGTATTTGATTTAAGTGAGCTCCTCATCACAATTATCATCGAATCTCACACTATACCCAACTTCTTAACCAATAATACAACCCATTTCTTGAGCAACTCTATTTGCAATACTGATCGCTGCAATCCTTCTAGGTTAACTGACCCCAATTTTTTTACCATTTATAGCATATCCTGCTTCTACCAAATACTGAGGAATTTCTAACATAAAAATAAATTTAAAAAATAATGTAAAATAATGGATTAACTTTTCAAGATAAAATAAGCCATATCAAAAACAAGTTTTGAGCCTTCTCAAAGTGAATATTTTTGTATTTTTTATTTTGATGTGCTTAATTTGAAATATTTTATAACTAATTATGTCTAAAAGTGAATTGTAAATCAAATGATCAATTAATTACTTACTTGTTGTTTTTCCTGAGCCTGTTTCTGCAATTACAACCACACAAGAATAGTTTTCTACGCAATATAAAATCTCTTATTCTATTAAAATACATTTTTTGTTTATTTAAAAGAAAAATAATTATTTTTATTTACTGTGCTATACAATAGGCAATTCTTTAAAGTCCCATTAATCAAAACCCTAGAAACCACCTCTCTCTCCAACTAAAATGTCTTCTTCTTTTCTTTATTTCTTTTATTTCTAAATCTCCTGCCACTATTATTTCTACTATTCTTGACTATTTGCTTAGTTATTGCCAAACTGCTTCTTTTTAAACTCAAATGTCCTCATAAAAATGAACGCAATTTAACTAAATCTCAAACACTAAATTAATTAACAAATAAAAGCTCTACAAATGAAATTTCAATTATCATAATCAAAGATATTTTTTTTGATAAAAACAATAACAAAAAATATCAATCTCAAATAAACTACTAAATAAAACAACAATAATTTGATTTATTTAACAAAAAAAATAATATTTTCAATTATAAAAAACAATTTAGAAAGAAGGAAATTAAAAATATTTTTTTTAATACAAAAGTTTTAAAAATAATTATTTAAGGATTAAAATTTTTTAAGTTTTGTTGCTGTAATTAATTTTTTAAAGCAAAATTGAGAAAATTGATTACTAATGTAAAACATTTATATAATTACAAAACTGAAATTTGTCTTTCTATATTAGGATTGATTGATTTATTTATTTATTTTTAAATTATAAAATATTTTTTAAGGTATTTCAAATATAAATACAACAATAATTGTATTTTGAGGAAGTTTTTACTAAATAAAATTAACATTTTTATTCCTCCCAATTTACTCTACTTGATTTATTTATATATTCTTATTAGATTTATTAAGTATTTTTCAATAGTTTTAATTGGTTTCTGCTGCTACAGTATGCTCATTATTGTTTTGATAATTTTCGTAGTGTATTTCGTGGTCGTAAGTTTCCTCTTGATTATTATTTTTAATAATTTCATTACTGAATTTGCGTGAACTACTCAAAATGTTAGTAGAATCATCTGCTTAGTTGTGGGCATAATTTTGATCTGATAGATTATTATGTTAATATTCTTAATCTTAGTATCTTGGTTCATCTTTTTGATGAGAACTATTTTATTATGTATAAAGTCCGTTTTACTCTTCGTCATTATTGTAGAAAATTTTATAATCGATTTAGTTTTATTTGTTATCTTCTTTTACATGATTATTTATAGGTGAAGGAACAAAAGCATATTCTTATTCTTAATTTTCTTTTAAAGGAGATAACTAGTACTAATTTTCTTACTTTTATGAACTTGATAATGATTTATATGGAGAAGTTTTGAATTAGCTGTTTTCCTCTGTTTTATCATTATATGATTCGTTTTTGGTCATTATCTAGGCTAATAATTCACTTGCCTTGGTGGTGTCTGCACCTTAAATTGTATATACATCTTGAATCTTCATTTGAGATTATACTTCTTTTTGTTTGACTTATTCTGGTTAGTATTTAATCTTTGAGTCATCATAAATATAATGCATAGGCTCAACTACACTGTACTCGTTTTTGAAATCAAAGAACATCTATTCTTCAAAATTAGGTAATTATTTAATAGAAGCATCTATATGAGTAGTTAAGCGATCATTGATCATAAAGCTAACGGTATTTTGGAAAGATTTTTCGAAATACTGCTCTAAAAGATTGCATTTTTCAAATTTATTAGTGTATAATTACTAGGTCAAATACTTGGAATTCTTGCTAAATGAAGAACTATATTCATTTTTATAAACTTGGAAGAAATCTTTACAGAAACCTGTATTAGCATTTTCTAAGAATTTAGTTGAATTCTTTGTGTTCTTTCCAAACTAAAATCTAGTATTAGTTTCATCTGACAATCTCTAAGAATTGAATATACTAAATTTCTCCAGATCATCTACATTGGGGAAAACGCCAGTAGTTATAGAATCTTATTTATCTAACCTAAATATTCCTCCATCTACAGAATCACTTTCATTCATTTGCTATTAGCATGGTCTTAATTCTGAATTAGCTTGCTTGATATAAACACAATTTTCATCTTCACCTAAAAAGTTAACTTAGTTATTTGTTTTCACAGGATATTTAACAACTTTATCAATAATAATTTTTGGTAAATTGACATCCTAATCTATTTAAATGACAACTGCATCTGGGTCTTACATATTTTTTCTACTATCAAGTAACTAAATCCAATCCTAAATAACTTGTAAAGTATTTCTATTAGGTTAATAAAAATCACCTGGCTTTATTTCTTGATATCCCTTAATAAATTTATGATCATCTACAAATTAAGAAAACTGCTCATTGCACTTTAAAAATTTCATGTAGTAATCTTTTGTTTTGTTTGCCTCGTCTAAAGTTTATTCTGTTAATCTCTCTATTAATTATTTTATTTCATAAAAAAACTATTAAAATAAAAACTAAATTGATATTTTAATTTACCTAACAGTACTGATATAACTATAAACATTGTGGTATAAAGATTCAACATAGTGTAGAGCATTAGATGAAAAACATATTAGTTTAATTTATATTCTAAGTAGCCTCTTTTGGAAACTCCTGTTGTTTTTTCAAACTTTGTTAACTCATTAATTATTTAAAATAAAAAAAGAATTACTTTTCAAAGGATCAGTGTTTGTTCTCACGAGATCTATCATGAATTAGAATAATGCTAGAGCTTCACCCATTTCAAAGAATATTTTGTCAGTGGGAATAGAAAGAAAATACTATCTCTTTTCTCTTTTATTAACATTAAAGCTAGAATTTTTTTTAGCATAAAGCTTGCTCTTCATTTTGATGTATTAAAAATATTTTCTGATAAATCCATCAATCTTAATAATGCCTATTAAATGTATTTAAAAATTACTATTAATATTTTTGATTGCATAAAACTTTCAATTTTTTTAATTTAAACTCAATCTTAAAGTTCATAAATTTATTTATGTATTTCATTATCTATTAATAAATTAATAATAAATTTTTTTGTAAGTACTAGCTTTATTTCCTTTATTTTAATCTATCTATCTAGTTAATTTCTATCTATTTCTTATTTATTTATTTATTTTTTCTTTGTTTGTTTGTTTTATTGTTTTAAACTGAATATTTATAATTTATTTCCTATTTTCTAAGTAATAGAAAAATTTTTAATTGAAGATTTCATTTATTTTATAGCTTTGTTTTTAGATTAATTTCTATTATTTCCTTGTTCAAATTTTGCTGGATTGTTTTCTTCCTTTTAACTGGAATTTACTTTCAAATTAGTAACTTACAAATAAGGATGGAGCTTGCTTTAAAATCAATATTCAAAATAATTACTATTTCTTGGGTCAGGATCCTTAAAATTTTCAACATGAAGTATATGTATGGTTGCAATATCATTAACAAAGCTTCTATCTTCAACGCAGCGATCCAAAATAATAAGATTTTTAACCAAATAATTCCACTAGTTTTTTGATTCACTGTATTGCATTTTTGATTAAATAAGTTAAAAAGCGACATCTGGACGTGTTTCAGGGTCATTTCCTGCTAAGGTCTAGAGAATCTCTAAAATTTTAGATAAATATTTTTATGCTTTGTTTTGCAAACTTAAATTGCTTATTAAAATCCTTTTCTAATACAAAAAAAGAGAAATTAATCTTATTACGCTGAATATCACTTTCTGCTGGAGGTTCATAATCTCCACTGTAAGTTGCTTAAAGTCTTGCCTAATAATTTGTGTAAATTAAAAAGTTATTCTCATATTTAAATATCTCAATAATCTATCATACTTTTTCAAAAGTAGTCTCAGCATTAAAGGAGAAACAACCTCTAAAACAACCAACTATCATGTTAAATTTATATATATTATTTTCCTAAAAATTTTCCTATCTCTTATTTAGAAAAAATATTAGTTAAAGTTATTATTAATTAATTTATTTATTTATTCAATTAATTAATTTCCTTCTACAAATTAATGTGAATAATGAATGAATGTACTTTATTTCAAACTATATAAACTACCTATGATTGATTGAAAGGTTGATTTATTTCTTTATTATTACTTGTACTGATGATTAATAGATTGACTGATTTATATTCCATTCCAATTTATTTATTTATCATTAATTCATTCATAAAGTGATTGGATTTTAATTTATTTCAAATACTATGAAAATCTTCAGAAATTAAATATGAAATTAATTAATTAGGGCTAAGATAGATGTATGTATAACCAAAATTATTCTAAAATTGATTTGCATATGATAGATAAAAACAGATTATGTAAACATTATTTTACATTAAAATCCAATTAATTGCTAAGAAATAAATTAGATAGATAGATAGATAGATACACAAGTTTTTTTAAATAAAGGAATTTTTGCATCAATTTAAATTTACCATCAAAGAAACTAACTCTCCCTAGCATGTAAATCTTCATAGACCAAAAATCAAATTTCTAATGATGCAATTTTAAATTTTTAACAAACAAACATTACCAATATTTGCAACGAAGTACAAAATTAATCTCTTTATATCAAATATTTTTTTCTATTCCTTAAACTTTTTAATTAATGATATTTCATAATTTACCTATTTAATATAAATTAAATCATTATATTTTCTACTCTTATTCGATTCTATAAAGATTTATTCTTTTTAAATCCAAATTAAGATGATTTAAACATGTTTCTAATTCTAAATCATTTAACATATATTGTTAAAAACAGGCTATCATAAGTTTTCACAGTAAAAAAAATAGAGCATTGCTTGTATATTTTAACCTTACGCTATACAATTAAGTTATTTTTATAAATATAAATCAAGTAGTATTAAATAATCAAATTATTTTTCAATTTAAATTTTATTTATATCCTAAATTAAACTCTTTATGATAAGTATTTAACTCACTTGATATATATGAATAAGATTTTAAAATGAAAATAATAAATATTCATACCAAATTATACATTTTAAATATTTTTAATAACTCCTTAGTTAAAATATTAAAAAACAAAATTATTAATAAAATATAATTGAGTTTTTAGTTTATATGATTCATTTATTTCTTGTTTTTATTTTGATTTTTAATAGTTTATAGATATTTTTTGTATATGTTAGTTACTTGGTTAATTACATCAAACTTCAAAATATATTAAATTTTTTAAATTTATTTTTTTGTTTATAAAAAAATAATTGAATTAATTTCATACAAATATCAGAAATTCCACTTAAATAATACAAACAAACAACTCTATTTTTTATACTTTAGTTATTTATTGTAATAAATTAAATTAAAAATTTGATAATTATGTTTTAAAAAAATCATTATTTAATTGTAAATACAATAAATAAAATTCAAAAATTTAAATTATCTCTTATTTTATTTGAAAGAAATTACTTTAATTTTCAAATGCCTTTCAGAGATAGATAAATATAAACATAAAGTATTAATCTTTTGAATAGATAATATTTAAAAAAACTTTAAATTTAGTTTTTAATTGAAATTAAATAAAATATTAAAAAAAATAAACATTTTGAGATGAATCTTAATGTTAACTAAATAAGATAAACTTAATTTGAAAAATTATTTAAATTATCTTTAATAATTAAGAAATTTTTATTTAAATTTATATTTAAAAAAGAAATTTAAAAGAAAAAATTTAAATCTATTTTAATAATTTATATTGATGATTTGATTTTTATTAATTATATTAAAAATTATAAAAAAGGATTTGTAAAGAAATTTATTAAATTTAAATTAGAATTTATAAGAATTCTTCTTTTCTATACAATTTTGAATCCTTTTTAAAAAATATTAAATATTTGAATTATAAAAATTTATTTAATTAAATAATATAAATCATCAATCAGTACTTATTGTAATTTAGGTTAGCAAAAAGTCTATTTTTGACATAAGAAGTTATATTTTAAACAGGTAGGCACAGAGGGAAATAATGGGGCTATTAAAGATTTTAAAGAAAACTAAAGAAAAAGAAAAAGAAATGCGTTTGTTAATTTTAGGTTTAGACAACGCAGGTAAAACCACCATCCTTAAAAAGTTTAATGGAGAAGATATTGATAAAATATCTCCAACTCTAGGATTTAATATAAAAACTCTCCACTATCAAGATTATAAATTGAATGTTTGGGATGTAGGTGGCCAAACAACTATTCGTTCATATTGGCGTAATTATTTTGAATAGACAGATGGACTCATTTGGGTAGTTGATAGTTCTGATAAAATGAGATTAGAAGATTGTAAAAGAGAATTACACAGCCTATTAAAGTAAGAAAAGCTAGTTGGTGCTACTCTGCTTATTTTTTGCAACAAACAAGATATTCAAGGAGCTTTAACATGCCAATAAATTAAAGAATTCCTTGCCTTAGATGACATATCCACAAGACACTGGGGAATTATACCTTGCTCTGCTGTCACTGGAGAAGGACTAATAGAAGGAATAGATTGGATTGTAACTGATATAGCTTCAAGAATTTTTATGATGAATTGATTAGCTCATTTAAAAATCTAAAATATTTTAATAAATAAACTAATTAACTAGATTAAAATATAATTAAATTTATGATTTTTATAAACTTAACTTTCTAATGTAGTAGATATTTATATATATTGCGTATACAGTTTCACCATGCTAAAATTTTATAAATATAAATTATTAGATAAAACTATCAAACTCTTTTGATTTTAAATTGATTTCTACAAGTATGTTTTAAAATATCAAAAATAATTTTATGAATACATTAAAAATTAATAACATTTATCATAATGCTAGCTAGTGTGTAATTTTTAAATTTCGAAAAATCTTTAAATATGTATTATATATAATGTTTTATCATTTTTAAATTTTGTAAATATAATTTATGAATTGAATAAATTTGGTAAAAATAAATAGTAATTAAATCATAGAAACTTTCTATTTTCTATTGATAAATAATATATTAAAAATAAAAAAGCATATTTTATGAATATATTAGAAATAAATATCCTCAATCATCAAACAATAAGTGAGAAATTTTGATTTCGAATGAAAAAACAAGCAAATTTTTTCGATTCAAAAATAAATGACTCCCTACTTGTTTATATTTACTAAAAAAAGTACACAATTATGATTATTTAAAAAAAAATTTAATTAAATATTAGATATATTTATTTTTTTAAGAAATAGATGACTCTAAGAATATTTATAATTTAATTTAGTGTTAATATTTTTCTTTTAAAAAAATCAAAATTCTGAAAAAGAAAATTAATTTGATATTTTTGAAATAATATTAAAATATTACAATATTTAATAAACTGGAATTTTATGCTAAATTATAATAAAAAATGGCTACCTCTCTATTATTGTATAGGCATTTCTTATTGAGAAATTAAGACTATTTTAGATAAAATGATTTGTTAATTATTAAATACTTATAAATTTATTAGATTAGAATTTAAAGGAATTACAAATCTTGGATTCTTTCAAGTTTTTAATCTTAAAAAATTTTAAGGTAAACAGAAAATGATGAATCAATAATAATCGCTGCTTACAAAAACATATTAAAAAAGATAAAAACAAAGATTTCTTAAAATTTAAATTATATATTTTTTTTAAATTAGCTTTCACTGATCATCACAATTTTCTACTTTATTTATAGCAATAATAGGAGTTATCTTTTTCATAAATTATGTGAAGGAAGCACTGTTATAAATATCTGAATAATCTTCTTAAGTTTTTCTTTTTTGGAAGTACTAAGGTGTAGTAAATTACTAATTATTTAAGTAATTATTTCTTTTTCTTATGAAGCTTTTATACTTTTAAACATTCAAATTATTTGATAAGTCTTCCTTGTTTTATTTTTTTAAATTATCATCTTCATTCTTAAATTAACTAAAAGGTTATAGCATTTATGGTGTTGTTGGACTTTTCTAACTAGCAAGCAAATTATTCATCTAACCTTAGTATAGAATAGGTTACAAATTTAATGGTCCTTATTATGAATTTTTCAATTTTATCTATTCGATATGTTGGTCATCTTAATTTTTAACCTGATTGAAGTAAGCATTAAATAAATTAAATTTTTTATCCTGAAATTTTTCAGTTTGAGAGCCTCTTTTGATTGCTTCCTTTGAATTTAAATCTTAGTTTTAGGCATTTTTGACATTTAATTTTGCTTAATCTAAACTTATGTTTGCTTGGAATGATTAAATATATTAACACTACTATTTATCTTTATTTGAATTATCATTAAAATAAGAATTTTGTTCGACAGAACTCTTGTTTACTGTATTGTCCTAAGAATTACGATAGGATTTTTCAATGTTTTCAGGAATTTCATTTAATTCTATTTTAAGATTGTTTTGTTTTTAAAATTCACTTTGTTCTTTAAAATTTGTTTGTTTGATAGTGGCATGTTTATTTTGATAGACTGTGTCTAATTAGCTATGACATTAGACAGATGAGTCTGACAAGTTAGAATTTGAAGAAGACTCAGATGAAGAAAATGAAGAGTCAGATGATTATTAAGAAGCATGAGTAACAGATTTAGATTCTTTAATTTGATTAACTGTTTATGATTATTATTTTTACTAGATCTCTTAAAATTCACAGCTTTTCTATGTTTGTTCTAAACAATTCACTGACACAAATTGTTCAATCTGCATATCTCTTAAACTTGCTTTCTTTTTAATACTACCTTTCGATGAAGAGTTCCTTTTCCCAGATGTTTGAACATTAATAAACTGTATTAAATTTTTTGACTTTCTTTGTCCAAACGTTTATTACAGTGAGTTCTTTCTTGATATATTCACACTTTCGTTTGTTTGATAGTTTTAACCATATGCATTGCATAATCCCTTTATCTTTATATTGTTTGATTGCTGATCAAATAGTTCTTCATGAATCTTCTTTGATGTAATTTCAAAAATATTTTTTGCTTTAACATCAAGCAACCTAATCACTTTCCTATCTTTTCTTTCCAAACACTCTTTATTGCTTATTTCTGTAAAAGCTATCCAAGCTTTAATGGCTTTTTATTAGATACTTTCTTCTTATTTAAGAATTGACCACTCTTATGTCTTAGAATAAGATTTCATTTTTTATGTAGGAGCTTTTTAGAATATGTATTCATTTTTAAGGACAGGTCTTGGAAGATATTCAAACAGCTTTCTTTGATTTTTGTCGAGAACAATCTACTTAAGTTTATCAATCTCTTAAAGTTTCTACACTATGTAGATAATATCAAGTCTTTCATTCACCTTATTTTTTGAAAATTTTAGTTTCTCTATTGCTGTATAAAAGTGCTTATTATTTTTAATTTTATCTTTTGAGCATATCAGCTTTATAAAAATCCATATTTTCTAAAAGAACTCAACCAAGACGATTTTAACACTTATTATTAATCTCTTTTCAAGTCTATCTGCCTCAAAATACTCTCTAAAATTTTATAAGAGATTTTAGTTTTTAAAAAGGCTTTTCTTTTTGATTTAAATCGGAGTATTTAACTCAGAAACATGCATAGAATACACAGAATTTTTTTTACTATCTGTCCCTTAGGTCTTTTTAGCATTTTCGTCTTCGTTATTTTTTGAATACATATAAGAGTTTCTAGAGTTTTTAATATGTAAAATATTTGGTGAAGTAATTGGTTCTTAAGCCTATTATGTTATTTCTTAGCTAGTATCAATTGAATCTTTTTTTTGGCTGTTTGGAAAAAATAATGATCTACTTTTTAATATAGATTGATTGGCGTTTTTATTTGCTGTTTCATCAATTGCTGTTGTAGTTTGCTATATGCAAGTTGACTATTGAAAGGGTTTTTGCTCAGTTTCATTTAATTTGTATTCTTCTTGTTAATCTTTTTACTTATCATCTTCAAACTAAAATACCTCGTTTACAAGCGATGTATAAAATGAGAGTTTTGAAAAAGGCTTTGTTATTGACTTTCCTAAAATTAAAGTCAACTGCAAAAAGCCTCCAATATACGCTAACATTACAGATGCTTTAAAATAACTTCTCTTATTAATAATATAAAATGTTTTTAATATTATATTAATTTATAATAAAATAAATATTGTAACTTCTCAATACTAATAATAAATACCACAATAAATATATCAGAAAAGTTAAAAGGATTAGATTTTAGGTTTTAATCAATAAATATGCTTTCTTTAGTGGAATTTAATGAGAAGTTACAGTAATTAATAAAAAAACTTTCTTTTAAAATATCTTGAGTTTGATAAAAATAAGTAAAAGTTATTATAATTTTAGTAAGCTAAGTTTTTTAATTATTTTAAGGCAATAAATAAATTGTATGACTTGAAACAAACAGCTTTTAAATTAACCAAAATAATGATAATAAATTAGATTTTATTTGTTTATGAATGAATCATTTTTAAATTTTTTTATTAAAAAGGGGTATTTAAATTCTTGTTTTTTAAAAAACTTAATTAAAGGTAAAATGAAATTTAATCCACAAATTTAATTTTTTAGATAAAATTAAAGATTAAAAAATGCGTTCATTAGAATTATTAATGAGCTTGCTAATATTGTTTAGTTATTCATTCTTTTCAAAATAAATTACCATAAAAACCTGCTTAGTTTAATTAACTTAAGTGAAGATATTCAATACCTAGGAGCTACTGCTCAAGTCATTTTTTTTATTGAAATAACAAATATCGCTTATACTCTTAAGGTATTGGTCTTAGTTATCACTAAAATAGATACCTTTATCTGTAGATATTAGTTACTAATTATGCTTTAACTAAATGAATTTTATTTTATCTAGATCTATCCAATCAATTATAGTTCTAGAGTATGTTTATACAGGGTTTTCGTATGATTCAAGAAAAGCCATCTCATCAAGTACTTTCAAGACAACAAGAGAATTAGTAAGCATATCCTTCCAATTGCTGTTTTACTTTATTTCATCTTATATTTCCACTATTATTGATATCTATTTTGCCGTTTCTTAACTGATACCACCTTATATAGTTATAAGATCTGATAATGAGTCTTAAAAAAATGGACATAAATACTCTTCTTTTTTGTTATCAGGTAGTGCAAAAACTTTATCCCAATACTTTAAAAATTATTCATTGCTAGAGCAAGGCATTAAAGGTATTTCAAATTATTTTTCTTCATAATCAGATTAGTTAATTTTTACTCTGGTTGAATAGAAAGCTTTTGCGCTAAACCCTTTGTTAATTAATGTTGAAGATTAATTACTAAAGAGTTGCTCATTTATCTAAAAAACTCCTTAATTAGCCTAACTTAGATGATCCTTGCTAAATATATTAATAGCAAATCCAAACTTAAAGGATTAAGCTTATATAATTTGTCCTGAATTGATGGTATTTATTTAATCTATTGCTGGATTCTATTTGTAGTAAAGTTTAAGCCCATAGTAGATTGTAATCAATACTACAGATATAATTATAAAGAGGGTTACTATTCCACCGCATAAGGTTTTATGAACTTTTCTTTTCTCTAATCTCAATTAAACAGGTTTACCAAAAATATCTAACTTTTTTACAGATCTCTTTAATCCCATTTTTTTAAAGAAATAAACAAATACAAATTTTAGCTGTTTCTTAAGATATTGTTTTTAGTAGAATTAATTGCTCTAAAAATTATAATGTATATTTACATATAGTCATATATTAAGCACCTTAATAATAATTTTTTGTTAATTAACAAGTAATAATGTAGAGTAAAAAAAAAGTATAAAATATACAAGACAAATAGGTGAACAATAACTATTCTAAAACACCAATTTTGATAAAAAATAATTGTTTTAGTTTTGGTTATTGAAAGAAGAAATCAATTAATTTCAATTCAACTAAATGTAATCAATTTTTTTCTTTAAAACATAAAATTTGCATGTAACATGTTGTAAAATTTTTTTATTTCTATTAAATCAATTCAAATTTGATCAAGGATTAATTTTAAAAAAACAAATAAATAAATTATCAAATAAATAGGTTAATTACCACCTAATTCATAAATAAACATTGATATTAGATTTTGTAATAAACATGATTGCTGTATATAGTAAGCTTCAGGTTGGTTCATACATTTAAGATTTTGTTTTTAATTAAAATTATGATAGAAAAACATTTTAAAATAAGGTTACATTTAAATTTTTAAATATTTTATAGCTAAGCTGTATTCTAAATTGTCAATTATAACTTTTACTTTTTCAAGATATAATTTTTTTTAAAGAGCGTTTGGTTAACTAATTTGAGTTAATTTAACTTGTATTTACATATTTTTGAAGCAAATAAGTAGAGATTTTTTACAATAGTTTGCTATTATTTTGTTCTCTTATTTTAGTAAACAATTTATTACAAAACATTATTTGATAGAACAAATAAAGCCAAATTTCTAAAGCAAGTATTGTGAGAATTCTTAGCAATAAACAAAAGTATATTTCATCAGATAATATAAAGTATCTAATTTAGAAAAAATTGTAAGTTATTTTACATGATTTTTATTTACTTTTAAATGAAAAAAATAAGCTAATTGGCATTAAAATATGTAGTAATAGAAAAAAATGCTTATTAAATCTGAAAATTTCATAAAAAATAAAATGTGATAATTGAGTTAACAGAAATAGATTATATTTATGATATTAATATTTTTAAATTAGTAATGGATGTTATGTAGCCAAATGAATTATATTTTTATAAAATTAAGCTAACTAAGATGACCAAAAATATAAATAATCAATATATATAACTTTTGTTATTTTTATCATTAGGTGCTGTATAATGATAATTACCATGTCTATGATTTGAATGAACTATATTAGAATGGTTATTATTTTAATTGTAAGCTTATCCTACTGATTGTTGTCTGATTTATGGCATATATCTGTTGTTGTTGTTTTAATTTTGATTAAAAATGTTTTGTTGCTACACATTTCTTCTCTAGTCATGAGAAGCATTTCTTTTGTTATTGTTATTATTATATTATTATTGTTAAAGGTATTTGTTTTGTTAAATGTAGATGTCATTCTATTTAGGTTCATATTCCATAGTCCTATTATCAAAAGAAGAATTTTATTTTCTTGATTTTTCAGCAGATTCAAACTTTTAAGTTTTCTTAGGACTTGCAAATTCAGGATCTATGTAATTCTTACAGCTTGACCTAGAAACACCAAAAGTAAATCCTTTTTTTAATACATTTATTTAATATTTTATAAAAAAACAGTTAATAATAAAATATAAAAAAAATGACAAGTAATTGAGCTTTGAATTTAAATTGATAAATAAAATTATTTATAATTTACCTTTGACAGTTCTTAGTGAGATTTCTTTTTAATATGCTCCAGGACCAGGACTGTTGCTGTTTTCTCTCTAGCCTCTTTGACCATGCCCAAACGAAACACCTTTTTTCTAATTTTGTTCAAAAATACTAGGAAGTTATACATAATCAGGTCCTTTGGATTATTCTCTTTTAACACTTGAGGAAGGTTTGAATCTTTAAGATCTGGGCATAGAAAAAGCAGGAATAGATTTTTATAATGAGGTAGCAGATTAATACTCTGACATGCCAAAACCGTGGCCTTATTCCAAATTTTATTTAGCAACTTTATATTCAGCATAATTTTAAGAATACTAAGAACCTTAAGGAGATTATTCTCTGCTTTTGTTTTAATTCTCTTACAGCCTTTTCTATTCTTACTCTTATTATTTTCTTTTCTCCTCATTTTCTTGTTAAACCCTAGCTCTTTCTAGTTCTTCATTTTACTTTTTAAGTTCCATCTCTTTCTGTAAAGCTTCTTATTTCTTTTTTTCTTCAGCTTCTTTCTTTTATCTTTCCTCTTCTTCTTGCTTCTTTTTCAATTCTTACTCCTCTTAAAGCTTCTTTTTTTATTTTTCATCTTCATCTTTCTTTTTTTTCAATTCCTGCTCCTCTAAAAGTTTTTTCTTCTTTTCATCTTCTTCTTGTTTCTTTTTCAGTTCCTACTCCTCTTAAAGCTTCTTCTTTTTATCATCTTCCTCTTACTTTTTTTTTAATTCTTGCTCCTATTAAAGTTTCTTCTTCTACTCCTCTTCCTGCTTTTTTTTCTACTCTTACTCTTCCAAAAGCTTCTTTTTTTTCTCCTCTTCCTCTTATTTTTTTTTCAACTCTTACTCCTCTTAAAGCTTCTTCTTTTTCTCCTCTTCCTCTTACTTTTTTTTAAGTTCTTGCTCCTCTTAAAGCTTCTTCTTCTTTTACTCTTCTTCCTGTTTTTTTTTCAGCTCCTACTCTTCCAAAAGCTTCTTTTTTTTCTCTTCTTCCTCTTATTTTTTTTTCAACTCTTACTCTTCCTGTAGCTTCTTTTTTTTTTCTTCTTCTTCTTGCTTTTTTTTCAACTCTTACTCCTCAAGAAGCTTCCTCTTTTTTTCCTCTTCCTCCTTTTACTTTTTTTCTTCATCTTCTTTTTTTTTCTTTTCTGCATCTTACTTAGCTTTTAATGCTTTCATTTCTTCTTCTGCTTTCTTTTTCTAGAGCTCCTCTAACTCTTTTTCCTTCTTTTTTTTTTCGATATAGGCAATGAGCTCTTAGTTTTCTTCGTATTCTAAATCGAAATTAACTTAACCTGCCTATTTGCCTTCATACTCAATATTTACTTTTTAGCCAAGATACTTACCCTTTTTTTGAATAAACTAAGTTAGATCTATATATCCTTTTCCAATTAAATCATCTTTTGATGTATCTTCATCAAAAACTTCGAAAAAGAGCTTTTTATCTTTTTAATAAGTGAATTAAGGTAATTCAAAAATATTATCTTTCCAAACTGGTTCTTTGCCACCTGATTAATGGACACTAGTTTTTAATTAGATTCCATTGTATTTTAATATGCAGTATGGATCCATCTTACCAAACATTTCAGTGTCCCTTGTTAAGTAACCTCTCATATTTTTAAGAGTTACTTTTCCTTAATTTTATTATAATTTGTACAACTTTTCGTCATCATGCTCAGCCAAGTCAACATATTACACATCGGCATATATTTTACCAATTTCTTTTTTATCTTTACCTATCATTATAATTTCTTCTTAAATATACCATTTTTCATTTTCAATAACAGGTTTTAAATCAAACAAAGTGCTACCAACAAGATCAACATTTTTACTACTTACAGTTTGAAAATTTATCTAGATTTTTATAAAATTATCCTTATCAATTAAATTTTTTAGAATTAAATAAAATTACAGTTAAATTTGTTAAATTTTTGTCTTTAATTGGGAAGACAATGATATCTCTATATTTATTATTAGGTTCACTTTTTGTTATTAAATGTGTACACTTGTTTTCTGTTCCAAGAGAAAATTTTAATTAATGATTTGATTATCCTTTTTTTAGAACACTAGAGACATTTCTCAATACAACTTTTCCTAACAAGTTATTAGATTTTTCATAAGAGCCAACTAGTTTACAATTCACAGTGATAGTCAATTCACCTGCACTCTATTTATGGTACTCCAGAGGAATAACTTTTGTCTCTTCACCTAATTTGAAGTTCTGCATAAGAACAGACCCAAATCCGATTAATTAATCTTTATGAACCTCTTAGTCAAATGCCAAAAACATGATGACTTCTTCAAGTCCCACATAAACCTAAACCTACTCTTTCCATTCTGGTGTTTTTCCACCTCCTAATTGATGAAATAATTAGACATAAAATTTTAATTTAATATAATTTATAATACCTTTAATAATTGAAGTTTTAAAGTTTATATCTTCGCTTACTTTTATTCTCACAAAAGGATCCTATTTACAAAAAAAATTCTAATAAATGCAAATTTATTGATAAAAAAAATCACCATTTTGCTAAACAAATCAGTGTCTCTTTTGAAATTTGCCTTAATATTTGTGATTGTGATCAAATACTTATAGCTCTAAGCATATGGATTGTTAGAGTAATTTGTTAGAATTTCATTTTCTCTAAGCTTTTTGCTTGCTTCATTGATTGCAGTCTCTTAAATCTTTGAGCCATCTACCTTTTTTCCACTTTGAGCTTGCTTTTAAGCTTCTAAAGCCAAATTTTCTGCGTCGGTAAATTTTACAAATTATATTTTTGTCTGCAAGCTGCTAGTATTTTTACCATTTAGTTGTAGGTCAGCCTAAAAATCTGTCTTTCTTGCTCTTTGTAAAAATTAATTTATTTCTATTGAAGCTGATCCTAAAACTTCATCTCCCTTTTTGCTTTGGTTTATCAAAGTTATAAGAAAGTTGTCCTCATTTTCCTTTCTAACAACCTCAAAGCCATCGACCCATTAAATATTTTTCTAATTGTAAGGACAAGCAGGAGTAATTTTGACATCATTACCAATCTAAATTTTGACTATGATATTCTAATTATAATAAACCAAAGAAATCAGATTTCCAAATTAACGAAAAAAATAAACTGAAATGAAAGATAGATAGATACCTCATAGGATTGTGATGTATTGTAAATATCTGCTTTAGTAATCCAAACAGTAAGTTTTCCATTAGGGTTTTTAACCTGGTTCGCTGAATAGCTCATATTTATAGTAATTATATTTTATTATGTGTTAATTATTATTATATATTATGATTAGTTATTATTAATCTTATATTGTTTATTTTTTTAGATTGATTTAATGGTTATTAGATTAAAGAATATCTTTACAAACAATTTCATTGGAAATAAAAATATAAATACAAAATTTCATGGAAGGTGTTATTTAATTATATAAGAATCTAATACTAATAAATTATACTTTTCTCAATTTCGATGTAATTTAATTATTTTTCCAAAACCATATAAATATAATCGATGGATCAATCAATCACACATTATAATCATTAATCCTAATGCGCATTATTTGATTATATTATTATTAATTGTGTGATTTATATTACTCATAAATACAAAGTATAATGAAACTTATTAAAGCTTTTATAATTCATACTTTGTAAGCATAGACTTATTCTTTTATATTACACTCATCTGAATTTATACTTCATAATCAAAAATACATACTTGCAATTTATTTATTAATTTTTCGCTTTATGACTAATCAAACAACTCGAAATTTAATTTATTTGTGTAATATCAAACAAAAATTTAAAAAATTAAGTTTCTTTTTTAATCTATTAAAATTTTAAATAGACCTTCATAAATATCACATTTTTTTATATATTATTTTAAAAATTATAAATGGTTTTTTTAAATTTATTTTTACAACATAATTTTACCATAAACCCTCTTATTTACCCCAAAATAAATTTTCATTAATAAATATTTTTTTGAAAAAAAGTTACCTAAAAACAATGATTTAAACAGGAAGGATAAATTATAGAATATGAACATATTTTTCTATATTTGATTTGCTTTTCTATAAAGCATTTTATTTATAACCACAGTAATCAATAAAAATAATTTTTTATTTTTAAAATTTATAAAAAGTTAACCTTATTTTATTTTTGAATTTAAAAATATAAACTCGATCTTTTTGAAGGAAAGAAGTGATTTAAATAAAATATTATACATTTGAAATACATTTAATCTCTATATAAAAATATAAATAACATTATTTTAATATTAAATGTGTAAGAAATGAAAAATAATAATTCCTTTCAGTCTTAAAAAATAATAAAATTTAATTAAAGAAATTATTTTGATTTTTTATCTATTACAAATATTTCATAAATAAAATAGATTTTTTAAAAATTGAATTCTTGAAAGACTTATTAAAGAGTTTTAATAATTTGTCTAATATATAATTTTTATAATTAAAATAATATTTTTTATATTATATTTTGCTTTTGATTTTAGCTATTAATATAAAAATAGTACAAATGAAAGAAATCTAAATTTTAATTTAGATGGGAGATTAGTTTTTTTTACAGATTTAATAATCAAAAAAGATAAATATCAAATTTTAAAATCTAATTAATTATGTCAGTTATGCAAAATTAAATGAATTTTTTATATAAATAAGATTAAGTACACGAAGCGGGAAATTGTTAAATTATATTGATATTTTAGATCTACTAAATAATCATCTTCCTCATTTTATAGTAAAAAATTGTGTTTTTATGTGAGAAATTTCGACTTTTTGTCACTTTCCCTTGTTATGTAAAATAAAATTTTTAAATCTATTTTTAATGATTTCTATATTAATAGCATTAATATAAAGAATACAATTATTAAAAAGAAAAAAAGAAAAAAAATCTAAATAAAGAAATAGAGTTTAGAGTTTGTATGTTAATTGCTTATTCTTTTTTTTAGCAGACAAAATATTTTATTTACAAATTCTTTTTAACCAAAAATTGATTTATAAAAACTTTAATAAGTAAACTATAATTTATATTCATAATATAATTAGTGTGCTTGAAAATCAAATAAAAAAATTAATAATTAATTAATTAACTAAATAGTTTGGATATTCATAAAATTAGCCCTTTAATATAAGCGTATAATAAACAATAAAATAATAATTTACTATTGATATGCAGATTATCTGCAATGGATATTCCTTATAATTCTTAAAATTTTTATTTTAATGGATAATTTTAAAAATAATGATTGAATTATTGGAATTTAGTTTATGCTTTTTATAAAAATAGAACTAAATTAATGGAAATATTTTTTTATAAATATATATATTACTTTACTTTAAATGTAAAATTTATAATTAAGTGTAAAGAGCTTCAAATAAACAAATAAATTCTTTTGGATTATTTAAATTTTTAAAATCTTTGCATTTTTAGTATTTTACATGAATAACAATCTATCTATCTAGATTAATTAATTTTTATTTCAAAATAGAATCTTACATCAAATTCTTACATCAAGTTTTGTTTGTTTAGAAATTTATCTTCTGGCTTAATTAATTTATAAATTAAATCCTAGGCATATTTGCAAAAATGGTTTAAAAATACAACTTAAATCTATAAAGATAAAAGTATATAAATAATGCTAACAATCAACAAAAATTCATACAAATACCAATATAATTAATATAAAGTCAGTAATAGCTTCAAAACATAAAAACTTATTTCAAATTTATTCCTTCGTTTGAGAAATCAAAACAATGATTATAAATTACAGTAAAATGCTCTATTAAATCGTTGTGAGAAATCTTTAAAATGTAGAAATTTAAATGAAATTCAAATCAAGATAGATATTAAATAATGATTAAAAAGTGTTGAAAATACTGAGAATCAAAAATTATTTTATTTATTTTTTACTTTAGGTTGGTATCTATTTAGCACGTTTATTTTCAGCATGCTAATGTAACAATACAATTTCTTATTCAGATTATTCATGAAAAGAATAGAAATCTACCAGTATTTATTTTATTCATGCATTTAATTGTTTAAAATAAACAAAAATATGAAATGCAATGGAAATTTAATTATGTCTAAAGAAAATTCTTATTGATCAACAATAAAAAAGTTAATAAATAAAAGAATACGTACCTACTCAGTCAATTAGGATTTTATTTATTTATTTATGATTAATTGATTGATTGATAGATAGATCATCAACTGCATTAGATCCCATAAGATTTAAAAAGGAGATCTTAGAGAGCAATTTTTGATATAATTTTTAAACCAAAAAAATTATTTATAAATAAATTAAATTATCAAATTAACAATAAAAATATTATGAGTTTTGCAGATAAGATCCAATAAAACAAAGGCTTGTCATTAGCTTTTGGTGGCTTATTAGCTGCTGGTGGATTAGCTTATTATTTCTTTAATAAACATAGAGATGAAAGAGGTTCAGATGAAGTATAGAAACTTTGCCCTCATTCTGCAAAAAAAGTTTAGTCCGTTTATGATAAGCTTGGAGGTAAAGAAAACATTGCTCTTGCAGTTACTAAGTTTTATGACAAGGTTCTCAAGGATGATAGAGTTAAGCACTTCTTTAAGCACACTGATATGAAGCACTAAACTAAGCAACAAACTAATTTCTTGTGCTTTGCTTTTGGTGGTCCAAACAAGTAAATTTTCAATTTATTTTCAAGCTATTCTTTGTTTATTTACAAAATTTATTTTGTTAATATAGCTACGTTGGTAAGAATATGAAAGATGGACATAAAGGTATGAACATCGATGATAGTCAATTCAATGCAATTGTAGAACTTCTTGCTTAAACACTTACTGAAATGGGTGTTCCTTAAGATGTTATTGGTGAAATTGCTGCCATATGTGAACCTTTAAGAAAAGATATTTGCTTTTAATGAGTTTTCAAATAAAATATATAATCTTATCTTCTTTTTTTGCAATATAACAATAATTATTAACTAAAAATAAAAAAATATTTTTAGAAAAGCATAAAATGTTTGTATAAGTGTATGTATTTGCATTTTAATATCAGATATATTAATATATTTTACCTACTTTGCTCTAAAAACCCTCTAAATTTTAAAAGATTTTAATTTTAAACTAAAAATATAACATAAAATCGATAAATTCATTTCTTTTAAATATATCTCTCATTAATTTTTTATTTAATAAGAGAAAATTATTTTTTTTAAAATAATATTTTACCTTTTTTACTGAACTTACAATTTCAAAAATCATAATTTATTTATCTATTAATATGCTTAAAAAAGGAACCTGCCGGGATCGAACCGGCGACCTCAGGATTTGCAGTCCTACGCTATACCACTAAGCTAAGGCTCCAATATAACAAATATAAAAAAATAAAATTAACCCTTTTAAACAAATAAAACTTTTATAAAATATACTTTAAAAGATAAATCATTAATTTTGAAATAAATTATGAAAAACAAAATAAATAAATATTTCTACATAGTTAGCTAACTAAAATTAAAAAGGAACCTGCCGGGATCGAACCGGCGACCTCAGGATTTGCAGTCCTACGCTATACCACTAAGCTAAGGCTCCAATATAACAAATACAAAAAAATAAAATTAACCCTTTTAAACAAATAAAACTTTTATAAAATATACTTTAAAAGATAAATTATTAATTTTGAAATAAATTATGAAAAATAAAACAAAATAAATAAATATTTCTACATAGTTAGCTAACTAAAATTAAAAAGGAACCTGCCGGGATCGAACCGGCGACTCAGGCTTTGCAGTCCTACGCTATACCACTAAGCTAAGGTTCCAATATAACAAATACAAAAAAATAAAATTAACCCTTTTAAACAAATAAAAATTTTGGAAGAAAAATATTAGAAGTAGATTAATTAATATTAGTTATAATAACAAGTTTAGTATTTAATTCTCATTTATTAAAGAAGCTCGCTTTAAATAAAAAATAATGAATTATTAGAAAAAATTATGATTTTTTTAGTCTTTTCAATAAATTTTAATATTCAAAAATGGTTATACAAAAATTAATTAAACTAAGTTATATCTAAATTAATCTTGGGAAATTAATAAACATTTAAAAAATTTATGCCATGTAAAATGTATTTATATTACTTTATCAATATTTAATGTCAAAACTTTATTTAATTTTAAGAAATAAGTTTTGTTTAAATTTATAAATTAATTTATAAAAATTAATAAAAAAGGGACCTGCCAGGATTGAACCGGCGACCTAAGGATTTGCAGTCCTCCGCTCTGCCACTGAGCTAAAGCCCCTTTCTCGATATTTGTGAATATTAATATTAAATTATAATAAATTTCTTAACTTTTCATGTAAAAAGCTATTTTTATTTCATTAATTTATATTTTTCTAAATTTCTAAATGTAAAATAATTATTTTGTTAACCATAAAAATTTCAGTAAGTTTTTCTTTTATTAATTGCAAAATAAAATTTTTAGTATTAATCTTCAATAACAAATTGTTTTCATTTTTGTAAGTTTGGAAAAGAAATACAAATAAACTAAATAAATTAATTTATTTTTTGAATTTTGACTTGTCTCATATTTATATTATTGAAAGTAAATATGTATGTATGTATGTATTAAAAGCAGATCCTAACTTTTTAAAAATAAGAAATATAGTAATAAGACAATACGAAAAATATTGATTTTTAAGCAATAAGCATATATTATATTTTATGAATACTTAAAATTATTTATATATTTATATATATATTTATGTGTGGGTGTGTATGTATGTATCTATGTATATAATAGAAATCAAAACTCAAAAATACTTTACATAATATTAAAATTTTGTTTTAAAATTTGAGGGAAAATAGAATAAACTCAAGGACTGGAAAAAACTCCTTTGGCTTTTTTGAAAGTGTTTTTGGTTTTGTTAAACGAATCTTCCACTTATTTAAGTTTGTCATTGAGAGAGGAGACATGAGTTCCAATTGAGTTATTGATTGAATCTACTCTTTCTTTAAATTTATCTATCTAGCAAATTTATTGTATGACTTCATTGTCAGTTCCTTCCTCTTCAGCTTTAGTTGAAAGATATTCTAAAGTTTAGAGGCGATCTTCTAATCTTCTACTATCGCAAAGATATTTCTTTTTCGTTCCATGAGTTTGTTGCTTGTAGCTGAATATTCTATCTCCAATAAACTTCAATTCATATCCTACGACATCAATGTTTGTTATATTTGGATTTTACTTGAAATTTTGGCCACCACTGCTTCCTATTCCTTCCTAGTCTCGATATTAATCTATTAGCAAATGCTATGAAGTAGTCTCTGCTCTCTCAGAATCTACTTCATGGATCTAGTTCACATTATTATACATAGTGTTATGATCCTGCATTTGTAAAATATCCGTATTCAGCAGCTACAGCTTATCTTCTAATAGCTCTAGCTCATTGAATATTCTATTATAGTTGATTTGATCAAATGATTCTATTTCTTGCAAGAACAAGTTTTGTTCAAGTCCAGCAATAAATAATTACTTTTCAATTTCAGTAGGATTTCTAATATTGGATAGCTATTCATGAATAAATTCATTACGAGCTTTGTTAATCAATAATTCCATTTCACTTCTTAACATGCCAATTTCTCTGTAAATATTAGCGATATCAATATCAATTTGTTATTTTGAAGAGGTACTTTGAGTTGAAAGATATCTTTGATGAGAAGCAAGCTGTCCATTGATTGCATTCATCTAAGAATCTATTCTGTTATTCAAATCGTTGTAAATTCTGACAGGAGACTATCCAATTTCTTCTCCTCCTTCCCCTCCATCGTCTTGTTGTTATTATCGAGGTTTTATTGTGCGCTCTTGGCTATGAGAATGGACTATTTCTCCTCTTTTCATATTTAATTGAACCTAGTTCTTGAAGTCTGCCAAAAGACTCTTAACATCTCTCATATTTCTATCGAGTTTTGCATCAACTTGTCTGTACAAGTGAAGTGTATCTTCTTTCAACTTTGCTTCAGGTATAGACTATATTTACTAGATATTATTTTCAAGGGTTGAAATTTCTTTCTTCAATTGAGAAATCTAATTTGCAGTATTTTTGAAATTTCTATCAATATTACTGAAAATATGCTAGTATTATGAGTCTTTCTTTTCACTAGTTTCAATTTCCTTGAGCCTCTTTTCCACATCTGAGTATTTCTTACTAAGATTCTTAACTTATTGTTCTGATCTCTGCAATGAAGGAACTGTCTCTAATAATTGTAACAAGGGCATAAGAGCATCATGCTAGTTGCACACTCTATTCAAGCTTGTTTCAATAATTTCCAATCTTCTTTCGAGATTAGCATCCAATTAATTGACTGTATTAACATTTGATTTATCTTTATGTCCTGAAGATGTTTTGTGATTGTGTGCTCTCTTGACAGAAGAAGGAGGTTCACGAGATGTGGATTATTTAGTATTTTGTTAATTTTGGGAAAGTGCTTACTTCATTTATTCTAATAGATGATTTTACTCCATGATCTTATTTTATTAGATTTCCAACTGTTGCTAATAGTATTCTTCTTATTGTTTTTGCTATTCGTATTATCTTTACAAAATTTCTTCTTGTTCTCTCTATTATCTCTTTTGTTCTTCTAAATCAATTTACTATTGCTAAAGCTATTCCTGCTATTATTACATTTTACTTCTCTTCCTCTTCTCCTCCTGCTCTTCCTAAAGCTGCTATTGCTACTACTGTTATAACTTCTTTTGTTGCAATTCTTATTCTTTTTGTTATTTCAATTTAGCTTCCTTTTCTCTTTGGGTTTAGCGTTTGAGGTCTTCATATTGCTTAAGTTAAGCTTAAGTGATCGCCTCTTATTCTTACTATTATTTTAGTTACCTTTATTTTTCTTTTTCTTACTCCTGCATCTAGCGTTTCATTTCCTCCATAAGGAGAATCTATCCTCTAGCAGCATCATGTTCCTCTTATTATTCCTTTTATTTAATCTACTAAGAGTCTCTGATTTATTGGATCAATTGATCTCTCTCTTTTTTCTCTTTTTATTCTCTATCAAATTGTCCTGCAAGATTTATCGAAGCAGTATTATTTGTTAAGTTAATTTGTTGAACTCCTATATTGTGACCTCCATATGTTGATGCTGTTTGTTATGCAGGAGCAGTACTAATCGCTTAGTTAAAATTAGCTTAATTAGATGCTTGACTAAGAGGTGTCATATTTTCATAAGATCTTTAATAGCCTTAATTGGAGTAATTATTGGAGGGAATAGCATTTTATGAAGGATTTTATGCAGCAATATTGCCATAATCACCATAATTATAATTTTTTGATGAATAAGAAATGGCACTGCTAGCAACAGCGCCACTATGGTGTGAATTTTAATTATTTAATTAAGTGATGTATTAATTCTAATATTAATCGACATTACCAGAATATCCAACTGAACTGGTAGATTGCAATAGATTTTGAGAAGGGCTGACATATAAATTTAAGTTATTATTTTAATTAGTGCTTTAAATATTATTAGCGCCGCCTAACCCTAAAAGTGCGATATTCATCTAATCTATTCTCGCTCTGTCCCCAGATTGATATGCTTAAGATAATCCTGTCTACTGTCCTAGTCCTTAAGGTGCGAAACTCATAGGTAGTTATTGATTGCTGTTTTACTGTATCTACTAATGAAATAAATTAATTTTCTATCTCTATAGTCTTCTATTTAATTTTTCTTGATAAAGCTTTTTTATTAAGATTTTTTTATTTCTTCTCGTTATCTTGTTGGTTTAATAAACTTTATTTAATTTTCTTAATGAAAACTTTCAAATTGTGATTGAAAATAGTTCAATCAATTTAGTCAGCATAAAGATCTTTTATTTATTTATTTAGCACAGAAAGTTAACTATATTAAAATTAATACTATTATCAAAAAGCATATCTGATTTTCTGCTTCATTCAATGTTCAATAATATCTATCTATCTATCTCTTTATCTATTTGTTCATTAATAATGAGTTAATAACAATATAAATTCTATTTAAACAATATAAATTTTTTAAAAATTAATAAAAAGAATCTTTTATTTGCATTAAATGATTTATCTATTAAATTTTATTGAACCTATTTTTAACTAATTGGAAATCTCCATAATATCCAACTCATGAATAATATAAACAAAAGCAGCCCTTTTTTAAAATTAAAATATTAAATCCTTCCATAAAATAGCTAGTATAATTTAGATCTATTTTAATAAATAAAAAAATAGAATTAATATGCATTTCAAGCATTAGTTTTCTTATTTCGATTAAATTTTTACAATTTAATTTAAGTTCATACAAAATATTTTCATTTGAATTCAATTAATTTTTAAAATTTCAATAAAAAATTAGCGGTATTTCCAAAAGAATTTATCAAATACAAAAAAAAAATGAAAAGAACATTTTTTTACTGACTAAATTTAAAAATAAAAAATTTATAATTATACTAATAACAAAAAATTATCTCTTATTTATTTTCATAAAAATAATTTTAAGTTGAACATAATTAATTTGGATATTTAAAAAAGAATCTATTATATCCAATTTATTTTAAATTTCAAATAAATTATATTTCCTTTTTAGTTAATTAAATAATTTTTTATTTTAGTTTGAAACTGCAAAAAACAGCATAATATTTAATTTAAAAAAAGTAGATATTGCTAATTGAATACTTATTGCTCTAACAAGAAAGCAATAGAAAATACCAAAGTATTATTTGTTTTTCTAGTAAAGTGGCAATGCAGATAATGCAGTTAATTCAAGCTGAGATATTTAATATATTTAGTAGAGCTTATGTTCATTGTAAACCATGATTAATCTCTATCTAGTCCTTATTACAAAAAGTATTTAACTAAATAATTAATATTATAATTTATTTATTTATCTCTCCAATTATAATGATTTAATAATTTATACTCAAAACTGAAAAGAATTTTCCAATTTACCTTAAAATCCCACTCTGCCTATACTAAATTTATGTTTAGAAAAATAGATAAAATTGTTTTATCATTTATTACCTTGAAAATAATATGCGCTAATAGTGTAGAAGAGAAAAAAATACTTCTTCTACTACTAACATTTTAGTGTATTAAAAATTTTAAAAGTTAAGTTACTAAATAATAAAAAAAGAAATGTAAAATTTATTAAATAGAAAATAAAAGAATCAAATAATTATAGAATTTAATAATTTAAAATGATTTAATTTTAGTATTTATCTATCAATCTATTTATCTATCTATTGGCAGTATTAATTTTTATAATTTAATGCAACAAATGAAAAACAAAAAGAAGAGAATGTTAGTAAAGCAAAACTTAAATACTAACATTATAATATTATAATTTGAATTATTTAAAATAATTATTATAGTTAGTTGATTAATTTTAAGATATTATAATTAAATGAAAAATATTTTTTTTTTCTTATTTATTTATTCATTTTTTTACTTATTTTACTTATTAAAAGCAAATAAATTATTTTTGAAATATGATTTTATAGTTTATTTATTTATTAATCAGAATATGATAAAGAAGAAGAAAATTTTATTTTCTTCATTAAAAATGTTTATTTTTTAATATTTATATTAGATGTTTAAGTTGGTGTTTGTTGATAGAATCCTTTGTTAGCTGATATCATTTCAAATTTATCAGATAAAACTATTCATTTCTTTTCATGGAGCTTTTATTATGTGAGCTGAATTCTTTTTGATTCTCTAGGATTAAAAGGGGAAAAATTCTTTATTGTACAGTTCTTCGTTTTATCTGGAATAGGATGAAGGGTCAAATAAATTAGAAGAACACTTAGTAGGATTTGAGCTGAGTAAAGAGAATTGACAGTTATACTAAATGCTTTTTTGGCGAATTTATTCGTAATTTTCTGAGTTTAATCTGCTTCTGAATTGAGAGTTAGCTTATTATTGATTGCTATTCTGCTAATTAAATTAAGTTAAAGTGCTATAATTTGAGTAGGAGACAGAACTTTCTTGGTCTTCATCGTAAGAAGTATACTTTTCTTTGGCAAATGCAACCACTTTCTCTTTTTATTGATGCTTTTTTTCTTCTGAGAGCTATTCTTTTTTCTTTAAATGCTTCTTTTTGTTTTTCTTTATGCCATTGAGAATTTAGTGTGCCTTTACTTGCTCTTATTCCTCTTTGTCTTTATCTCCACAGCATTCCTCTTCGTCTATATCTTCATCCTTATTATTAAAATTGCTTGAAGGAGGAGATATAAATCTTTGCTGAGATGAGTCATTATTAATCCAGCCGTTAGCATTGAATTATTATTCTAGTTCTTCCTTCTACTTCTTTAATTTGCTGTCTAAGATTTAATGAGGAGAACTTTAACCATTGTTTAACTTATGATTCTCTTATTAGTCTTTATTGATATTTTAGTTAGAATTTAAGATTTTCTCTTACTCTTATTTAAGGAGCTACTACTACTACTATAGCAAAAGCTACATCTACTATATCTGTTTGAGCTTTTTTTCCATATCCTCTATTTACTTTTACTACTAATACTCCTCATCAGAAATGTCCAAATCCTTTGATATTATATTTTGATCGTTGTTACTTGCACGCTTGCTTGCTCTTAAGAGAGTGAATGATTATTAAGAAGACAAATCTTATGACTGGTTCTCAATCTCTTCATCTGAGTTTTCAAGTCCTTCTCTTCTGTTCTTTATTATAGGCTTCTTTTATTTTCTCATTTTATTAAGCAAATACCTACTGACTTCTTTGCTTTGCTTATTGTAAACATTATTTGGATCTGATTCTTCGTTATTATCATCAAATAGGATTCTGCCTTATAGCTTGTTTGACTTATATAATTAACTTGGATGCAAGTAATGAGAATCTTATTAGTTTCTGCTGTGCTGTGACTAAACATGCTAATGAAGATTTAATTAGCCATAAGCATTTTAGAAATAGCCACCCTAATTATATTGTGAAACTACCAAACCAGGAGGAACAGTTTCAGTTGGGTGGTGTTGTATAATATTAGAAGCCATTTAAGGACCGCACGAACCATTCTTCTTTTAAAGGATGAGAGCAGCATTTCTAGGATGATTTTCGCAACTATCGCACTTGCACATATTGTTGCAATATGTACCAGCATTAAAGCATTCGCAATATTTCTTTAAGCACTTAGTTTTTCTGCAATTGCATCCCTTTTTCATCTGTTCATTATTTGCTTTATTTTTTCTCTCTTGCTCCGATTCTGTTTTTGGCTAGAAAGCGTCATTATTTCTTGATTTAGCTTCCTGTATAGCGTTTTACCTTTCATCTTCATTTTCAGGTCTATTTTTGCATTCATGGCAATGACATCCTTCACCACAATATCCAAGTTTAGCAAAGCATTCACAATATAGCTTTAAACATTTTGTCTTTTTACAATTACAGACACAAGGTTAAGCTGATTGCTAAGGATTAGCAGTATTATTTTAATTAGTATTTGTGCTTTAAGGATTACTATTTCCTGATTGATTATTATTTTATTTTTAAGCTTATTATAACTCTTCCATCTTAGGAGATGGGAAGTCATCAGATGCAGCAGCCAGATCACCAAAATGATTGTATCCTGATTCATATTTATCAGCGAAGTAGCTTGGAGTTACAAAAGGGATATTTTTTGTTGATTTAATAGGACTAAATCTAAAATCATTATTAAGGTGATCGCCAGCGTGGTTAAATAAATAATTAAAAGGTTTGCTTTGTTGTATTTTATTAGTTATTGAATCTATGAGGTGGTTGTTATTGTTATTATTTATAGAAGAGGAGTTTTTATAAGGAGTTTTTACTATATCACTGACCTTAATAGATTATTAATAATTATCATAATTCATAATAATATTTGCTGCATTCTTTTTAAATAAATTAGGAGTTCCATTCTAATCGAAAGCTTCAATATCCATTTAGTTTTGATTAAATCTATTATGGCTAGGGTGGAAATCTTCTTCCATGTCCATACCAAAATTTTCATGAAGACTATTTTATCTGTATGAATGACGATTGTGCATAGGAGTATCTTTTGCATCATTAAATAAGGCATTATCATTCAAAACTCCACTGAAATTGTTAATTACAGCACTAGATGCTAATTCTAAATCAGGATTTAAAGCATTATTTGCATGGTGATCACCAATATAATTACTATCCCATAAAGAGTCTTTAGCCTATTAATTTTAAGCGCCAGCTGGAGCAATATCAAAATTTTAAAGTTGAGCTGTGTTGCTAGCTATAGGAGTATTAGGATTGTTGTTGCTGTTGTGTTACTAAGTCCAATTCAGCTTCCATTGCTGAGACCTTTATTCAACATCGTCATAAGTGTTATCTTCAAAGGGTCTTTTAAATATTTTTAATAATTTATGAATGATTCGGAGATAAGATTTTTAAAATTTGATTTCTTAAGTAAGTAAGACTTTTTTTAAAATAATCGCTACTATTGCAAAATTGTATATATAATATTTATCTGATCTAAATGGCAAAATATTTAAAATAGTTGTGTTGAATTTGAGTAATTTAAAATGTCAAGAAATGGCCTGAATTCTTTTTTATTCTATTTTAATATTTGAAATCTTTGTTTAAAGGAAATTCTACTCAATTTGTTTGCTTTTTCCTTATGCTATTAGATATCTTTATTGATCTTGTATGGCTTATATATAAATTATGAAAAAATTACTTGGATAAAAAGCTTTGAGGAATATAGTTTGTGCTTCTATGAGCTGGAGAAAGAGGCATGTTGTGAGCAGGTATATGGTTGTGGTTGTGATTATTCTCCTGATCCATATCAAAGCTTGTATTTTAGTGTAAATTTGTGAATGACAAATTATGAGCGCTGTTTTGCAAGTAATCTTAAAAGCTATTATTATTTTAAGCTTAAGATTCATTTTAATCCTATAAATGATGATTATGGTGATGGTGGTGATGATTTTAGCTCCCTCTGTTCATTTAATATTAACTATAAATATATTTGCAGATACTTTTACTAAAGATATTTAATTTTTAAAGATATTTTTCCCTTCAAACAATGCTCAATGTCTTATGCGCTAAGCTTGCTTTTTTTAATTTTTGTAGTGTATTGCTGCTTCTCCTTTCCTCTTAAAGACTAGTGATTTTTGTATAGAAGTCTAAATAATCTTGTATGCAGAAATTTATATACAAAATTTGTAGAGAGAAAAATTTGGTATTTGCTATTAGAAGAATATTTTAAGTTTGTATTTGAATTGAAATAATAGCTGTTTGAACCCTAATAAAATTTATAAATAGCAGACTAGCTCGAATGGCTTTAGCGTGAATCTACTTTGCTACCTTACTTTTTTTTCTTATTTTTAAATAATTATTTTGTTATAATAAATATGTGTTTGTTTGTTTTGTTTCTTTTTTGATTTTAGATATTTGTTTCTTTCTTGTTTACCAATTATTTAATCAATTAATCAACTTATCAATAAATATATGTATGAATGTATGCTTGCATGTATTTATTAATCAAGCTAACTTTTAATATCATCTATTTCTTTATAATTCAATAATTATCAAAGTGAACTAATTGTCTTCTTTTCTTTTTTTTACTGAAAATAACTTAATAAGCACTGTGATCTACTAAATAAATATTTTTTCGCTTCTATTTGCTTGTCATTTTCCTTCTTTTTATACTTTTGTTTTATGTGCTCTTCATTCAAACCCTATATTGATTGGATTTTAATTGATTATTTTTCTTCTAAAAAAGAGTTATTACCGCTAATATTTTCAATATCTTTTTTTAAAAATAAGAAAATTTAGTCTTCATCTTTAAATTTTTGATTTGACAATTATTCTTACTCTATCAATATATCAACACTAAAATTGCTTCCTCATAAAATCTAGCTTTCATTCAAATAGCGAAACAATTTTTCTATAAATTTTATAAAATGATTGGTTAATTCCAATTTTTCATGTGTAAATTCTGACAAAAAATTTATTAGAAACGAAAATCCTCTTTTCTATATGTCCCTAGGAGATAGCTAGATAAAATATAATTTAAAACCAATTTATTTTTGATTCAACTTATTGCAAGTAAAATTTCATCATTACTAAAATATAAAGCCCACTAAAATTTGTTGAAAAAAACTAAAAAACCACTACATGGTGCACAAACAAAACATAAAAGTTAAAAAAAATTCATTCTTAGTAGCGAAAAGTTAATTTGAAGAAATTTCCTTTGAAATTTTATCAAAAAAATTCAAGTTTCATGGTTAAATTTATGCTTTAAAAAGTCAATTTATTTGGCTGCTATTTAAATGTGAATAGTTTTATTTCTTTTCAATATTTATAAGTAAATTTTTTGAAATTTATAAATGAGGCTTGAAGATTTCAACTAATACAAAAGAAAATAAATGATGGCTTTTGGGAATGTTCCAAAATATAACAAGCCATTTATTGAAATATCTCTTGTATTATTCGAATTTTTTTTCATTTATTTGTTAAACTTGAACTAAAACATTTATTTCAAGAATTTTTGTTACTTTTAAAACTTCTCTTAACTTTCTTAACTCCCTCCCTTTTGTTTTTCAAATTCAAAGCAAAACGAGCTTTTCTCTATACTAATTATATTAGAATTTGTTATGCTATTGAGTTTGCTAAGTAGGAATTGACAAAGTAAGACTAGGAATACACAGAGTAAAATAAAATTAAAAAAAATATGTTTATCTGTTGTAAATAAATGTTATAATAAGAAAGAATTTCCATTTTTCTAGAATAATAGAATATAGATTTTGTTTCTACTTTTAATATTCTACGAAACAAACTAACAAAGATTAAGAATTAGTAAATTTTCTAAATAATTGAAATCAGATTAAGTGATTATTTTAAATTAACTAGATTCTATTTATCTATCCCCAAATAATTTATATCTCAATCTATTTTATAAATTTATATCTCTTTTTAAATCGATATTTACTAATTATAACACTCTCTGTTTTAGATTATATTATTCCAGCTACTTTTTTCTATTTTCTTTAATAAGTTACTATTCTATGTGGATACTTCATATTATTTAAGTTTCATTTTTAAACTTATTAATTAATTAATTAACGTAACTACCTGTTAAAGCAATTAATAAAATATCAGTTATATTCTTATATTACTAACTAAGGAATGTATTTTTAATATTTAAATCTTTGTAATTATTATTATTAATTAGTTATCAGAATTATTCCACTTAATAAAAAATAATTTAAAAATTTTATGTTTTTATAATTAAAAATTGATTGCTCTTTGTCTTTTTCTTTTTAAGTATTTCAATTAAGGCCATATGTAATATTACTAATTCTTTTAAATAATCCTATTACAAATACAAATAACTTTTGTAATCACTCTTTAAAAGATAAACAAACTTATTTATCTCCTTGTTCATTCATTATTAAATTCTCTCATTTAAATAATTAACAAAAGTTTGTTTACTATTTTTAATTTTAAAAAAATATTATTTGACTTAACGAATATTAATTTATTTATCATATTAATATTTACTTTTTTAAATCTTCAATTTATAATAATACAGATAATCAGAAAATAGCTTTATAAAAAAATATTAATCAGAGGGTTGATTCTGTTGATAGGTTTTAATCATTTGCTTAATTATTTCTTATTAAACTTTTTAAAATAAAAAAATAAAAAATATTTAATAGCCAACAATTTTTTCATTTAACAGTACTCATAATTTAATAAAAGAAGATAGCACTTCTTTCTTTATGTAATAAATGAATAATTAAAATTTAATTGAAAAATATTCTTTTATTTTTATGAAAGATTTAAAATATATTTCATATTTTTAAAAGCAGGTTAATTTTTTTAAACAAGTAATAGAAAAAAAAATAAAATATTCAACAATAAATTTGTTTTTAGTATAATTATAAATATATAAAAAAGCCATTAGTTCTTAAAAGAGTGATAAAATTAAAATTTTATTTTTAAAGTATTTTTTTCTAAAGGATTAAAAGTATACTTAAAAAAACGTAGATTAAATTGGCTAAAAAAGATAAAATCAAAAAGTTAAAATTTTTCAATAGTTTAAAGTTTATTAGTATAATCCTAATTAAGAAAATAAACAATCTTGCTTAGTAAAAAAATAATACTTTAAAATTATTTTTCTTAAAACTTAAAATATATAAAGAATTTTGTGAAATTTAAAACACACATAGAAAGATTAAATTTATTGAACAATCAATTTTTTAATGTAAAATAAATATTTACTCTGTTATGTATGAAAAAGTTAAAATTTAATTGCTCGCTCAAAATATTTATTACTTAAAGTTAAAGTAATTTTAGTTATTTATTAGTTACTTTTTCTAAATTTAAATAAAATAATATCAATAAATTTGAATCTTTTTAAAAATATAAGCATGGTTTTATGCTAAAAAATATAAAATTTATTCTTTGATTAATAAAAAGTTAAAATTTTAAATTAAAAATTTTTTTATCTGAAAATAAAAATTTACATCAAAAAAACAAGCATTTTAAATTATTTTTATATAAAATTATTATTTAATAAGCAAAGATAAATTTATTTAGGTTTCAATGTTAGTCATTGCTTAAATAAAATGCTTAATTTATAGCATCGCATTAGGGATTACTGTAAGAGCCATCTCCTGATGTCATATAACTGTACATGTAGAGTCCACAATAAGCAATCTTTCCATAAAGCTAACATGTTTTAGGTGAAATAGCAAAAAAGAAAGAAACACCTTTTGTACTGTAATTTCCTTTAAATTTGTAGTTTAAGGCTATGTCAACATCAGTTTAGTTTGAGCAAGAAGCTTTTACAAAGTTTCCAACAACTATTTTAGATGTTTAATTGTCTACAATTTATTCATCAATATTGTCCCAATAGTTATTAGCTCTATTAGCATAATCTTCTTAATCAAACTCAGGCTCTAAAGTAATCCAATTAAGACTATCTTTTAACTAGATTAAAGAATTTTAAACGAATGTACTTTTCTTAAAAGTGACTGCAGTCAATACTTAGCTCATTTTAGTGGTACCATAAGGGATTATCTTTCTATATTCCTTAATAAGTCTTTCTATGTTTTAGGCATATTATGAATCATCTCCTTAATTTATACTAATCTCTATACCAACATTATACTTTATTGCAATTTTAGCTAAATTTTTAGCAAGAAGTTCACAGTCAATCATTCTGAATTAAGGGCTGCTGACAAATCCACCAACTGAGAGCATGACATAGTAGTCCTATTTTTCTTTTACGATCTCCATAGTTTCTAATATTTATTAAGGAATATCTTCTCCCTTGATTACAGATTCAGGGTTTAAGTATTCTAATATAAGCATATTAGAGGATTGAAGAATCCAGTCAGATACACCACTTTGTAACTTAGCATTCAGGTACTTATCTTAATATACATAATTATGCACTGAATAAACTCTTTCAGGAACACCAATAGATTTCATTACTAACTCATCAGATGATTTAAAATTGGATTTTAAATTTTTTGAGCTTAACTTATTAAGAAGTACTAAACCTCCTAGAGAAAAAAGTAAAATAATACTTACTAATTTTTTATTCATTTGATTTTCCAATAATTTTGTTGTGGGTAATTAATAATTATCTGTATTAAGCCGTTCATGAGATTATTTAAAGGATTTTTATTTGATTTCTGATATCTTTGATTGGATTTTGCCAATTTGATGCTAATCTAAATTTATCTTAAAACCTTGTGGGATTCAATATCCTTATTTATTTATTTATAATTTGATCCTTTTATAAAAGAAATTTTATTATATATTTTGTGATTGTACTTTTGTAATTCTTTCATCTATATCAATTATATTTCAATCGAAAATGCAATTTTATAGTTGATTCAAAAAGATAAATTTAATAAAATTTTAATTTTAAGATAGAGTCATTTACAATAAATACACATTGTAAAAACTCAATTTTATTAAATTATCAATCATTTTTTAAACATATTTTTTTACTTATAAAAAGACATAAAAACTTTTTACCTCAAAAGGTGATTTGGTGTTTTTTTGGAGGAAATACTGTAATATGAATTTTTCTTATTTTTATATTTTTTATAATACAAATTAATAATCAGCAAAGAAAATTAGTTTAATAAAAATATAAAGAATATTTAAAGAAAGAATTATAGGAATCAAAGCTGATTATTGGGTAAATAAATTCTTTTAATAAAAACAATTAAAATGTAAAGGAAAAAATAAAATTTAGTTGTAAATCTTTTAATGTAATGTTGATTCAGTTTATTTTAAATATAATGAAATTATTTTAATATACAGTTATTAGTTAAACAATATTAAACAATAGATTAAATTTTTATATTTAAACTTGGAAGTAAATTGAGTAAATTAAAACTTATCCTATTTTAAATATACACTTATCAATTTCATCCTCTTAAAGCTTAATTAAAAAATTTTCCTTAATTAACATGTTAAAAAAGTTCATAAATATATAAAATGAATAAAGAATTATAATTGATTGTTTACATTTAATGAAAAGTTTCAAAAAAGAAAAAAGGAGCAAGATTAAATAAAATACAACAATATTAAATTATTAATAATTAAAATTTTATTAATTTTTCAAGTAATTTTTATTTGATAATATTTTGCAAAATTTATTTATCAACCCCTTTTTCAATTAATGGTTGCAGATATCGCCTTTTGCACTTATGATTTTAGAAAATTTGTTTCTATATTAAATTTTTTTATTTTTCAATTTGCTAGAACTAACATTTTTCAATAAAGAAATAATTAAATTAATTTAACACTTACAGAAACTAATTTGAAAGAATGCATGCTTAAAAATAATCAAATTTTAATTATTGTCACTTTTTGTAATAAATTAATAGCTTTCTTTGTCTAAGTAGTAAATTATTTTAAATAAATTACTATGATGTCAAAGAAAAAATCATCACATCTTAAAAAACTAGACTGAACTAAAAAAATGTTTATTTTAATCAAAGAATTAATTTACTTGTTAATGGTCATAGCTTCAAAATTTAATCTTAATACTTTATTTATTTTAGCAAAAAATTAAATTTTTTTCTATATTCTGATGAGAGAAAGATTAGTCAAAAGTATATTTAAAATATTCATAAAAGTATTTAAACATATTTACATGACTAGAGGTTCAAGCTATGCATGAATTCATTTTTCTACTTTAATGGTAGCTTTTTTTACAGTTTAAAATGAAAAATATAAGATAGAAGAAAAACAATTTATGCTAATAAATATTCAAAATAGAGTATTAACGCCAAATTAATAAATTTGTATGATGCTCATTGCGTTATTACCATGAATAAGAATAATCTTAAGATATTTTAGATTGTATATGTAATATATAACGAAAAGCAAGCCAAAGCTTTTTCATTGAGAGTAATGAAAATTTTATAAAACTTTACTTTATTATGATTTATCAAACCAGTTTTTTGATAACTTTTAAAAAGTATAAATAATTTTTACTTATCTGATCTTGTTAGAATTTAATATCCATCCATTTATTAAATTTAAGTCTATTAAGAGATAAAGATCATTTAACACTATTAAGTATATTTCCAATTCGTTTTATGTAATATTACTACTTACTTATATTTATTTGCAAACTTGATTCATATATTTAATAATCAATATTTTCTTATTTAAATTAACAAAAACTTAAAAAAATCAATTATTTAGCTACTACCATTTATATGAGCTCTACATCAAAGTCTAATCTTTAGGAGAACAATAGCTTTCTTCCAAATATTGATCCTAAGTCTTCTTAAAAATAGATATTCACATAGACCTTAAATAGACCTTAATTTTTTTAACATAAAAATATAGCTTCATCTTTATAAAATACACCAAAAACACTTAATAAATTTAAAGTCATAGTTAGTAAACCTCAAGAAGGCCCTGCAAAAAATGAAAAACGTGGTAGTTTTACTAATACAATTAGTGCAATTACTTCTAATAGAAGTAATTCAGTTTCAGCTAAATTTAATTCTTCATCTACTAAAAACATTCATGCTTCACCGAGCAGATTTATAAATGACTCACCAAGAATGATTTCGAAAGATAGCTTAGCAACTGTTTTACAATAGAAATAAAAATAGAGCTAATAAGGAAAGTAAACGCTACAAATTCCTTCGAATACTGTAAGCCATTTTTTTAGTAAATAAAATTTAGCAGTTCCAAAATCACAAAAAATTTAAGCAAAGCAGGATGCTTGTAAAACAGAAATCAAAAGCAACGTTTCAGATTTATTTTTAAATGTCTCACACAAGGAAGAAGTAGTCTATGACGAAAGTCCTTGTAAGATGCAGTAAATTAGAGATGTTAAAAAGCAAGCTAAAGTAGGATTGGATTTAAAGATTAATCTAAATAATAACTAACCAAAATTATAATAAAATGCCTTAAGTGATATTAAATATCCTGGAAGCTGTAGACATTAGTAAGATATTGTTTTAGAGATTATTAAGGAGGATTTATAAAGCTCAGAGAAATCACCTAATATTTTATAATTAATGTCCCCTATTTCTCCAACCCCAAAACAATATGAATAATTTATAAATCCCAAGAAGAGTATATTTAATTTCAATGATAACAGGTTATATGGAGATGAAGCATTGAATGACAATCCTTTATTAAAATTTAACAAAAATTATAAATAACTTGAGAGAATAGTTTAGGTTAATGATCATTTCAATGCAGAGAATAGCTTAAATGTTGCCTTGTTAGAGCAAACTATTGGCAAGAACATTTTACCTCGTAAATTAGGAATAGTTAAGGATTCTTAGCATTAGTTCACATTCCCAAAACCAGATTAAAAACATAAATTAGATCTATCGAACTAGAATATTTCATCAAGATATCATGAGATGATTTCATCCGCCATGAGGCACGATGAAATGTAAACACTTTACAGCATTAATTTAGCAAGTAACAATTTAACAGGAGAGTCTTTGAAAATTATTACAAGAAATCTCCCTGATAGTATAGAGAAAATAAACTTAGAATAAAATAACCTTGGAGCTAATTGTGCTCTTGGAGTTAATCCTCTACTAAATACAACCATTTTCAGAAGATTAAGAATCTTAAATTTAGAAAACAATAACATTTCAGACTTTGGTTTTTCTTAAATGGTGGATGCCCTCATTCAAAATAGATCAATTTATTCACTTAACTTATCTCACAACAAATTAACTGACGGCTCAGGAGACATTATAAGGCAACTTCTAAAAAACAGTTCTTATCTACAAGAACTCTATCTCCATTGGAACAAAATCTCTTCACAAGGTGGTCTTGCTATTGCTGAAGGACTTGAAGATAACATAACGCTTACTGTAAATATTTTTTAAATTAAATAATTAATTTAGTTTTAGATTTGAGATCTATCTATCTATTTTAGGAAAGACATTCAAAATAAAATACAAAACATAAATTTACTTACTTACAAATATAATTAATTAATTTAATATTTAAAGAAGTTTTGTTTTTTATTATTTTAATAATCAACTTTTGTTTCTTACATTTAATAGAAAATTAATATACACTATGGATTGATTGTCGTCATTATTCTAAATAAATTCATATTTTAATTTAAATAGGTTTTGGATCTCAGTCATAATGGATTGGGAGCTTTAAAAAAATTGAGATGTGGATTGTAAATAGTAAAGAATTGCAGCATCTAAGGATCATCTATGAGACATTTGGATTTATCATTTAACATGTTTTAAAATGATGAGTCCCAAGATATCGCTTAATTTTTATAAGAAAATAATAGAAATCTTTTTGGTATTCATTTTGAGGGTAATTTGGGATAGGGTGTTTTTGATTCAAGAGGATTCCTTAAATTCAATAGAAACCAAGCCTAGGATGAAAAGATTCATCAAGGAATGATTGAGAAGAGAAGAATAAAAGGATTAAAATGCTTAGGTTAAAACAAGTATAAAATATTTTTTTTATTAAGTGTAAATTATTAATTATTTTTATTTTTATTAACATTCAGACTGTAAAATTACAATTGCAGCTTTATAGATAACTGCTGGATTTGTGATGGGTGGTAAGAAGTCAAATTCGAAATTAAAGCTGGATGCAGTGATAGTTTTTTAGGAAATCCTGTCTTTTTACATCTTGACTTTGAGAATTACAGACCACACTACATGACTCCTGATCCAGAGGACCCAGAAAAGTTTGTGTTATACCGCATGTGTCCACCTAACAGAAAAATTTATTTCTTTTTTAGTGACCCAACTTAACCAATAATATACTATTCTAAGCACTATCCTTACACAGCTTTTAAATAGAATAGCGAGATAGAGTTAAAATTCTACTCTGAGTCAGTGAAGGAAACTTAAGAAAAATAGAAACCTGTTGATTATTTTACTCCAACATGGAAATTTTAAGCTTGCACTAGAGATTCTGCTAAGAGCTTTTTCTAATTGTAATATTTAGATAGCACTATTGTCGAGTATATATAGCCAAGCTTTATAAATTGCTTAGAAACTAAAATGGAATAAAGAATATTTTAGAAGCACGAATCAGAACCTCATATTAAGTGTTTACCTAGGGAGCCTGAGACATTCTTCTAAATAACTAAAACAGATAAATGGTGCTTTGAGATATCTCTTTTCAGAACATATATTAGGGATTCAGAAGATTTACTTAATAAATGCTTTGAATTTGATTGGAATAATAGTAGATGTGAAAGAGTGCTTAGCCAGTCGGGAGACGCTCTTTTATGCAAACAAATTTTAAGAAAAAAGTATAGAATGATCAAAAATTGCTATAAATTTTTCTCTTCAGTTTCGATGGTTGGTGACGTTCCAGGTATAGCTCAAAACTAATTTTCAAATTTGTTACTCAAATGCAAGGTGGCTGATGGTAAACTTCTAAAAATAAGTGACGGAGATATTTGCTTTATTACTACTAATGCTAGTCTTGAGAAGAATGCTGACCATTAGCACCGTAATCCTGACAAACAAATAGTTAGACACTAATTTATGGAAGCAATAGCAAGATTAGCATTAGATAAGTATTATAGAAATAACTATGCTAGTACATCATAAGATTCCTTAAATTTATTCCTAGATGACCCTCTACTAATAGAGAAATTTTTAGAAGTAGGAGATCCACAAGAATGGAGAGACACAAGGTATTTAAAAAATAATTTGATAAATAAAGCTATTAAATTTAAATATTTAATAAATAAAATAGATATTGGAATGAGGAATGCGATAATGTTTTGAAATAGTACTTAGGATTTATAAAAATTTTGTGGGAAAGCATTGCAGACTCAAAGAAAGTAGAAAAGAGATACTTTTTAAACTACAAAACAATGAATGTATATGAACTGTAAGAAATGATTAAGCAATATGATCTGCTAGATGATTTTTTAACTGAAAGAGATGTTTTACTTTCCTTTAATTTAGCTATGATGACTTAGGAGAATGAGCTAAGTTGTGATAAATACATACAAATGAATTTCGTTGAATTTTTAGAATGCTTAGCTCGTTTGGCAGAAAAAAAGAGCATGGTGCCAGTCGGTGAGAATCCCGAAGACTATACAGATTAGGAAAGAAAGAATCTAAATCTTAGCTATAAGCTATCAAGTTTGTTAGAATAAATGAAAACAAAGTATGAAAATATTTAATTGGCTAAAAGAGGCGAACAAAAGTAGAAAAAAGAAAAATAATTCGTAATTAAATAATAAGTAAAATTAACTCCTCTAGTACCAGATGCGAAAGCAACTTTTAGAATAATATCATAAAGCAATTTGTAAACTTCAAGAGATGATCCTAATAAATCTGGATAGTAAGAAAAATTAAACATTAGTTCTAATAACTTTTTCTAACCTACTTAGGCATCATTTTAATCTTGTTCTAATTAATAATATTCTGAATAAAACCCTTAAAAGCTAACAAAAAAAAGGAGTACTTCCTCTAATTAATAATAAAATCTATTTACAAATTAATATTACTTTCCAATTAATTCTCTTGATGAAATAGATGATTCTTTGTTGTGATTAATCAAAATTAACAAAAAAACTAACAAACTATTACCTCTAACCAATAAAATTGCTAAATTCTATTTACATTACAAATAAATACTATTTTTAAATAAATTATAACTTAATAGAAGATTCTTTATGTGATCTATAAATACATGTAGTAAATAAAATTATTATTTTAAATGAATTTAATTTATAACAATACATACTTAAAAAAAAGGTGATCAAATATATTATGTAAATCATCCTTAACTAACTAACACCAGCTCAAAAAAATACTTTTTCTACAAATATATATGTTAATAAATTTTTTACAATAGTTTATAAAAAAACATAATGAAATATTTAATTATTACATTATAGCAGTTCATATTAGTATATTTTTTATTCTTAATTTTTAACTTCTAGTACTTACTTTAATTATAGCTCATAATGAATTAGTAAATAAGTAAAATATAAAGGCGTTAGGTATTGTTTTATTTTTTAAATTAGTTACTTCATAATATTTTTAATTAAGATCTTCATTAAAGTTATGAAAATTTTTCTATTAAGTTTTTAATGTAAATCAAAATAGATAGATAATTAGCAAGATAGTAATATATATACATATATATATTGATAGATAGATACTTTTAAAATCAGAGACTTTTCAATTTTATTAGATCTATTTGAATGTATATATTCATTCTAACGCATTTACATTTTAATAAAAGAAATCAAATTATTTTAATAAATAAAAATATATTTTAGAAACATAAATAATTATTTTTTTAAATTGATTTTTAAAATATCTACTAATGGTAAGGTTTAATAAGGATAGCCATTTTATAAATTTTTCAGTTAAAGAAAATTTAAATTTTATAACATAATTAATAAGACTAGTTATAAAATATGAACCAGCGTTCATTTAAAATATTTAAAACTAATTTCGAGTTTAACTCAATTATTTTAGTTCTTTAGATGACATAGATAGTTTAAAAAAATTTATATTTTAATATAAAGATTTATAAAAATTTTAAAAAATGGAAATAAAGAATAAAAAGAAAATAAGCTATTAGAGTTTTAAATCTTTTGAATGAAGTTAATATGTTTAATTTCCTTATATTTTTCATCTAAAAAGTTTTTAGATTTACATCAATTTCCTTACGTTTGTGCGTTAAAACTTTAGTCTATATTAATGTAAAAAAAATTATAGAAAGTGTAAATTTTTTATTATTTCATAAGATTCAATACAAATTTTTTTTCAAGCTTATTTAAATTGGAAAGATTATTATTTATAATAATAAAATACTAATAAAAAATCAATCAAACTTTATTATTTAAGATAAAATTAAAAATAGAAATAAAATGAAATCTCTACCTAAACTAGATAACATTCTCATTACACTTTAGAAGAATAACCAATAGAGTTAGGATATTGCATTATATAATTAAGAGGAAAGCCATTAGCTCTATAACACTTCATTCAATAAATTTTACTCTCCTAAAGTTGACAGAGTGTTTTACAAAGTAGACTTAAACTCATTAACTAAATTCCGTAATTCCAGTCAATCTACTAATGATTCAATTGAAGAAAAAAAGTTGAATAGCAATTCTGATATAACACATTCTAGAAAATCTACACTTAAAACCCCATCATCACTCACTAATATTTTTTTAAATAGAAGAAGTAAAGATTTATCATAGAGCTAAATTTTATTGAACAGCTGCGCAGGCTAAGGCGCAAAAAAAGTATAGAATTAACAACAAGTGCAGCTTGACTAAATAGATGAATAAAAAAAAATAAATTTTAAGGAATATATGGCTTAATAGCAAAAAAAAAAGATATAAGCGAAAGAAGATAAAATAAGATAGAAACTTCTAAAAATGAATACACCTTTTGACGAAACTACAGCATTTCCTAATAAATTATATACTAATTAATAATCTCAGCAAGTAATTTTACCATAAATAGTCTCTCAAAAAAATTAAAATGAAACAGCTGGCTAAAAAAAATTTATTGAGATTGATTAAAAGTTACAAAAATTTAATACAAACTACAAAAAAATAGGTAAAATAGTTGATTCAAATTCTTATTTCCATCTAGAAAATACATTGGAAGTTGCCATGCTATCAGCCATTGAAAATAATAACATAATTCCCAAAAGGATGAATATAATCAAAGACTCTTTATGCTCTATCGAAGATTTTGATTTGAATAAAAATAATTATAAATATGAATTAGATTTGTCAAATTAAAATATTAATGAAGGTCAATCTAAAATGGTTTAATCAGTTCTCCAACATCCTTCAGTTAGCAAATTAAGATTATTGAGTTTGAAAAATAGTAGCTTGACAGCTAGATCCCTTGTATAAATTGCTACACATTTACCTATATCAATTTAAGAAATTAATCTAGAGTAAAATCGTTTGGGAAGTCATGATTTAAGCTTTGCTCTTACACCTCTTTTATAATCAAGAAATTATCCTTTTCTGAAATCATTGAATATAGAGAACAATAAAATTGGTGATTTAGGCTTTCACTCTATTTTAAGCAGTCTGTAAAAAAGCTCTTTGTCAATTCTAAATATATCTAATAATAATTTAACTGATGCAAGTTCCGAAGGTATTTCCTTGTTTCTAAGAGAATCATAAGAAATTAATGAGTTATATCTTCATTGGAATAAATTCTCTTCTTAAGGTGGCATCGCAATAGCAAAAGGATTGGAAAAAAACATCAGTCTCCAAGTAAAATTATTTATTATTTAACAAAGCAGAAGTATTTCTTGATCATACAATCAATCAATCAATCAATCAATTAATTAATTCTTCTTATATTAATTATAACGAGAATGTTATTAGAATAGACATTTATTTAAAATACGAATTCTTAAGCGTTTTTAATTAAAATAAATAGGTTCTTGATATGAGCTACAACGGTTTAGGAAATCCCAAAGGAGTTAAAAGCGGACTTAAGATAATAAAATCTTGCTCTCATCAATTTGGATAAATAAAGCATTTAGATTTATCATTTAACATGTTAACTAAAGAAGAGACTGTTGAAATATCTAATTTTTTGTCAAAAAGCAATTTTTAAATAGGTCTTCATTATTTAGGAAACTAAGGAGATTGGATAGTGGATTCTAGAGGATTTTTAGTTTAAATAAACTCCGTAGAAAACGCAAGAGCTGAATAACTTCACTATAGCAAATAAAGAATTTAGGGTCTTAAATGCGTTAAACAAAAGTAATATTGATTTTTTTTTGCAATATTTAAAACTGCTCTTGAAAATAATTAATTAATTAATCGATCAATCATTTGTCTATTTTAATTTTATCATTCAATCTCTTAACGCACATGATTAGTTTTAAATTAATTTCTGTTTATAAATGAAATCAATTTCGAGTTTTAACTTATTTTCAGTTATGAAGACTTACATTTAACTTATTATTAATAACTCATAGATAAAAACTAACTAGTGACATCCTCAACACAGATATTTGCTGGATTTGTGATGGATGGTAAGAGATCAAATTCGAAATCACTGCAGAATCAAGCAGCACTTTCGCAAAACACCCTGTCTTTTTACATTTAGACTTTGAAAATTATAGACCTCACTATATGGATCCTGATCCTGAAAATCCAAACAAATTTATATTAAAAAGAATGTGTCCACCTAATAGGAGAATTCAATTTTTCTTTAGCGATCCTACTTAAAAGGTGCTTTATTACTCTCACGATTATCCCTCAATGGGCTTTATGAAGAATTAATTACTTGGAATATAGTTTTACAACAAGGAATTGAACAAATAAAAATCAATTTATTCTTCTCCATAAGTCTCAGCCAATAATAAATATGCTAATTTTTTTTAAAAGAAATTCTTTAAGTTGTAATATTTAGATACCACTGTGATTGAGTATTAAGAACCATTTTTAGTGAACTGGATTGAGACTTCAAATAATAGTAAGCTTTTTACAAGCTAGTATGATGCTTTGTTTGAGTGCAAACCTCGTTGGCCTGAGACATTCTTCAAAATAAACTTCACCAACGAATGGACTTTTGAAAAATCCATTTTTTCAACTTATATTAGAGATTCTGACAATATAATTAGTGAGTGCTTTGAATTTGATTGGGAAAACTCAAGACTTGATAAGATTTTGAGCTAATATTGTATTAACTAATAAATGAAAGATGATTGCAAAGAAATTCTTAAAAAAGAATACAATTTAATACGTTGTGTATATAAGTATTATGCCTCTTTGGGTATTGTTGGTGATATCCCATGCATCTCTTAAAACTAATTTTCAAATATTGCTTTAAAGATGAAGCTAACCGATGGAAAAAATTTCAAGATTAGTGATTTAGATTATAATTTTATCACTGTAAACTCATCTAAAAATAAAGAAAAGAATTATAGAAACCCTGATAAAGCTATGATTCGTTTTGAGTTTTTAGAAGTAATAGCAAGAATCGCCATAGACAAATATATTAGATCTGGTGCTTGCAAAAATGCTCAGGAGAGTCTATGTAATTTCTTTAGCAACAAGCAAGTGAGAGAAAAATTTGAAGAGATCGAAGACCCTTAAGCATGGAGAGATACAAAGTAATTTAAAATTTTTTGAAATTTTTTATATAACAAAATGTTTCATGAATATTTAGTAAAAAATTTATTTATTTAAAAATAGGTATTGGATAGAAGAATGCGATATAATTATTCAAAACAATTTAGAAATGATTTAAGGTCTTTGGAATAAATGGGCAAACAGCAAGAAATCTGAAAAAAGAGGATTTTAAACTACTTAAACAATGAGCATAAACGAATTCATTGATATGGTAAAGAATTATAATCTATTAGATGATTTTTTGACTGAGAGAGATATTCTTTTGGCTTTCAACTTAGCTATGATGACTTAAGTTGATGAGCTCAATAATGACCGCTTTATCTAAATGACATTTGTAGAGTTCTTAGAAGCAATAGCAAGATTGGCTGATAAAAAATGCATGCTTCCTTTAGGTACAGTAGATGGATCTTATAATTTATAAGAAAGATAGTAAGTCAGATTAGAGTTCAAATTAGAGTCTTTACTGGATCTCATTAAGCAAAGAATCATTCAATAAAATAAAGATAAACAAAAATAAAGTATAAATATAAAAGAAAAATAATAAAATGAAGAATAAGAAATAGTACACACTCCTCTAGTTCCTTCAGTTTAACTACAAAACATATAATAAAAATAATTAGGAATTATTAATTCATCTAGAAAAAACTAAGATTCTTTAAAATATATAAATTCTTCTTTACAATTTTCTTAAGAATCAATATCAAATGATTTTTGAGCAATAAAAGCTATAATAAATTATATTAAATATTTGACTAAAACTAAAATCTTTAAAATATTAAAAATATCTTAACAAATTTCCAATTCTAATTTTGAGTCTTTATATTATTTTGTATTATTATCAATATTTCTATTTGTGTAATTATTTTTCAATTAATTCAAATTAAAAACATACAAAAAATGTAATAATAGATTTTTTATTAATTCAAATATTAAAAACCTTAATGACAAACAACAAATATATCAAACATCTTAAAGTGATTTAAAAAAGGTTTTTCTCATTTTTAGAAAATTATGATAAAAAATGGTTTAAGAGTTATCATAGATTTTTATCGATCCATTTGATTTTGAGCCCCCCCTTTATATCTAACATCTTGATAATATATATGATTATCTAGTGTTTAATCAAGTATTAAAATAGTTACAAGTACTGTATATTTATTATTTAATATAAATAGAGATAATTAAAAGTGTGGTAAAAATCTTAATGAACTGGTTTTTATTAGTTAAAATACCATTCTCAAAATATATTTAAGAATATTCGAATATAGAATATTGATGATTGATTATCGATGACTTGATTTTAAAATTCATAGTGAAAATTAGATTTAAAATTTAACCACGATTTAATCAATCTATATTAAATTTAAATGGTAATAATCTAACCTAATCTTATTAATCAATTAATTAAGTGTAATCTCACTGACTCTTTGAAGTTATTATAATTATAAATTTTTAGGTTTTTAAATTTACTTGAATTCGCAAAAAAACTTATAATAGTAACCTCTTAATTTTTAACCTGAATGAAGTGTTAATGAAAATTACATTTTATGCTAACTCTAAACTAGGTTTTTTTTTTGTTGCCATAATTAAAATTTAGCTTCTTTTGAAAAAAATATGAAATAGGAATACTTTATGTATGATATTACAATTAAAAACTGGACTATTAAAATACTTTCTCGAATAAATAATCTGACAAAAAAGAAGATATGTTAATATATCTGGTTTAGTTTGTTTGGTTTTACAGTAACATTAATTAACTAATAAAATTAAAGTAAAAGTAAAATAAATAAAATAAAAATTAAAAGATGTGTATTTTATTCATTTTTAAAAATTAATTATTACAAATATATATATGAAATAAAATTATTTTTTCTCTCGCTAAATATATTTAAATAATAAAATTGACTTTTAAATAAGAAAATAATATAAAAGATTGTAATTTTTTCCATTTATTATTTACACTAAAATAAAAAGATTAATGTTTTTAGTTTTAAAGTTAATTAATTAACCACTCAATTTAAGAAAGAGAAAAGTTAATTAAATTTATGAAGCATAAATTATTAAAAATGGATATCTCTCTAATAACATTTAAAAGATTAGATCCCAACTAATTTATTACATTTTAATCTAAAATTTTTTGAATTTAAAATTTTCTCAATCTATTTAATGAATTTAAGTTTATTTTAACAATAAGAAATATTTTTCTTAATGAATAAACAAACATATTTTTATAAATTAATAAATGCTTAAGAAAAGTAATAAGTTTAAATTGTTCTTTTCTCAATATTAATCAATATAAATGAATAAAATAATTTCGACATGTTTTACTCTCATATTTTTAGTAGAAAAAACTATTTAGTCGATATATTGATTTCTCAATACTTACATATCAGCATTATTTGAAATTAACAATAAATTTTTGCTTTAAAAATAACACTTAGTTGAATTACAAAAATTTATGCTTAACCATGTCTATTCAAGAAAAATTAGTGGAGTTTAGATTATTCTTTTAATTAAGGAATGAATTTACAAAAATTACAATTATTATAATACTTGATTTATTAAATAGTTTGCAAAATTCATTTTCTTGAATTTCTAAATTAAATTAAATTCTAGTGGAAATTTAAAACTTTACATAAATTAATATGCTTTGTTGCCTTTCATTTCTATCATCAATAATCTTCATTCAATTCATTAATTTTTAAATCAAATATTTTTTAAGTCTCTTAATGAAATTTTAATGAGCAAAGAAGTTCCAATATTCAAATAATCTTTCAATAGTTTGAACACTTTTTTCCAATTTATAAAACCTAAATATATCTTCATACACTTACTTACATAAATCAATAAATACATAAGTATTTTTTTATTTATTAATTTATTTGTGTGTCTGTCTGTCTGTTTTTCTTTCTTTTTGTTTTATTAATAAATTAAATAATTTTTCTAAAATTAAACAATGTAGTGATGTAACCATAATTTATCAGAAAATTATGGATATTTGTTATCTTGTTTACAAATATTAGTAAAGTTGTTATCTGAATTATTTTCAAGTAGTGTAATTTAATTAAACTTAGAGATGAGTGATTGATATTTAATATCAGAAGTAGCATCCTGCTTAGTGTTTATTCTGATTCAAGACCAATCAAATATTTATTATTGATTTATGATAAATAATTACTAATAATAAAAAAAATAATTTATAAACTAAAAATGGCTTCACTTCAACCTCCTATCAGAGATCTAAGCTATTCACCTATACTATAGCCTTAAATGGATAAAAGAACTAATTAATTTCTTCAAAAACCTTTTGGTAGCAAAAAAGTAAGTAAAAAGATTATATTTTGTTCTCCAGAAACTAGATCCTCCCTAAAATAGATATTTAGCTCAAGTTAGTCGACCATGAATTCAGTGGATGAAAAAAAAAATCCTATTAGGAGCATTGCAGAATTCAAATATAAAAGTCAATCTCCAGTGTGGGAAAATTCGTTTATTAATCAGCAACTACACTTGAAGGATTTAAACTCTACTACTACTATAAATTAATCAAAGACATAAAAAAAGAGAGATTTGAATAGTATCTGCTAATATAACTCATCTGGAAAATCTATAAAGATGAGCTTGAAGAAATAAATCAAATCTAAGATGACTGCTGCAAAAGAAGCAAATATTTCTAGTTTGTTAAATTTCGAACAAATAAGTGATAGAGATATGATCAAAGATTAAAAAAAGTTTAATTCAAATAAATCAGTTTAGAGACAATCTATCAAATCTCTAGTCTATCTCTAATCGTCTCCACCTCAGAATTTAGATTCCTCAAGAAATTGTATGCCTAGTGTTAACTTTAAAAATAAAGATTCTCAAAAAAGTTTAAGTTCCATTAGAAATTTAAAGCAAGCAAATATTTCTAATATCTTAAACTAATGTAATAATAATGAGGATATTACTTTTTTAAAAGAACCTGAAAACTCTAATTTGATTCAAAAAGAGCTTGGAATTTACTCATTTTTCCTTTAAGAGGATAGTATAGAATCAAATCAAAACCAAAGTGTTATTGATTTTTCAGATAAAACAATATCAGAAAAATTTGCGAAAATAATTGTTTAGATTCTTAACAGACCAGATAAAAGTAATTTTAGAGTTTTGAAACTAAAAAATAATAATTTAACATCTTAAATTCTTGAGATTTTATTTTCGCAATTACCTTAACAAATTCAAGAAATAGACCTAGAGTCAAACAACCTAGGAAGTTAAGATCTTTCTCTATGCTTAAATCCACTTTCGCAGAAATCTTTTTATTCCAATTTAAAAATTTTAAATTTGGAGAATAATAATATAGGAGATATTGGTTTCAATTAAATATACTCAGCTCTTCTTGAATATAATCTATCTGTCCTTAATCTATCTTAAAATAGTTTAACTGATCACTGCATGGAATCTATTTCAAACTTATTGGAAAATACTGAACTCAATGAATTATACATTAGCCAAAACAATATCACTTCTGAAGGTGCACTTTGCCTGACATAAGGTTTAGAAGGCAACAACAGCTTACAAGTATTAATTCGTTTTATTAAAATTTTCATTTAATAAATAATCATAAAATATTAATAGGTTTTAGATTTAAGCAAAAATAACATTGGATTACCTTAAGGGCTAAATGCTTGTTTGAGCATTGTTAATAGCATTTCAAATAAAAACTCTAAATTAAAGCATTTAGATCTTTCTTATAATAATATTTCTTTTGAGGAATCAGTAGAGATATCAAAATCTATTTAAAAAAATAAAACCCTATTCGGTATACACTACTTGGGTAACGAAGGAAGTTGGTATTTTGACTCCAAAGGATATATGAAACAAAAAGAATAATCTTAAGAATAAGAACCAGATATTTAGCATTAAAGAATTGAAGGACTTCAATCAAGAAAAAAGTAAATTTTATTATTTTTTTAAACAATTTTCAAAATATATTTTTAATTTATAAAAAGCTAATAATAAAACAATTTTAAAAATGGTGATTGCTGGATATGTGACGGATGGGTTGAATTTACTTTTGAAATATTTACTTAATAAAGTAGTTCTTTTTGCAAATACCCTGTTTTTTTGCACTTATAATTTGAGAATTACTAACCTTGCTTAATGGAGCTTGATCCTAATAACCCTACAAGATATTTTTTAACCAGAATGTGTCCACCAAATAAAGATATTTTATTTTTCTTTACTAATATTGATAGTAAAATTGTTTATCATACAAAGGAATACTAAAAAATCTTGTTTTAGGCAAATGAGCATCCTGAAATAATTTTCTTTTCCAAAGAAGATAAAATGGAATTATAAAATAATTAAAATTTCATAATAACTCCTTTAAAAACTAAAAGTGCGAACAAATTTTTCGAGTTGTAATACTCAGGAACAAATGTATAATTCTAAACTCCTTTGTTTATTAACAAGATAAAAACTGTTAAAAGCTCAAACTTATTTTCTAATAAATACGAAATTCTTATTAAGTGCAAACCAAGGAAAGAAGAAAAAATTTGTGACATAACATTAGATAATTCTTGGTCTATCAAAACATCAATATTCTTATCTTTCGTCAGAGATTACAATGAATTAATTAATAAATGTTTTGAATTCGATTGGGAAAACTCAAAAATCAATACTATTTTAAACTCTTTCATAACTAACCTTGAGGAAAAATAAGGAGTAAAAGAAATTTTT